TTGCAATTGGCCAGAAGGTCGCGTTGCCCTCCTTCGCTGGGTCGCCAGGTACCCCATGCAGGTACGGATTGCAAAGGATCTGCAAAAGGCTTGAAAATGTGCCAGCCTAGGCAAAGCCAAAGAGGGCGCGTGCGTTTGCCAGCGATTCTGGACGTTTGACTGGATGAAGCCTTGAAATGCATGCGTCGATACAGAGTCATGCTTTGATCAGCCTAACGTGGTCTACCCTTGGATTGGCCAGCCGAGAGGAGTTATATTGTTCAGGGGCATTGCTATCCCCCTGGCTCCCTCGTAGCGGGAAATAGCCCTTACAGCATACGGTGAGGGATGCTATTGCGCCGAAGTGGAGAAGGCAAAGGACCTGGTAAGGCTGTCAGAACTAGAGATCGAAAACTATGAGCAACGCCAGTCATCAAAAGTTCCTCCGGGACCACCTCAGGATGACGAGGCGGAAAGCCGAAGCTCAGAGACCCGGAACATGTCACATAATTTCCGGGCAAACGCAAGACACAGCCGAGTCAGACAGATCAGGTCGTAAATGAGCTCGACGGATGGGTTTGACCCCCTAGAAGGCAAAGACTCATGAAACAAAATCATCGGTTCCGGCAACCTTCCCTGTCCAGAAGTTTTTAACATCCCTCCATGAAATACCTTCGAGAACAATGCAGAGTGAAATTTTCTATGCCACAGAACGCGTGAGGCAGCAGCCGCACATCTGCTGCTGAGTGGCTCATGGAAAACACGAGGGACGCCCTCAAGCGTGTCATCAGTTGCGTAGGGCGATGGCATGGGCGAGTCAGGCTAGAGCCTTGTTCCTAGTGGTGTTCCGCCGATCGTCAAAGTGTTTAGGGTAAGAGGTTGGGCTCCAGTATGCTCTTGAGCCGCATATCGGTTGAAAGCGATCGGCAGCTATGCAACTACGTCTTGCATAACGGCCCACTGAAGCACGGTATGTTTTTTTGTGTGATCTGCAATGAAATGGGTTGCTGGAGCAATGACGACGACCAGAAACCAAGAGCGACCTTTTTGGCGACAAAGGCTATCCTTTCTTTTTGTAGTTGACACCGGTCAGCCTTTTGACTGTTGGTATGCACAGCGATTAATCATTGCATAAGGGTGATAGGTGGCGAATCATGAAGTGGGCCAAGACCAATTTCTAAAAGTCAGGTGAGTGTGACCTCTTGCTCGACCGGTGTGATCGGCCACTACGCCTCTAGCTTGTTCTGAGATCATGGCAGTATCAAGCAGAGTCACATGAATCAGCTGTTGCGTGCGGCTCAATGGATGGAGGCCTATGGGTGACAGAAAAAAGATAGCGAGAGCTGGGGGGGGCGGAACATAACCAATTTTGATCCAAAGTAAAAACGGCCGAGATAATGCGGCTAGCATTGAGATTCACATGGTGGGTACATTGTACTAGGGGTCGCGTGCGATTCGCACCAGACGTGCAACAAGCCGGCTCGATGGAATAGCCGTTCACCAATATGCTGGGGATATTGTGGTCGAGGTTGATGCCCTCCTCCCGTTCCTTAGATTTGTCCTGTTAGCTTCACCTTCTATCCAAGCAGATCGCTCACACCGGGATCAACGGAGCCGATGGCCCACAGAAATCAAATAAATGGTGCACCTGACCTGGAAGGCGATCCAGGCAACATGAAGGACAAGGCCGGAGCCCTTGCTGACTGCTAGCTCCGTAAGGACATCAAGCCTCACAGCAGCACGAGCCCCTTCCAAGGCTTTGGCGTGCGACTGGTATATGACTCGAGCGATCGAAATTCCTGCAAAATTCTGCACACTGGTTCTGAGATGATAACAGTTGAAAAGCATGGCGCAGATCCCCTGGTTGCCTACGGAGGTGCCGAGACGTGCTTGTCTCGTATTCCTCGTAGGTCGACTAGGCTCTTCAGCATGGGACATAGGGAGCGAGTGTAGGTGTGTTTGGCAGCCTCCCGTGACAGTATGTGGCTGTGAGCCCATGTAGACTTTCTTCAAGAGTCACACACGTATGATCCACAAGCACTGCCATTCGCAATATCGCCTTGCCGATGGCCAGTCTAGGTTTGATGTATCAGGTCAGAAGAAGATATTGGGCAGATTGGAATAATGCCATTCCAAACATAAAAGCACCAATGATATTATGAGCCAACGATCGAAGGTCATAGACCAACTAGTATAGATTCTTGCCCAATTCCGCCGTATGGATCATTGTGTAAAGCGGTAATAGTCAGCCCCCAGAGAACCTTTTTCTACACTGCCTCAAAAATCAAATCTTGATTATGATCAGCCACTGGGGATAACAGACCGTAGTAGGCTTCCTGCTTGGGTGAATTCGCCTTGGTAGTTCTTGTCGTTTGGTTTCGCCTCCTATGTCTGTGATCAACAGCAGATGAGGAGATTTACTGGTATAGCTGAGATAGAACCCAATAGGGGTTCGTACTTGACCTTGCAAGAAGGAGTCAACTGGTGGAAACTGCTCTGATGGTAGCCTGGTGCGCTCGCGACCGTCTTGTTATTGATGGTACCGCAGGAGGCGCAGTGGGCTTATTTTCTCCATAGGCTCTGTTATAGCAGCTCCTAAGGTCAAAATGAACGGAAAGTCAGTGCACCCAGATGTGTAAGGTGATGCGCGTGTTATTCATTTGATGCACAATTTTTCAGCACCACCAAGACTAGTTAGTGACCCAGATCTAGAGCAAAAGTGAGCTTCAGAAGTGTTTTCCTAAGCCATCAGTGGCACCTGGGCAAGATGATGTCCACAGTGCAGTTGTAAAGAGAATGTAGACGGTGAGGTCTAGTGCTTGGAAATTGGCAATAGGCAAAAGCCATTTTCACTCAGTTTCGGTTCAACGCTTCAAGCCATCGGCCATACTGATTATCTAGTAGATGGAGCAGATGAGATAGCCAGTATCCAATGACATGCTGAAGGTGATGGCATGCCTGACTCACTGGCGGTTCACTGGGAGGGTCAAGTTGGAGAAAATTCTAGCTTGCTGGCACCTGTTGGTCAAATGCTGGATGAGGGGACGTGCTTGATATGAAGTCACGATTCAGACCTCAAGTTCGCGGCCCAAGCACGCCACCAAAGGCCAAACCACACGAGCGATGTTCGACACCAAAAAGATCGCCAGGGAACCACAAGATCTGCAATCTTCATTAACGATTGGACACCTTCGACGCCCTCGGCGTTCCCCGCATGGCTACTCGACAAGTAGATGAAACTGATGATGCGACGAGTTACTCATTACGTCAAGGCGTAGTGTGGGATGTAGTCGGTCAAAAACAATTGAATGGAGTGTCTGCGCAGGTGTTTCTCATGTGATGCAGTACCTGATTACTTCACGTTGGGCGTCTGGATACGGAAAGTTGATCCTTGAGGAGGATGTAAAGGCATTGCTACTTAGTCGTAGTGGGCGGTTGATGAATATTCTAAGCTTAAGGCGGTTAGGCTCCGGGCGCCATTATTAGGTAGATATCCGATGTTTCGGGGGACAGCTTCGATCTATTACACACCCAAAACTTGAACTTACATCAGGTGGTTGCAACTTGCAACTTCGATGGCCTCACACTCACTCGTGCCGCCCGAACTGCTGTGCCTCGGCTTGAGCGAATTGCTTGAGGCCTGAACTTCCAGATCCCATCTCTTTGGCTACTTCCGGTGCAAGTAATCAAGCCATGACCAACCAGGCGGCCCAGTCGAGCCCAGTCCATCAAGCACACATTGGCAAGGTCTTGTCAATGCGACGTTGATCAAATTCAAGGAACCCTTGAGATCCACATGGCGGCCACCGAAGCCCTGTCTTATACGCCATGAGTCTGACTACTTTTCCAAAACACCGTCTCCATCGTACCCATATGATCAGAAAGAACTATTGCCAATCACTCTGCCTTGGCAATCCACCACAACCCCGTGAGGCAATTGATAACTGCTCGCATTCTGATTGATTCAAAAACTGATTCCACGATGTGTATCTCGCTCTCAATCGCATGAGCCTTTTGAAGAATCTTACAGTTATCAACACTGGTGTGCAGGCGCCCTCCTGAATTTCAACCACTGACATCATCATGCCTCCTCCCCAGACATTAGGCGAGTCTTGGCAACCAATTTGCAAATACAGCGGAATTGGAATTTGATCCAGCACAACCGTCGATACCCGTCTCTCTACCAACATCACGGAACCTCGAATATTGCTTCTTGCTCTCCTTTCGCGGGGTCGTACTCGTGTTGAACGAGCTAACTTTTTTGGCGACCCACACGCTCCTTTCCGACGGGTGGTAGGAAGCATGGAGACGGAGATGTTCTGGAATGCTTCCAAAGACCTTGGGGCGACACATCAGCCCGCATGATGCCAAGCCGATGGCCAAGACTGTCTCTTGTCTTGGCCCGTCCTGGCCAAGAGTTGTGGCAAGCAATTCAGCGGCGGTCTTCATTTCTGTTAAGAAGACTGGGTGAAGACTTCGCTAATTCTTGACTGGCGCCCGACTGGTCTCCGCTCCATCCTTCCGCCCATGGTTGGCTCAACTTACAGCCTGTGCCTCCGCCCAGTCTCCTAATCTCTTGGGTGGTAGCAACAAGCCATTGGACCTGCTCATAAGAGTTAGCTTACCTGGTTGAGCCAAGGCACCATACCTAAATAAACTCCACCCCCGAGCTTGCAAGGCGGGGGAGACGAGATAACATGACAGTTGCAAACTGGTGGAAGCTCGTGTGAGTCGCCTGAGCTTGGAGATCCTGGAGCTTCAAGCGCATCTGTTCTGTCCATGGCTATCTGGACCGATCAGGGATCAGGCCGCTGACTGGCGATCGAGTGGGCAGTATTAAAGATGTCGTCGTGCCGGGTTCCTGAAGACGCGAATCTCCCTGCTCTGTGTCTCACAGCATTTGCGACTGTTTGTTGATCAACCCGTCGCCCACACCTCTCTGTGTACTGGCTTCGCGCTGCGTCGCTCATCTTTCATCTCAATCCTATCCTCGCAGTTGCCAACTGCATACGTCTTTCAGCATGGAGGAGACTAAACATGCCACTGTCTCTCCCCATGACTCGGAGAAGGGACCTGAGATCTCTCCTCGCCGACCCAGTGTTATCGGAGGCACTGATCACAACCTTGAGACCAATCGCGAGACTGATTTCATGACTCGCAATGGTCTCAATCTCAAGAGTTTCCAGCGCCGTGAGTGCTCCCCATCCCCCTTTGTGGTCGCAAACACACAAGACACCGTATTAACAATCATGCAGGTGAGAATGCAGGTGAAATGGCCCAGCTTGATCGCTCGATGAAGGGTCGCCATTTGAACATGATTGCTATCGGTGGCTCAATCGGTGCTGGTTTCTTCGTCGGCTCAGGAAGTGCCTTGACAAAAGGTGGCCCTGCTTCGGTTCTCATCTGTTTCTTGATCTCCGGTGCTATGATCTTCAACGTCGTCTATGCTCTCGGCGAGCTTGCTGTCATGTACCCTGTCTCTGGTGGTTTCTATACCTATTCTATCCGCTTCATCGATCCATCCTGGGGCTTTGCCATGGGTTGGAACTACGTAAGTTTGAAAGCCTTCCCCCATCCGATAATGCGCTAATCCGTCGGCAGGTTTTACAATGGATGATCGTCCTACCGCTCGAATTAACCGTCTGCTCGTTTACCGTCCAGTATTGGAATAAAGACATTAGTGTTGCGGTCTGGATCACGATATTCTGGGTCTTCATCATCTTCATCAACGTATTCGGCACTCTCGGCTACGCAGAGGAAGAATTCGTTTCTGCAGTATTCAAATTGCTGGCAACTGTGATCTTTATGATTGTAGCCATCGTTCTGATCTGCGGTGGTGGCCCATCAAGCGGAATCTATGACGAATACTGGGGTGCGCGCCTTTGGTACGACCCTGGTGCGTTCCAGAACGGCTTCCGTGGCTTCTGCTCAGTGTTTGTCACTGCGGCTTTCGCTTTCGCAGGAACTGAGCTTGTTGGTTTGGCGGCCGCTGAATCTCACAACCCCAGCAAGGCCCTTCCAAGTGCCATTAAACAGGTCTTCTGGCGTATTACCCTGTAAGAACCCTCTCTATATTCTACTATTCGGTGTTGAGCTGACGAATTCTGCTAGATTCTACATTCTCGGTCTTACCTTTGTCGGTCTTCTCGTCAGCTCCACTGATGACCGCCTCTTGAACTCGTCGAACCCTTATGCCGATGGCGTCTCACCTTTCGTCCTTCCTCTCAAAGACGCCGGTCTGATTGGCTATGACAGCTTCATGAACGTGGTCATTCTCGTATCTGTGGTTTCCATCGGTGTCTCCTGCGTTTACGGTGGCTCGCGAACTCTGACTGCACTTGCTCAGCAAGGGTACGCACCAAAGATCTTTGCATACATTGACCGATCTGGTCGACCTCTCTGGTCTGTCGTCATCAACTTGGCCTTTGGTGCTCTTGCATATGTCATCCTTGCATCAACTGGTGGTGTTGTCTTCGACTGGCTCCTTGCCCTTTCTGGTCTTGCAGCCCTCTTCACATGGGGCTCCATCCTCGTGGTAAGTCCCTAGCTCTTGGATCCTCCGTCTCCGATTGAATATTTCTAACATCACCTTCAGGCACATATCCGTTTCCGAGCAGCATGGAAGCTCCAAGGCCGCACCCTGGACGAGATCCCATTCCAAGCCCTCTTCGGTGTTACTGGATCATGGATCAGTATCTTCCTCGTCATCATCGCTCTGGCAGCGCAATTCTTCGTCGCAATCGCTCCTCCATTCACCAGCGACCTCAACGATGCTGAAGGTTTCTTCAAGGCCTATCTCGCTCTCCCTGTCGTCCTCTTCTTCTGGGTTGTTGGCTACGTCTGGAAGCGCAAGGGCTGGGTCAGACTGGCCGATATCGATCTCGACACCGGCCGCCGTGAGCACGACTGGGACACTATCAACGCTTACAGACGCCAAGTTGCGACTTGGCCTGCGTGGAGACGTGCTCTTTCTGCTGTCTTCTAAGCAGCAGCAATCACGCCCAAAAGAGATGGATACCCCTACTACATACAAACTGTCGAGGAAGTGGGGAAGTGAGTGTATGGCACACACACTGTGCTATATCACCGCTCTCTCATATAATTTGGCGCGACTTTTGCATCACGTCTGAGGAAGATCAAGGAAGTTACGTGCAGTATATTAGTATACCATTTTCTTCCCAGACAGAGTTGGACGAGATGCTCTTTTGTATCAGCAACAGAGACTTTTGATAGTATGCCATACCCCCCTAGCGTCTGTTAACGCGGAGATGAGATGATATCAAAAAAACAATTCTTTTCCCTTAAATTTAACGGCTATCCAAGACCATCCTGCCTTCGTTGCCATTTAATATCAACCATTCCCTCGCCATTCTCCGCTTTAGTTGCCTGCTCCATGCTACAAACAATATCTAGTGTGCAACCACGCGATAGATAGAGGGAAGAAAATATCATATTAATCTCTATCGACGAACCATCCAGCGGATTGGCCGGACTCCCCGATCACATCAGCGAGACGATCATTCAGCCCCGCTGCGCATCTGCAACATCGGCAGAAAAAAGAAAGAAAACACTCGTTTCATCAAACGTAGACCCCACCGACGCAACCTGCCGAGCCCCGAACACCCGAAGCGGCAAGCGTGCTCGTGAATCGCGCGTCGTGGGTCGTGGGTCGTGGGTCTCGAAAAGCCCGTGGGTATCCGTGGGCACCATCCGTATACTAGGACTCGGAACCATGGGTACCTAATGTAGCTAGGTACCTAGATCGATACCTCGACGGGCTATACCCGATCCGTTCGTGCGTCTGTAACATAAGTCCACCAGGGACACCGCTGGGGGCCCACTCAGTCTCCGCTGCCTTTGGGAGAGAATACCAGTCCGGTACTGGGCTAACCTACTCGTTGAGTGCATACCATACCGCGAGACGAAGATGGAACTTTTAAAGCTGGGATAGCCCTTGGGCATGAAATTGGTGTTTGAAAATTCTGATGCCATGCTCTGTCGGAAATGTTCCGATGTGAATACGGTTTTCGACAATGAAGAAATTATATTCTACCGTCTCTTCTGTATACGTGGTTGGAGAGCTGAGCATTGTGGAGGATATTCATGTCGACGAGAGTCCATGTCAAGGGATCTCCAGAGCGAGATACTTATGTATCTCATCCCGAGAGCTGTCACCGCATGTAATCAACCTGCGCAGAGCAAAACGTGCAGAATGACCCTGTTATGATTGAGCAATTCGACTCGGCTCTTCGTCGCGTTGTTCGCGAGTTCTGCGGTGGGCTGATGATCTTGCTAGGCCTTGCAAGGTGGAGGAGAACTCGGCATATTCAGCGGAAAAGAGTGGAATGAGAATTTTCGGTACATCCTGCTGTATGATTGAGTGGTTCTGTTGAAATCCAATTGATTCCCGGAGGTGTCGCAGGAGCTGGTGGTTGAACAGTTAGCGAGAGAAGCGAGATTTAGCGTCTTGATCAAGAATTATGACGAGCCTTCGAAAGCGACATCTGGTGGGTGGGAGTGTATGCTGAGCCGTTTTGATTTGAGTCGACTTTGGCTTGTGGCTCGTTTGGGCCTTGCAGGGCCAGCGTAGATGACGGCCTTGATGAATATATCTGGCCTAAATTTCGATAACGGGGTGGGCATTGAGCATTGGTAAACAGCATGCCAGCACCATTCCCCTCCTCCTTCTTGGAGTCGATTTCAGAAGCTCAATTTTGTGCTGTGTTGATACTGCGTAAAAAAAGTCTTTGGGTCTGTTCGAAAGTGGCACATTTCTCGCAAATGGCCAGGTTTTGGCAGAGGCCATCACGGATCTCTTGAGGCATGGCTGCAAGACCTCCTGCCTCAATCCGACGGTCACACGAATAGTTGATCGGTTGTCATATTATCAGGGTCAAGAAATCAAGAAATCAAGAAATCAATCCGACTCAGCAGCCTCGAGGATCTTGGCACGAATGATCTTGACCTCCTCCAAGGGACGATCATCACTATTCGTCTTGACCAGACCCATCCTCTGGACGACCTTCATGCCACTCTTGACCCTCCCGAAGATGGTGTGTTTCCCATCCAACCACGGGGTCGGAGCCAAGGTGATGAAGAACTGGCTGCCGTTGGTGTCTTTGCCACTGTTGGCCATGCTCAAGATGCCGGCGCCGGTATGCTTGAGCGAGGCGTGAATCTCATCTGCGAACTTCTCGCCGTAAATGCTGGCTCCGCCGCGTCCAGTGCCCGTCGGATCGCCCGTCTGCACCATGAAGTCCAGGATGATGCGGTGGAAGATGACGTTGTTGTAGTACCCTCGCTGTGCTAGTGTGGAGAAATTCTTGCATGTCTTGGGCGCGTGCTCGTTGTATAGCTCGACGGTGATGGCGCCCTGTGGGTGAATGAGGGGTTAGCGGACTGGGAAACTTTCAGTAGGTGGGGGTTGAATGACACTGACCATCGTGGTCTCAAGTACAACATCGGTCGACATATTGGAAAGAGGTATTATAGTATTGACTTCTATGTGATCGAGGTACGGGACAACTGAGAGATCTGAGATTCCAAAAATATTCGAGAATTGCCTCGGTCGTGGTGGGCAAGAATGACGTGTTTAGAATGACATCTTTTTGAGGTCATTTGAGCCAATATCTTGGCCATCATTGCATTCCATTAGATCGAGATGAACATACCTACCCAGGTAGGTACATGAACAACGGCTGGATGCTTGTAGTTCTTTAACTAGAAGATGAGCTTACTACGTACTGGATTTTATGGGATCAAGTGTCATGAGCTCGCTGGTAACGGATCAAGGCTCGCGACAATGTGTCGATGGGAATTTCAAAGGCCTCATCCAACAGGCATAGATTCACACCAATATGACTTCGAGGAATGCCGTCAAATATCGTCAGATATTGTTAACCGAAGCTCGGAAGTGTTGATACATTGATACACGAGGTAAATCTTCATGATGCCCCCATCTCCCCCCATTTAAATTCAATCGGTATCGTATTCTCCACAACAAAGGGGTCCTCTCCATCATCGTCTTCCCCATTTCCACTGTCATCCCCATCATCCTCACTGTCAACATCGCCTCTCATATTCCACCACCAACGGCTGCTCTTCCAGATCCCGTCAGCGTCACCTCTCTTGTCTTCGTCTTCCTCGGTCCCGATCAACCAGCTGTACTTACGGAGGAACCACTTCTTGGCCTCCCAGCTGCGGGTACTCCAGGCGACATTATCACTCATCTGACGCTTGCGAGCTCGGCGGGACTTGGCCATGTCTGAGGCGCCGCCCCAGCACACGAGACCTCCATGAAATATATCCAAGAACAACTGCTCATGGTCTAGGATACCCTGCATCGACGCCTGCACTGTCTGATCCCGGAAGTATGGGAACACGATGCAGTCGAGGTAGCAAGGATGTGGATTCATCATCTGCGCTGGCGACGGCCTCAGCGCGCCCCTCACGCCGCTGATATGCTCGGACAGCTTGGTTGTGATGGCGAAGTGTGTTTGGAAGAAATTGTACCCGATCGATTTCGGCCCGGCGGCATCGCTGTTCAATGCGACGCAGCATCCAGGGAACGGGGATGGGTGATCGTTGATATACGCAGAGCGCGTGATCCTGAGGCATAGGCCAACGGCAATGGATGCTTCAATGGTGCCAACGCCAACTAAACGAAGATTGTTGGCATAGATATCCGGCACGGTCTTTGAAGACGTGACTGAAGATCGTGGGGAGTTGGGCGCACGCCGTGCACTGATTGCCGTCAGTGCCAGATCGTATGATGAGGAAGGTGTGTCGTGGAGATATGGCCTATTACCCTTGCGAGGGGGCATTGGCCAGATGGGTCGAAGATCGAGGTCTCCATAGTCGTCATGTGTATGAATGGATTCTGGCGTCGGCTCCGGCTCTGGTTCCGACGCCGGTGGACTAGGAATCACATCAAACTGGACTCCGATCGTGAGCGGATTATGAGATATAGGAAGATCGCCCGCGGCGAGAAAGGCGTCTTCGATCCTGATCATCCGAGAGTTCAAGTACTCTGCAGCCTTGTCTCCTGCAGCGACAAGTGGCGCGACATCTAAGCCACTTGTCTCCTGCCGGGACGATCCTCTTATTGGGACATGATTTACCGTGGACCTCGAGGCAGGCGTTCCGAGGGCACTCGAACTACTGGTACTGGTCGTGCCAGTGGCGGCAGCTTGCTCCTCGAGGTCTTCAAGCCTCTTCCTTAGTTTCTCACGGTAGATCTTCTGGGCGCGTCTGTTCTGCTCGCGCCGCTTGTCGGTGAGTTGACGCACGTAGGGTTTCTTTTTCGTTGACTGAGGGCCACTATTACTGGTCGTTGGTGCGGGACGCTTCAGTTCCACAACAGTAGACCCCGCGACTGCTGGGCTTGTAGTCGCCATGTCTGTCGACAATACTTACTTCCGAATGGTCGCGGCAGATTGTGAGGTCCAGAGAGTGTACTAGCATACCAGAAAGGGAGAAAGTTGTAGGATGTGGTGAGCCAGAGATGATGGCTGATATGGACCGGTACTACAATCCGCCGGGCGGTGGCGGTGATTCGGCCGAGCAGCATAGTAAGCCATTATTGTCAGCCAAATCAGGTGGCCTTGCTTGATAGGTGCTTGGTCTATCGCCCACATCAAAAAAAAGTGGAATTCTGACCGAATCAGGGGAGTCGATAAGCATCTAGCTGCCTTCAAGATCAGGCAGAATTACTCGGTATTGGTTGTAATATCAAACTCATGCTTGCTTTCAAATTGCAAGCATCGAATTATGGTTACAAGCACTCCGAAGGATTCAACTGACGAGAGATCCACCTGCCCCTTCGGCTTCAATACTTCGTAGAAAGATTTGATGTATTACTAACCTAACAGCATCCTGGGCATTCAAGTAGAGAGACATCCGTCTCGTAGGGAAAACTCCGTTTCATGCTGTCATTGAGTAGTCGTCTGCACACATATTCTAGACCACCTTTATGCTATTTGCATCATGCCCTTCCCATTTTTGCAATTCGTGAAATCCGTCTCAAGTATCGTGTGCTGCCAGCCATACTGCGCTGCAGCCGGGGTATCAACCTTTTGCTGGTCAAACAATCACCTCGAATAGGTCCCATATGCTGTCTGCCACATCACCAACTCCTTGGTCAAAGTCTCCATCATTTCAGCACTCCCCATCGATGTGAAGTCTCGCTCGTTGGTCAAGTGAAGCGTCCCATCTTCTTCGTTGGACTTTGACTCTTTCAATCCTGCCTCGACTGCTCGGACTAGCGTCGCTGTAGGTAGATGGGACGTCGATCCTTTGGTTCCATTGGGCGTGTTTGCACCCTTTGCGCTGACACTCCCACTTGAATGCTGAGATTGAGATCCTCTCTCGGTCTGCATATGACCCACAAACTCCAGGATGGCAGCAACACGCCGTTTCATTTCGTTAAGACTGGTCCGTGCAGGGTGTGTTTTGGCTTTCGAACTGCGCCCGCTTTCGCCATTAATACCGCTCGCTCCATTAGGAGACACTCCATGTCCGTTGGTATCATGTCCTACATCCCTTGAGGGAGTTGAGGTGTCATCGCCATTACCATTATCCCGAGTGTACTGATTCCTGGCAAGTCTCACTCTTCTCGCCGGCGGGCGTCCCGTCTTGCGGTTGTTACTAGACCGTCCAGAAGGTGGAGTGTCTGCTTTTGGTTTTCCATTGCCTTGCACAGCTTGTGCAGCTTTTGAAGGAGAGACGCTTGGGGATGGGGGAGGAGATTCTGAGCATGTTAGCGGCACCTCAAGCTGGGACAGAATGTCTCGACATACCATCGCCTCTTCTTCGTTCGGATCGAGCATTCCTTTTGCTAGCAGCTTCCGCACGTAGTGCTGCTTGTTGTTCTTTCTGTTTGTCCCGCATCTCCTTGTCTCGATTGGTCCTTGAGGGGGGCGCTCGACGCGAGCCCTGATTTGAGGATTGGTGTGTGTTGGTTCCTTTACTTGCCGCGTCATCCAGCGTTGGTTCTGGAGACTCGCTACGCTTGGACACCGTCGATGAGGACTTGGAACCGGTGCGTGGGCGTTTCGCGTTTCTGCGGGTAGTACTGATGGGCATTAGCACAGGATCATTCTCTCTTTTGGACTTGCATACTCATTTTCCGACTCCTCATAAGCACGTTTCATAGTAGCATAGGCTCGTGCCACTCTTCCGAGTGATTTACTGTCTTCGATAACCTTTGCAAACATCTCTTCCTCAAAGGTACTCCGGCTGTTCATGGTGGCTCTTCTCTTGGTGTTTTCAGTGGGCTGTGTTTTACTGTCTTTCTTCGTCAACGGGTCTTGGGTAGAAGAAGGTGGTGAGGAGCGTGTTGAGGTTGGCTCGGGGATAGGGAGGTAATGGGATGATTTAAGTCTGTTTTCAATCTATTAGCATGTCATTGACCAGAAGAATGGCCCGCAGGAGCAGGAGGATGTGTATAGCGTAGGAGCGCTTGACGATGTCTTGGAAGAACCAAAAACAAAGATAGTGGTTTGCTCACCCGTTTGAGTTCTTTGTGATTTTATGAAACGCTGGTTTGCACAGCTCGCAGTAGTATTCATCAGGGAGCAGGGCCTCTGCCAGCAAACCCATGCAACCGCCATGCTGCCAAACACTGCAACTGTCACACTGGACGAAGAAATTGCCAGTATCTTCAGTCAGGGTGTCTGCACTGGTGGCTTGCTGGCGTATCGTGGCAGAGGGACCAGGATATTCAGCTTGTTCACATATACAACGGGTGACCTCCTCTTCAGTGGCATCAATGTCGTTGTCTTCGTATGTGTCAACCAGTGGATTTGTTGCGGGTTCCTTCTCTTCACCGTTCCGTCGACTGCGACGCGGTGCAAGTTGCTCGCCACGCGAGCCAGGGTCAACAGTGTCTAGAGATTCGGAACGTTGTGTAGAAGGACGACGAGGGGAATTTGCGGCATTGATTGATCGACCTTCACGATCGGCTTTGCCATTGTTAGAGGAGCTGGAGTTGGAGTGGTTTGGACCGGATGGTGGTTGCTGTGAGGAGCGGGCACGAGATGAGCGGCGGGGGCTCATGGTGAAGGTGGTAGGGGATTCGTAGGTTTTCAGATGGTGATGGCCTCGAATTATGACAAGCAGGACGGGCAGGGCTTGTGAAAAGTAATCAGAGTGTGGTTCAAGACTGGTGGGAATCGCGCCGGTGTGTGAGGTGAAGAAAATGGGCGTGTCTGGAGGGCGGGAAAAGTGACAGGCAATTTGGTGGAATGAAGAGAATCAAAGTGACATTGACGGCATGAGGAGCACTGCCAGTAGAGGGGACGGCATGGTATTCAGAGTCGACATGAAGAAGCGAGTATGAAGTGAGCAGAGAAAGAAGTTGAAAGTGTGGTAAGGTGCAGTGACTGGCAGGCGTAGGTAGGGTAGCCAGACTCGTCTGCGGTGACCATGCCCTCACCTCCATTCAAAGCCGTTGCAGAGTGGCAGTTCAGTTTCTTTGCACCGCATCGGCCGACCGCCAGCCGACAGCCTGAGCCCGAGCCTGCGAGCCTGAGAGCCTGAGAGCCTGAGAGCCTGAGAGCCTGAGCAGTGGGAGCCTCTGCAGCCTTTGCGCCTAAGCCTAAAAGGCCAAAGTCTGAGCCTGAAGCAGCTTGAACCCTGAACAAGCCCAAAGAAGTGGGTCGATCGCATTGCTTCGGTGATGTCCATAGGCTGGGGAGAATTTTGGAGGAGCACATCTCTGCCAGCGCCTCTGGCTTTCCCCTCTTTATGATTGCTCAGCCCAAATTCGTGTTTCTGTTTCTCCAACCTGCCTGCACGAGTCAGTCACCTGATAAACCCAGATACATGCATCTCGTTTCTGGTTGGAAATGGTCATCCATAGATACTATGAAGGCTTGGAGTAAGGGACTTGAAGTATCGACAAATTCGAGTTACTTGTGCTTGATTAGCAGTGGCAAGAGGCAATCGAGCAATAGCTAGTCCCCCCAGCGGTATGACTCGAACTAACCGCAAAATGCTGATGCAAAAGTTTTCTCCAATTGCCGCCACGTGATATTGCGTATGCCAAGCTTTGCTCGCTGAGTTCGACGCGTTCCCCACGACGCGTCCATCTTGAGCATTCAAATTCTATATCTCGTCATTATTCAATCCTCGAACTGCACGTGGTATAGTACAATGTTCACTCGTTGCTATATATCTATAACCGGTTTTCCTCACTAATACCTAGAGTCCTAGTATGAATAGCCAAGTGTCAGCTGTGCAGGCTTCTTCCCATCCAGAGTGCGCTTGATACTCTCCTCCACACTGATCCAGTCGTCCTGCCCAGTCCACTTCTTGAGGAGATCTTTCCCGAGCTTATTGTCCACTGTGCCCAGCATCGTTACTCCTTCCGGGAGACCAGAAAAGGACTTCTCGGGACGAATCTTCTGGAAAGCCGAAACAAATTTGTCCCAAGTATTAGTCTCATCCCATGCCTGAATCCTCTCGTTGTTGACGGTGGGGTCGAGAAGCGCCGCCACGTGTAGGTTTGCAACGTCGGCGATGTCGATGTATGCCACTAGGTCAGCGAAATTAGATTTCGTCAGCGAACACAGAATGGTTTCCCTTTCCCGAAATGATGTGAACTCACTGCTTTGTACATCCAAGTGGAAGGCTGTATTTCCACTATCGATCCCCCAGATCATGCTCGCCGTTGAAGGATTCTGCTTCTCGTGCAATAACGGACCAACGAATAGGAATGCAAGGACAGTGTTCACTGCAAATCGCGGGTTCTCGTCTCCAACGAATTTCCAGAGCGATTTCTCCGATTCTGTCTTCGCGGCCGAATATACGAGCGGTCCGCGCCCGTCATAGGGAGGCGGCGCCCAAGCGATTTGAACGGCCAAGTCGTTCCAGCTAGTCTTGTCCATGTGCCATTTAGTGTTGGGTATCGGCATCGCAGCCGCAGCGACCGAGGATGTATACACGAATCTCTTGACCGAGCCTTCCTTGGCCGCAGCCTCCAGCACATTCTTCATCCCCGCGAGAGAAGGTGGGATGACAACATTCGGATCGCCCGACCAACTCACGTCGGTGGCCACGTGGACGATGCCAGTGACACCACGTGCCGCTTCGTCGAAGGCGTGGGCTACCGCCATGTCTTCCACGACCGCCAGTTCGAATGCTCCACTGGAAGTCTCGTTCTTGAACAGATCGTCAACCAGCCATCCCGCCCTTGCACGATCTCGCACCGTGCCACGCACTCGGTAGCCTCGGCGCAGTAACTGCTGGATGATGTGTGTGGAGAGAAAACTGGTCGCTCCGGTGAGAAGAACCAGAGACCCTTCAGGCAAAGCGCTCATCGACGACAACATGATCACAACAGTTGACTTAAGGAGTGTGTTCTGTCGAACCGCCGGGACAGTGAACGAAGATGAAGAGAGACAGCGATCATGTTTCAGGAAAGCGCGGGCCTTATATCCACAGACATGTCGCAGCAGAGAGCCTCAGTTGGATTTGAAACGTCTCATAAGGCCTTCTGTGCCTGTGTGCTCGGATGAGCATGCATGATCTGGCAATCAGGCCGATGCATCAAACGTTTCCTGACTGGTTGCCTGATATCTGACGGTGGAGCCAGCTCAATCCAAGGCCCGCAAACCCTCGCTGATCGCCGTGGCCGAGCAGGTACAGCACATAACCATTTGGTCCCAAAGAATGATCACAATACGACAAAGAGGGGATTATATAATAGGTACGACGCACGAGGGCTAGCTGTTTTGACTGTTTTGATACCCTCCAAAAAACTGGGCGCCAAGGTCTTCGCTTTCAGGTTCGGTCTATTACGCGCACAATGGAAGTCAAACAAACTTGACGATAACCAGGCAGTCATTGGTGTTATAGTGATGTATTCAGGTGCCTGGTGGTCAAAATGTCATCTTGTGAGCAGCATGGGCAGTATCTTCGACCCTGGACAAGCTGGATGTACTGGGTGAACGGTAGGGGAGTCAAGAGTTGACTAAGAATGCTCTCGCCATGAGCGTGTCAAGCAGACTTGCAGCCCTTACTGAACTGATCTCACCTAGTGTAATATTGTTGGCAATCCTGTGCTCACTGCATTGACATGACAACAGAACGACCGAGAAAAGCAGAAACAATGAGAGAGGATGTCATCGGAACAGGTACTTGATAAGGCACCGTTGTTGAGGTATACGATGCTTGTTTCTCGGTTTTTCTAACCAAGGACAAGACTGTTAATGCATAGGTCCGAACCAACGCCAATGCTGGACATTCCATGGCCAATATTTGTTCCTGCACCCAGTTTCACTTCGCTTTGAGGAAAAGAATATGTGTCTGTGTGCGTATGGGTAAAAGTACAAGTGGATCGGCCGTCTCTTCGTGATATGATGTTGTGATACAAATGAGATAAAGCTCGGGGTGATCAAACCAAGTCAACCACTTCAGCTTGTTTGCCAGGAGATCAGAACAATGGTTCCGGGCTCGAGGACGAGAGGTCTTCAGGACCGTCGCGCCCAATCACTCTCTGCTGTCGAGGAATCTGCACCCCGCCTGCCTTCGTGACGCCGTCCCTTTGCCCCATCGATAAGAGCTCTTCCTCCTTAGTCTTGTCCTTGATTTTCGGCTTGACAACCGTCTCAGGTGAAGATGCGGGCCCTAAATCCTGACTCCCCGTCTGATCTCGTTTATGCTGAATCAGGAGACTAAGCTGACTTTTGGTTCTGGGAAGAACCATCTGCAGATTGTCATCCTCGTCATCATCATCATCCTCGTCTTCGTCCTCATCTTCGTCCACATTGTCGTTTTCATCATCACGATGACCGGACCGATTTCGTCGCTGTTCGATTGTTTTGATCGCGGGCCTCATCTGGGAGGGACCAGCTTGAACATCTTCGGGGGAAGAAGCAAGTATCTCCCTTTCCTTCCCCTTGCCAGCGACCTCCGGGGTCTCGTCTGCAAATCTTACAGTACTCATACTTTTCTTGACTTTTCCAAGGCCTGCGAGGTTTGTAACACTCGACAACTTCTTTTGGCTCTCCACGAATTTCACTCTGAATCTAGGGTCAACTAAGTCACCAAGTGTAGGTTGAGGAGCTGTTGTTGCTAGTTTTCGACTTTCTGTAGTTGAATCAACGCTCTGCCAAGAAGACGCAGAAGGCAGCGCGAATGCAGTCCCAGTACTTGTTGCTATTGAATCCGGTTAGTAACATGATGAAAAGGAAGCATTTGGATGTAAGCTTACAAGGAGTTTTGAGAAGCCCAGATGTTGGTTCCCCTGGACCCGTTTGCACCAGACTTGCAGTTGGGCCTGCTTGTATCATCTGACTAGCTCCGCTCTTCTCAAAACTCGCTTTGGGCGACTTTGGGGGATTGGAAATATTCGGTGATTTTGGGGTGCTGGATTTTCGACGAGGTAGAAGAGGCCTAGTCCTTGATTTGCCAGCGGCAGCAAGGACCGGAAGCCGTGGCCGACCGCTACTAGCAGATCTGGTCAATGAGGGCCTTGAACCTGATTCTGAGGTGGTGTTTGATGTCGAACCCGAAGTATTTTCGGATTGGTGGCCAGAGGCGGAGGGGGGTGTTGGTAGCTGGCGACGTTGTTGCTGAATTCGCTGCTCTTTGGAATCACTAGAGAGGGGAAATCTGAAAGTTTGTAGAGAAGACCTTGGATCTCGGATTGCACTGGAATCCGAAGCTAGCAGTGATGTTTGAGGCAAAAATTCTGGTGAATTTCGAGACTCCTACGTCAGAATTTAGCATCATAACAAGAAGAACAAGAAGCGTGAGCTTTACCAGCTGAGATGGTAAAGGTGGAAGCTGGATCGTGTCGCCTATCGAGTCCAGCTCAAAGTCTTGGCTCGCCCGATGCAAGAGCCTCATTAAAGTGGTGCTGCTGATGGATTTTGCGAGCCTGGGGCAGCTCCAGACTCTCCAGAAGAGATTGCGAGCCCGGACACTTGCATTGTCGCGGGTTGCATCACTTTGGATTGCATAGACTGTAGTGACAGTCAATTCTCAATACCCACAAGGTCTCATTGCATAGCGAACTGACCTCTCCAAAACCGACGAAGGATTTCTTGATTGTCGAGATCTGTCGAATCTTGTCCAAAAGATATCTGATCATTTGGCGCAGGACTGATCAGACCCTGGGGCAGGGTGGCCGTCATGACATGCGACGTTCAACGTGTGTCCCCTTAGCACCACAGATCCAACAAACGACCACAAGGTGCGGAGCTTGCCAGGACATGTCCTTGGATAGAAGATGTCAAATGCGACAAGAAGAAGTGGCCATAGAGTAGCTGACAAAATCCTTGGAGCTTGGAAGCAAAAGCAGATGCTGCCTGCTGCCAGCGCTGGCAGGCAGGAATTGCTGGCGGAAGTCGTTTGACCAAAGGTCGGTGTGAAAACAGTCGAAGATATTTGATGTGTGAAGAGTGGACCGTTTTGCTTCTGTAGGAGAAGGAGGATTAGCTTGGTTGGTGGTATGGTGCGTAGAAGGCGTGGTGGGTGGTGGGTGGCGCCTGTCTGAAGAGCGCAATTGGTAACCGAAGACTGGGAACCTTGGTCTTGGGCGGACCCAGGAATCGGACTTGGTACAGATTTAGGGTCTTTGTTGGCAGGCCAGGTTAAAGGCACAAGTCAGAAGGAAAGAATAACAGTCGGGAGCCCGAAAGCTAAAATGACGGGACCCAGTCAACAGTTCATTTGTCAAACCGGAACAGTACCCGGATCCATCAGGGCAAAGGTTGATTCAGAGTAGACCAGTAGAAGAACGACGGAGCGCAGCAGTCGACGAAGAAGCGAGTTGGCTGGCGGATGGGGTGTTGATATCAGGGCGGCAGGAGGCAGGGTGGATGGTGAAAATCTCAGAAGGAAAGCACCATCTGGAAGGGCTTGTGTGGAGGCCAGAAAAGACTGTGGGCAACGGGCAACTCTGTCAGAAATAGGAAAAACGAAGTGGAGAGAGAGGAAAGCAATGGATGGAACGGTAAAAAGATGTGGAATTGGCAGACTCGATGACTTTGTTCGATGTCCGAGTCTCAGTCAGCCGACCAAGTCAACCGGAGAGTTAGTGGATAACACCAATCAAGACCAGCGCGAGGTCCAAGTTACAAGCGGAGGATTTGGCGGTCCTAAGAACAAGAGACCAATGCAGGAACACGGTTGGGCCGCGGTAGGACACCATCCGAACACTAGACAAAGCAATGGCTGGAGCAATTCGAGGTTAGAAGCGGCAAAATCATGTCAGCCGATGTTGACGGGACCAAGGGGTCCCAATATCAACGGTCAGGGCCAACGGAGACGGAGAGGAAATGGATCGGGGATGAAGTTGAGTCCATCCTCATCCAGGATGTATGAGGGGACGAGTTACTCGAGCTAACTAAAGGCATGGGGAAACACTGGCATGTCATGGGAACATCTCGGGCAGTAACAATAGTGACTAGACATGGGACCTTGCGAACTTGGAAGACCTCGAAGGCGGCACCTCTCACCAACAAGTGTACGGATATTCTACCAGGTCGATGACTAGTTTGAGGCTGGACGAGGGGCGCCGACAGCCTGAATGACCAGCAAGAGTTCGGATGTTAACAGAAGGATAACAGAAGTGGTGCCTTGAACCCTTTACCATTGAGCAGCCCACACCACAGAAAAACAAAGTGAGCCAAAGACAGACGTCGACTTGATAATAAGTTGCGACCCTTGCTGGTCGCCACATGGAGGCTCAACCTTGGATGTTCAAGACAGTTCTAGCCAAAAGGTTAGTCTTGCTTCCGAGCTACCAGGTATCCGTGCGAGGTACTAGCCTGTACCTGAAGCTCACCGCTCGATGCGTCAGTGATCGTCGGGTTACCGTTGCCGCCCACCTAGCAGTGGCAAGGACCAGGGCTCATGTGTGAGGGTGGGCATGGATGGGCACGCCAGAAAAGTCGAGAACAACTGGCACGGTCCATCTAAACTTGGCGAGGCTTCAGCAAACAAAGGAGAGCTCGCAATCATGTTTGCCACCAGGGAAACACGGACAGATTCAGTCACAGAGGGAGGCGATCTCGGACCTACGAACCAGTACAAGTACCTAGGCTGGTCAGCATGCGATCGGTCCGAATACGCGTCCGTTCTAATCATGCTCGCGGTCCAGGATTGCATTGGTTACGCATCAACGGCTTGACAAAGTGAAATACATGTCAACGAACATCACAGCCATGGATCCGAAGTGTAGACTTCTACCTAGGTAGGTTAATTGTTAGGTACCTAGCAGGGTACGCATGGGTACCAGCTCCATGCGGGTGTTGTATAGAAGACTTCATGGTGCCTTCCAGGGTTGACATCCCCTTCGCTTGGGAGCTGGCAATTCTCGGGGGGCCTGCCGAGGTATCTACTTCGTACCCAAGGTAACATCCACCTGAAGGCAGGTCGGTACGGTCTACCTTGTACCCCATGACAACCTAAAAGTTGTAGCTTAGGTCCCTCCCAGTTACCTGCTGCTACTAGTTAAAATAGGTGGTGCCTCGTAGACTATATCCGTACGGTCTGCTGGATGTTCAATTTCTATAATGTTGCATTCCGAACCCAGTCTACGACCGTTGGTTTGTTTCCCTCTTGGACTTCGTTTCGAGGCTGAAGTCGATCCCCGTCCTTTATCCGAGCCTTCCCAAGCAGTCCGTACTCCTTGGAGTAAGGTCGTGAGGGCGTTTCACCTTTCTCGTCAAGAAGGCATCTATGATAGAGCTACCAGTGTCTGCAAGCTACTCTATCCCAATAGAGCACCCTGTGCTGTGTGATCGTTGACGACGGGGGGCAATATGTCATAGAACCTGGATCCGAGGTACCTGCCTGATCCTCGAATTACATGGGCATTCTCTCGAATTCAGCCTTTGGAAACATACCTCGTACTCTCGATTCTCGAGTCTCGACCCGTCTAATATTGGCTGTCACCCACATGGCCGGGTCGCTTGAAACGCCTCTTCCGACACAGGCTCAACGCATGCATATCTATGCTCGGTAACACAACGAACGCACACCTCCGCGCCCTTATCTCTGAATCCGTTGCACAAGTTCCTCTGAACAAGCAGTCTTGCATGGATGTTCCCCACCATGTGACAGTTTACATTGAGCCCTCAAGGACCATGCCCTTGAAAAACTACTCGATTCATCCTCATCCGTGGGGGTGAACAATATCTGACGAAACAATTTGACTCAGAAAATTGTCCCGTGTCACCGCTGGTGCGCCTGATGTCTCTCACGATGTCGAGGAGCTGCAAGTCTGGCCACCCCGTAGTGTTGGCTAACTAGTTAGCTAGCCTCTCGCTACTCACGACTGCCGCCGGGGAATGTTCTTGGACCCCAGCCAATGTAACTCTCCTACCAACGATGTACCGAAGATATTTCTCACTCCTATTTCCACCGTCTTTTGGGTAGCTTGGATCCATTAGCATCTGCATTAAATTCAGTGGAGCGCTCCATTAGTGTGCAGATTTTCACGTGGCATGCAAATTGAGTTTCTGGAGTGCTCCTACTCTCCTACGAGGCGGAGAAGGTAGCTAGCCTCACTGATCAGAGCATCGAGGGTGGACCGCTGCAACTCGGGAGCTGAAGTGCCGCGACGGCTCTGTGAATCGTCGCCCTGGAGCTGACCCTCCGAGTCCTTGGAACAATCCTGGCATTTGACTTATCTACAAACACCTTCAGACATAACACAAGGGAAGCTCGCACAGTCCAAGAAAGCAGAAAAGCTTTGTCGGATGAAGACCTCTTGAATGACGAATTAATGCATTTCAAATCCCCTGGAACGCATGAATTCCGAGGAGCCACGTAACGACTACCTAACATTTACAACAAAAACAAACTAATTCAGTCAACCGAAGCACATGCTGCATATCTCCCAGATATTGCTGTACCCCCCGTCGTATGGGATCGATGATTCCTCTTGCGCCACTGAGTCACGGTTGCCCGAAGCTATGCTCACATAACCGCACTGGTAATCTGTGATACTAATGTGACCATTTTTTCAGCTCGGCTCTGCAGCACACATGATACTATTCAGCGTCAATTCGATAACACAGAAGTCTCCGCTACAGACTTGATGAGTTCCAAGGTCAACTACCTCCTTTGGCCTTCATTGGCAAACGAATGTCTGACGAACAATCACTACAGACAGACCCAAAAGCCCAGCTCCACTCCAGTCAGAAAGTGATGAGCCAAATCAGGGGCGACTAAAGGCACAAGTCTTACTTAGGGTCAAAACTTCGTTCTTGGATTATACTTGCCTCTACATTCGCTCGTATGACAAGGGGTATTGCTATGTACATGCCTCGGCGAAGAGACCACCTTTATACTTGTTGTGAAAGCAAAGCCTAAGACAATTGGAAGCCAATGCACAATTGTCCATTGCCTGAGTTCAAATACCTGACGCCTCCAGAATTCTACAAAACTGGACGTGTTCACCTGGAAGGTCCAGCAGTCCTGAAAGGTGAGCGACATAATATGGCTGATTTCATTTATGTGCATGTGTACCTGGGGTCATCGAGTCAGTGTAATTCAAGAACTTGACAGAAGCAACCAGCTGTTTGAACACGACCCAAGTCATGATGCTCATAGGTCATTCACACTTCAAAACCAATGGGGTTCGAAAATCATGGTGGGTGTCCAGTGGGAGAGAAATCACTTACCCTCCATCAACTCGAAGATCGGCACCAGTGACATAACGGCTAGCATCACTAAGAAGGTACACCACCGCACCTTGCAGGTCTTCTGGGGAACCCATTTTTCCGACTGGAATCAGTGAAGTCCAAGTCTTGTTAAGTTCCGGATTGTCATTGAGGATTTTTCGTGTCAATGCTGTCAGCATGTAACCAGGAGAGATGCAGTTGACTCTGATGTGTGCGTGCGCCCATTCTACTGCCAGACTGGCTGCAAGATGACGGACAGCTGCTTTGGCTGCGTTGTAAGGAGCCTGTGGTTGAGGGACGTTGACAACTGCGCCAGACATGCTTCCAATCATGACTATACTTCCGTGAGTGATGTTGCCTCGCTCCATCAAATGCCGCGCCACTGCGGTTGCGAAAAGATATGTTCCATCGACGTTCACACCCCAAAGTTTCTTGATTCGATCATATGGGTAAGTTTCTGCGGAGAAATTCTCAGTGAAGCCGGCAGACGTGACCAGGTGGTCAATCTTGCCATGCTTCGAGATGACTTCGTTGATGCAATCTGTCACACTATCGGGGTCGGAGACATCTGAATAGTGCGCAGTCACTTTTGGAGGTTTCTCGTCAGGGAAATCCTTCTTGAACAAACGAACGATCTCGGCCGCCTGCTTTTCGCCTTCCTCCTCTGGGTGAAAGAAGAAGTTTGTGTCAGCATCACTCGGTGGAAGTCACCTCGGCAGCAATGACGGGGAATGGCAACATACTGTTCAGATCCACAATTGCTAAATCACTGCCGGAGTTCACAAGCGCTTGTCCCATCACCAAGCCCAAGCCTCTTGCTCCGCCAGTCACAACCGCCGTGCGCCCTTCTAGGGAGAACGTGGGAAGTGTCCTGGCATTCTGCACTCCACCAAACCCTCGGAGTGGGCGCTCGTGCTGGTCAAAGACCTTTTCATCGTCGGGATACTCGACGATGATCTCACGATCGGTTCTTGAAGCAGATCCTTCGTGAGGCCCTGCACTTGTCCCTGTTGCATCCGTGCTCGACTTGTGATATGGATCGGATTTGTCGTGCTGGAGGGATGTGAAGCGTAATGAGCCTACCGGCGTCGTTGAGAACCCGCGAAGACCAGGCTGGGTATTCAATGTCGAGCGGGGTACTCGAACCGATGTGGTGGCCAGTCGACGCAGGGCTTTGAGGGAATTTTGAGTATTCATCTTGAGCAAGGTCTTCCTTTGTCGTAGGGGCAGATATACTCTCTTTACCACTGTCATTCTAGTCTATCAGTATTGGAAACACCCAAGAAAAGTACCCGACAAGACTCCGGACTTGACTGACCAGTATAGCGTTTCCGCGATCTCGAATCTAAATATCCTGAGCTCTATACTCAAAGACCCTCAAAACAACGACCAATCGAATGGAATAACACTCGAAACACTGCCAGGGAACTTCGTGGTCAATGATCCGGAATTGAGAAGAGCAACCGTACACAAAAGAACTGCACACAGGATGAAAAGAAGAAAGTACTACGATCACTTCTCTTCGCTGTTCAATAATACCAAAATCTACGAGTAGGCCAGCTTGTCCCCTTCTCTCGTTCAGTTTCGACAATAATAACCAAATCAGAAAGAAAAATTGTTGACGCCAAAACAACGTCAGAGCGGAGACCTGGTGAGGGGCATTTCCTAAGCCATCGCCTACCGGCACAGCCCAAAACGTCCAAAGCGATGAGACCCTGATTCAAAGTCGATAGCCCGTATCACGCACGCCCACACTAACTAACCAACGGACATGCAGTGCCTATGGCACACCAGGTAGGTACCCGCTTGCCGCTTGGGGTTTACTTGTTAATGCAATAATAATGGGCAAAAGTTTCCCACTCCGAGAATTCCGTCACCGCACTTTTTGAGATACTTACCTGGCGGGGAGGTGACAATACCGAAGAACACATGGATGCAATGCAAGGTAACCCGGTGCAAACTCGACAATTCCATGGGGCGTGTTTTTCTTTTGTTCCAGGAAACTTGAACCCCATAATTTCTCCCCTGACTGCTGGCAGCACATGGTGCAGTGCGAAGTGTCTGAAGGTCATTGCCTGAATGGGCCTTTGTTGAGCCCGGATCGACGTCAATCGTCAATCGTCATGTTGCCCCGACCGGGTCGTCTTGCGTGTTGTCTGCTGGGCAAGAGTACCCTGAGTGGTCCTATGGGCTGCCTATTCACTGTACCTTCAATACCTCTGCTGATGCTAGGCGTTATCTACCTACCAAGCAACCTAGTCAGCTCGCTGGCCAGGCTAAGAACTTGCCTGGCTTAGAACGATGATGCCAATGTTGACCGAATCACGACAGACCTTGGTCGGCACAGGCCTCTCTCCCATGAGGCACCCAGCACAGAGTGCCATGTACAGGCCATCATGGCTTTGACTTGACCTAACTGCTGATCAGTTACTTTACTGCTCTCACTCCTGACACGATTATTCAGGTATGAACTCATTGACCTCGCACAGACTGTGGTAGGTATTGGGGAGAACTTCTTCACGATCTCAATGTTACTGGTATGGTATTTTTATATGCTTTGTTTGAATCCTTAACTAATAAGGCAGGAGGAAACGATTAAAAAATCTAGCGTAGCTGGCAGGACATAATATGGGGTATCTTTGGAGGCTCAACTCGCCTGGGGTCAAGATTTCATGCTGTCGCCGCTGTTCGACGAATGAGACGCGGCCGACATTCAGAAACTTGGAATGATGGGAACGAGAGCACTACATGACTAAGACAAAGCGATGTGGCTCAACCGCTTGAAGTCTTTGCAGAATGCAAAGCGCCCTTCCTGCCCTTGAAAAATGCGAGTGCGGACCAGATGGCGGTAATCAACCAAAGGATGAAATTGGCAACGTCGAAGCCCGCGGCGATCTTCATCTTGGCGATATCATCGTCCATCTCGGTGCGTTCGTTGAAATACATGGACCCGAAAATACCGGCCAGAGCAGCCCAGAGGATCGTGACGACTGCGTCCCATGCAAAACAGAGGGCGACGGTGTTGAAGTGGAGGAGGCCCGCGGCGAGCATGAAGAGGATCGCGGTGACTGCTGCCACGGAGCCGACGACGACGGCGTAGACCTGTAGGGTGTAGATTAGTCGGACGAATTCTGGGGCGATGGAGTCGGATTCACGTACCCATTTCCCGTCGGCATATACGTCTGCCTTGACGGCGCGGTTCAGGTAGGTGCCGTACATGCCGATGACGACCAAAGCTCCGACGAGTTGGAAGAGGCGGATGACGAAGTGTGCTTTTGTCGTAAGCCGTGTGCTCAATAAGCCTTGCCATGCGCCGTTTGATGAGGAGTGGGTGCCTTTGCGGCTGGCCCTGTTGCGAAAGGACACGAACATCTTTTAACGTCTTCTTTTGTTGACTGATGGTTAGTTTATCGTGTGGTATGGGTAGATATGATGATCTTGGATATTTGGGTAGTGGATTTAGGCACTTACTCGGCGTATCAGTACGTTTTAGTATGAGTTATAGTGGTGTGCTTCGGATGAGTTGAAACAACAGGAGGAGATAGTATAAACCAGGTCGGTAGTAAATCCCCTTTGTACGATTCTTTGAACTGCTTCCCAATCCTTGACGTTTGGTTTTTAGACAAAGGGCTATTGTGTAGATGAGAAGGGAACTTGTCCTCGCCCTTCTGTGAGCTTTGGCTGGGATAAAGGTCAAAGGATTTTGCTCTTTGTTTGTTGATTTGTTAGTGTTTGACACAGTCTCTCTGTGGAGGAGAGGCTGTTTGGCTGTGCGTCATTAAGCAGTTGTAGAGTTGTTCGCTTGTACCCGTGTTCCTAATGCTTGTTAAAAGTTGGCGCAAGTGTATCTGTTCGAATGATTTAGGCAATGATGGGTGTCGATTAACCTAGAAACCATAATGATATATTATCCAGAAGAGGCCATCCAAAGAATGTATATATTTACCCACCTTCAACTGATATCCTGGATTCAAGGTTACTGAATCCTGGATCTAGCTCGCTTATTGGCGTCTTGACCAACTGCGTCATACAACAGTGGGTAGACAGCCATTAAATGGCATTCAAGCCACGCCTCCCGTGCAGATCAGACCGGCCGAGGAGCATTGATAGGTATCGTTTGTGCTGGTGGGAGGCTGAGTATCAGCCACATTCCAACGGGGGCTTCAAGCTTGTAATTCGACCCTGACCGCCGGGACATGCCTCTTTCAAACAGGCCAGCATCCCTGTTAAAATGGCTGCAGCTGCCCAACAATGGCCCCTGGCTCCGCAAAAATCATCGTGCGTACACGAGTACGGAATGTAGATTAGATAACTTTCTCTCACGACTGAGCAAGATGCACTCGTTTTATAAGTATTTATTTATGTATTCGCGAGAGCGATCTGGGACACAAGAGAAGAGTACCCAAGGCACGCCAAACCTGGGCTCAGGTCTGTGCGAGGAGAGGAGTATGTGCAAGGCTATGATAAGCGGGTAACCAAAGGGAATTAAGTACAAGAAACGCAACCAAAACCGCAGGATGAACGAACGACCACAAACAAATGCAGGTGAAATGCCAGACCAAAGACAGCGATAGAGAGGAAAGAGGAGAAGCCAACAACAAAGAGCAAGATTGAGGGTGGAACATTTCCCACTGTCATCGTACCCCGCCTCCAGGTCCTCCTGCTGCTGTTTTGCCTACATTGGCATTGTAGGCTCCTGGCATAGGTTGCTGCTTGCTGGATGTTTGCGTGGGAGGAGTAGGCATTGGAATCGGGTCATCATCATAACCATAGTCCAACTCATCGTCACCTAATTGATCCATGTATTGGTTGTCGTGGGCTGGTTGATGGGCTGGAGCTGCCTGTGTAGCAGCAGCAGCCTTGGCTGCATTTTTACTTTGCTTCTTGCCTTTTCTTCCCTTCAACTTTGCCTTTTCTAGCAATCGACGTTTCTCTGCCAAACGGCGACGTTCCTTGCGATCTTTGATTTCATATTGCCGTATCAAAGCATGGGGCGGCTGACCAAAGATACTCTCATACTCACAAAACTCGCAGATCCAGATGTCCTCCGGAGCTGGAGGATGTTGAAGATTGTTGTATTCTTGTTGGAGCTTTCGCTGTCGGGCCGCAAGAGCATAGACATCCCCTCTCCGTCTTCGAGGTTTCTTGCCTTGAGCGCTGTTACTAGCTCCCTCACGTGGCGCTCCGGCCCCGTGCTGTCCACTCTGAGGCACAATATTCGGACTCGTTTGAGTTGCTTGCGTCGAACTCTTCTGATGAGGAGCGGATTGTGCCGGGTGTGTAAGATTGCTGGCTCGCTGACTGTAACCAGGAGAATAGAGACTTTGCTCGGGGAATGTGACTCCTTTTGCCTCAGTCTCACAAGTGAACGTGAACTGTGAATTTGTAGGTGCGGGTTTGGCTTGTTGATCCAACACGCCTAAATTCTCCTGGCCTTTGTTAAGGGGCTTGCGGAGAAGAGCAGTGGCATTTGCAATTGCAGCAGAAATAATCCCCTGGTCTTTTGAATCTTCAGCTACTCTTTGGTCAGATTGCATCGATTTGTATTCGGGCACAGATGGCCTACCTTTGGCATTGGCACTGATGTTCTGATCGTACTTGGACGACCCGCTCCGAGCGTTTGTGCCATTAACCGATACACCCAGTGGATTCCGACCCGGCAATTTTCTACTATTACGACCCCTTCCAGCGCCTTGCACCCCAAGACCAGAAACACTTCCCGAATGGATTGAAGCATAATATGGGTCATCGGGGCTTCCGCTCTTGCCGTTCATGCCCAAGTGCGCAAGATCGTGTGTAAGAGTCGAGTGATGCAAGCTCAAACCACCGGATGTTGGGATTTTCCGTTTCTTTTTGTTGTTCGTGTTTTCAAATGCCTCGTACCCATCTGGACCAGAACCGGACGTTTTACTCCCATATCTTGACGCCCTGGAAGATCTGGGGGAATGCGGAGAGCTACGATATGGAGTTGAGTGACGAACAGGTCCCAAAGAATCATCGGCAGAATCCAAATCGTCCTCATCCTCGTCATGGTGGCAATGATGGTGGTGATGTGGGCAGTGATCATGCTCATGTTCATCATCGTAATGATCGTGGTCGTGATCGTGGTCGTGATCGTGGTCGTGATCATGGTCATGGTCGTGGTCATGTTCGTAACCATCGCTGTGGTTTGACAGCATTACTTTGCTTCCATGGTTCATGAACTCGCCATTCTCGCCATAGTGGGTGTATGTGGGGAGGCTAGTCGAGGGCAGCGTGGGGGGATATGTAATTGCTTCCACTGCATCCTGAGAAAGGCGTGATTTAAGAGATCGCCGAGGAAGAGGTCGGATGAGTCGTTCGGGAAAGACGGTGGAGGGAGTGTCAGGGGAGGAGAGGTACGAAGCGTCTGAAGATGAGAAAAAGTCAGACCGGGGATGTCCAACTTCCCAAGGAAATCGAGCGGAACTGCCAGTATTCTGACGGCTGCTTGAAAAACATACTGTAAGACATCTTGACACCCTTCCTTCTTTTAACGAGATATGATAGTCCTGGTTGACTCCATCCAACTCTTGGGGCCGACTATCTCGGAAGGTAGTATCTACGGTCAGGAGTATCCGAGTCAGTACATGGCACTGATGAAGAGATAGTAGGATGTGTCAAGGACGAAGACAAGAAACAGGCCATGGTTGAATCCTTGTTACCAGATCGCCATGAAATGATGGTCGAGATGGCGAGAAAACATACCCCCGTAAATTATTCAGCAGGTAAGTGTCCACTCCAAGTGGTGTCCTCGAGGGCAGCACTGGACAGAGGGAGGGACGTGTTGCAAAATCGAGGGTACAGGGAGGATCAGTGGTACAGTGGGAATACAGCAGAGTCCAGGTGTAAAGATAGGGCTGATGTTTGAGCTCAAAAGCAGATGCAGAAGCAGACAGACGCAGATTGAAAGTGAGTGGCTTTGATGATAGAACTCGGAGTACGTCGTAGATTCCAATTCAGTTCAGTTTCTGTTACAGCCGCCAAGCCCTTGCAGGCAATACGGTGGCGCATCTTTCAACCCGGTACTGCGGAGGAGCAATCCTCCACAATGACCATACATGACAGGACAATTGACAATCACTGACAATGGCATTCTGTTGCGTCGAATATCCCTGTATTGCAATACTAATGTTAACGAGTTGTGTAATCTCAGATTAAGAACCTTCGATATTGACGCACAGTCCAATGCATGCCTGTACCGAAAACAGGGTCCCATGTCCTTCATCAATGGGAAGGATATCATTTTTATGCCAACTCGCTCAACGCTATGATAATCTCCAGAAGACAACCCTGCCAACTGTAGACGATGCAATCCTCAATGCAAATGCAGGTCCTCAAGTCTTCGTGTTGCCGCGCACTCGTCGCGAGCGTGTTGTATTTGTATCATCTGCAGCTTGACCGCTTCCAACCGCAACGCGCTTCACGTTACGGGTGTCAGACGAAGCTATATCGTCCTCATCCTCGGTTGCTTTCCGCTTCCTAGATGCCTGGTAAACATTATTCCTTGCAGATTTCATTCCCCCAGTGCCATTGACCTGTTGTCTATCTGTAGGCCTGGGTGATTCCGGACCAGCGTGTGTTGAAGTAGAGTGCAGACTTTGCCTGACCTGTCGTCTTTTGCGAGGGTGTTCATCATCACTGCCATCGGGCGAACCGATTGAGGCCGCATTTGTCACTTGAACGATACCACTTCGAGTTGTTCGGCCAGATGCTGTCCTGGTTTCTCTATCGTCGCGGCTGCCACTCGTTTGTGAGCTGTTGATGTCGCTTGGGGCCTTGACTGGATCACCAGAGCCCGTAACAGGAAGGAAGTATGGGTCCTCAATATCCTCGTCCATCTCCGGATCCTGATCTTCCTCTTCACCTTGGATAACGCTATCCTCCTCGTCATATTCTTCTTCTTCTTCCTGAACAGGTCCCTGCTCAAACGACATCTGCCTCTGTGGCTGAAGGCCCATGTCGGCCAGTCCAAGATCTTTGGCCCAAGATTCGTCGTTATCAGTGGCGTCTGTCTGGCGACCCCAACCATCATCATTAATGGAGAAAACCTGTCTCCAGTTCTTCATGAGCGATATACAATCGCCTTGTCCAACGTTGTGAGTTGGAGGTTCCATCTTTCTAGGCTTTGCCCAGATAGTGCCTTTGATGGACCGAAGTATTAACTTGGTTTCGTTCAGATCAAGTGCAGGGATGTCCTTGGTATCAACCAATTTTCTCTTCTTCCCGCGCTTTTGGAGCGACTCTTTCTCGACAAAGTCTCTGTTCTCCAAGGTAGGGTCATCGTCCATGTAATCATCGGAATAATATTCCCAATCGCTGTGATACTCCTCCAGTTCATAACCAGCAATTTCGTCTAGGTAGACGGGGCTATGAAGTGCATGCTCGGCTAGGTCATCAGCAAGTTCGGGGTTGGGGTCTGCGTCCCATAGAATGTCCTCGAGATCATCATAGGGGGAATAGGCGTAGTCCTCGAGGTCGGACATGTTTGATTGTCACTGACTTGGTCATTTGACAGCCGGATCGCGATGAGGTAGAGGCTGAGGAGTCAGAGTGCGAAGACGAAGGCACAGGAAGTCTGAACTGTGTTTCGATTGAGCCTCGAGGCGGGACTTAAGCGTAGTGGAAGTGAGAGTTGTATGCAGATGACAAAAGCCGTAACCGCAATCACCACAAGTCGGACAATGCGTTGCGATCAGTGTCTGGAAAGGTTTCGTTTGGAAGGCAGTGTAATGGTTGGCAAACACGTCGAAGAAATCCAGCTCGAGACGGTTTCGAGAGCAGCGATTAAACCTAGTCAGGTAGTTGTCGATAATGATCCATCGAGAGAAGTAACACGACAGCACTGCGGCCTTCTGGTAGAACTCGAACGGATCACAGACTCACGTGGTCGAACGCGGAGGCAACTTGAATGGTGGAGATTTGAGAAAAAGGAGGGGATGAATATTCGCAGTCATGTGATCCAGCTCAGTCAGCAGCGCTTCGAATCTTCAATGCTCAGCTGTATTCTTTCTTTACCGGGCACGGCTCCTTCCCCGCATGCCGTCTTGCCAGTACCTGAACAACGTCAACCGAGGGTAACCGCTTCCAAAGTCCGCTGCCCATGCCAGTGGACTCTGAGAGCATTCCACGATATTATTGAGCATCATACCCATGAACAAGATTGTCCATTCTATGTAGAACCTTTTGCTTCAAACCCAGTCCATATCATGGCTTCCCGGCGATTACCCAGAGCTGCTTCATGGCGCTGCAAACCACTCTTTCGTAACTGCGGTTCCTCCTTCCACGCCCGATCCAACCATACCAGCTCTAACGCTGCAATCAAATCCTTAGATTCCATCCTCATCGCAAACAGAGGTGAAATCGCCATCAGAGTGAACAGAACTGCCGCCAAACATGGCATTCGGACCACTACTCTATATACCAATCCAGACGCTCTGTCTCAACATGCCCATTCTTCTCCCTTCTCCTTCAATCTCGGCGCTACTGCTGCCTACCTTGACCAAGAAAAGATTCTGAAAATAGCGAAGGAGCAAGGTTGTCAGGCTATCCATCCTGGATATGGGTTCCTGTCTGAGAACACCGAGTTCGCCAAACGTTGTGCTGATGAGGGAATCATATTCATTGGGCCCCCTGCCGGTGCCATTGAAGATATGGGTGACAAAGCTAGAAGCAAGGAGATTATGAATTCAGCAGGTGTGCCATGCGTACCTGGGTATCACGGTGCCGACCAAGCTCCCGCAACTTTGGCAGCAGAGGCCGAGAAGATCGGATACCCTGTTCTCATCAAAGCCGTGCGAGGTGGTGGTGGTAAGGGCATGAGAATCGCCAAATCAGCTCAAGAATTCCAAGAGATGCTCGACAGTGCAAAGAGTGAAGCAAGAAATTCCTTTGGTAATGACGAAGTCCTGGTTGAGAAGTATATCACCACTCCCAGACATATAGAGGTTCAAGTCTTCGCCGACAAGCATGGAAATTGTCTAGCACTTGGAGAGCGAGATTGCTCCATTCAGCGACGCCATCAGAAAATCCTCGAAGAGTCACCAGCCCCAAATCTAGATGACACAATACGCAAGGATATCTGGGGCAAGGCCAGAGCTGCGGCACTAGCTGTCAAATACGAAGGAGCCGGTACTGTCGAGTTTATCTTTGACAACGACACGGGTGAGTTCTTTTTCATGGAAATGAACACTCGACTCCAAGTCGAGCATCCCGTCACTGAGATGGTGACTGGTCTGGATCTGGTCCATTGGCAAATCCTCATCGCCGAAGGCCACAAATTGCCCTTGACCCAAGACCAAGTGGAGCAAGAGATCTTGAAGCGAGGCCATGCTATTGAAGCCCGAATCTACGCCGAGAATCCGGACAAGGGCTTTATACCAGATTCTGGAACTCTTCTCCATGTCAGCCTTCCTATGGAGACAGAAGATGTACGTATCGACAGCGGCTTTGTTCAGGGTGATGAGGTCTCCAGCCATTACGATCCAATGATCGCCAAGCTGATTGTCAGGGCCGATACTAGAGAAGCCGCTCTTCGTAAGTTGACGGTAGCTCTTCAAGATTATCAAGTCGCAGGCCCAGTCACGAATATTGATTTTCTCAAAAGAATATGCAGATCTCCGGATTTTGTATCTGGAGATGTGGAAACAGGCTACATCGAGAAGCACCGGCCTGAGCTTTTCCCCAAGGCAACTCTCAGTGATGAGGTTCTAGCAGAAGCTGCCATAGCTTCGTTTTTGCAATCGGTAAAGCAGAATTGTAATCCGTCACGCCAATCACTACAATCATCCTCCCCCTCATGGCTAACAACATCTGCCGATTTTCAACCACGATCCTTCCATTTTCAATCGGCAGACTTCGAACCAGGTCCGGGGAAGACCCCAGATATACACTCTGTCGAAGTGCATCAAACGAGTCCAGGACACTTTACTGTCTCGACATCGTCCGGTTCTGTCCCTTTTGCAGTAACATCCACACTTGACCATTCGACAAATACTCTCACAACCTACTTTCCACAAACTCGCCACACATCACGAGTGGTATTCTCGCCTTCTTCTGGAGTGATCAACCTCTTCACTCCTGTTGGGTCATTCCGCTTACAGCCATCATCTCCTGGATGGCTTGCTAAAGCTCTAGGTGTCGTTGAAAAGGCCAACTCGCTGCTTTCACCGATGCCAGCCAAGATCCTTCGTGTTCTTGTCCAACCAGGAGATATGGTCAAGAAAGATCAACCACTTCTGGTGATTGAGAGCATGAAGATGGAAACAGTGATACGCAGCCCAGCCGAAGGTGTCGTTGTGAAGAGGGTTGTTCACGGTGAGGGCGACGTAGTTGGTAGTGGTGTTGAGTTGGTAGAGTTCGAGGAACAGACCAGTGATGGCGAATCCTCCGCCTGAGCATTTGTGAGCTACTTCCGCGAACGGCAAATTCCCACTCGCAATGAGACCGTTCACCGGCAATCACTAAGTCTAGAGCATCCGACCATCCCTCCCAAACAGGAGAGAGGGATGCCGGGAATTCGAATTGCCACGGTCGAGTGCCGAAGGAGATCTGCAGTTCTTGCACAGATCTCCAAATGAGATAACGACGATCACGGATAGCCCATGCAGAGGAGCCACCAGCAGCTTTACATCCGTGATTCTGACCAGATCTCGGATGGATTTCTTTTCCCTCGGAACTTTGGGCACACCAAGTTCTGAAATCCCGGGGGGGGGCGGCCTACAAGGTGCCTGGTGCTATGCAGTTGGCACGTCCAAATGCACCGGCTTACCAATTGTGTGGCTGCCATTCATTCTCCGCGCCACTTGGAGTCGAAATATCTCGAGTCTGTGTGACTGACAAGGGACACCTCGGCTAGGCGAACGAAACTCCCCTGGGGGCGAAGCGAATTCGAGAGACTCGGACTCCAGACTAGCGATCAGCCAACGCATTAAGCGAGGTCTGGAAAGTACAGTAGATAGTCTCATTAGAAGAGGCAAGATCAAGCGTGCAGATTGACTTCAGAGTTAGGTAGATTTCGGTACCTAGGTACGTAGCAGTGCTGCAGTAGCATCTGTTTCCAGCATGCAGGCCAACTTGCAGGGTGTCCAAAGGAATAGTTAACATGATTGACCCAAGCCCCTTCATTGCCGCCACGTGCTCATAATTGATCTTACTTGGAATTGGTAACCAATGGGTTGTAAGACATTGTGCCTTGAACCCGGAGACCGACATGATTCTTACCACGTGGATACGAATGAGAACACACCCAAGACACGTGCAAGCTGTACCGAGCAGCACCATGGCCGTGAGACATTCCCGCCTGCAGATAGCGACTCGTGGCTTGCGAGGAAACGAAGTCTTGCTTCAGGTACCGAGTACCCAGAAGCGAATTACGTCCCTTGAAAGGTACCAAGTATCCGTAGTGAGACGACGGACGAAGATGGCTGTGGCACTGTCTTGCTTGATTGAAGATTGGCACGTGGCGAAAAACTACTCGGTACACCGTATCTCGTCCATGGCAAGGGCTGGCTTGCGGAAATATACTCCGCTCGACTGGGGAGAGGAGGTTCCTAAAGTGGTAGTCGGATAGGTTGTCAGATTGCCAACCAGCCCCCCTCCCCAAGAGGCTCACGTTGCAGTACGAGGTACTAAACACTAAATCTAGATAGAGATTGCGAATGCTTTTGTGTGCAAGCTGTTTGTTGGTTGTGATATCCGTGATGTTTTGGAGAGGTGGAGGTGGTTTTGTGGCTGACCAGGAACCGGCAGGTTACCAATAGACATGGACGGTTTCTAGGCGTTTGAAGATGCGGATTTCATTCCTCTGCAAGATCCGGATTTCGACGATGGACCGGCGATCTCGTGGGGAGCATTTCGAGATCGGGTCTTACCTTCTTTCCCCCCACGAAATACTTCTGTAGGTCCTACATATGCAGAGTTATTCGTTGGCCATGAGCAAAGGCTACTGCTGCTCGTGCGTGGGGAATCTGGGGTTCTCGGGGTGTGCTCTTCACGTTCAACTGCCGACCATTTTCGAGATCGCCGTCGAGAAAACCTACACATGTCCATCTGCCGGAGCATGCCAGGAGTCGCCGTGCAAATATGATCGGCGAACCTCCCGCGCTCGTGGCGTACTAAGACGGCGATCGCGAGTGAATATCGTGAACATGAGAACAAGGCACTATCCCGAGCGTGGTTTTGGTAATTCCTGTAAGCATTGAGCGCAGTTCTGTAGTTCTTGCTTTCTGAGATGGTGACATTCGTACGATGTCACGGTTGAGAGAGGTAACCAACAAACAAGAACCAAATAACTTGCTAGCCAGCCCGGCATAACGGGTCATGATGGATGCCAAGGTCTTCTCCGGGCCCCAGTTTCGAGAATGAATTTAGGCACAATCTGATAGGACCTACCAGATGCGAAACGGGAGGGCTCTCTGAAACAGGAAGAAGCTCGACGGGCACACGGATTATATCCCGCGCTGTTTGATGTGGACGGATATCTGTGTGGAGAACATGGAAAGAAGGATGGAAGAAATGGAAGGATTGTTGGATGGGTTTATCCCCTGCCGATCTCTTGCATAAAGGGGTCCACCAGGGCTTGTCTTCTCAGCCTCTTTCGTCATTGGCAGCGTCATCCAGGGCTGCGAACTGGGATGGACTCATTGTTGGTGAAAGTAATGGAACTTCATGTCGAGATGTCGGTAATGGTTTTCCATGTTGATCTTGAATTGTATTCGGGGCGGTGTACCCGACGTGCTGCAGAAGGGGGATTTGATGGATCAGGCCACAATGATGATTTGTCTTAGTCCGTACAAGTGAAGTACGAGGTAGATGGGCTGCAAAAATACTCGTAACTCTGAACAGGAACAAGTTTCATGTTTTCGGTCTATGAGCCCATGGTGGTGGGAGGAGCCCGCCATACTCAACTGGGATTCAACGATGCTGCGCTTGGGCATGTAATGGTGGGATGCCTCGTACCGTTATTACTACCTTCCTACCTGCCTGGGACATCCATGCGATGAACTGCAAGGACGACGGAGGATTGTCGAGAGTGACAATGAGGCTGGGTTGATAAGTGGAGTCATGACATAGACGGGGAACTTTGTCAATGCACTCCAGAGCCTGCAGGAGACAAGGATGAATTCAAGGGTTGGGGAAGAAACCGGAAGGACAGGATTGTCAAAGATGATAATTCATAGTGGGAAATATAGTGCTACGAAGTGTGTCCGAAAGTGGGTTCTTTTTGCCCAGCACTCAGCCTTCTAAACCGCTCAAGAACAGGGCCTGCGGAATGCTAGTAGAGTGTCAGGATAATGGTGACGACAACCTCGGTGGCAAAGATGCCGACAGTTCATGGCGGACTTCTCCATTATCGCTTGAGCCGTGGAGAATTGGGGGATTGGGGGATTACGAGTTCCGTACCGACATTAGACGGTGAAGCTGCACTGAGGACGAAGCCTATTATTGCAGTGAGTTGGCTGAGTTGAGCCTCGAGCTGCCGCCAAAGTCATCTCCCATACAGTTAAAAGTAGGTACTTAGGCAGGTAGTCCAACACCTGAAGTCACCTTGTCTCAGGTACCTCGGTACACCCCATTCCTCAGGGCCAGAACCAGAGAACAGCCATAATAAATAAGAATGGACCCGAGCCAGAGGTGCAGGTACGGATGGCACCCGTGGTGCCTCACAGTAATTTTAGCTGGTGCTTCAAAGCGTCTTGCACCGGGACCCATGCACGACTTCCGCGCTTCGGGGAGAGAATGGATGAGATGCTGCCGGAAAGCAGATCGAACAGCTAGCCTCGCAGCCTAAACCGACTGTGGTTATCCCTGGGTTCCGGGGGCTTTGGGCTCGTGGTCGACAAGGGGGCCCAAACTTACCCGTTGAAGGTCCCCTTGGAAGTGATCGTCGTCTCGAGCAGGGATCCTCTCCGAGTGCCTCAACCACAACGACCATTGCCTCACTGCTCGTTGATTAATTGGAGCCTTTGAAGCCTTAGTCTGTCCCAGCCAACCGGTTAGACTCCAACTTGGACTTCCACCAACGCTACCACAATGCTCCGTATCCATACCACCACTACGAGAGACGAAGACTCCCGGGACCCATCTTTTCATGGGTGATCGAAATGTCCTACGCGATTCCATTCTGTTCTAACTTCATGTTCTGAAAACCCTCTAACAAGCGTCCAGGCTAACTAACGTAGGGAGATGAGCTAAACCTATCCCATCAAGATTGAATGCAGGGCTAGTACCTGTTGCTGCAAGTTCTAAAGAAGTGCGAGCAAGCGAAGAAATTTTCCTCTCAATGTAGCACAATGAGAAAGTAAAGTCATTCAACCGGCTCCCATAAAATGTAAATATATCGAGAGCCCCACTTCCGACCTTTGTGAAGGAGCCAACAGAGCTCTGCATCGTGATTGCCATCCAACTGGGTCTAGAAACTCCATCACTGAAGGATATCCAACAGCCTCATTGCCACCCCTCAGACGTCTCCATTTCTTCGCCTCCAATTCGCCTCGGTTTTCAGGTTCGAAAGCCACATCTTTCGGCTTGAGTGGATCCACGAGATACTTGGTAATACGAACAGCTGAACTAGCCTCGCTGCCACTCACAAGTCAACGCCATACGTTTCACTTCATCACGGTCCGAAAGTCAGCACGAGACTCAGCTAGCATCATCATCATCCAACAGCGCTTAATTAAGCCAGGTTTCCCCAAGCCTGCAGACACTGCTGTCACCACAAGTCAAACAAGTCACACTCGAACTTTAAAACAAAGAGGCAAGGCATTAAAAGCGAAGCGAACCGCCTCGCCCGCACGCCATCGCGCCCACAAGAAACTCAGAAATAACATCTCACTTCACCTTCCCGATATCCATCACCGAGGAGAAGAAAGGCTATCGCCCTCTGCTGTTGTAACAATACAACTTCCACCAAGCAGTGGCTGGCGAACCGTATTAATTTCATCCGTTGAAAGGTGTCTGAGATGTAGCCGGGCGAGTTGACAGCTTCGAGTCAATTTTCCTTGCCACGAAAGAATTTTCCATCTCAGACTGGTACCGCCTAGTGTGTGTCCCTCTCGAGTTGTACGCCATTCAGACGCGAGAACCCACAAGAGCCTTCAACTTCAAGGTGTGGGAGCAGGAACGGGTAGCGAAGGCGTGACATTTCTGTCTTGCAGAAATTGAAGAATGAGTTCGCAGCCGAGGTAGGTCCATCTCCATCTCAGCCCTCACTGACCCTTTTCTGCTCATTCGCTGCATCCCGAGCATTTGGTCGAGATGGCCGTCTGAAAATAGCACGAGGTTGGATAACAGAAAGCTGACCGGGGTTGGACTTTGTTTCGAGCAGGAGAGAGTACCACATCGTTGTACTCGGCGCTGGTATGTACCCAAACACTTTACTTGTTCTTTCGTTCACATGCTCACCACCTCAAATTCGATCATCGATCAATCCCCTATATCATTTCCTATTTTCTTCCCCGACTACAAAATTCCGGGGGAAACGTCACTAACGCATTTCCGCTTCGAACCTGCAGGAGGAGTGGGTAAAAGCTGTCTCACGGCGCAGTTCGTGCAAAATGTCTGGATCGAAAGCTACGACCCGACCATTGAAGATTCATACCGGAAACAGGTCAACGTGGATGGGCGGCAGGTCATGCTCGAAATGTAAGTCTTGCATGCATTTGGTCTATCTGCCTCGGCAGTATTACATCTAGTCTCATCTCCCGTCGTCTTGGTGCCCAACCCGACCCAAGACCCTGGTCCTGAATCACCAGCGAACCCAAGAATTAATTCTAACCGTTATCCAGACTCGACACGGCGGGCACGGAACAATTCACGGCCATGCGAGAATTGTACATGAAACAAGGACAAGGATTTCTACTAGTGTTCTCCATCTGCAACATGAATTCATTCTACGAGCTAGCCGAACTCCGCGAACAGATCATCCGCATCAAAGACGACGAGGACATTCCCTTGGTTGTCGTCGGCAACAAAGCAGATATGGAGGACGACCGCGCCGTTCCCCGTGCCCGAGCCTTCCAGCTCGCCCAGTCATGGGGCCAGAAGCCATACTACGAGACATCGGCGCGGAGGCGCACCAATGTGGACGAGGTGTTCCAAAATCTCAGCGCCCAGATGCTGCAGAAGGACATGGGACAGAACCCATCACACGACCAGCAACTCACAAACCGCCGGCGAGAACGACCGAATCGGCAGGACCGACGCAGTGGGAAGAAATCCCGGAATCGTGATCGTTGTGTCATTTTGTGAAATGTTTTGTGTTGGACTGGAAAATTTCTACTAGAAACGATTAGCATATAGTTGGGATGGGAGTCTAGAGAGCAAGGGATGAGATCAAAAAATGCTCAGGCAGCATCTCGGACGGCGTTTATTCACCAAGAGGCTAGAATGGAATGGGGTGAAATACCACGCGAGTAAGACACCTTTCTCATGGTCGTGGGGGAAAAGTTGAGAAAGCAATGAGATAGAAAACTTACCGACTCGCGTCGTAATGAGGAAAAGGGCGCTCAAATTTTTCCACGCAATGCTTCTCGTTGCCTGTTAAGCATTTGATGCCTAGGGCGTGGCGCATGAACCCGTTCTGCTCTCTCCCCATAACACCTTCCTCTCCACCTGTCAAAATGCCGGTGGCGAACCAATTAGACACCTCATCAATCAAGATTGTTATATCTACATTCTGAATACACCAAACTTGGTGCTCGCCTCCTCGGAGCTGCCGCCCAACGCAGCCTTGAGGCCGAGGCCGAGCATGTGCCTCGTCTGCGCCGGTGGAATGATTCCATCGTCCCACAGCCGCGCAGACGAGAACGCTGCATCGCTCTCACGCTCAATGCGATCTCTCAGCTCGGGATCAACCGACTTGCCCACGGTCTCCATAACGGCGGTCAATTGATCAGCGCCCATCACGCCTATCTTGGCGTTGGGCCACATCCATAGGAAGCGTGGCGAGTAGGCGCGTCCACACATACCATAATTGCCCGCACCTGCAGACGATCCAACGACCACGGTGAACTTGGGGACATTAGCGCAGGCAACGGCAGTGACAAGTTTCGCGCCGTTCTTGGCGATGCCACCTTTCTCCGCGTCAGCGCCTACCATGAAACCTGAGATGTTTTGCAGGAACACTAAGGGGATGTTGCGCTGGCAGCATAGCTCAATGAAGTGTGCGCCCTTGAGAGAGGATTCGGAGAAAAGAATGCCGTTGTTGGCGATGATTCCGACACGGTGGCCGTATATTTTGGCGAAGCCAGTCAGCAGAGTTGTACCATAATCTTTCTTGAACTCGGCGAACTCGCTACCATCGACGATGCGGGCAATGATCTCGTGCATGGGAATTTGCTTGCGAAGGTTGGTGCCAACGATACCGGCTAGCTCATCTGGGTCATAAAGGGGTTCCTTGACTTCGAATGGAGCGGGCTGTTCTGCAGGATAATTCAAGTTGGCTACAGACCTTCTAGCCAGGACAAGAGCATGTGCATCGTCCACGGCAAGGTAGTCGGTAACGCCAGAGATGGAACTGTGCAGTTCTCCACCACCGAGATCTTCCGCAGACACCACTTCTCCTGTCGCAGCTTTGACTAGTGGTGGCCCAGCAAGGAAGATGGTTCCCTGTTTTTGCACGATGATCGACTCATCACACATTGCAGGGACATATGCTCCTCCAGCAGTGCAAGGGCCCATAACGACAGCGATTTGCGGAATGCCCTGGCTACTCATCCTGGCCTGGTTGAAGAAAATGCGACCAAAGTGATCTCTGTCTGGAAAGACGTCCTTTTGGTTTGGCAAATTCGCACCACCCGAGTCCACCAGGTATATGCAGGGCAATCTGTTCTGTTGAGCAATCTCCTGAGCTCGCAGATGCTTCTTGATTGTCATGGGGTAATATGTCCCTCCTTTGACGGTGGCATCGTTTGCCACGATCATGCACGTAACGCCTTCGACAGTCCCAATACCGGTAATGATACCAGCGGCTGCTATGTCGTCCTCATACATTTCGTGTGCAGCCAAAGGAGAAAGTTCCATGAACTGACTTCCTGGGTCTATGAGGGCCGTGACCCGATCTCTTGCCAGCATCTTGCCTCTTTCCACATGCTTGTCTCTTGCTTTTTTGGAGCCACCTTGCTGAACCTTCAGATGCAGGTCTGAGTATTTGGACATGATCTCGCTTAGCTGGGCTGAGTTGTCTTTGAAATCATGACTAGACTTGTCTACAGCAGTAGGGAGGACAGAAATGGCTTGAGCATGTCGAGGATGAGTAAAGGTAGCCACTGATCGTACACGATGTCGATACCGTATGGCTGTGTTTGAAGGTCTCAGCTGTTGTTCTCTCAATGCTCGCCCTAGGGTCCGCAACAGAGCGTTTGTTGGTGCGCAGGGGGCCGCCATGATGAGAACCTAGCCTGGGTTTGAGAGCCCGCTATCTTTTTTCAACTGCAAGGGGAAGTTTGTTGAAGACGGTCAAGATCTTTTCACGTTTGTTTGGGTCTTGCGTAACGCAAGAAAAGACATTCCAATTGTACCTCGAAGGTCAAGAGTTGTGTCTCCCCACACCGTCGATAACCGAGGATGAGGCCCGGGGGAAGTTGACTACGGCGGATCATTCAAGCTCAGTTTGGGCGGCAAGCGCGGTTACTTTGCGTTGCTTCTTCCCCTGCAAGAACCCTGCCCACGGTCCGCTTCCGGGCTCTTTCCTTGGTTGGCCGCGCATCAGAATTTATTTGCTTTCCTTCTTCCATCTCCAATTAAATGGGCTTGTATGTACGTACCGAATGTACCTAGCTAGACTGCTAGAAATCGCATTCGACCGGATGGGCATCTCGAGAACGTCGAATGACGCAGTCCGAACCTAGAGCTGCCCTGCCCTTCCATGAGTCAGCTATGATTGCTGCATCATTATCTGTGTGGCATCAGGTATTTAACATATGATTACTTCTCGACCTCGAATCATCCAGCTCGGCAAGATCTACATGTAAGGTTATGTCAGGCTCGTCAGCTTTGTATGCAAGGTACGCTGACATCGTCCCGTGTCCGACTTACGGAAAGATATCACCATGTTCTGAGTAATTCTCACTTGAAACTAACCTACATTCGCATTCCGGACTTATCGGATATTGGCGACCAGAACGCCAAATACACCACATAGTCCCGACCCCGCCAATGGGAGGTTTCCTCAGCCTGTCGCGGGATATTTCTACACCTCGGGAGTTCGGAACTGGTCTCATTCTTGATGAGTGTCCCACGTTTTAGTGTCTGATCAACTGCCCCTCTCGGGTCCGTGTCTCTATGACCGAGCATCCAAAACAACAGTTGGATTGTTAACGAGCCTTGTTTCTTTTCATCATTCGGACTTGATCAAGTTGGAGGCGAGTATATAAACACTGTCACACATTCCACCATCTGCTTTCGTTGATCAACCTGATACCATTGCCAAGAACCCCCAGCATTTCTAGAATATACAACATGTCGCCAGTTACAGAGGTCGTCTTTATTCCTCTTGCGGAGGGTCAACACCCAGAGGACCCTTCCAGCAGTCTCAAGCCTGCCTTCGACAAGATTCTCCAGACCATCATATCTCAGCCTGGCGCACAACGCCTTCATTGGGCACGACAGATAGAAAATCCCACCATTGCCACCATGTTCATCGATTGGAACTCCATCGCAGACCATCAGAAGTTCATAGACTCTGAGTAAGTAAAACTGATATCGCGTGATACCGGCAGAAATCTAAAATACTAACCGGGCCTTCCCTCCTGGCAGGCCTTACAAGCCGTTCATGGAAGAAGTTCTCGGGCTTACCGCCGGCGCACCAACCTTGCACCACGTACACTTCAATCCACAGCCAACCGACGCTCTGACCCTGGGAGGTGCCAGTGAGGTGCTCAGCATCTACTTCCCAGCATCCTACTCGGCCGAAGACATCAAGGCCTTTGAAGCCGCCTGGGCGACATTCGAGAAAAACGTCACGGCCTCCACATCAGACGTCAAGTCCGTTTCCGTCGGCTGGGCTGAGGAGGAACTCACCATTCCCGGTACCGAGGATAAGGGCAAACTTTTTCAAGCAGTGATTGGTTGGACCACCATGCAGCATCATCTGGACTACAGGAATACCCAGACCTTCAAGGACAACATTCCTGCGTTACGCGGCGCCAAGGAAGTAAAGGCCGTTGTCGTCTTCCATATCACAACTCAGGAGGTCAAGAAGCAATAGAGAAGGTAGATTGTTGTAGAACTAGGAGCCAGCAGTGGGAATTACTCAATGTTTTGTTCCTAGATGTTAGGGGCTGGAATGAAAAACTGTCAAGGGCTGAGGTTGCATATGTCCATTAAGTGAACTAAGCTATTGGTGAATGGGAATTTCAGGCTCAGTGAACTGTACTTCTGTTCATATGATTCCCTCAAGAGCCGAAGCTGAGATCCACTTAGACGTCCACTGAATAGCTCGCGCTGTAATAGCCCTGTCTTTGAGAAGCAGCCAAGATGGCTCTTCGAGGTCAACCAGGCGCCAGCCATCGACCAATTACCCCTTTGAGCCACAGCCCTGCTACCATGCCACCACGCCGTCGCCCCTACTCTGACTCGTTAAACCCTAAGTAGACTCAGAGGTCACCTCATCATCGGCTTGGTTTCTGGTGCCAGTCTCGCTCTCACCGATATTGCTCCCCTCACGTTGCTCTCTCCGCTCTGGTACGGCATGACCGAGACCGGTTGTTTGCATCATTGCCGTGAGTCTTGCGATTTGTCGCTGAAGTTCCTCAATCCTTTGTGCGTCCTCAGCTGCTTGGCGAGTCAAGACCTGATTCTCCTTCCATAAGGCGTGAATGTCTGTGGATGCATGTTGAACTGCAGCATTCAGGTTCTGGATTACAGGATGTTCATATTGGGGGCGCCACAACGGGTTGGTATATGGGTCAGCTCTCGCATTTCTGGTTGGGTTGTCGCCTGCAAACACGGAAGTCTCAGGGTAGAGTTGCTCAGGCAGCATTTGGTTTGGGTGCATTGGCCGATAGTCTTGTCTCAGTTGATATGTCGGGTTGATATTTCGGCGAGAGGCCAGTTCCCACTGACCAGGCGCGACTTGGACAACCTCTCTTTGACTGTCTCCTGCGAACTCGGATTCGGAGAAGTCATCCCATGGGCGGTTGGCCGAAGGATGGTGACTTTCGACTCTGGCTTGAATAGTCAGACCAGTTGGTGTGTGATTGATCTCTTGAGTGGCCTCTCCAGTGGTATCAGTGCGCTCAACGCCGGTCACTTGCCAGTTCATTGACCCAGTCCGGACTAGCTTGCCACGGAGTCGGTCTTCACGTTCAGATTCAGTCGTTGATGCGATCGACGACATTGATGCCAACCTTTCACGGACAGATCTCATTGTGACATTCTCGACTCCCTCTGAACTTTTTGATACGTTTTGCTGTTGGCGAAGACTTTGATAAAAGTCCTTCTCGAGTCCTTCTGGCACACTTGACTTTGCTTGGTGGCGGTGATAGCTCGGACTGACGGCTTTGCCTGACTGATGCTTGCGAAAAGCGGCACTGCTCGTACCTCCAGATGGAGAGTTATCGGTGTGTTCGTGAATTGGTTCATTGGCATGCCTTGCATTCATGGATATGAGACTTGATGAGATGGGCTGGGTAGCCATGTTGTCCACTTCACGGATTATTTGCGTGTGAATGTCGCATCGATTTATAGCCTCAGCCTCCTCTGGATCCAGGTCTGCTATGCTCGATCCTGGAGTGAAATTGGTATTGATGTAGCGAAGGATTGAAAAAGTAGCAGCTGGACGAGGTGTTTCTTGCTCTGGATTGTTCATCCCTGAAGGTCCAGCCTCGTCGCTTTCAGATTCCTCGTCGTCAATGCCTGGCAGAATCGTGAAGCGACTTGGTTGTTTGGATGAACGGTTATCATCACGAAAGAACAGTGATGACGTCTTGCGGCCAAACTCTCGAAGAGACGGAGCCATTCGAGCAACAACTATCGTCCAAATTAGCAAGGATCCTCTTTCCCAGGTATAAAGTTTAGATTTGCCTACTAGACTCAATCTCTCTGGTGCTTGTTTGCTGCTTATTCCTCACGCAGTACGGCGCAAGGTCCCTCAGGTCGAGTAGTGGGTTCTTGTGAGATATGGATTCGAAAGAGGAGAAAGAAGAAGAAGGAATCTGACACTTCGCGTATTTCACGGTGGAAGTCTTTAAGACATTAGGGAGGCAGAGTCGTTGGAGATGCACGAGGCAGCGCATCCACCGCACCGGTAACACAATAAAGCATACTGCGCTGCCTCGCAAAGAACTGATGACGCGGCGATGATCTCTGGTGTATTCATAACGGTGTCGTAACGCGTATCACCATTCACGACAGCCTCGTCCTCGAACTTACCTGATTCAAAGACGTGTTCGTCATTTGATGGTGTTCATTAATTCCTTTTCAGGCTCAAGCGCCAAATGGTTATCAATATTTATATACCTAGTTAGCACACGAAGTAGACTTATCAGTGGTATGCGGGGGCCATATGCAAGAGGACTTATCAATCGTTGGCACTTAAGGACAATCAGGAAGTCTTTGTGTGCCCAAGATCGGCGGCATGAGCTGGGTGAGTTGCATTTCCGATGACTACTCCGCAACCGAAGGCTTATTGCTTTGTCCTGTGCGATAAACAACCGACAAAAAGGACAGAAGCATCCGTCGCACGATAGATCGGTCGTAGTTCATATATTCAATGATACATGAGGATTGGATCTTTGGTGCACAGATCGGCTTGCGGTGGGCTTTCATAATTCTCCGTCTGGGGTGCTACTACCACTAGCGTATGTCATTAATACGCTAGCCATTAACGGATTAGTCTACAAATTAAATTGGAAACAGCAAACGAGATGTGGGATTTATTCACATCAAGATCAACGTCTCACCACTCCATCTCCTTCACGATCTAGAACTCATTCCTATCATAAATATCTTGCTTCAGCTTCTGTGTCTTCGTCGCTACAAATTTGGCAGGCAGCTTCAAGGTCTTGGCGCCCTCTTTGTCCTGACAGATTTTTCCTTGCGCGGGTGACTGTTTCACTGTTAATGAAGCCAATTTCATGATCGTTTTGGCCTAATCGATCTCCTTGTCAACCAGAACCCTTTTAATTCTTTGGAGAATTCCAGGGCTTAATATTTACTCACAGAACTCACCAACCTGCGCTTGACATTTTTCTCTTTACACCGAACCGACTTTTCAACATAAAAGTGCACAATCATGGCTGGAGGTAAGGGCGATCCCTTCTGAACAGCCGCAATGATCCACCGACGCTGATTCGGTGACAGAGACTCCAAGAGTTGTTCCGCTAACCTGCCACGGTCACTCACGACCAATCACACACTTGAGCTTTTCCTCGATCGTTGATGACGATCAATACTATGTCATTTCCGCGTGCAAAGGTTGGTTCGTCTTTCATGGCATTGCTCGCTCTGCTAATCTGCTTCAGACAACAACCCCATGCTCAGAGATGGAATCACTGGGGACTGGTACGTTGCACGCCGCTTCTTGCTAAATTGGGGCTGACATTCGGCTAGGATTGGAACCTTTATTGGACACAAAGGGGCTGTGTGGTCATCAAGACTATCAGCAGATGCTCGAATCGCGGCTACAGGATCAGCAGATTTCACAGCGTTAGATTGGTCTTGTGTCCCAATCTCTATCTGAGCTAACGATGACCAGGAGAATTTGGGACCCGCAAACAGGTGAATGTCTATCCATCTTGACACATGATCACATCGTCCGCTCTGTCGCCTTCCCTTGTCAAGATAACCCGCAATGCGTCATTACTGGGGCCCAGGACAAGAAGTTGAAGATATTCGACCTGACACGGGGTGGTGCCGCCGCAACTCCATCTCAAGCCAACGGTAACTCTCCTGTCACACCAACCACCACCTCTGAGGGCCACGAAATTGGCGTGGGCGGACACAACGGTAGCATCAAATCCATTGTCTGGAACGTTGATTACAACATCATCACGACTGCTTGTGATGACAAAACCATCCGCTGGTGGGATCTCCGAAGCCAGCAGCTGATTTCGAGCTACAAAACTGAACGAGACATAACGTCGTGTGAACTGTCCAACACGAAGGTAGAAAGCACCGACCCTGGAATCATCAGCGTTGCGGCCGGAAACACATGCATCTTTTTCAATGCCGGACGACCTGGTGAAATCATCAAGAAGGTCAATTTCGACCATGATGTTGCCAGTGTGGCAATAAACTCTCAGTCCGGGCGCTTCGTTACTGGTGGAGGGAAGGATACATGGGTCCGAGTTTGGGACTTTGCTCTCGAGAAAGAGCTCGGTAAGTTGAGATTTGGACACTGTGACAGGCGAGAAACATCAGCTGACTATTTGTGCAGAGGTTCTCAAGGGCCACCATGGTCCGATCTGGTCAACTGCTTTCTCACCCGATGGCAAGATCTATGCCACAGGTAGTGAGGATGGCACGATCAAGTTATGGAAAGCCTGCAAGGAACCATATGGCCTGTGGCGCTGAAAGGATGGACTTGGCCACATATGAACCCACACAACACTAAAAGACACAGTGCCATCAGAAACTCGCAGGCACTTTGCGCTTGTCATCAGGACGATATCTTGTAAGTTTCATGCTCATCAGAGGAGTGTCGTCCCGTCTGGTAAATCAGGGACCACGTCCAATGACACAGAGCAGAAGCATTTGAAACATACCCCCTTGAGCAATGGTGGCGCAAGATCATCAGAAAGCCAATGGCATCGACTGGAAAGCAAGCTCTCTTTGGCAGGGAAGCCATGTGCAATCAGATATGTTCCGGCGAACATGCGACGATCTTCATTGGTGACTCAAGACAGAGACGATATTATAGCATAAGGACCGATGTGAGGATGGCATGTACATCACAAGGAACCCTGGCCAGGCTTCGCAGAAAGTTATGGGATCCCACAAGGCCTATCCTCCAGCTATGTTGGCTATGAGATATGCTGTTGAAATTAAACACAATTCCCAGAAACAGAACTTTCCTCTCGTGTGACTTGAACAGGAGCGTCATCGTGGTCAAAAAGAAGTCGTGAATCACCATGCCTTGCACGAGCCACGTGGGTTATAAAGGGTGTATCCAGGCTACGCGGAGGTGGAGAAGTTTTGACGTGATCAGCGAAGGGATTAGTCGACCAAGTTTGCCTAATGGAAGACGATAACAAAAGCATTCCGGCCGGCCTCGTAACGGCTCCTGCTGAATCTAGAAAACCAGAGTCAGATTATCGCCAAGAAGCACATGAATCAGGGGAGGTGGAGAAGCATCGCTCTCCAGTCGTTGATCATGAGTGCGCTGAACAAAGCATCGGGCTTCGGCGATATTGTGCAGACAGAGTGTGTCAGCGGACTCCAATTAAGACAAGTCATTGTATAACAAGCGACAAGGTGATGCATCAGTTGAGTTGCACAGTGGTGAACAAGTCAAGGTGTCTCTTACGAAGACAGGCTCAAGACAGACTCAAAGTCAAATTCAAATAGCTCTGGAGTGTCTGAATGCGCGAGAGATGACCCATCCAGAGGGGGTTAGATACAAGGTGCGTCGTTATAGCAAAGTCCGTCTTGAAGTCGACGAGTACGGAATACACCCGAGCGTCGCCGAGCAGGAGGCTCAGGTGGAGTTGCCACGTGGGATAACGCATGCGGCTTATCAAATAAGAACTTCAGGGGAAAACGACAAATGCACGCTGTTTGACATCAAAACTGATTATTCTCGCTGTTCTGTCCACATGGAGGGAGGCCGCGACAGCTACCCGAAGGAAGGCTCATCTCAACGCCCGTGTCGAGGTGCGCGTGCGGCGTTCAAGATACTTACTCCGTCCTCGCTACAGTCTACAGTCGGTCCACTGTGCGCGGAGTAAAGAAATCCAGGATTATTGGTGATGTGAACTAAGTTTGGGCCAGGTCCCAAGGGCGAGCAACCCGCAGAAGTGGTACCCGGCGGCTTTCTCCTTTAACCAGAAGCAAGCAACAACCCTTCTCTTTCACGGTGACATTGGGGTAGCTCCAGGGTTGTTAGCCTTGCAATGACACGATATTGAAGTCCTGGCAATTGTCCTGGACAATGACAGCGCCGTTATCCTGTCAGGGCTGACCTTGTTCCAGGGCCAGTTCCTGCAATAAGCGTCTCAACGACAAGCGGATGATTTTCGATCCCGAAATTGACAGACTTAATCCAGACGTCTCTGATCCACGCTTGCAACTCTGTGGCGGTTTGGGTGGTTCGATTAGCCTGTTCCTTTCTGGCATGTGCCGAGGGGTTCACCAAACAGTCGTTCTGTTCAGTTGCCCTCGATTGCGCCAGCCGAATCGCCACCCTCGCTCCTGCCCCTGATACTTTCTACAGACGGCTTGGGTCGCGTTGGCCTTCATTGGCCTTCGCTAAACCAACGAACCATTGGCACCCATCGCCACCCATGGGCACCACTTCAACGGGAAGGGCCCACCATTCTGGCACCCATGTTCCCGGCCTCAGGGCCATCTCCATGTCGTGCCAGTAGCTTGAAGAGTGACAAGTTCACAACTCGGCCTGGAAGCTGCACCTTGTTCAGCGTTCACGTTCCCCCCCTCCTCTACGACACCGCACCACTATCCCAGACATCCGTGATAACAGTCCCTCACTTCTCGTTTCTTATCACTACCCTTTCCCTTTTCAAACGGAGCTATCCCTTCTGTTTGCACCTATCCACAATTTATATCCAAAGGCCTTGCCAGGGATTTCGCCTTTCGGAGCTATGTTGCAAACTACCAAGCATACCTCACCAAAAGACCATCCATTTATCTAAGCTTCTCTGCGGTTTCTCCCAAAGTTGTTGCAAACCGGGTACCGTGTTCATTTGAGAGCGACAAACATCGCCCTTTGATTCTTCATCCGATCATGACATCCTTTGCGGCCGAGTCATGGGTCTGGTACGGCTTTACATTGGCTATGGTCCTGGCGCGAATGTAAGCGATATGAAGATTACTCTTACCGTACGCGAAGTATTGCTCCATATACTAATTCGAACAGGACATCGCGAATATTGCATTTCAAATCTATTCTACGCCTTGAGATAGAAGATTGGTTAATGGTCTTTTTGACTGTAAGCTTCTTTTGGGCAAGCCACCTGGGTTCTTCGCTAATGCCGCTAGTGTCTATACACAATTCTGATTGTGTTTCTCAACATCGACTTGAAAGTCAGCACCAATCTTATCGATCCGGCCCATCCAGTCGATTTGAACCCTCATGAAATCGATGCGAGAACCTGGGGTAGTAAAACGATCCTCCTTGTTGAGCAATGCATGTGCGCTGTGCAATGGGGCACTAAGGCATGCCTCCTGTTGCTATACTGGCGACTCACCCAGAATTTGAAACAGAGCATGATTGTCAAATACGCCGCAATATATGTGGCATGCACTTATATCATTATGGAAATTGTGAGTCCTTTCAGTGTCCCAGGTTACCATCACGTCATCTACACCAATCCCTTTCATGAGGTCAAGGCTACGACCGAACCCATGCTGACCAATTGCACCTCTAGCTGTATTTTGCGGTCTGGTGTCGACCCTTTCACGATTATTGGCAAACACCGACGGACAACAAGCAATGCACCACAGCACTCAATCATCTGATTACCAACCTGGTGTTCAACCTTACGAGCGACGTGCTAATCATGTCGATCCCGCTGCCACTTCTCATACGGGCCCAACTCGAATTCAAGAAGAAACTACTCCTCATCTTCCCATTCAGCTTGGGTTTGTTTACTATGCTGTGTGCCATTTTGAGCAAACAAAAGAGTTTCACTCAGCCATATAGCTCTTATTGGGTCTACTGGTATTGCCGAGAAGCCAGTACCGCCATGATCGTCACCAACATGCCATACAGTTGGGCTTTGATACGCAGAATATTCAAACTCCGGTCATTCTTTGGGGATTCGACAGCAGCAGCTAACCAAGCTGGACACGGTGGCCAGCTCAATGGCTACAGCGTGGGAGCAGTCGCCCTCAGCAGCGGCCCAAGATCACGTTCAGCGAGCAAAGCAGATGGCTCCGGCGGGAAGTTCTCTTTACACAGATTGAAACCCCGCAGTGGACAACACGATGGGGTGAAGTCCTACGAGGGTGGCCACGATGCATTCAGGCCGGCCGAGGATAAAGACATTGACGTCCACACTGTGGCTGCTTCGATCACGACCAGTAGCGATGGATCTATGAAGCGACAATCAGCATCGCAACCGACACAACCATCTGACATGACGCTCGACCGTCTATACCCTCTGGACGACATCGAGGCTGGAACACAAAAGATAACACGAAAAAATTATGGGTTGGATGATTGAAGGCGCGAACCGCTCGGAAAGGCTGCACATCAGATCTCCTGCCACCCTTGTCAGACTCGAAATTTCCACGCTCAAGTTTACAATTCGGCAAGAACAACACAAATTTGTCCCAGGACTGAGGGGCTTGACTGTTTGAACTCGAATGGACACATTTCTAATCGGGCGGAGCATTGGACTGGGGCTGTTTGCAAAATCGGACTTGGCCTAGAGCGGAAAGGGAAGTCTTGGCACAGGCGGTGCTGGAAAAAAATGACGCAGACGCAGTCAGAGAGTTTCTGTCTTTGTCATTCTGCTCGCAACCCATCCACTTCCTTTGTTGACTGACTCACACAAAGAGGTGTGCAAGAAGCCAACTTATTGTCACTCATTTAGGAGCAAAGGTACGTCGCGACACTCTGCCTCGATCTGTCCACCTGTCCGAGTCGAACTCCTGCGCTTCACTACTCGAGAAAGTGCGTGAATCATGGCTAATTTTAATGCAGCTGGATCGCAGTCACTTTCAGAAGGCCAACCTTTGGTACCCGAACTATCGGATCAAGCATCTGACGATCCTCACGACTACCCGGTAGAAGATACTCACTCCGATTTCGCAAAATTCACCCCTATTCGAGAACCAAGCTCGCCTCAGCATCAACGAAAACATGTTAAGATCAAACGCCGTCCTGTTCATGTCCCTACGAATGCCGGTGCAGTAAATGCCGATGGAACCAGTTTATCACCGATCATTCCAAGCCCTCTCCGAATCCGTAAAACGAAACCTTCTCTTCAGCTGACGGTTCCCGCTGCAATGAAGCAAGTGCGTCTCTTGATTGCTTCGCTGGGCAATCCACCACCGTACCACACAACCCGGCATTCGGCAGGACATATCATTGTGAAGAACCTTGTGCAATCGCTCCAGCTTCCGACGTTGACAAAGAACAAAGCTCTTGGGAATGGACTGGTCAGCTCGGGCGCTGAGGCTGGCAGATCCGAGTACACGTTGTGGCAGAGCACAAGCATGATGAATGTCTCCGGTGCTGGGGTCATGAAGGCCTGGAAACAATTCTCGGCCTTCCACAATGAGATCGATACAGTCACAGGTCTGGTTATCCTGCATGACGAGCTGGAATCACATCTTGGTGCAGTGAAATTACGACATGGCGAGTCAAGTCCCAAGGGTCACAACGGCATCAAATCTGTGCAGTCCTCTCTAAAATCAGCCGGACTTCTAAACGCAATGAGTGACAGGTTCATCAAAATCGGCATAGGAATTGGCCGCCCTATCTCGAGGGCACGAGATGATGTGAGCGCTTGGGTACTTGGACAAGTCACCCAGGTCGAAAGGGTCAAACTGGAAGCAGCAGCAGAGAGTGTACTTGCGACCATCCAAAGCGAGATTGCAAAGCTTGAAAACAGCTAAGATGGCCCCCGACACGGGTGCCCGAAGTTGAATCTCCACCACACTTTTCTGCTCGCACATCTCTGTCGAACAACAACAGCAATTAGTCTTGTTTTGACCTTCGGATCAAGTCATCTGCAACTCCGTCGATCCATTACTGTCAGTATTGGAGTGACACTCATTGACTGCACAGTTGGTCCTCAAGGCACTGACGTCGACTCGGTTTAATCCACAAAGTCACCCAGTCAAAGTCCACCACAGCAACAGCCAACTTTCTATGGCCCCTATCAGCGACGTGCCGGCCAACGCCCAATCGCGCTGTGCCGATCTCGATTTCCTGACCCTCTCCTAGGCTTCTACGGAGAGATGTCAACAAAGTTTTGCATTGTCGATTTTTGAGATACCCCTCGATTCGTTGCCAGCGCCAGCGCCAGCTCTGAGCTCTTTGTCTTTCTGTTTCTAGGAAGACGACAGTCCAGGCCATGTATTTATTATAGCTATCTACCTCCAGTATCTCCGAACGCCGTACAGCAGTCTACAGTATATACCCCATGTATCAGGAAACATGAATGATGAAGGAAGAAAAAAAATTAAACTATCTAGCTTTTCAAGAAGAATTAAAATCCATTTTTTCTTCTCTCTTCTCTCTTCTCCCCCACGAATCGCGGCCTTGATCCTGCCCTTTATGGTCTTGAGAAAAGGGTACACTCAAGTTCCCCATTTCTCCAAGAAGAATGATGATGATGATGATGGTATTCGACCCCCCACCACGGGAATCGGATACAGACCCGGTCTCTCAGGGTCAGCATCTCCCACCCACACAAAGAATAGAGACCAGATGGAAAAGATTGAATTTTCAGAGACGGTGGCCCGAATGGACGGTCTATGAAGGATGTCGTGTCTACTGTATGTAGATATCTAGGAGTAGGGTGCCGCTATGATGGAATGTGGCTTGGCCCTACTACTGGTTCATGCTGGCTAAAGTTTACGATTGCATGGCGGTGGGGGCAGTAAATGAAACATGGAGAAATCTTGAAGAATGCCCCAAAAAAGAATGGAGAAAGGAGATGATGAGGCTGAGTTGTGTGACTATAACTTATTGGTTTGCCTCTTGCATAGCTAGGGTTATTACTAGGGTTCCAGCTCCTGGTCAGGCTCTGAGTATAAATAAGTAGAGAGTGGCGAAGAATCAACACCCTGTCTCCACCTAGGTCAACCTCAGCTCCAGATTTCCAGTGCTCAGCTTGCATCTTGGCCCCAACCATCCATCGACAATCATGCGGTCCGCTCAAGCGTCTGATGATGAGATGCAATTAGCTCGCGTGGTCATATTCCGGGGTTGCATCTCGCTGCTTTTCGTCGAGGGAGACGGTGAGAGTGCTAGTAGGTGGCCATCGCAGAACTTCCAAGACCATATACCATCTGCAGCCTGCAGGTCTGACTTGCATTGAGCTTTACTTGATCATTGTCAAGTTTGTAGCGTTCAAGTGAGGTCATCAGACTTTGTGGGGATAATTTGTTATCGTGCATGGTAGTATTGGGGGCTAGTGATGCGGAAAAAGATACTGATGAGGATGGTGACCGACCAGGAGCATGATGGTCATGTGCATCTCGGCGGTGAGATTCTCACATATGTAGTACCAATTGCATTCAACCAAGCTGGTGCGTTGTTGTTGGTGCTGATACGACGAGCCCTTTTGCCAGGAGATTATGCCGTTGGTCTGCTACGAAGGAGACTTCTGGGTATTGTGTATCGATCATAACTTCGTGTTCAGTCGAGTCTGAACTCGGAACTCTGCTGGGTGAGCGGGCTCTGCTGCACCCAGGGAATGCTGCGATCTTCTACCCTCGACTCATTGTGAAGTTGGTCTTTGGGGTCCAATGGGTTTGATAACGCCGGTGGTGTCATAGTGTCCACGGCCCATGTTGATAGGAGACTCCATGTTGATCGACTAAGATGTCTTAGTAAAATTTCGGGGGGGAATATGGCCAGGTTAATCAGGGTTAACTGTCTGAATTCTCCGTTAACCTTGGGACGGGAGAGAGAGACGAACTGGTGAGGGCTTTCGAAGAGACAGATGAACAGAATTCATATAGATTACTTGGGCTTTTTATGCAGGTCCCAACGGCATCGGTGGACCGGTGTATGATACTTAGGAGTGGGTATATTTGTGAGAAGTGTCAATTATGGTGTGTCTGCGCGCTTGAGGCGGAGCGAGATTTGGCTTAGATCCACCCAGACACCGACAGACTAACAGGCATGTGTGCATCTCACAAGCTTGCTCTGCTATCCTAAAGGGTCAAGATTCATGGGGATCGCTAATGTGCTTCTTCACCCGTGTCAGCTGTCAAACATGCGGTGACCGTGTGGCGTCCGGCAAGTTGAAAGAGAGTGGAATGCTTGGGACGAAAGAAACGTGAGATGCAACTTGTATAGGATGGATGACTTGGACCTGCCTATCCCTGCTCTGCAACGCGACGCATTCTGCAGTCTGCACGGCAGGAGCAGGACGAAAGTAATAGTGATGGGTCTTGCATTATTCAACCAAAAACTCGGTGTCGACGGGAGGCGACAATTGGTTGCCCTAGTATTGATCATGATCATGTTTGTACAGTACGAGATACTCGGTCAAGGCGTGTCACACGTATGACAATGCCAGTACGGTGCCGGGCAGAGCGAGTGGGGTTGAGGCACAAGATCTGTCGCCATGCCAGTTTCTGGGACTCTGTGTAGTACCACTTGATTGCTTGACGATATCTCCGACTTGTTGTTACGGAGAGACCAAACACTACCTCGTATCTAGGTAGAGGGAAGACGTGTTTCGAAGGAAGGTGCAAAGAAGGAGAGGTCCAAAAAGTCGGTGAGCAGTCCAAGCAGGAGGCTGACAAGAATTGTTCCAATTTTCCCGCCCTCCCTAGTCCACGCGCAGCCCGCAGATGGCCTAAGGCTGCATCAAGACAAGACTGGAGCCAGGATCTGAGGGTCGGTTGCGATGGGACGAGTTTTGAGTACTGATGATGTTAATAGTTGACAGTTGTCGTGTGCCATGGTCATCCTGATTTCTGATGGGGGATGATATGGAATGAGAATCTGTTTGCCGTGATAGCAGTCTAGAAGGTCCATAGTTATCTTCCGAGGGGTAGTACAGTTGGACATTGGTGTCCTACTCGTAGTTCTCGAACGTGAATTGGGTACGCACGAGTACTTCGAACCCGTTGTCAAGGGACAATTCACAAGGCTCTGGGCTCCGGGGCTCCGGGATGGGCGACAATTCCAGGACAGGGGTCAAAGTGCGGTAAAGAATTATGCCAGGTACCGGCGATGCCACGAAAACAGACCCACCCAGTTATTTGATACGCACAGTACTTGCAAGACGACGCCTGCTGGGTTTCAAAGAAAGTATTCGAGGGTCTTTATGACTTGGGATCCAAGAACAAGAAATGATCCTCGATTGCTGATTGTGGGTAATCTCTATTCCAAAGTAGAGGTTCTTGAGTCTCGACTCATAGCCACGTTCAGGTAGACAGACTCACACATGGAACCTAGGTATTCGTCTCGGTACTGATGAGTCAATGACAATTGGGCCATCCCACGTAGGAAATCGCCAACCTGGGCTCGAGATGAAAAAAACCAACCAAGTAGCCAATTGGCGAGATGCATCCTAAGATAATTCCACGTCACTTTTTTTCTGGGGAAATGTGGAACTCTTCTCAACGTTTACTACCTGGGTAAGTATCCATATTTGTATTCCGTACGAATACGGAGGGCGGATGACGACTAGTCTATTCCCTTGAGCTCCTCTTTCTCTTGTCTCTTTGACTTGCTCGCCGTTGTGGTTGGTGCTCATCGACATGTGTGCTCAAATTCTCACATACATCAGTGCACCACCTGGGTGGGCATCTCGTATATACGCTCGAAATCCCACCTCTCGTCCCACACATGAAACACTCTGTTATACAACAAAAGTTTCTTTCCGTGCTGCTGGCCAATCCCGGCTGCCGATGGTGTTGTGCAGCACTACAACAACAGGACGACTCTACACGTCAACGCCTCCTTCAACTTGGACACCATCGATATCTCCATTTCGGAATTTGTTAGCCATCTCTTCAAAGGTACACCATTCCACACCCTCGTGTTGATTAATCCACTCAATGAGACGCTCGTGCATCATCAATATCTGGGGCTTGCCACTAACCTGTGGATGAATACTGATTGGAAACACGAAATGGTCGTACTCGCGGTGACAGAATTCGAATTGTTCTTTCCAGAATCTCTCAATTTGGTGGGGGTCAACGAAACCTGAAGATCCTGGCCCACGCACGGTCTGAAAAGCTGGCCAGTCGTCGAGGTGCCAGTTGGCTGGGATCTCCACGATGGAAGATGCCCGCAACGCCGACATTGGTGTCATCCAATCACTGGCCGAGGCATTCTTGTAGTCTGTCTCCTTCCATTTTGCAGGTGGGTATGGCAGATAGTACAGTTGCGAGTCGTGATGCATAAAGGAATGATCATACTCGAGCCCATACTCCTCCAGAAGTTTGACTGTGTCAGGAGATGGTGTCCAGGCAGGGGCTGTCCAACCTTTCGGCCTCTTGCCGGCGAGAGAGCTCACCACCTCTATTGATCTCTGTAAGACATCTCGCTCCTGCTGAGGCGAAAGCTGCGAGACAAATTCGTGTGTATAGCCGTGAAGCCCACTAAGGCTCGTTCAGCAGTGACAGCACAAGAAAGCCATGGTGGCCAGCACGGTTATTTAGCACTTACATTTCATGTCCAGCATCCCTGACTTTGGCCATTTGATCTGGGAATGACTCAATGGAGTGACCTGGTATGAACCATGTCGCTTTGATGTTGTACTTTTCAAACATCTTTAGTAATCTGTCAGTCCCGACTGTTGCTCCGAAGACTCCTCGTGATATATTTGTCAAGTCTGCGGCCTGTCCGGACTGCGTATTGATCCAACCACTAACAGCATCGACATCGATGCCATATCCTACAAGAATTTTCTTGGCCATCTCAGGAAAGAATATTTCAACGTGGAACAACAGAAAATAGTAAAGTTGAAAACACTACGCGCAGAGACTGCTTGAAATTAGTTTTGCAAGAACAGAAGTGATAAGACCGAACGCCATCAGGTTGTCTCATCTTTGTAAATGGGAGACATTGGGAACTTGTGGAGATGTTGAAAGTGAGGAGATGACCGTCCTCCATGACAACTGTGGTGAGCTCATGTCAAAGAGGATGGGCATGGGGAAGAACCTCGGCGAACCCCAACTTGCGGCTTTTAGCCCCTTATTTGCAGCTTTTAAATCGCGTTGCACAGTCTTAAAAGCAGCAATAGACGCGTCGTCCAGTGTTTAATGTTCGCCGTACACGCGTCTATGAATTTGTGCTCCTCCGCATATCACTTCGTAATACCCAGAGCATGGAGCAGGACTGAGCGACCCTTCGCCTATCATCACACATCTTACCAGGTAGCCGTGGCTTCTCAATGCCACGGCTCTCACCTAGGCTTATCCAAAACGCAGCCTTGGTGAATCACCACTTGCCATTCCTCTTGCAATACTGCCGAGACCTTCCTTCAGCTCGAAATGAGCTACGATGGCTCAAGGAATATGCCAGCAGCCTTGCGTCCACCATACCACCTCAGGATCGCTCCCCACATCAAGCGACCAGCCTTGAACATCATAAAAACAAAGTAGGAATACCATTTCGAAGTCCACAATGGCTCAAAAGGGCTGCCTCCTCACCATTGAGGCATTCCAGCGCCTTGACTCATTGTCAGGTTACGGAACGGCAGAATTGCACCACAGACCAAACCTCCTTCACACCGAGGAATAAATTCTATAAAGGAAGACGCCGACTCGGATTCGAGATGGAACGACTCGAGGTGGAACAGAGACTACTAGCCCGAATGGTGTACCGAAGGTCTAGAGGAACGCCGCTGCAGTACATTCTCGGAAGCCAGCCTTTCGGCAACCTGGAAATAGAATGTCGAGAGGGGGTCTTAATACCTCGCTCGGAGACGGAAACATACACAGAACAAGTGGCACAGATATTGTCCCAGCTCATTCGCCATGTCGATAAAGGCTTAGATACCAAGCACTCCCAACGAAAGCGGATCCGTATCCTTGAATTATGCTCGGGGACTGGTTGTATCGGACTTCTGCTTCACTCGATCTTGAAGCCACCCTCGGCAGCTACTTCTTCAAATCGTGGTTCAGTGAATGAAGATCTTGACCTAGAAATCCTGGGACTTGACATATCTGAACGAGCCATAAATCTTGCAAGGGCGAATCTGAGGAGCAACGTCGAGAAGGGTCATTTACATCTCGAGGCTCTTACAGACATTCAATTCGCCAAATGTGATATCCGCGACGTGGACAGTATTCCAGATGAACTCTACATTGAGACGGTGGTGGGAGGAAACGGTACGACACATGCCAGCTTCAGGCCAAAATCTAAGGATCGGGACGAACATAACACATCTTGGGATATAGTCATCGCCAATCCACCATACATCTCGAAGAAGGAGTTCATCGGGTCCGGTGTTGTCGAGAAGAGCGTGCGGAGATACGAACCCAGGTTGGCATTGATACCACCAGATGACGCACAGGCGGCAGACCAGCCCAATCAACCCGACCTCTTTTATCGATTGCTTCTTTCGATCGCCGGCAAACTCCATGCTTCTATCCTAATCATGGAGGTCGGAGACACGGCACAGGCGAGCCGTGTGCTTCGACTGGCCTCCAAGAAACTGGCCTCTGACGATACCCAGCCGCAGATCGAGTCGTGGCGGGACGACGGCTACGTGAGACAATTTCCCATGCACAACCCACAACCAAATATGGATAGAGAAACCAAGGCCAAGGCCAGTGCTATGGAGGAGAATGTGTCTGACCGAGTAGTCGTCTGTTGGCGGAATGAGTGGGCGACATGGCGACGAGAATCCACGATAAACAGCTGAGATCAGAAAACACCCGAGATGCGCACCCTGTCTCCCACATGCTCAAGCAGCACAGTGACAGTAGTAGCCTCACCTCTTCTGCCGTGCGACGTCAAGCACCGGGGACCTATCCCTACAGCACCCACCACTGCTCCACAAGAGAACCAGACCCTACCACTCTTGGTATATAGAACTGACCGTACTCCGGAAAGATGCCGAGTTCGATGCGACCAATTTATCTAGGCCTCAACGTCCACGCTTATAATCAAAAGAAATGTATCGTTATCCGTAGCCTTCCTTTAGTTTGTTCACTGTGTAGAGTCAGTAGTGGCCCGTGCAGATCTTCGCATCAAGCACCCACCCCAATCACTAACTCACTCACGGCACTCAAGAAGATGTTGGTCATGGAAAAGACATTGGTTTCGTTGTTACAGCAAATCTCCTCGCCAGGCGAACTAAGTAGCTGAGACTTCTAAAGCACAAAGCTAGCGCGGACCTGGATACCCTCAGCATCCCATCCTATTGCAGTCCACGCCCTGTCGGTCGTCAGAAGTGAAAATCTCTTTTTGGTACAGGGTGCCCACCATGCCACGTAGTCGTAAATAAGTGATCATCGTCATCAAAGCCCCTTTTCTTTCAGATACATATCTCGTTATGCCCAGCACGCAGCATTCCGCTCCTCCCATATGATAGCCCTTGTTCGCACATCATTTCCCGCCCCTCCAAGAATCACCACCCCTCCCACGATACCCGCCACCACCACCACCGCGTCCGCCACGAAACCCAGTCAGCCGGTCCTGGCCTTTCCTGCCATAGCCAAACTCAGGACCCTTGTCGACCCACTCCTCGCGACCGCCCTTGTACGGCTCGAAGCTGTAGCGCTTCATGCCTTCGTCGCCACTGCGGCCCATCTCCGTGTGGTCGACGCGCAGGTCCCGGAGCATGTCCAGTCGGTCCTGTGCCACCAAATCCGGGACCGCCTTGAAGTATAACTTGGGCTTGGTCGTTGTCGAGGAAAAGAGGTCGTCCAGCGCTTTGAAGCCGACGCCCGTGTTGGTCGGTCGGGACTGTGCTGAGGGGCGTGTCGGTGGGGGCCGGTCGTGTCGGTGATGGTGGTTGCTGCTGTTGTTGTTTGATACGAGGCCTGTTCGGTCGGGGTGGATGTCTTCGGGAAAACTTTCGAGTCTCGGTCTTCCGGCGTCGATGGACGTTCTTGACGTTATCGATTGTCGGGGGAAGGGTGGTTGAGGGTTCCGGGTATCGACTTCTTGGAAGATGGCTTCGGTTTCGCCCTGTCTGTTTTGCTCGTAAATAACTTCGAACCGCTTTCCACCCGCCCGTCCGCCGAAACTGTTCCCGCCGGTTTCCTGGTCAATCCATGATTGAACTTTATCATCAGGGATATAGTCCACAAACAGTGGCTCACGCATAGCTTCGTCCGGGAAACGTGTTTCGTGCATCGCTGTGCGGACACGGGAGGCGGTGGTGATAGAAGTGAATGATATGAAGGCATGCGTGCGGATACTATCCAGGAAGAAAACAGTGATGGGATCTGGGGACTTTGCTAGTGATGAAATGTGGTTCCGGAGAGTGGGGATATGGAGTGGCCGCTTCAGATTGCGGATGTAGATAGATGACGTTGCGGGATGGATAGCAGGGGAGACGTCTCGTTCCTCTGACATTTCCCTGGAAGGTGAGACCGAGCGAGGTTTGTTGTCCGCCATTTCAGTATCGGCAGATGTCGCTTGTGGAAGTACAGAAACGTTGTGAGGATTTTCATCGTTATGTGAGGGGGCTATAGGAGACTTGTCCGGGATGACTTCAGCACCTTTCACTTCAGCGAACTCAGTGATAGCTTTCGTCTCCTCTGATGCTTGTTGATTTCGAGCTGTACCGTCTTCATCGACACTGAGTCTCGCCTTCTTACGAGAGATCTCCTCAAAGGTTGGAACAGGGCTGAGACTTCGCTTCCGACGGTTCTTTTGGTCTTCGAGCAGATCGGCCACTGGAATCTGGGAAGATCTTGGTGTACTGGTATCAGACGATATTTGGCCAAGGATTGAGGCTATGAATTTCTGGCTTGGTTTATCTTGCGCGGATACGTCATCAGAAACCATTGTAGAGTCCTCAACAATAATGTCATTTTTGAAATTTGGGTCAGTCTCTTCTACCTGCTTCGAAGCCTCGACCATGTGCTGTTTAGTCGCTTCAGCTTGTTCTTCAGGGGCACTGGATTCTGGTACGAAGAGGGAGTCGGTATTGATCTTGGTCTCTCCGGCATTAGACTCAACTAGAGACCTGCCCCCATCTTCAACCAGCTCATCTTCATTTCGCAATCCTGTTGGCTTCACATCGTTGGCGGTCTCGTTCAGGCTCACAGGATTAGTGACACTCGCGGCCACCTGAGCTGGCTCATCTTGTGTTCGGTCCTTCTTGTTTCCATTGAGATATTTCGCGTCGGTGTCTTGGTGGGCAACGAGCTCGGCCACTTGTATGTTTGGCTCAGCGGTGTTCTCTTCTGTCTCAGATTGAGGATCAGGCTGGGAACCGATGGATTCGAGCTTTGAAGCTGGAAGTGTGGTTTGCTCTTCTTCGTGCTCGGCTACTTGAGCAATACCATGCTCTTCAGTATTGTCTGATCCTTGTGCCGCTTCGTATTCTTCCAACTTGTCAATGTATTGCTGCTTGAGTTTGAGACCGGTGAGTGGAATGCCACGAGATTTACATTCGTCTTTCAGGTCAGTGACCTTCAATTTGCTCCAATCAGTCATTGCGGCAAGATGCAGGTGGCCGGATGAAATGTCCTAGACATAAAGATTGTGAGGTTTTTAGTGAGCCAGTATTCAAGGATGCGCCATCAGTGGGTAGAATTGGAGAATACCAGCGAAAACATGCGCAGACCACCCTTTGACTTCTCTCACTTTACGCGCAAAAGATGCGACACGTAAACTGCGCCTCAAACCTTTGTATTTCAACGTAGAGATCTGACGTCAACGGGCAAGCGCGATCACGTGACTAGGATGGTAGCGAGTGTGGACGAGTTCTCGAGACTGACGCCACAACAAAGGACAGTTGAAAAGTTGTTCCTGATCAGGACGATTACTGCGGGCTGAGAGACACCGAGAACCCTTGGTGCACACCATGAAGTAAGAAAGTATGCTTAGCGATTTGATGAGCTTTTACATAGGCTGTCTGCCAATTCGAACTTTTATTCAATCTGGCCCAAGCACTTTGGCATCCTCTCAAACACACAGCGGGCCCATCTGAAATGCTATGAGGGTCCTCTTCGTCTTTTCCACTCTTTATGGCTGCCGAGTACTTTTGATCCAATCAATAGCATCGAGAAGATATGGTATCTGATGGTAGAAGATTAGTACCGTAGTTCAGCAATAATATGACACAGGAACAGAATCTTAGTCAAAGACTTACAAATTTATTTGGATCCTCTGTGGCAGGAAAATGACCCAGACCTTTCATGGACTTGAAATTGGCTCCCTGGATTTTCTTGGCCGTGGCATTGCTCATCTCAGGTGTTGTACTCCAGTCGTACTCCCCGGTGAGGAAGTATATCGGGCACTTTTTAACATCAATTGATTTGACACGGTCTCGGGCGTCAAATCCGCCGAAGTAGAAATCCAGATCACCATGGAAGATACCATATGCTTGCCCTGAATACATGTGCTGAAAATTCAAGTGTTAGTAATTATGTAGGACATCGGTGATCTAACCAATCATCCATTGACTCACCCAAATCAATTGCTTGTTGACTAGAGGACTTTGTGGTGCCATCATGCCATAAACTTTGTGCGTGTCAGTCTTCATTCTTTGTTATCATTAGGGGAGGGGAACTCACTCCAGTCAGGATTGTATAGTGCTTGGTTACAAACTGGGGACTTGTCGTTGAATTGTCTATCCATGGTGAGGTAATCGCATCCTTGCAACGGTATGGTGCCGCCAGCCCCGACTTCATCTGCTCGAATGGCCACTGCAACGCAGACTTGGCCTGCCATAGAGGCACCACAGATAATTGGCTTGTTAAGCTTCAGAGCCTTGACCATCTCTCTAATCGTACCAACGTATGCTTCTTCGTTGTTTGTATGGTTTCCAGGGATATGATTACTTCCAGGAAAACTTCGTCCATGTGCAGGAAGATCGAAAGCTATCATGGTGCAAGCATCTCGCATACGCTGATCATTCATGACTCCATGATATTGACGGCTGTCACTCCCAGCAGTGTGCAGGAAAACAATTTCCTGTGTTCCAGTTCCAGACTTTTCATAGAAGATCTTGGTACGGCCCCAGACGGGTGCGTCGATATAGATGTATTTCCCGGTGATATGGTCCTCGTCGATTTCGGGCTGTGTGTCCTCCTTAAGTGGTCCATTCTGGCCTTCTCGAAGCAGTTCGAGAAGTCGAGTGGCAAGGTGACCATACTGAGCAAATTTCACTTGGTTACCATGGATTCCTACACCTTCTTGTTTGATGTTCATTCCTTGTAGCCCAACAAAACTTGTGTAAGGTGCAACAGGAGCAGCATCGAAGAATTTCTGCCACTGTTCGGGTTGGGCACGAAGCACGAAGTCGGCGTCTGAAGATGGCCCTGTTGAGTTAGTCGTCTTTGCGCCTGGTTCTACTTTGACAAGAATGGCGTCGCCGCCACCAGTGGCCTGCACCCCCATGGTTACTGGTTCAATAATAGCCTTCGTATCAACAAAAGCTTGCCACTGTTTATCATTGTTAAGAAGCTTGTCTAAGGATGACACTGCTTGTGACATGGCTTGTGGGAGCGATTCCCAAGAGTGAGCAGTTCCATTGGTAGCGTTTGTGGGGGGCATATTGTTAAATACAAAACTTGATCTTGCTGTGTTTTCTCTTATGGATGATACTTTTGTATCGATATAATGATAGGTGGGAGTAATTCGCTGGAGGGGGAATAGATACAGCTGAGCTGAAGAAGGAATCTCCTCAATAGTTGTCTCTTACCTTTATGCTCCATAGCATCTGCGGAGACACGGACTGGGATCGTCGGCGTCCCGTTGTCATTATGCAGGCGCGGCAGCACTTGAGAGGAGCAAAACGCATGTATGGCCAAAGGCAGGTATTCCATGAGCCTATTGCACAAAGCAAAGGCCTGCCAGGGTTTTTGTACATGACGCAGTTGAAGACAAACCCTGATACTTATTCTCTCGAAAACGAGTGATTTCGGTCATATCCATTCGCCAGGACCAATGGTCGAGCAGCAACCCCGCAAAGTAAGGAATTCCGAGAGGAGATGTGGAGTTGAGAGCATTTGAAGTACTGGAAAACGGCTCGTGGAAATCAAGAGCTCTTGACGGGGACAATTCAGTATCATCAGGGATAATTTATAAGAAAACCACAAATCCTCGAAAACATTTTCTAGCCTATCCTCCGTAGGTGGTCGTTGTTATCAGATTTTGGAGAATCGTGGCGACACTCATGACGAGTCAAACGCTCTTTTCAAACACAGATGGGCAAATGAAGGAGCTCCGCGGTTGCACGCCTTGCATTACACCTCCATGGGAATAGGCTAATGCGTGTTCTCAGGTAACATGAAACAGTGTATACATGAAGGTTCGTGGGTGAAGGAAGAGTAACAAAGATTTGTCGACCTTTGAGAGCGACGGGAGTTTAACCAGATGTGGTTAAGGCTGCTCAGCGAGGGCTCGGATCACATGATAAGGCTGTCGTTTCCGTCATCGGAAAGCATTTGCCTGACAGTAAATGCTGTGAACAACACTACTACATATCTATCTCCTTATGGTGGAAGAGTGCACGACATGGCTGGTGAACCGGAATCAGATTCACCTGAACTGTGGCGGTTGCAAAAATTGCTCGGAGGAATTGATTAGGCTAATACGATGGATGAAACAGGGGACTGAAATTGTTTCTTGCAGAAAGTTGTTGGTTTTTGTCCATCTCCGGATTCCGGAACCAAGTTCAGTGATTCGTACGTAGACGGAAAGCCTCCCGCCCTCGCCTCATGATGCAAAGAACATTTCGACTCGTGCTTCGTAGGCACTAAACCCTTGTCATCAGTTGTTGATCTGAATTGGATTTCTTTGAGTCTTGCCCTTGTAGACAATGCCAAGCAGTCAATGCTCAAGAACAAATGTCTCCTGACCGGGTGGCTCAGTCTAATGAATGAATGAATGAGCAAATTCCATTTGATCCTCTGCCTCTGAGAAAGTGATTTCTTCAGAAAGGGGCGGACCATTGACCGTCCAGTGGGCTTCTTTTTGTTTTGGACTCAGTCGTGACCAGTCCCTGACCCATCGACTTGTCTAGGCGAGATCCGTCTTTTGGATGAGTTATTGCAAGTTGACCCGACTTTAATGACTCGAAAAAGAAAAGGGAGGAGAATTGGCGTCGTCGTTGAGGCACTACTGCTAGATCGCACCACCTCGCCGAGTTGATGCCAAAGCCAGCTTCACCGGCGCCTCCTCGGCTAGCATTCGGCGGCATGTCGTTCAAAATTGAATCAGGCCGGCAGGTGTCTACTCGTAACTAGCAAGGCTAGCCTTGAGATCGAGGCTTCAGATTTTGTGGGGAGTGCCCACTAACGGCTCCCGGAACCAACGCGAATCTCAGTGGGCTTCCAAGGAGGGATCCGCTATCCCTCCACGTGAAACTAGCATCAGACATCCATTGCTTCAGCGAGTCCGCGACTTTCAAACCTCCAAGACATGTCGCCCACCTCCAGCCAATTTACCAATAGGAATTCCATTGCCTGTTCAGTCACTTGGACACTACAATTCGGTATTTATGACGACATTTGGTTGCCTGAGCTGGCCTGCTTGTCTCGATTAAGATTCAATAGCTTGATCAAAGACCTCCGTGATACCCTCCTGGGCGGGGTGTGTCAAGTACTCTTTGACAATCTCGCCTTCAGAGTTAAGCGCAACTCAATCACCTTTTCCATGGCATCTCTGGTGTCCAAGTAAGGGGAATCGGTGCTAACTCGTCCTCGGCACACAAACTCAAACTCCTCGGTAGGTAGGCACTGGGATTGATATAAGAAACATATCTGCCTCGCCTCTTCGTTCCAGATGTTTCCTCTTTTCCTTCTCCATCCTCATCACCCACTTCCATCTTTTGCATTGCTCTTTGCTATTCCTACCGCTGGTCGGTTCATTCATTCCATCTTCTTTCGCGAGCTAGTCTCTCTTTTCAGCACTTCTTCCAAGTTCTCGCATTTCGTTCTTTACGTCTCTCCCGAATTCAGGAATTCTCCCTCCAATTCACAACTCAATCAACATGCTCTCCAAACAACTCGCACTTGCCCTGCTCATCGCAGTGGCTCAAGCCCGCTTCGGTCAAGAACAAGTCCCCATCGCCGCGATCTCGGCGGTCAATGGTGGTAACCCGGGTGAGGCCGCCACCATTGCCGGTGCAGCCATCAGCGATTTGCTCGCCGGCTCCAACGCCTGTGACAAATTGAAGCGAGGTGATGAGATCCTGGCAAAACTCGGTACCGGCGCCGATGCCGTCGCCGCTGCTATTGGAATGGTTGCCGCAGAGAAGAACTTCAATCCTTTCGTCCAGGACATCCCCACCATCTGCAGTGATCCCACCCTGCCAGCGAACGCACTTCTACGTGGCATCACTCCTCTGATTGACCCTGCTGTTGATGGTGCCGCCGCTGTCAATGCTCTATCTGCTCAGACGGCTGCCAACCCTCTGAACGCCGCTGGCAAGAGTGTTGCTGATCTGCTCACCGAGAATGGATTCTCCAACTTCATCTCCCAGACAGCCGGTGGTGCTACCACTCAACCTGCCGCTGGTGCAGGCAATGGTGCCGGTGCCGGCAACGGCAATGGCAATGGAGCTGGCAATGGAGCTGGCAATGGAGGTGCTGCTTCTAGCGCTGCCCCTGCCGCCACAAACTGTGGTGCTGCACCCGCATCAACCGGTAAGTTCACTCCGCCTACATGTTGTCCTCTCGAAATGCTAAACATCCCTTCTTAGTTGCTGCTACATCTGCCGCAGCTAGTGCTACCGCCACTGCTGGTACTGGCAATGGCAATGGCAATGGAGCTGGTAACGGAGCTGGCAATGGTGCCGGTGCCGGTGGTGCCGCTGACTTCGGCAAGTGCGTACCTACCATGAAGTTCGAAGGTGGTCTCGGAGGCCGACCCGCAACCGAGTTCACTTTCTTGCCCATTGACCCATTGGTTGCTCAAGGCCAACAAGAGGCTCTTAACCCTAGTACGTCTTCTCTCCGGTTCCCCCATCTACATCCATTACAATATCTAACAAAACAACTTCTAGACATCATTACCAACCGCATCTGCGATCAACTGACCAATGTCTGCGGTGCCAGCGCTGCCGCAAAGACTCTGTGCAAGTCCGCCCAAGCCCAGATCCTGGCCCTCGGCACCCGCAACAAGGGCACCGCCGACACCTGGAACACTCTTCTCGGATTCCCCGGCACCGTCACAAACCCCAGCGGTGGTCCAGCCGAGCCTCCTGCCAAGATGAGAATGGTCCGCTCTTTCAGAGCATAGGGACCATGTGCCTGTTTGATTGCTTGTCATCAAGAATTTTCCTTGTCCCTTTTCCCCTTCGAGAGCGTGTTATTTTCGATTTTCCCCCTTCGAGAAAGAAAGAAAGAAAGAAGAACCGGCTTTTCCGTGTATTGGAGGAAAATTCCTCCTATATGACCTTACTCAAAAAGCTGGCAAGTGGAATAGCATCCTGTTTGTTTTCCTTATAACGAGATATGTACCATCATTACATACTTGCGTGCATTTGTTTTAGATAGCGTCGTGGCGTGTCTCATGAGGTGAGAAAAGCCCAAAAAGTGATCCTCCATGACCCCGATATAGAGGATCATTGAAGAAAGAAAGAAGAGGGGACAACAGAGAACCCAAGGATACGAGGGGTTCATTCAAATAAAAAGGATCATCAGATCCATTTTTCTCCCACCCCTATTCTTTGACTTCCTCGAAGTTTCTGTTCTGTCCTTGACCTGAAAAACCTCGTTTCTGTATTCGACATCCAGTCAAACCAGGGACTAGTGTTCATCCATCAATCAATGTGTGGAAGTACATCTGCCGCGCTGGCACATCTGACCACGAAAAAGAAGTAAGTATCTCAGGATCATTTGATCCACCTTTGGAGCCGTTGGTCAAGGGAAAATGTAATTTGAGCTTGCTGAAACATAGATGTGTATCGTGAATGCGGCGTCCCTGTGCTGTGCTATGCTATGTACTTCAGCGACAAACAAGGGATTTTCTACTGGCCGGCGACAATGTATATATGGATATAGGTACAAAAACTAAATGTAGTGCGACTTCAAAGCACAGTTGCTCTCTCTCTCTTTCTCTTTCTCTCTTTTTGCCTGGTATTTCCCGTTCGTTCCGCACGAGCCCAAAAGCCCAGACAGATGCTGCACTGCACTGCACTCACCTACCTACCTCGACCCCCTCCCTCGACGCTGAGCAGGCGCCCTCGATGCATAAAAGCTCGCGGTTTGCCCACCGCTGGATGCGTCAGAGTTGAACTGACAGACCACACCGCACGACATGGCGGCGCCCCCAGCGGAAGCAGAATCGACGAGGCCACGCCTCTCCTCCCCCCCAAAAAAGCACTATTCTCAGCTATCAATCGATCAATCAAAAATCAATCAGTCAGCCCCTACTCCTGTTAGAAACGACGTCTCGATTCAAAAGCCCCCGGCCCCCACAGCAGCAGCCAACTTGGAAGAAAAAAAGCATATCCCTCACCACGCAGTCAAGTCGCCGACCTCGGCCTCTCCAAACGTGCTACTCTTGAGTAATTTACCGACACCATCAGCACCACCTCCAGCGGCACCATTGACGCCCTCGACACCCCCGACGCCGGGCCTCTCCATGATATCCGGCAGGACGTCTCTGAAGAAGGCGAGCAGGTAAGAATTGACCTGTTCGAACTGCAGCAAGAAGGCGTCGTGGCCCTCGGGCGAGTCGATCTTGCCCAGGCGCGCGTTGGGGATGTTCTCGGCAATCTCCTCCTGCTCGGCGATGGTGAAGAGGCCGTCGGACTCGATGCCGAGCACGAGCGCCGGCTGTTCGATCTGCGCCAGGGCTTCTTTCACCGACGCCGCCCGATTCCGCGACACGTCGTGCGTGTCCAGCTTACGTGTGATGGCGATGTAGCAGTTTGCGTCGAACCGCGTCACGAATTTCGTGCCCTGGTACCGGAGGTACGATTGCGCTGTGTAGTAGTATTGTGTGGGGCGGGAGTTGCGGCGGGATAGGGTTGGGGGGATGGGGACGGGGAATTCGGTCGTTCCGGTGAATTGTGGATCTTGGAAGGTGGTGTTGGCTGCTGGATCTGAAGCTGTGGCCGGAGCTGATGTTGGTGGCGTGGCAGTGGGGGAATCGGGTTGTGATGATGCTTCACTGATTCTGCCGTTTCGGGACGCTGGTCGGCTGTCGCGTGGTCCTTTTGCTCGTCTGTGTCCGTCGTTGTGGATAGTCCAGTGTTCGTTCTGGCCTTCCGGGGTCTTGTGACCTTGGTTGATGGAAGGTCTCTTAGACAAGTCCGGTACATTCCGACCGAATCGAGCTTCGAATGAATCTCGACTCCGGTAGGTCAGGAGAGCTGACATGCGTGCGGCGCCGAGACCGGCTGTGGGAGGGTCATTGACTGGGTAATACCCGTCGTCATATTTTGGATCCGAGTAGATGGCCTGCCGTTGTGCCTCTCCCCAACTAATACCCCAGGCAGAATGGGTGGCCGAGGTGGCGATGGGTGCGATTGCGCGGACGTAGTCTTTGCCAAAATATGCGTATTCCAGCGTCAGCATGCCGCCCATGGATCCGCCAACCACACAAGCGATCTGTCGTACTCCGAGTTGGTCGAGGACCAGCTTGTGAATGCTACCATGTCTGTCAGTATTATTTCCACCCGTATGATGAACATCACATACTTGACATCGTCTCTTATGGTCGTAAGAGGGAACTCTGGACCGTATCTCTCCTGCGAAGAATCCCCATTCTTGCTCGTGACAGGACTGGCACTTCCATATGGACTTCCCAAGCTATTCAAGCACACGACGAAGAACCGAGTGACATCGAATGCCTGGCCAGGCCCGCCGAGCAGAGGGCCCCACCAGTCCGCGACATCTGCGCTGCCGCTCAAAGCATGGCATATGACTAAAGCGTTGTCTTTGTTTTCCGAAAGCTGACCGCGCGTCGTGTATGCGACGGGGGCATTGTAGAGGACCTCGCCGGACTCGAGGGTGAAGGTGGGGATGGTGAAGAATTGCTGATCTGGCACCAGAGCGGCGAATAGGTTCTCGGTTTGATGTTGGAATTGGGGTTGAGGTTGAGGTTCAGGTTTCTTGGGGGCATTCTCTACGGGATTTAGTAGCCGTTCTATATATTTTTTAGACTGCTGGGGAATGGAAAGAGATTGGGATATGCTAAAGGAAAGAGAAACTGTGGTATATACTGACGGGAGGGTTGTGAGATGGCCTGGGCCTCCGCGTTAGAGGTCGTAGCCGTCATTGTTTTGGGGGATTCAAGGCGGGGGTTTCCTGACGATTGTTGATATTTTCCAAGTGTCCGAACGATAGACGAATGAGGATTGACACAAAGAAATCTGGAGAGTTGTTTAGAGTTATGTGAGATCCATTCAAGGCTTTATGTCAGCGAGATGATTTATGAGTCAAGAGTCAAGAACGGAAATACGAGTCATCTTTGGTTGAATGTGGAGAGTTATCTTGTGTTTCGAGATTTCACGCTGGTAGTGGATTTATTAGTGGAAGCTCGGTATTGACTTTTGTCGTGTCATGTCATCGGGATGCTGCTCCTGGTTCTGTGCTCCATGAGTTGCCGACATGGAATCAAAGGACTGTCCCGCGGGAGGAATAATGACACCATCGTCGACGAATAAAAGATTCAAAGATTGCCCCTCTCGGAGAATTCTGCGAACATTGGCATCGGCATTGTCAACACGTGAGTGCTGACATCGTCCTTCGTTCACGTAGACTGTTACTCGTAGTCAAGGCCATCACATAATTCAGGTAATATATACGTTTTTGAACTTTTTATGATCATTTACGCTACATAGCCTCAATTTTTTACTCTCCATAAACACGAGAGACCGTCGCCTGCTGGGCATATGAAAAGATCGAGAACCATGGTAAGAAGATGGCCGCGCTGCAATAAACGCCAACATTATTGCAAGCAAAATGCAAGAATTCCCTGCCACGCCACGCCATGCCATGCCCAATCTAGTAAAACACATTGCTCATCGTTGCAAGCAATTCATTTCGAATAGTGGTATGTGATTTTCCTTCCCATGCATGAAATTCCTGTCGAGCTATCATGGCCCTCTTCTTGGCCGTTTGTTATCTCCCGATCCTCGAGAGCCACCCCTTCCGCCAGCACCGCTGCCTCCACCCCGTTCGGCCCCTGGTCCAGGACCATATGGGCCAGGTTCTTCTCCTCTTCCGTGTTTCCTCGAAGGCTGTTCCTCCCTTGAGGGCGGTCCCGATCTTGCATATCCTCCGCCTCTGCGATCATCACCTTCTTGGTTGTGACCATGGTCCTCACGTCGACTTGATCTCTCCCTATGTCGTGATGGGTCTGTAGGTCCATGTCGTTCGTCTTTGCCTTCTCGTCCATCTGGTCGGCTCTGATGCTCTCTATCTCCACGAACATCCTCTTGCCTGCCTGAATGCCTAGTAGGTCTTCTTTCTGATCCTCGTTCATTTTCGTAGTCGCTACGTCGGTCTCGATTACTGTTATGGCGACTAGCAGAAGGACGGGTGCCCACTGGCACATCATTAGGATTGGCCGAAGCCGCAAACAAGTCTTGCTGAGGAGGATACCCATTCGGTGGAGGAGGTCCACCCGGGGGTGGTGGAGGCGGTGGGGGTTGCATGTGAGAGCCAAATGTACCACTTCCTTGCCTCATATTGCTACCCCCGCGTCCTCGGATTGATGTGCCCTGACCAGCTTGAGCCAATGTGTTGTTGACGGCTGCTAGAGGGTGGCGATTATTCCGGCCTCCACGTCCGCCTCCCGAATCGTTCATTTGTGGACCAGCAGGGGGACCACGGGTTGAAGGTGATGGTCCAGATGGGGCTCCAGCTGGTGGTTGACCTCGTGGTCCGGCAGGAGCATGGTTTGGAGGAGGTAGAGATGATGATGTTTGATTGTTTCGACCACCTTCAAGATTCGTTGCATCGATCTGGTTAAGACGCGATGGATGAACCCCAGTTGAGTCAGGTGTACTTGGCGTGGCTGGTGCTTCATTATTATATGAGCTGTTTCGTCCATGTCTCTTGGCCGACGGACCGGTGGGTGTGGGCCTCTCGCTAGGTCCAACAGGAGAAAGTTGAGTATCAATAGGTGGACCACGAGCACCCTTTGGTCCGTTGACAGGAGGTGGTCTGGTACGAGGCCCAGATGGAACATCTGAGGCAGGACCTCGGTCTGTAGCCCCCGAATTCGAAGGTCTTGATGCTGGCTCCTGCTCCAATCGTCCATGCTGCATATCGACGGGAGGTTGTCTGGGTGCTCTCGAATCCCGGGATGCATTCTCTCTAGGGCCTGGTCGAGAGTTTGGACCATGAGGTGAAGCGTCTCTAACAGGGCCGGAATTTGAGGGCCCGGCAGCTCGAGACGCTATCAGATCGGCTCGACGTTCGGTCAAGGGCCGGTCATCACCATCTCGTCGTGGATATGGTCGTCTTTCTTCTTCTCGTCGAGGAGATGAAGGACGTGACGATCGTGACGGCCGATCCTGTGCCTGTACCCTGGCCGACGCATTGGGACGCAATTCATTCTTGCCTTCAATCAGAGCAGCTCGTTCGGGATTAATTGATGGCGCTACCGTTGCCTGAGATGGCAGTTCTTTGCGCTGAGAGTTACTCTTTTGTAAAGAGGTTTCGGAAGAGGCTGCCTCATGACCTGCCAAAGGTCGTGCCCGAGGGGTCAACTCTCGTGGCTCACGTTCACGCTCTCCCGGAGGAGGCCGCATTGGAGGCCTTTCTCTGTCCGATTGGCGTGGTCGTTCGTATGGTGTGGGTCTCTCGTGCTCTCTCTCACGTGGTGGATAGCCTCTTTCTTCGCGACCAATAGAAGGTGGCCCTTCGCTTCGATCATATTTGCGAGAATGACGATCATATTCATCGTAAGGTCCAACCTCAGGACCTCTGTAGCCAGATCTCACGTCCCTGACATGTGGTGAACGAGATTCAGGGGCGTTCCTAACATCTCCCAATTGTCTTGCTGGCATACGCGGACTATCTCTGTGGCCATTCCGCAGGTCTGGTGCCTCAGGTCGACTAGGAAGATGAGCTGGAGGAGGGCCCCGTACAGGCGGTGGTGAAGGTCGTCTGGGTAGGTTTGGTTGCTTAGATAGATCTGAGCGCACTGGGCGCGAATCTCGTTTTCCACCAGATTGAGCTTCAAGAGCCTGCCTAGAGGGCGTAGACGATCCTTGGCTAGGAGCCGCTCTCGATTCAGATCTAGATGAATCAGCTGTGGACTCCGCCTTCGTGATTTCAGATTGCGCCGTCTTAGTGGTTGATGCTATCTCTTTCTGGGCGCTAGTGCCAGTCTGTGTCTTGGTTGGAATGTCGGTCATGATCGTGTCCTTGACTTCTCCATCCTCAGCAGCTTTGGCGGTAGGTTTGACAAATGACTCTGCCGCCTTTCCCACTGCGACTTTTGATGGAACGACGGTCTGATTGGTGTCCCCACTGGGGTCATGTCCATCCTTAAATTTCAAGGGAGACACCCACGACTTTTCTCGTCTGTGTAGAGCGCCCAACAATGCTTGAGATGCAACCTTAAGATCTTCCTTGTCAGATTGACCAAGTTTGTCGACAGCTTTCTGCAATCCCACACCATGTGAGTTGACCGCGGGAAATGTTACTGAAATAGTGCGCAATACTGAGATTGCATTCCGAACGTGCATGTATTCGGGTGACGTAAGACAGTCGACAAGCGCAAGATAGAGACTGCTATGCCATTTGAACAACACCTTGCGGAAACTCTCATAGGTGAATAATTGCACTGGTCTACCTGCTTCCACTTTTAGTGCAAAGCCAGGGAGATTCTTCTTGTTACCCCAGGCCTCTCGTTCGTACGTTTGCTTTATGAGATGCCACCGACTTGCATCCTTCAATATCTCATTGATGAATCTTCCAAGGTTGTCAGATTCTTTCGAGGTGCAGCTGAAGATCAAGGATGTGATTCTTGCCGGTCTGAAGAGCACATCGTAGAAACCAAGAGTTCGAAAGTTTGGCGTACCGGTGCTGTGTAGATACTTGACGAATTTGAAGCAGAAATAAGCATCCAGTGGCGAAGAGAGAAGGCGTGGCAGAAAGCAGTGTTCCATGAGTGCAAGATTGAGCGCCTCGTATATTCTGGCCTTCCCAAAGAACCACTGGTCTTTCTCTCGTTGAAGTTTGGCTCTGCTTTCGCTGAAAGCTTTTAGATGGTCCTTGTTCTCGGCCAACAACTGGTCCACAAGTTGCGTGAGCTCCTTTTTGGCCAACTCCTTCTTCTTGGTGCCAGATGTACTGACATCTGACCGGTCTGCAGCGATTGAAGCAATCTTCTTCCTCTGGCGTTGTATCTCTTCATCGTAGGATTTGCCAGGGATTGCAATATCGTACAGGCCCAGTTGCCAAAAGGTAGTATAGAAACCAACACCAATGATCTCTGAAACTTCCTCTGGCAGGTGATCTTCAATCGCAGTCATTATTTCTTTCATCACTGGATGCCAACAGTCCTCCATCACAAGATCTTCTCCTGGGGTTTTGCTTGATGGTTCAAGCTCAGAAGGCCCCGGAGTGCTTGTAGCTGTGGGAGAATCATTCATGTCATCATCTTCGCCAGTTTCACCGTCTTCTTCTGATGGTATCTCACTGATATGATCAGATGTCTCAATGTCTCCATGTGCTACTCTTTCATCATTCGTTCCATCAGTTTGATCAATTTTGGCCTCTCTGTCAAAATCTTGCATTTGCTTGGCAATGATGGGTCTAGTGATCCAGAAAGCGATTTCAGGACGGATTTCGTACTCGATCAGGAGACTGTTGATTTCTGGAATAACTGAACGAAATTCTTCGGCAGTTAAATTGTAACGAAGGAGGTCCAGATATTGAACCAGAACTCGTTGCACTTCATCATATGTGTTGCCCATTACTTTCAATGGTACATCGCCCTGATCGAAGATGCAAGCCTGTCGTTGTTGGGCGAGGGCGATCAGGAATTTGGCAGCAAGACCTGTGTCTTGCAGAGATTTCATCAATCTTTCCGAGGTCTTTTTAGACTCATGCCTCCGGTCAAGTAATTGCAGTATGGTCTGAGCTTGGAGCAGAGGTCCACCTCCCATGGCTTGCAATTGGGCATCATTGTAACTTGTGTCCGTCGTAATACCACCCATAGATGCCACAACCTGCTCCAGCATTTTCAGGTCTGCGGTATTCCCCTGCTCAAGCTGTTCAACGACATACTGCAGTACGGGTCCAGGTCGCATCATTCCGTAGCGTTTGTATATTTTACCGGCGAACTGCGAAAGTGCAATGAGCCACTTGCTGGTGAACATGCCCCCTTCCTGAATTCTATTCCTGCCGGTTCTTGCCATGGAGCTCACAACAGCCCAGGTAAGGATGTCATAGCCAAGATCGGTAAAATAGCGAGCACCCTCCACAAAAACCTCAGCAATACTATCATAGACCTCAATTTGTGGGAGAGCGGTGGTGATGACAATATGGGGATTAGCGAAGGCAATTTTGGCTAAAGCTCGGGCCATTGGTCGTACATTCGTGTTAGAAATCCGCTTGAGGATGTCTTTGGTTTCGGCTTTGGCCTGATCGAATGCGGCCTTGATGTCCGGGTTCCGTGACGTTTTACCACTTGACCATTCAAGATAGAGGACATAGCGAACGCTGACAGGGAAATTGCTGATAAGCTCCCAGACTTCGTTAACAATTCCAGCATTGTTTTTTGTCAAACTCAGAGCAGGGAGGATGATGCGTTTGCTCAAGTCCAGCCATCTTGATCGGTTGGAATCGCTCCGATCTGCGTGGAGACTATGCCTCCCGATTCGAGCAAATTTGAGAAGAAGACCAGGATCTTGGCCAATCTTGACACCAACAAGAGGTAGTAAAGTGTCTGCAAGGGTAAAGAGGTCATCCACGTTTTGGCATATTGGGACGTTATCGCTCCACTCATCCCAGTAAAATCGATAATCATTCCCATCATTACTGTCGGTTCTATCGAGCAGTGGCCATCGAAGTGCTTTTCTCTCCGCATTGTCGACTATCTTGACCTGACCCTTTGGCAGGCCCGGAATATCGGTTTCGTAACTTGGCGCAGAATCGCTCAATGATTTGCGTGCTTGTAGGGGTCTGACTTCACCATAGACCTTACTCAAACATCGATGCAGAAGACGATGGATATATTCTGGGAGGTCAGGATAAAGTTCCATCAACCACGGGAATTTCCCTAAGATGAAGAGAGCCTCTGGAAGTGCACCAATAGCCAGGAGGCTTTTCAAGAGGAGAACTTTCTGATCTGAAGGGGCGTTGGATTCTTTCGCGTTAATTTTATCCGCATCCGGGTCCCTGGCAGGTGTGCTAGCTCGTGTTGTCGAGTCTTTGAGGCGACTGGGGATTGGTAGTGTATCATCCGAAAGTGCACCTGCCATGAGCAAAGCATTTTTGGCAGCCGCACCTGGCCTCGCGGCTCGCTCTCGCTCGGCTTTTTCCTTGAGTTTCTGTTGTTTGAGTTCCTCCATATCATCATCGGTTCTCCAGATATGAGGATAAAGGTCCTTCAAAGAAACGAAGCCAATTTTGATGAGCAATGCCGAGAGGTAGATGAGATTATCAGGTAGCACATCGGACTCGTCTCGCGCGGCAGATGAGGAGTAAAATCGTAGCTTGAATCCCAGTAGTTGTGCTGCGTCTCGATTTCCAGAAGGTGGAAGTGTGCCGGTGTGTTGAACCCACTGTGCCCAGAGATCATCTTTGGGGGCTTCTGAAGCTCGGTCGATCTGCTCCTGGGAGACCTGTGATCTCCCGAGAAGATAGAAAGCCTTCAATCCCTCCTTTTTTGCAACGGGCCAAAATGCGGCATCTCGAGCTTCAGCTTCAAGCGCAATGACTTGGCTCTGTTCATCTGTAAGATGCCAGTCGGTAGAACCTGGTAGAGCCCAGAGGGGCAGTCCTCCCAGTGCTGCGGACTTTTTAGATATTGTACTTTGTCTCGGCCACCAAGGACTGGCTCTTAAGAACTTGACAAAAAAGCGGAATTGCTTGACAAGAACCGCGCCGAAGACGTCCAGAACAACATCAAGACTTCGGCCAACATCGAGATCAAAAGCACCGATCATAGCTTTGACCTTTTCCACCGTATCCTCGACGACCTCTGCATTTGGTGGTTCATTGTTGCTCGTAGTGAAAAGCTCTGTGATTAGCTTTGCAAATCCTTCCGACTCTTCGCGCATCAAGTTGAAATTTGCTTGACGATACAGGATATTGGTTTGCTTCCTGACAAGTTGACGGCTGAATGTGCCTCTGATAAGATTGAGCTTTTCAAGCACGGCAGCGTCGAGTTCAAGTCTCAGCAACTGATGAGAGATTCCGGTTGTGAGAAGGAAGACAGACAATCGATCTTTGGGTAGCGCTGCATTTGCCTCGAAGATGATGGATATTGAGTCGAGCAAGGCCGCTTGAGATTGTGTTGGGGAGAGAGTGGAACTGATCTCATCTTCAGTCGTCTCGGTTTTGAACACTTCTTTGACTAGTTGGCCAGCATCAGGTGGATCGAGTCTTCCATATATGACGGACTGGACGACCTCGTGTAGAATGGCTGCCAATTCTGTACTCTCGTCTTCTTGTAGCCCAGCTAGAATCTGTCGGAGCACCTCATCCTTACCACTTGTTTGCCAGGCTGTAGTTATTTTGTCTGTGACATAAGTATAATTGAAGGGCTGAATGGCAGGGGGAGGGTCGGAGAGTTCAATGGCCACGTGATCAATCGTTGATGTCGTCTCCATATCGCCGTTAAGTCGAGGAGGATCGCGATTTACCGGGACTGGAGGGGGAGGGTTCTCACGGGGGCTAGTCACAGGACTGGCAGCAAAACTGCCTCCACGGCCACCTCGACTAGATCGTCTTGAATTTCGACCACCGCGCAGTTGTTGAAAGTCACGATCATTGCTGGGCGAGCGTGGACCTTGATGGGCCAGGTTCAGACTGCCTGGCCGATGAGGTGAGGGTCGAAGGTTCTGCTGATCATCGGAGTATGTACGATCGGGCCTTTTCCTCTTGTTTCCGCCCTGAGGGGGCATGCCTCAATGGCGCACCCTTCTCGATCTCCACGAACGAATGATGGAATATTTTATCTGGTGTCGCATGGGCCGAGTTGATTCATGAACGGAGATGGGGGGATGGGTTTTCTGGAAGTAAATTGAAGTTCCGAGTTGTGTCAAACTAGGAAAAGAACCATGGATATCTGGGGTTTGGAAAAATGAGGCTATTGTGAAAGGATAGATAGAAGGTGGGCAGTTAGGTTGTGATGGTGAAAGGCGCGGAGCAATTCATTGTCAACCATCATCCAGACGATCTAACTAGTTACTGAACGCAGCTAGTTGCAGGCTAGGCCGAAATAATTGTGGTCACGTGGTAGTGAGTCAGATATTGGACTCATTCTAAATATCTGACTCGCGCATCTCTCCTCAGCTTAAGACATTCCTTGGAGTGTGTGCGGTGCAGTAGGATCTGAACTTTCATCCAACGTCACCTATGAGATCATCGGCGGGTGCCTGAATAGATTGAATCACGTAGACTCTTCAAACAGGAACTTCTGCGAAAGTTAAGTAGTGCTCGCTCCTGGCAGTCGGATACCATCACCCCAATCGTATTCTCAAACGTCTAAGCATTGATAAACTCACAGCCATGGGCCCGAAGGTATTTCTGTGAGTAGTCCGACTAAGGTGCTCAATCATTCGAAGAGATTAATAACAAGATCTCAGAACTGGTACTACAGGGTACATTGGGGGCGATGCTCTCTACGTAATTTCACAGAAGCACCCAGAATGGGAGCTCACTGCGCTGGTTCGAAATAGTGACAAGGGCGCCAAAATTGCTGCAGCTCATCCCACAGTCCGCCTTGTCTATGGAGATCTTGACTCTGTAGAATTGATTGAAGAGGAAGCCGCCAATAGTGACATTGTCTATCATTTTGCAAACTGTGACCATGAACCGTCTGCCACGGCCATCGCAAAAGGTCTTGCTCGACGTGAGACGCCTGGCCCGGGATACTGGATACATACATCAGGCACGGGAATATTGGGAATCGAGACACTGGCTACCGGGGCATTTGGCGATTTGCTACCGAAAGTCTACGATGATTGGGATGGCATCGAGGAATTGAAGTCTCATCCTGACGAAGCTCCCCATCGCAAAGTCGACAAGATCGTTCTTTCTTCTTACTCGGACAAAGTCAAAACAGCAATCGTTTGTCCTCCATGCATCTATGGTCCAGGTCGGGGACCGGACAACCAACGCTCGATTCAGGCGTACAGAATCACGGAAGCTTTTCTCAAACATGGGCGAGGATTTAAGATAGGAAAGAGTGAAAACATCTGGCACGGTATTCATGTCCAAGATCTGTCAGACCTCTATCTTTTGCTGGGCGAGGCAGCTATAAATGGAGGCGATCCAGCAACGTGGAACGAAGAAGGCTACTATCTCGCGGAAAACCAGTCCTTCGTATGGGGCGACATTCTACAGGAGATTGCCAAAATTGCTGCGAAAGAAGGCCTCCTTCCAGATGGTACTTTGGAAGAGAGCACACCTGAGGTGGGAGACACCTATATGGCGAGGGCCAAGTATTTCGCTGGCACAAATTCAAGAGGTATATCTCTCAGGGGCAAGAAATTGTTAGGATGGAAGCCAAACCGGTGCAGTCTTCAGGAAGAGCTGCCAGCGGTCGTCAAGGGCGAAGCGAGTCTCTTGGGTTTGCTCAAGAGTCATGCTGAAAAGGTCCAAGAGTGACATTGATTGTCGATCAGCAATAGTCCCAAGTCGTCGCCAGGCTGGCAGGCTCCCAGGCGCCAGAGGGTTGGGCCGCAACGGAGAGTCGACAAAGCTGTATGGGTGGTATTGCCAATACCTCTGCAACCTGGTTCATATTTACGATATCATGAATCAATTCTGATTTTCCAAGTCGCGGGATAACTCGGTCAAGAGACGCTATTGACATTCAGCCCGAACCAAACAATTCCCAGAGTTCTAGAGAGTTTTGTAGGAGTGACAAACAATCCATGCTCCACTTGGAAGGCCTGGTTGCCTGTTCGGACATCGTCGCCGGCCTGAGTTATCCAGTCGATGGAGTTTGCTAGCAATAGATCCGGGCATTGTGAGTAACAGGTATCGAGGCAGTCCAAAAGAGAAAGTAGCAAAGTCGATACGCGGCCACCAATCAAGAAGCTTGACTTGATGGTTGTCGTGATTTACCACAGAATGACGTCAAGGTTTACGCCGGCATTCGAGGTACTTAATCATCTACCTAGGTAGCCTCTCCTCAAAAGGCTTCAGTATATTTATGATTGAAACACCAGCCTGTTCTGAATATATCATTCATTGTATACAAATCTTTCTTGGCGGTGATTGAGAGGTGCAGGTGGTAAACAATTGTTTGGGTGCCCAACTGTGAGACCCCTTGGCGCAGATCAACCCCTTTTCCTCCAAGACCGGTATTTTGATCTGATTATCCAAAGTTTATTCATACCACGATAACGCTCCCCAAGCACTGCTATCAGCTTTTACTACCGCAGAGAGTCGAAAGCAGTCATCATGATCGAGGGTGGCTGTGCGTGTGGCAGAATACAATACCGCGTTGACGCAGAAAACCCAGGATCCACTTCTGCCTGCTACTGCGGAACTTGCCAGAAAGTATCAGGAGGACCTTTTCTGGGATTCGCGCGGTTTGATTCCAGCCGCGTTCGGTGGAATGAACAACCCGATGTTTGGGTTTCCAGTGACTTTGCTAAGCGTGGTCATTGCAAGGTCTGTGGATCCGCCATCTATATGACTTATGAGTTTGCAAAGGACACTGGCAGCATCTGGTTGACCCTGGGGAGCATCAAGAACCCCCCTATCTCTGGGGTGTCTTCTCATATTTTTGTGGCCGAGAAGCCTTCTTGGTTTGTGATTTCTGATGATGGTGTGGTGAGGCACGATGAATTCGGGCCTAATACCCAGAGCACATTTGAACAATGGAAGCAGGGAAAGACCAGATCAAAACTATAATACAGTGCAGCGCAGGACACCGGCTGCACGCAGACTATCACAATTGAAGGCTTAGGGTGAGTAAAACGGTGGAGCCACACCTTAAGACACAGCTTTCCAGATCCGTACAAGTTGCCTTGAAAGCAATCCACAGTTCAATACCTACTGGGTATGGTGGAGTACCAGTATGAAGAGAAGCGTGTCTGTCACAGTGTGCGGTTTCTTAGTAGGGGGGACTGGCCCTGCAGCTAGGTATTCGTTACCTAGGTATGTATCGTTTTCATCTCGGGTGCCCTCTACAAACAAAGTGCTTCTGTTCAAGTCTGCAGGACGCTGGATGTAAACGGCTCTTTCCAGTGTAATGACTGTGAACCTTGGAGGAAGACAAGTTCAGGCAACAAGTTGACTCACAACTAGTATTTGAGTTGGTGCAAACCTTGACTTTGAGTCGGGCTCCAAGTTGTCAACAGCGCAGGCCAGGCGCGGGCGGGCGACACTGCAGTGCCAGTGAACCAAGGTGGAGTTCCTCAGCGGTCCTTTGAACTTTGGCAAGGCTCTGAGGTCCTCACCTTCATTAGTCTACCATCTTTACTTGCATAAAGAAAACATTCACTTTCTTAATCTCGTCAACTTCAATTCCCTCATCCTCTCTCTTCCTGAATCTTACAACATCTCTTTACCACCTTCGTTTTTCAGCTTCAACCGCCACTCGTTTCCAACGGTACATTCGTTTCCTCACCGGGCAACGCCTCTCCTGAGGTCGTCATGCCTTCTCAAGGTCCACCTTCTTTCAGCGCACCTACCCAACCGTTCGCCATGCGGAATAACAATCGTTCAGTCTCGGATCCTCAGGCTGAGTCCTCCAACAAGCAAAAGCCCGTTCTCAAGCCTGCCATTCACCGGGAAAATGGCCGATCTGCTTCCCCTGAGCTTGGCTGTGTCAAGCATTTAACGTGCTACTATTGGAAAACTCACGGCAGATGCACCAAATCAGACCAACACTGTGCATATTCACACCGCGACACTGGCCACTACGCCGACAAACCTCAGATCGTCAACAGAGGCGAAAAGGCCAAAGCTGGAAAAAACCTTCGCAAAGCAGAGAAGAACAAGCAAGCAAATCCCATTCCGATTCCAGGCAGGTCTTCCAGAGAGGTATCCGGCGAGTCTATGCCATCTACTTCTCAGGAGACCACTAGCCCTCCTCGTCTCTTCAGTGTCAACGTCGCTCCCAGCCCTGAGCGTCGCATTACAAATCCATCTTCTGTTGCAAATGGAAATGAATCGCAGGACAGAGCCCAAGTCAAAACACGAGGAAAACTCGAAGAGCTTGACGCCCAGTTACGTGTGGCACTGTGGAAAATCGATATGCTGCAGGCTGGTCAAGATGCATTGCAAGCTGCTAAAGATATACTACAGACCGAGAACTCCGATCTCAAAGCCGCCTTGCGTTCCCCCGATGCGCGCAATTCATGGCATAAGGGATCCGAATTTTTGGGTTATCCACCCATCAGCAATTCGTTTGGTGTCATTGGGGGTCCTGTCCTGAAAGGTCCAAGTCCTCCGACTCCCACTCGACCAAACGTCTTCAGCACTCAGGTCTATAACGACGATGGCGTCGCCCTGCTCCCCAAGAGACTTTTGGACAGTCCACGCAATGCTCTGGACGAACTCTATCAAGAGTGGGACCTTGCCATCATGGCGCATAAGACTCGCTAGTCTTTGCATACAATACCCAGCCGAAGTCATGGATACATTTGTAAGTACACTACAGATGACTTCGCACACGACTCTACAGATGACACTACCAAACGATCTTCCAGACGACTCTAGAGACCGTTGAGTTCACGCACAGCAACTACAGGCAATTCGGCGACCTATGGTATGAAGATCAGGGCAATATCAAGCAAGACACCAGCGCTTATTCACGTTCATTACACTGTCACTTTCACAAAATTCAACGACCCCAAAGAAAAGAAACACAAAGACACACACAAAAAAAGAAGAGTGAAGTATTGTTTAATGTTAATCAATTGGACTATTTCAGGCGAGGAAAGAGACGATTTCACCACCATACAGGATAGGTTTAATGGGTTTCAATCAGTCAGTCAGGTCATCGATCGCATACCAGTCAGCAACAGCTATACACTCCTTGAATAAGTACACGACCCCAACTGACCAAAGTCACTCGTTTCGCTCCATCCCCCCCCTTTTTTTTATCCAGACAACAGGACCAAAAAGAAAAAATCTACACAAAGCGAAAAAAGGGAAAGGAAAAGTTTGGTTTATCAACCACACCTGGAATCAATTTCGGTTTCAGGATAATCTCGCTGTTTGGATTGTGCAATGGAATGCAGTACAATACAATCGCGTCGACATCAGTTCGTTGGTCTCGTTGGTCAAAATTACACACAAACATGCGTCAATATCCGTTTGCGTTTGCGTTGTTGAAGAGGAGGAGCGAAAGGCTGAGATAACATCATTGTTTGTCTTAGCTGACAATTAGTCTTTCACTGTTCGAGCGCCTCAGGAGGTTTTTTCTCTTCGGAGGTTCCTGCCTGACTTGTTCAGGATCCAATTTCCTCCTCTTTTTATCTTGATGAGTCGTTTATAGTCGTCGTGGAAGAAGAAAATATTGTTGCGAGTATTAGTTCTTTAAAAAAGATAGAAAAGAATGCAGATACGAGTGTTCACCAAAAATGGAACCTTCCAATGTGCTCTCGTTGTCGTGCTCGTGGTGTGTGTGGTAGACTTGAGAAGTTTGCTTTTCTGAGACAGACATCGCCATGATGAGATACTCCTCAAGGTAAGGAGGGTTTTCGAGGCGAAACAGCTTGGAGAGAGAAAACCCACGTGAATAAAACTCAGTGGTATGTCGATGACGATAGGATGATAGAGAGACAAAAGAGACGGGAAGACAGACACGGAGGGAGCAAAAAACAAGTCAGCCCATGAGCAGCAGCAGGTCAGATGGAAGATCATGGCAGCCGGACGTACGAGTGTGGACCCGAAGACACTGACTGACAGAGAGGATGAAGAGTTGTCCGGCGACTAGAGTCTGGGATCTTTGTCGATTGCGAAAGGGAGAGGCATCGCTACGATCAGCATAAGATATTGAGGAATTCACAAACGTTACTAAATACTAGGTATGTATGTATTTATGTCAAAAGGATCGGGCAGTGAGGCTAAGATTGTATCATTATGAGGTTCATCCGCTGGGACGGCGGACAAACTAGTTTCGTTCTGGAGTATGTGCCGCGCCAGTGGCACATATCTTTTTGCACAGTAACACTGGTAGCTAAGCTACAGACGGTCAGATCGCCTGAAGTCGGCATCTGCTGCGCCTACCCGCACATGGGTCAAGATGGTCCGATCCATCACCGTGACCACACTACTCAGCCTGTTATCAGCGTGAATGAGAGGCGAGTGAGCCAGGCCAAGCGACCATACATACATGGCCATCAAGCTTGGAAGAAAAAGCCACAAGCCACCCTCTATCAGAAGGTACTTTGAGCCAAACGGCTCGCGGCGTTCCTAGCATCGACGCGGTCGTCGTCCTCGTTGGCCGTTTCCTTGACGCTAGCAAGACTGGCCGAACCGGTACCTGATCGGGGACGGCCTCCAGCAACTGGGCCACTACCGCCCTCTCCATCCTGTGCGCCCCCACCGGGAGTATTAGCATAGTTGCCATTTTCATCACGTTCGGGAATTCCACCCGCGCCGAATGTCCCGCTGATGGATCGGTTGAGGGCTTCACGGGAGCGAGCCACGCCGGACCACGCATCCCCTTTGGCGCCCTGACTGCTGGCGAGACTGACGCGGCGGACCGGTGGGTGATTCTCTCGTCCCAGACGGCTGAGACCGCCGCTCGCATCGATGGCACGGATATCCGGTCTTACGGATTCGAGGGTTGCAAGGGCACGGCGTTCGCTCTCAATCTGGCGTACAACGTACTCGCGGAGTGAAAACAGGAATTCTTCACTCGTGCGGTCAAACCAGCGGCGCTTCTCGAGGAGGAGGTTCGCAGTCACGCGTTGGGTCTTGGCACGAAGATAGTTCTCCTGACTGGTTGCTTCGTCGAGGGCGGAGATGGCTTCGTCAACTTTATCGCGGCGCACGCTGCTGCTGGATTTTAGGCGGTGGACGGCAGTTTCTTTAGTTCGTCGGCTGGCTTCCGCTTGCAAGAGCTCACGGAGTAGGATGTGTCGGTTCGTTAATGTTTCCTTGACGATGAAAGCGTCCCCGGAATGATAAGACAGGGAGTCTCCCAGCGTGGTGGCTTCAGCCGTGCCTTGAGCAGCATGGTAGTCGCCGGTGGTTTGAATAATGCGACCCAACTTGCGATAAGCGATGGACAAACCAGGGTGTGTTTCTTGGACATGCATCTGGCCGAGTTTCTCGCCCAGCGATGATTCAGCTAGACCAAGAGCTAAGCAGAAAATATGTTAGTCTATAAGTTAGACATAAGTTGGGATAGACGTTACCTCTTCTCGCTTTGACGACACGTTCCAACTTCTGTCCAGTGTCAAGAGAACCCAAATAGAACATTTTGGCCACTGGGCGGGCTTCATGTAACTCTGGCGTATCGTCTGGAGGTGGAGCAAACTGCTTCAAGACTTTCCGTCTCACGCCGGTGGCAGGTTGCTTCATCCTGACGACAGGTGAATACCCAAAATCGCTTTCAACGAAGAAGACCATTTCCTCATCTCGCATAAGAACATCATTACCGCAAACAACATTCAACCATCTCTGGATGGAATTCTTCACACGTAGTTCGTCTTCATCTGTACCAGCTCCAGCGGAGGTAAGACTAGGTGGCACGGCGGGAACCAAGGCCTCGGGATTGGATGAAATGAGATGCTCTGCCAATTTGATAAATTCGGTGTGAGTTCGACGAACATCTCGGAACTGTGTTGTCCGAAACTTTGGTAGATTTGTCTGGAAAAACCGTCAGCCACTGTGTGTCAAGAAGTCGTACACGAAAGGCAGTCATACATGTACATCAAATCTGATGACAGGATCTTTTCGACCGGTCCTTTCCAAGGCCGTCACCTTGGCCTGTAATTTATATTGAGCAACTGGCCTTTGCTGCTTAGTAGAATGATACCTAGCTGCACCTGGTCGTTGCTGATATTGCTGCTGTTGACCAGCAACTGGGGCCTGGGCTTCCTGTGGACCCAACTGACCATGTTGTGTAGGTTCCGATTGATAGGAAGCCTGTTGAGAGACATGTGACTCGGATACCAACGTAGGAGACTCACTGCCTTCACCAGGCGCTGCGGGTTGGTATGGGGTTTCCGGCACACTATCTTGCGATTGAGAGTAGGAATGACCTCGAATGGGACCCGGTGAATCGGGAGGATCGGAAGGACTTGGAAATGATCTGTTTGCTCGAGGAGAAGACGAACCCCAGGGAGATGCGCCATGAAGAGCGTCAGAGTCGCTAGAAACCGCCGAGTAATCCATGGCTGCGAATGTAGTGGCAGCAATCAGGTGTGCCTGGGTAGACTTGAATTGGTTTTCTGGCCTAGGAGTTGGACATCTCTAATATCGTGAGAGTATATAATATGAGAGGCGGGCTGGCGCAGGGTGTCGATCGGGGTACAAGATATCACAACTATAAGCCGTGGACCTTGTTGTCGCTGATAGTGGGAGGTCAAGTGCAGTGCCGGTCGTGGAGGGAACTCCGCAGCTGGGTACGGTGTCTAATGATTGACCGTAGTTGGTTTCTTGTTTGTAGAATGATTCACCGTAGATACCTCAGGGTTTTCGAGGGTCATGCTGCTTGCTTCTATGCTAAATTCCCTAGATGAGAAAAGGTGGACTGTATCTACTTGATGTGTAAATCTCGGAAAGCGGTATATTCTAAGCATGAGCGATGATTCATAACGTTGGGTGTGAAGTCCTGGTATGAGCATCTAGTAAAGAGGGCCAGGGAATGCGCCCGCAAGGCGCCTCATTGCTCTCAACAACTCCTCATTCAAATCTTCTCTCCTTGCAAGTCCGTTGACAGTACCATTCGGATTGAGTGGTTGTAAAGCCTCTTGCTCAGTCATGTTCGACCAGAGCGGAACGGTCGCCTCACAGATCGTCCCTTCATTCGGCAACGTTCCGTTCGTGAAATATTCACGCATAATTCGAGCAGTGCAAAGAGAAGGCTGTGCGAGAGAGGTATGCTGATATCCCAGTTAGTGTTGAAGCCATCAAATTTGAACACCTAGCGTCCGACAGGGCCGAGATGTTCAAAAGGTAGAAAAGCACAGTCGGAGGAAGTTCTTACCCCATAACCATGATGTTCGAGAAGAACGCTCCCAGGCAATAAACTGCTCATATTGCGTGCAGAAGATAGTGGAGTGACTGGATCGTAGGTATTACCAATGACTAGGACAGGATGCTTTGTTCGCACACCCCATGTTCCATTGTATACTTCATTCGCCCTAACCAACCATGATGCGCATATCAAATCATTCAAAGGGCCGATATCGAGCCCTCCAAATTCGCTCACGTTGCTGATCTCCGCGATGAAAGTATCAAGGTTAGATAACTTGTTCGTACGATAAGATGCTTCGCCACACCGGATACCATTAATTGCATATGGCGTCCGCTCGGAGTTTGTACCATTGCCCACGTAGGTAACCCAGCCACTTGGGTCTCCTTCTGTAAGTGCCTGCAGTGCAACTGCTAGCTTCATCCACCCGGCAGGAAAGTATAGCGCACTGAACATTGCACTCTTGATGGCGGTGTATGTCAGAAGCTCGGTACTATTGTCATCCGAGACGACAACCATTGGTTGATACTTCAGTGACAACAGTAAGTCCTCAACTTTTGCTGCGATAGACTCAGTTGTAGAATTGTCCGAGGCCAAAGCACATGTTGAGGGCGATTTGCTGCAACTGCTGTAGAATCCTTCAACCACCGCATCAAGATCTTCGAGTGCCGACGGTTCCCTTTTAGGTCAGCTTCGTACTTGGAGGAAGACAATGAGGCGACTCACAAGCCGTAATAATACTCAACCACATTCGCAACACCATCGACAACAAGTCGACCTACCTTTTCCGGAAACATGGATGCAACTGTTGCTCCGAGAATCGTACCGTACGACAAACCCCAATATCTGAGAAGGCCATCTTCACCTAGAGCATCGACTATCCGAATGATGTCCCGGGCAACATATGCGGTGCTAAGCAAAGCTGAAGTGTTCGAGTTACTCTGCTGACAGTTATGAGACTGTGCCACTCCAGCAGAAAACGCTTCTCCTATTGCCACATCGGACGAATTCCCTAGATTTGATGGAGGGGCAACGTCCGTCTCAAAGCAGTGAAAGGGGAGCGTATACCGCACACCACTGCTCACAGTCAGTCACATGGGGCTGAACTTAAGACTTGCACCTCTTACCGGGGATCAAAGCTGACGATATTAAAGTGGTCTCCAAGGATGCTAAATCTGTCAGCGTCTGGAGCATTCAAAAGAGTGAATATCTCCGCCTACGTCAACAGATCTTTAGCCCTACCGATTGCAACCTCCACTCCACTCCCGCCCGGTCCACCAGGGTTCATGATGATACTTCCCAAAACAGGCTCCCTTCTTGCAGGGACTTTGACTAGAGTCAAAGACAATGTATCGTTGGAGCTGTGGTTGACATAGTCAAGCGGTACCTCCAAATTTGCGCATTGCAAAGGTGTTGATGGCAGTGGGGTGTCTGGTGATAAGTATGAACACTCCGTTTGCCAGTTGATTGAATGATCGCCGATCTCTGGCCTCTGACCATCATAATAAGACTGGGCATGCGTCAATGAAGCAAGTAGCGAAAGAGCCAAGAGAGAGCCAGTAGAAGTGTACCGCATGGTTACTGTTGTTTCAGTGCAGCACCTGATGAGGATATGAGATGTATACAGCCATTGCGAATATATAGCTCTTGTCAACTACCCTAAGTGGTGTGTGCGTAGAATATGGATCTCGATTTAATGGCTCACCGATAACTTGGTCCTCACTAGGTTTAATGCAACATTACCTAGGTAACATAGTGCCATACTTGTGAATGCTTGTCTGGAAGAACCAAGGTCTAGCGGAACAGGAAGTAGGCTGACGCTTCACCCAAGGTATAGATCTCTCAGCTTCAACGCATTGGGACATAAAGAAGTTTGTCAAATGATTAAACGGCTTGATAGGCGCCAGCTGATGGCTCTTGAGGCAGATCTTGAACGAAAACTGGGGTTGACCTACTGGCAGGCCTAGTACAATGCGAGGGAATGTTTACTGAGCCTGAGTGCCTGTCCAGGAAGAGCGGTTCAAGCCATCTTCCTCGATGAGCTGAACAAGTACAGCCATGGCCTCCTGCAAATTCGCTCTTCACTGGAGTAAGGAAGTACATTCGCGTTTGCGGAGTCCCCAAGAATCACGAACCGGGGGTATGTGCATTCGTCGAGCAGAAGGCAATTGAGTATCCGTACCGGAGTTCGGACAGCTGTACCACTATTTTTAGAGGTGGCTGGAAGAGCTATGTGGTCAGGGCGAAAAAGCTCGGGCCGATGAATCAGTAGCAAATGTCCAGAACTATAATTCTATGATAACACTCTGCTCCGCGCTTTCATACTCAGTTTCACGTCGTGTAGTTCGCCAGAAGGCTGTCTTGTCGAGACAAAGCCTCCTTTGATCGTCACTTACCAATGATGGAAGTGGTGCCGCCGGGTGCTCTGCAAGGATGGAAGTTTTTGGAGGACCAAAGGGATGGATTCACGACTGACTCAATCGCTGTCAATAGTCTCACGATAGTACGCAAGCACAAGCTAAAAAATCTACCTATCCGCGGATGGTTTACACTGGTCGTTGATATCGAACAAAAATAGTTCGCTCGGTAGTGGTTGTATTAAGGACAGCCTCAGTGCTGTCCCAAAGAAGGTTAGCCAGCATCCATATTCTTGGCGCTGCTTGGAGGTTGAGGCTTTTTGTCTTTCTCATCATCAACTTCCAACACCTCAAAATCGAAAGGAGAAAGTATTGTAACAACATCTATTTGCGGGGTTTTCATTTCTCTGGATCGGTTATTTTTGCATCTTGATTTTGAGTTTTGCCCTACCGATCAAATATACCTTAGAAAGCCAGCAGTACAATTGGCAAGGGGATGGTAGTTTCTAATGGGCGAGTTCTGCGATACTCCACTCTAGCGCGATCAAGCAAGCTTCATCTTCAATACTATCACGGGGCATTTTCATCAGCTCGACGAGCATTTTCGTCGTCCCCTTGGCGGACGTCAAGCCTTCATACGTCTGCCGACGCCCAACATGCACACAAGACCAGAAACATTGGCATCATTGCCCATATTGATGCTGGTAAGACCACCACCACTGAGCGCATGCTCTATTATAGCGGCCACACTCGACGAATAGGTGACGTGGATGAAGGTTCGACTGTAACCGATTTCCTCCCAGCCGAAAGAGCTCGCGGCATCACAATTCAATCCGCAGCAATCACATTTGAGTGGCCGCCCACGGAAGAATGTGCTTCGCGCAGAGGTGACTCCACGCACAGTCTGCAGCCACGAGCTCGATTTTCCCACAATATTAATCTGATTGACACTCCTGGCCATGCAGATTTCACATTCGAAGTGCGACGATCACTACGAATCCTCGATGGCGCGGTGTGTATCCTCGATGGAGTAGCAGGGGTTGAGGCTCAGACTGAGCAAGTCTGGCATCAGGCCGGAGAGTGGAAAATACCACGAATCACCTACGTCAATAAGCTCGACCGGGAAGGTGCGGCTTTTGGCAGGACTGTCCGCGAAATAGGATCGCGATTGAATGGCTGGCCTGCTGTTTGTCAGATCCCATGGTTCGAAGGAGGCAAGGGGCGTTTCACTGGAATTGGTGATGTAATCAATCTCCAGGGTTACCTTTATCCCCAAGGAGGTGATGGAAAGGGTGTCCAGCAAATCCCATTATCGGTGCTTGACAAAGATTATCCGGAGCTTGGGACAGAGCTGAAACGAGCCCGCATCGCCTTGGTTGAACTTCTCAGCGAGCACGATGAAGAGCTGGTTGAAGCATTTTTCGAAATGGAAGAAGATCACTTGGCCATCACCCCAGCTCAGATTCTTGACAGCTTACGACGGTCTTTATTATTGGACGACTGCTCGATTATCCCAGTCTTTGCTGGTGCAAGTTTCCGTAACATTGGCGTGCAACCCCTCTTGAATGCGGTCAACAATCTGTTACCCAGCCCAATTGAGCGACCAGATCCGGAAGTGAGCATAGGACGCGCATGCGGAGGACTGTCTCAATTGATAAAGGGTGAATTGGTCATTGCGAATGCGTCTGATGCATCAGCGAGATCAAGCAAAAAAACCCAGCAGCTGAAAGGAGCTGAGTTGGGAAACACTTTGCAGGGCTGTGCTCTTGCTTTTAAAGTTGTCAACGACGCCAAGAAGGGTGTTCTGGTTTACATCCGAGTGTACTCTGGAACGATTGAGCGCAATGCACTGCTCTATAATACGAATTTACAAAATTCGGAGAGAGCGGGCACGTTGTTACGCATGTACGCTTCAGATTCCGTCCCGGTTCAGAGCTTGAAAGCAGGGGAGATTGGGGTGATTGCAGGATCCAAGTTCGCTAGAACAGGAGATACTCTCATCTCGTACAGTGGAAATAAAGCTGTGCCTCCAGAACCTTTGAACTTGCTACAGCTGCGCCCCATCAATATTCCACCACCGGTTTTCTTCGCTGCAATCGAACCCAATAGTCTCAGGGAGGAGAAAGACATGCACGAAAAGCTCGGCCTTCTGTTGCGAGAAGATCCCAGTCTTCAAGTTACACAGGATGAAGACACTGGACAGACATTGCTCAGTGGCATGGGAGAACTACATCTTGAGATCGCTCAAGATAGACTCGTCAATGACCTGAAGGCCAATGCCCGGATGGGAAAGATCGCTATTGGATATAGAGAAACACTTCCGAAGGCTTCGAAATCTATTACGAAAAGTCTTGAAGGAGATCGTGCAGCTACCAAAGGGAAAGGAGCTTGTGAAGCTCTCGTAGAGCCATGGGACCAGTCGGACGACAAGTTGAGCAATACTTACGAGAGCACGTCAGTACTCGAACAGGATGGTAACCTCATAATCGTCCAAGCGCCTTCTCTGGACAAACGAGGAAGACCTATCAATTCTGACAATGTGAGTTTGCCGCCACACCTGAGTTTGACTGAGATCCAAACTGCATACACCAATGGAGCACTGGCAGCGCTGAGCCGGGGACCATCGTACTTGTATCCTTTGCGAAACACGAAAGTCACATTGACGCTTAGACCCGAAGAACACATCTTCGGGATTGAAACAACCTATGCTTCCCTCACTTCGGCAGCCAGACTTGCCACAATTGCGGCTTTTAAGGATGCTACAAAGGAAGTGCCCACGTCCTTGATGGAACCTGTGATGAACGTTGACATTAGCATCGACGAGGCCAGTCTCGGTTCCATAATTCAAGACATCTCATCCACACGAGGCGGCCAGATCGTCTCGCTAGGTGATCACGAGGAAGACAACGCAGAATCAAGTGGTGGCCGAAAGCATATTGATATACGCAAGATCTACGCCCCAAAAGACCCCTTCGAATCGTCGTCTAGCGGGATAGAAGAACACACACAAGTCAACCCGCAGAGAACCGTAAAGGCGAAGGTTCCCTTACGTGAGATGGTAGGATACCTCAAACACCTCCGGAGCATGACTGGAGGAAGAGGAACGTTTGTGATGAGTGTTGACCGATTTGAAAAGGTCACTGGGCAACGGGAGAGGGCCGTCATCTCTGAACTACGTGGTGAGACGTTGTAAGACAAGTGTCATTGTGTCAGATGTCAAAAGGGGACCGGATGGTGGATTCACGGACGCCTTGGAGTTAAATAGCTATCCACCCACGAAGTGGTGTGGAATTTGTACCAACAACATTTCATCTCCAAATATTAGACTTTCTGCCCCGTCAGTGAATGAGGACCTCAGGGCATGGCTTAGATTACTTAAAATCTCAGATTTGTCCTCTCTGAATAGAATAGAAACAAGAGCGGCGAGCATGTTGTTGCAGGGGTGATAATTATTGATGAGGTAGCGGAAATAAACATACTTTCGGCGAACCTTTGTCTCTAGCAGGTCCCCCACCTCACTTTCTTCGAATCACCGCTCATCTTCAACATACCATAACCACCACCACCTCAGCCATGGCGTCCAAGGCGATGTGGGAGGTCGATCCCGAGACCAGGAGTAAAGTAAGTCGAGATCTTCCTCGTTGTTCGCCTCACAGTCAACTAACTAAGCATCCCAGCTCGCACAACTGGGCAAAAAGGAGGGTGCTGGTAACGACAAGTGTTGCGACTGCGGCGCCCCTTCACCGCAATGGGTGAGGACCTCTCCTTTCCCTCTTTCCTCGGGAAACAATATAGACTGACCGACTCCGTCTCTAACACTTAGGCATCCCCTAAATTCTCCACCTTCATCTGTCTGCAATGCGCCGGCACGCACCGCGGACTCGGAGTGCACGTGTCGTTCGTGCGCTCCGTGTCCATGGACGCCTTCAAGCAAAACGAGATCCTTCGCATGCAGTACGGCGGCAACAAAGCGTGGCAAGACTATTACAACAAGAACGCACCGATTCCCTTCGACGAAGCGACCATCAAAGAGCGGTACGACAGCGAAATCGGCGAGGAGTGGAAAGAGCGCTTGACGGCGCAGGTTGAGGACCGCGAATTCGACAAGACCGCTTTCCTGAAGGAGCGCCAGGCGATACTCGCAAAGCAGGCGAGTCGTTCGGCCACGCCTGCGGGCGGAGTCAGAAGCGGTGCCGGCGGTGGGAAGCAACCGGGCAGTTCAGCTGCGTCGAGGACAGCCAGTCCCGCACCCTCGAAACCGAGTCGGATCACGGCCGAGCAGAAGAGTCAGAATGAAGCATATTTCTCGCGGATGGGTGAGGCCAACGCGGCGAGGCCGGAGGGCCTGGCTCCCAGCCAGGGTGGGAAGTATGCAGGTTTTGGGAGTGCGCCTCCTGAGCCTCAGTCACAAAGTGGCGGTCTGCCCACGGCCGATGATTTCTCGCAGAATCCGATCGGCGCACTGACGAAGGGGTTCGGATGGTTCACCACCACAGTCTCGAAGCAGGCCAAGGTCGTCAATGATTCTTACATCCAGCCGACGGCGAAGAACGTATGTGAAGCTCCTGCCTGCTGCCCACAGGCCCCTTGTTCTTTGTAGAGCAAGGAAGCATATTTTCCATGAAATGGTCCACTAACTCCCCGTTTTCCATTTAGCTCGCCTCCTCAGACTTCGCATCCCAAGCACGCACAGCGGCATTCACTGCTGGCCAAGGCATCACCAGTGGCGCCAAAGGCGCAGCCGAGACCTTCAACCGGTTCGTCGAGGGCCAGGACGAGAAAGCCAGCTCGGCAGCTTCGAACCGGCGACACGTCGAACCCGAGCGGAAAGATTTCTGGGACAGCTTCGGCGAGCCCACGGAGAACACTAGTGCCACGACGAAAAATAGCAGCATTGGTACCAGTGCGATGAAGAAGACGACTACTCCACAGGCCAATCCGCCGCTCAAGACCAAGGATGATGGCTGGGGTGATGATTGGTGATGATTATGATGAGCATGGGGGTGATTGAGGTGGATTTTGAAATGTTGTTATGGAATGATCGATCTCTTGATCACGTATGGACGAATGTTTGGAGGAGTATTTGGTTTGCATGGGGAGAAGTTTTAAGTTTAGATCAAGCATATACAGACAGGTATTTTGGATGAATGTCGATTCTCTCTGCAGGTTCTTCGATGATGGAGCTTCTGACTGAGTGTATCAACAATCCCCGGGCTTCTAAGAATGAGACATGAACGCTGTAGAATTCTCAAACACCAATATTTAGGAATATCCAATGGTCAGTCCCATTTCTCTACCTGGATTTCCGTCACCAACGCCACCCGCTCCAGATATATCAAATATGCCAGATCCAGAGCCGAGCCAATGCAAACCAAAGAAGGCACGCTCTTTTGCCACGTCCAGTCGGTCGATCCCAAACTCCACTTTGAGATGCAAATCACAGATTCAGCTGGAATCGCGGATGAGTCCGTATCCGCTCGCCGTGCTTGACGAAAACCCACATCATGGGCAACATGGCCAACGCAATGAAAGCGAGTAAACTGTTTCCCCAACCGATGCCCAGCGTCGCATACAGCCGCCTGCCAGCGAGGGGCAAGAACGCACCGCCCAAGCTCCGCAGCACAGTATTCGCCGCCATGGCACTGGCTGCATACGCGGTGTACGCATCGACGAGATAGGTGCCCACGGGCATGAAGGCTGTGATCAAGCCTAGACCGAGGATAGTCGTGCCTATGATCGGGACGATCCAGTGGACGAGGTAGTGGGCACTCCAGCCGTAGAGGATGAGGCCGACAGGGATCAGAACCGCTCCGGGCCAGAGTAATGGCAGGCGGTATTCGGGTTTCATCTCGCCGCCTTTGGCAAGGCGTTTGAGGTACGAATCGGAGAAGAAACCAAATGCAAAGAGTCCGACGAATTGGCCGACTCCGAAGCCTAGATAGACGAGGCCGACATTGCTGAGGCTGATGCCATACAATTCATGGAAGACGGGTGTTAGCGTTGTGATCAGGATATACATATACCCATACGTGACGGCGATGTACAGGGAGAGGCCAAAAACAATTGGGGAGAAGAGCAACATTTTGGTTGGTCGCACGATTGAAATGAGAAATAGTTGGCGTGGAGTTTTTGACGATTGTAATGCAGATCGAAGTTTGTCGTTGCCTGTTTCTTTTCGCAGTCGTTGGACCTTGCGCTCGAGTAGAATAGGAGGATAGGTCTCTCGCTGGATGAAAGCGGCGATGATGAGCATCACGCCTCCCTGAGAACCAAATGTCAGTTTGGAGTTATAACTGTCCGGGTTGCCCGCTCGAACTTACAACTATGGCAAGAAACCAGAAAGCCCATTGCCAACCAGCTGCGGCTGATAGATAGGATCCCATGACTGGGCCGATGGAGGGACCAAAGAGGATCGGAAATGTCCAAACTGACATGACCCAGCCACGTTGGTCTTGTCGAAAAGTGTCGGCTATCGATCCCGAGCCCACGGTGACAGGACATGAGCCAACGGTACCAGCCAACAAACGAAAAACAAGGAGCATGGACAAGCTGGTAGATCTGGCACAGCCTATATTGAACGCGATGAACAGAAAGCTGTTGATGTGATACACCCAAAGACGGCCGTAGAGCTCAGAAAGCGGCGCAATTATAAGAGGGCCAAACGCGTAACCAACAATGTAGATAGACACAGCGAAAGATGCCAAATCAGTGCTTTTCTCGTCGAAATCATCCATCATTTGCGGTACACCGGGAGCAAACATTGAAGATGCAAGCGGCCTGTTGGTAGCATGTCAGTACTATTCCGGCCAAGGACGCCTAGCAATGATTGCACACGAACGTTAAAGTAGTGATGAGTGCTAGCAGGACAATATTTGTCCATTTTCGCTTTGAAGGCCAATTTAATGGGTTTTCTGGATCGTCAGGGCCGTCCCAGTTCACCACGTTTGGATCTGTCGTCGGCACGATCTCGAAAGCAACGTCTTTGTCCTCGTGCCTCGAATAAACCTTCTCCAGGTCACTTTGTTCGGCAAAGCGCCGGGCGTGTGTTATTTCATCTGTAAGGCTTGTACTTGAGAGCGATGGCGACCTGGCGGCTGTGCCAGTCTCTAAGTCTTTCTCGGACATTTTTGGAGTGTCAGAAGGGAGCAGAAAGAAAGCTCAAGATTGCGGGGCTCGATCAACAGAGAGATAGATATGTCACCTCATCGTGGAGTAATGAATCCGAATACCACGCTCGGTATCAGCACAAGCACGTCAAAGTGGAAGACCTACAGAGGTGGTGGTTTGTTTTAAAAGAAGGAGCAAGTCCTGGACAGTTGTGCCGACCAACCGAAGAGACTTGGGAACCTCGTTGACTCATGTTCATAGGGTATTTTTTTTCCACTAAACAGTACATAGTGTACCCCAGTCAATAATGGTCAAATGGACTGAGGTTGGATCGAGGCCGGCAAAGCGGCAAAGCGGCAGAGAATGTGGGGATGAATTGGTCCTCGTTGAAGTCCAATGTTGGGGCTTCTTTTCGACCGCGCAGTACGGGTTACCAAGTTGGGCGCCTCCACTCTGGTCGAACACCGAGGTTTGAAGGCCGGGTGAGGAGTTCGCAAAGTAGCCATGGAGTTCGGATTTCAACGTACAAATTCATGGATATTGAGTGGCCTTAACCGTAGGAGCTAGTGCAGCTTGATGAACCAATTAGAAGTCATCACCAAGACGCTACTGTTAGCTAGGAACCTAAGTGCTAGGTGCTCATTCAGGTACGCGGTACTTGACCCAAAGCGTGAAACAACCCTTTGATTATGTCCAACCTGGACCGTGGGCCTGACATATTTCTCGCGAGTCATGAGAAATCCAAACCCCGGAATCAGCTATAATCCCGCTAATACCTTCCAATGGTCAGACCTTACTCAATTACAACGGCTGTTGTGGTTTCATAGGGCACGAATGAAGCTCAAGCGAAAGACATATGGCTGAAAAGCCGGGGTAGGCGAAATCGAGCTTTCTTCTTGGAGAAGGTCTATGGAGGTTGTTTTCTGGCCCCCCTCTCGAGTTCTATAATAATTCCAGCGACTTGGAACCCCAGTAAGGGTTTGATCGGGCTGCTCAGCACTTTTACAGCTTCTTGATCACAATAACACCGTCCTTTTGTGGATTGTTACAAGCGCACAGTTCTCGCCGCACCAAATCTCCCTGGGAAGCGAGATACCCATCCTCGTTCAGCTGGATTAAGAAGGTAAGCCCCTGAGTATCAAGCGCTCGTCTGCAAGGTCCATCCGACTCCTAGGGTGAGGTGAGGGACCACTGGGCTATATAACCACCGAAAAACGCCGTTATATCTCTCTCTCGAGTTTGTACGCTTGTCCTGTAGGTATACCAATTCTCTCCTTTGATCGATACTTCGATCATCCACTCATTCATTTCCCGCAATTTGATACTCCTACATGATACTCATACTTGTTGTTTGGCTTTTGGCACTTCTGTCACTTGCACAGGCCGCGGTGCAGAGCAGTGTTTGGCAGAAAGATGTTGATGTCGTTGTCACGTTCGTGCAGACATCCACACATTACGTGTGCCCATGTATCAATGTGTTCACCACAGACAAAACATCGGCGTACCCCACCAACACTGCTCATCCTCACTCCACTTCATTTGCATCCTTGGGGTCTAATGGAGATTGGGACGATTGGCAATACGGACACGACAGTCAATCGGGCACCTTCCAGCTAACAAGCTCGATAATCCGTTCTCGACCTTCCCCAGCTTCCACCGCGGTCTCGGTTCCGAGCTCCTCCTCCTCAATCAAAAGCGGAACTTGGTCTTCACGAACTTCGAAATCTAAACCTTCCGATTGGTATACATTGCAGCCAAGCAGTACCTCTTCCTCGAGCGTATTGCTCTCCCAGTCTGTACCCTCAACAAGTTCGGATTCTTTACGGATGACAACAAGTACAACTTGGGAGCACAGTTATTCTCACACAACTATATCATCCTCGATAGACTTTACTTGGAGCTATTCAAAGAGCACTTCCAGCACCGCCACTATTTTGACAAGTGCATCTTCAAGTACTATTCAGTCCACTGAAAGCACCACTAAATGCTGGTGCCCCACTGCCACTACCACTACAATCGAGATCACAACAACGTCGCCTAATTGTCCAACATCTACCGCTACAACCACGGAAGTTACCACAACAACCGCAAGTTGTCCAACCACCATTTCCACGACCACGGAGATCATAACCACAACCGCCACTTGTCCCACGACTACTTTTACAACCACAGAGTCGACGACTACAACAGCCAGTTGTCCCACGACTACCTTCACAACCACAGAGTCGACGACTACAACAGCTAGTTGCCCTGCAACCACTTCTATTATCACCACAAGTTCCTGCCCAACTACAACCACTAGAAGCAGGCCTACACCTATCTGTAGGCAAGGGTTTGATGTCAGGTCTAAGAGTTCGACAAATGTCGACGATAATACAAGTTTAGGGGTCGTCGGAGGGCGTGCTGCATTCGATGGCTCTAACAAAATATTCAAACTTGACGCGGAGAATCGTCTGGTAGACGCAAGTCACTTATCGAATTGCGTCAAGCAGTGTACCTTCTCCCTCGCTCTCCTTTTCCGTGAATTTATACTATGGTGCTTTGGCTAACGATAGACAACGTGATCCACTAGTGGGCGACCAACAGGATTGCCAACGTCAATGCAGCGGTAAATGCCCAATCACCAGTTTGGTTTGATCCTCAATCATCTATCGATCAAAACCACAATCCAACTTGCACATGTTTTGTTGGTGAATTTACAAAGGTTTTCAGCTGCATCTGTGCCGACTACTCTATTTTCTCTACTGGTGGTGCTGCAACTCCATCCCAACTGAATGTCGGAAATGAAATTCCTGGAGGCTTTGCCCGGGTGTCACCCTATGTCGAATGTGTGGACTTTCCAGAACAGCCTACCACGACCACGACCACAGCCACAGCGACAACTAACACGACCACGCGTTCTTTCACCTCACTTCCTCCGTAAGTAGTTTTCCAGGCAACGCGAGACCATCCTTTTTGAATCTACGTTTACTAACAGCTCATCTCTAGAGCACCGACCTGCACAAGCCCGACGGGAGAAAACGGTGTCGGCGGCTGTCCAGACGACTGCTCTTGTGATCGTGATCCCACGGGTGATCGTCCGGGAATCTGCAATGCTGAGCTTGATTGTTTAGGCGCTCCCCCATGCGCATCCGATGCAGACTGTTCGGAAGGACGAGCTTGTGTTGCTTTTGGCGCATCCACGACAATTTGTCAAGGTTACTGTGCCACATATTTGCAATGCATTCCCCCGGATTCCTCTGCCAGCAAGTTGTTTGTCCGAAGGGGACGCCGTTACTCTGATGCTTCGGACTCTGCTGAGAGGAAGTGACCGAGAGTAGGTAACATATATTGATACCGGTCCATAAATACCCCGTCGCTTTCGTGTGCTTGATATTGGTTGGTACAGTGTGCGTGCAAAGAAGATAGAGTACTTTGGCTGAGAATGCTCTATCGGATATCTTTCCTGAAAGGGAAAAGTAGCGGCTAAGACACTCCTTCGAGTCTTTGACACAATCCCAGCCTGCGCAGAACCAATCATGGATCTCCATTCGATGGCTTTCGCATTCCATGCCGTCGTGCCTCGCGCCCTCTGCCTCGCGCCCGCCCTGGCCGCGAGCAGCTGCCAATATCTGCGCCAACAATTGGGCTGAGCAACCCTCAGTTGGCTTCTCCCCTCTTTGCCCATTCAGAGCCTAGGATATAGTCAGAATGTTGTCCACAAGCCACAATCTGCCTCAAGGAGGCTGGGGGCCAATTTCTCAGCCTGATCAATTTTGTCTACTTGTTCACCCTTCATGGTCAATTCCCTGCTCTCCTTCCTCGTCTCAACACCCTCAATCTTACAGCGGCCATGGCTGAACTCGTTGCCAGCATCATCGGCATCTCAGGTGCCGCACTGAAGTTAAGTAATGGTCTCTACAGAGTTGCAATAGCTCTCAAGAATGCCGGTCAAGACGTTCGAGATATAGCTAATGACACCGCTCAATTCTCTCGGGCTTTGAAGGAGCTCAGTAACAGCCTTGACTCCGATACCCCTTCGATGGCTCGTGCCAGGAGCATTGCTGGGGATGTCATTGCCACTTGTCTCTCCATCCAGAAAGATGGCGAGAAACTCTTGATCGTTTTGAAGCCCCTCATCGAGCAAAGTCAAGGCTCAACGCCACTCTCAAACATTATTCTGAAGATTCGATGGCTCTTCGAGAGGTCGAAATTCGCATACCATAGAGAACTATTATCAAATCTCAAATCGACACTTCAATTACTTGTTTCGGTCATTATTTTGGAAAAAGTGCCAGACAGGAACATGATTTCTCAGTGAGTATTCCGAGCATTCATCACGCATCGCGGCGATGATATATCTGGACTAATAAGAAAATCAACTCAGTTTGGTTGATGAGGTTGTCAATCTTCGACATGTCGTCCGAGGTGGAATGTACCACATGGAAAACCACCTACAGTCTTCACAGCTCTTGGAAGCATTCCAACCACAGACATCACTTTCCGCTCTGACTGGCGCCGGGAGCATCTTGGCCATTGAAGGGCTTGATAGGGTAGAGAGCGAGACTACCACAGGCCAAACTTTCGATTCAGTTCCCGATGATGGGGCTTCTTCCTCGAGCGATATGACTGTTCAAGGGCAACAGGAGCCTTCAGATCTGGCCCAGAGCGCAAGTGAGGAAGGCTCTACCTCTGCAATTGGTGCAGTAGGGCCATTGGCTCTTCTCCCTTACTTTCGAGCCTATCTGGCACAGGAGAGAGTTTGTCAATACGCCAACGAGGCTCTTGAGTCAGTACAATACGATCAGGACGGTAATCCCATCGATATGCAACGCGACTCGCAGACCAATCTGAACACGCGATTCTCAACTTCGTTTGCAAGTAACGACTCTGCGCAGAAGATTATTAGGGGAGACACATCCATTGCAAAGGATGGTCCTGCTACAAACAGCCCTGGTATGGTTGTCGAGAGCCCCTCGCCAGTCCCTAACGCTCCCCAAATCGTCAGTGGTGATCTACGTTCTCATACACGAGCTGCCTCTGCGATGGACCAGTCACCACCTCTGCGGGATCCTGGCATACTTCAGCAGCCCCTCCGGACGGAACAGACTACGCATTCGCAGATGTCTTCCGATGTTCCACGCGTATCCCCCTCAGATCCCACACCTCCTGTACCGCACACCGGGATGGATAGCATCAAAAACTCTACGCACTATATAGCTGAGCCTCCAGCATCACAGACTCTCGAGATTTCATCTACAAGTGTAAATGCTCCAGAGCCCCAGCCTAAGGAAACAGAAGAAGCCGGGACGCATTTAGACCTCGATCCTGACGTCGTGATGTTCGTAACACATGACGGCGAAGAGATTTCAATACCTTTCTCGAAGTGTCGCAGTTACGATGCCATAACTTTGTGACATACATATAATCCATCGATACAGGATCTTGTGGAATCCGTGAGGCAGTATGGGTTCGGTGATCAAATCAAGTCACCGTATTGGAGGAGTCAAATACGTGACGCTATTGACAGATTGCGGACTGAACAAATAGAAGCCTTCCAGCGGGGATCCTGGGGTCGTTCCTATTTCCTAACTTTTCAAAAAGATATGGGCAAAGGACCACCGATGAGAGTAGGGGTAGATGGTTGGGAAGAATTGGCCCAACCGAGCACACTCATCATGATCAGTTTTGATGAACCTGACCTTGCACAACGTTTTGACAGTCGAACAAAGGAGGAGGTCGAGATCGCCAGGGCAGAGGAGAACGCAAGGCTGAGAGAACAGACAGCACGAAAAGCAAGTGTACAGGCACAAAGATTTGCCGAGATCAAACACGGCGGCGTCTCTCTCGGAGAAAGAAGGCGCAGGCGATTCAGAGGCCTTTTCTTCCGGGTCCCTGATAAATAGCCACAAGGACGGACGCGGGCCAGCCAGTGGCCCCATTTGGTCTACGTACATGTCCAACCTGGCGTTTTACAAGGCTCAATCGCTTCAGCCATCCACTCACTTGTACAGGATGGCTCCCAAATTGCTTTCAATCCAGCAACGCAAAGAGTTCGCAAGGACGTCAACTCGATGGCGCAACAGAATGGTCGCATGTGGTACCAAGGACACTCGCAGCTTTGCAATTCCAACGACCTTTCTTCTTGGAGAAAAACGAAATGCAGCAACTCTTGAGTAAAAGGCACAGAAGGTTCATGGGCGTGGCGAAGCATAAATAGTTCTCGATCTCGAGCAGCGTGGTCTGAACATGGGCTTGAATCTTACCTGATCGAAAGTTCGAGACGTCAGAAACGTAGCTAGTATTTCAGCACTAACATCTCACGAAGTCTCGCTCTGGACATATAAAGTATATATACATAGAAACTAGATTGGTCAGCTTTCGCTCCCAAATAATACACAGCAGCCAATGGCTAGCTGGGTAATTCAAAGGACCTATTGGACAGTGTAAAACAGTCCTATCGGCGATCTGAAGGCCGCCCCTTTGGATTCACCCTTGCTACATGGATCGAGCCATCCGAAGCGGGTCAAGATCCACGGATAGGGCCTCACAGATGGACTGTCCGAGTAAGGTGCAGCAGAGCTCGTCATCTCTCGCACAGATAGGAGTGTGGGGTTCAAATTTTGCAGAGTGGTTGAGAAACCAGGTCTAGATCACACTGGCAACTCCAACAAGATAACACTATCAAAGATTCTGTATCGGTGGCTTCCGGAGCGCCATTATAAACATTTACTAGCACAACGCCATCAGTTAACCGATCGCGATATCTACCAGAAGAAACGGAGATAAATCTGAATTAGGAGAAAATGCATATCGGCGATGTCTATTGTGCGAGAGGAATGGACTGAACACCAATGCAGTTTTTGGCGGCTGTCACTCGCTTGGCAGTATGTGAAAGCAATGGAAGCCTGCAGTTTGAGCACGACCGGCAAATGGCAGAACCGGGTTTTATAACCATATGGGAGGGCTAGCCACTAAAGTTCCAGGCGATCAAAGGGGGGATCAGCCCAGCAGACTTGAGGTGCAGCTAAGCTCAGGTACTCACTCGGGGGCTAGCCAGTTACAAGTGTCCGTTTAATGCCCCCCCATCGTCCCTCCCCGTGCCCGTGGCTTGTACCTATCCCGTACTCCGTATGCCTGTCACCGCCAGTTTGACCCCTGCTGCTTTTTTTCTATAACCGTCTCATGCCACTGCCACTGCCACTGCCACTGAGGAGGTATGGAGTACGGAGGACGAGTTGAACCCTCACCATCACAGGTGTCCATTCTTCCCACACAGAGGCCAAAGTACCACTACCACGACCAGTACCTCCTCCTCTCACGACCACTCCCACCTTTCGCTTCCATTACATCTTATCCCAACCAATTGCCAATATCCATTGCTTTTGGCATCATGCTTTAGCGGCAAGTGTGCCATCGTCTAGACTGTCCATTCGTTTCTCCCCCACCACCACCTAGCCAAAATCACTGCCGTTTCTCTACCTGCGAGCTCAACACCACCACCCTCAATTTGGTTGCGCTGGTCGCCCATACAACAAGCCTATCTCAACCTATACCCTTTTCCTTGGTGGCCCACGTTGCCATCTCCTGTCTCCTGTGCCTACAATCGCTTTTCACCCACCATGGCAGACATATCCCTTCAGAAGCAAAAGAGCATTCCCAATCTTCACGACCAGGAGAAATTAGACCGCATCGCACATCTATCTACTGAACACCGACAACATAATGTTTCGCCTTCACAAAAGAGAGCATTGCTTAGATGGCAGCAGAAAGGAAAAGAAAAAAGCAGCATAGCACTCGCCTGCACCTGGATTGTGGACCACCAAATCGGTAAGAATCAAGAGTCACTCACCAGAAAAGCACCTCGAAATCCTAATGCATTGTCGCAGCCATATCCTTAAACTTCATATCGATACTCTTTTTCATCCACCTGGCCGTCCCATCGGCGAGACATCATACTCAGAAGTTCTTTCGCATCTCCTACTTCAACCCAGCGACGGGCACCTATGCCCTGGGTTGGGACGACATCTTCTTCGTCTTCTACTGGATCATCGTCTTCACCGGTCTAAGATGCGCCGTCATGGATTATCTCCTTGCTCCTCTGGCTGGTTTCCTGGGTATCAAGAAGAAAAAGCCGAGGGTTCGCTTTGCTGAACAGGCGTGGATTTTTATCTATCCTTCCTTTTCGTGGAGCATCGGCGTCTACATCATATACAATTCCGACTACTGGCTCGACCTACGCGCCCTGTGGAGGAATTGGCCAATTCGAGAAATGGACGGCTTAGCGAAATGGTACTACCTGGTCCAATTTGGTTTCTGGTTGCAACAGATTGTTGTGGTAAACATCGAAGAACGGAGAAAGGACTACCACCAGATGTTCACTCACCACGTCATAACCTGTGTTCTCATGCTCGCCTCTTACGGCTATCACCAGTACCGCGTTGGCACCCTGATTCTGTGTCTTATGGACAGCGTCGACATCATTCTTCCGTTCGCGAAGATCTTGAAGTATCTCCATTTCAATGTGGCGTGCGACATTGCATTTGGCGTCTTCATAGTAACATGGTTTATTACCAGACATGCGCTATACATGACCGTGATGCACAGCATCTACGCCCACATCCCTGAAGAAATTCAGTATGGGTGTTATAAAGGCAGTGTGGAGAATCTCCAAGGCCCACTACCCGTTCCAAACGACTGGGACCACGTGTTCCAGCCTTTCCGAGATCCTGTTGGGCTAGTCTGCTGGAATAACAGGATCAAATGGACATTCATCTGGATGCTAGCCGCTTTACAAGTCGTCCTCCTAGTCTGGTTCATCATGATCGTACGAGTTGCCTATAAAGTGGTCACGGGAAAGGGGGCCGAAGATGTACGTTCAGACGATGAAGATGGTGACGAGGAGGAGGAAGACACCACCACCGATGACACTCTCAATCTTGAAGAAAAGCCCTTGATCGATAACATCCACACTTGCATCGAGCCTGCCCTGTTCCTCGAGCGAGAAGTCCTCAGCACCGACCCCGGCTTCTCCGTCTCAAAAACACAATCCTCACCTCGCAGATCAAAAGCAAAATCTCGATCTTCATCATCTTCACTAGCACGCGCGTCGAGCGCCGGCTCCTCTAGTTCCGCTGGTGGTGGTAGGAAAAGCTACGACTCAGCACATGCGTCAGGTATCAATCTGCTCGCTGGGAGCAGTGATCGCAAGGAATTACTCGGACGGATTGGCTGTGATAAAGGCTCGACATCAGATTGAGTTGATGGCGTCGCTTTGAGACATTGACTTTTTGGCTAACATGTTACCTGAGCTGCTATAGAGAGTTGAGACTAGCAACAGACCAAACCAGATCAATTAGCCAGCGAGAGCGACGAAGAAACAGAGGAGGCAAAGGAAAAAAAAAGGATGATACCCCCTTCAAAACGACACAAATGAAATGAGAGACGATGCCATACGACCTCCTTTTCCTGGCATCACCTCGCCTCGCCTCGCCTCACACACGATGACTTCACATTACAATCACGGACACGACCATGATTACGACCAGATAGACTAGCGAGCAAAGAAAAATGCACCACGCCACCTTTGACATTGCTATCTTGAACTTCCCCTTCCTTTTCCCGACCCGTTCGTTCATTCGTTGCCATCTTCTCATTCGTGCGTCAATGCTCCTGTCTTGTCTTGTCTTCCGAGACCTTCACCTTCCCCTGTGCCGTGCCGCAAAGCATCCGCTTGCATATCATATTAGCTCCCTTCCTTGACACATACACTTTCGAATCGAAGTCAGCCTGAGAGAGCAACTTAGAAACAGATACGAACGCGAGTGAGACTGAAGCTCTGTCGATGGGTGGTGGGAAACTGAGTTCGGTGCTGGATGTTGCTAGCATCTGCCTTACAGCCATCCCAGTCTGCTCGGGTCTCAGGCACGCAACTGCTGTTCCTGGGGCGTGCGAATTGGGATGCTATGTGTGTGTAGAGCCGTATGTACAACGAAAAGGACATATACTCGGAAAGGAACAAGTGTCGAGCGGAAGATGGGAATCGGGGCGGGTTCGGACAGGGGTAGCGAGGTTGAACCACGAGAATGTGCACTGGTATATCCATTCCTTTCCATTGACACCCTCTCCAGGTCATGTGTGTTCAGTGCCCACATGGCTACAAAGGGTCTTGGCTTCCCTGTAGCTTTCTAATCTAAAGTACAACGGCTTCGATTGACCTTGTGAAGCAGATCGGCCGAAGTGGTTGGCTAGTCTTCTTGAGCAACTACACAAAAAGGGATCGAGCTCTGGCCATCATCGCCCATGCTTGCACCAGAAGTCAACCAGATTACAAGTACAAGCCCTCCGGCTCTCCTTCATTCTTGGTCTTCATCACATTCTCCTTGGCGCTTCGGAAATCCGCCATGTTGACTCGCATTCTCCTTTCTCGAAGTGCACGCAAACCTGCCTCGGAACAGATGGCCTTGATGTCCGCACCTGAGAGGTCATCCTTTTGTGCAATGAATTCATCAAGATCAACGTCCTCAGCCAAGCTCATCTTGCTAGTATGTAACGTGAAGATCTTCTTCTTGGTGTTGGTGTCCGGGTTCTCAAACAGAATCTTTCGATCAATACGTCCTGGTCGAATCAATGCGGGATCTAGTGTCTCAATCTTGTTGGTAGCCATGATGACCTTCACATCACCTCGATCATCGAAACCATCCAATTGATTCAAAAGTTCCAACATGGTCCGTTGAATTTCTCTTTCACCACCGGATGTTGATTCGTAACGTTTCGTACCGATAGCGTCGATCTCGTCGATGAATACAATGCTGGGAGAGTTCTCTGCAGCAACTTGGAAAAGTTGTCGCACCAGTCTTGGGCCATCTCCGAGGTATTTTTGAATGAGTTCCGAACCGACAATTCTCAGGAAAGTGGCAGAAGTCTGGTTCGCGACAGCTTTGGCCAGTAGTGTCTTTCCTGTACCCGGAGCACCATAGAGAATGACACCTTTCGGTGGTTTGATGCCCATCTCTTCATACAACTCGGGATGCAGTAGAGGTAATTCCACAGCCTCGCGGACTTCCTGTATCTGTTGTTCCAGGCCTCCAATATCGGCATATGATTCTGTAGGAGCTTTATCCAACTTCATGACAGACACCAACGGATCGGCATCATCTGTGAGAACGCCAACAACGGAGACCGATTTGTGATGTAGTAGGATGGAAGCTCCGGGTTCAAGCAGATCCTTGTCGACAAAAGACATGATTGAAACATAGTATTCGGGACCTGTGGCGGATGAAACAATGGCGTGGTCATCATCGATAAGCTCCTCAAGGTTACCAACACCCATAGGACTTCCGCGCATATCATCGACTCGACTTCTTTCGTCGGCATTCCGATCAAGGGCTTCGCCCTCACCAGCGACGGCCGGGGTTTGCGTTTGTGCAGCCTTTGCCTTTCTTAGTTGCTCCTGGTTTTCAACGTACTCTTCTTCCAGGAGAAGATGATCGTGGACTCTTTGCATTCGCAGGTATCGGAGTTTGCATCTTGCGGTAGGATAGATTTGAGGGAGCTTTGCGGCGGCATTGGGACCGGCCTGCTTGCGCTTTCTTCGACCGATTCTTGTTGTAGGCTGTGGCGGTGGCTCGTACTTAGGTTTATCCTTCTGGAGAGGGATTTAGTTTCTATTATCTTGGAAGTCGTGGATGAAATGAAATTACCTTCTTATCCTTGTCGTCTTTGCCTCCTTGTCCGGGAGGACCACCTCCCATCTGGGATTGTTGATTTCCCTAGTGAGTGTTAGTTTGACATTTGCCGTGCGAGGGAAGGATGAACCCATACCATTGCTGATGAGTTAGGAAACCAAAGGTAATGAATGAAACAAGTGTTGACAATGACGAAGATCAGGTGTTGGTGATGGAACGGAGAGGATGGAATTGTTTAGAGTGATTACTACGAAGACCTGCCCTTGAGCGAAGGCCAGATGCGTGACGATTGCCAGTCGCGCCTGTTGACGATTTTAGTAGATTGCCAAGCCGCCATCATCACTATATTGTACTTAGCTCCTGCTAATGGTACTCACAGTGAAATGACTAAGCTGGAGGAGTCAGCCTCAGGCTGCCGCTGCCTTCTCCGACAAACTTTGAAAGTGAGGCTTCGTCCTGCAATGCGTGGAGTCGAACCACTGCCTGACTACATCCACCTCGAGCATTTCCTAGGCCACAAACCAGGCACCACGTCCACAGTGGCTGTGTATCTGTGTGACACATTCACTCATCTGGCAATCTATCATCACCACTTGCTTTCTATCTCTATCTCGACATCAGTCTCAGTACAACTTTCATACTAGATACCCCTCCAACGTTTACACTTGTTCCTCCTCATTCTTCGATGTGATTCTACTTCCGCGGGACCTTACATTTACAGCCTTGTTCCCACCAGTGTTCCGCTTTCGGACTTGTTCATCTGATATTCTCTTTGACCACTTCCAACTTCCCAACATCGTCTAGACTCTTGACTGATCTGTGACATCTGGCAACTTGACGACAGTTCAGCAGCCACGCTCTCCCTCCCACTTCGATTTCCGTTCACGAACAATCTGCCTGCACTCCAAAAATCGCACCTCACAATGGCTGGACATAAGGCTAGGCGGATAGCCAAAGACCTAGCAGACATTCGTGGAGACACCAACTCTCAGATCTTTGCAGAGGCCATTGGAGACAACATCACAAACCTTAGAGGTTCATTTAAAGGTCCTTCTGGAACACCATATGAGGGCGGCACATACGAGGTAGCCATCAATATTCCAAATGAATACCCGTTCAAGCCCCCGGTGATGAAGTTCACCACCAAGATCTGGCACCCCAATATCTCAAGTCAGACGGTGAGTGATGACGGCAGATGCAGCAAATTACCACAGACTGACATATTATACAGGGAGCCATCTGCCTAGACACTCTCAGCACAGGCTGGTCACCTGTTCTGACTATCAAATCTGCCTTGATTTCACTACAATCTCTTCTGAGCTCACCTGAACCGAAGGACCCCCAAGACGCAGTGGTTGCACAGCAGCTGATCAAAAATCCAAAAGAATTCGAGAGACAAGCAAAGGAGTGGGCAGTCAAGTACGCAGGAGCACCAAAGTCCAACCTTGGTGAGGGCAGTGGAGGATCAACCGCGCAATCTATTGAAGAGGCTGAGAAAGCAAGCGAAGAACGGGAAGCTGCAGCCAACATCGCTGTCTATGATGGCTACAACAAAGAATTAATCGACAGATTCGTGATGATGGGCTTCGACGTCGAGCGGGTCGTGGACGCATTCAACTATGTTGGAATTGATCGCAATGGCGGTCAGGACTATGAACTGGAGGAGGCTTACATGGGCGACATTACAGCCCGACTACTGGGTGAGCCGTGATTTGCTTATTAGGGTTCGACAATCTTGCTGCATAGAAGCGCTGGTGTTGTTACGGATTTCGGGTTGGCCCAACGCATTGTATTTGGGCGTTGAAGATGTAAATCAACAGAGATTACATGGACATGGAGGAAATTGAGGAAATGACATATTCAATGACCCATAGTTTTCCCTGGACTTTGTGCCAGTGATAGGCAAGTGCTACTGACTTCTGCACGAGGACCATGTGCGAAAGTACGAGGTTTCCACAGATAGGTGTAGTTGCTAGTTTCAAAGCTCGAAAGATTTCGACATGATGCTCATGCATCCTCTTGACTACTTTACCAATGTTATTTCTGTCATACCTAAGTACTCAATGCTTGTATCCGCCCTCCTCCCCAAGGAACTGTTAACGAGGTTGTGTGTTGGACCCAAGTGGTACACAATGGTCGTCGGATAAATAACCCTCTACCTAAGCATTCAAGAATGTCTATGTCTGGCGCAACAGGCTCTTTCAATCATAATCATCAGCGGCCATACCTCCGATCAACCACTGTCCATACACAGACTCAGAAGCCACCTCTCTAATGCCGCCCTCGACAACATAATATAGCCGCACAGCGGTAGCATTCCAGCCGACTGCCCCTAGTGGTCCATTCGATATACTTGAGTTGTACATCGACGACCCAAAATCGCCTATCGACCACCTGTTGTTGGAGTATTGCACCTGCTGCATTTCAGTGCCGTCGAGATAGTAGAGTTGAGTTACGTCCGGTGTGTCTGAGCGGACTGCTCGGAGAAAGCGTGGCAGTTCTTTTGGAATCGGCGCGGTGATGTTTTGTGCTGATATGCGACATTAGCGGAACGTGCGTGCAAGGCAAGGGTTGGAAACAGGCGCAGCACTCACCAACTGACCACGTTGAGCCTGTGTAAGCTGACGTTGCAAATTGCAATTGCTTCTGGGCGGAAAACCAAAAGAGCCAGATTTCGTCGTGCACCATGACCACACCAATGGGCGATGCAACATGCGCCTTTGCATCACTACTGATGGCCTTTGGCGCAGACCATCCATAGGTGGGGTTGTATCCAGCACCCAGAACAGAGCCATCACTGCCGATATAAAATTCCCGTAGATAATAGGGCTCCGGCGTCACGAATGCAATACCTTTACCTACAGAGACTGCCGGGACCACACTGTTCAGCTCGTTTGATGGTTCGGTGCATAACGTGCCGTTCTCATAGCATCCGAAGATCAGACTGCCCATGCCTCCCGTGCCTCCCGATGGAGTGTAGTGTATACGAATTTCCTGTACTCGCGAGGATCAGTGGCGGCGTCAATCTTGCCAGAGCGTAGTCTGAGGCTTACAAAAAAGTTGGCATATCTCCAGGTAACGGCAGCGAGGGGCGTCTCCATTATGGCAGGATATTTCATCTTGAGCTTGAACGGATCCGCCCAAACGCTTGGATCGTTGTAGTAGCCATGCATGTAGAGGTCTCCATTTGGTACTTGCCAAACGACGAAAACGGTCACCTCATCTTGCGTGGCTGTGATTGCACGTATCGGGGCCGGTGCTGCGACGGTTGCATTGATTGTGGATGGCGTTCCAGTGGTACCACTTGAACTTGACGGCGCTGCAGATGAGAAAGCCGGACTAGAAGACGTAGACGGGCTGGGTACATTCGACTCATTTGCTGTCGAGGAACTCTGCAAATTAAAATCAGCGGCATTGTAAGAGTGCAGAAGGAACTGGCCGTAGACAGACAGACTTATTCCTCGTACCAAGCACACCTCCCACTGCACCGCCGATCGCAGCAGCCACCAGTAGAAGGAGAACTGCGAGCACTACAAAGAAGGTTTTCCTGCGTAAGCCACATATGCGGCTGTCTTCTTTGACTGGTACGACTGCCAGCTCATGTTGTCTCTTGGAAGCTTCGGTGACCGCTTCATAGACTGGCGCATGCTGTGCTATATATTGGCCATCATCGACGGCTTCAGGATAGCTTTCATCAGTCCGTGGCGGGTAGTACACCTCGGGGTAGGAATGACTAGAATCATGCGACTTGTGAAATGACTCTGGCAATGGGCCTGTATAGAATGGGGACTCTGTTGGCTAGTGGTGAACATTGAATTTAGTTTCTTGTTTGGAAATGAGAAGAGGTTGCTAAACATACGGTAGTTTGCAATCCCGCCATCACGTACCATCGACTGCCGGCGACGACTGATGACCGTGATCACGTACAGAACCAGGCGAGATCGCCCTGAACTCCTCTACGCGTCCTGTGAGGATTTTGGGGCATGCAACGGCAAGGAACCGAGTGGCGGGCTGAATCTTAGAAGTAGGGAACTTGCGAACAGCCGTTTGATCCAGACCATGCTTTATTCTCTATTCTCCGCCACACCAGCGTATCATGCTATTGATTGGCACTAACTTTAAGGGCCTGCAGACGACGAGGCTAACCTTGCAGATATGCGGCAGCATCTGGAAGAATGGCAGATAGGTGGGGCATCCAACTGGATTAGGGTCCCTGGCGTTCTAGTAGGCGGACTGACTGACCTTGACAGTGGCTTCACTTGCCTGGACATCGAACCATTACCCTGCGAGAAGCAGGGCTGGCGAAAAGTAGTGCTTAGACAACACGAGGTTCTGGGTGCGTAAAAAGCCACGATGCCACCGCGCGGCTGATGGCTTTCCCTGTCATTAGCTGACCCACGAAATCTGGTCAATCTATCATCGGAGATGGTCCAGATAAACGACTAACACCGTACCGTTCAGTCACAGAAGTCAGATTCTCCCGCATACGACATCTCTTCTTCTTGACGCTGGCATAAACGCAACGGGCACGTTCGCGCAGAACGAAGGCGGAGATGATAACAGTGGTGCTTGCCCATCCAGTAAGGAGTTCAACCTGCTAACTTCTTCCCAGGATGAGGAATGCTTCAATCAATGGCGCGCGCCAAGGGCTAGGTTGTATAACATGTTTGACAATAATTGGTCGCTTGTCGTGCTCATCCTGCAGCCCGTAGTTAGCCCTTCCCAGTATTGAGGTGAAGCAAGGGAGCCAAGATACGGTGCGAGTCGCAACAGACTTTAGGCCCTGAGTCTTGAGGCTCTTTTACCACCTTAAAGCAGCCGTCATTCATTCACCAGATAGGCTAAACAGCTCAGGACATTAAAGCAGCCTCGATTTTCACATAAAGTAGACTTGTCTTGGCATCTCTAGAGATTAGAAGGTGTGAGAAGAAAGACCATAGTTCTCATTTAGAGCAAATGGCGATGTCCTACAACTGCGACGGAGGCCTTAAAATTGATGCTATCACTCCACTGGTTCTCTCGTGGGACTGAGCTCTAAATCTATTGGGGAGTTGAGGCGGTCGAGTCAGTATCAATTGAGTCGCTTTCCTATCACAACACGGCCACCGAGGCACAACTTCTAGCCTCGAACAGAGTCAATAACTCTCTGAAGGATTCAACCTTCCGCTCGGATTTGTTGCTAAGACATGAGGTGATCATTCTAAGATGGTAGAGTGTGAAACAATTCTACCTAGCCTCGTTCAACTCTTCTCCCAAGAAAGATGATTGAAGACGACGTCTACAGGACGTCTTCTCAGTACCGCTACTGGTCCTACACCAAAGAATCACTTGCGCGTATACGTCAAAACACAAATGACCTTGCATCGGAACGAGTCCGCGCTGCATTCAGACGAGTACAGGCTTCCAAATCATCTTCTGACAGCAATAATGGAGACGCTTCGGTTGGTGATGCCGAGGTTCTCACCTTGACCGTTGACGAGGAACTGAAGATCGTTGAATGGGGATGTCAGAAGATCATGGATATGGGTGAAGCAATGAGTCCTCGGGTGCCCAGTGCTGTCGTGGTATGCATTTTTCATTTTTACCCCTGTCCCGATATCTTATTTTTGACTTCCCATGCTCACGTTCACAAGGCAACGGCAATTCAATACCTTCGCCGTTTCTACTTGACCAATAGTCCTATGACATATCATCCAAAACAAATCATGATGTGTGCGTTATATTTGGCCACCAAGGCCGACCACTTCTACATATCACTACCGCGATTCATTGCAGAATTGAACAACGTCTCCGAGGACAATGTCAAAGCACCTGAATTCTTATTACTGCAAGGTCTAAGATTCACCCTCGATGTCCGCCATCCAATGAAAGGTCTCGCTGGAGGCCACGTTGAGATGAGTGACATGGCTGAGGGAGGATTACTCAAGCATATAGAGCCCGGAAAAACTGGCGCAAAAAGAATTGGCGCTGCCGCAGATGAAGCGAAGAAACTACTCGCAACAGCAGCACAGCTCACAGACGCCTACTTCCTCTACACGCCAAGTCAAATCTGGCTGGCGGCCGTTATGGTTGCAGACCAAGGGCTTGTGATAAGCTACATTGAAGCGAAACTTGCCGGTCTACAGAGCCTCAACGCGGATGCGACCGCAGTGGATCAACTGAGGCAGAAACTCATCGCGACGATATCGTCTTGCGCCGAGCTGCTGGAATCGTACCGATCACCTGAGGACGACGCCGCGCAAAGAAAGGAGATGAAGCGGATCGGTAAGAAGTTGACGGTGTGTCAGAATCCCGAGAAGATGGATATCGTTGCCGTAACGCGGGCGAAAGCAGCGGAAAAGAGGGAGGGTGATAATGGCAGTGATGCCGAGAAGGCGCTCAAGAAGCGGAAGTTCGAGAGAGAGAACCTTCAGAAGGACGGCGATGTTTTTGGGCCGGATTTGAGGGATGTCGCTAGGTGAAGATAGAGATTGGTGATACTGGTGAAGGAGTGGCTGGCGGGCTGCTACCCAGCAAATGTACCACTATGATTCATGATGAGCCATGAGGAATGGAAGTCGTTCCAAAGAATTATGCCTCGCCCATACTAAGTATACTGGGCGATATGGCAGTTCTCGATCACATGCTTATCAAGTCTCGAATGTGGCTGTAGATCTTTCGCATGTGAATGGTGTTATTTTGTAAGGCTGGTTAGTAAGGTTTGATGAATCATATGTGGGGTAATGTTGCAATTTTACATTTGACCCAATAAATTGTAGGAAGGGATTGGATGTTCGATCGTATTCTCAAAGCCAAACAAGTTGATCATAAAGCCCTGGCACGGAAGGCATCTCATTGCGGTATTCGAGCCGTTCAACGTTTCGGCTGTACCTGCATCATTTCAAGTTGAGGACTAAAAGACTCGTCGTGTGTTTCTCACTGCAGGTGCTGTAATTCTGAGCTACTGTATTAACACGACTTATCAAGCTGTGCATGGTAAATATATCAAAAGTCGCGGTACATTCACACTTATCGAGAGATGGCGACAGGTAAATACAACGTTGGTATTATTGGATATGGCTTGAGTGCAAAAACATTCCATATACCTTTCATCAATGCGGTGCCTGAATTCAACTTTTACGCCGTTGTTCAGCGGAGTCCAAAGCCAGATGATGATGCGGAAAAAGATCACCCTGGAATCAAGAGTTATCGCTCGGTGGATGACTTGATCAAGGATGATCAAGTGCATGTTGTGATAGTGACGACTGCACCAGAGTCTCATCTACCTTTGGCCAAGCAAGCATTGCAGGCAAAGAAGCATGGTAAGTCATCCGGTTTGACTGGTATTGTAGCGACTTGTTGATGTGTATAGTGGTCGTTGAGAAGCCGTTCACACCGACATCTGCAGAGGCACAGGAGTTGGTAGATCTTGCAAAGGCACAAGGGGTCCTTTTGACAGTTTATCAGAATCGACGATGGGACTCGGATTTCTTGACTCTGAAAAAGTATATCGATGACGGATCTCTCGGGCGAATTGTCGAATTTGAGACACATTTCGATCGACACCGCCCGGAGCCGCCAGCGGACAACTGGAAAGCATACCATGCTCCTGGAACAGGAGCTGTTTACGATCTTGGAACCCACCTGATGGATCAAGTTGTGCACCTGTTTGGTCTGCCCAAGAGAATCACTGGATTTGTGGGCTCACAGCGAGCAGTCAACAAAACCGGACTGGAAGACTCGGCTACGGTATTGCTTCACTACGACGACCAACTGCTGGTGACGGTGAAGGCTGGAGTGGTCAGCCCAGAAGTCGACCAATTGAGGTACTGGGTACGCGGCGAGAAGGGCTCTTTTAAGAAGTTCCATCTAGATCCCCAGGAAGACCAGCTCAGGAAGGAAGGAATGAAGCCAGGAGATAAAAACTATGGAATTGAACCCGAATCTCACCATGGCACTCTAAGCATTTCTCAAGATGGCAAGATTACCAGCAGGGTGGTCCCAACCATTGAGCCTCCCACGTATGTTGAGTATTACCGCCGCCTTGCTCAAGCGCTGGGTGGTGATGCTTCGAAGATACCAGTACCTCCGGAGGAGGCAGTCAGTGTCATCCGATTGGTTGAACTTGCGAGGGAAAGCTCGACATCGGGAAGAACACTGAGCGTTTGATGCATCAGTGGTAAGATGTGCATCGTTGGTTGTGCAATTCATCCTTGAATGCAACTCTCTCCTTTCTGAACCAAGAATAGCATTTCACACTTTAAATACTCCACCGTAAGAAATTTGATGACCATTTGAACTGCGATGGAAATTCATCACCCCAGAAATGTTTATTGGCGATCAGACCATTCTACTTTCCCTCAAATTCTCCGTTCCATAGAGACCATATGGTTTGATTCTCTCCGATGAGAACCATACCAGACCGTCCATGTTCAATGGCCGTCATAAAGTCGCCTATGGCACTCACGTGCCTGCGTCTTTCCGCAAAATCCTAAAATTCTATACCACTTGCTGCCACACTGAATTGACTGTTAGTCAAGCTTTACACTGGGAGAGGACCAAAACGCGACCAGTATCCTGCTGTAATGACTTCAGTGACTGGTCTGAGCTGGCGCCTGTTCAAGAGGTTGCTCGTCAATCGTCGTTCCCCCGGCCAACGATCGGTAGTAACAGCATCTCTAATCTCCAACCACACACGATAGGTGGAACTCTCAGGGGAAACAATGTGGCCCGAGTCTCCAGAACCACCTCGCGTCACCTGCACGTTACTTCGAGACAGTTACTCGTGGTCTCCTCTTCTCGACATGCTCCGCCGAAACCGAGGCAGAGAGTCATCCCACCTCCCGCCGCTCCTATCGCCGTGTCCAAAACTCACAGCGGTCTCAGCAAACCGGCCGACCATGATCGCTTTGAAATCACTCCGAGCCTGCTCAATCCAAGAGAAGCAAGCCAGAAACTATTAGAAGAAAGGGAGGCCAAGTTGGCTGCAAAATTAAGACTTGAGGAAGCGGAACGAAAGATTAAACTGGCTGCGAAGTTGAAAAGAGAGGCGGAGGAGCATGTTGCAGAACTGAGACGAAGAGAGCAAGAACGGATCGAACGGTCGAAACTCCTCGCGGCACACTCCAACTATATGCAGCGTCTGCAGGCAATTGACAAACGTCTCGACCGTTTCCCCACCAAGGAAGTCTTCGAGCGTGAGCTGAAGTCGGCACGAATCAGAGCGAAGTTCGACAAGATCAGGGCTCGACGTTTGCGTATGGAAGCTGTCCTTTTATCGACCAAAACCCCCAGAAGCATTCGGAAGGCTCGTGATCGTCTGCAAAACATTAATTCATCCGTCGAAGCAGTCCAAGGTGACCTTCGCTTATGGCGCAAAGAGATGACCAAAGACCGTCAAAACATTCTTTCTGTTGCGAACGATCTCGAAGCAAAGTACACGGACTTCAGAGGTTCGACCTCGCAAAAGGGCAGAATATTCTCGCAAGATGCCTGCGCCAATTTCAATCAACTAATCGAGATGACGGGATTGAGTGGTATATCCCAAATCAACAAGGAGCTGTTCGGACACGGTATATCCACTTCACAATCAAAAGCTTTATTCAAGCAACCTCTTGCGAGCACCCATAGCCATACCCCTGAGGGAAGGGTACGAAGAGTCTTGCTTGATCTCATCTTTTGGTCACTAAATGCACAGAGAGTACTCGATGATATCGGTGTATCTCTGCACCTCTACAGACGATTGCGTACCGAGGGGCTTCTATGTAGAGCTTTTCCAGAACTTTTCGCTCAGGATTACGCGAAAGCAGTCATGTATCCTACGTTCCAGAGCATTGCTTCTATCAACATGGCTGCTAGGATGTATTTTAGGAGCTCGCAACGATTATTCCCCTATCTTCTCTCTTCAAGAATGAAGCTGTACAACGCCTTTCCGTCGGTGTATCTACCCCTCCAATTAGTGTTCGATACGAAAATGATACGCAAGGAATTCGAAACTCTACAAGGATCTTTATCAATCTATCACCCGGCGGGAGATCTTCCACTTCAGCACGCTCAAATCCACGATTTTCGCCCCTTCTATGACATGCTCTTGGATTTGGATCAGATATCAGAAGACCTCAGCCAGTTAGAGGAATTCGAATATGACATAGAATACCTTTTTCCCGCAAACACTGGGCGCCTGAATCACGCTAAATGGCATGCCATCTTGGTCGGTTGTTACCGTGAAACTCATACCGCACTGGGGCTAGCAAGATTGTGGCGGGGTATCGCCAATATGACACTGGGAATTGCCAACAGACCCGCCGCAAGGCATCGTGCTCCTTTGGAAGAAGAATCCTATCGCCGAAGTAGTCAAAGTCTCGATGTGCGGAGTATACAACTGAAATTGCAGAGCTCATCCAGAGAACAAGGAACTACAGCCCCGACGTGGCTTACTTTACCGCCGTCACTTTATACGCAACAGGCTCAAGTCCCAATTCATTATCTAACAACGAGGGGGTCTGCTGGGTTTGTTCTCGAACAATTCGCTGGCTCTAGTGTTCTTGGAGTCGACCTTGTTATGAAGCCGCCTCCCAAGACTGGGCTTAATGCAATGAAATCAAGAGTAAATTTCCTACTGATTGCAAGTGAGCGTGCTGTTGGCATCTTCGATATGGACTGTCTGAATTTTATGGCCAGCCATCTCTTGGAGGCATCAATTTTCCAGGGCGTTCTGGGAAACCAGGCAATAATGAAGGTTGGTGTGCACACCGAGTTATTACGTCGGGTTTTGGCCGATGATCACAGCATCGAGATGATCAATGCTGTAGACTTGGCATCAGAGCAGTTGTCGTCGATTGCTAGCATCGATGAAGACCCCACCATACAGACCCTTTCAAGTCTAACCTGGGAAACCTTTGGGCAATCTTTACCGTATTTACTCATATCGGACACAATTCTGAAGCAAGCTGGAAAACGTGATCCGAGCTTGTATTTTGGGCGTAAGTTTCCTTGCTGTCTGGCTGAAGAGGCGCAATCTAACCTTGTTGCTTAGATCTGGCTTCCCGTCCTTATGCCGCATTGCAGCTGTTCAAGAGTACTCAAGGTCTTGGCGATAACGAGACATTGGCTGTCAAAGCAGCGGCGAGCCTCGGACCTGTTGTCGTCCATTCTTTACCAGGCGATCGTGTTCGCCGCAGTGGGCTTATAACTAAACCATCGCCATCTTTGACCTCACCATTGTCGGTATACATTTCAGAGCTTGTCGAGGGGGAGTCTGTACACATTTTGCGTCGTAACAGTCATCTTTCGATTCGCCGCGAGATCTATGGGCTAGGGAAATGGGGCTACCCGATTCTGGCAGCATATATCCGGCTGACTACATTCAGCCGACCAATTGAGGACGTTTATACCTATCTATGGCCAACTTTACGACCAGAGGTTGAGACAACCAAAGATTTACGAGGATATACCCTCGGATTCGCTGGACAAAACCATCGTATTGTTTGCGCATCAATCCTTCTTACTTTTGCCAATCAAGCGAAGCTTCCTTTGAAACTGCAACACGAGAACGAGCTTCGAGAACCTTTTCAACAATCCTCGGCCATAGCGCCATCTCCTTCTGGGTTTTCGTGGCTGCACTGGGCCGAAGAAATGTTACAGGAGAAGTTCAACAAAGGAAACCGCCTTGCTTATCCTATCATAGATGCTCAACCCTCGGTGACGCAGAGCTCAACAATTAAGCCGATTGGTAAAGCAACTGCCCGACGACTCCAACGACAGAAGACGACAGGCTCCAGTAGAGGAAGTCGACGAGGCCTGGAAAATGCACAGCCATCCAATGAAAACAGCCCAGCTCGTTCAGTAGCCCAACAAGCCGTTGCGGGGTCATCAACACCAACTGTCAAAACGAAAGGAGAAATTTTCAATCCCGAGATTTTGGATACTGGAGCAAGGACCTCCAATCTGCAAGATCAAGCAAGCTTTGTTACGGCGCCCATCAAACCCTTCGTCGCAGCAAATCTTACAGAAACTGTCAAGTTACGCTTCATTCCCTCTGTTCCAGCATACGCTCCACCCGAACCTCCTAAGCCTGGACAGGCGGACGACAAAAAATTGAAAGACTATGTATCGCACAAGCGGAAGTCTATACGTAAACCAGAGCGCAAAGTCGCACGCACCGAACGCGCACGCGCCAAAGCCGCACCCGAAACCGTCGTCAAGCCGACTGGCATCGAGCTGAGCACGCCTGACTTAACAGAATCCCTTGGTTTTGTTGACGCCTTTTTCACTTCATTTGAATCAGTCCAAGTCCGGCAAACCTCAAAGGCTGAGATGGCTATCGACAAGGACAACAAGCACAAGCCATCGCCCAAGAAGCCGCCTGTCCTCGAGCCAAAGGACTCAAGTAAACGTCCCACTCAGCACACCGCACAGAAACTAACCGTCAGATGTGTGGGTACGACTCAGCGCGCCATACGGAGACTACCCTTGAGACGGATGGGTTTAAATCTCACTCGTGAGCCCATCGTCAGACGAGTGAATGGCGTGGCGAATTTCACGGGAAACCATGCCATCCCAGCGGCTCAGAGGGGGAATATGCGCTCCAGCCAAGTCACTCAAGTCGAACAACAACAGTCGCTTCGGACCGATGCTCCTTCTTCACAATCTCCGCCTTGGGAATGGATGGTCTAATATACTCTCTACCCATTCTGAGTGAGACATGGTATTTCCGATAATTGCACATGGTGAAAAGAACTTGAAACTGCTTGAGAAACGGACACAACACAAGCCCAGAAAGAATGAACTGAAGCCTTTCCCTGATCCATCTTCGCTCTCACTCCTTTTCGTCCATCGCCCTACAGCTGAACACATATTTTGGTTTCGCAAGCCCACAGGCGAGACCCGAGTGAGGAGAGATACACACAAACATCTCCAATTCAGGGCGACAGGGAACGGCCAGGCGGGTGAAACTGAGCACCACCCTCACCAGTCTCCCACCTACATGGCAATTTTCGTCCATGTGCAAAGCTGCGATCTCACCGCTACCCTGGAGAACTCTCGCACTACCAACCCCAAAATCCCGCACCGATTTCGAAATTTTTCTCGTTTTCCCATATCATATCTGGAGAACAGGTTGTTCGCGTTTCTGTCATAGATGTAGAATTAGCAAGCCTATCCACATGAATCGGTGGAACTGGCGCCCCGATTGAACGGGGAAAGATAGACATGCCAGACTCACTGAGCCTGCGTGTGTTCCAGATCCATGTATTAATAGATCATAGCTATTTTGTTCCACTCGCCATTGTTAGCTATTTACCGGAAAAACTCGCATTGGCCTATGATAAGTCAGCCTCACTACTTGTGGCAGAAGCAGTCGAACAGGCTTGATCTTCCCAGATACTTTAGCCCCAATCTGGATACGAATGGCACAGGACAGGACAGCAGGGTATGGAATAGATTACTTAGATGTAGATATAAGCTCGCAGGCTAAGTTATGTCAAGCTGGGCCAACCAATCGAAGCAAAGAGACGTGCTCTTCCTCTTCCAAATCTTCTCGCTGACAATTCAAATCATCCCCTGCCCCAGCGCCTCCAGAATCTACTGTCGCGCTTGGCACCGGGCTCGCGCTTCGCAACACGCCAATAATACACAGGCACACCACTGATGATAAACGCGACGACGATGACGGTCTGCAGTGGCTGCGCGATTACAGCACGACTGACGAGGAACAGACTCACGCAGCAGAAGATGATGGGCGTGGTGATCCAGGTGCGGTAGGGGCGCTCGAGGTTCGGTTCGCGGATGCGCAGCACGATCAGGCCGAGTACGGTCAGGAAGTAGAAGGTATAGCCCGCGACGCCGTAGAAGGTGATGAGGGTTTCGAATTCGCCGACGCAGACATACACGAGAGTCAGGGCCGTGTTGAGTAGCATGGCGTTGATGGGCGTGTACCCTACGCCAATGGATTCGTCGCCGAAGAGCCGCGTGATGGTCTTGGTCAGCCATGAGCGCTTGCGGAGTTTGTTCAGTTGGACGGGAGGGTTTTCGGGTCCGGTGGATGACATGCCGATTCCGATGCGCCCGAAGAGAGAGGGGATGTAGCCCTCGCGTCCGGCGACATAGACAAGGCGTCCGGAGGTAAATGTCGTGGCGTTGAGGGCGCCGAAGCAGGATGCGGACACGATCAGGGCGAGGATTAGGCCACCGATCGGGCCGAAGACTTTGCTGCCGAATTGAACAGCGACAGTGTTGCTTTTGTTGATGGTTTCGAGTGGGAGGACGAAGATGTAGGATATATTGGCGAGAAGGTAGCAGGCGATGACCGCGGGCATGGCGGTGTGAAGCACTCGAGGAAGATCTCGGCTGGGGTTCTTGAATTCTCCCGTCACGTAGTTCGTGTTGTCCCAGCCGTCAAATGCCCAAAGGCCAGCGTAGAGTGCGACTGCCCAGTTGGAAATATCGTGGGATGTGCCCTCGAACCAGTGATGGGTTCGCCAATCTGTGTTTGCGGGCCCATTGTGCGAAAGCCCAGTGGCAGCGACAATGATGCCGATAATGGTGACGGCGATTAAGGCGATGAACTTGAAAAACATGAATATATCGCCTAGTCGAGCGGCAAAGCGGGTAGATATGCAGTTGAAAAGCGTGACGAGCAGTAGAGCCACGATGGCCGGAATTTTGTTGATCCAGGGGTTTACATCTTCGACTTCAGCTCCTATGGCCGCCCTTACGAGGTATTCGCCGAGGATGATCGCAATGATTGCAGCACTTCCGGGTTTCAAGACCAGTATCGCTGCCCATGTGAAGAGAAAACCTGCAAGTTCACCAAAGATTTTGGCCAGATAGACTTGCGCACCACCATTCAATGGTATCGCGCCTCCTAGTTCTGCATAAGAGGCGGCACCAGTCCATGCGAGCAGACCCGAGATTGTCCAGACTATGAGCGATGCACCGGGCGACCCTGCATGAGAGTTTACTTGTGCCGGAGAAGAAAATATACCTGAACCTATGATCAACCCGACCACTAACGATAAACCGTTCAGATATGTTAGGGTTTTGTTCTTCTCCAAGTTTTGCAGGTTTCCTCGTCGTTCCAACGACAGTGAGACAGCAGAAGGGTTTCCCAAGGCGGTATAACCACCGCCCGCGGTCGAGGAGAGAGGAAATAGAGCTGGTGTAAAGTCGAATGCGGAAGACACTGAATAGGAGCGATCTCGTAAACGTCCGCGTGCCCGTGAAGCGACATTGGCGTCATCTAGGGGTCCTTCGTTCTCCAGAGAGAGTCTCCTCGATGAGGAGATACCAGAGCGCGAAGAAGACTCGGAAGTTGGAAGGTCGTCATGGTCAGAGTCGGCAAGCGATGCGAGTTCGAGGGAGTCCCGTCCAGCGAGCGGCTGGAAGCCAGGACGGGACATGATTGATGATGAGGATGAGGATATTTATTGTGGTATATATGTCATCGCGATAGTCGGATCATAGTGAAGCGTATCAAGAGTCTCGCTTCCCTATCCTCAGCGACCTAGGTCCTCCAACTTTGTTTACGCCAGAATCGTCGAGATAGGAATGGGGGTGGAGGGAAACTTGGATGATCTGATCTGCATGCGGCCAACACTATGCGCCAAGTGCTTAGTGTGAGCTAGATACAGTTAAGCACTCTAGCGTACATGGCATGTACCAAAACCTGACAACTAGCATGCGCTAAGCCTAACTAGCTCCGCAAGTAGATTACTAAGGATACTGCCACTTTGCACGTGAATATCTGGAATATCTTCCTGCGACATCTCTATCTACATTGTCATTTGTATAATGTCGAGCCTGCACTGAGGCCCTCGCAATTGATTTTAAAATGAGGTGGCACGGTGTGATATCAGCGTTGTCCGCTGTGCTGGTAACAACAAATGCCATCTTTGCCGACGACGCATTTCACATCGATTACCATCATGCCCTCCTCGGCATTCCCCAGTCTCATGCAACCTTCTTTCACAAGCCACAAGCCTCTACGAACGCCTCATTATTATACTCCATCTCAGACAAGGCTGTCCTAGGTGCCATCAACCCTAAAGATGGCTCAATTTTATGGAGGCAACCACTTGCTGGACAGCCCCTCAATCAGGCGTCATCCTCCTTCTTGGTTGCACGGGAAAGAGATGGCCAGATCATAAGTGGATATGGAAAAACCGTCTCAAGCTGGGATGCCCTCAATGGCAAACTCGTCTGGACATATGATTTCCCAGAGGGCGCTCTTGTCCAAGGGCTACAACATACACCAGTGTCGGACGCAAGTAATGCGGTTACACAGGATCTATTAGTGTTGACAACTTCGGAGCTTGCGAGTGCACATCCCGTCATAAGTCGTATTGCAGGCGATGGAAGGGGGCTTAGATGGGAGCATATTGATACCTCCACCTCAGACAGCGGTCCTACCTCACTTGCTACCTCCTCAAAACATGCCTACTATGTCACCAAATCTCATGGTTTGTTGTCGGGTGGTAAGGCCAAAGTCGTAACCTTCGATATTACCACAGGTAAGGAGGTCGCCACAGCCAATATTGCCGTTGACTCCGATGCTTTGGGTGAGAACGGCCATTATATCGCCGGCCCTCAATCAGCATTTCCATTCCTCATCTCCGCCGAAAAACCTTACAATGCAATCAAAATCAGCCCGTTGACTACTTCCAAGGTTCAGACTCTCAATGTGGACGACAAGGGTGAAATCATCGAGTCTTTGAGTGTTCTATATCCCTGTGATCCGTCAGCTGCATCACACTTCCTCCTCCATATCAGAGGTAGTAAGCGACAATGGGCAGAGATCTACCATTTCAACACCAAGTCAGGCGACGCTGTCAAGGCATACTCCTTACCAGCAACAGAAGAGCAGAGCATCTTCTCAATCAGCAGTAGCGGATCGAATGTGTATTTCACCCGAAGCACTGCAACCGAATTGAGTCTCTATTCGTCAGAATCGCATGGTCAGCTTGGACGATGGGAGAGATCAGGAACCCCAAGCTCTGTGGCGGGTAGACTTGTCCCACACAGTGCGGCTGAAGTTGTTAGCAGAGCAAAAGACAGTTTTGCTGTTCGCATTGCTGAGACTGGGGCAAGTGGAGAGTGGACTTTGATCCGAAATGGAGAGTCACTCTGGACAAGACCGGAACAACTCGCATATGCCAACATTGCTGTTTGGTCCGACAGTATCGGTCCTGATGCCTTGGCTGAAGAGCTGGAGGTGGAATTATCTGTCAATCCTCTTACAGCATATGTTCATCGCCTACAGCGTCACCTAGCAGATCTAGCCGGGCTTCCTGCCTACATTTCAAGTCTGCCAGATGCGGTATTCAAATCGTCCCCAGAGACTTCAGCCGATGTGCGGCGTGACCTTGTTGGTACAAAGCTTGTGATCGTGGGAACGAGCCACAAAGAAGTAATTGCTCTTGAGGCTACCAATGCCAGCGCTTTGGTGTGGCAAACAGATCTATCCACTTATGCTGGAGATGGGGTTGATATCAAGTCGCTCACCACTAGCAATGGTCGCATTACCGTCTATCTTTCTGATGGTTCTCTTGTTGTGGTAGATACACTTCGAGGGACTATCATTGAACACCAGGCGGGAACAATCGGCGTATCAAAACTGGTCTACCTACCAGGAACTGTGGCGCCGACTGTTGTAAAAGTTGGCGCTGATGGGACACCTCAACTCGCCGATGACTTCGCTCCGGCAAATCCACTAGAGGGCAGTATCCTTGTCACTATTGGTGAAGATGGCAACGCCAACGGCTGGAGTGTTGGAAAAAGCGCACAAAAAACATGGACGTTGAAACCAAAGGCTGGCTTTGCATTTACAAAAGCAGTTGCAAGACCAGATCATGACCCAGTTGCTTCAATTGGCAAAGTTCTTGGTGATCGGTCAGTACTATACAAGTACATCTCCCCAAATATTGCACTTCTCATTGCCACGTCGAGCTCTAGTCTCACCACCTACTTAATTGACGCTGTTACAGGTGCAGTGCTACACACTTCGTCGTGGCATGGCATTGTACCGGGCACAAGCATTCCTGCCGTACTGTCCGAAAATTGGTTCGCATTCTCCTTCACTAACCAAGATCCTACAACGAAAGGGTTATCCACTCAGTTGATCATCTCTGAACTTTATGAGTCAGCATCACCTAATGAACGTGGTGCTTTGGCTGCACGAACCAATTATTCGTCCTTTTCGGCTGATGCATCCACATCTCCCCATGTGATATCACAGGCATATACAGTTGTCGAGCAGATATCACATCTCACCGTCACACAAACGGCGCAGGGAATTACTTCTCGCCAACTCCTAGCCACTCTTCCGGAATTGAATGCAATCGTTGGCATACCACGAGAAATTCTAGATGCGCGACGACCTCCCGGGCGAGATGCCAATGCCACGGAAAGAGAGGAAGGGTTGATGAAGTACTTGCCAGTGCTTGACTTGGAGCCTCGGTACTTCTTGACGCACTCACGAGAAGTAATAGGGATCGAGAAAGTGATTACATCACCGAGTCTGCTGGAAAGCACCAGCGTGATATTTGCGTTTGGGCATGATATCTTTGGAACGCAAGTAACGCCCAGTTTGGCATTCGATGTACTTGGAAAAGGATTCAACAGGATTCAACTATCACTTACGGTGGTAGCACTTGCCATCGGCGTTTATATGGTAAGACCATTTGCCCTAAAGAGGACGGTGGAAGGTAGATGGAAGCTGTGAGGAAAGTGAACCGAATGCGACGGGGGAGAAAACGCAGAGAGCGATGTGTGATATGCGCGGAGATCGCTCGAGTCTGAGGGATGTGGGCGTGTAGAGCCTTGTAGATACCCAAAGTTTAGACAAGAGTCAAAAGCAACGCTTGAACAAAATCCATAGACAAACACCCTTCAACGAGTACTACTCGTCAAATTAGGCGCGCGGTAGGCAAAGGGCTGCCTCCGGATAGACGCGTCCGACCCGGTAGAAGCTGCGGAATAGGCGCTCCTTGGCCTCTATAGAAGCATCTAGTACCTTCTAAGAACTGTGGATCCTGGTCCCAACTGCGTCATGCCTGCCATTCCCCTCTCCACCAACTTTGAGCCCAAAGGTCAGAGCAATCAATCACTGATCGTACGACTCCTCCTAAGTCTGATTTAATGGCTCAGGTGAGACACAACCTGAAGGTCCAGATCCATTAGGACATTGCTCGAGCATTCCATTCATTTTCCAAAACCTAAATCCCGCACCTACTAATGCACTTTCAACCGGCTGTCCTTCCGTTCTCGCCAGGCTGAACATTCACCGTCGGACTGGTCTTATTTCTCTTCCCTTCTCTCCCTTCTCACGTCCTCCTTGTCGTCGACAAAAGTACCTTTGAAATTCTAAACTCATTCTGCCTTCAACTGTCCAATCACACACTGTGTCATCATGGTGGCAGAGACCAAACTATACGATGCCCTAAGCATACAACCCACAGCAACGCAAGAAGAGATCAAAAAGGCCTACCGGAAAGCGGCTCTAAAATGGCACCCAGACAAGAACAAAGACAACCCAAATGCAGCCGAAAAGTTCAAGGAAGTTTCTCAGGCATATGAAGTACTGTCTGACCCAGAGAAGAGAAAGGTGTACGATGATTATGGCCTCGAGTTCTTGTTGAAGGGAGGACAGGCCCCTCCTCCTGGTGCTGAAGGCATGCCTGGTGGTGCAGGCTTTGGAGGCATGCCGGGTGGCTTCAATTTCGGAGGCATGCCTGGAGGTGCCGGCGGTACCCAGTCATTCCATTTCTCCAACAGGGGAGGCTCAGGGTTCGGCTTCTCAGACCCAAACGACATCTTTTCGGGTTTCGTACGCGGTGGAGCCGGCGGAGCCGGCGGAGGTGGAGAAGAAGACGACATATTCAATCTATTCAACTCATTCGGTGGTGCTAGGCCTGGTGGAAGCAGACGAACTACTGGTAGTTTCCCTCAGCGCCAGGCCAGACCACAAACTCCCGAAGTGACAGTGGTCGAACGGCCTTTACCTGTCACATTGGAGGACATCTTCAAAGGTGCAAACAAGAAGATGAAGATTAAGAGAAAGACTTTCAATGCTTCAGGGCAACGGACAACCGAGGATAAGATCCTGGAAATGCACGTGAAGCCAGGCTTGAAAGCAGGCTCAAAAATCAAGTTCGCTGGCGTCGGTGATCAAGAAGAAGGAGGAACACAAGATCTCCATTTTATTGTGACTGAGAAGCCACATCCGACGTTGACTCGCGACGGTGATAACCTTCGAACAACGGTAGAGATCGACCTGAAAGAAGCGCTTACTGGTTGGAAGCGGACAGTGACGACCATTGATGGTAAACAGTTGAATGTCTCTGGAACTGGCCCGACCCAACCTGGTTATGAAGAAAGATTCCCAGGACTGGGAATGGTACTACCCAAGAAGCCCAGCGAGAGAGGTGATTTTATTGTCCAGGTCAAGGTGAACTTCCCCAAATCCTTGACACCTGCCCAGAAACAAAAGATCAAGGAAGCTCTCCCCTAAAAATCGACCTTTTTCTATGGAGATGCGGAACAGATGGGGGCATATGTTTACAAGCCGCTGAAACGCGGTGACACATTTGGAGCTGTGCATGGCACGTAAAGTGCTCAACAAGCACCGATTCGCGATTGAGCTCTGTGCCAACACGTTATATGTGTAACACAAAATCTGCTGGAGTGATCGCCGGCACTTTCTGTGTTGTCTGGATGCTGGGAGTGGCAGCAAGTCATGTGGGCGAGAGATTCCAAGCGCCGGAGACACCAGTTTATGGGCTGATCAGGCTTCATCAATCTGGCTTCAACATACGGCCCGCGATTCGGGCTAGGATGGGAGTTCGCTGACTCAAACTACATGCGACACAAGCTCGTCTTGTAGCTTTTCACTGGGTACAGCGCGTACCTGCAAGCAGGCATCACAGGTTTATTATACCCGAAATACCCCTAAATAATGAATTTACGACTTTGTGTGAGCAAAAGAATATCATTTCTGACGGAAGCGGTTTATTTGTTCTGTAGAAAATCCACGAGCATTGCTTATGTTTCCATCACAGGCAACTTTACCAACATGACCCAATGTAGTCATATTAAGAGAAACTCACCACGTAGATACAGCACTGCTTTTACATTACGTTCGATTACTTGAGTAATTTCCACTCCTGTGGCGTCACAACTTTTCAACTTTAACCCCAACCTCGACCTCAGCAATCTGGTCGACACCCCGATAATCCGGCACATCAAGACCATACTTATCCGCGATAGCCTTACTCAAGAACCTCCCACCAATAAAATGCCTCTCCCCCTTGAACCACCTGACACTGGGCTTCGCGGCCGTCAAACTAATGAGAAACTCTGGCATGAACTCATGGCCCACGAGCCCCTCCCCCGGCGGTCCACCCTCCACATCCCAGCTAGACGGTATATCGACGGCCAGCACGGGCTTCTTGGCCTGGATGATGTCCGCGAGCACGGAGTCGAAGGGGGCGCGCACGGGCGGCTTGAAACTGAAGCCGAACAGGGCGTCGACGACCAGGTCGGCGGACTGGAGTTCCGAGGTGAAGGACTCGGGGGTCGTCAGGAACGGGATGGAGAGTTTGTGGAGTTGCTTTTGCAGGCCAGTGAAGATGGGCTGGTTGGTTGGTTTCGGGTAGTATACTACTGGTGTGTACCCGAAGTGGTGCAGGTGTCGGGCTGCGACCAGTCCATCCCCACCGTTGTTGCCAGGCCCGGCGGCGATGAGGATTTTCGGTTTGGATTGTGAATTCGTGGGTGGTGGGTGCACTTTGTAGACTGTCGGGTTCGGGGAGTTTAGCTATCGGTTGAGCGAGCATGAGCATGGCACTGTCCCCTTGCCATCTCGTTCTCTTTACGGGAAGGGAAGTGAAGTTGTTGTTTCGATGATGACCGGGCAGTCGCCTAAATATCACTTACCTGCTTGTGCAACGCTCAGCCCAGCCAGTTCCATCAATTGATCGATGCTGAAGCCGCCGTCTTCACTCATCAGCTCTTGATCGAGCTCGGCCGCTTTCTTGGCTCCCAGAGTCTGTTGTCCGTGACAGAAGTTCAGCAAGGATGCTCCATGGCTCCGTAACCCTTCTCGAATTTAACCCATGTCGCAATGGCTTACCTTGAGAGTCATCTTAGAGAATCTTCGTGCCATGAGTAGTGGCTTTAGTGTTTGTCGTGGGATCAATGACCGCAGTTGTAGGACCATAAATCTGTACAGAGATGGTCTTTGGAGTCTGAACAGTTGAACCTTTGATTCTCTATGATGATATCAAGTTTGAGACAAGGATATGGTTCTACGTCATGTAGATATCAGCCATTCAGAGTGGTATGATTTCGGTTGCCAGAAACTGACTGGTTTTTTGCTTTGCAAAGGTTAGATGTCTTCCTAGTCGAGTTGAGATACAGAGGTCTAACTTGACTGATCAACTACGTGTGAGGAGTGAAAATATCAATCTGCTTGTACAATGACTTGTTGAAAGTCGAGATCACGGTCGCCCCCGAAGCATATCGTCATGCTTGGCAGTGGTCGCCTCCTAGCCAATCGGAGCGCACTAAACAATTTGGTGTAAACTTCACATTTAAACGTCCTCCGCAATCATCGTCGCAGTGTCTCACAACTCCAGATTTCAATCCAAGCTAGAAGTCTTCTCACGCTCATTCAAACCGTACGCACGCCTCCTCCATACTGCATCATTATCACTAGCCTCCTAGCCGGAAGCCACAACCAGTTCATCCTCTTACCCATCCTCGATCAACTTCTCAAACCACTGAAACTATGGTCCTCCGCATCCGTCTCGCCCGCTTCGGCACCAAGGGCAAGCCTGTCTACAACATCGTTCTCACACAGGCCAAGACCGCACGTAACAGCAAACCTATGGAAGTCCTAGGCACATACAATCCTATCCCACAAACGCCGCTAGCCACGAGCCACACGCCCGAATTCACCCCCGAGGGCGAGAAGTTCAAACCTAAGAAATATAAAGCCATCGAGCTGGATACGGTACGGACGAAATACTGGTTGGGCGTTGGCGCACAGCCTACTGAGCCGGTCGAGAAGCTACTTTGCATGGTGAGTTGACTCAGTCTCCTGTCTGGAGATAAATCTTTGGGTCGTTAGAGAGATGGTGAGGCGCATGAGACTGCTGGAGATGCTCAATCAACATGTGGATGGATGCACGCGCAGAGCGAGGTTGATCAGCTTTCGGACCTGTCCAGACAACCGCCACATAGTAGTCTCATCATCTCTCCGAAGGAAACCCACTTTTTCGAGACCCGCCTACTAACTCACTTTCCTCTACAGCTCGGCATGATGGAACGGAAACCGACATTACTGGAACGCGAAGCCATAAGAACGCAGAAACAATCAGCTTAAACCCCAACCCTATCGAACTCCAAACCAACGCTGTGAGGATTCCAGCTTCGGAAACACGGTGCGGAACAGCGCGCAGCTCAATGCCACGGCTGCAGTTACGCACTCGACGGTGAGCAAGATGACTATGCTCGTCGCTGGACATGACACCCCGCTGGCCCAGCCTTGTGGCCTTGTGAAAGGAGAGAAGTGGGGGATAAGAGAAGGATTCCAAAACTCTCACCCCACCTCGCAAAACACGGTATTACATCGCGGATGGGCAAGCAAGCGTGTATGCGATGCTCATGGCTGGTTTAATGAGCATTTTGTACTATTTAGACGTCTCATCCATGCATAGCGAGGCGTTGCTTTGTTCCGTGTCACAATGACATGTATACCATATACGGTTTGTGTTTGGTATATCGATACATGTGTGTATCTCGGACGTAGATTGGTATATCGATACATGTGTGTATCTCGGATGTAGATGGATGGAAAGACGAAAGGAAGGGTGGACAAGGAGTGTGAATGAAGAAAGAAATGAGACCTCATTTACAACAAGGTCTGCGTTTGCGCTGCTGGTGTGGGCGAACCTGTAAAACACGGTAGATCTTTTAAGGGACGGTGTTTAAAATGAGATGTCACAATGTGGCAAACCAATTCAACTTCTGAAAGCAATAATAATAACATGTAAATCGATTTCCACATTTCATTTGGCAGACCGCTTGCTTTTGCTCCACTTCGAGAGCCACGCTATGTTATGCTGTACTGTTCTGTGCTATGCTATCAAAATTTTGTAACAACCGCTGTAGTCATTGCTCATGCCAATCTTAAGATGAAGCCCAGTTGTAGTCTAGTCTCTAACGCTAGCCCAAGCATCTGTGTTCTGTGGCACGTTGGTGGCTCGTGATCACCAATCAATCGTTCGTGAAGATGGACTCCAAGTTTCAGCTCGCTTGGTGTGAGATTAGTGAGTAGTCGTGGCGGGTTGGGGAAGAGGTGCCGTGGGCGGTAGTTTTCTGCCAAGGTTGGTGACAGCACAGCCTCGAGAGTAGATGGGCGAAACCTTGAGGGTTCCGGTTGTCGTTTCCCGAGAGAGTTTGAGACTCTGACAAGCTGATGGCCGCTTATGGCGATGAAGTGACATTCTCAGTTTCGTGATGCTCGATGAGATGAATAGAGCTCAAATCTCCTGATTGAAATTGAATGGGACAGCCCATCAACCACTGCGTAGAGCTTCAATCAGCTGCATGGTGAGTGAATTGAATCTGGGCTCCTCCAGATATTTCTTCTCTTTAAGCTGGTTCAGTACACCGGGCACATCAAGGATGTCTTTCGCCGCACTTGTCAACTCACTGTTTGCCAGACTGACAATAATATTGCCCAATGCCATCAGTGTACGGTAGGCAGGCTCAGTAGACTGTCCAGACGGATTGGCACCGGCACTGTGATCAACCGCTGGGAAACCTTTCAGAAATTCGGTTGTCTCCTCCACCAGTGACAACCCAAAACTAGCTTTGGCATCGGCGCCGATAGCCTTATCTGTCGTGATCAGAACAGAGAGATTCATGTAAAGGGTTGACAATGCAATAGCGACTGGTTGGTCGTACGCAGCAATCGACTTCAACAGTCTGATGTGTTCAACGGTCTTTTCGAAATAGTCTCTAACCAATTTTCGACCAGCAGGGGAGCCGTATAGGATGTTGGAGATGAATCGAACCGCCACCATGGCGGGTTTGTTGTTCGATGTTACAAATCCAGGGTCAAAAATGCCACTCTCCAGGACGCTGTACAAAATGTCTTGGTCTTCAACCTCAACATAAGGAAAGTCTGCAGCAGCAGCAGCAATGAACCGTAAGAGATCCAGCCCAGCCAGACGGTTGGATGGCGGCTGCCATTCCGTGACAATCTTGAAAAGCGCCTTCACAGCGGTGTTCAGAGTAATAGAATCTGGTAGGGATGGCTTAGCTTGGAAGTTGTGCTTTTCCAGTTGTTGGGAGACTTTGGAAAGACTTTGGAACTCATCATCTGTGAGTTTCCCTACGAGGTCTTGGTAATCATTGTGACGTTTGACAATTTGACCAAATGCAGCAGCTGGCTTACCCATAATGATGGATAAATATTCCGTCTGTGGTAATGCTTTCCTCACTGGAGCCTGGGGAGCCCGGGAAGGGGGTTGGTAGGAAGATATTGGAGGCTCGCCAGGTCTGTATCGTTGTTCTGTGCCCCATGGATCAGCACCGACGGGTTGTGGCTGCTGTTGTGAAGGACCAAGGGTGGCTCCCTGCGAGTTTTTGATGATGAAATTGGCAACTTCTTCCAGATACGAAGTTGGGAGCTCATTGTCTTGGAGGAACTTCGTGGCGGCATCATATGGGTTCTGGGTAACATTGTAAGGTAGCTTGAGAGGAGGTTTCCCTTCTTCGATGTCGACATCGAATACGTAGTCGTACTCCTTTCCGTTGTGACTGGCTTTGTTGCCGCTCGATCCTGCCGAGTCAACAACTTGGCCGATCTTGATCCATTGTTGTTGTGACATGGACCACTGATACAGCATTGCACTGCCATCGGTCTCTTTGATGATCTGACTTTGTCCTTCTTTCGTGCCAGATTTTTGTTGCAGGAAGTCGGGACTCGGAAGGTCTGTCATGTTGATGTCGCCCATTTGTTGCTGAGGGATGCTGGATGCCGCGACAGCTTCATCAAACGAAGCGAGGGCTTCTGCATCTGCCTGTCTCTCAGGTATCCGGGAGAATATTCTGGCCAATTTGTCACTCGATCCAACAATTATGTCGCCATTCTGACCCACTGAAACAGACCAAGCGGATATTGCAGGTATCGTAATGACTTGTGCACATTTGCCATCCTGCCAAACTCGAACGGACCTATCCTCTCCAGAACTTATGATCTCACCGGAGGGTAAGACAGCCAGTGAATAGATGAAAGACTCGTGGCCAACCAATTCTCCGACAAGCACACCCTCTAGAGTCCACAGTCGAATCACACCGTCATTTGTTGCAGCTGCAAGTTGTGCTCCACTGGAGTGATTGTCTGCAAGCTTGACGAGTGCTCGTACGACGTTCTGTCCATCCCAAGACCGTAGCATTTTCCCACGATAATCAAACACTCGGATTGCCCGATCTGCACATCCTGTGACGACTGTGTCTCGGCTGTATGCTAGAACTGCCCAGACAGCGGCTGTATGTCCTTGGAGTTCAACTGCAGCTTCCCATCGACCAACTTCCCAAATCTTGGCTGTGTTGTCCCAGCTCCCGCTCACAAAGTAGTTTGCCGCGGGACAAACATCCAAGGAACAGACCTGATTGGTATGTCCAACCATGATGGCGTCGGCATTGACGTTTGAAGTCAGTGAAGGTTGCCGTGCTTCGATGAGTGCATCTTGGCCAGATGAGAGGATGAGACCATCTGCAAATTCTTTGGATGGAGGAACATATGCGAGGCAGGTCTTGTACTGTGCGCCGTGAGATGATTCTGTGGCATCGTAAATGGGTGGTGAGGTGGATGTGGCCTTCCAGACGCGAGTGGAGCCATCGCGCGAGGCAGTTATGGCAAAAGAAGGGTCAGGGAGAAGGACAGCTCGAACCTGGGATCTTGTTAGTCACAGACAATTTGAAAGGTCAGGTCGCGCAGTGGATTACATCTCCATTGTGTCCAGCAAGTACCGCGCTGAGTTTGAATGTTGGCCCGGGGCCAGTCTCGGTGCTCATTGTCGCGAGTTTAGAACTTGTAGAATCATAAGATAGCTTAGACAAAGTCAAAAGAGCAAAATGAGATCTGAATGTCACAACGAAGTGAAATTGCGTGACGGCGAAAGATCGACTGCGCTGGGCCCCTCCACAAACGAGGGAAACTAGTGCGAGATGTTCACATCAGTCAGCCTTGCCCGATGACGTACATTAGCGCAGCCTTGTTACTCATAGTCTGACAAGTCTTGGCAATCCCGACGACCTCGAGTCTAGCAAGTACCTAGGTACTTGGGTATTCAGTGCTCCCTCGAGTTTATAAAACTCTCGAGCTGCCTTCTCTGGTCGTCCTGAGCTTTGGAGACCAGCTTCTCATTTGGAGGCTTCTTCCGAATTATCAATGGATCCTTTCTGCCCCTCCACACAACCATCCCCTATGAGCTTTCCAGAGGGATGCTCACACGTGGGCTCTGCTGAACATCTCAGAGATATATATCTACAATCACTCTTTCTGATCGATTTCGACACCTACACTCAACATCATTGTTAGTGGAAGATGAAAAAAATTCACTCAGGACGCCGAGACAAACCAGGCTATTTGATTGACAAGGCCCTTTCAAACAACACTGCCCCTCATCACTCTCTTCCTACTTGTGTTTCTTACTCTGGAAAACTCATATGTGGGGCCACATAGCCACAGCCAACTATATCTTTGTTATGCTGAGCACATTCCATGGCGAATCATGCATTTTCCAAGATCCCATGAACAGCAGTACAAACCCGTCTGCAGCTCTGTTTCCCCGATTCTACTTTCTTGCGGTGCGCACAACTCTGTTACTCCGTGGTTTTTCAATGATAAGAACCCTTGCCCACTGCTGGGTACTGAGGAAGCAAAAGAGTGATTTTGTCTGGCCGCGAAATACGGAGATTGAAAGCTCTACAGCACTGGGCTTATCCAGCTTCCTCTTTCATCGGTCTGTGAACCTTGTCAGGACGTCAACAAGTATACACCCTGCCATCGAGAAACTTTGATCTTGGGGATAGTGAGTATATTCGCCTGGATGAATTATGCCTACGCCTTACAGATCTGGCGAGTGAAAGAGTTCTGCCAGACATCCCGATCTCACTTGTCAATTGTGGGATATAGAATGGCATTGAATGGCTCATGAAAGTGATACGGCTGCGGTCTATCTCTCTGCAAGACTCCAGGTACAACAGGAATGAAAACTTGATCTTGATGCTACACGAATTCAACTGCTTTTATGAGCAGTCAATGCTCGTGTTGCACAAGAATCCACTTGACTCTCTCTCCGGCAGATATCATCGGAGGAGATTCTGGATTGTCTTGGCGATCTGTGGGAGAGCGGTGTTATGTCGAAAGCCTCCACTGGCGACCTCCGGCATGTGCACCAAGTTCGTGGCCCATACCCCAAGCTAGAAGGGGCCAGAGGTCCATGAACAAAATGTGAGAGTTCACGAGCGTTGCATCGCACAGTGGAAAACACAAGGCTTCAAGCTCGAAAGCTATGGGCAGCGTCGAGAGGCTTACCGACTCTGTGAAATTTTGTATTCGTGACGGGTTAAGAGATTCTCTGGAGAAGTTCAACTGTTTCCGCTGGCTGGCGATGGTTAAGGCCGTGGAAGGGAGCATGCTCTCGGAACCCATAGAGGGCAATATGGACAGACCAGCCCTTGTCCTGGACCCGCCACAGACTGGTGTGGAGAACCTTCCTGACCGAATAATGCTTTTCTGGTTCTATCCAAAGTGGAAGAAAATGCGAATGAGACGGCTGGAATTATTCCCTAGCATCAAAGTCAGGAAAAGTCCAAAGCACTTTTGCCAATATCGAGGAGGCTGCTATGAGTGTACAACAGCTACACTGATAGATTGTGTAGCCAACGAGACTGTCCTCGTGACGTTAGCAACTGTCTTCACTACCTACAGCATCGCCTGGAGCGCAAGAGTCAAAAAACAAAGCCAACAAAGAAACGGTGAAGATGTGGAAATTGATGCTACAACTCTTCACAGGTTCACGGGTGTAACTGTTCGGCCAAGGTAGAGCATTGGCCGGATTTGCAGCGTTGGCGAGGCTTTGCATTGTTATGAGAAACGCCTGTGCACTGCCAGGAGCATACGAAGGTGCACAGAATCCAGAGCGTGCAGTGCGAGGTCACTGTAGACCCAACAACAAACATGGTGGGTTGTGGAACAGAAAAGGTATGTCTCGAAATCACAGCCGGGAAAATACCAACATGGCTCGAGTTCAAAGACGACAACCCTTGGAAATAAGGTTTCTGCTACTCGCCACATGTGGGAGAAACCCAGCGTGTCTGCCATACTTTGGGTGAAGCGCTTCAAAAGTTGTGAAGACCGGCTTCCAGCCTCTCACTGTCTTCTCAGAAGGTCTTCCATAATTTGGATTCACAAAAGCGCTGGTCGGCCAGAGCCGCCCCGGGGCAAGTATTCCCTCAAATAAGGCTTCGGTCGCACCGCGGAGAGTTCTCACAGTTGGGGACAGTGCTTATAACCAGCGCAGAGACGTATCACGTTCTTGGAACGGAGATCGACGAGAAATTCCAAATTGATCATCCTTGTCGTGGCAGGACACAGGAGTGACTTCGCCAGTAAGTTGGCAAGCTTCGTCGGCAATGTGCGATGTTGTTGTTATCTGGCGTTATCCACAGCCCCGGAGCTCGAAAGGAAGTACGGAGACAGTTTCAATTCAGGATAATAGTCAGAGCGACTTGTAGATCTCACTTCTGAAGTTCGGCTATCATTTCGAGGCTGAGAAGTCTATCGCTCTCATGCGGGCATCAAGGGTCTCAAGGCTGATGTATTGTGCTTTATCATGACGTTCGGGATGCCTGAAGACAACTTCACAGCTACCTTTGGCGGCCCTACGTTCAACAAACTTGTTAACCCTTTCTCCGCTCACGTATTGAAAAAGTACAAAATACACCTTTCCAACTAGATAGTGGCTCGAATTCTGTCAGTTACGTCTTAGATAGGTGAGTCATGTTTATCTACAAAGTGATTGAGTAGCGAAGCTTCATGGCCCTCTCTCCTAAAGTCTGTTCATGGGCAAGACCTAGAGCATCAAGCCCAGCACCCAACGCAACCTGCAGTGTAGTAGCCGTAACTTTGTCCAGACCCTCAACGCCATCGAGCCCCAAAGCCACGTTATCAAGTGGTGCACCTCGATAGTCAGCCCCAATGCCAGGGATGAAGGTATTGCCAAAGATCAAATTCATGATCCCAGCCATATTACCCTGCGCGAGCATCTTGTGACCATCGTCTATGTGCTCCTTGGCCGAAGACGAGTGGAATTTCCAGTCTTTGTCGGTGGTATTGGTCGCGCGCTGAACCGACTCCAATATGTCCCGCTGGCTCACTTCAAAGCCTCGGACGTAGACGAACTTGTTGGCATATGAAGGTAATGTTCGTTGGGTTCCCGCGTCGGCATGGAGAGGCAAAGACAGAACCCTAGCCGTCGCTTTTCCAGAGAGCTCAATTGTCGACATGTAGACTCTCAAATCTCCCTTGTCGAAAAATGTAACTTCGCGTGTCTTGGGGTGGATGCCGAGATACCCATCAGGAAGACTCCAATCATACCACGGATTGTTGATGATGCCTATCCAAGAGCTAGTGCGGTTGCCATGTTCGTCGACACCGAGTTCACCAACCAACTTCCTCGCGTCGACTTTTGCTTGATGCATCGGGATGGCCTCGATTAGAGCGGGATTGCCCGTATCGGAGCCAAACTCGTTGGGGATGATATACGAAACCTTGGCCTTGCAAGCAGCGCGGATGATGTCCGGTTGCAGCTCGTGGGAGACATTGAAGCTGAGTGTCAGCACGACTGCATCTTGGCCCTCAAGTACTGATGCTAGGAACTCAGGGTCGCTGTAAGAGCCCTCTTTGATAGTGATGCGTGGATGGTTTACCAAAGATTTATGGCTCGAAGGGGTGATGCTGCCGGGGCGAGTGATGACGGTCACCGAGAACAATGGCTCAGATTGAGCGAGAAGAGCCGTGAGCACGCTTGAGCCGAGAGATCCTGTCGCGCCGACTATGGCGACCCTGCTGATGTGGTTATTCTCCATTGTTGACATTTCGATGTTTGAGCGACTCGGAAGTTAATATCTGCTTTTCAATGAGACAAAGCTCGTTGTTGATAGTGATCATGGTAGTCAGAGCCTCAGAGATACTTGAGAAGTATATATAAACAGCCTTGCTCCCTTCTCAACATGGTCATGACTATACCGGCGCCTAATTCGAGTGTCTCGCTCATAACTGATACTTTTCGGGGACAAGGAGAAACCTGATTAAGTCCGTCTTGAAGAAAGTCTCCGCGTTCGCAAAGCAATCGTTCGACCCGCAATGAATTTCGAGGCCTGGGTGATTGCAAGCATCCCCATCCTGACGCTCGGAGCAAATAACTTCTAGATTGGGTTGTGGTGGAAAGAAGTTGAGCCGGTCAACGATGTAAATCTCCGAACGGAATAATCAAATAGCAAAGGAAGGGGGTCGTCTCCTGGAGTTTTACCCCTGTCGGACCTAGCCTTGGAGCCTCGGGCCATCATAGCACGTGCAACCTCCCCCCATCATCTCCCAAACACCCCTGTGCCTCATCCTCCCAGGCTTTGAAGAGCACATGTCCCCGCACCGCCACACAAGCAACATCCCTGTCACAAACGTCACAACATGATCTCAAAATCCGGTTTCCCACTCCACTACTGCTGTGCCACACCCTCATCTTGAACCTGGAGTCTTTTCTGCTTGTTGATTTCTCTACGCCAAATCATCCACTCCTTCTAATACTCGTTTCTAGAGATTAACAACGCGTCCAGAGCTCTATAGTTCGTATTTGGGGCAGAACAGTGCTGAAACTGCCAGCACCTGGCAAGGGAATCCAACAGGCAAACAACAGATAGCCACAGTACTTTCCAGACTCCAAGGCTAGCAACAATGTCCGCCGACCAAGTCACATCTCTCGCCGGTGGTGGTCTTTCAGGCACTGGTCTGGGCACGGTGACGGGCGTACTCCAAGGAGGCGTGAACAATCTGGTGAATTTCTCATCGAGCTTCATCGATCGATTCTTCCCACCCGAGAAACGCGAGCAGTGGAAGGCATGGCTGATGAAGTTTGCGACTGAACGCCCTTATCTGGCTTCTTTTCTGCTGTCACAAATCGCGTTGAGTGGGATGCCCTTGGCGCTGTTCGCGCTCATGACGTTGACGGTGTTTATCTTTGCACTTTTGGCGGGCATTCTGGTTGGCGTGCTCGGGGCGTTGCTCTTCATCGTGGCAGCGGTGGGATTTGCACTGATTGTTCTCCTGCCGATATTGTTCTTCACAACTGGGGCGGCTGTGTTCATTTGGTTGTGGGGCATGGGTGCCTATTTCATCGTCAAGTGGTTCAACCAGAAGGATGTGCCTGGCGTGCATACTGACTTGGCAGATGGGGTATCCAAAGCTACCGGACTCAGTGATTTACCCGGCATCGGCGGAAATCCGTTGAATGACGAAGGTCTTGATTTGAAGTCTGCCTTAAATGGATCTTCGAAGCAGAAAAACTCACAAAATGACTCGTCCAGTGGTCAAGAGCCCGAGAAGCCCGCGAAATCAGAAAAGAAAGACAAGGCATCGACTACGGGAGCACAGCATCACGTCGACGGCAAGGAGAACAGCCATCCACGAAAACTCGCAAGCCGTCCCAACTCTACGAGCCCAGCGGGCAAAGCGACCGGTGCAGTCGATGGGGTTGGAAAGGGCGTTTCGGGCACAGTGGGCAACGCGACCAAGACAATCGGTCTATGACTTGAGGGATCCGACAAAAGCTATGTGGCAACCGTTCATCTCGAATGAGAACTCCGAGCTGTGAAAATAGAATGACAGCCCGGCTTTGAAAACACTCTCGGACCAACATTTGACTCACGGGGTTCGAATCAATGGAAATCCTTCGGACTTGTTCACAGTAACAAAGAACAAACAGACTAGAATGCTAGTCAGAGGACACCGACGGCGGAGGAATTGTAACAGTAATTGATATTGATATGCATAGCAGGCGAAGGGGCTCAATCAAAGCAACCAGGGACTTCGGAATGTATGACGGTTTTTCTACGGCACAGAGTATGGATCATCTTGGCTTTCCACCAACCTCATTGTATTGCTATTGTTGTTGTGGATCGTATTCGTGTGATGTTCGTCGTTCGCTCCTCCCATTTATTCAATTGTGTGACTTTACTATCCAGTGCTTGCAATCAACGTAGCAGGACCACACTCCACAGCAGAAAGACCTGCCGAGTCACAATCATCTCGCTTCATCTCGTCGTCAATGCATCCACTCCGGACCAACAATGCCAGGTTCAAATACTGAAATCCCCGTTTCAAACTCCCATAGTGAAGTCATGCTCAATGCCCGGCGTCACACTGGCCATGAATTTCAGGAACACCACCAGATACTGGTCGACACGGATGGCGACTTTCTCGCTCTCCTCATCCTTACCAGCATCCTGTTCGTCGAGGACTTCCCATTCGTCACCACCTCCTCCAGTAGCTGCTTTGACACCGGCCTCATGGCCTCGACGCTCTTCTCGCTGAAGATTTAGTCGAGCAGTGTTGTCGATCAGACCTTCCATGCCGGAGACGATCTTTGTGGCACTGGCTTCACCTGCGGCTTGTTTCTCCAGACGCAGTTTCAGCGCGGCATCTGCTCGGTCGAGTAGAATCTTCATGACGCTGGCATGTTTGCAGGGGTGCACCGAGGCCATCTTCACGCTGTTGTCAAAGAAGGGGTAGTCTTCCAGTGTCACCGTCTTGTCCTTGTAGTCTCCTACAATGTCTTCCATCATCAAAAGCGGTGGGAGTGGTTCGGACGGCGAGAGATAGCCTGATAGATACATTCGTGGCGTTCGGTAGTAAGGCGTGTATGTGATGTAGAGTGTGTATGTTCGAAGTGGTCTGTCACGATGAAAGTCAGTAAATCGAGGGAAGTGGACATAGGAAGGGGGCTAAAACTTACGCAGAAGTGCCATCATTCTTGTCGCGGATGATCGCTTCATTGTCATCGTCCTCATCCTCCATATCGGGGATCTCCTCTTCCTCTTCCTCTTCGCTGGCTTTCTTGCCTAGTTGTCCACTTTCAGACATGGTCCTCACTTCACCTCGGAGGCCCTCTTGCTCTTTCTCCGTCGTGCCACCTGTTCGTAGCCATCCTTCATCATCGGCGCCGTTTTCATCGTCAGGGCCGCCTAGAAATCCATCACGAACCAAATCATCCGCTGCGCCATTTCCTCCGGCGAAATTGTCATCCAGCCGTCGATGACATGGTACGCCACGAGTAACCAAGAACTGCTTCCCCGGAGGCAGGTGGGTGACCCGGCGTGCAGGACTCGAAGCGTCTGACCATGACCATGAAGGAAATTTGTAGACTAGATAATCGCCTGCAAGTATGAACTCTTCGGGGGTTATCTGGCCCGTGGATCGGAATGTTGAGGTGTGCTTAATGGGAGCGTAGCGGTCACGGACTTTGTCCAGTGCGGAATGTAGAAGATTCATGGTCAAAGAATGGAGAGATCTGAGGTTCGGGGAAGTCGAAGTCAGAGATTTATGGTAGAGGAGTAGAAAGATCTTTGTAACAGGCTGCCATTCAAGAGTGGCTGAGGAGGTAGGTATCAATAAGTGGACCAGGTGATGGATGTACTGATCCCTCACCACTCTTTGTGACAACTCGAGGGACACCTGAATTGCCCCTCGCAGCCTAGAATTGTTTGTCCTGTTTGCACTTTACACGCGTAGCCTTCCACGTGATAAGGCTGACTTCATCACCCTTCCCCGACATCCCCGGATTGATGAACCTTCACATTCTCGAAGCCCAGCACTACAGTAGCAGGATGGCCAAGCTTGAGTCGCATACTTTCTGATCGTAGACTGATCTACAATATTTAGATCTCACTTGTATATTGTCACTCAGGACGGCCATGCCACCAAAACGCCCGAGGGAAGACACTGAGCCAGGTGTAGAGGTCGACGATCCCAACGGCAAAGTTGAGAACAAAAGGCGTAGAACGGCTCTAGCGTGTGCTCCGTGCAGAACGAGGAAGATTCGCGTAAGCATATGCTCTGAGCTCTGGCTCCAGTTCTTTCTAACATGCTTTGGAGATAGTGCGATGGGCGGAGACCAAACTGTTCATCCTGCCATGAGATGGGATTTGAATGTGAATATCATCAAGTCACAGATTCGGCGAACGTTATTGTGGGAAAAGAGTAAGATCTCCTTCGAAATACCCCACAATTGGATAATCCCCTCTGAAACATAAAGTTATCTCTCGACCCTGGAAGTGCGTCTCAAGACCCTCGAAACAGCGCTTGCCAATGTTCAAGGACAGCTGCACGAGATCAGGCATTCCAATGAGCGAAAACCACGTCCGTCCAGCCCGTCCGATTGCCAGGAGCTCACAAATGGCATCGTTCTGCAAGATTCAGAGCGGGAAAGCGAACAGGTCGATGCCATGGGAGCCGTTGTATTCATGAACGAGGACGAATCAGGGTATTTTGGTAGGTCCAACCCGATTCTGTATACTTCGAGCCCTCAGTCTGTCCAGGTCCTTCATCCAATATCGCTTTTTTGCGCCAAATATCGCATGCAGTGATAAAAACTAGTGACGTGGCTTTGCACTCTCCCGAGGGCGACACCAACTCAGAGAGGTTCAAAGATGGAGGGTTGTTCAATTTCTCAAAGTTGAACTCTCCTCAATCTAATCTCTCTAGTAAGTACAAGGGGATAGTTGACATATACGCCATTCCTCCCGAGCCCCAAGTGATGGATCTACTGCATCGATATTTCAGCTATCCAGGCTACTTCTTCCCATACATTCACGAGGACACGTTCATCGAGACTTACAACCAAATAAAGAATGCAAAGCGACCCTCAGTGACAAGATCCTGGCTTGGCTTGTTCAATATCGTTCTTGCAATGGCTGTCAGTACGAAAATTGATAAGAACGTCGATGCCGTTGAACGTTTTCACGAGTCAGATATCTACTACCAACGCGCGTACGGGCTTTGTGGCAAGCTTATGCTACGAGGAGCGAGTCTGGAAATTGGTTCGTTCTCCATATTCTTACAAGGGCTCCTGCTTATGGATATGTCATGACAGTACAATATCTTTTGCTCATGGGCCAATATCTCCAAGGAACTCAAAAATCCATTGAAGCTTGGGTGGTACATGGTCTGGCGGTCAAGGCAGCAATTCAGCTGGGGATTCACTCAAGCGAGGCTTCCAAGCATCTAACGCCACTTGAACGCGAGGTTAGGAAGAGGACGTGGTTCGGTTGCGTCATTCACGATAGGTGAGCAAGCCCTCCATCAGTAAAAAATTTCACATCTGACACTGGATCACTTTGCCAGGGCATTGGCTTTGACCTTCGGTCGCCCTTGCACAATCCCAGATGATTATGTTAAGCTGGAATTGCCCAAAGAGGATGGCTTCTATCCTGTCCCCAGCGCTTCGAACTCTTCGGAAGCGCGAAATAGCATCAATATTCATTTCTTGAATGCCACAATGTGAGTTGCAGCCCATCAATGCAGTAAGATTTTTAACCTGATGAAAGCAGCCAAGTGTACAACATCCTCTGGGCCATCATTGAGCAGCTCTATGGACAAAATATCGGTTGTGGAGGTAGCTTGAACACCAATGAAATTGTGACTCGACTATTCAGCTTGGAGCAGAAGCTATCATCCTGGGAACAGGATTTACGTCCAGAGCTCAGATCTCTAACCTACGACCAGTTGATGATTATGAGAGGACAGACCGCGCTGACAGCCAACCAAAGGGCAGCACAAACACTACGCATTGTACTCACGCTGAGACATCTAAATATACGTTTGCTCCTACATCGGCCTATTCTCGTCAAGTTCCTCGAGCCCGAATCCGACTCCTTCGATGACATTCATGATCTCCAAATACTGCGCCAAATAGGCTCTCATAGCCTTCAGGTTTGTATGCACATAGCTGAGGAGATTATTTCCATAGTTCATACAGTGGTCATGTCACTGGGCACGACACGCACTACCATCGGAGCATGGTGGTACACTCTGTACTACAGTAAGTGCCGCTTTCACCTCACAAGGAATATGTCTCATACGTTTAGCCTTCAATGCAGCACTAGTTGTATTCGGATGCTTTCTCATCGGCCGGTCGGAAGCCAACATTCATAGTGACTTCGCCAAGGTCACAGCCGCAGACACTGTAGCATTATTGGATAAAGCTATCGTCGCCACAGAGAATGTCGATAAAGGCAACCACATCGTGGATAGGTGTAGGCACTACTTGCAGCTCCTGGTGAATGTGGCCAGGATAATGGGTTCGTGATGGGGCCGCTCCCGAGTTCCGCACTCACTTCGCTAATGAACGTTTGACAGACAAACCAACATCGAACAATATAACAGGCCCCTCAAGGGAGCTTGTCGGCATGTCGGAAGCCGGATTCATGGTTGATTCGGCAGACATGCTTGGCTTCGACGACTCGACCTTTGGTATGGATTTACTCGGGTTTGATTTTAGCCTCTAGTTATGATCTTAGACGTCAAGATTGGCATTTCACTCCTGACCTGGACGATGTTATTCAAGCCAGACGATGGCATGCAAAAGTGCTCTACCACGCGTTAGCATGATCAGATGGATTTCTACGAACATGACAGTCCGCGGCTTCAACCAAACGCCATTCTATCGCTGACAAAAGCTTTTTAATTGTCAACCGGTGATTCTCGAGGTGAAACCACAGTCATAGAATGGTGAACTTGATCTCATCACGTCACAGCACTCTGTATACGAAATCCAGGCGAGCTCACAGTCCAAAGGGGCAGAAGTTGAGCCTTTGTGTTTAGTACGGCGGAGCGTGCGCCTGAGCTACGGCTGAATTTTCTCCGCCCAGAATGCAGTTCTCTTGGCGCAAAACTGCGAGTGGAACCTCGCCTGCAAGAGGCAAAAGTTCATGAACGATAACGAGTCCATAAAGCCGCTTGGGTCTGCTAGAGAGATATGTCGTAGCGCAAAACGGCCCATCCAGATATATACCCCCAACAGCTCGACCGACACCGCGCAAACCTCTTCAGTCACAAAACATCACACCCGAGAAACGCATGGACGAGCCACCTGCAAAGCGAGCCAGACGAGCAGGCGACAGCAACTCTCGACCCTCACCAGAGCCGAGTTCCAGCGGTAGAAGCAAGACAGTGCGAGCGTCGCGGCGCGACGACGGCAATAGTAGGCGAAACAGGTCACGATCTCGATCCTACGACCAGGGGGATAGGCAGAAAGAGGACCACCGGTCTCGAGAGCAGTCGCATCGGAACCGTGACCGAGAGCGGGATCTTGATAGAACTCGTGATCGGGATAGAGGTGCAAGAGACGAGGACAGAGACAGGGAGAGAGGCAACGGTGGTCGACAGAGTAATGGCGCCGGTCATCGTGAGCGGAGCCGGAGCCGGGAACGACATCGTTCGTCGAAAGGTATGTTGGATTCTGATGCCTTTTTACTTCTTTATTTTGATCGCACCTCCTGACCCATATCTTAGACCACCGTAGCGAACGGTCCCATCGCCACTCACGTTCGAGGTCACCCGTGAGAAACGGCAATAGTAACACACCAGTGCGCGCAAGATCTCCACCCCGACGATCCGACCACGATCGGATACGACCCTCCAACCACATAAAACCCGAAGAAGACAGGCCGAAAGGTACTGCTACCGCTTCGTCTACCTCTACGAAGTCAGATAATGCCAAAGCACCACCAAATGTCAAAGACGATGCAATGGTGGTTGACGAGGACGAAGATGATGCACTACTTAGGAGAATGATGGGTTTTACGACGTTTAAAACGACGCAGGATACCAAGGTTCCGGGGAACCAGATCTACGGCGTCAGAAAGGAGAAGAAGACTGAGTATCGACAGTATATGAATCGTGTTGGCGGGTTCAATCGTCCGCTGAGTCCTTCGAGGATGTGAATCTTTGTCGTTCGCGCCTTCGGCCATTGGTCGATGCGTGGGCCCGAGATTGCGTTCTCTGCGATTGCATGTTTCGCGGTGACGTTTTTGAGTATCTGCTCGAGGAGCATGTGAAAATGGATGTGCAGTTGTCTCAAACATTAAACATACATGCCAGCGGGAGCGAAGGTTCAAAGACTCTGGGACGAGAAATTTCGATCTGTTGCGTAGGACAACCTGCGATTGTATTATACTCAAACCACTTGTACACGATTATTCCCATGGCCTCATCATAGACAGAGAGCAATTTCCAGGTCGAATCACACTTCACTGATACATGATGGAGTTCGAGCACTACTCTTCATCTTTGGGAGTACATGCTGCACATGTGCAATGTCGAACGAAAAAGCGAGTCAACATACTTCCTGTGTACATTGGTCAATAGATTCGTCATAAGCTAAAGTACAAAGTCCCCACGAGCACAGTACCATACAACTCAAGCCAGTGCATCCAAGAACTCAAACCCACAACTCGCAAGCTCTGGGCGGCATTTTCCTCTCCCAGCCCAGGTTCCCCAGGATTCGACGCCGACGCGGAAGCAGCCGCCGCAGCGGACGACGAAGATGAACTCGCCGCCCTCGCAGCAGCCACACTCCTGGCGTCCGCAAGCGCCTTGGTCGCGACCGCAAACGCCGGCCCACCAGTGACCGTGGCCTCGGGCTGGAAGACCAAGCACTGCGTGGCGGCCAGACGGTCCAGCCGAGTCGACGCCAGTGGGAGGGAAGAGCTGAACTCCAGGTTCTTGACGTTGATCACGCTCAGGTCGAATGTTGTGCTGGCGAGCAAATCGAGGCCGATGCTGACCTCGCTGTCGGTCGTGATATGTGTCAGGTTGGGGAAGAAGTCTTGTAGTGCTGCTTGGTCGGAAGATGAGCCCTGTGTAGTTTCTGTGGTTGTCCTGGTGGCGTTGGTCGCGGATAGTGGCTCGCAGTTGACGTTGAAGGTGTCGGTGGCGATCAGCTTGAGGACAGTGGTGGTTTTGGGCAGATCAACTGTTAGGGCGGTCACTGCGCTCGCAACTTTGAAGATTTCTACGCCGAGGGTCACGCGTGGTTGAAGTGCGATGCCGATGGAGAGTTCGATGTCTGTGATGTTGGCTTCGAATGGGAGGTCGGAGAGGTTGATGTCATTGCTGAGAGTGAGGTGGAGTTTGTTAGCAATTGCAGCATGGTTTCAGGATCGCTATTCTCCAGGTACTTTGTGTCTAGCAGGCAAGGACTTACAAGCCTGTCACTCGAGATGACTTGAGGTCTGAGAAATCGATTGTTATGTCGAGGTTATGAATCTAAGGAACGTTAGCATGGGGAAGTCGTGCGTTTCGATGTAATTCGAGGGATCCAACTGACTTCTAATTCGAAGCCGTAGGTCAGCTCAATGCCACCAGTGAGTTTCCACGACAGACTAAGTTGTGGTTCAAATAGGAGGCCGGCCTTGCCTATGCCGGGGAGCTGCAATCCAAGAAGTTTCGTCAGTATGTGTAGCAGGATCAAATTGACTCCAGGCTGGTTGTATCGCTTACTGAGAACCCGGTAACACCAGGGATAGGCAGGCTGAAGAGAGCCAAAGTGGTTGATCCTTCGACTGAGGGCACAATCTGCAACTCAACATGCGCGAGGAAGTCCTTGATACTGAACTGTACAAATCCCACCTTGAAGATGTCTGAGAAGCTATCGATATCATCCAGGTCACTAAGAGCCAGCTCCCACTCTCCCTGCGAGAGTTGTAAGTTTCCCTTGGTCTGGCAGTCCTTGCAACTAATCTCAATCGGGAGTTCTGGACTCGTGGTCTTGATTGTGGGAAACCAATCTGGTCCCGCGCCCTCGTGTGAGAGGTCTATTGAGACAGAAGTTACGCTGGGGTCGGCTTCGGCAGGTATCAGGGATGAAGCGAGTGCTTCCGCGGACGTTGGGTTTGTTGAATCTTGCCGCCGTTGACGGATTTTCCTTTGATTGCCGTATAGCTCAAGTGGCTCTTCAGTGTGCCCGAAGCTAAAGTGGATGTCATAGAATGCTTCATTCCACTTAACTTCTTCGACGACGAAAGCAATCTCGGTTCCCATTCCGGAGCAGGTCATCGATCGCACCCTTCATCTTCTTGTCAATTGCCGTCATGACATAATATTTCTTAAGGGGCAATTGCCTACCTGTACGGGACACGACTGCCATCTTGGACACAGCCAGCTTGAGAAACAATAAGATGTCCATCTTCCATATCCGACCATGACTGACAAGCACTACGGAAGGCTTGTGAATCCTGGAAGCCAATAGTAATGTTCGTATCAGTACACCGGACGTCATCAAAGAGACTCTCGGCATGCTCGAGCACAATGAGCGGGTTCCGAGATCGAAAAGCCACGGTTGAGGAGAACGCAAGGCTGTCCCTGATGTTGCGTATACCTAGGAGTGGAGTCAGGTATTGCCACTTAGCGTCGAAGATGAGATAACTTGCTGTCAGCATCGGCATATGTCAGGTTGGCGCCATACACTGGCTGAAAAGAAGCTGCCCTCCTTTGTACATCTGAGAGTACTACTGCAGCGTGAAGCTGACGGGAGTTTGCTGCCATCAAGGCTGGGTGATCGGAAATCAATCCATGGGCATCATATATACTGAGACAAAGAACCAATAGCTGGAGAGTAAAATACAACATCATAAGAATATACTTCCAGTACCTGCTGTCTGTAAGACTTGAAAAGAAGAGAGGACCGATGCTCAGAGAATCTTCAGCACACTGAGAAAGAAGTTGCTGAATCCTTGACCAACATATGGCTTAACCTTGATGCATAGATATTCTCCCGATGGCCTGTTGGATGGGCCCAACACTTGCATACAAGCCATCCTCCATGGTCAGATCCACTCGTCGGCGTTGTGACTATCGTACTTTGGATAGTACAAGCGAGCAAGGTTACTAAAGGGTGGCTGTAGGAAGCATTGACAAGGGCCAGAGTTTCGGCCCTCTTTGGGGCTGTCAGTCCAACGTCTCATCAGCACGCAGGAGCCAAGACCTATTTCCTGTTGTGAGCAGTTGCTCAGCTCGACTTCCTCGTCATGAGAATCAAGGACATATGTCTTCTGAGCAGCTTTAATGCGAGCAGCGCATTTGGTAATGGATCATGCTTCGTCGCTGGTCGAGTCAACTGAAATAATGTCCGCCAGATAGTCACTTGATCATGGAAAGCTTGTGAGATACTCACTTTGATAGTATGACGACAAAGGAAGCCTTGGCGGCCTCTTAATTGTCGCAGGTCCTGTCAGAAGCCGAACGGCGCAAGCTTAGTCTGGGGGCGGTACGAGATCTGTATCATCCGCAGGCCAGAGCAGTCCACGGGGGATTGTCTCGTGCAATGTACGCTTGGCAAGGCTGCATGTCACTCATGACGTAGGAGTTTGCAGTGCTATTATAGTGCATCGTGCCTTAGTTGCCAAAAATCAATCTTCATTTGATCTCAACTTGATGTTTCACAGCACGAGCGGCCGGGAGCATCCCAGGTGAGGATCCGTCTCTTGGAGCATAAATTCTGACAAGGCTGCCGAAGAGTCATGTCAACGTTTCAGCATGAGGATGGTGAGTCAGAAGTCCCATTCAATACAGAGCCGAGACAGGTACTGCTTCATAAACGCGGCCCCCGTTCGTAAACAAACGTTGGCGGCGCTCTAGACTCGGGATAATCCAAAGTCGAATGACCTAGACTAACCAGGTCGCAAGGACGGAGACCCGGGTCTCTCAACCGACATAGCGAATGGCAACAGAAGTTGTATCAGATGGCCATCGTGATGACCCATTCCATCCATCGCGGTAATGAAAAGGGGGTTGAATGAAATGTCCGCAAATATCGCGATTTGCTCAAGCCTCGCTTTGTCACATGCCAAGGGCTAACAAAAAGCTTCGACGGGGCCGAATAACGACACTGTTGATAACACGAGTGATCTCTCTCAAACATCGAGAAACCCTTGAATATTATTATATATGTAGAGTAATAATAAGACACCAACAGGGTTGGTGAGTTGTCAAGGTCGAAGCTGCTCTGACAGCTGGGCTATTCAAGTGTGAAGACTTTGACGGCACTAAACGAGCATATCAAGCTGCTCACGACTTGAGATGGCGTTTGAAGACTGATGATCATGTACAGTACTAAAACATGCCAAACCTGAATCGACCGTGAACAATATCGAGGAACTCGGTTTGGCGATCATTAGACCGATTGACTCCGCCGTCGAATCTGGATTGTGCTCAAGTTGAATTCGAGTTATCTGCACAAGACCATGGAGAAGATCCACCATTTGCCGCGAGGGAGTTCTTAATGTCGATCACAGATCCATAGGTTCCACCAATCATCAAGAAGAACCCGGAAACGATCACGAATGTACACCAAGCCACCATGAGATACCATTTTGTCGTTCTTGCGCTGCGCCAGTTATCATATAGCCACATCGCTCCGAAAGGTTGGAAGCACATAAGCGTGCCAAGCAGTGCACCGATGAGCGAGACTAAGCTACCGAAGACGGGGATTGCGCTTGCGATAACGTATGAGATGAGTGTGGTGACGGCGGTGCAGGTCAGCCACGTGGCCCAATGGCGGAAAGTAGGGTCAGTAAGATGATGCGAACCTCGCAACATGCGTACAAAGACGTATTTTGCAGCAATCTGTACGTGATTAGTTCTTTTCGATAAATCTTTGAACAAATTTCTTGACTTACGTGTACGAAAAGCAGGGTGCTAACGCATAAGCCGGGTAGAGCCAAGCCGTAGCAGACCTTCTTCAAGAGGACTCCTGCAGACCCAAGCGCTGGGGATGCAACAAAGCTTCCGCAGTAATAGTATACGACAATACCAATCACAATATAGGTAACAGCCACGATGGATTGACAAAGTAGAAGCGATTTGGTGTAATGCTCTGGTACTCGCATCTCAGATGCAATTTGGAAGAAAGCAGGTGTGCCTGCCCATGCAAATACAATGGAAGAGCACGCTGAAATAGCCGCTTCGAAGCTTGGGTTGTTGACTCCATGCCAGTCGGACTTAAAAGGACCTGGTGGGGCAGCGGCAGGTTTATCTTGAACGCCCACAGCAATTGTCAGGGTGAGGACTAGTGGTTCGCTGGTCAGATTTGCGACGAAAAAGTTTGGAGGGCAACTTACTCGATGTCAAGATGGAGATTGCGCCGACCCAAGCCAGCCACGATACTTCGTGAAGGGTCTGAATACTTCCCAGGGCGAAACCAATAACAGCTGCCACCGCAACAAATATGGCGGTACAAGCTCCGTGAGTGGACAGGGCGTTGAAAGAGATTGAAATTCCCAGCATACCAGCTCCAGCAACGAAGATCCAAACTATACCAAGTTAGTCATGTTAAAAAACAAAACAGAACGATGAAACAGCAATGCTTACACAGAATGAAGACAACATAGAAGAATTCTCTCCCGACCCTACCAAAAAGCTTGAATCCCACATCGTCAATTCCGTAGACTGATGGGTGATTTCTCTTGAAGACACCGATCTCATAGTTCGACCAGGTGGTGATGACACCTATTGAGACTACTACGACCAATCCCGGCCCCATTCCTAGTGTATCTAGAACAGAAGGGATGGATAGAACACCCAAGCCGATTTGCGTTTTGACCATCAACACGGCAGTTCCAAGCCACCCGACCTATGCGAGTCAGCATGTAACTTGACAATGGCATGGTTTGCAACAAGCTCACATTTCGATAATTTGGGCCACCCTCCTTGATTTCGCCAAAGATGTCGTCAACTATCGAGATACGACGACCCTGTGCGGACATCCGCCGCTCACCAGGCGGAATGACCTGATAGATTGAGCCTCGCCTTCTCTCGTCATGTTGGACTTCTCCATCTGTACTGAAACGGATATCTTTCTCAGGTGCTGAGGTCGCCATGTTGAGAAGTCAGAGATCGAAAACTAGAACTTGCCACAGCTCAACAAGTTCGTGATGACCAAGTACAGAGCAGCTCGAGGTCAGAGACGCGGGTGAAGCTTACCATATAAACACCGACCACTTGCTTGCCAGGTCGGCCGCAATTGCCAGCAAGTAAGTTCACGGTCCAAACTATGTCGTAATGGCAATGAAGGGGATTCGAACGAGCCTCCAGCCACCAACTCCGCGTATCTGGGGATGCTCCTCTATTCAACGTCATTTGGGCAATTGTAAATTCTATTGGTCTGGAGGCCAAGTTGATAGCCCGTAAGGAAAGTACTTTCAGGTAATGATTGCCGACCACGGACCTTTCAGGACAAGCTCCTTTGGACTGATCAGCCTTTTGCCATCACCGTGCATGTTCCAGCACAGTAAGTGGAGCTTTGTTCCTATCGATTTTGAATCTCTTATCTGTCGAGCAAGGGGATGGTCAGATTGTACAAAATCAGGTGTATCTTGCCGTTTGCTGGTCAAAAATGGAAAGACATTCCAGACTGCAGCGGAAATGATGTAACAGCTACATCTCAGACATTTACCTGGGAAGTCTTTCCGCAGCCTAGTCGTTTCGTGTTTGAGAGGCCGGCCTATAACCATCCGCTTAAGACTAATGCCAAGTGATGTTAAAAAAAGCCAATTCTCCTCCCCCGTATTTACCCCGCAACATCCGTAGCTTACCGTGATAATTTGTAAATCACATCGCAGTTTCGCCACTGGTGTCAAACTTACCTTATCGTACACTATCAATGACTCGCTACTGCTTTTGCCTCTCTAGACTTAATAGGCGGCTGATCCTTTCCTCGCTAGTCATCACTCCAGTATCCCATCGAATTACTTAATCTCTCAGCCCTACTGGAACTTTCTGGGCAGTGGGCGTTGTAAGAATTGCATGGCGAAGCATTGAATGGAGGAGTATGCGACAAATAGTTCAAACATGGCAGACACAGTCAAGACTATATTCATTCCAGCGCTTTGCTATATCTCTTTCTAATCACTAAAGGTGAGGAACAGCAAGGCTGGCAAGCACTAAATTGACAATGCTCACCACACCTTCTCCCAGTATAAGTCCACTAGCAAGCACAACGACTGTGGTTTCACCTCGACCCTTCCAGTGCACCCACCACAAACTCACCACGCCTCCTGCTGTGCGAGCTAGTGTAAAGCTCGGTGTATTGTACATACCGACAGCGACGGCAATACCTCCTGGTATCCATGGGTGGATCCGACGACACCATTCGCTCTCATCGCGATGCGCCAGTAGATATATACGAAACACAGTTGTGAGAACAAATATGGCACCTGCGGCCAGGGCGTATTGCCAGGCCATGGGTGGTAAGCCCTCGCCTGTGACAAGACGGGCTGTGAAAATCCAGACATACGCGGTTGGAATCTGAAAAAGTTCTCCAGGAATGGTGTAGACTGAGATGTAAAGTTTATAGACTGCTGCTGACACAAATGCACCCACCACGCTGCCTATTAGTTGACCATAAAATTGGGCTTTGGGGCTAGCACCGATCAAGTGGCCTGCCTTCAAGTCCTGTAGAATATCACCAGCTTGAAGAGCCCCGGCTTCACTTACAGCGCCGGCAAGCAGGTTGATGATGATTGCATGGTTGGCATGCTTTCCTGTAGGGGCAATAAGGGCAAACACCAGCTGTGTGAGTTTGGAGATGCCACTGACAGGATTGAGGTCGGTTTCACCCAGAGCCCGGACGCCCATGATCGAAAGAACCAGAGCCAGGAGAATGGCGAGAATGTTCAATTCTATGGGAATATAAGCACCAAAGGTCACGTGGACACAAAGCACACAGAGGATGATAGTAAGAGGTAAGAGAATAGCGACTGATCGATTCGAGACAAGATGGTGAGGCGGAGCGTCGTCAGGAGCGTCAATGGTAAGATGCGGCTTTGTGGAGGACCCGGCACGCGGGGTATAACCGTTGTCCTGATCAAGAGCAAGGTAGCCAGCCAATTGCCTTCCAAGCAAAAGATCCGACCACGAGGAGCTGTGGTGGTAGTGATCTAGGAGGGTCCTTACCCAATCTGGACCGTACAGTATCGAAGGTCGGAGCAGCAGCCAACCGAGATTGACCACAGCATCTGCCAACATGATAGCCAGACTTACCCAGACGATCCAGCCTTTGCTCCCAGTCTCCCAATCATCAACATCTCCCGGCGCCCATCCATTATGTTTGGCGATCGGGCTGAGAATCGCCCAACCGATAACGGCACCAAGGAGCATGTGAAATGTCGTGGCTGGACCCATGATGATGCCTTGACCAACATATGCCGGCGATGGGTTTAGGGTCCACTGCCAAGTGTGAGCCAGGTAGTTGCCAAAGATGGGAAGTTTGTGGAGGATTGGCAGAAAGTACTGGAACAGAGTATAAGCACCGGAAGAGGCGAACGCAATTGTCAACAGACGAATTTGTCTCTTCCAATCTGCACGAAGATCCTGCTCACGGGCAGAGCTCTGACCCGGTGCCCCGCTATGTTGAGCCTCGCGTTCATCTTCACGCAGTAATTCTTCTCGTTCCTCTGTACCTTGTGTTTGGATTGCATGGTCTTGGGATGAGTCGGGTTTTGCACCGCCATGGAGAACACTAATCATAAGGGCTGTTGCGGTACCGGAGGGAAACTTCAGGCGTTCGCGAATGATGACTTGTTTCCTCAGGGGGACTCCAAACACAACACCGAAGAGACACAGGCCGATACCCCAGACGAACAAACGCCACAGGCTCAGATCGATGGGAGCACCTTCGCTTTTCTTCAACAAGAATTCCAAGCTCGGCATGACGCCGACAAACCCAAGACCCAACGGCATAGTTCCAACGGCACCAGCCACGGTCTGTACCAAGACATTTTCGACCGGAGTGAACGGGACAAGCAAATAGGGCGATAATGCCTTGAATACAGCAAAGCCGATTAAAGATGCAGGCATGGCCATGCCCGAAACCCAGCCAGTCTGCAGTCCGAAATAGGTGTTGGAAAAGCAGATGATGATGCCAATGGCGATACCGACAGCCACACCTCGGAAGGTGAAGTTGGTGCCATCGAGAGCAGAATCATGGGTAGAGGATGATGCATAGCAGGCGTGATCAGAGCGAGCACGAGAACTAGTGGGTTCTTGCTCCGGGGAGTCAAACGATACAGATGGTGGAGAGGGCGACGGTGGAGGAGAGATGGGGGAGGAGGAAAGATGCGAGCCTCTATCGGGTGCCATGACGAGTTCTTGAGCGTAAAGATCTTTTGCTATGTACGGATAGAAAGAGACGTGCAGCATCAGTACCTCAAATTAAAGACTGCGCGAGCGAGAGAGAGGACGAATTCCGTCATCCGCTTCTATCACGTGACTTTGAGATCACGTGAACGTCCGTGACTTGGAGGGGTGCTTGGCTTGGCAGCACTGGCATGGGCATGATGCAGATCCGATCCAGAGGACCGCCGATGGGCGCAACAGACCAAGCCAAGCTCAAGTCAGAGGATACCGAACCACTAGCTGCAGCTTCTAAGGCCAGACCGGATCGAATGGATCCATCCCGAGGTCAACCTGAAGTTGTGCGATTAATCACTCAACTTGTACTGCTACAGAATGCCAGAGTGAAGACCCGTCGTGGCTCTCGGGTTAATTCCCCGCCACCAGATGCCTCGTGACCGTGGCGTCCATTCCAGTGGCATTTCCAGTGTTCGCATCATCCATCCACTTCGCATCCCTGTACGTCATGATCTAGAACTCTGAAAATGCCATGAGTTGTCGTCCATGCTCCAAGGATCTTGGGCGAGATAGAGACCCTTGATTTTGTAAAAATTGGCCGTCCCTGCATTGTTGCCTCTGTTCCCGTGCTGCTGCCCGGATGTTGATCGCCGGTTATTGTCGTGTTCTTTTCTCGGTTCTACTACAACACAACATGACTGCTTTTCTTTACTATTCCGGTAATGCCTCCTCATCAGGGTGCTCGCCAGCGCGAACTGCACCGCTACTATCAACCGTGGCTTGAGACTTTCATCAGCACCCTCGAGGAGACTTCCATCCCCCCACCCCAAATCCCTCGTCGTGCTGACTCTCACTCGCACCAACCACGTTCCTCGCGGGACAAGGCCTTGACTGCCTTTGCTCAGTTGGGCTGCCTGCGCCTGAATGCGAAAAGAGGCGTCGTCACTTTGATCGATTCAGAAAAACAATTCATCATAGCCGAAGCTACAAAGTCCCTTTCTCTCCTCGACGATGATCAGCATGTCCCTGGCGATGAGCTGTGGTTTGGGAACTCCTTCGTCGCGCGGGCGCAAGGCGTATCCCAGGATGCCATGTATCCTGAAACATGCACGATCAAAGACCCGAACGGCTCTACCTTCTCCGCACCCGCCCTAATCGTCAACGACATATCTCAACATCCTGCTTACCAAACCCGTGGCTATGCTGGCGCTGGCATTAGCTTCTACTGTGGCGTTCCGTTGAAAACTCGCCTTGGACACGTAATTGGTGTTTACAATGTCACAGATGATAAACCGCGCGATGGTCTTTCTCTTGATGAACTTCGTTTTATGGTCGACATGTCCACCATAGTTATGGACCACCTCGAGGCGGTTAAGAACGATCGTGCCCGTGCTAGGGGCGAGCGCCTTATCCATGGCATTGGCACATTTATAGAGGGTCAGGCTACTGGCAGTGTCTATGACTCAGAGGAGGACGAGGAGTCTGCAAGCCTACCAACTGCAGTCGGTCTACCCAGCCATAAGGACCCAAACCAGACCTCATCATCAAACCCACCACGCCAATGGATGTCGGAAGAGGTGGTCCCAACGATCAAGAATTTTAAAGGATTGGAGATTGGCGATGCCAATTTCCCCGACAATGATCACATGCGCTCTGCTTCCAGCCGCCCGGACCGTCGCCCGCCTCACAATCGTACTAACAGTCAAAGAGTTGCTTCTACAAGGCGAGCCTCCGTACCTGTGCCAGACACCGATCACTCAAACGAGCACCAAAGCATCGACTCCCACGGAATACAGCTCGATCCCAAGAAAAAGGTTTTGACGGACCCCAGTCAAGTCTTTGATCGCGCTGCAGCTATCTTAAGATATTGTCTCTCTGCTGAAGGTGTGACTTTCCTTGACGCAAGTGCCGCCAATTTAAGCCCTGGTTCTGCGGTAGCCCACGACGTCAATTCGTACGCCACCATGAGACACGCTAGAGGCCAGCCTAGAGCTCGTGACAGACTTCGCAAAGAAACCCGTTCTGGAGGTGAAACCACAACGGAAACAACTTCGCACGAATCAAGCGACTCCGCCAATGCGTCTCAAGATTTACGTCCGAGCAACACTTCCGTCAGCTTACGCAAGGGAAGTAAAAAGTGTCATGTCCTAGGTATTTCTGGCAAGCTGCGTGCTCCGCAGGTCCCGGAACAGCTCTTGCGCCGCCTTGTGCGCCGCCATCCTGAAGGGAAATGTTACGCTTTCGACACAGCTGGCAACCTAGCATCAAGTGATGAGAGTTCTGAGTCTGCTTCCATATTATCTGAAGTCGTGGTTGATGTGCACGGAGCAACCCAGGTTGCTGCCATGTTTCCTCACCGACCAAATGCTTTGCTCAAAGCATTTCCTGGTGCCAGAAACATTGTGCTGCTGCCGTTATGGGACTTTGCTAAAGAACGATGGCACTCGAGTCTCGTGATCTGGTCTAGGGATCCGGCGAAGCTCATAAATGTTGTGGACGATATGGCCTACCTAAAAGCCTTTAGTAATGCAGTCATGAACGAAGTGAACCGCATCAACCTTGCCCTGTCCGACATTGCAAAGGCCACATTTGTGGCAAGCATTTCCCATGAATTACGCTCTCCACTGCACGGCATCTTAGGAAGCATCGAATTTCTTCATGACACTCCCATGGATGATTTCCAGGCCACTTTGCTCGTCTCTGTCGAAACTTGTGGCAAGACTCTCCTTGATACTGTCAATCATGTATTGGACTATGCTAAAATAAACAACTTGGCGCAGCACAACTCTCGACAACTTGGTCATCGTCGAAATGAGGGTAAACCACAAGCATCTAATTCTGATAGTAGCCTGACCAGCAGCTTCAATTTAGCACATATCGTGGAAGAGGTGGTTGAAGCTGTATATGCTGGTCAAGTCTTCCGCTCGACCCAAGCCGACGTTTTGGAAGGAAGAGGTAATCCTCGATCCTCCAGCGAACGTGCTATTGAAGCCCGAAAGAACTTAAAAGACAATGATCACTTGGCAACGTTGGCCAAAGAACGCAGTGTGAATCTTACACTTGATATCAGCAATCACCTCGATTGGAAGGTCAATTCTCAACCTGGTGCGATTCGACGAGTGGTGATGAATATCCTAGGTAACGCTTTAAAGTATACCACTACAGGTAGCATCAATGTGTCACTCAAGCCAGATGAATATCATCGAAAAGAAGACGCTCGTGTACACGCTCTGATCTCCGTTACAGATACAGGCAGAGGCATGTCTGATGACTATGTCCAGAACCATGCGTTCACAGCATTCTCTCAGGAAAATTCTCTGTCTAGTGGTACTGGGCTCGGATTGAGTATTGTTCGGCAAATCATCGATTCCCTGGGAGGCAGGATTAATCTAAAGAGCGAGAAGAATGTCGGAACTGAAATTGAAATCTCACTGAGTCTACCGAATGGGGAGGACGGTGATATTGACGAGCGGGGAGACAGTATTCTCGGTCAACTGCAAACGAAGACTGACGGTCTTGAACTTACCATACTCGAGCCGCAAATCAAAAAAGCCGCAAATCAAGAAATTCCCGCACGTGGACTATCTGAGATGCCAACGGTCGGAGATTCGGTCAAGCAAATGCTGGCCAGTTGGTTCAAGATGAAAATTACCACATCACCAAGCATGCACAACAAATCACCAAATTTCTTCATGTACTTGGAACCCCCTCCGATCAGTTGGCTGATCGAAAGTCACGGAACCCCTGGGGGCAATGCCGAGATTCCCGTGCTCATTATCTGTACCAATGCTTTTGAAGCCGCTAGTTTGCGTTCAAAAGGTATTCATCACCTAACCGACATTGGTAGAATAATTGAGGTAATCCCCCAACCACTTGGCCCGCAAAAGATGGCCAATGCCTTGTTGCGATGTATGCAACGACTCAAAATGCTTGACACACCTAGTATCGCGCAATCCACTGAGCATGTCCCAATGACAGCAGGCCAGCAGAACATCCATGATACCTTGGCTAGAGCTCCACAGACCTCTTACACACGTCAAGGTCAAATTGGCCGCGACTGGCAGCTTTCAAAGCAGGGAAGCTACGAACGAAAGCCAGATGGTGAACTTTCTCCAAGAAAAGGGCGGACAGATCAAACCAATTCGGATGCACAACTCAACGATGAGAAACGTACCTTGCCGCATGTCTTAGTCGTCGACGACAATCAAATCAACTTGAGTCTCCTTGTGGCCTTTGTGAGAAGGACCACCCATCCCTTTGACAGTGCTACCGACGGTGCTAAAGCTTTGACGGCCTATAAGAAGAGTGCAACTGAGGAGGGAGGTGCCAATAGGTTCAAGTTCATTCTGATGGACATCTCTATGCCTGTGATGGATGGAATCGCATCCACAAAAGCCATTCGACAATTTGAGAGAGACAACAAAATCGCACCCCCTGCCACTATTATTGCGTTGACCGGACTGGGCAATGAGGAAGCTCAGCAAGACGCCTTTAGTGCTGGATTTGACCAGTTCCTCTCAAAGCCTATCGTATGTTTCTTGTCATTCAACTTTGGTTCGCTCACTAACTTCCAGCTTAGAAATTCAAAGATCTGCAGAAGATGCTCATTTGAGTAGAGCAGGGTACTAATGACTTTATTGCATTTACGAATCTCATGTATACGCCACCTGCTTTTCACTTGGGCGTGTCCAGTCCAGCATTACATTGGAGATTCCATACAACTTCGGCTATTTTCATCAACGGGGTATATAGAGACCGTGGGGATATGCGAGAGTGGCGTTCATCATCCATGGTTTCCGAGTTTGGAACGGAATTTGGAATGTGGTGCATGTCAACCTCTGTCAGTTGGAGAGAAGCCTTTCCATGTCTACGTGCACGGCAGCTCCGAGAATGGTGTCTGGCTGTACATAATCAACGAACCGGTATCGACGATAGTAGGAAAACGACACGACTTATTCAACTCGGTCTGCCCAATCGCCCTCAATAGCCATCGAATTCACTCCTCCTCCTGCCAGAAAACCCGAATTTCGCTCCGGCCGTGCGAGTCAACAACCGAGTATTGACAAGTCAAAGGTTGTTTGCAGGAGAACCATACACGATATTTGCAATGAAGTTGAACGACCTGCGCACACAGCCTCGTCTAGATACGTAGACACTGCGCGACCATCCTCGTCCTCCTCATCCTCCTCATCCACTTCTTGTCTTGCTATCAGTAGCTACCGAGGCAGACTAGACTCAAGAGAATAAGAAATACCCTAACACAGCCAACTTTCGGTGCAGTGATGGGCAGATAAGCCCCGCCCCGTCCGCAGAGTAATGTGTATATATACACTATATACAGCACTTGACTTCCAGTCTATCCATCCACATACATGCTCAGATGGAGGTACATGTAGTCATCCCAGCCAAGTATAACCGTAGGAAGCCTCATTTTGGCGAGTACGTCTGAAAATGTGGTCCCCTATCTGTGCGAATTGTTACAGCTTAGCTTAGCTTCTCTTCCCAGACATCGTTGAGTCTAACTATCTAGATATGGATATGGATGTGGATATGCTGATTGGTGGGCGACTCGTTCAAGGAGTTTGGGCAGGCTGTTTACGCACTTGTTTTATTAGCTAGGTAGTTGGTCCCGTATTTACCGTGTTCCGAGACAGTGAGTGATGCAGAAAGAGGCTCAGCGAATGCATAGATAGGTCAAGCAGGTATTTGATGATGCTGCTGCTACGAGAGCTCATCGCCACTTGTTTAGCATTGCCCTCGTTTCATTCTTCGAATTGTGTATTTATGGTTGGATAGCTCAATGTCATTCTAGTCTAGGCATGTAGGTAGGAAGAAGCCATGTGATTTGTGCGCCAGCCTTTAGTTAGTATCTAGAAATCGTTTCGATTGCCATTGTTTTGAGCAAGTGGTCTGAAGTAGATGCGCCTTGTAGATACCGCCATGAGGGCCAAACTCGAAATACTGAATTGATGGAAAGGGACAGCCCGCTCAATTGGTCCGTCGAAACGAGCTTGCTTCATAGCCCATGATGGCGGCAGCAGCCGAATTGCACCAGGCAATGGACTTGGGCCGAAATTTCTGGTAACCTACCTCCCTGCATGCAGCCCACACAAACAATGTATCGGTCGACCAGAGCGAGAATCCTTCTAGACGTGGAATTTGGCTTTGTATTTATTCTCGAGCGCAGCTTTGATGGCATCGGTTGTAGCCTTCGCATCTCCGAACAGCATCTTTGTTCCAGGCATGTAAAACATGGGGTTGGGAACATCGGCTAGATATGAGAGATATAAAGTCAGTAAAGCGCACAAAAGTCAAAACTGGGAGGGTATCAAGTTTTAAGATGCCGAACTCACCGTAGCCACTGCTCATGCCTCTCTTCATCACAATGACCTGTTTACTCTTCCAAGCATGCAACACAGGCATTCCGGCGATCGGGCTACCCGGCTCCAAGGCGATAGGATTGACGGTATCGTTGGCTCCAATGACAAGCGTGAGATCGGTCTCGGGGAAATCGTCATTGATTTCATCCATTTCCAGCACAATATCGTATGGAACGCTGGCTTCGGCGAGGAGTACGTTGCACTGACCGGGCATTCGGCCTGCAACGGGATGGATCGCGAAGCGAACGTTGATGCCCTTGGACCTCAACAATGCTGTTATCTCAGCAATGGCGTATTGAGCTTTTGCAACAGCCATTCCATAACCGACGACAATGATGACGGATTGTGCTTCGACCAAAGAGTCTACCGTCTCCTCAACGCTCGTCTTCGTGACTGTACCTTGGATCTCGTGGCCGGGCGACTGCGTAACGGGAGCGATGCCGCCAAATAAAACGTTGGTCAATGATCGATTCATCGCCACGCACATGACGTAGGAGAGGATAGAACCGCTGACACCGATGAGTGATCCCACCGTGATCAACAAGGAATTGTCAAGCATGAATCCTTCTGCCACGAGCGCAAATCCAGAGTATGCATTCAGAACGGTGATGACCACAGCTAGTCAAGGGGTTAGTGGTGGGCCTAATGGTAGATATACAGATTGACATACGCATATCAGCACCGCCAATTGCTGCCGTGGTAGTATAGCCTTTGACAAAACTGAGTATGGTGCTAGCGGAGAGAGCCATAGCAGCTACGACTGGAGCGCCTGGCGCCATTGTGACAAAAGCACCCATGGTACCAGCATTTGCGGCAAGCAGACTAGAATTGATGAGGTGTTTGCCTGGAAGGGCCAAAGGTCGAGAAGACATTTTGCCGGCGAGTTTCATGAAAGCCACGATACTGCCAGTGAATGTGATGCCACCTGAAAAGATAAGCAGTTAGATCCTTTTCTTGGGTTGAAGGGAATAATAGACTGGAGCCTCACCAATCACCACGCCGAGATATGCTGTGACCATATGCAATGTAGAGATATCCTCCACGTGAGCCAAAGCACTGCCGATACTGGTCAAGACAGCTGCGAGACCAACAACTGAATGAAGAGCAGCGACAGTCTGTGGAAGTTCAGTGGGTGTAATTCTTCGACCGATCAAAGCACCTATCACAATAAGTAAAAAGTCCTCGCTTGAAGAAGAGATACCTACCGGCCAAAGCACCAATGGCAGCAATGCCTCCAAATTGAGCCAGAACTTCAGGTGAAAACCCTGCGGCTGCAAGAGACGCAAGGATACCTGCACCGACACCCAGAATGCCCAGAAGGTTACCCGTTCGTGCAGTTGCTTGAGATGCCAGCCCAGAGATCGAGCCTGAAAAATATTGTCAGTACAGAGTTTCCGGAGATCTTGAAGTTGACTTACCAATGCAGAGCAAACTGCTCACAAGATATCCAGCTTGAACCAAACCTGCCATACCAGTAGAAGCAGCTGCGAGAAAGCCACCACCAAACAGGACACCAGGAATTGCATACAGCCACGGGTATTCCGGTGGATCAGTAGGGCGCTTGAACATATCCAACATGCGTTTTGTGATGACGAAGCCACCTGAAACATTTACAAATGCCAGCAAAACAGACAGTGACCCTAATAGTTGTGGGAATGTCTCTGGTAGATAGCCACCTCCCATAACGAAGAAACCACCAACACCAACGATGCCAGAAATGGCATTGGTAACACTCATCAGAGGCGAATGAAGGGCTGGAATGACACCCCAGACAGATCGATATCCGATCAGACCGGCAAGACCAGCTGTGAACATGTTGCTCATGAGAAGGGGCGAGGTGAATTTTCCAAGAGTAAGCATGGCGCCCATACCTCCTGCGACAGTTGCCACTTCTCTGGTCTGCTTTTGCCATGGCGTCAGTTCTACAGGCTTAGCTTCTTCATGATGGGTCTGCTGAGTATTTGCTGGTGGTGGAGCAGCTCTTGGAGCAGGTGGAATAATCTCGCCGTTCTGCGTGACTATCGAACCGCGCACAACTTCATCTTCGAGATCAATACCAAAGGAGTTTTCCTTGGGGGCCATTGAAAACAAAAATTTCGTGATGTTGTTCGAGTATAAACTTGAGGCTTGCGTTGGTAGTCGGGAGGGAAAGTTCGTATATCCAATGACAGTGACATGGTTGTGGACAATGAGTTTTCCAGGTTGAGTGACCTCACAATTGCCGCCACCCTCAGAGGCCAAGTCGACGATGACAGATCCAGGTTTCATGGCGCTCACCATTTTTTCAGTGATAAGTTTGGGCGACGGTTTCCCCGGGATAGCGGCTGTTGTGACAACAATGTCGACCTCCTTGCATTGATCCATGAAAAGCTTCATTTCAGCCTCGATGAACTCCTTGGACATTTCTTTGCTATAACCTCCGGCACCGCCTCCTTCTTCTTGGATGCTGACTTCCAAGAAGTCCGCGCCAAGAGACTGGACTTGCTCTCGAGCAGCGGATCTGGTATCGAATCCACGCACGATGGCACCTAAGCGACGAGCAGTAGTGATGGCACTAAGACCTGCGACACCAGCTCCAATAACGAGGACCTTTGAGGGCGGAATCTTGCCAGCCGCGGTGACTTGGCCCGTCAAGAAACGTCCAAAGTGATTGGATGCTTCGAGGACAGCCTTATAGCCGGCAATATTTGCCATGGAACTAAGAACATCAAAGGCCTGAGCACGTGAGATTCTGGGAATCATGTCCATTGCGAACGCTGTGACACGTTGATTGGCGAGAGCCTCGACAAGGGGCCGGTTTTGCATGGGTTGAATCATGGAGATGACAGTGGCACCGGGACGAATGTTGGGGATTTCCGACTCGATGTTTGGGGCGCGAACCTTCAAAAGAATGTTGCTTTCGGACCATAATGTTTTTCTATCGACGAGAGTGGCGCCGACATGCTCGTAGACCTCATCAGCATATTCAGCGTTAGCACCAGCACCACGCTCAACAAGAACACGTGAAAATCCCTTCTTCAGCAGGAGTGGGACGTTCTGTGGCGCGACAGCGACGCGTTTCTCGCCGTCAAACGTCTCAGCTGGGACGCCTACAGTGAGCTCTGAGTAAGGAACAGGCTCCAGCGCAAGTTCTGATTTGTGACGAGACCATATTGGAAACGCTTTTGGCGAGAATTGTCCAAGTGGTGCACGTTTTGCGGTTAGCGGAATGGCGCCGCGGGAAGTTGAGTGGACAGCTTTTCGCGCCTGCCGCACACAACCATAGATGGTGCCTGAGCAAGGAACTGAGCCGAGTGTCAGGACACAGGACAATGACAACAACAGCGTCTTGATTAGAGTGATGCCAACTTACCTGGGTCCAGAAATCCATAACCACTGTTGGTAGATAGTTTAACCGAGATCCTTTTGGACCAGGTTACTCGTGATGCGTGGTGAGCCATGCTGGCCGGTCGGGTGTAGCCTGTAGCCTGTAAGAGGCGTTATCTCACCGCCCGAAACAACACGCGCTGAACCTTGCAAGATCGGAAGCTGAAGCTGCAGATAAACGCGATGACTTGCATGTCACGGTGGAAAGCGCGTCTGGACGATTGAAAATCTATCTAGAGGAGGCGTAGTATCATGATTCACATTCGAAGGTTGTGCGTGTGTGTGTCAGGACCAGGTCGGGGTTGATCCCCACCCAAGTACTGGCAAGAGGAAAAAAGAGTGGTCGACAAAGCACGAGGTGGTGTGGTGACCAGTAGCGTCCTGTCCAAGGACTGCTAATGATATTGCACGTCTAGGAAACTCTGACCTGAACAGATATTAGAGACCAGAACTCTCAGGAAGCTCCGAACTGGAAGCTCGAGAGAAAGGGACGTCTGAGACTTGATGGATTCAGTGCGGGACACGTCCAAGGTCCACGGTCCACGGTGGACACTGCCAGTGTCGGAGGCAGCTTGACCTCCGGGTCTTGCTTGGGGCTCTGGGGAAGGAACGGGTGGTGAGTCAATCGTGACTGCCGAGGGACAGCTTTGAGCCACAATTATGCGTGTTTCGCCCACTAACCAAGAACTCCCTCCAGGAGAGGTTACATTGACCGTTTCCTGGCCTTTTGCACAACTGCACAACTGCACTATAACAGGATGAGTATCGTTTAATGCCTCATTTCCACCGTGCTACCCCTCCTGTTCAAACGTGGGGGTGGAGCCGCCCGCTCGGCCATGAGACCAGGTGGTGCCATCGCGGGGTGAACCTGGAGAAACCATGGCGTGCCAGTGGCAAAAGGTGGCAAGTGCAACGTTCCTGGTATTGATACTGATATAGCGTACAGACCTGAGCTCTAACGGAGCATGCAGAAAGACCAGCTGCTTAGTAGGTTCCTGCATGGAATACTTATAGAAGGCATGGAACAAGACAAACTCTTGTCTCCAAGGGGTTTCCTTTCCTCCTTGGGCTTTTGTCAGATGCAGGCCCTGACCACCCTTCTTCCCGACTTGCATTTTCATTCGCGGTTCTGTCCGCTGCTAACGGTCTATGGCAGTACTGCTCCATGAGATGTATATATATGCACCAGCTCCTTCCGCATGACCGACCGGATACATTGCTCTCACAACAAACTGCTGACAAGCATTGATCGGAATTCGGTCCCTGGGTGGCTTGCTTTTGATTCCACCATGGTAGAAACCAAAGCAAGATTTTCGATTGCTGCTGGTCTTAACTCGGTTTCTTTTGTTCAGAGAAAGTCCATCATCACCCTGCCACCGTCTGAAAGATCCAGTTCGGAGTCCATCCCAGCAATTGGCTCCAGGAACCCCCTGAACGTCGTCTTCGTTATCTCCCATTCCTTCTCAAAGTCATCATTGGCCCTGCCTTCAACGCATCCCGCCACAATTTGTATGTTTTGATCATCTCCTATCGGCAGTTCACCAAGTTCCAGCGTCCACCTCATTCCATATCCAAGAGCATTCCTGATCTCGTAGACGGCCACGCCATGGTGTAACAACATGACGTTCTTCCAAATGGCCTCGCTGAGCATCTGCTCGAGTATTTTGCTTGCAGTCTCTGTCTTGTTCTCATTGCTCCCAGCCGGTAATGTCCAGAACTGATGGAGCCGACCATGCTCGGATGAGCATCCTCCACGCTCAAAATGCTTACAGAGTGCTACAGCGCCTGAAGACATTCGTGTCTTGGGTCGTGGGGGAGCATTGAAGGCTTCGCGTAAGGTCTCTTCATGTGGAGGTATCAGGAACAATGTTCCTTTGGTTTTTCTATAGCCAGCATCGCGGTAGATTGCTTCTGCCTCCGATGGCTTATCAGACCATGGAAGGATCAAGGAGGGATACATCTCGCCGTCTGAGCTCACTGCGTCAGCTTTAGGGATAATGTTGTTTTGAGTGATACGATCTAGTGCCCACCGGCGGATCGACAAATGATTTTGGTTTTATGCACATCGTGCTTTGTGGGAGGAAGAGAACCGAACGCAACCGCTCACTTCATCTCAAAGCACAGCCATAGTGTGACTCAAATTCGACGCGCCGTGACTCAAGACGGAGTGATCGTTTGGCCTTAAATCTCGAAATCACCAAGCTGCAGACACGGCAACGGAATAACAATTGACCGGCAAACGACCTACATTTTCCACAGAAAATCACGAAGATGCTGCGACCTGCAAATGATGTATCCGTGCATTAGCCACGGCTATTGAATAATCCCAAGCATATAATAGTTCAATGGCATCACAGGAAAGTGCTTGCCATGCCGGAGGCAGAGCCTGATCACAAAATCTAAATGTTCACAAATCAATTAACTTTGACCCCGAAGTTCCCGAGGCTCTGGCTGGTCTCCAACGACTCCGCATTAGGATCCTCGAACCATGGTAGGCTGCTGAGCCTTCAGCATCAAGCTTGATCATGTCTCTGTCTATGTAGATACGTGATATTTAACTGAGACTTCGACAATCATCGTGCTTCTCTAACTAAATACCCTACGGAGCCTGCTTGAGACACCAGGTGAAGATCACAAAAAAGATGCTCGCCGACCCAGTCAAAGTTCAGATCCCAAAGTCCTACGAGACATTACCCGTCAAGGACATCAAAGTATCGCATTATCCCGAGAATGCCCCAGAAGCCACCGGAGTGATTGTGGTGACGCTGAACCGGCCGAAACAAGGCAATGCATTCACGTTGCAGATGATGAAGGACTTTGAGCTCGTCTATCCCATGTTCGATCTGGACGAACGGGTCAAATGCGTCGTGGTCACTGGGGCAGGAAAGCTCTTCTGCGCCGGAGCAGATCTTGACATCGGGTTTCCCAGTGCTGGGGAGCGAGAGCGGCTGGTGGATCATCGAGATAGGTAAGAGATTCCTACGCCCGGCTATATGGACACGTCAAGCTGAAGCAATGTAAACCAGTGGAGGACGTCTCAATCTGGCTATCTACCGATGCAGGAAACCAACAATCGTCGCGCTCAACGGCTCAGCCGTCGGTCTGGGCATGACACTGGGCCTCTCAGCAGCGATAAGAATCGCCCACGCGTCCTCCAAATACGGCTTCGTGTTCGCCCGACGAGGCATCACGATGGAGTCGAACTCGTCGTTCTTTCTCCCACGATTGATCGGCTACTCCAACGCCCTGTATCTCCTGACGACGGGCGACGTCTACCGCGGCGACAGCAAGCATTTCGGAAGTCTCTTCCAAGAAGTCATCGAGGACCAGCCAGGTGTCCTCAAGAGAGCGCTTGAACTCGCGACCACCATCGCTGAGAGGACGAGTACACTGGCAGGCTTCATGAATCGGGAGTTGATGTGGAGGGGCAAACCGTCGGCTGAGGAGACGCATTTGTTGGACAGTGCGGTCCTGTATCACATGTTTGCCAACAAGGACTGTGCGGAGGGCGTGCAGAGTTTCATGCAGAAACGCGACGCCAAGTTTACGGCCACGCTCGAGGAGGACGGTCCGCCGCTCTATCCTTGGTTCAATGAGGTTGACACTGGGTCGCGTCCGAGACTGGACAGGACGGCCGCAAAGTCAAAGCTCTAAATAGTTGCCGTAGAACGGGTAAAGGGGCCTCGTTGAAAATATAATGGAGACTGGATCACAGTCTGGCTCTAGTTTGTCGTTCATTCCATTTTTGCTGAGCTTCCTTTTCTCTTGCAAGCGCGTGGAGTTGCATCTTCTCCATGGCATCTGCAACGTCTTGGTCACTGAGACTGCTGACTTGTTCGATGGGAATTTCAATGGCTTGCAGCGGTTTAGAGAATGCCTTGACCCAACTTGCACGGGACGTTATAGACTGCGCACCGCCGTGAACAACATTGGAACTAAACTCACACCAGCGCTTGTAGCAGTCCGACCCAGATACCGACGTGGGAAACATCATCGCAAAGCAATGGGGCATGCCTTCATACCCGACTAGTTCGACAACGCCACCACCTTGATGCATTCTTCGTGCGAGGATCAGGATTTCATCTTCCAGACCCTCGTTACCCAAGCACATGAATACTGGCGGCATTCCCTTCCAGAGATCTGGCGCTGCAGCCACTGGAGAGGTCAATGGATGTATCATCATCGAAGCATTGCAGAAGATGTCGGCACGAGGGGGGTCGGTCGGCCATAGTGCATCGGGGATCGGTTCGTGTCTGGAAGCACCAGTATCGGTTGGAGGGTCGAGGTAGTCAAAATGGGCATTCTTGTTGATGGATGGCAGAGACCGACTGATATCTACCCAGGGTGAGTTCAGGGCAACCCCGGCTGGTACCTCAATAGCGACATCATTCCCGTGATATTTAATCGTAGACAACCCCATCCTTCGCAAGGTAAGGATAAGTAGTAGCAAGGCAGTTGCAAGATTTGCTCCAGCAGAGTCACCGGCAAACACGATATGCTTCGCTGGAACGGGTCCATGCGGCACTCCGGGAGGTGGGGATAGCAAAGACAGATAAGATATCAACGCATCAAGCAGCTGTGCGGGGAAGGGGTACTGAGGTGCAAGACGATAGCGCACTGAATAGCATCTACCCCGGGTCAATTTAGCCTGGCGCAAGGTTGAATCGCGGACAGTGGCCGGATCCATCAAGAAATACGCGCCGCCGTGGAAGTAAAGGATCGTGACATCGGAATCCACTTCTTTCATCATCTTTCGATACTGTTCGTCTTCTGCAGCCTCCAGTCGTGGCTCTGTCGATGAGACACCACTTCTGTAGCCGGTCCACTCGGCTTCCACGGTAGCAAGCTCAGGCACGGTGTACGTCTCCTGGCCAGTACCTAGCTCAGCGATAGCCGCACAGACAGCATCTCGCAGAGCGTCTCCATCCTCAGGCGAAGGAAGGGAGACTTTGGAGACCCAGATGGGCCCTTTAATGCCTGGATCTTTTATCGAGACTCTCTGCAAGAAACGTACTGGCCGTCTCATGGATATAATTGATCGTAAAACAACCACGGCCACTTCTGTGGTAAGGTTTTGCTTGGCAGAGTTCTTCGATATCGACAACGCGTTGAACAAGGCCGTCTTGAAGATCAAGGGTAGACGCGGCAGAAGAAGCCTGATCAACGCTTTAGGTGAAGGGTCCATGTCGAGAGAAAACCAAGGCCTTGAATGCCACCTCGTATAAGAAAGAGTCGAACGAAAGACGCCGATTCACATGGGCAGTTTTCATCAAACCTCTGGACCGAGGTTTTTGTTGATAGATGTGATTGGCACGCGTCATAGAAAAGACGTGGTTACGGCTGCCTCACCGGCGGAATAACATCCTTCCGGCCCAAAGAAGCTTCTTTTTTTCCCTTTGCCTTTTGCAGATACGAAGGTGCTAATTGATGAGGTAGTATTGAGGGAAACACGAGCATCAATTCCGCGATCGATCCTAAGATCTTGAGTAGAGGCATGTATGGTCTTTTCTTTCTATGAGTCAATTCAGAGTCAATGGGTCGAAGTCATCCCTCGGCTTGCCCGAATTGTTTTCTTCCCTCTATCCTCCCTCCCCTAAGATTTCCGCAGTCACCTGGACAATGGGTATTCTAGGGATCCAAATTCTCAAAGTCCCAAGCACCCAAAACAGGGCCAAACCTCAAGTATGATTGATGCTTATCCCGCAAAATTCCATCGCCTCGTGACTTTCGCTAACCAAGTCTTGGACCCGGAAGCCATCGATGATCTTGCCCTACGCATCAAGAAAATACATGTGGCATGGGTGGACCTGCTCTTTTCACCCGCTTCTGCCTGGCTTATGCAAGCTGGACATGGATCTTTAATGGGTCTTGTGGGCGTTAGGGCTGGGATACTCTGACCTAAGGCTCTTAACCCCCTATTAGTCTGCTGTTAATGCCTGTTAACCCCCAACCACGGCATTGTGGGCCTATTTTTAACCAAACATTCAATCTCTCTCACTCAAAACGGACAACGCTCATCAACTTCCATCAACCACTACAATGCTCTGTTCTCCCACCAACCCCAAGTGCTTTTGCAGTCGGGTACTTCACCCACGTCGCCAACTCTTGACCCCTATTGGCTTTTCGTCAAATGAACTGCAAAGGGCGTGGACTAATCCCTTTCCAGGCCATCAGGATGATCAACTAATTCTTGGGATTGGCGAGCACTGCCAGCCTCTGCGTCACATTCCCACGATAGCTATTGTTTACACTTTTTGTCCAGGCTGAAACGTTTCCCTGTATGCCAGTCCCAGGGTTGGTGAGGATCCATAGCAACAAATCGGTTGGTTACTCAAACATAACATTATGTGCATTGGATCTATCCACGGTCAAAACCCTTTCATGGACCCTGGAGGTTAGGAGCCCCTCGGCCTCGTGTATGCCTCGCCCTTGGCCGACCATACCCGATGTCTGATGGTGTCCCATGGGCATGGGTCCGTTCCCCTATAGAGATAGCTCGAGATAGTATTTCTAACATCATAACCGAAAATCATCCATCTCACCCTGTGATTCTCCCCCCCACTGCTTACTACTCAAAATATGACTTTGGACGACAGTACATTTGACATTATTACCGGTGATGAATCTCCAGATCTAACGTCTCTGGCAGTGTGGGATCTTTCCTCCCTGTCTGATAATACATCAACACCAGACAGCAGACGCAGCATTAATTGTGGCCATGACTCGAATTCGAAGATGAGCCGTCGCAAAACGCGTACCCTCGCTCCAAACCTCACTCGACGCTCCCACACAAAGTCTCGTGGTGGGTGTTTCAGCTGTAAAAGCAGAAAAATCAAATGTGGAGAGCAAAAGCCCGCGTGTGGGAGCTGTCTCATGAAGGGCATCTCTTGTATCTACCCACCGACTGAGCAACCAATGCGAAAATCAAATCTACCACTGATAAAGCGGAGTCCGAATGTTTCGCCATCATTTTCGAATGCAACCTTCTCGTTGCTCGACATGCGCTTTTTCCATCATTTCCTCACCATTGCCTATCCTCACCTACCGATAGACAATGATCACGTATGGGTGAATGAGATCCCTCAATTTGCGGAGCAGCACGAATATCTTATGCACGCAATCCTATCCCTCGGAGCCTCGCATCTTTCGCGACTCACAGGAGTCGATTATCGCCGCGAGTCTCTGGTCCATCGAGGCCATGCGATCAGCGGACTCAACCAAGCCTTATCCCAAACGTCACGATCTTACGGAGAAAGCGACGCAATGCTCGCCTCCTGCTATGCACTCACTTTCCAAGCTTCATATATGGGCGATGGCCTTGCTGATTTCATTACCATGGTCAGGGGATGCGCTCTAACTACCGAGAAAATCCACCAAGACCACTCACCTACAGCGTTCAACCTGCAGCCCGAGTGGCACTTCAAATTCATGGCACCGCGCCTGATGAACCTACCCGGGGTAGATCCCATCCTTCTCGAAGAAGGCTACATGGCGCTCGAAAACATCCGTCCATTCATCACGACGGATACAGAAATCGACTTCCATGCGGCGCTCATCGATGTCATTGCCTCCCTTCAAGCCTCTTCTGCCTCCGGCTATCTGCAATTCGTTGGTGTCTATGGTGTATGGTATGAGCTCTGCCATGACGCTTTCAAAACCTTCCTCGACCCGAACAATCTCATGGCTCAGCTATTGCTGGCATACTTCGTCGGCGTCCAACTACTAATGGTGCCCCTCGCCGCGGCGGAATATCCCAATCGCGCGGACATCTCACGTGTGCGGGTCCTCTTCGGCACCATCGAGTGGGCAGAAGGTATTTTCGAGCGACTGGAAGCAAGCGATTCAGAGCTCAAGCACCATCTCGAGTGGCCGAAGAGTATTGCTCGCACGGTCGTTGCGGAGATCAATGGTGATGTGCTTCATCTACCGCCAGTGCTGCAATTGCACTTGTCGAACCCGGAGATATCACCTCAAAGTACAATGCTAGGAGGCCTGGCCTGAATGGTGATCCGCTCAGATCACAATTCTTGAGCTCACGTCTCAACGGGGCTGAAGCGACTCAATAGTGCAGCATGCCGGAGGGCTGTGTTCTTCGTGTTCTTTCGGCCAAACTCCGACCCCTATGCTTTCCCTTGGATTTTCAGGCTAGATGGATGACGTTCAAAAGTCGGGACCGGGGTGGGGATATAATGACTGTTGCTTTCCTTTTATTCTTTTTTCACCCTGTTTATTCTGCTTCTTGATTATGACCGCTGCATGAAACCCCAAATGTACTCTAAACCAGTCTATCTACCCAGGTAGTTGTTTTTCCCTGTCTGTGTGTATTGTCTCAGCTCTGCAAACTTGGATTGGAGTTCCTCTCGATCAGGCAAACTCGTTCAGTTGGTAGAAAATATGATTTATGACTTGAATTTCGTGGAATGATTGTGCATGTGACTGTGTCCCATACTGCTTCTTATTGCCGTACGTTGAGGTATCCGTGTGCCCCGACTCTTTCAGATTCTGTTCGCCTTCACGTCTCGTGTCCGTGGAAGGCGTCGGGTAAAAGAAACTGGTTCACATGGTGAGTCACGTTGAACGACCAAGGCCAATGTAAAATCCAGCAATAATACCGTCTGCCTCGAATTAGCAATGTCTCTCCCGCCGTCCTCAATATCCTCAAATGCCTATGACGCCGAACGAAGCACCCCTCTTAACCTAATTCAAACTCGACAGGGTGAAATCTTGATAGGCATGGTGTCATACCACTGTAGAATGCCACACCTCTGTCGGTTCTCTAGCCTTCCAAGATCTCTCTTGACTTATCAAAGCCCTCTTCCGACCGCCTGCGTCCATATAACCCTTGAAATCACACCGTACCCCTCTCCGACGTAGCCACCGTCTTTCCCCGTCCTGTAATTCCCGTGCGCTCCATGGTAATCTCTGTTTGCGCCTTCTGCTGCATCAATTTAACAGGAGAGTACCACCCCAGTACGGCAATCGCAATGAACATCGGCGCGGCTTCAAGGACGTAGAGACACCACTCGTTTCGGAAAGGGTAGCCGTCAATGCCGAGTCCGAACTCGACGACTCGATAGATGGACCGTGTCTGCCATGACAAGAAAGAACATTAGCAAATAGAAACACGACACAAGACATACATATCAACTGGTCAAACCTACCTGGACGAAAAACCCGGCAATCCACACACCAAGTATCACCTTTTTCACGCGAGGGTCGAATCCGATGTCGCGAGATCGATCGACTCTGCGTACTACACGTCCTAGAACGAGAAGAAAGGTGCTGAATGTCGCTAATTGCAGCGCAAGGCCTACTAAAAGGACATTTGTGCCCACGTCTTTCAGGTTCCCCTCCCAGTTTCCAGAACTTGCAATGCCCGAGCCAGAACACTGCGTCAGAAAACTGAAGATATCGGACGTGATGAACATTCGACCAAGCCAGCGAGGAGGAATATGGAAAAAGACCTGAGCCGGTCCCTCGGGCAAGCTGGAACGGATCAGGCGAGTTAAGAGCAGATAGAGCGTGGCGCAGACGAATATGGGACTGATAACGACGTAAGAGGCTGAGGTGGCATAGAGTGGGATTGAGGATTTGTTCTTGATGCTGGCTATGCGGACGCTCCAGCCGGCAGTCGATATCAAGGCTGCAACGAAAAGGGGGATCGTATATCTGTGCTTGATAGGTTGCTTGCGTGCATAGAGGATGGATATGTGGAAGTGGTAAAGGGTCAATAGGAAGTAGAGGACGGAGAAGACGACCGCGAGTGCCGTAGACGGATTGTAGAAGTAGAGATTCAGATCTTCAGTGTCCGTAGCCATTCTGGATGATGAGTGAGAAGGTAGGACTTGACTGGGGCTGACAGGGTTGCTCCGTTGCAATAGGAGAGTCGTGCTGGACGAGGGCAGGATTGGATTGACAACGCTGGAGGTGTGAATTGACACCGATGACTCTAGATATCAGACATCCACTTATAGCTGGGTTAGAGCAGTGACTATAGTAGCAAAAGACCTCCTTGCGGACAACGGTATTGAGTGAAGGTGGGCGAGTATTGAAGTGACGTTCAAGATTATCAAGAGAAAAAGCAAACAGCGAAAAAGAGTCCTGTCGTAGGCAAAAGAGACTCCAACTTCTCAATACGATTGAGGATGGCCTTCATATTGACGGCAATTGGTTTGAGAGAGGGTGCTGCTTTATATACACGTCTGGGCAGGATGGATCTTGCCATTGTGATAGATTGATCTCAGCGAAAATACTGAGTTGTGGAAGTGTCAATCGCTGTAGAGAGTAAAGCATTGGAGGTGAGAAAATCATTGTTCAATATCAAAAGGCAGCTCAAATCTGGTAAGCGAACGTATTCGGGTTCGCATGCAATCAGACTTTTGATCTGAGGACCCCAAGGCGGGTACTTCGTGCTGCTCTATTTCAGCCAAGACTCTGCTTTCCGCCTGCCAGTAACTCCCTCGAGTGAAACTGTGTATATCTTGGTTCATATTAATATTAGAGCTGGATTCGACATTTGTGGAGGATTGACTCGCCATCTGCTATGCGAGCCAGGCAACAAGGAATCAACGGGTTGTGGGGAAGCCTCGTGAAGACTGCCAGAAAGGGAAAACGAAATCATCGTATTGGCAAAGAGCTGCCCAGTTGGCTCAACTCGTGTCTGAGTCCAATCAAGCCCTGGTCAAAGATCTCAGAATATATGATAGATGTGATGGCTTGTGGGACCATGTCGACAGCACAGCCTCAAGACATATTGGATACTGGTACGAAGACCGATGATGCCAAATTCAAGGAGCATCGTCAGTGCCGTATTCGGTCATGCATATCCTGCAGGTCGCTGGCACTGGTGGCTCGACTTATCAGTGGATGGCGGCCTTGTCAGCCCCAGACAGTGAGCGTTCAGGGAGATACATTAGGTATGGATGCACAGCCACATGAGTTCATGGAGGTGCCAGGCAGCCATTATTCCAGACGTAGGTCGACAGTCCAAGATGAAATCTCCCTGGCGTGCTGGGTAGAAGCTGAAAATGTAAGGTGGCTGGCCTTTCAAGTCCATGTTCGTATTCGGATTTCGAGGCTTGGCGGCCGCTGGTCTTGCTCTGCACCATTGCTTCAGATATCCACCGTACTTCCTTCTACTTGTAGAGCAGAATTTGAACCCTCACATTCATTACTGATATGGCGGCAAGAACAACTTACGAGCCAGGGAGAAGGAAGAAATCGATGCAGCCTTCCAGAAATACTTCAGGCTTGTTAGTCCCTTCTGTCTGGTTCTAATTTCGGCTTTGTTTCAAGAAACATTTTCAATGTATCAGATGACGTGCGGGAGGAAGCTCTGCAAAGAGCTTTCAAGCCTAGGTTGTGCATGTTGGTAGGTACCCATTAGGATCTTCTTTCTCGAACAGAAAGGGATGAACCTCACAGTGGAAGGATAAGATCAGAAATACAAGGTCGAATCAATGACCCTGCCCGTCTAGGTACACTCACTTGACCTGCACTCCGGCTGCCAACAGGAGCAGCAAGCAGACTGAGCAGGAGTTGCGATTTACAACCATAAAAATCATGGGAGGATTGGTATGCGACATTGTTCGACCAAACGATGCCAAGCATTCATGTTAATGTCGAGACACCTCCCCTGCTTATCGTGAGTGATCTCAGGTTGAAAGAGTCATTGTGTCTCCGGGAAGAGCGCAATACGACGAGTTCGTTGATTTGATGTTCTCACCTTTCAAGGCTCAAATGATGAAAACGCTCTGGTGGTACTTGACATGGTTTGAACCAGCGCTCAAAAAGCTCTCAATCCCTAAAATTGCCACAAAGAGAAGAATTCTTCACCATCACTGGCTACGAGCCTCTTTCGATAGACCCGTGTGCTAAAAAGATTTGTGACCTGATCTTCTGGTCATGTGGTTCACGCCAAGGAAGAGGAGAACATGGACATCGAGTATATGTACGGCAACTCAAGGCAGTCTTGCTTCGCGAGACGGAAGGAAGTGCAACATAACTTAATGGACTCACATCATTTCCTACTCAGGAAGATCACAGCGAAGAAGTGTTCTTCGAGTGGGAGAACAATTCTCTGGTCGTGCATGTTACACACAAGAAGTTCTAGAGGATTCGCATGAGGGCTGAGCAGAGGTGAACAAGACTGGGTACGTCTATGATAATTCGACCTGTGGCTTTGTTTATCCAAATCCCACCATCATGCTTACTAGATTCTTTGATACTGAAACGCCTTGCACCGGACAAACATTCTGCATGATCCTCCTATGTCGTGTGAAATACATATCTTCGAACTCCTTCACTCCAGATGAATATCGACTGTCAAACTGCGCCTTCCATTCTTGTCTTGCTGAATCTCGGTGGCTGGAACGATGACGATGTTCCTGCCCTCGTCATACTTCTGCAGAACACCCATCACATAACGCCTTGCCCATCTCTGGCTTTGCTCCAGGAACCAGTCGTCCTGACCTGCAGTACCAATACCAACGAACAGATCGGCCCTCAGATTCCTCACCGAAGCCCAATCTTGATGGTGCAAGCTCTTGAAGAAGTTATCCAAGCATAGATTGTTGCATACTATGAAAAGTCTTTTCTTTTCCGCGTATTTAACCAAGGGCTTGACTTCGTCGAATATCTGCCGGCTAACTCGGAGGATACGATTGTCGCAGATTTGATAAGTGGATGTGTTGTGGCAGCATGTGCCGAGACGGTGAGAAGTGCACTGCGTAGCTTTGGATGCGCAATCACAAGGATAGATTGTTCGGGGGCCAATAACATGCGACCAGATCTGGAGCCGAATTTCTAACGGGAGATCCAGAAGAAAGACTCTTGGCTTGGTTTGCTGCTCGTCGGCCATTTCAGAGATGGAAGGAAATTATAAGACTGTTCGTAGAGGAATTTGTCCTTTCATGATACTTGAAGTAAGGCTATCACGGAGAAAATGGAGGGTGGTGGGGCACTCGTTGCTTGCCGATCCAGTAGATGTGACCAGTCATGAGCTATCTCGACAGTCTAAGCGCACAATACGAAGGCTCAACACGAATTGGTCAATGACAGAAGGACAAGGCTGGTGGGCTGGTCTGGCTAAATACCTTAAGTACGAGTGGGAGTACTTTGGGAGCCACGCGACAGCTGGCACGTTGTGCAACACTTGCCAATCCTGGCATTAGCTTACCTTGAGAATACCCTGAAACCCAAAGACCGCCATCGGCTGCTCGTCGTGGCGTGCTGAGAATATTACTTTCATGGTCTGATTCATCATGATGGAACTGTGACCTCAGCCTGCGCAAAGAATTCTGCGGATGTGGTAATCACCCTGGTCAAGCCGCCATTTAGCGAGTACGTAGGTAGGGAGGATCGAGTTGCCGATAACCACAAGCGAACTTCTAAATTCACCTACTTAATCTATATGATAAGCGGAGATGCAGAATTTGCCCCGAGGGAGATGGATGGCGTACCGGAGCATGACAACATTTGAGGACTAAGCATAATCCTCGTCACGAGAATTACTGGCCATGAACGAACTCAAAACGACCCAGATCCTGGCCGAAAAGCCTAAATAGCAAGTATCGGCTTGCCAGGTATCTGAGATGGAAATCGGAAACGTGTAACATGGGAGCCCTTAAGCGGCGGTGTGTGGTTTCCGTTGGGGCTGAATGAGAGTTCGGATATCAGACGGTGTCAAATTTATGCAGGGATCGTTGAATATACGAGATTCTCCCGAGCTTTTCGGGGCTTTCCATTTGTTTTGAAATCAGAAAGTATGTCACCCTTGACTTCCTTTTATTCATTGGAGTTCGCTCTCATTCTTCATTCTTGCTACATCCGCGTCCTCGTAATTTGCACACGATTCAGCTGGATAAGCAACGAGCGCTTCGATCATCCACAGCCACCGGTCCAAGACCTATCCTTGACCAAATCGTGAGGACGACAGGTAAAAGCAAAGATGAACTTCGAGATGACAATTACACTTCAACAGTAATACAGCTTGTTTACCATATATACATCCTTCCCAGACGCCTTGCTAGGGACGCGCTCGTACAAACATGACATCGAATAGACTGAGTTCTTGGAATGGTGAGTCAAAGCGAGGCTTTCACATGCAGGGCTTTCTCAATCTGGCGGACCACATCCTTTAGCTGGGCACTCGTGTCACACGCCGCAAATGTGAACCTATCGAAACGGACCACAACAAACTTTTTATGCTTGACCTCCCCTCCCAGTCGCCATTCGTCGTACCCAATAGGTGGCGGTCGATTCTGGCACAATACGGGATCAGCAGCGAACTCTTCGGCTATAGCGAGTCGAGTAATCGTCTGGTCGTAATGTCGCCCGTTTAATGACAGTCTTGGGTCAATTGACTGGATGAGCACCGTTGCTTCATCTGCGCGGATCAAGCCATTGGAGACGTCTTCGATCTCTTTGAGATCTTTTGTTAGGTCTTCAGTCTCTTCAACGCTTCTTGGTAAGATGAGGAGCTGAAAAAGTCCCCTTTTCTCCGGTGAGAACAACAAATCATCAGTGAACGCGATTTGCTTCGATTTTAGATCGAAAGCATAGACTTGCGGTAAGTTTATCCCTCCAAGCATATTCCCTATAAAGGGGAACCCATTCATATATCGATATTTGGTCATCCCTGCAGCACGGGGGCCTTTCTGGATCTCTCGCTTCCAGCTAGGAACAAGTTGGACCGCCCACATATACCATTCTCGTAGGAAGACCTTGATCGGATCGGCTTCTGTCACATATGCACCATTCACGATCGTGGCTGCAAGGGACTTTTCAAGCTGTTGCTTTCGCTCCATATACCACGCGGTCAGTAGTTTCTCGTGATCAGTATCTGGCTTACGATGGAGGAACACGAGCCTCCATGAAAGTGCCAGCGCATCTCTGAAGCCTGAAGCAATTCCTTGGCCTCCTGAGAAGAGTTAGCAATCTTCAAAGATCGAGAAACCCGTGTTGAAACTCACCAAAAGGAGGGAAAACATGCGCGGCATCACCAGTCAAGATCACTCTACCCTGAGACCATCTGTTGCATGATCTTGCAACAAACGAAAAAGGTCGCGATCGTAACGTTTCGATACAGTCCTCAGGGAATCTGATGGGCTCGTTCAGGCCATACCGACTGCCAGGATGGGTGATGTAGGGAAAGATGATCTTGCTTGTCTCCTCAAAAGTGGCCATCTGATAAGGATCTTCGCCTCGCTGAACGACAAACTCGAATCTCCAGAGTTTGTCCTGATGGAGTCCAAATCTTCCGCAGACCGAGGGCCTTTTGGGGTTGCAGATGAATCTGAACTGTCTGGGGAAGAAGAGGTCGTACACCTCATCCGGAGTGTATCCTAGTCGCCACAGGGGAAAGTTGGGATGCGTCTTCTCGGTCGGCAAGGTGATCTTCCAATTCAGAGCTACCCATGTCTCCTCATATGTCGAGCTGTGCTCTTGTCAGCTTCAGCTGTTCTTGCTGGGATGCACTGGTGTTATACTAACCCTTCACAACGCTCCAGGACAATTCCTTTATCTTCGAGATACCGTTTTCGCACGAATCCAGTTTTGCCATCCGCCCCTACTAAAAACGGAGCTCTCAGGTTACGCGTGGTTCCGTCTGCTGTTTGATATTCCACGGTCACAAAGTCGTCCGTCTCCTGAATCCCTATAACAGTTGACTCTGGTCGTAATTGGGAAGAAGGTATCTGCTCAAGTTTGTCCCTGATGGCTTTCTCCATAGCTGGTTGCTTATGACATATGAAGCCGACGTGGCCCGTTCCACCCTCGGTGGTGCTATAGTCCATCTGGATCAGAGGCTTTTTGTACAGATCTCCAGAGCTGCCTGTGACAAAGTTGAACACCTCCATACCTGGCAGGCCAGTCAGTAAGTTCGACCTGTTGTGATCATTGACAACTTACATGTTCCAATTTCGGTATATATTCGATCATATATGCCGATCGATTGCAAGATTCGAATACCGTCTTCGTCCAGTGCAATGCCTCTTGGATCTGTGGTAATGTCCTTCTCCTTTTCTAGCACCACATTCGGCACGTTCATCAAACCAAGTAAGGCAGATAGTACAGTTCCTGTCGGGCCGCCACCACAGATGATCACGCCTGTCTCCTCGGTCTGCTGAGAAGCCGAGTTCGCCATGATGAACTTGCGCTTAGGGTACGGGGATTTTGGGCGATTCTCTCTATGAGCGTTCGTCGTAGAGAAGTATATGCGGTATCAATGTTGGGTCTCGATTCCTCGATGGGTTTTTAATATGAATCGAAGCCGAAACCTTCCTCTCGTTTGTCAGGTGATTCGAGTCGCCGCAATACCAAGCGCACGCTCCATCCTCCTTGTATTGGATCCCGCTGGAATCTGGGGGGAAGTGCTCAAGGCTTGAACATTGGAGGCTGAATCTCTCCATCTTGAGACCAAAGATGCTGGATGTGGGGCAGAAAGTGACAAGCAGCTCACCTGGAAGACAAAAAGGCTGTGAGGAGAAAATGGTCTCCAAGTTGGAAACGGGACCATCCATTTGTGGGACATAAATACTTCAGTCTCCGAGGTCCCTGTTTCTGGTTGTGGGACCTTTCGATCCTGGATCGTTTTGAAAGCCGGCTATTCCTGATCTTCATCACGTACGTCGGTCTTTCAAATCTTATTTCTGACCGAGCATCTAGGTAAGGACTCTTCCCAGATATCGACAGGGCTTGCACCCAGCTTGTTGAGCTGCCCGGCTGCACACAAATTTTTGAGCTGCTGCTACTGCTTTTTATCTGAGGTGTTCTTGCTTCGCTACCTGTGTTCGGGGCACCTCAATAGTAACTGCACAGGATATACAAATCTATACATACCAGACATTCTTGAATTTTTATTTCATTTCTCAGCAGCCGAGGCCGTGATAGCTTTCGATTGTGAGAACGAGAACAGGTCTTGCCGGGATTATCCAGGCCCGTGCCTCAAACAAGCCGTAATCGATTAGGCGATTCGCCTAGAGATTCAAGCCTCTCAATACTTAGTTGGCTTAGAAACCTGCCTAAGAAGTTACCGAATCTCCTATGACCCCAGATTTTAACTTCATTACCTCTTCCCCACACTTGGTCCGTCCGGATGTCGTTCTTCCTCGGCGCTCCCAACCCATATTCCTGCAGTCAGAAGTTAAGGATAACTCCAAAATATGTCTTGATGCTAGAATATCGACATCTGCATTCTATTCTGATCAAGAACCCGTGATGAACGCCAATGATAAGGAGGCCGCGTCAAAAGCGCCAACACGGGGCCGACGTGGAAGTAAAGTTCGTCAGTGCATGACATGCGGCCGAACATTTGCCAAAACAGATCATCTGGAAAGACACATTAGATCGCATACCAAAGAAAAACCATTCAGATGTACAATATGTGGGAAAAATTATGGCCGTCAGTAGGTGAAAAGATGGGTGCACTTTGCGAATGGACACTAACAGTGCCATGCGTAGCGACACACTCCTACGGCACCAGAAGGATCATTCCGAAAACACGTCAACAAGCGCAATAGAGTTGAAGGAGTATTCAAACGGCTCTGAAGGATCAGAGCTTCAGCAGACGCCTCTCCCCACACCGCCTAGCATGTCGTTGAGTGGTATAGGGGTGTCAACGTCACCCCAGGAAAATCTACAAGTGGACTCTCATGTCAATGCCGGTCTGGATATAAGCTCCCTTGCGTACGATACTAACCCAACGAGCTTTCAGCATGTGCAGAATGACGGTGACGCATCGAAATCCGTATTTCCAAATGCTTTCTCCACAAACGACATTACCGCCAATTTTGAGGTCCCAATGGACGCCTTCAACTTCGACTTCGAATCAAATTATCCTGCCTGGTTGGTCGATGGTGATTTTCATGCCGGAATGTTAGATACACCTCTGGTGACAACCATGGCTGAGTTGAAACCAGGCTGGCACGAGAGCCCCTACGCTACTATCAGCACTGGTGGCAACTGCCACGTTAAATCCGCACCAAGTATGAAACATCTGTGGTTCACACCTGGCCTTGAACAAGCAGAATATATTCCAGCATCGGGAACTGCTACCCCTCTTGCCACACAAGTCGAGGTAGATGACTCTTACCGGCAGACATTACATCAAAGCTTGCTCATCCGCGCACCTCACGAGCCGACATTGCCTTCAGCGGACTTCCTGAATTTATGCGTTAGATCATACTTCTCCAGGTTCCACCCAGTGTTCCCAGTTGTTCATGCTCCTACTTTTCGTCCTTCTAAATCCAACTCTATGGTCTTGTTATCAATATGCTCTGTAGGTAGCCTCTTTACCGGCTCCGTGCACGCCATCAGACAAGGTGTCCAGATCTTCGAACGGCTGCACAAGGCTGTGCTTGCCAATTGGGATAGGCTTATCAACCGAGGCATGGACGAGAAAATCTCACTTATCCAGACGGCAATCATCGGACAGACCTTCGGCCTACTATCTGGAGAACCTAAACATCTTGCAATCGTGGATGCGTTCAATGGTACCCTCATTTCCTGGGCTCGACGGCTCGGATCGTTCAGAACGAAAAAATTACGAGATCTTGATCTCAACCTGTCTTCGAAAGACCTCGACTTACAGTGGCGTACCTGGGCAAAGAATGAAGAGCTCATTCGAATAGCACTGAGTGTTCATATTCACGACGCTGAGCTTGCTAGCATCTTCCACCATGAACCATTCCTTAGGCACAACTCGAGACAGCTACCAGTTGCGGCTTCACAGCAGACTTTTATGGCAAGCAAGGCCGAGGAATGGCGGGTTTCATATCTCAATGACCCAAGTAATTTCAATAACATCGACGTTACTCCTGCGTCGATCGACGCGAATGTGGATTTCGATATCTTGGCCATGCCAAACAACAGCTACTTTACAGCGTACACTGTACTTGAGGGTATTTGTGTGAATATTGCAGAGAATCGTGTTGGCGCCCACTCCACAAAAACAGGGACGATCTCCAACCTTCTTACGACATTTTATTCGAGGTTCTTGCAGGGTGCAGCTCCATGGGAATCAGATTCCATGGACATGACCATTCTTTGGCACTCTGCATACATGTCCATATGTGCAGACTTTGACCTTCTGGAAAGAGCAATAGGTAGAGATGGTGGCACACTGTCAAACGAGGATCAACTTGCCGTTACTGCGTGGGCAAACTCGAAACAAGCGCAGAGATGTGTCATTCACGGCACGATAATTCAGAAGAAACTCGAAAATCTGCCTCTTGGTTTTGAGCCTGCGATTCATGTACCGCGAGCCATGTTCCGGGCTGGAATCGCATGGTTCTGCTACACGAGATTCGGTATTCGAGCGGATGCAGATCGGACGATCGTGCCCGATAATCTCGACTATGCAGAATTCAAGCTGGTGGGTGTCAACCCTGCAGTGCTGTTATTCCAAGCAAATGGATACAAGCATGGGCGACCTAGTGCGATGGAGATCAATGCAGCCCTCTGTGGTCTTACTGATCTTTTGAGACGTATTGGGCACTGGGAAATAGCTCGAAGATTTGCTGCCATTCTGGGAGCTTTGCTTCACAACGAAGCTGGCCAACCACCGTGAGTACCCCAATGTCTGAAGTTTCTTGCCCGGTCATGAAGACTTGGAGTCACCAAGGGGATAATTCGACTTGTATTGCATCCCGCCTAACCACGGGATTCCCTATCGCCGCCGAATTGCATTACTAGTCTGGTTCGTCCGAAAGGACTCTCCTATCCACAACCAAGTCACCTGTCCCAGAAATTTCCAGGCCGAGATTTTTCGAAACGACAATCCACAACCTTCTATGGTTGTGACATTCTCAGATATGCACGAATACTGCATATCGTATCGAGTCTCTGATCTTTGCGTTAAGATCTTTCCCCCTCTTTTCTGATATACCTCCCCCAAGATTTCATATAGCTTGTCCACGAAGAGCACATCCTATCAGTCAAGAATTGAGAGGTTTTCCCTCTCCACCCTCTCGAGGGGGTCGCACTGGTGCCGACCATGATGTTCTCCTGCGAACCATCATTTCGGAGCAGTCTACTGAGCGACATGAACAAACTTGATTAGTATTCAAAGCAAGGGAGTTCTCAATGCGCCTGAATGTTGGTGGGAGATCTACATCCACCTCGAAAGCGGCAGCCGAACCACTCTTGACCCTGAATGATTGATTCCAGGGGGAACGGTGTGAACTGGATACTATTTATTGATCATTCTCGGTACGCGTGATTCAGCGCGTATGGAAGGTATCAATGATTCCTTTAAGGCTGATTGATGTCATAAGTTAACAACGCCTCTGTCAAGAGACGAGGGTTGTCATCGATTGATAAGGAGCAAATCATTTACTAGCCAAGGAGGTGGTCTAGCAGCCTTGCTCAACTGATCGGAGGGAAGGAATACCACAGTAAGATCATGTTTGGACTGTAGTCTGCATCCTTCATGGATGGACCGAGACTTCGCAACAGCCAAAAGCGATCCCTTTGGTAGCTTTAGTTAACCCTAGCGCATGCAGTGCCCGAGGGGCTGTGGATCCTCCATCCTCAGGCGCATGGCAGCTGGAGCAGACTTTTGAGGTGGAGTGAACGCTCGGTGCTCGGCCGGTCATCATTGACCTGGCAGGATTTCCCCGAGCGGTGCAAGGCACCTCCTCCGGACGTCAAGGCCATATCGTAAGTTGGAAACGTTCCACCGAGAAATTATGGCAGACCAAGCTTTCCTTGACGTAATACATATTTTCTTCGCTTTTTGGAAAAGTAGGTCGATCTGATGTATGAACCATGAGACGAAAGAAGGGATGAAAGAACGCGTACGTACTCGTACGTGCCACCTTTGAAGGACTTCGTAATATCTTACATAACCGAACCATCAGAATCTGGAGGTATATAACCGAAAGGACAAAACACTAACTAGTTGGGGAGGCGTTGCTCCTCAAGTCACTCGTTCGGATTATGATTACCTAGGTACCGCCGATCAATTTGTCCTTATTTTTGCTCTTCTGTGCGTCAGTACTCGCTCGGCACCGAGCAAGGATTTCTCCAATCTGATCAACAGGAACGACTTCCCAAATCCAAGTGCACGCTGAGACAGAGTGAGCGATGACTTATCGTACGTGGCCAAACCATAGTACCCGGTCCAATGGTCTGATTGTCAAACCAATACGACAACCTTCTCACAGCACCTCGTGGGAGAGGCGGTTCAATTGTTTGTGGCTGACTGTGCCTACTAATCTTTTCATGACGATACCGGGGTACCATGACCTCCAGCTTGATGCCAAAGGCAAAGCAGCCGAGGCTCTCAAGGTGGTTGAACCTTAGCTGAACCACCTAGGTCGCCTAAGTCTCAGAATACTTAGAGCACAAGATGCTTCGAAGGGTTTCTGGTAGAAATATCAGCTGTCCGACTTGTCAATTCTCTTGCCTTTGAGCACCTAGCTAGTGCAACTCCCAATAGTGTGGTTATTATTTGTCCGAGTATTCAATCGTCGTCGTCGCATAACGTCGACACGATGTACATCACATCAGAGGCCAAAGGCCTTCCCATTCCTACCAAAGACCTATTATCATGGATCTTCGACGACCCGAAATATGATCTCGACAAGCCTGTGAGGTGAAATCTGAACGACGAATAATGCACATCACTGACCATTTGACTAGATATATATTGATGCTGCTAACCCATCTCGATCGATCTCCCATCGCCAAGCAAGGACGATAGTTCGCCAGTTGGCCGCGGGATTCCGTGCAGCTGGCCTGAAGCGGGGCGACACAGTCTGTCTGCATTCTTTCAATGATGTTAGTCCGGGACTTACTTACGAATGCGCTTGGGAAGTTTTCTAATAACATACTCCAGATTTATTATCCTACGGTAGTTCTAGGGATCCTCGCGGCGGGAGGTATCTTCTCAGGCACGAACCCTTCATATACGCCAACAGAGCTAGTCCACCATATTAAGACATCGAGGAGCAAATTCATCATCGCGGAGCCAGAGATCCTGTCGTCAGTTCTCAGCGCCGCGGAGACATGCGCCATCTCAAAGTCGAACATCTGGATCTTCGATGCGCACGACCAGGAACTCCCGAGTGGCTTTGGGTCCTGGAGGAAACTCCTGGGTCATGGTGAGGCCAACTGGTATCGTTTTGACTCCGAGTCCGAGTGCAAGAACACAGTGGCATGTCTGCTGTTCAGCTCCGGAACGACCGGTCTCCCCAAAGCCGCCCAACTCAGTCACCACAACCTGATCGCCCAACACACTCTCGCTTTTGAGTCTTTTCCTAGGTCGTATGACGTTCGACGTATATTGGCCCTTCCCATGTTCCATGCTGCAGCCGTCCCTTCAAATCACTTTACACATCTCCGTGCAGGTGATGTGGGCATAGTAATGAAACGATTCGACCTCGAAGGATTCCTCAAAGCCATTGAGAAGTTCCGGATCACGGACTGTATCATGGTCCCACCTATGGTGGTTGGTTTGGTCATGAGTCCTGTGACGAAGAATTATTCGTTGAAGACTATCAAGCAGGCATTGTCTGGCGCAGCACCTTTGGATAAGGGCACCCAAGCGCGACTAGCCGCTTTGCTTGAGAAAGATGTCCCATTCACACAAGTCTGGGGTATGACGGAACTCACTTGCATCGCGACCATGACTGTTTATCCTGAAAACGAGACGACTGGAGCAGTGGGTCGGTTGCTTCCGGGCCTTGAAATGAAGATTGTGAACGATGATGGAAAGAATATCACCGCGTATAACAAACAAGGGGAATTGTGTGTTCGAGGACCCACGGTCATCAAAGGATACTTAGCCAATCCTACGGCCAATTCGGAATCCTACGACAACGAGGGGTTCTTCAAGACTGGAGATATCGGATACTGTGATGAGAAGACGAAATTGTGGTATATCGTCGATCGGAAGAAGGTACGCCGCATTTCCCTTGATTCTGACCCCCTCATGAACCACATCCGATACTTCCTCTCAATAACTCACCTCTTATTAATACTCTACCAATAGGAACTAATCAAAGTCCGAGGCTTCCAAGTCGCGCCACCAGAGATCGAAGCAGTACTACTCGGCCATCCACACATCGTTGACGCCGCCGTCATCGGCGTACAGAAATCGATTCATGACTCGGAACTACCAAGAGCGTATATTGTGCGACGACCATCGCCCGAAGGAGCCGCACTGACGGAAGAAGTGGTCAAGAACTACGTGGCAGAGAGACTGGCCAAGTACAAGCGACTGGAGGGAGGTGTGGTGTTCCTGGACGCAATACCAAAGAACCCGAGTGGAAAGATTCTGAAGCGTTTACTGCGTGAATTGGTGAAGAAGGAACAATCGAAGCTATGATGTTTCAGGGAAGGCACAAGTTTCTCCTTAAGGTGGTCGTACGTATATACCCAGAATTAGAATGAAAACGCACGCCGCAAGATGACCTTCATGTGGCGGCATACTCTGTATTCATCTATTCCTGGATTGACTTCTATATCATTCGCTACCAGTGTACTCGAACAGCTGGATACTCGTTCACTCGATTACGGCTTACTTACTTTCCGTTCCAATTAGTCCGTATGCCTCGTCGCCCTGTTGTTAGGGGCACAATCTATTTGCCCAGTAAGCCAACAGCATTCTCTTTGAAGATCCAGCCAATCTCCGTCTGATTATATATCTGTGGCAATGTAGTGTTCATGTCGCCTGTCAAGGCAATCGCACCCACCGGTGCTGTGAATGCAAAATCGCTACCGTAGAGAAACTTGTTCGGGCCGAACAATCGACTCATACTCCAGATCTGACTCGACATGCTGAAGCCCGCAAGATCGAACCAGAATTGCTTCTGCAGCAGAGCTGTGGCGTTCGCGAGCGTGTAGGGGACAGCAGGCCGGTCAGTGCCAACCTTCGCGCCCAGTAGAGATGACGTGCGTAGGAATCGCTCGAAGACCGCGGGCAGCACGCCGCCGCAGTGTGGGATGATCCATCTGACGTTGGCGTACTTCTGCACCGTGCCGGTCAGGATTAGATCGGAGACGGTGCGCGCGGCGTCGAAGAAGAATTCTAGCACAGGCGCTTGATATGCCCACATCAGTGGCGCGACGTAGTTGAGGCGAGGTGTGCCGGTAATGTTTGCCGGAGCGTCCTTCGGGCATGGATTGGTTGGGTGGATGAATATCACTGCTTTCCGGTCGTTGAGCTTCTTGTATACTGGGGCCAGTTTTGGATCGCCGTGGTACAGTCCCCAGTGGTTTGATAGGAAGACAAAACCGTCGGCATCTAGTTCGTCCAGTGCCCGGTCGATTTCGAGGAGTGCTGCGTTGATATCAGGGAGTGGTAGGGAAGCGAAGAACCCGAATTTGTTGGGATACTTCTGCTTGAGGTCCGATGTGTAGTTGTTGAACTCCCGCGTGATGTGAATGTTGGTGGCTGTGTCGTTCGGGTAGAGATTTGTTCCTGGACTGGAGCAGCTCACGTAGCTTTTCTCGATGTTGTTTGCCGCCATAAAGTCAAGGTGATAAGATACGTTCCAAAACTGTCACCGAAAGTCAGGAGCCTTGCTCAGTAGTCCTAAGTTATATCGAACTTACAGGTGGAGCGGCATTTCCGTCTGGCTATGAAGCATTTAGTACTTAACCCTATCATGACGGAACATTGGACGAAACTCACACCTGGAACCCAACCAGCATCAATGACTGCTTGTCGATACCAATCTGGGTAGACGTGCGAATGAGTATCAATCTTCGGCGTGCTGAGGCCGGTAAGTCCACTTGCCGCCTGCACGCAAGTGCAAGCAAAGATGCTGGCGACCGAATAGCACGTTGACTGAGAGAACTTCATGATTGATAGGAGCTTTGCGTGGAGGCTTATGATATCAGACAAGGTTTACTTGTGGAGGCCAGTAAGGTTATATATCCGGTATGAGCTCCATACCGAGCTGTTGTTCACAATTGCCTCATTCGCTTGGTTGCGGGGAGTGGTCGGTCTCCATCTCGCTTGTGAAGTGTTGTTGACAGTTGCAAGTCGACGGGATCCAAGGATTATGCTTTCATCTGAGTGGTACTTGGACGGGCCTCGGTAGTCCGGCATCAGTTGCCATGATGAAGGGTTTTGGGAAGACTTCTGCTCGACTCTAGAACAGTAGCGATCTAGCATATCTGCCAAGAGAGGAGAAAGGGACATTTGAGATACATTTGAGACGGGGCTGCTGGGCGTCCCACAGGTCAAAATGTAAGGTTGTAGAGAACAACCTGGGGAGGCACCAAGCAATCTGGGGATAGATCGGTTTCTAGTTAGTCACGGCCCCGCATATCCCTCTCTACAGATTACGGAGTGGGAGTCCCCATCTTCTTTGGCAAATCATCGGATCCGATTCTTTGGAGCGCGAGCACCTTTGTTGCTGTTGTTGCTCTGGATAGCAAACTATTGTAGGTGGTGGTGGATAAGACAGCGCTTGATGTATTTATCCGTCCACCCACCCAGCCACCGCAAGTATTTCAGAGCAGAGGCAACGCAGGATTTCGGGCTCTGTATTGTGGGGCAATCCCCACGTCATGGGGACAAGATGAATCTTCACATGACTTCGACCAGTAAAGGATTCACCATAACCTATGGGCTTAGAGCTGATGATTTGTTTTGTGGAAGTAGTCTCTTGTTCAGCTGCTGCAAAACTATTTTACTTGTGTTGAACAACCTGCTAGGCCGTCAGCTATCCAGAGAAATGTGCCTTGGACAGATGTTTAAGGTGGGTAACACATAACCCCGCTGCAAGGCTGTCAACTGCACGGCTGCTGCCAGGATCCCTGGGCAAGCGACGTGCCTGACGAAGCCGCGAGGCTCTTCCTCCCCAGGCTATGGACATGTCCGAAGATACAGCACTCCCGAGCTGTTATTTCTACGGGTACTGAATTCTTCTTGGGGTACCAGCACATGTAGACATGACAACCCTCTGCAGCGGGTCGTCATATCGGGCGTCATCGTGCTGATTGGTCGTCATTGCTGACATATGCGTTCGACATGAGTCTGGCCAAGAACCATAAAGCTAACAGCGTTTCTCAAACGTCCTGTTGGCTTCAATCGCGCCGTTCTACATAGTGCTTTTGTGGTAACGATCGAAACCTGAGATGCCTTCCGACAAGATCTCTTCGCCCATACTGGGAAATATCGCTGAGCTCTGCATCGTCTCTAGCGATGTCTATGCCACGATCGATGGGTTCACCAAGATCGGCGTAGGCCCTTTCCAAGTATTCGACTTCACGTCGTCAACTGTCACAGGACAGGAGCTATATGGGAAACAAGGCGCAGACCTCTTCCGTATCAAAGTGGCATTCGCAAAGCAGAAATCTCTTGCGATAGAGATTATGCAGCCAACTGGAGGCAATTCTCCGATGCAGGTCTATCTTGATCAGAATGGAGGACGCCAAGGTGTGCAACATGTTGCATGGGACATGGGTGATTCGCCGATGGAGGAAAGACAGCGAATCATGAAGGAGAAAGGATTTGAACCTGTTATGCAAGGGAGATGGCTGGGGAAGAAAGGAACTTGTCATTTCTGCTTCTTCGATACTCTAGAGAAAGGTATTGGGACTATGTTTGAGACGATCGAGTTTAGTGGCGATTGGGAGGATCCAGAGCATGAGTGGTATCCGCACGCGCCGGAGGAAGGAATTGAAGAACGGGCAAGTTCAAAGAATGATAGTTGAGCATAACAACAACTTCTTTCATTGCAAAAGCACGCCTGGAGGATGGAAAGATGATGTGTGATGACATTAATCAGAGATACCGATATCATTGTAAGATATCCACATCTTCACGGTCTAGGAATCTCTCCCTGGACATGCGCAGGGAGTTCGCCGTTCGATGCCTTGACAACATCTTCGAAACTATCATCCGGTTAGTAAGCATTTTCAAGCATTTTCAATGACCACGGCAACACTTACGCAGATTGAAACATGATATATATCATCTCATCATTGTAGACTTTCCTCGTGTACTCCGCCTCCTCATGACCAACCTTGATCGTCTTCGTTCCCCGTCCAGCGCAAGCAGCATCAGCCATGAGCTGAGCCTGGATACACCGATCCATGGCCCCAAACAAGAAGGCTGCACCATCGACCGTCTTGGCCACAGTCAGGTGGCCATGATTCTGCAAAATCAAACCCTTGGTGTTTCCTAGGGCATCAGCAATGTGTTGACCTTCGTCGGGATTGAATGCGATACCACCAAAGCCGGAATAGATTCCATGGTCGTTGTAGAATCTGCGCAAAAGGGTAAGAAGGTTCATTCATGAACAAAGTCATCGGGATTGACAATCACCTGCATGCATCCTGGTTGATAGGCTCAAGCTTACAACCAATAGCCGAGAAAGCCTTGCTTGGTACCGAATGGCAGTGAACCGCAGCCACAACGTCAGGTCTCGCCTCATGAACAGCGGAATGAATGATATATCCTGCTGGGTTGATCGAGTGCATGTTTCCGCCCTCTTTAACCTCTCCGTCTTTGCTCACAAGCACAAGATCTTCAGGCTTCATGTGGCTAAATGACTTTCCATGTGGATTGATCCAAAAATGATCTGTCATGATCGGATCCCTGACGGTGACGTGCCCACCAGCGCCTTCGTTGTTGTAGCCTTGGTAGCCCAGCCAGCGGAGAGCAGCGGCGTGGTGAAGCTTTCGGTGCGCTCTCTCGGCTTCTAGACTCGCGAAAGTGGGAATTCGGATTCTGAAAACATCTTTGGCGTTGGGTCCGCCGACTTTCTGATATGCTCCATAGATGAATTCGGATGGTGGCGGCGATTTGGTTTCACGGAAATCGTTAGATACGATGGCGGCTGGGGATCTGCTTGTTGTCGCAATGGATCTATGGTGCTTTAGGGCTGACGGGAGTCGGGCTACCTTCAGTGGCACACGTTTGGTCATCCAGACACGGTACGTAGACATCGTGAAGCGTGCATGTAAAGAATACTAAATTGTGATCGCGGTTTCGCACACGTACGGAATCATTGATGATACTCGGGAGACCCTTCAATGAATTCTCCAAAACGAATTTCTCTTGTAAAGTCCCATCTAAAGGGCGCTCGATGATGCAGCAATAGTCAGAGGATCTCCGCAATGTTGGAGTATCGATCGGTATTCAAATTGAGGGGGAAGAGAGGAGATCTCGGTATGCTAGCCCGTGCTGACTCCAACGATCGTCCTCGGAACGTCTCTGGGCTTCTGTCTGGGGTTCGATGGATCGCGAGGGAGATAAAACGAAAGAAAATTAGCACCTCTACGGGTAGCTGTTCCGATACGGGCACGAGAGCCGATGCGACAAGCCGCCTAGAATAAGATAACTATGGCACGTGGAGAATGCGATGTGCCTAAGAAGCAACACGTAAGATCAAGTTACAACTTAGCATAGCTTCCTGCTCACAGAGCATCCCCTAACCGAGGAATGACCAGTCGTAATCCTTGATCCAATCTTCCATCCTTGTTGGTTCTTGCTCCAGCTTCAACTGCTTGAGATATCAGTACATGGTTTAAGTCGATTCATTCATCTTTCTCACCTCAGTAATGATGGTTGTACCTCCTTTGTCGCCGCCAAAGTAGCCTATTTCCTCAACATACTTCCACATCTCGGCCAATTCCAATCCAAGGCCAGGAGGAGACATCAGGTTGGCCCAACTGTCAACGCTTGTCTCCTCGAAATACACCTTACCTGCAATCTGCCGATTCAGCAGATCGATCCACTGTCTGTGAGTCGTATAACGTGCAAATCCAGCAAACTTGCGTACTCTGGACTCTGACGTCGAAGGTGGGAGTGGCTGGCTAGCCAGAGCTTTGACAAAGATTGCTGGATCACGATTTGGGTCGATAAATGGGACTGGAGTGTCAATCGAATTCGGCATAGTCACACGGTATCGACCATCTGGTTGCTATGAACGGAATTAGCACCTTAGTAATAGCTGGGGAAGAGATTCATACCTTCCAAGGCCGTAGTGGGGATTGCCGCGTGATGTTAGTTGCAAACATTCCTAGCTGAAGTTCGACAGTCCTTGAGACAAGCTCTGGAAAATCCGATTCCAGGTAATTGATGATCTCTGCCTTGCTATCAAAGTGATGAATAGTCTCGAACTTTCCACCACTAATCTCTCGTGCGGGCGAGAGACCAGAGAAGATGAACAATTCGATCGTATCTTTATTTGCAGCTACTGCATGGACGAGATTCTTCCCCTCGACTTTCTCAAGTCTAGAAGCCTCAGTTATGACCGACTTAACTCCATCCCTGAGCAGTTGTGGTAGCAAAACTCCTCTGCATTGATTAGTGACAGATTGTGTTTCGAGGGGAATTGGACTGACATGTCGGCTGTGACACCGTAGATAATACTAGCACCCTGAGGAATAATTAATGCCTGGAAATGGAGCAGGAGATAGGGCGATACGAACCTTGAACGCGTTGACTAATGAGGCTTCGTCAAAAAGATCCCCCTTTACCACATCTACTCCTCGAGTTTGAAGAGCTTGGGCTGAAGTAGACTTGAGGTCTCTCACGACAGCGCGGACGTTGAAAGAAGGATCTCCCAGAAAAGCATCCACGACAGAACCTCCTTGCTTTCCAGTAGCTCCGAATATCACTACTGTCTTTGCCATTGTCAAGAGATGTATCTGTGTTGAAGCTTGAGGTTAGGAACGATGTAGGACAGCTTGTATCAGTGAAATATGGGTCGAGAATATCAACTAGAGATATATATACCACCTTCGATCACATGAGCACCAGAATCATAGGCTTCAACTTGGACTGCCGCATCTATGCACATCAAAGTCGGTGTAGTATGCAGCCTTGTCAACTCTTTGCACCAGGCATGGAACGTGCATATCGACCGTTCAGCATAAACTTGCATCATCTATGCCGAGTATAGACTTTGGCAGTCAGCACAGACGAAGAAGCTGATTAATGTGGATCACAGCATGAGAGAAGATGGTGGTCCACTAAGAACTTAGATGTGCCGTCCATGAGTACCTAGGTGGTTTGCCGCATCACGCATGATTAGTATTGGTTATGGTATGGACTTCCTGCCGTGCCAAGTGAATGAGAGCAGGCTATGCATAGACATCTGACATGAAGATGTTGCCAATATCGTATGGGTTGAGTAGATCATGGCATGATATCGTGGTAGAAGCCCTGGTGATACAACGAATAAACCCATCCCAGGTAGAGAACACGATCAACCTGAACAGCTTGATGATCAAGTTTCTTGGTGCTTAGTTAATAATTTATCGGCAGCACCCAAACAGGAAACCCAGCCGGATGTCCAGGTGCAGTGTTCAACGACGGCCAACCGAATTTAGGAGCATTGATCTGTATTGGAATGAATCCGCTGATTGCCCATGCAAGATTGATGCATTAGTATGTACCTGAGTCGAGCATTGTTCTCATTCCATTGGCAGCTAGTGCTCTTGGACCATGGGTAACACCACAGGCACCGTGGTGACTTCATTACTTGCTGCCCTCGTTGGCTGATCTGCAATCGCGCCATGTCTCTGAGAAAGACAAGTCCTTAGCGAACTGTGGTAATTGCAGCGTCATAAACTAGCCCTATCAGGTGCAGGATGTCGTTCCTCGTTGATAGTGCTTTCCTCCTTGCAGTGGACTTGCTGCGGACTTTGCATAGCAGGTTTCCATCCGACAGGAACACCGTCATCAGTAAATCGTCCCCATTCGAAAAAACCGCACCCTTCGCCTCCCTCTGGTTTGTTGCCGACCTGACACATCCACATATATCGGCCCCGATTGTTTTTCTGCTTCTGCACACATTTCAATACACATGGAACACCACACTTGCATTTTGGAGTGTACCGCGGACGGAACTCCTCTCTATACCAACGGTAAGTGATGTTGATGCGTTTGTTGTCAGTCAGTGGGTGAGGAGTAATGGCATGTGCTGGGGCAATGCTATGCTTCCATTCCTCCTGCATTTCAGCATGCATGACCAGTAAAGAGTTGTGAGGAAGATGAATAGCAATTTGACCGGATATGTCCCCTGCAGATGAATTGGGTTTAGAGTTGGGAGTGGGCTTGATGCCATCTGTGGTCGACTCCTCGTCCTTGGGAACAATCTTTCGCACTCGGAACTCTCGGGCCACACCCAGGCTTAAACTTCCAATTATTGCTCGTGGGCCAAGGTAGGAAAGTTGATCTGAATGATAACCTACATGTTGAGCTCCACCGTCATAACAATTGACAAACGCGGCATTGGGCTGCCATGATTTGGGAGTTTGGTATTTCAATTTTTGGCTATCGGGGTAGTAATCACGAATTCGGGTGGCAACCTCTTCATTGACAGCATCCTTCACGATTTCACTGACCTGACGCATAACTGGCAAGATCTGACGGACATCCATCAAGTCGTTACCATTGTAGTAGTACTCACTCTTCTGACGTTGCAGTTCTTCAAGATTGTCCACATAGAAGCAAGCAGTGTGTGGTGACTTGACAACATTGTCAAAAAGTTTGAATGTGATACTCTCGTAGCTCGGGACTTCGACCAGCAGTTCTTCGAGTAGGGCATTTGCCAGACTGGTGGGAAGGAAGTTGTGGATAATAGAGCATGGAGTGTGGTCTGCAATGTCTTTGGGAGTGTAAAGATGAAGGGTCTTGCCCTTCCTCGTCAATGGCTGCAGACTGGCTTTTGATGGACTTTTGTTCCCCCCTGAGAGCCCGAAGGGAAGGGCACTCTGGATTCCAGGAATTGTTTGCCGCCGCTTCAAGTTAGGTGGAGGACTGTCACTGGTCGCAGACAAGACAGCGATGACATTATCGACAGAGCCATCACAATCAAGAAGGAGTTCAAGCAGATCAGCTTGTGGTTTTTCTGGATTTAGTGAAGATAAAATAGCCAGCTTGACATCTGTTGACTCTTCCTCTTCTTCTTGAGACGTAGAATTTATTCTCTTAGCCTGCGGTGGAGGGGAGAGGTTTGTCTGAGGTCGCTTCCGAGAAAGATACGCGTCCATTTTGATGTGACGATGGAGATTGACAGGCAAACGGACCTCTGCTGGGAGCCATATTATGCTTGGACTATCCCAGATCAACCAAGTGATGAAGTTGGTGGTGTCGCGAGTAACATTGATTGTGTGAGCAGAGTCGCGTGAATACGCGCGGTGACTTTTGGCTTTGCCACTTGACGTGCAGGTAGCTTCAAAGCAGCGGCGTGGGCGTCATTTGCCTGGAGTGTGCCCTAAGATCTAACCAGTACAGAGGGTCTGAGCCACGACTGACGCCTGGAGATGCCTAACTTGATCTCCGAACTGGCTGGCGGCCGTCCCTCGGCCCACTTCCTTGTGTAGGCGGCTGCGGTCAAAGATGAAGGCACGCGGGGAGAAACCTCGGCTTGAATTCCAGCAGCCCACCAGTCGTCCACATATCGGGTTGCAAGGCATTCATCAGTTTTCCCCATGTCATCGCCTCACACTGCCTCACGAAGATGCGCAAGTCTAGTGACAGATACATGATCACGGATAGCATGAACCAAAGTCAATGATCCATGGCCTGACCTTCCAGATAATCACTGCATCATGACCGACAACGTCCGCATTGCCTACTCTTCAAATCATCCATCATGCTAGAATATCGCACCCAGGGCTTTCAAGGCTATGCTGTCAAATACTCTCCTTTCTTCGACAATCGGATAGCTGTCGCTGCTTCAGCAAATTATGGGCTTGTCGGAAATGGACGCCTTTATATATTGGAGTTGACACCCCATGGTATCCAACCATTAAAGAGGTACTTGCAACCAAAGACTCATTGCATGACATGTGCTAACTAATTAGCTATCCCACGCAGGACGCCCTTTATGATGTTACTCACTCTGAGGCACATTCATTCCATGTCTTGACTTCTTCTGGGGATGGATCTCTTCGACTCTACGACACCTCCCTAGCCCCCGATTTCCCCATTGCAACATTTCAAGAACACTCACGAGAGGCTTTCTCATGCAGTTGGAATCTTACATCAAAAGCCACATTTGCATCTTCTTCGTGGGATGGATCTGTCAAAATATGGAACCCCGAGAGACAACAGAGTCTTTTGACTTTACCGACTCATTCCTGCACATATTCTGTTCAATGGAATCCACACACCGATGGCATGTTGAGCGCAGTCTGTTCAGACAGCTATCTTCGAGTCTGGGATTTGAGAACTCCGGCCAGTGCCAGTAATCATCTCACACTTCAAATCCCAATTCATGCACCTCCAATTTCAGTCGGGCTTGGGAAACCACAGCCTACGTTTCCACCAGCCGAAGCACTCTGTCATGATTGGAACAAATATCGAGGCACCGTGTTGGCCACAGGAGGTGTTGATAGGATAATTCGAACATTTGATATTCGACAACCCAAAGGCCCACTTCAGTTATTGCAGGGTCACAACTATGCGGTGCGGAAAGTTGCATGGAGTCCACACCTGCCAGATTTACTGTTAAGTGCCAGTTACGACATGACATGTCGAGTGTGGACAGATGGGGGTGATGGCAGTCAACCCGCTCGGGAATTGGGAAGCATGGGACGACACAGTGAATTCGCGACTGGTGTCGACTGGTGTTTATTTGGCAGTGAAGGCTGGGCCGCCAGTTGTGGATGGGATGAACGACTTTGTGTATGGGATGTTCGATCCTTCATGCATCCTTAATTCGAATTTCAAACTGAGGGTGCATTCTTAATGGAAATACCCAGGACTACAGCATTGGATAGCAAGTCGTCCCTGTACTTGAAAATACACCAACCATGAATGACAATCTCAATGCTTTGGCAGAAGTACAAAGCCTACCTATTGACAGATGCAACAAGGCTGATTCGAATTGTGCAAGTCGCCGCGTGTTACACGTACACCTGCGGATACATGCCCCTGGCGTATATTATATGCGGATATATCCACCAATGAGTGACCTGAGAAGCTATCTTCTGGTATGTGGGTCAGCTCATCACCAAACATCTGTGATCTCCATTGTTGTCTTCATGCTCGCTTCCCTCTCACTGATAGGTTCGTACAATCCTCAATCAAATCTTGCTTTTGGGTCGAGGTACCTTGTACGGACCAAGTTATGCTTTGGGATAGCTCTATGAACATCCTTTGTCCCCAAGCGCCATTCTGGGGAAACTCAAGATGATCCCTCCATTCACGGAATTGACAATCTGTCACAGGGATCCGGTGCTTCACCTTTGTGATCCTCGTGAGCTCTACGAGGTTGGACGAGGTCAATGAAATGGGGCAGGAGAAGCATGTTGAACAAGGGAACCTTTACTTTGTGTCGCCGGTTCCATCTATGGATGAAGGTTTGAAATGCCGCGTCCCATGGACAACATCAATGCTAGAAGAATATCTACCTGACCAGGGAGGCCGGTAGGTATATTTACTCTCGTGTCCTAGAACTCTTCTTGCTCGTTCTTCTCTTGCGACGGCTTGCCTCACTTCTTGAGCTATCAAAGACACAACTGCTGGCTAGTCCGGTCTTTCTCACAATCGGTGTAGGTATCACTGTTTGTTTCCACTGTCATTAAATCTTCATCCCTCCGCACGACTGAAGAGACACCTCCTCTCTCGAGACACATTTAATTTCACTCAGAAGCAATCATGCATCTCATCCAGGTAAACCACCATCGCCATTGTCTGATCCACTCCAAAATCCACTCCGGAATCTCACTCAAGCTGCGATCAAACAGGCTCTCACCACGCTTATCACCCTATTCACACCAGCTCTCTGCCTCCCACCATTCATTCTCCGATCAGGCTTTCCCTCCCCGTCACTGTACCCAACCGAATACGACCCGTCAACAGGAACAGACCCGGCCTCTCTCCTGATCAAACGCCAAACCCAGACCTGCGCCTCCACCTGCGGCACAGTCTGCTATTTCCAACGCACCGTGGACGCCGCCGTGTCCGAAGGGTTCGAGCTCTTCCAAGCTGGAAAGACAGAGGGCTCTGGAGACTATCCGCACACGTTCCGCAACGACGAGGAAATTGAACTCTCCGTGCCCGGCCCGTACCAGGAGTTTCCGATCTTGAATGACTTTCAGGAATATGACGGTGGAAGTCCTGGCCCCGATCGCGTTATCTTCAATGAAGACGGAGAGTTGGCCGGTGTGATTACGCATACTGGGTCGCAGGTCAGGAACGGATTTGTTACTTGTACTTAGAACAAAGTGGTGGATGTTGGACGCTAGTGTGGATTGTAACCTCAATCACCTGAGCTGAGGAAAGTGTGGCTTTCAACGACTTGCGCCCCAATTGTCTGGCTATGTGTGTTTCTAAATTCTATGTGAAAGTTATGATGCACTTCCTCTCAAGACATTATTGGTGTGTGTCTCGTGGTCTATCATCAGCGTCGTGTCTCCCTATGTCAAGCGTCGCTGCGAAAGGTGATCAGGATGCTGACTGTTCCATCTCAGTTTTCGACTTGCTGTTATATCCCCCATTCATTCTAGTTTGTAGTCACATTAGATCATGGTGGCATTGCTAACCACAACATCGTGCTGGACTTTGGATAGTGGATGGTAGACTTCGACCGTCCCCTCTCAGTACGCAGTTAGCACTGGAAGGCTCCCGAAGAGTATGTCTCCCCTTCAAGTATGGTCCGAGCACTGGAGTCCGAGCAACGGGTGGTACCTCATTGTCGACATAACAAGGGAAAAAGGAATGACATAAAGTCGTCATATCCATATTCATTTCCCCGTGAGTCTGTTTTCGACACCTTCTCTGACTCTCTTCCTTTCAGCCTCGAGATCCTCTTTACTGGCATCAAACCTGACGTTGCCAGCCTGGTTGAAAGGATTCTCTTCACTCTTTTCAAACTCCTTCTTGACAATCTCGATGCGCTGATTTTTCCGCAGACCGGGATACTCGACCTCGATCTCGGGTAACCTCCGGTCCTCATAAGCCTTATACGCGGCCTTAAACCTCCTCTCGGGATGTCGATCAAGTTTCAGTTCATTCGCAGACCCCGTGAGGTTCAGTGCATCCAGAGCATTGTCAATACCCGACGCATTGATCGCTTTACTGGGCTCGCCGGCGTCCAGCTGTCCCAGGTCCAGTGTTCCACGACTCTTCTTCTCCGCCGTCTTCTTTCCCGCGCCCTTGGGTGCACTGCGCTGGCTCTTCTCCTCCTCCGCTAGCAGGGCGTCCCGCTCGGCCTTTTTCGCCGCCTGTTCGGCTGCCTTGGCTGCGGCGTTCTCCTTCTTTTTGTTGTCTTTGGCTCCCTTGCCCCATTTATCGTCTTCCTCGGCGGCGTGCTTTGCGTCCACGACGGCTTGTTTTGCTGCTGCGGCGTCGGCCTTGCGGGCGTTACCGGCTGCTTTTTTTGGGTTTTCTTTCTTCGGCGCCATTGTTGCGTTGTTGCTGTTTGGGGTGCGGCGTTGGTAGTGGATGTGTCGCGGGTTCTGGTGTTGTAAATATGCGCTTACTGTCAGGTAGGTGGTGAGGTGGACGATGACGAAGATGCGAATGTATTGAATTGGTGAGAAGAAACGAGTGTGTACCGGCATGCAGTGGGGTTTGTGGTTCTAATGGGGTGTGGGTACGCCTAGAGAAGCGATGCGGTGGTCAGGCTGTGAGGGATCATGTGAGTCTTGAGAATGGAAAGTCTGATTTGTTCATGTGGTTTTTTTCCAATGCTGGTTCTAACTGGGTAAGTCGTAGTGACTCAAGGACTGTGACTCCCACATGTTCTGCCTATGCCCTCCAAGTCGAGTCTGGTGGCAATGCGTCATTAAATGTGGGCTGGAGGGGTTCTTGAGTCATGTATCGAGTTCGAGTTTGATACATGAGTCATGATGGAAACAACGCGATATCTCCTTTTCTGTCTCTGTTTCAAAGCAACGTCAGAATTCACACTGATCCTCTGAGGGCGTCCAGCATCAGTGATTATCTAATCTCTATCTCTAAACAGTAGAAGATACTCTGCCGACTAGAGCCGACTCTGTTTAGGGATACTCTCTGACTCCAACGATGCATTGCCTACAAGACCTTGTTCGAGGAGAACAGTGGCAAATGCAGCTTCCACATCATGCTCGGTCAACCATATCCCACTTGGTCGGCTCTTTATCTTTTGTCTCAGTTCATCATCAGTTTGAGGGGAAGGCGCTCCTATCCCAGCTAAGACACCTTTCATAAGTCGTTCTGTGTGTGGCAATCTGGTCTTCTCATACAAAGTCAATGCGTCGTGGATATTCCGGACGGATAATTGTATTCCAGGTTTGATACCGGCCAAGACCTGTCGAAAAGACAGATAAAGTGCCCAGGCGTCGTCGAGGGCGAGAGATCCTCCGGCAGCATATGCACCGCCATGAGTATGTGCCGCATCACCAACCAACGTCACACGTGAGTGGAAAACCCATGAATCAAGTGGCTGACCTGCAAAGTTGGGGAACAATCTGACATACGGTGTTACCTCAGTCAATGCCTTGACGACAGGATTCCAATCTTTGTACAGGTCCCGAAAGATGGAAACATCGCCATCTTGATCCCACTTGACTGTTGCTGGGTCTTGACTTTGAGGAAATTCAGTGGGATCATATTGACCAACAGTTGTATACTGATTTTTACCAAGCTTCGATGCGAAAAAGGTGTGCCTAGGCCCCCACCAGTGAGTTGAGTCTGGGGGTAAGTCGGGTATGTTCTCCACTAGTGAGGCATCGAAAGTTGATCGAAATAATGTGCGGCCAGTCCAATGGAGTGAATGTTCTGGATTGAAAGCAACACGTACTTTGGACCGCAATCCGTCTGCACCCACTAAGATATCGCCCTTTGCACTGCTACCATCCTCAAAGTATAATGTTACTCCATTAGCATCTGCATCCGCGTGGCGGACACCTTTGTTCAGGTGGATGTCTTTCCTGGGTACATGTTCAAGCAATGCTTGATGTAAATGACCTCTGTGAAACCTCGCCGTCTGGTGCTTGTGTTCCGGAACATTGACAAAGCGATCATCACTGACCACCTCATTCGTCTTCCAATGTCGATATATCATAGGGACTGCACTTGGGCCACGAAATCCAACGTTGTCGTCTAGGGCATTATGTACACCCAGTCGCTCAAGAGTTCTTAATCCATTAGGACTAAGTGCAATACTTGCACCAATCTCCGTCAATTCTGTTGCCTTTTCATATAGCTGAATGTTGACTTTGAAGTCAGGTGATTCCAGTTGCCGAAGTGCGATGGCGGTCGCTAGGCCGGCAATTCCACTACCGGCGATGAGTATATCAATCTGACCCATGATTGATGAAAGTCTTATGTTCTGTTTGAATCAATTGCCTGCGTCAGATCCTGCAAGGGTATTCATATCAATTGAATTGCAACGTCCGACGAAATTGCTATTCAAGAGCCTTTGCGGATTTCTGCGCTCCCTCAACGAGCTTATGATTTTCTGTGCCATTCTAATCCTATCACGCAATATCATGGATCCAAGCACGCCAGATGATACCCTAAGACATTCCATTGCCGATACCTTGAAACATAGTGCCGGCTTAGCTACGATGGTACCAAGCTTTCAAATCACTCGTTGGAATTGTCTTGTTTTGCGGCTACTGCATACATGTGGCTTACCACTTACAGCCCGGTGGTCACATCAGACTGCAATGACCGCGTCTCTTATCAACACCTACACGGCTATAACGGATGACAACTAATACTCCACCATCCTGATGCTGATCTTTGCCAGCGAGGAGAAATATATTGCTTCCACATGAGCGGACTCTCGCCGGCACGTTATTACAGCATTTTGTTCGTAAAGCACGCAAGAGTGGACACAGGACAGCAAGGACAGACATGCAAAGGGAAAGGTCAAAATGGAATGTTCAACATTTGAGCTGGCTGTTTCCGAGGTGGAACTCGTTCACCAATGCTGGTGGGGTAAGTACCTGATATTCATATTACCAGACCACTGCTTTTTGGGGCCATTTACTCTCAACCCAATCCCACTGTGAGCCTTTGGGAGGTGCGAAGATTTCTAACTGAAGACTGTATCAAGTATCGACCTTTGCCAACAATGGCGGGTGACCTGGGCAAAGACGATGCGAACGAGCAGATCAACTCCTCATCTAGTGAGTTGGAAGTCGATGCTCCGCAGCTTCCTTCACGCTTCGCCGATGAAAGCTTTAAGCTGTTCTCGAAAGTTAAGGTCTCTGATCCCACTCAGGAAGAGGCACAAGAGATCAAGAAGAAGTTGGTCCGTCGGATCTTGCCATTCCTATGCGTAGGCTATCACTTAATGTATGTGGACAAACAGACGGTATGTTATCTCAATGAATCCCGGTCAATGATACGCACGTATATCTGATAGTTATGAATATGCAGTTAGGGAGCTCGGCAATTCTGGGTATTCTGAAAGACAATCACCTCAATGCGAATCAATACAACTGGCTATCAAGTATTTTCTACTTTGGTTACCTGTTGGCGGAATACCCTCAAAATTGGGCTCTTCAAAGATTTCCCGTCGGGAAGTGGTTGGCCGCGAATTTGATTCTCTGGTAAGTGATATTGTTTCGCATGAGTCTTGGGACATTGCGACTAGGTTTGATGAACTCAGTTGCCCATATCCCCTATCGCTCTGCCCATCCAGCCTTCTCTGACAACTGACGCTGAGCATCACTGACTGGCAACCAAGCAGGGGTGGGATAGTTTTGTTGCACATTCCCTGCCAGAATTTCGCAGGCCTTTTCGTGGTCCGTTTCTTTCTTGGAACAGCGGAAGCATGCATTGTCCCGGCCTTTCTGATAACACTGTCTATGTTCTTCACGTACCATGAGACATCCTATCTCATGCCTATTATGTGGGCATGCGGGAATTCTAGTCCAATTACATCTGGATTATTGTCATATGGCGTCTTATGGATCAAGACAGGTGATTTTGCTCCGTGGAAATGGTTCATGGGTAAGTGTAGACTTCTAGACGGGAAGAACATTCCTTCCATGCCTGACTTGACTTTCTGTCGGGATGCTGATCTCAATTTCTATGAAGTGATCACCGGCACCATCACCATAATCTATGGATTAACAGTCTGGTTTCTTTTTCCAGATAGCCCGCTACATGCAAGTTTCCTCACACCTGAGGAGCGCGCCAAAGCCATCCTTCGAATCAAAGAAAATCATTCCGGGATTGAAAATAAGCGCTTCAAAAGACATCAGTAAGTCCATTCAATGTTCACAGCAGCTTTCATACGCTCAAATTCGATGTAATCTGCATACTCACGACTGCCTCAGGTTCAACGAAGCTCTCCGTGACCCGAAAACCTGGCTCTTCTTTCTACATGCCTGGTCTCAAGAAATGGCCAACGGTATCACGAACCAATACTCGCTGATTATCAAATCTTTTGGCTTCACAACCCTGCAAACTACCTTACTGGGCTGCGTAACGGGCCTAGTATCTCTCTGTTCCCTCAGCTTGGCCGCATACTTTCTCTTCAAGACTCGCAATTGTCGCGCTTGGATTTCCGTCGTCGCGTATATCCCTGCCGCTATTTCCAGTATTCTGCTGCTGAGCTTACCGTGGTCAAATCGTTGGGGACTCGTCACGGGAATTTGGATCCGTTCGACAGCAGGCATTCCCTACGCGGTTGTCATGATCTGGGCGGCGAATAACTCGGCAGGTCATACAAAGAAGACGACCGTCATTGCGTTATATCATGTTGGTTATGGACTGGGAAATATTTTGAGTCCTCAGCTTTTCCGCCCGAATTGGGCGCCGAGGTATTATCCGACATGGGCGATTATCTTGGTGCTCGCATGTATCCTTCCCTCTGGCATCATACTTTACCTGCGTTACTACCTGGTTCGGGAGAACCGACATCGTGACGACCTGGCCGCCAGTGATGCCGCTCGAATTTTGCATAAAGGTGTCGTTGAGGATGTTGATGCGGATGGGACACGCACTCATACTGTTGTTGATAACAACCAGTTGGATCTAACGGATCGAGAGAATCTGGAATTCAGATATGTTTTGTGAGTTGAAAGGGTAGAGAAAAGAGGCTTGTCCATGTGAGAAATGTCTTAGAGGATGGTGGGTGGACGAAATGGATCGGTGAAAAAGGTTGGAGGAAGTTAAATCAGGATGGGTAGCCACAGGAAACTCCTCGTACACACACATGACTATCTACCATGCTCTTGGTTAAACTTGTCGATCACCTCTTTCGTGGTCTTAATGATTTCCAAACACCCTGGTGAGTCTGAATGACAACAGATAGACACAGGGTACTCCTTGACTGGAAGCTGCACCACACTGCCGTCTGTGGCCGTGACTGATTGAGTGTTGAGCTGTTGACTCACATGGTTCCTGACGTCCTCTATCTTCCAGGGTTTCTTCTTCCGATCAATCACCAGCATACCATCGTTGCTATATTTCACATCACCATATAACTCAGCCCAGAACGTGATACCAAGATCGTTTGCCGCTTTCTCCATGTTCGTGCCAGCCAGACCAAAGACAGGAGTTCCCTTGGGGATGCCTTGCATCACCGCCTTTGCAACTTCATAGTCTCGACACATCATTCCATAAAGAACACCATGGGGTTTGACATGATGCAGATGAACTCCTTCAGCATCGAGAAACCCTTTAAGTGCCCCGACTTGATAGATGGTCATGGCTGTCAATTCTTCGGGTGACATTTTAATCTCACGTCGACCGAAACCTGTTTTGCTTCAGCCCGCAGTCGCAAAGCCCGACTCGTATACTCACCTTGAATATCGGGAAGACCAGGATGGGCACCAACTTTGATGTTGTACTTCTTGCAATTCCGAACTGTTTCCTGCATGATTAAGGGGTCTCCAGCATGAAAGCCGCATGCAATGTTGGCATGATCAATCAATGGTAATAATTCCAGATCGGGTCCGCAGACATAATTGCCGTACTAATTTGATGTCAATCTCTTACTTCAAAACAATGAATATACGCTTGGACTTACAGCCTCTCCCAAGTCGACGTTGAGCAAGGCTTTGTGTTTGATAGGGGGAGGTGCCATGACGTCAGATAGTCTTTTGAATGTCAACTCCAAATCGGCACCTTTTTCTTCAGTCCTCAGTCCACCTCCTGAAATTGGAAATGCAACAATATACTTGGACTCAATTGAATCCTCCGTGGGCAGGCTTCTGAGATATCGGCCAAATGGAGATAGATATCAGGCCACACATCCTCCAAATACCACTCTGGCTATACGTCACAGCTTCTGACGGAGAAGCACGAGGTGGAGAGGCAACACGAAGTAACTCCATCTCCCCTCAACGGCTTTGGGGAAACCTTATCCTGGGATCCAATCACAGATGTATTCCAAGGGAGGAGTCGATGAGAAATGCCAATGAGATGGACGTCACAACGAGGTGATAAGATAATGCCAATCCCTTGTAGGTCCTCCCTCGGGGTTGTAACACTTGACAACCGAGCATGCGAGGTCATCCTCTTGGACTCACCACGCCCGCCCGCAACTCTGCTGCGACAACAAACCATTGCAGCCCATCATGGAGAAATTGAAGACCCTTTTGGTGGCCAACAGAGGAGAGATCGCAGTTCGAATATGTAAAACCGCCCGGAAGCTCGGCATCAAGACTATTTCGATCTACACGGGAAGCGACGCTGCCTCAGCTCACGTCGGTGCCGCTGACGAAGCTATCCTGCTATCCGGATCGGATGCGAAGGGGTACATCGATGGAGAGCACATTGTTGAAATTGCGAAATCGAAAGGGGCAGATGCCATCATTCCCGGCTATGGGTTCCTATCTGAGAACACTGAATTTGCCAGGCAGGTTGCAGATGCGGGCATGGTGTTTGTCGGTCCCAGTCCGCAATGTATCGATGATTTTGGGATAAAGCATACAGCGCGCGAGTTGGCTGCGAAAGCTGATGTTCCGATTGTTCCTGGCACGAAAGGGTTGGTGGGCTCTGAAGATGAAGCTGTCGAGGAGGCTAAGAAGCTTGGGTTTCCAGTGAGTTTGCAGGGATCAAAATGCTAGTACCGTGATATGTATTGACTCTTTTCCCAGGTCATGCTCAAAGCAACGGCAGGCGGAGGTGGAATGGGTCTTCTTACCTGCAACGATGAAGACGGGGTACGCCGGTCTTTCAAGACGGTACAATCTCGTGGAGAAACACTGTTCAAGAATTCAGGCCTTTTCATTGAGAAGTTCTATCCCTCATCGCATCATATCGAAGTGCAGATCTTTGGCAACGGGCAAGGCCAAGCGATATATTTTGGAGAACGAGAATGTTCGATTCAGCGTCGTCATCAGAAGGTGATTGAGGAGTGTCCCAGTCCTTTTGTGGTCAAACATCCAGAACTTCGAGAGAAGCTTGGTTCCGCTGCTGTTAGATTGGCCGAGTCAATCAACTATGGCTCGGCTGGTACGATTGAGTATCTTGTTGACGATGAATCTGGTGACTATTTCTTCCTGGAAATGAACACTCGACTACAAGTGGAACATGGAATTACCGAATTGTGCTACGATGTCGATCTTGTGGAGCTTATGCTCAAACAAGCGGATGCTGAGTTACTTGGTGAAGGCGGTCTCAAAGGCGACTATTTGAAGTCATTGCAACCTAACAGTCCGCAAGGAGCAGCCATCGAAGCACGAGTCTATGCGGAGAATCCTGCAAAGGACTACGCTCCATCACCGGGCACCCTTCAACATGTTTCATGGAAGGATGTCAAGCGGTCGAGAATTGACTCCTGGATCCACACTGGAACGAAAGTGACTTCATTCTATGACCCACTGCTTGCCAAAGTTATGGTTCACGCGGATACCCGTGATGAAGCACTTGGAGGCATGTTGGAGCTGCTATCAGGATCTCAGATCTTCGGGCCACCCACAAACATGGATTTCCTTAAGTCTATCATTGAGGATAAGACATTTAAGTCCGGCAAAACCTTAACCAAATTCCTTGACAGTTTCAAATATGAGCCGTGTGCGATTGATGTCGTCCAAGGCGGAGCCTACACACTGATTGAGGATTGGCCAGGGCGGCCGACTATTGGAAGAGGTTTCTCGCACTCCGGTCCAATGGATCCTCTCGCGTTTCGCATTGCCAATGCTTTGGTTGGGAACCCTCCGGGAAGAGAGGGCATCGAGATTACTCTCAGTGGTCCGGATCTTAGATTCCTTGGTGCTGCAATCATTGCGGTGTGCGGAGCACCTATGGAAGTTAAGATCGATGGTAAGGCTGTATCTATGTGGAACCGGCTCAAGATAGAGGCTGGTCAGCGCCTGACCATTGGAAAAACGACAGGCGGTGGTTGTCGATCATACTTGGCAATTTATGGTGGTCTCCCCAGCATCGCCACATGGTTTGGTTCCAAGTCGACCGCTCCCATGACTGCCGTGGGAGGATACCAAGGACGTGCACTGGCTGCAGGCGACCTTCTGGCGATTACAGGAGATATTCCAGAAGTTCGAGGCGAGCTGAAGATTCCAGAGCACCTTATCCCAGCATATCCCGAGGAATGGGATCTCTTTTCCATGCCTGGACCATATGACGAAGGATATATCGATAAAGAATCCATTGAGGAATTCTATGATACCACTTGGAAGGTCTCGCACAATGCTGCAAGAGGAGGGATTCGTCTCATCGGGCCCAAACCGAAATGGGCACGTTCAGATGGTGGCGAAGGCGGGGCCCACCCAAGCAATGTCATCGAGTATGGATACCCAGTTGGCACCGTGAATTGGACGGGAGATGACCCATGTCTATTCCCCATTGATGCTCCTGACTTTGGTGGATTCGTGTCAGCCACCACAATTGTAAAGGCGGATTATTGGCGACTAGGTCAGATGAAAGCCGGCAACAAATTACGATTCAAGAGGGTTTCGTATCAAGATGCTATCGCGAAGCGGAATGAAGTCGAAGAATTCCTTTCTTTAATCAAAGATTGTTGTGCAGGGAAAGCCAAGTTTGATGATGCATTCCCTCTGAAATATCAAGGGATGCCCCCATCAGTCGAGAATAAAGGTTGGGAGTCTGCTGTTATCCACCAGATCCAAGAAGAAGGTAATCAGCCATTAGTTTCGTATCGTCAAGGAGGTGATGATTTCCTACTGGTGGACTATGGTTATGGAGCTTTCAACCTCAACTATCGTTGTCGTGCTGTGGCGTTATATCGCAAGTTGAAGGAAGGCAAGGGCGATATATCGTTCCAGAGTGGTGCTTTGCACACGGGTATGGCTTGCGGCAATTCTCTGATGCTTTACTATGACTCTCTCAAAGTCAGTCGACAACAATTGCTTGATCAGCTCCTGAAGCTTGAGGATGAGTTGGGTGACCTCTCTGAAGCTAAGTTCCCAAGCAGAAAGTACAAACTCCCTATCACTTTTGAGAGTAAGAGGCAGAAAGAGAGCTTACAGCGGTATATTGAGACTCAACGTCCGTATGCAACGTATCTGCCAGATCCGTTGGAGTTTGTGGCCAAAAACAATGCGTTTACTCAGCAGCAGGTATGTACAGGAGCCCGTTTTGCTCGAGAGATCAGTACTAATATATCGACTTTGCAGCTGAAAGACATCTTCACGAAATCTTCGTTGATGGTAGTGGCGGTTGGCTTCTTCGTAGCACTGCCCATTGCTTTACCAATTGATCCACGGCAACGCATTCAATGCCCCAAGATGAATCCATCACGCGTCCACACCCCAGAAGGACAAGTCGGCTGGGGTGGATCCTGCATGGCGCTGTATAATGTCGAATCACCTGGCGGGTACATGAACACTGGTCTCTCAATTCCCGGTGCCGATATTCTAGGTTACAAGAACGGCTACAACGCTTCGAAGCCATGGCTCTTTGAGGATTTCGATCAGATCACCTTCTATGAAGTCACTGAGGACGAGTATGAGTCCATGATGGCGACCTTCCGCAGCGGCAGATATAAATATGAGTACGAAGACACGGAATTCGACATGAAAGAGCATAATCAACTCCTCAGGGACACTAGAGCTGAGGTAGCAGAAATCCGTGCCAAGCAGCGAGAAGCACAGGCGGATATGGACAAACGGGAGAAGGAATTATTGGAGAAATGGAGTAAAGAGAAAGAAGCCGGGAAGATCAGTATGGATACGGTGGAGGAACTGCTGAACGATCCGGAGATTGTTGCGGTGGAGGCGCCACTCAATGCCAACGTATGGAAAGTTGAGGTCAAGGAGGGTGACAAGGTAAAACTCGAGCAAGTTGTTTCGATCCTGGAGGCTATGAAGTTGGAGATACCAGTCAAGACTGAGGATGGAATGGAAGGCGCCACCGTCGAGAAGTTGCTGGTCAAACCTAATGATGTGGTTCAAGCAGGTGCGCCGTTGATATTGCTGCGCAAGCCAAAATGAATGCCGCACTCTCCAGGTCTGCATCTCAGTGGACAGAAAATCAATAATGATATCTATTCACCCACATCCTATCTTCTTTGTGATATCCCACTCCTCTGAGGTAGTAGTAGGAATGGGGCATGCCAACATATCATAAACTGGTGGCTTGAAGGTCGGATCATGATTGCTTGTGGTATTTGTGCCAACTTGCATCGAAAGTTTCTTGATTGATCGCGAAGGGCCGAATATAATCCCTCTCGAGCTCATGCGCCCTCTTACCAATCAAAACCACGCTGTGAAGTGGTGGGCCAACATCGATCTCGCACAGTTCCTTCAGCGTTCCACAAGCAAAGTTCTGATCATCTGCACCAACTCTAGCACAGCCAATGGCCAGACTGTCCTCGCTACAGATACCTTCCTGTTTATCGGCCTCGATTTCAAGAAGTTGTTGTGCGCATTGAGCAACGGTCATGTATCGAGGTGGTTCGTAGATCTTTCTCCCACGTGCCATATTTTCTAGCGACTGCTCTTTCACTTTGATGTCAAGAAGCAAAAGTGTGTGTAGCCCGATGGAGGCATTCTCACGAATCCGATCGTAGAAGCTCGCAGGCTTCCAGCTGTCGGTGAAAAAGACGATTGAGACAGTCTGACCAAAGTTGTACAATTGAAGACCCGTGGCTCCAACTGCATTGAGTATTGAAGCATTAGGTATTGACTTGGTCGGAATGGATAGTTCTTGGGCACGAAGCACCAAGTCCGTATGCGTGGTCGCGCTGCAGACTTCAATCAGCAATTGTGATAGCTGGAAGACGAGGGAAATACCCAAATGGATCTCCAACAACCAGAAATGCGATGTCTGATTTTTCTGCGCCTTCCAGAATCTCGTCGCTCGAGGACTCTACCATCTCACGGTCTGCAATTATGACAGGCCGGCCATAGAAGGCTTCCTGTTATGGCTGGTTAGATAGAGTCAGTAGCACGTTGACATATCCAAGAGCAAGGTCTTGACAGATCATCCTACCAATTTTTCTTTCCCTACATGAAGGATACTGGTGTAGGCTTCGAGATAGACTCTCTCCGCACGCTTCACCACCTCAAGGCCTTTGACTGTGATGTCAGTCTCATCGGCAAGGCCTAAGCCAACGAGATACAGCATTTCAAATTCTTTAAGAGAATGATGGACTTTGGTAGAATCGATTGCGCGTGCGCCGCGTCAAGAGAATAGAAATCACAAACTCCCAAAAAAAGTGTTGGTGAAGTTTAGAATGACGTCGACAGATGTATGGTCGCACGTGATGCTGTCTTGTAAGGCACGTGACGATTCTGATAACGACTCCTCCTTTCCCATTGATAGATCTTGACTTCCTTCATCAATTCACAACGTGACAGCGCGCACTTCATCAGAAGTCGGCGACGGTGACTAATGTAGGGTGCGCCTTGTTTGATTTGGAGTATTAGACTTGCGGATGAATTGTGTTTCGAAAGGTTGAAAGGAGTTAAGAATTCTGGGAAACCGGGGTCAAGATGGCCGAAAGACCTGCAAAGTACCGGCAGGAGATCCAACAGGTAAGCAGTCTTGTCAACTTTTGTTCTTATCCCGTTATTATTCCTCATCATTCGCCATGTGGTATTGGGCTGTGAACTGGGTTTGGTGGAGAGAACTGGGCTTTGTATGGCATACCACGTGGATTATGGTCAAACTCAACATCTGCGAAAACATCAACCGTTGGCAATGAAGAGGCCGCCGATCTCATCAGCATCACTGCATTCCAGTATGCATCAAACTTTTGAATGACCCTCCGGAGAGTATCTTCACTATGCACGCGTTTTGTTCCATTTCTTGGGAGATGTGTCCATCGGCTCGCCCTTGTCTGTCTTGCGTCTTCACGCTATCATGTATGGGGGACAAATCCTGTGAATCAGAATCTACCTTCTGAAATTTCTCGGCGTCGATGTCCCCGCGGGCTCTGTTGATTGGTAAACAAATTACAATCCTCCCTCAGCATGTCTTCACCAACAGACGATTTGCCGGACGACGAGACGTGGTTCACCAGTGCAGTTCTACAAGATCAACTTGATCACACTGTCGAAAAGAGCCCTGAACCCGAAGTAATACCTCGAATCCCAGCATTGAGCAATCATTCTCCACTCACGAACTGGAATCCCTATTCTTCTCGGACATTTGTCCCCGACCTTGGTTTCATGCCTCAACCACCGAGTCCTTCGATTCATGATACCGATGGGGAATACGAACTTGATGAGGAGACAGCAGATCCTCCCGATTCAGTGAATGAAAGTCTTTCAACGACATCAGCAGACCGAACCACATCAACAGATCAACTCACTACCGAAGATGATGATGACTCTGCCGTGAATTCACCCGGTTCTGATTCCTGTGCCGGATTTGAAGAGGAGGAAACAGATGACGATCATGATGATGACGAGACAAAAGAAGAGTTCAAATCGAGACTAATCTATTGGATCGCACAGATGATGTTTGTTAGTGGTGAGACTGCAGAACCAAGTCCCGAGACAACATGGATGATTGAAGAAATTGTACGAGAACAAGTTCTAGAAATGGTATGTCCACCTTCTTCCTAATAACAAGTGTCCGAGAGCATCATGCTCACTCGGCAAAAACAGCTCCAGCAAGCCACCATTCTCGCCAATCGTCGCGGCTCTAGATCTATCTCAATTGTGGACTTGATTTTCCAGATTCGTCACGACCGCGCCAAAGTATCCCGTCTGAAGACTTTCCTCTCGTGGAAGGACGTGCGCAAGAATGTTAAGGACTCTGACGACAAAGGCGGTGGTGATGCAGGCGATGTTGGTGATTTCGATGAGGTAAGCCAATTCTCACAATCTGTCTGAAAGTTAATTCTAACCCTGAACTTTTCAACTACAGGCATCAGGAGGCGTCAATCCGTCGGCTCCACAGAAATCCACAGGAACCAAGAAAGCCAAACTCATTCTCCCTTGGGAAGTCCAATCCTTTTATTCAGAACAAGTCCCGGAACGCGACGACGAAGAAGACGAGGAGGAAGAGGAACAAAACGAAGCAACTCTAGCACGACTCGCCTCAGCAGATGAAAGAACCAAAAACATGAGCAGGGAGGAGTATGTCTTCTTCTCAGACTGTCGACAAGCAAGTTTCACATTCCGTAAGGGTAAACGGTTCAGAGAGTGGGCTGGCTTTGGCACCATCATCGACAGCAAACCAAATGACGATGTTGTTGACATCCTGGGTTTCTTAACCTTTGAGATTGTGCAAACTTTGACTGAGGAGGCATTGAAAGTCAAGGCAGCGGAGGATGTGGCTAGTAAGAAGGCTTCAGGAGGAGTTGCTGGTCAGGAGGCATCCAAGAAGCGAAAGCGGGAGGTTTGCAGCCTTTTCGAGATGCCTGAGGAAGGTCGTTCACCTGTGGAAGCGAGGCATATTCGCGAAGGATTTCGTCGACTACAGGTCATCCATCCAAAATATACCTTCCTGAGACCAGGCTTTGCAGGAATGCGTACAACCCTCAGGCTTATCTAGATTTTGGTTCAAGACTCATTTAGCATGGGCTCTCTACTGAGGGAACCGATGAAGAACTTTTTGTATGATTAAGATATCAAAGGAATGTGGAGCCAGTGTTGTGGCTCTTGTTTGCCTTCCCCGTTCGTCAAGTATCTGTACTTGCGTTTACCTAGTAGATCGTAACTAATGATAAAGATTCTTTGGAATGAAGAATAGCGTGACGCACATTGGCAAGGCTCCCAGCCCCCAACAGAGAAATCTCGACCTTACCGCATTGGGACGCCAGCACCCCTGTCGATAACAACAAAAATGCTTCCCACCTTCCTGGCGCCCACAACAACAACAACAACAACAACACAACATTGCTTTTCATCAAAATCTCAATTCCGCAACGGAACAGCCTAGGGTATAACAAACACGTTGAATCGCCATCGAACGGCATGAAATGCAAAACGGAAACGGCATATATCGGCTCGACATCTCGAAACCACCGACAGAGTCGAATCCATATCACAGCCTCGTTGGAAACAACCTCATCGACCACTCACACCACGAAAGCGCTTCTTGAGCAACCTATGTCCCGAAACTGGAACCCCCTGTGGAAGCCGAGAATCTCTGGTTCACAGTTTTACGTTACTCTACCCCTGACAAGTTGCGGATCCCACGGACTGTTGATTCGGCTTCAGTTGCGCACCTCGACTACGTGCATGGCGATTAGTACCAGTCCACGGATCAAAGATTGAATGATCGGTGTATCGGTCGTGATGAATTGTGGTTTCGGTGAAAAGCAATGTTGCGTTGTTGATGTCGGAGAAGGAAGGGCTCATTGGGCAATTTGTCGGGGGCCTGGGAGCCTCGCCAGTGTGCGTGAGGTGAGGTGAGGTTCAACTCAACTCCAAACTTGCCGTCCGGTTCTTGGTGAACCCGCCAATTGTCGTAGTCCATACGTTCTTGAATTCAGCTAATGTATTTGCCCTGACCTCCACGAATAACAACACCAGCCCACTGAGAGCGTGGCAATACCACGCACTAGCTTGTCATCCAAAGATGCCCGTGGCGGGAATGGAGACACGAATCATTCATTTTCAGGGTTTGTTCCTCGCACTGAAATACATTTCACTATCGATGATCGATCTTCCTCGCACGGCTGTATAAAACCACCTGTCCCTTCAATACTGTACAGAACTTGATCTGATCAGTATACCTCCGTAATTGTCTGATTCAAAGGCTCCGCAAATCGACTGCCTTGATATGGACAGCCTTGAGCAAAATAGATCACGCTAAAATATGTGCTTCAATTTACATACTCTGCCCGATATGGTTGCCCAGCGCGAAAGCTCATACGAAAGTATAGTCTGTAGAGCACTCCGGAATATGCTACAGTTAGAATATAGCGTGCGGTACGGCCGGGAGAGATGCTGTAGTATGAATCTAATGGGGTGAGCTATTTAATTTCCCCCCAGGTATCCTGGGAGGCTTTCCGAAGTACTTGAATAGCATACAAAAGTTATCTCAATTTATTTCGTAAAGATTTCAAAATCCAAAAAAAGAAGTTCTCGTGCGGGGAATCGAACCCCGGGCATGTCGGGTCTGAGCTTGAGAGCGACATATGTTACCTCTGTGAAACTGTTAGTCAAGAGATATTATGATGGAGATGAAGGTAGACTTGCCTACACCACGCGAGATATCGTGTTGATTGTTGATGAAATGTTGATAGATTAAGACTATATATTAAAGATAATGGAGTAAGTCGGGGCTACATCCCTGGGGACGTATAGCTTGCCTGATTGGTGGCCGAGGGGGGGTTAGCACACCTATGTAATTAGGTACTCGGTTATTCACTAGGTGACTCTCTCTCTCTCTCTCTCCTGAGGTGGCTGCTAATAGCCATGACACACATTTCAACCAACCTATTTTCTACCATGCCCATTCCCCAGTTGACATGTTGCCGCTTAAGGAGACAACAAGGGCAGCGACAGGACTATGACTGATCCGAATCCTCCCTCGGTAGTTGTTAGCAATGGCGAACTCCAAAAGAGCAAATCACAACGGGAGCGGCATGAATGTGGATGGAGGTAGCAGTGACAACAGCAGGGCGCGAGCACGAAAAGACAAGGGCAAAAACACTTGATTAGTTATGACTCAAGAAAGATCAAAATAGGGTATTCATTAATTTCCTTTATTGGCTTATGGATTATCGTTTTATGAATGGTGTCATGTCCTCAATGAGAAATCGGAACGCCCACGCCCTGCATCAGACCTCGTAAGACATCGTTGAAGACGCCCTCAGCCCTATATTGCTTTTCAAGTCTGGTTTTTTAACATATTAATTGCATGCCCCTCCATTCGTGCTTCGGATTTCAAATTTTCCTTCTTTTGCATGGTGCGTTTCATGTCATTCTACTTGAATCCTGCCATATATCCTGTCAAATGACTGATATCCTGGTCGGTCATGAACTCCATGTTGTTCATCGACTGCTTCTGCTGCTGGAATCCCGCACTTCCATTCAGGTCGAGCGCCAACCCATTAGGATCGTAGGATCCAAATACTGGATCAATCGGGATACTAGATGAGAATTGTGCAGCTGTCATGGGCTCCAAACCCAGATCTCCCGGCTGCAGCTGGCCAGACAAGCCTCCCGACTCGAAAGCCAAGTCATCCATCACTCCAAGATCAAGACCACCGAAGTCGATGCCATCAAAGTCAAACTCCATGTTCTGGTCGAATGTGGTTACACTGGCCGACGTGGGCAGACTGCCGCACTCTGGCGTCGGGTTTGAATTGGAAGAAACACTCTTTCGCTTTTGCGCGGCTGCGTGGCAGGCTTTGGTCTTCAGACCACCCTTGATAACATATGGTGCCATTATTGGGACTTCAGCCAGAGCATGAGCAGCCATGGAGTCAGTAAATGTACCAATCCCATTCTGATATTTGAAGGTATCGAGCCATTCCTGATTGTCTGCCGCAGTCCAATTCCAGGGATCATTATCCTCATAGATGATCATACGGGCTTGGTCCTGAATCTCCTTATCGGTCGGGACAGTGCCTGCACTCTTGCACCTCAACACAAATTTGACCAATTCTTGCTCCAATCTACCCCAGCAGTTGGAGTCCTTTGTCAATTGATCAGGCTCGGCACTATCAGCCGATGTGCCAGTGGTAAGTCCAGCATCGGTGGAACATGAGGGTGCTTTCTGAGCTCTGGCGACATAAGGTTCCATGGAATTCTTCTCGTGACCTATCAAATATGGAGGTATGGCATTCTCAACCAATCTCTCGACATACGGTTCAAATCCCCAACCCTTGGCCCACTGACTCATATCTGAACCATTTCTGAAATGCGCAGCGAGATGGTCGGCACGTTGTTGCCAGGTGGTGAATTTTGAGGGACAGAATCCACAAGATGACTGAATTTCATTCGTGGTACTCTTCCACTTGTCCATGTAAGACTGCACTTTTGTGTTGTGCATCAATTTCAGATGCTGACTCAAATGATCCTTCCGGTAAAAGGTTCGTTCTTGCAGTGTTTTCTCTTGACACGCGGTAAAATTATGTGATTCCAAATGATCAAGACTTGGATCCACTTCTCGACAGAATGCACATTGTTGAGCTCCAGTCAGTGGATCAGTCATGATTCCTCCATCAGGACAACAAGTCCATCGTTCCAAAGCAAGATGCAGTGACTTTTCATGTCGTTGCCAATCATATTTTGCAGGGAATGAATCTGTACAAAATGTGCATTGAAATATTCTCGTACTCCTTGATTTGGCTTGTTGTGCTGCAGCTCGTTGTGGCATTGGAGCTCTTCGGCGCCTCCGACGATCTTGAGAAGAAGCAAATGACCCCTTGGATCGGTTGGACCTTGATGATGCAAACGTCATATCACTGTTACTGGACTCTCGAGTTTCGAAACTGCTCACTGAAGGAGCTCGGAACATGGAAAATGAGGAGGAATCTTCGCTGGAGGCTTTTCGGGAATTGGGTCGAGAGCCCTGATGGCTAAGACTAGTTACGGATGGGTTTCGTACTGGTAGCGGCGTCGAGGTGACGGCTCTGGCGATGGCAGTCATTGATGCAGGTTCATTTTCTGGTGGAGATGCCTTCCATCTATCGAGCGGGTTGAGGTCTGCGACATCTTTGTTATCAGACCTTTGAGGAATATCAATGGCACCAAGCATAGGAGATGAGGGATCTGAGTTGGCTGGTCGAACCTTCCCCCTCCTCCGAGCGTTGGCAAGCCAATTGGAGATTTGACTGCGCTTCAGCCCAGTGAGTTGCTTGAGTTCGTCCTTTTCTCTTTCATTTGGATATGGATGATCTGAGTGCTCTGCAAGCCATTGTTTCAACATCTTGGTTGCATCACGAGGGAATCGAGCACCAGTCTTTCGACCCCGACCCTCTTCCATTGATCTCATGGCTCTACGCCTTTCGGTCAAGGAACCCTCACAGACTTGATTGTCCTCAGAAATACCCGGAAAGGTGCTCACAAAACCTCTTGGGATCTTTGGATGAACAAAACTGCATTCACGATACAGAGATATGCAACAGGTACAACCTGTAACCATGGCCCCTCTGGTAGCCAAAAAGCAGTCTAGACCCATCCTCGAACAGAGATCACAAGGATCTTTGGCACGAAACATTGGGTAGTCTGCTGAAACATCGGCGGTATGTGGAATGACTTCGATTTCGACATCATTGACGAGTTTGAGTTTCATGGGACCTGACGGTGTTGGTTGAGATGTCGGGAGGGCATTGGTCTTATCAAAGAACAATGATTCATAACAGTCGTTGGCCTCTTGCTCACAAGCTTCACCTGTTATCGAATATACATCATCCAAGTCAAACGGAGGAACATTCGAGGCATCCTCAAAGTTGAAGTACTCCATCTTTTGCCACCGAGACCCCAGCTATTTGCGGGATCACTCAATCAACAGATGGTTGTATACAAAAAGGATGGGAAGTTGGAATCCTCAAAGTGTATTGAGATGAGATGAGATATTCAGCCTTTCTCATCGGATACAAGAGGTTCAACTCCGAGGTCGGTGGAGTCAGATTATGACTCCTCAGGCAGAGAATCTTTGGCAAGCAATGTCAGTGGTTCTGTGACAATTCGCTTGGCCCACAGCACGCCCTTCCCACTACAAGTTGAACTCCTTCCAGCACTCCGAGAGCCGTGCTCCGTACATCAGGCCGAGGAAGACCACTGGGAGGCCTATTTTCAACGCCTGGTGGGCATTTCCGAGCACGCTAATTTTTCGTCAGTGGCTGCTTATGGCATCTTCCAGAAGCCTGGAGCCACCCGAACCAATTGTAGGGGCTGTCACCCCTGCACAGCAGAAGCTTTGGGGTGCTTGCGGGGTTTTCTCGCCCTGGTCACCAACTATTTCCACCGCTCATGAGAGGACCGAATGCGATGTTGCATTGGTCGGTGCGTTTGCGATCCAGAAAGCCAATCTAGTCGCGTTTATTTATCTCCTGTTCTCAGCTGACAAACTCGTTGAAGGTTACCTGTTTCAGACAATTCGAGACGAATACGTCAAGGTTATTCGCGCACTGTTGCGGTTCGTCATTGTGGTCCAGGCAGGCGTCCTTTGAAGTCCAATAACAACACATTCTATCGCTATCTGCTCCGTAACAGATTGACTGGAGTTCTCTCTGGGGAAGACCCTCCGCTTTCGGACTCGGGCATCCGGTGGAGTTAAAGTGCATCTTGGATATCACAAGGCACGTTGGACGCTTCAAATATCTTCCAGATTAGATTATATTCAATAGAACTGCCGGAGATAGTTACAAGCCAGCCGACCGCCCTTTCTCGCCGCCATTCGCAGTCGTCCATTCTACCATATATGGCATCAAATTCATTGGTCTCTTTCAATATCGTTGATTAGCGAGTGGGAATATACCTTGAGTCGCCAATATGGCGTGGATTTTCTATAAGAATAAATAGTCGGATAGTAGGCTAGTATATACTATGGATAGACACGATCGGCTAGACGCTCTTGAAGGGCAGGAACAGACTAATAAATTGTAGTAGTAGTAGTAGTAGTTATAGATATGTATCAGTATAGTAAGTAACCTTCAGCATCAAAATGATGCTATCTCTATCGGCTCGAAATTTCTGTTTTACGTTGGCGTTAATCGAGAGCCTTGCAGGTAGACTTACATCGACTAGCCGACCATCATAACAGTCCCCAGGCAGGTTTTAAAACCAGCGTGACGGTGGGATCAGCCACCACGAGTGCGCTGATGTCAGCATCCGAAGCCAAGCGACGGTTTCAACGACCGCAAGCCCTTGGGTGATACATACAGAGACAAGGATGTGCATGCATGTTCAATAGCGCTTGTTACTCAGACAGGCACGTCGTGGTGACCGTTATTTTGTGGTAACAACATTGAAGAACTCGCGCGAACTTGCCCTTCTCAACCGGAGAGTGCACTGGAGGTTAAGCCCACCTGCTTATCAACTTGGAATAGAGTGTGGTTGATGTCCAAGGTCCGAGTATTCGTTTGATGGCTTTGGTACACCTGGGATCAAGGTCCATTTGTTGCCTTCAAGTTCCCGCCAGGTTGAAATGTTTTCCATGTTCCAACATCTGCAAATCGACCTCTGGCCCTCGCTGGCCTCACCGGCATGTCCAGCTTAACCGAACCGAAGATTCATTGAGCACTATGCCCGTGTTGTCCAGCCACACTGGCGTAAACATCAATGGCATCATGGGTGCAAGATCAAGGCGCAGTGATGGCCAATGGTACTTATGTTCAACTTATATATTCTTCTCATATTTGGTGATTGAAGTCGTCGCGGCCATCGCATTTTGTGGCCGCAGGATCAACATAGCAGGGTGAGTGGGTGTCCCGAAGTGACAATGAAGTGGAAGAGAGCTCAAGTTCTGTGTTATCATCAATTCGAGAAACACGCGACGCGACCCCCACGCGATTTGAAGATAATCCGACCCCCATCAATCCCGAAAGATAATCCGGCAAAGCTTTTCATTCTGATTAATGGCAACGTGAGTAGCACGCCCGTTATGTGGAAGCCCACACGTTGCACCAGAGATGACTTGCATATGACTCCTCTCAAAACCAAGAGGACCTGAAACCCTCATGATTTCTCGCTACCCTAAGATACCCGATATCCGAGGCGCCCGAACGCAAAGGCTCATCCGATGGCGAAAGTGCCATGCCAATAAGCGAAGAGAATCTTCACATGTGAAAGGTAAAAGAAGGGATACACCATGGCCCTACTCGATTTACTTATCAATAGAAACCCTGTCATCCTGGACTGCTCCTTCCTCCAACAGCCCACAGACCTCTCAACAAAAGCTGCGACCATCCCAGACTTACCAAGTTAAGTTACCTTTGCTGTCTGCCTGTCATTCCTAACACTATGATATTTTCGCATGTGATCAATTTATACACATGTTAAAAGCACTGATAACGGAATGACCCCGGTAACATCATATCTCAGTTTTTGATTATGTTTTGATTAACCCTCCCACTCTTTTTCTTGTTGTCCTCTGTCGAGCCCATGCGCAGTCCTTGAAAGGCTGCCCACCAGAAGCATCGCAATCTATATCAACCATCGCAATGACAAGCCCCGAGAACGAGGGAGCTCTGATGGCACCGAACCAATCCTTCTACGCAGACGCTGCAACTTCCAGCATCTTCACCATGATCCCCTCCTCCGTCCGCTCACGCATACCCATTATGTCCTCCATCCGAGCTTCTGCCAAAGCAGCTATGCTTACAAGAACCCTGAGCTCTCGACGAAAAGCCTACACGCTATCGAGTCTTGATGAGTCTATGGAAGGACAAAGTGTGGGCTTCGCATCTACTGCTCCCAATAGTGGAGTGAGCACTCCAACCATGAGACCACAAACTCCTGAAAATGGTATCCGCACCCAAGACTTGAGCCTTGCAACGCTCTCACAATCAGAAACGCAATCAGGTGTTAATTGGGATGTCGCAGCGACCGGAATTCGGTTATGGATAACCGCCAAAGCCCAAGCGGAACAGTCGGGAGATTCCGCTGCCTTGCGAAGTATGCATATTGATGCAATGCGATACATGAACATGGCTCTACCACAAGACTTGACGCCACTTGAGATCGAATGCCTGCGTGCTAGTATGTCGCCTGCTCTCTTTCAGGTTGGTATACAGAGTCAGAACCAGGAGGTCCAACCTCGAAGATCACCCAGTATCCTACGAAAAGCAGTTGCTCAAATGGTTTGTTGGCTCTTTGCCGTTTTTTTGCTCATTGTACCGGTGTTCATGAATCTCCTCAACCGAGTGGTCCAGTTTGAGCGACAACACCAGATGACAGAAAAAATATTATCTGGCAGCTTTGATCTTGGATCTTGTTTGGGGGAACCTGGATCACAACTGCAGCGGTCATTCCTTCGATTCAAAGATAGCCCACTGGGCGAGTCCTGTGTCAATGCAGGAGTGTGGGTGGCAGAAGGCTTGATTGGTGGGGTCAATGATGGGATGAATGCTGTTGCGCATGGGCGTGCGGTTGTGATTGCGTAGAGTTTGCGATGTGCATGACTAGGAGGGCTAGAGCCCGGTTCCGACCCTTGATACCCATATTAGACGAATGAATGAATGAATGATATGACATGATATGAAAGTAACAATGCACGAGGCTGAAGCATAGCCTGATGTTGGGGTCGCCTCAAAAATGTTCAAAACGCGGCCATAGGATCTCCAACTTACATTTCCCTCGACATGAAATCATGTCCACATCCACATCGACCGCACCACTCCTTCCCACATTCCGACGACAGCAATTAGTCCTTGACTTGTCCGTCATCCGAAAACAATGCGAAATGTTCACTGAAAGCTAACGCTACGAAGTTCCTCACTCCGCGACGAATGCCCTGACGGGATTTATCTCTCCCTCGTCCCAGGCAAACCTTCACTATGGGGCGGTGTCTTCTTTGTTCGCAATGGTGAGTTCACCGCAATCCAATATACACATCAAGTACTAAGACGAGACAATCTTAGGGCCCTACGCTGAAGCCATCCTGCGGTTCCAGCTATCGTTCCCAGACACATACCCCTCCACACCCCCCTTGGTCACGTTCTCCACTGATGTCTTCCACCCGCTCGTCGTGCCTATGACCACTTATACGTTCAGTGCCAATGTCGATACCTCAAGTACCGTCAGTGCGTCTGATGAACACAGATTACCGCCTGGCGCGTTCAGTCTAAGATATGGCTTTCCAGACTGGTTTGCGCAGGGAGGGACATTGAACGATACATCGATGGCGCGCAAGACTGAGAATGAGAGTGAAGACGCAGAGATAGCACAGGTAGAGGGCGGAAAGAAATCTACACAGGATCCGAGTACGCTGCCCTCCAGTCCGGAACGAATACCAGCCCAGAAGGACCGCAAATCCACCCTCCTATCACTCCTCCACCACATAAACGCTTCCTTCTCTGACCCTTCGGTCCTCGACGCCCTCCCACTCGCATCCGCAGGAAATCCAGGAGCCTGGCACGCCTGGCGCGCTCATCGCAACATCACCAATCCCACATCTAGTACTAACACCGCTACTGGCGCCGACACACTAAATACACAAACCCCCGGATCAGCAACCGGCTCCCTGTCATCCACCTCCCCTTCTTCACCAAAGAACCCTGCTGCATGGAAATGGGACGGCGTGTGGGAATCGCGGGTCGACAGCGCCATCCGTGAGAGTATTGCCGAGAACACACTGTTCGGGTCTTCCGGCGCGACAGGGGCATCTGGCCCTGCAACACTTGGGATGGGATTGTTCGCTGGTGCGAGAGGAGATAGTTCAGGTTCGAGATTTGGTACTTCTCCTGGTGGTGCCTTTGGAGGAATGGGCTCTAGTGCTGCCGGCGGAGTTTCGAATCTCGATGACAGGCAGAGGTCTCAAGCGCTTGCAGATAGGCAGATTCGCTTTGCGAAGTTGCCGGATGATGGCTTACTGGATGTTCGCCGAAGGGTCGGGCTGGCGGCTTCTGTGGTCGAGGGTGGAAGGTGATAGCTGTGGTGGCGGCAGAAATATTTTGAGATGAATTGACTCGAGATATGAGCTGCTGTGACGCTATGACTACTTTCTCTGCCAGTTAAGCCAGTCGTGGAGTGTTGCCTTGGATCTATGGGGTGCGACAAGCCATGATGTCTGAAATGATAAATATGGTTGACTCAACTTTCTCTTTATTTGGTTCTCAGGTTTGGTTTTATGTATCGCTTCTTGCATGATCTCACCTTACTCCCTATCTCTACTTTGTCCAGGCTCGGAGCAGACTACGGTTCGCTACCAGTGAGCAGAAGGGCCAACGGGGCATGCATATTCTTGAATGAACGCGGTCCAATACTCCGGAAAGGCAACCAATGTATCATCAGATCTATCCACACAACTACTCCTTAAAGCCAACAAGCTCACAACTAACCTCCCACAACCTGGTCGCGTCCTCCACATCATAAGTCCAACTCGCATACCCCGGCTCCGCCAACTCCTTCTCCCTGGCCGGATCAATAGGCCCACTAACCTGCGTATCATCCAGATACTTGCCACCCTTTCCCTCCAACTCCTTGTCCACGGCGGCCAACACCGTCGTCGCGGCCCCCTGCGCCGGGGACTTCATATAGCGCTGGATCTCCGGCAAGACGGTAAACGCCGAGAAATCATAGTGTGCCTGCAGACCCGTCGTGATGCCACCGGGATGCAGGCTCCAGGCATGCAGGCCCTGTGAGCCGTAGCGTCGCTCGATCTCGTTCGCCATGTAGATGTTGGCCGTCTTGGACTGGCCGTATCCGCCGAATGGGGTGTATGCGTTGGGGCCGCTCAGGTTGATGTCGTCGAAGGTGATGCGCTGTTGGCGATGGCCCAGTGATGAGACGTTCACGACGCGCGAGTGGAATGTGGGCGTGCTGGATGCCAGGAGAGTGGGTTTCAGGAGCTGGAAGAGCAGGAAGTGGCCAAGGTGGTTCGTCGCGAATTGTGTCTCGAATCCGTCTTCGGTGAGGATCAGCGAGGGCAGCGCCATGACACCGGCGTTGTTGATGAGGATGTTCAGTCTGGTCTCCTTGGAGAGGAATTCGGCCGCCGCGGCACGTACGCTGGCCAGTGAGCTGGTGTCCAGGGTCAGGAGTTCGACTTTTCCGGGCTCCAGGACATCTGCGAGGGCTTCGCGCGCTTTGTCGGGGTTGCGTGCTGTTGCGTAGATTTTGGCGCCTGTGGCTTTCAATGCGCGGACGGTCTCGATTCCGATGCCTGATGATGTGCCCGTGACGAGTATCACTTTGTCCTCGAGTTTGCCTTCGAGCTCGTTGTCTTGGATGATCTTTAGAGCCGTGGGACGAGCGTCTCCTGGCCCGGCCGTGTTACTGGTTAAATGGGATTCTGCATACCTGGTCGTCATGTTGATGGTAACTTTGGTGTTCAATGAGTTCCAGGTCACTGAGGATCGGAATGGTTTCAAGCAGTGATAATCGATGTTGGTTATAGACAGAATAAAATCTTACCTTGTCGAATAAATTCGACACTCACCTACCTTTATATTGTTGGCTTTGGCCTCCAAGCCCGTTAACCTCTCCACGCCTGCAGCACTGGATCAGAATCCTCTAGGTCTACCCAGTGCTGTGAACTTTCATGCGAGGGAGATAACCAGAGTCCTAAGACCGACAAATTGGCATACTCGCCACGTGCTTGCATGAGTAAGTACCAAGGTATTTGTGGTTGTTGCTCAGCGAGTGGAATTAACACTCGGCTCTTTGGCCTAGGCTCCAGTAGTCTCTAGCACCATGTTCGGTAGTGGGATGCCGCATGAGCGGCCGCAAGCGGGCATAAGGCATATTGATGGCTTACATGCATATCGTTGACAGATCGCACAGATGAGGTTTAGGGTGGAGAATGATGTAGTAGAATTGCTCCGACCCAACGGATGAGACCGGTCGAAGACCAAATTCAGGCTCATTGTTTAGTTGCATCGATCCTTCAGATGCTTGTATACACGAAGTTTCTCAATGCCCCTGGTCCAGATAAACGAGACCACTTGTTCACTGGTGGGCCAAATAAATGCCCTATTGGGTAGTACGCTTTTCTTGGGGAGATGCAGGCACATTCGATAATGGGCTTTTTATTCGGATCCACCGGATTGCCAGAGTCTGATCTACTTCAGGTGAAATTCTTGGGCTGTGGTCAAAGATTCCAGAATTGTCCTAGTATATGAGCTTTTGTCTCTGGTTCATTTGGATTGTCACAGCCATTGCCAATAATCTTCTCTTCTTATGGCAGACCTTCTGAATCTCTGTCATCTGCTCACAATACCACTGATTACCAGTTAACGATCTTCCCCTCTGACCAAAACTCTCCATTTGAGCCTCTGATATCCCCAAGAGCAAGCAGAACAGGCATTGCGGCGCCTTGATCTGGTGTTTTGGTCCCACCACCTCGGGTCATATCCGTCTTGACATAGCCAGGGCAACAACTGTTGATCAATGTTTTGCTCCCACTTTCTTGATTCTGTCTGGCAATGACCTTGGTCACCCCAATCACACCTGCTTTTGAGACTGCGTAGGCAGCACTGGGCCAGTCTGCTTCGTGAGAGCCGTTCTCAACGCCGGTTGCAAACTCCTGCATCAATCTGGTGATATCCTCGGTTGTTTGGGCATTTCGGAATCGAGATTTGATAGAGTCTGAGTATTTGGAGCTCAACTGACCAGCCATGCTGGCAACGTTCACCAATCGACCACCATCTTTGATATGTGGTAAGGTAAGTTCCACTGCACGGAGGGTGCTATAGTAATTGCAGTCGAGAGTTTCCTTGACCACATTCGAGTCAAATCCTTGCAATGCCACAGCGGCATTGTTGATGAGGAAGTCCACACCATCCGGGTGATTTGTCTTGAGGTGGGCTGCAAAATCGTCCACACTTTGCTTGGAGCTGATGTCCAGATTGAGATATTTGATATCCGTCAGGCCACCTTGGCTCTTCAATGCTTTCGCTGATTGCAGTTGTTTATCGGCTGTAAGTGACTCGAGAGCAGCTCTTCCTCTTTCTTCATTGCGTGCCGTGAGATAGATGAGAAGTGGGCCGTTGTTGAAAGCAGATTTTGGATATTGCAAAGCAAGTTGACGAACGACGGCGAGACCGATTCCTTTATTGGCACCAGTAACAGCAGCAACACGGGAGTATGAAGTCATTATTATATGGGAGTGTAAAGAAACAGGTTGAATAAAATGGAGAACTAAAGAATCAGTGCACACATCACCACTCAGCTATATTCTCCATGTAAAGTGCATATGTCATCAGCGATGCCTGTCATTTCGGTGTTAATCCAGTTTCCGCCTCCTATCACCATGCTGGATTGGGATAACCACTACTGATACATATCAAGAGAATTAATCGGTAAAACCCAGGGGAACGCCTTTGCCATCAGCAATGTTGTCATTGCATTGAAAGCGCGAGTCTTTGAGTATGAGTGCTTTCATACAAAGTTTGTTCCATGTGCAATGTACCTACTCGGAGGTGTCCATCGGAAAATCGAAATCCGCAACGTGGGTGGCATGATCTACTGTAGCATCTATGCGGAGGATCATTCATGCCTCCAACCGTCGCGGCGAAAGAAAACCGAGCCTCGGATCTCAAAATTGCTTTGGTTCAGAACTCCGTCAATTGGTCACAATGGAGCTTCCACGGACCTCTCGCCTGTGTCTTGAAGCAGAAATGCCCGGCCTTAACCGACGATCACTGACGTCTTGACGCTCTCCTTCGTCCTTCTCTACAAAGTGCTCCCGCCGTGTTTTCACCGGGCCACAATAGACCATGATCTAAAAGCTATCCCTTCCGCCTTCATTCTCCATGCATTGTCTTCCTTCTTCTCGTGTATTCCCAGATGGCGTCTAAACACCTCTCTCGGCCTCTGCTAAGATTTGCAAGCCCAATACAACAAAACCGAGCTTTCTCCCGACCCTCTTTCGCCCTCGTAAATTCCTTCCCCGCACAACGGCCAGCTCCCACAAGACCGAGAGTACAACGCCCTGTTTTTGTTGCTGGCCAACGACGATGTATATCTTCAAGCCTTCAGCGACGATATGCCGATGTTGATGAGAGCTTCGATCCCGCGTCCATCGAGCGAGAGTCGGATGAAGTCGATGTCTGCATCGTGGGTGCTGGTCCGGCCGGGTTGAGTGCCGCGATCAGACTAAAGCAAATAGCGAATGAAGCAGGCAATGAGGACTTTCGGGTGGTAGTCCTAGAAAAGGCTGGAGAAGTCGGAGCACATATTCTTTCAGGAAACGTTCTCGAACCCCGAGCAATCGACGAATTAATACCAGATTGGCTATCAGAGGACAATGAAAACAGATTCACAGGAGCCACACCCGCTGGGGGTGACAAGATGCGATGGTTGACTAAATCAAGCGCCATACCTATACCTGCACCCCCACAGATGCACAATAAAGGCAACTATATCATAAGTCTCAGTCAATTCACCAAATGGCTTGGTGAACGAGCCGAGGAAGTCGGTGTTGAGATCTATGCTGGTTTTGCTGGTGCGGAGATCTTATACAACCATGAAGGTGCTGTCAAGGGAATTGCCACCAATGATCAGGGAATCGGCAGAGATGGCAAACCAAAATCCAGTTTTGAAAGAGGAATGGAGTTTCATGCAAGAATCACCTTACTGGCCGAAGGTTGTCACGGCAGTTTGACCAAGAAAGTGACTAAGAAGTATGATTTGAGAAGAGACAGTGGGCCACAGACTTATGGTCTCGGAGTCAAGGAAATCTGGGAGATCAAGCCCGAGAACTTCAAGAAAGGAGAAATCGCACATACACTGGGTTACCCACTATCGAAAGACACCTACGGTGGTGGTTGGATGTACCACTATGGCGAAAACCTGGTGAGTCTGGGATTGGTTGTTGGTCTCGACTACCCTAATCCATGGCTGTCGCCATATGGCGAGTTCCAACGCATGAAACTACATCCTTTCTACAAATCAGTGCTCGAGGGCGGAAAATGTCTCGCATATGGTGCCAGAGCCCTCAATGAAGGAGGATTTCAATCAATTCCCAAATGCGCATTCCCTGGTGGAGCATTGATTGGTGACACAGCGGGATTTCTCAACCTCCCAAAGATCAAGGGAACACACACATCTATGAAATCCGGCATGCTTGCAGCCGAATCTGCTTACACTGCCGTTACAAACAATCCCGATGCGAACACAATCTTCCTCTACGACTACGAGACAGCATTGCGCGAGAGCTGGATCTGGCCTGAATTGAAAGCTGTGCGCAACATGCGCCCCTCCTTCCACACTGCCCTCGGAGTCTACGGTGGCGTTATGTACTCGGGTCTCGAGGCATACGTGCTTCGCGGCAAAGTGCCCTGGACACTCAAGCACCCCTGCAAAGACCACGAGGCAACGAAGCCTGCCGACCAGTGCAAGAAAATCGAATACCCCAAACCAGACGGCGAGATCACATTCGACATCCTCACATCTGTATCGCGAACAGGCACGAACCATGAAGAAGATCAACCCGTTCATCTGCAGGTGAAGGACTGGGACGCCCACGCAGCCAAAGAGTGGCCGGTATACAAAGGGGTCGAGAACCGATTCTGCCCCGCCGGAGTGTACGAGTATGTCGAGGATGAGACTAAGGACATCGGTGTCCGGTTTCAAATTAATGCGCAGAAGTGAGTTACTTTTTCTTCCCTTCCTTGGTCAATGATTTCTGCTCTGGGAAAGAGAATAGCGTGCTGACATATTGGCCTGGACAGTTGTATCCATTGTAAAACATGCGACATCAAAGTGCCCGACCAGGACATCAATTGGTCGACGCCACAGGGTGGTGAAGGCCCGAGCTACAGTCTTACCTGAGGTGGTTTTGACTACGCGGCTGAGAGCATTACTTGTCCGACGTACAAGCCCTTATATTCTATGCACATATATAAAGATCTCGACGGGATGGAGAGGATCCTGGCCGAACTGGGCCTCTATGTTCAGTTCCTTCTTTTGCTGGAGGAGCACGACGGTACAAAAGCCGGAGTTACCACAAGAACCACTGAAAAACGTGCCAATTAAGAGGAAAAAGAAAACTATAACCATTGTTTCAGCCTATATGTACTTGCTATGCCGTGCTTGAGATGTAGTCATAACGTCATGTGTGGAGTATATCTATCTACATAGATAGGTTTGAACGTTACCCAAGTGACCCGGCCCTCCAAACCCCAGAGACAGAACAAAGTGTGGTCAGCATCACGCCCTACCGATGATGGGCTCCATGGATATCCAACCCTGAGCTGCTGGATGATTGCCTTTCCACTCGTCTTTCAGAACTTCGTGGGTGGTCGTGGTCGTGGTCGTGGTCGGACCGCCATCGAGATTTCGCGCAGGCACTTTGCCACTTGGACCGGCGACAGCTCTGTCTTTGTTTTCTCTTGGTCGGACAGTACGGTGCCCTTCCTGATCATTGTAGTAGTCGTGGTTCCGTTGCTTCATCTGAGCATTCCGTTCGGCCCTGGGCGTTAGCTTGGTAGTACTGAACAAAATACCTGCCGCAGTGCAATGCGTCGAATGTCGATCACGTCTCGCGGGTAATGCTGATGGGTTGGTGCGTGGAATGCGCCAGCCTCGTGTGGCTTCTGATGGTACACACGCACGACTCGGGTAATATTGCCAGTGGTGGTCCTTGCGTTCTGGGTTATGGGGCAACGGGTTTTTTGAGAGGGCTGGTGTCAGCCTAGGTTTTGCAGTCTGCTTCTTACCATTTGCATCAGGAAGGCTGGTTCTGGTGATCAGTTTTGACAGGATTTCTGATACCCAAAGGCAGATCGACATGACGCCGGTGCTGGTGGAGAAATATCGTGGCATCAACCAGAAGTTTGATCATTTCCAGGGTTGAAATACTGGGCATGCCGATGCCTGATTGCTCCATCTTGATGGCAATCGGGTTTTCGTTGTATCTCACGAGTTTTGTCTTTCCACATTGTGGTGGAACTGAGATGGAACTGTGATGAAGCATGGGCCTTGTCAAGCAATGCTTGTGAAGGACGATGTGCTTGACACCTGTCCTTCGTTGATGTGAGGTTCAATCAAAACGAACCTCAGTGCCATTGAGGTTGGAACAAACCATAGTGAATAGTTTGATCCGGAAGAGGTCAGATGTGAACCGGGATAGTGTTGTGCACGCAGCATAAAACTACGGTTGTTCATCCGAAGATGAGATTGCTAGAGATAGCCTTACCGGAGATCCTTTCACAAGGCTGGGACTAAGAAACGGTACTATGTTCAGAAAGGGCATGTTTGACGAGGAATGGGCTGATGCAACCATTGGAAAAAACGGGTCGGATATTTTAGTGGCTTAACTTGTCACCGGTTAAGAACAGAGTGGCCACAAGGTTGATTGGTTTTGGTGGCGTCAGGTTGAAAGAAACCGGTTGCTGCCAAGCCTCAATGCCTGTCAATCTTGCGCGGCATGTGAAACTGTTTGTCCTTGGATCCCTGACAATATTTGTGACTCATTTCTTTCTTGCATTTGCTTCCTCCACCGCCCAAGTCCTTCGTTTTTATCTGTCCAGATAAAACTCATCCGATGGTGATGACAGCCGAACGAGATACAACTTGTTAATGCATTCTTGTGTCAACGGAAGCGAGTATTCAAAGACGGGCGATGACCTGGGTCTCGACACGAGTCACATTATGATTGAAGTATTTGGTTGGGGTGACTCTGGGCTTGCCCGGGGCATCTTTGGCACCCCCGAGCTGATCCTTTTTGCCCCCCCAAGCAGAAATTTTCCACTCTGAAGCACGTGAGCTTGGGCCAATGTTACACCACTGGGACTTGGGTACCATTCCGCTTCGGCAACTCCATTGAGCTAAAATTCCTGATTCAGCTCGATACAAGCCACACTTGTTGTTCATGAATTGCCCCTGAGATCATCTTCAGACAAAAAAGGCTCGCAACTTTTGACCTGGACTTTTGTCATTTGATGGGCGCACAAGGCAGGAATCTCGTAGGCTTGGGGAGTGTGGGAAGCTGCATTAACGCAATGCATGCGTGCAGTAGGAAAAAGGGGCAGATAATGGAAGGTGCGATGATGTGGACAGGGTGACGGATGCGGTTTAGCGGAATCATTAGCGTGAGACTAGTGTGGCGGGGTTGGAGGAGCAGCTGTGAGTATAAAAGGAGGCTGCCCTCCCATCGCGAATGCTCCCGGTTTTTCTGACATTTTCTGGCTTGGCACTTCGCCGTAACCGCTTTTCATCCTCCACGGTCTCTTCCACCAGGTTTCTCAAGGCTGAATCAGCGCACTCCACGCCGCTTCGCCTCTTAACCTGCCCCTCCTACATACCTATCGTATCCTCCTCATCGTCGTCGACTCGAGTTTCCTTCTCGTCGCGACCTCTCTATATCTCTTGGCGTATCGCTGCAATCAAGACACAAGCGTTGCGCCTGGCCATTCTCTTATCACAAGAACATCCCAAAAAAAGGTTCAGAAAGAAGAAGAAGCCGCAATCCATTTAGACAAACTGCACTTTCCGCAATAGTAATTCGCTCCAAAAAGTCATTCGCACTTCTCTTGTTGCCTTGTTTTTCGCATATCATCGGTCCAGGCTCGTCGACCGAACCTCCACCTCGAGATCTTTTTTCAAGACTCCGAAACTTCAAAGTCAAGGACAGTTGTTTGTAGGGGAGACATTGAATTGTTCATCTCCCACATATCGGTACGAACTCACTTCCCCTGCGCCATCGAGTCCTTTCATCGCCGTCGTCGTCGAAGTTTCGGGTGCGCTACCTGATTTGTTGTGGGTGCGTGAACCTTCACTTCAAAGTTCACTGCCTCACCTCAATCGAGCCTCACTTCAACCGATCGACCCTACTAGCCTGCGCCCCCTCTCTGTCCTTCCTCCCTCGTCTCGTCCTCCAACCGTCATCCTAACTTGTCTCTCCCACAGACTGTTTTTATCCATCCTTTCTTCGATCTACCAATCGTCGAAAGAATCTTGACTGCGATCGCTTTATTGCGCCGCAGTGCAAATCTCACATCTTTGCAATCATGGATTCCCTTACCACTCATCCTTCCACCGCACAACAGGCCAAAGCCTTCACCTCTCCCGCGTCTCTCTCGTTCCCTGGTGGTGCCGGGGACTTGACACCGCCTTCCTCTGAGAAAGATGGACACAACCTCAACGGTGGCTCTTACGCAGACGGGAAGATGAATGGTCAGCAACAGGGTGGAAATGTTCTACAAACTCCTCAAACCCCAACTGCTACACCTGGTGCTGGAGTGAGTGGTATTGTACCTACTTTGCAGTGAGTATTCATCCTTTGTTGCCCTCCTGGTCAGCAGAGGTTAACTTTACTTTCCAAGAAATATCGTCGCAACAGTCAATCTTGATTGTCGTCTCGATCTGAAAACAATTGCTCTGCATGCTCGCAATGCTGAGTACAATCCCAAGGTACGTTCGACTGATCACTTCGATCTTTCCGCCTACTAACCCTGATCAGCGTTTCGCCGCTGTCATCATGCGTATCCGTGACCCAAAGACCACTGCTCTGATCTTTGCATCTGGCAAAATGGTTGTCACTGGCGCCAAATCGGAAGATGATTCCAAACTTGCTAGCCGCAAGTATGCTCGTATCATTCAGAAACTTGGCTTCAACGCCAAGTTCACCGATTTCAAGATTCAAAACATTGTTGGCTCTTGTGACATCAAGTTCCCCATTCGACTCGAAGGTCTTGCTTCCAAGCATCATCCTTTCAGTTCTTATGAGCCTGAATTGTTCCCTGGTCTTATCTACCGCATGATCAAGCCCAAGATCGTATTATTGATTTTCGTCAGTGGAAAGATTGTACTCACTGGCGCCAAAGTCCGCGAGGAAATCTACCAAGCATTCGAGCAGATCTACCCAACACTATCAGGTTCGTTTCGTCCAACCTTCATTTGTTTAGTAGTAACTAAAACTTGTCGCAGATTTCCGCAAAATCTAATATGACCGTGTTGGCGATCTCTGTATCACCACAATCCCCTACCTCAACTTTTGACAATGGTCATCTTGTCACAGTTGAAGGACGGCAAACTACAATCTTCCTTTTTTTGCCCGTGTTACGACTAGTCTATGAGCATTGCATGGCGTTTTGAGCGATGACATTTTTTCCCTTGAGTGGACACCAAAAAGGACGATGGTGCCGCTGGCTTTTATTACACCGATTAGAAACGGGTCTTCATCGACACACGGGTCATTGGCGGTATTCGGCGCTGGTCGATTTCGGTACCGTCTTGGTTCTCATATTCCCTCTTCAATTTCAAATCTGGTTCATGGCTCGAATAAAAAGAACCATGAACATATTTTCCGGCGAATATACCAAAGGGTTTCCGCCTGGGGTATGGGAGGGAATCCTCGCTTGAGAGCGGAACTTCCGTGACGATTATTGATCCTCACGCAGAGATTGGACCTGACGAAGTTGTCGTCAAGCATAGATTGATGCAAAATGCAGCCAAACCTGCATGAAGCAAATGGTTGTGAGAGAAACAATGGAGTGGTGGATGAGGTATAGGGGGTTATCGTACTTCGTCTCAGTGGTTGTGCTTCGGATCTTTCTTGGTCGAACATGACCCGAGACTGAACCTGAGCGTTAATCATCCAACATAGCTTAATAGTCAATAGACGATAATTCATCCTCCATAAGGTCTTCTCTTCGCCACTGGGCATATCTTGATATATCGAATCTCGTGTTTGTTGCAAGGGTTGAGTCAAGCCATGTTGAAATATCTCGTTTGCTTTTCGGCCCTTCTCCGATTCTGTGACACTGAACCCTGCCTAGGGATGCACAGTACTTTTCTTCCGGCCTCTGTCCGAAATGCATGTCGCGTACTTTTCGTGACGTGACATGTCAAGAGTGTCTCTCTTGCATTTCCTTGCTCGAGTGAACTTGGATAACATGGCCGCCGAATACATTCCGAGGGGTTTCTTGGTTCCGTTGGTTGGCTTACCTTTTGTCCCTTCCTCGAAGGGGTGAGATGTCTTTCTTTGCTGTACCAAAAACTGGAGTGCTGTGTATCGAATAGAGGAAGATCGGTGTGGGAGAAAAAATGAGCAGCTTAGAAGATCACGCGTGCTATTCAATAGACAGTGAATGAACAGCAAGAAAAATCCGACGGAATTAAAAGAGAAAGGTGGGAAATGTTTCGTTGTTTGTTCCTTTTAGATGTTGATCCAATGCAGAAAGTAAGGGGTGGTGATGGTCCCAAGTTCAAGGAATCTCGGCTTGTTTTTTATGTAGTTCCTCGTGGCCCGTGGGTTATTCGAGGTCTGAAGTGTTTTGACGTCTTGGTGGTTCAAGTGTCTCACGTCCCTGTTTATCCGTATCCGGCTCCAGGCGATGGATCGAAGGAGGCAGGCCATGGTCTCCACCATAAAGATCACAAGGGAAACACTTTATCACGAATGTCTGGCCTCCCGGCTGTCTGTGCGAGCTTGGGGTTTTCGACTCTTGAGACGGAGGTTGTGTATGAAAAGACTGTTCAATTTCGATGGAGCTCAATCCGCAAGCCATGATGAGCATTGTAGGGGCTTTCTCTCTCCTGGAGGTATCTACGGAGCAAGATGACCTCCGACCCATCATCTCCACATCAGAGCACCTTTGCAAAACATGGCTGGCTGGAACGATCAGCTACACGTCAGAAGACATTGATAAGAATGCAATTCCAATCCCAACACCCGCTGGCTACACGTAGATCATCACTATCATCATTTTTATCACGTTCTCGTCCTCTTCGCCTCCTCAGCCAAGATCATCCCTTTTCTCCCGGCGCGACTCCCATCATCACAGCCCAAAAAAGTCTCCCCATCCATATCCCGCTTCAAATCTTCCGGTGTCCTCCACCGCCACAGCTCTGCCAGCTCCGGGTCTAGCTTCCCCTGCAGTGCATCGACGATTTTGTCGCCTATCACGGGGAAGAACTTGAATCCGTGGCCGGATCCTCCCGTGGCGATGAATAGGTTCTTGTGGTGTGGGTGGTAGGTCATGAGGAAATCGCCTGATGGGCTGGAATGGAAGGGACATAAATAAGTTGGGGGAATGGAAAATAAGGGAGACAGAGAGACGGAAAACTTACGTGTCGCAGTACCAACATATCCTAGTCCGCGTGAACGGCCGGTCTTTCATGTGCGGGACGAGAACCCCCATTGCTTCACGAATTGCGTCTTCCGCTTCTAGAGGTATAGGGACGGCGACTTCAGGAACACTGACTTCAATAATCGAGTCGTCTTCGTCGTCGCCAGCATTGCCAGCATCAGGCTGTAGTTTCTTGCGAGGAATCTTGACCAGGTTCCGATATCCATAGCCGTGTCTCGCGATCTTGAGCTTTCTGTCGCGAGGGGGAATGATGAACATGCCCTGGCTCCAGTTCATGACCACGGGCCGGTGTGCCATGGCCTCCTGCTCGTCTTCGGTGATGTCGATGAATGCCACAGCCTGACCCGTTGCCAGACATCGCCCTTGCAGGTCAATGAGGGACGGGCTCCAAGCTCCAGCAGTGAGAACGGTGAGATCGGCATGCATCTGCCTCCCATCTTGCAATTCCACGCCTGTGACACCGTGATCGTCTGAAAACAACAGCCGATCGACCTTTGCACCGCTGTAAATGGCAACTCGATCACCTCGTTCCCGCTCCACCCTCCGCAACGCAAAAGCAACACACGCCTCGGCATCCGCCCAGCCCGAATTCCCGTTGACATAGCCATGGTCACCACTGACACCCTCATAGCCCGTGGCGGCCTGGATCTCCACATGGCCATGCAATTCGCGGATCTTAGTCAAATCCCCTCCGCCACTCACATCCGCCGCCGCGAACGCACGCACATTGTCGAGCGACTTCTGCACGTACGCACCATGGCCTTGATCGGCCGTCAAGACGAATCCGGGCTCGTGGTATCGTCCCTCCCCGCCCCAGCCGTCGGGCGTCGTGTCACGCCACAGCTCCTGAACCTCAAGCGCGAGTTTGGAATACGGGGTCGACGCGTAGTCTGCGCGCACGATCCGGTTGGCGTCGACGGATGAGCCCGATGGGTTGGGCAGTTGTGGCGAGCTGTCCACTATGCTTATCCTGGTGTTTGAGTATGTGGGATTCGAGAGCAGCGAGAGTGTGGTGGCTAGTCCGAACTCGCCGGCTCCGATGATTAGGATGTGTTGTGGAGTTGGGGGGATGTTAGTAGATGTGGTGGTAGCCATGTTGATTTCGTAGGTTTATATATGTACGTGTAAAATGGAATATGTCGGTGCACCTACATTCGCCTCATCTACCACATACAGCTTACCTGACTAGCCCCTGATTAAGAAAGGAGTCAATGTCCTGTGGACATGTTGATTCATAGCAAAAAGTCTGAAAATCAAGCTCCAAACTTGGTGGTGTGCTTCTCCGCTTTTTTATTCATTTCAGCGGCCTTGTGCGTTTGCAGTGTTCGAAATTCAAAGGTCTAGAAGCCGAAGCCGAAGCCTTGTCAGACCTTTTGTCGCTTTAACTTCGGCTCTGCGGACACTTTTTTCAAACAATCTCCAACTCGATCAACGTGCAGCTCATCACCTCCCACATGGTGGTCATGGACTGACAGCAAGAAGCCAGACATACACCAAGGCCTTGTGTTCGCGATGCAGAACCTACAGAGCTCTCGAATACCGCACCTCGCACACTCCCTCCTCTACAAACGAGCAGCTCCCCAGCAGCGCCTGAGACAGGCCTTCCGCACCTGCAACACCACCACCACCACCACCCAGCATGTCTACAACACACACAGACAAGCCTCGACGGCCATGAAGCGATTTACACGCCGACGACCCACACCAAGCCAGGCATACCCTTCAAACACCCCGATCCCAACACCCACATACCAGGCCCCTCAACGCCCACTCCCAGCATGGCTACGACGGCTGTTCATCTCGCAGTCCGGGTATTTCTGGGGCGCGTCGGTGTTCGGAGTGGTCGTGGCGGCGTACCTGACCATGACATACATCTCGTACGTGCGGGCGGCGGAGCGGTCCAAGACGCTCGACCTGGCGCAGAACGCCGACGTGTCGAGCCGGTGGCAGGACCTGTCGCGCGACTTTGACGACGAGGTCGAGATGAGCGAGAAGCTGGCGCGCCTGCACAAGAAGCGCGCCAGGCTGTGCAGTCAGGCGTACGGCAACGTCCTCGAGGTCAGCTGTGGCACGGGCAGGAATCTGCGCTTCTATGATCTCAGGCCCCTGCGTATGCCGAAGGAGATGCGGATAAGGAGTCTGGTGTTCAACGACCAGAGTGAGATTATGGTGTATCAGGCCCAGAAGAAATATGACAAGTTGCTGGAGGAGGCGGAGCCGATCAATCGCTACAAGGGGCCGGTCAAGTTTGTGGTCGGCGATGGAGGGGATCGGCGTGTCATATCCAGGCCCGAGGGCGGGTTCGATGTCATTGTCCAGACGATGGGCATCTGCAGCATGTCGAATCCCGTCGAGTTCCTCAAGCGTCTGGGGACTTTGGCCAGGCAGCCGGGAGAGAAGAGCACGGGGATAGTCACAGGGGATTCGGCAGCAGCAGCAGAGGAGAGCACGGAGGCGGTGACAGGCCCGGACTTTGGCGCGGTCCCTGTGGATCAAGCTGAAGACACGACCATGGATAAAGGTGGCAAGATCCTGCTGCTGGAGCATGGCCGGTCGACGCTGGAATTCGTCAATGGCTACATGGATGAGATCGCCAAGGAACACGCCGATCGCTACGGTTGCTGGTTCAACAAGGATATCGAATCCGTCGTCAATGCAAGTGGCTTGGTCGTCGAGAGTATGACCAGGTCTTCTTTTGGCACCGTCTATGAATATGTCCTGCGGCCGGCGCCCGCCGTCAAGGTGGGAGATCACGATCACAATCACAATCACGATCAGGAGAAGAAGAAGTGATGTTGTTGTGCTTTTTGGAGAGTCTACTGCTGCAACGAGTCGTTCAGACGTTGGATGCAATAGGATTTTCTTCTTTTGGCCTCTTTTGGAAGTCAAGATGCTTATAGAAATGAGGCATTGTAGCGCACGGAAGAAATGTACCCTCAAAAGGACTGCTCCTCACGGGAAGGCAGTCGACGGGACGAGCTCTATCTCATCAGACCCCGGGCTTGCGACCTTGAAGCTGGGTTTCTGATGGTCCCCTTGGCATAGAATCTGGGGCTCATTATCCGTCTATGTACTATACTCGATTTCAGGGAGAAGGTCAGAGAATCACATCTCTCCTGTCATCCTCAATACTGGAGTCATGGACTGGTGGTACAAGGTGTGAATATGTTGTATGAACATATTGTATAAATATCAGGCTATATAAAGCCACAAGAGGCTGTTTCGTCCCTAAATAGACATCCTATTCTCCCATATACATTCGCCGTATCCTGTGCAATAATATGTTGAAGGGAGACTTCTTGGATATACGTATTATGGGATATGACAGTTTGAGTTGTGCTCCTGAATAGATGTGGTTCGCCCGCACGAGGCTGAAAAGGTCAGGGGAAATTAGATCCGGCCGATGGGCCATCCTTAGGCAGGGGATAGGGGCAAGCATGACATGTCATCGCTCCAGAGCCCGAGGGTTCCGACCTCCATAGTTTTGAATAAAATCCGGTTGAGCCTGAAGTCCGAATGGCTTACTAGAAAAAAGAAAAAGAAAAAAGTCGCAGGCTTGCCAATTGCTAGTGAGGTAGGATCTTATGGGTTGCCCACACGTTTTGAGTTCTTGGGGGCGGCGGACGAATGATGCGATGCGATACGAGGCAACACAGGATGCGTTGAGCGCGGAGTGGTAACCAAGTCTAAGAGCGTGGCGATGGTATGCCCCTACTAGGACCATATTCACTTGGTAATTGATAAGCAAAAGGACCGTCCGCTGATGATTCCCGGCGTGTAGGACGCTCTCTCGAGGATATGCATCATGATCCCGCGGGTGGTGAGAATCGTGGCATCTGCGGCACCCATGGGGCGGTACGGGAAATCATTTGAGATGCCAATACCCTGTAATGCAGGCTACGTTATTGCCGTTAGCGACTTTAGTGGGCTGGTTTACGTGAATCTACCAGGGGCCAGGGACATATTCCGAGACCATGATGTAGTTGTTTGTGTCGACTACCTTGTAAATGCCCAAAGACATGGGAGGGGTTGGTCGGTCGTAGACCTCGAAACTTAGATCTGGATGTTACTTCCGCGGCACGGCATCTAACTTAGATTCACGGCAGAAAAAACATTAGCAGCAGGAAATCTGCAGTATGGGGTAAAGCAATATCCTTGGATGGTGCGGAGGAAGGCATAGATACATAATTTTGGCATCATGCTTGCATAAATAGTGGCGAAAAGGCAGCAACCAAGGTCGGAGATATGTCGAGTATCTGATGATTAGCAGAGATTTTGAATTTGTTAAGCGAGAATGGAAGGATGCTGATCAGGGTGTTTTGTTGGAGTATTGTTGATTGGAGATAAGGGGCCCTGTTCGTGATGTCAAGATCAATTGCCGACTTTCGACTGACATGTAAGATGGCTGAACAATACTAGTAAGTGGTGATGTTGGCGCATCATCGTTTAGCTGAACCAGCAGATTGGACAGAAAGGGATTCGCTCTTTGATGATGTATTGCGCTTATCGACATGCCGACCTCCAAGATCATTCTGAACAGGTGCTGGCTATCAAATCAAGCAAGTGTCTGTGTGGTAGAGTTTTGATCTTCGTCGAACTGAAGGACAATGCTTAACCCCCAACCTTGATATGTGGGGAAACCAGTTGAGCTTGGAGAGTTTGTATCAACTGTGAGAACCCTGTTGGTCTCGAGCACCGAGCCGGGGGACACAGTCTGAAAGAGGCCATGGTGATCCAAACGGGATGTTTAGTTTTGACGAATCAAGTAGGTGTTGGGTTGGCGCTATTGAACTTCTAAGACAAATGAAAAACGCATTGTCCTTGAGACCGTAGCATGGGAAGTAGCTCGACTTCCCCAATAGTAAAATAACGTAATTTGTACCAGCGGCAATTCATGGACTGACCAGGGTCTGTGCAAGAGTATAGAATATTGCCAAAGTTTGAGCTGAATTAAGTTCTCTAATGGAGGTGATGTGCGATGCGGCTGAAGGGGTACGAAGTAGACACTGCCATAAGAGGGAGGTAGTTTCGATAAGAGCCTCCTTACCCTCGAGTCGGGGTGATTGAGCTACAAGGGCTAGAAAGTATCTTTGTAGTGTTGAGGTTGAGATCGAGTTCTGGTAGATAGCTCTCGATCAATGACATCTATGAATGCGGATGGAGTGCATGCACACATGCGTATTCGGTTGAAATGATATCGATCGAAGGCCGAGGCTTCTGTTGAACCATTTCTCGTAACACTGCACATGCCCTTTACTTGCTCCGCAAGAAAACAGGCACTGCAGCTGCAACAAGGAGGGGGTTTCTTGGCATGTCGAGTCCGTTTCAGAATGTGATCACGTGATCGACCCCTCCATTTCTGTGTGTCTGACTGACTCTTTGAGTTTGTTTGAGTTTTGACACTCGTGACGGAAGCCACGGATCTGCATCACTTGAGAACTGCCACCCAAAACAAACTTCTCGGTCATATCCTGGCGAAGTTGAAGCTGGAAGAGGCGATGTTGCGACATTTGACAGATGCTACCTGTTGGCACAGCTGAAGTACTCGTACGATGGCAAAGCTGTCAATGGGGAAGATCCTTGCTGGGTAGTTTTAACAGTGCTAGTCCTCGTGAATAGTGAGGCCTAGGCTGTGTTCCTTTCTCTTGAGTTGCTCGTCCTGTCTATCTTCCAAGCGTCGCCTAGAGCAACCCCAGATGCGTATTCGGGGGGTAGGATATTGCCCTACCGATCTCTGACATACCTAAGTCTGAGACTGTACAGTACGTACACAATCCCTCGTCATCATCATTGTTATGACAGGTCAAATGGATTGCCATGTGGATTACTCGCATCGCACAGGTCAGGTTGGTTGCTTGGTTGGATTTTTGTGTGGGAGAGAAAATTAATTATTTTTTTCAATTATTCGAGGAAAGTGGGGAGGAGGAAGAACGATTGGATCGGTAAGGACCCAAGCTCGTGTCATTCTGGAGCCACCCCCCTGGAAGGTGCAGCCACCAGTCAACGCCAGTAAACCTACCCAAGTCATGCCTTTTCCGGATCACTCACTGCAGTGAGCAGCGAGCAGTCCAAAAATCAAGATTTGTTAGACATTACACAGGAATCACTTTCCTGGCTTCCAAGCTTGCCGCAATATTCAACCATCCAATCGTCCTTTTCTCGCTCGTGCTGACACGGGAATCAGACCCCTTGCTTTATCTATTTCCATGATTAGTGAGGGGTCTGGATTGGCTACCGCCTTCTTGACTCTGTGTCATCCTGCAGTAGCTACATTCTAACATTGACGCGAGGGTTTTAGTATCATGACCTGAAGTAGTATCAGGCCTCACCCGCGTTTCTGACCATAGATGATAGAGTCGGCCGGTGTGTCTCGATATTCAAGTATCATCCGAGTCTTACGAGGGACCGACCTTGTTGCAAAACTTTTCAACCATCAGTTCATCACACCACCATAAGCGACCAGACACTGCGGCATTGATGGACGAGTTGATGACCCATGCATTCTTGATGAGGTCGAAACTCCTGTCAAAAAAGCCAAATAGGAGATGAGCGACCCAACGTGAGCGCAATTGAGATCAGAATAATAATGTAAAAACTTGAAGATGAGAGAGTGCATCAGCCCATGTCAAGAAACAGGCGAAACTCTGGGAAGTGCATCCGCGCGCCGTGACAATAGGCGGGTTAGGCTGGAATTTGGATGGAATAGGCGTTGAGTTATACCACATGCTGCCTAGAGCTTGGTGCCTGAGGGGCCATGCTAACGTTGATGACTCCGTCTTTAGCTGGAATGGCTACCAATGGGTGGTTTGGTTTCGTGGTCGGATCTCGAGCCAGCCAGCCCAAGACCCTTAGAGACGTCGTATGGACAGGGATGCTTAAACTCTGCGTCTCTGGATCTCCGGCTGCCATTGCAGTGCCCCATGCTCGATACGTACTCGATATCCACTTGGAGCTATTTTGTACGTTTTTTCACAACCGCCACTGCCACTGACACTCCGTACTCTCCACTGCATCAGAAACTGCTCTCTCTCACTCTCAAACGCAAACTTGAGCTGCAAGCTTGCATTGCTGTGCTTGACTTTCAATCACTCCCATTTCCATTTCCATCTTCATCTCTTCCTTTTGGTCTTGTACAACATCAACCAGCCACACTGGCTTCTGTGATGATACTGCACCTGGTACTTCTATTCCGTACCCCCCTCGTTTATATCACAACAGCAAACAATTCCACTCCCACCCGCAGCTCGCAAAAGTAACCAGGCGCCCGTCTCTCTCTTTCGGACCCTTTGTAACTTTTTATGATTTTCGGTTTCTGCCTGTACTTTTAACTCAACTCAACAACAACAACAATCAACAGGCAGATCCGATCCTTCATCCTCCATCCACTTGTCAAATCTGTCTGCTTACCGCTGTTTGGCCAACCTCACCATTCAGCAGTAACCGCGACATCTTCCAGACGCAAGGAGGCCAAGGCACCGCCATCCCTGCACCCCTGCTGCAGCTTCTATTGCTCCACGCATCGGCACCTTGCATTGCGTTGCTGCATTCCAACTGGCATCCCCAACCAATCACGCTCTCGCCGCCTTTGTCACACACTACACTGCATCCAAACCGTTCATTCCTCCCCCGTCTTGCCTCCTGGACTTTTCTGCTGGCTCCTGACCGCAGCCTGCACTGGACCTGCACCAGCACCATCATCACATCACCATCTCATCCCGTCCCATATCATTTTCATTAACCGACCATTCAATACTTCTGCCACCAGTATCCCAAGTCATCTTGTACCAGTCCTCATCTCATCCCAAGGTTATACACACTTCACCATCCGGCGACCCTTATCCATCTCGCCATCTACACCTCCATGACATTGATTCGCCATGCCTTACAACACTCGTCGCAAATCTCTCTCCCTACCATCTCTCGGTATCCACGTGCCTAGCTCCTCACGCATTCACCGCCCATCTCTAAAGTCAACGCAGGACTCGGAGTCGCTACAGTCACCTCCTTCCAAAAAATTAAAACGCTCCCATACCAACGATGAGCCCCTGTCGCCAGTCTCATCTCCTCGTTCCAAGGTTGGTTCTCCAGCACTCGATGAGATCGCTGCAACAACGTTTGCCAATCAAAGACATGCAGCCGAACAAACTCCTCCTCCCTCACCTGGATCGAGACCTCAGTTTCGCAAAGTTGACATCGATGGAATCAACGACGACATTGTCATTGGGGTCATTGAGCAGCTCGAAAAGACGGGCAATCGCCCACACCTCATCAGAGATCTAGCGACTATCCTGGCCTCGACCAATAACAGTATTGCTCAGTAAGTCACTCCTTCCTTGATGCGCGACTCTTGCTGACCTGTGATAGTTCTGCTAATCCAGCCGCCCTCCTCTCATCCCGTCTGAGTCTATACCTGAAACGACCATGGACTGCTTTGTCACCATGTCCCTTGGCCAAGGAGTTGATACCGGTTCACCCGAGAAAGGTCTTCTTCTTCTTAACTACTCAACCACGAATGCCCCTACCAGAATCGTCTGATGACATTCTACCACCCCCTCTTATCCCCGCCAAGAACCTCACCCCCAGCGTTTCCGATCACAGCCAGATCGATGATTTGGAATTGGACCAAAGAGATCGCTCTCGAATGTCCCCTAGTCCAGAGGTAGAACTATACTCCCCGGAACTAGACCAGGACGATTCCATGCAGCCTACCACACCAGGCGACCACTTTAGTGCTAGGAGCAGTCTTAACCCGGATGGTACTCCCGAAGTCCGACGCCGGCCAAATCGTGCTCCTAGTCCTCCACTAGAGGCTGACGAACGTGGCTTTACCGAGACTGCTACTGCTGTGCGTGCTCGTGGCATGAGTCTTCGTAACCCAACCATTCAAGAATCGGTCGAAAGCGACAAACAAGTCTCAATAGTCGAGGTCTCCGAGGAAACCCCTGAAATGCGACAAAAGAGAGATCGCGAGCTAGGAATGGAACTTTTCGGTACCTCACATTCCGGGCTACAGGCCCCAGAACAGAAACTCCTCATCAGCAGTCCGATGATTCCTGCTCGACAAGACCATCACTCAACCATGACCAAGATGAATCTCACATTAAACCTTGATGACATTGACATGTTCGAGTCTGCTTGGACACTCAAAAGCCCCGAGCAGATGGACATTGAAGAGCTTGAGGATTTGTTCACTGGTTTTTGATCGACACCACATCTTCGGAGTCGTTCTCTATTGAATCTCACATCATCACTCCCACCTACCTCTCCACTTCTTTACTTTATCAAGTGTTATGCAGGCAACTTGAGTTTTTTTGCTTTTGATTCAAACTGGCGAAAACACGGCATGCTTGGGTCTGCGAGTTGTTGACCATTTATCATTTTAGCGACATTGTCATCAAGATTTGATCTGTTTTGAGCTATAGATGCATATTCCTGCGTCGGGGATATATTGTCACAATACAAGTGGCTGTCGAGGGTAAAGCATGATGACCAAGAGTTCATGTGTATGTAGTACTAGAAAATCACTTGACCATGGTTGATGGTTAGTGATTGCTCAAAATGCAGCGTTTCCTCTGCAAGAGATGGCAGAGAAGAAAGCGAAACGAGAAATCAATAAAAAGCAGAAGACAAGAAATATTCAAACACCAAACATTTGAGCCATCCGATTTCCATTCTTGTTGTGTTCTCACATCTCATTGTTTACCACGATAACGATAACAGCCCGCACACTGGAAAGTCAACACGGAAACAACACATGCACTTCCTCGATGCTCCGTAATCGTGACACCTGAGCTTCCCCCTTTCAGTAGTATCTCTCCATCTCCTCCACACTCACTCCCTCGTTCTCGTACTTCGTTCAACGGCCTGGGACATCCCGCACTCCGCACCAGAGACCACGAAAGGTAATTCCTGATCCGAACATCTCTTCTGTAGTTTGATGGAATTTCACCAATGATTTCTCGTATCGAGTCCTAGTATTCGATACTCTTTCCCTTCCCCGCCCAGCCTTTCTAACCAGCCATGCTGCATGTCAGTCACTTTGGCACCCCAACATGTGTTTTTTCTCGTAGGTACTCGTGAATCTACCTAGGTACGTGCCAGTTGCGACAGACCCCGTCTCTGCAACTCTTTAATTTACCTGGTCTGGCTTCGTATCTGTATCCGTACCCTTCGAGTCCAGTGAAGGTGGGAAGGAACCCACGGGCCCACAACCTAACCTTGACTCCATGCCCCGATCTACAGCGTAGTGTAGCGGCACAGTGCAGTGCGGTGCAGTGCGGGCATTCCCTTCCCTGCCTGACAGTAGTGACTAGTAGCATAGCGCGCCCAGATATCACGTACTACCTAACTAGATACCTAGCACTCAGATGCTCGTGATCCATCGATCGAATCTACGTACAAAGTAGCACTCTCACCGCCCTCGATCACCAAATAGCGATCGACTTCTTCATCCAATGCTAGTTGCGGTACGGCTTCGCCTTCGCGCTTCGGCCCCTCGTCCGCAGGCTTTTCTGTTCACCGCCATTTCTGACCGCCCTCCTCCCCCGGTGCTCGATGGATGCTGCTTGGCGGGCGTCGATTTTCGATTTTTGGACGGGCATTATGTGGCAGATTGACAGATAGACTGACTTGTCAAGTCAGGGCCTAGATTTCGCTGGGGCTTTTGGATTCCAATGACATTTGATCGCGGCTGGGCTGGGCTGCTTGTCGTGGCTGATGCGGGTGGAGTGGGAATGCGGATTGAGTTGTTTCATAGGTAGGTTAGGTATGTGTGGATTGCGTTTGAGGCAGTGTAGGGATGTGAATGGAAATGTGATGGTATGGGAAGTACAAGTTATGGGATCCTGGTGTAGACTTCACATGTGGTGGTTGGCTCGAATCGGGCTCCCGCTTTGGGATGCCCGGGGACAACGATTGGCATGTGTTAGACATGCCAGGTACAAGGCACAGGAATACGAGATACCAGCAACAAGCTCGATGGAGGCTTGCTAGGAAGACTATATCATCAAGTTGTCCTAAGGATCGGTCGGCTTTCATCGAGGAGGCTCAATGGTCTAGGCACAGGTATGTTGGATTGATCGGAAAGACTCATTCACGGCAGTCCATGCAATGGTCCTATGTTGGCTCCTCAAGGGGGGACGATATGCCCGTCGAGTGGGTGAGGTCCAACTGGAGACATGGACAGGACTTCGTGCATCAGCATAGCATTCAGGAAGATTGGAGCCCCTTTTCAACCTGCAGCTTGACAGCCTTGCGCTTTCGAACAAGTTGGCATCGCAGCTCATCATCATGGCGATGAATTGTTGGGTTGCTTCTCAGAGCCTTCGCCCTTCTGCTTATCTTTATGTCGATATCGATCTGCCCAACAGGCTCCGACACCAGACATGGCTGGAATTGGTGCTCTGAACATGGGGTACCAATTGATATCAAGGTGGACTCGTTGTGCAGTGGGCAGGAAGAGTTGTGGATGGCAATTCAGCCTCGTTTCACGATTCCATGCTCTTTTTCCCGGCGGCGCGCTTTGGGATTCACTTGCTCTTCGAGACTGATCCTCCGGGACGAGAGGCTGCTTATATACTCGGTGACTTCTTGCCACAACTTGCCAGAGACATGGCGAAGTCGTCACTCATCTTGAATGGCGAATGGGCCATCATAGACAGACATCCTTGGATGGTGAGCTGTCGATCTGAAAATCAACCGACGGCACGAAATACCCTGATGGGTAAGAGATGTATGGTGGAGGAATTCATGTACACAGAGAGTCCTCGGAATTCTACATCCACTGATGTGGGTGATGAAAATCCCGCTGAATGAGATACTATATAGTGATGTGGAGAATACTGACGGCAGTCGTTCGCATACCTGGAAAACGACCACTCAGATCGCATGGAAGCCATTCCAAAGAAATCAAGGACTTGTTTGGAGTTAAATAGCAGTGCGCCATTTCAGTCTCCATTGCCCTGATCATCATAAGCTCAACCAAGCAATGCCTCCCCCATAGCTAATGCTTGTCTGTCTGACTCTTTGCCGACTGTAATCAAATATCCAGACCGGATACAGCCTTGCGGGGTATCAATCCCTGGGGCCGAAGGCATGCCTGTGGTACGAACGGCATGGTTTCGAATAATGACTGGATGTCCCACAGTATACGTCTTGATAATTGGCACGTCGAAAATGACAATCGCCTTCTCTCCTGACGAATTGCACCTGGCCGTTCTGATCTAACGTTCTGAAGAGAGAGCAATAATCCTCCGGCTAAACAGCTCAAGGAGCTCAGCAGCTTCAAGTTCGAACTCTGATGATATCGTGGGCAAGCAGTGCACCCCATATCATTCTTGACAGTCTAGTATCATGCTTGTTGCTCTGGACGATAAGCACACCGGGCATTATTGTTGTTAGAGAAAGGCTTGACCAACAGTCTAGACACTGACAGGGTCAGTCTGACTCGCAGAATCTCAAGCGATCCCTGCGACCTGGTCAACGAGTTGTCTTCGAGTGCTGAGTTCCGTGTCACAACCAGTAAATGATCACCTCAGAACTTGAGACTGTAATCAGTATTATCAGTGGATAAGACCGAGGGAAAAAGGATGAGTATGAAGCTGATATAAAGCCTAGCTATTCTCTCTCCTCTCTGTGACACCTTTGAGTCTTCAAGCCATAATCACTCATTCACCTCAACACAAAGAGCATCTGACCACCTCCAACAGCCACTCCATCTATCTAGTCATCAACAATGCAGCTCTCCGTTCTCCCAGCCCTCACCGTCCTCCTTGCGGCCATGCAAGTGCAGGTTCAAGCGGTTGCACTACCCGACCCAGCCGCCGAGATCAGCCCATACAAGGCTACTCTGGACTGGCTCTTCAAGCGCGGAGGGACACCCTACTGCTGCATTTTCGCGAACCATATCCAATGCTGCGAGTGAGTCCTCTGATACTTTGCATGATTTGGCATGGCAAGACTTAGAAGATTGTGATGCTGATTTTGATGTGACCAGTCGTAAGTGAGATGCGGTGTATGGAAACAGCGACCAGAAGGTTTCAGTGTGCACCGAAGGGGATGGTGAATATCTAGGTTAAGATGGTGGGCTGCCTGATTTTGTATCGTCTGCGAGGATTGCCGAGAGGCGAAAGGGCGGAGGCTCAAGAAAAAGATCTCCATGTCATCCTGTTGTTGTAAAGTCGGTTGAGACCTTCTTGACAAGCACTGAGGTTGACTAGCCAGATCTTCAAATTCAAGACCACCGATTCCATTCCACCTATTTGGGGAGACTCGTGGATCATCTGGTGGAAGCCCCCTCGTAACATGCGTAAATCCTTGTCGCAAAATGCATCGATGTGTTGCTCGGTGCTCTTCATAGCATGGTCCTGTAGTATCGAAGGACGCCCAGTTCAGTGTCAAACATGTGGATCGGTATGTAAGTTCCTGAATTGCAACGATTGCGTGCGGCAGGAAACATTTTATTTATTGACACGAGAACCACTGTACATTGCAGGAGCGGATTTCTATGCAATTTAATCTCGTCGTATACCCGTATCATTGCCGCATTTAGTCATCCTCGTGACTCCCGGCTGGGTATTAGTGTTAGGGAAATTCGTGTTGTATCGTGATATACGAACTCTGATTGCTGATAGCCCACACCAATTTGCGGGTTTTGACTCATCAATAATCAACATTCCAGGTTCTGTTCTCCGACTCGCCTTTCATGGGCGTCCAACAGCGCTCCTTGGAACTCAGTCTATCCAGCTCTCGTGCCATCCGAAAACACTCGGCTTTCCAAGACACGATCCCTATGTTCGGCTGGCAAAACTAGGACCCAAAAAGTAGGAGCTGGTGGGAGAGTAAGGATCGCAAATCACCTCGGGTATGATCTTCCATCAGTTGAAAGCCCAACAAACCAAGAGGTCAATTCCCTAAGCCGGGTTGCTTCCAAACAGATACATCCCTCACAGCAGTCTTGGACGAATTTCTTCATAAGATAATGCGCATGGCTCAAAGATGACGGCACCCTGCTGACCTACCGAGAGGTCTTCGGGCTGGGGAGCGTTGCACCTGTGAGTCTTGATGATCCTTTGAATGGCGTTGCAACGGTGCTCTTGACCCCGACGTTCTTGTCGAAAGGGGAGTTTTGAACAGTCCCAATAGCAATTTTCAGTCAGCTGGCCACTCCCCTCTAAATACTTACTGCGAGACCTCCGAGTGAAATGTTTCAAACTGAGCATGGTGATGCCAAGCAGGTTCCTAGCTTTTGGGATCTGAGTACATTCTGCACATCTATCATCATCATTAGCAACAATAGGGTCCCCCAATCCCTCAAAAAAGAACGCCAAGCGTATCTCTGGGAGTAACTGATTCCAGCCTCCAAACCAAGGTAATTGCCTCCAGCTAAAGTCGTGCCTCTTAAGGTCAAAGAATTCAGGTGGGTCAATCACATCCTTCATCTCCCAGCCATTAACACTTCCTCCTTCCGATGACTTTGCGAGCTTCTCCAGCGCAAGAAGGAACATTCGCACAATGTTAAACAAGAAACAAGGAACACTGTTGCTACCTAAAGGAATAGGTTCATTTCGATGATCCCACAAGGCCTGATAAGCGGACTGTCCTCCATCGTAGCTTGCCGTCGCGAAATGTATAGGAAGTGACAACGTAGGGTCGTCCACCATTAGCTGTGCCATGTAACTCTGCACTAGCTGCAGTAAAAACGATGTTTTCGGAATGAGCCAGGCTTGTAGAGTAGAATGACGAAACAGTAGTACTTGGCTTTTAGTAGCATTAATGAGTGCTGCCTGAAGATTTTCTTCATGTTTCTCGAACGCGTTAATTTGGCTTCTGCCTCGCTTAATGGACTTGCCCGCAGTGGCACCTATGCCATGGAATGATAGATTAAAGTTGAGATTTGTCGTCGTTTCAATAACATTTCGTCTATGGTTCCTAGCATTGGACCACTCGAGAAGATGTGGGTCCTGTCTTGACGTTCCAAAGGTTATCAAGGCCGAAATGCACCATCCCACAAAGCGTCTCTTAGGTGATGTGAGTTCAATCAATACTCGTGTCTTGTACCATTTACGAGGAGGAGTCTTCGAAGACAACCGAACCTCCTCTTCTCTCTCAATTCCACAATCGTCGTTTCTTAGATAGTCCAACGTCTCTAAATGCCATTGCAAAGACCGCGATTTGTCGTCTTTATGAATTGGATACAACGCACTTCGAAAGCCATCAAGATAAATGCCTCCATCTTCCATAACAGGGAAGTCCACGCCGGATATAGCGACCAAAACTGGATATTCGATCTCTAAGCCCATCATATTGTGTGGGCGCTCGGGAATCGGACCTTGCGATATTGCATTCGTGGGAAAGAGTGCAAGCCAGCAGGATGAATCGGACACAGCCTCGTGTTCCAGGACACTCTTGACGAGGCTGTAGATAGTTTCGCTGCCGAGCTCGACGATCACGGATTTATCTCCCAACGCCCCGGAATAGTTGGGGAGGGAGTTGGCCGAGGGGAGAAGAGCATCAAATAGCCAGCCAAATATATCAGCAATCATTTGCATTTCTTGCCACGTTCCCTGAACAGCTATGGACGGTGCCCAATCTGCGAGCGCTGATCTCTTCGCGTCTGAACACAGCGTCACTGTGGCTTTTATAGGTGGCAGCGTTTGCACAAGTCTCTCATTTGAGGTGCTGTCCAAGCTCAGCGTATCTACCAAAAGAGAGGTGATATAGTTCAGAAGCCTGGATCCAGCTGGTCCCCAGCGCCACTCGACATACGTCTTGCAAGTTGTACACCACGCAGCTTTGTCATCTTCGGCAACAAGTACAACGACATCTTCAAGTGCCAAAGGAGCTTCAAACTCCTGGGTGATGTAATCCATCATCGGACGCCAATATTTTAGAATGACCCGGAAGTGTCGCTCCGCTGTAGTAAGAGCAAAAGGCTCAGCTGATAATGAAGATGTCTCGAGTGGGGCTTCGATCTTTGCTTCCTGGTCGATTTGTTCAACAGCGCAACATGTACTTCCATCAATAATGTCTTTTGAATCGACTTCGAGCTTGCGCTTCTTTCCTAATGGTCCTGTTCTCTCCTCGCTCCTATCTCTGACTCTGAAAGACAAAGAGCTTCCACCAATGTAATCTCTTGAGTCTACGTCAGCTCGCCAGCTCGCGGGTGGGACTTGAAGCGTTGCTTCTCCGGAGCTCTCAGCAGCATAAGACAAAGCGCTTCGACCGCGATCATCTCTCGAGTCGACATCGACCTCACCTGTATTGAGAAGTATCTTCACCACATCTGTTCGGCTATTTTCGGCAGCATAGGACAAAGGAGTTCTGCCAGCCTTATCTGGTGAGTTGATCTCAGCTTTGCCGGTATTGAGCAGGATCTTCACCACATCTGTTCGGCCATTTTCAGCAGCATAAGACAAAGGAGTTCTGCCAGCCTGATCTCGTGAGTCGATATCAGCCTTGCCGGTATCGAGTAGTATCTTTACAATGTCTGTTTGACCAGATGCAGCAGCATGAGACAAGGGTGTCGTACCCTCGTCATCTTGCGAGTTGATCTCGATATTATAACTCTCTAGTAATGTCTTCACTACTATTGGCGCTTGGGCGCGACAGATAGCGGCAGATAATGCACTCCGACCAGCAGAATTCTTTGCATTAACGTCGACTCTCCTACACTCTGGAGCAGCCTCTGTGCTGTTCTCTGAAACATGTGCAAAACCACCAGCGTCAGAAGTATTTACCGATTGATCCCGCCGTTGCGCTTCAAATGCCTGAAATTCGCGGAGAACTTTGACTGCCGTTTCGCTATTTTTTGCTGGAATAGATTTTAAGGCTGACATGAGAGGAGTCCATCCCGATTTGTCTTTCAAATTAACATCGGTCATGTCATGCTCAAGGAGAAGCCGCACGAGTTTCTCATACCCTGACTGGGCTGCGGAGTGAAGAGCAGACGTGCCGTTGTAAGCTGTCATGTTTGGATCTATTCGAACTTCTTCGAGAAGAAACTTGGCAGTCTCGTAGCACCCTGCAGAAGCAGCCCGTGCCAATAGTGAAAGGCGTTCATAACCGCTACGATAATCCTTTAGTCGATGGAGCGCCTCAATGCTTGCGCTTTGTAGGAAGATCATGCTTGCCATATCGTCACAGAACTCCAGAACTTGAGCAAGAATGTCGTTCTTCTGTTTGTATAAAACATTCCAGCGAGATTTTGATCGATTTTCGCCAGTCACAATGCATTTGCTCAGGTGAATCCGCGCAGGGTGCTTGAGAGGGAGCACTTCAACATGAAGTTCTAGGAAGTACTGGATGACCTCTGTATTGCCAGCAGCAAGTGCTACAAAGAGTGGCGTGCCGAAACGCTCCCTTCCAAGCTTGGTGTAGGACGCCTTCATAGGGTGATGGCCGATAAGTTTTGCTGCATTTATCTGTGCCAAAATGTACAGCAATCTGGCGTCCCAATGGTATCGACGACTTGTTCTGGGCTGAAATGTGTTGTGCAGAACTATCCACGTCACTCGATCAAATTGTTCAAGGAAATCTGACTGAGAGATCTGGTTGGAAGCCGCCCTATCAGCATGGTACAGCACATTATCCGTAGCGTATCGTAGGAAAGGATATGCTTCAGGTTCAAACTTCCGAGCTTCTGACAAGAAAGGCACTGCCTGTGGGTGAAGAATAAAATCACAACCAAGAACATTTGTTTTGAACGCTTCGAGGTACGATACACAGCACTTCTTTAATCGATCTTGGCTCTGGGCAGCATACTCGACTGTCACTTCACTCCAAAGATCTTGCAGTCCATTCTCCTTGAGAAGAAAATCTCGCACAGATTCATGGATGAATTGAACAATGGAGGAGGATCCAGATTGTACGATTTCGGCAAGGCCTTTGGACGAAGACAGAACAAATTTCTTCATGACAACAAGATCGGTGGACTGTTGTCCTGCCGCAATGATGTCTTGATCAGTCTCTACCACCACAGCACAATAAAGCTGTCTCGGCCGAAGAGGCTCTTTCGCAAAGAGTAGCCATTGCAGGCAGAGGAGTACCTGCTCTCGGTTGCTACAGTGTCGTGTGAGTATCTGCTGGAAGAGAGTAGAGAGCTGCTCAGGGATATCCTTAAGTCTTTGGCGAAGAGCCTTCATTTGTCCATGATTGTACTCGACATTCAGCAAGTCAACAACCAGAACAACCCACATGAAGATGCCACCTGATTTTTCTTGTACTTCAGCTCTGACTTCATCAGCTAGTGGCCCAGTACCAATATCAAGTACGCCCTCGATATAATCAGTGATGTCATGATCGTGGCCAGCACGTCCGTCCAGAATCAGTTCTCGTGCTCTTCTGATGGAGATACTGGGATAGTGGCGACTTGAAAAGCACACCTGGAATTGGATCTGGTGCTGCCACGCGAGCTGCCCTAGTTGGGAGAAGGAAGACACCATCTGACGAATTTGTTCTTCGTCGCATTCGTCCAAGGCATCGATGAAGCAAGTCACCGGCCGTTTCAGCTGCATGATAACTGCTCTGAACAAGGATTCAAGCGACTCATTGGTCCACACGAAAGTTTCTGACTGGTATTCGTCCATCATAACGTCATCCAAGACATTGGAAATGAACTGATCAGTTTGCCGTCCGAGAAGTTGGCAGAGAAGTGATCGGTACATCCCAGGCGTAGATTTCTCTAGGTCGTGGCCTCTGACATTGAAGAAGAAGGAAGCGAATGTGGTTGCTTCCATCTTTTTCCGAGTCGCAGAGAACGCATACTTCATGAGCGTTGACTTTCCACAGCCTGGACGGCCTGTGATCCACAAAAAGCCATTATTCTCTTGTGCGTTGCTGTGTGCGAGCCAGTCTCGAAATTCGGGCTCCTCTAGAATCCACGCGCAAGTATGCACATGTTCTTTTCTGATATACGTCCAGCGGGTGTCGATGTTTTTGAACTTTAGACTCTCCAAGAGCCTTGTTCTTTTATACTCTGCAGTTTCTTGACTAGATCCAAAGTTCACAGTATTCGCATAGACTTGAGCAGAGTCTAGCTGATTGGAAAGGGTGAAGTCGCCGTCGAAAACAATCGACATGATCGTTCGAGATAAAAGGGATCTTTGAATAGTTGAGAGGCGCGGGCTAGGACATGCGGTAGATGGACAGCCGTTGGGTCATAAGGGTGACTGCGATAAGATTTGAAAAGACTGCGATGAGTGCAGAGCTCGGTGAAGAGATGATGGACGGTGCATTGTCTGCAGTCCTTTTCAGGGCTAAGTTGAGAAGGCAGTTCAAGGCAGCAGAAAGGTCGAGTCTCGGCGCCTTCAGTCATTGGGTCGGATGTTGCAATGAGGCTGGTGATGGCAAGACCTATTCTGCCTTGCAGATGTCCCAGACGCATCATTATTTTGATCGTGGAAGCCATCGCGAACTTGGTCATGACTGACTTCCCTTGACCCCGACTAATGTCACTATTCGAGATTGCCATAATCTGTGCATTGTGCGAGGGTTATGATGCAGTGAAAGCCATTCTCGATGAAGTATACGATGGTGACATCCACAGGAAGGGACAAAATGACCCAAAGAATTACACGCTGGGGAAGATCAGCGCATTAAACGTGGTATTGAGTTTACTGCCGAGGATGGGGAAGAAACACGCCGCCAGTGGATCCGCGTACTTCCGCACAAGCTTTCCCGACATCAAGCTGTGCTTCCTAGTGGGTATCTGTGCTGAAGCACCCCGCAACAAAAGGAATGAAGAACTCCTTCTCGGTGATGTTATAGTCTCGACGGAGCTTGTGCAATCAGACTTCGGGAGACAATGGAAAGATGGAATCAGCCGAAAGGACACCATCGGTGATAACTTGGGCCGGCCAAACAAAGAGATCCGAGTGTTTTTGGCAGAGCTCCAAACATGGGAAACCGGAAAGAAACTCAGAGCTGACGCTGTCGCTTCCTTTGTGAAAATGCTACAAATCAGAGACGTCTGGCAGAACCCTGGTCGAGAGCATGATATTATGTTTGACCCTGATTATGAACACAAGCATCAAGTCGAAGGAGAATGCCACGTTTGCAGTCCCGACGAGACTTGCGATCTGGCGCGAGGGGCGTCCTGCAAAGACGTGAAATGTGACACGGTAAAGATACTGGTGCGTGGTAGTGATCGGGAGGATGAACATCTTTTGATACACTTCGGTGCATTCTCATCCGCCGATCAAGTCATTAAATCCAGCAAACACCGGAACGCAGTGACCGCAGCAGATGGAGCCATTGCGTTCGAAATGCAAGGGGCTGGTGTGTGGGACAACTTCCCCACGATCATTGTCAAGTGCGTCTGTGACTACGCTGACAGTCACAAGAACAAGAAGTTCTAAAAATATGCAGCTGCAACGGCAGCCTCCTGCTTCAAAGCTATTCTCAAAGAATGGGAACGAGGGAGGACCCCAAGAGAAGAGCAATCGTCAGCATCTGCATCTGCTATTGTACCAGCGTCCTCCTCCTCGCCAAACGCTCCAGTGATTCATAACAATTATGCTGGAGGTAACTTCAAAGCCGACAAGGCCTTTTATGGAGGTAACTTTACTGCCGATACGATGACGTTTTAAGAATGGGGAGCGCTGATCACAAAATGCGTCTTGCTGGCTGTTCAAGATAGGTACTTGCTATCTTCTCTTTGGATATCGAGTAAGATAGCGCTTTCATTGCCAACGAAGCTTTTCTCACTACAGTTGACCTCCAATACCACACTGAATGGACCGACATGATTCTTTACCATAACTTTTCCCAATTCCTCCTGAGAACACTCATCTCCGCAAGTCTCTTCTTCTCATTCTCCTCCAGACCACCTTCCTCCCAATGCCTGCACTCGCGATCGATCTCAGCCTTGCCACTATACAGATCGGCAGTCTTCGCATTGACAAACTTGGTGCGCTTGAAGATCTTCCAGAAAACGAACATGAAGATGCCAAATGCGAGCCCGAAATAGGATGTCACGAATCCTTGAGTATCCCATGGCACAAACACGTCAAACCCGATGAACAGCATCGCCAAGCAGGCAATGAAGATAGCGAAATATGCAGAGTAAGGGGCAAATGGTGCCTTGTACGGTAGAGTGTCTCGGTCGAGTCCCTGAGCCTTGCAGGCATTGTACCAGCCGATAAATACCCAGAGCATACCTGTGTAGGTCATGATGAGTGCGATGGTTGTGAGTGACACGAACCAGAAGAACACCTTGACCGCACTGTCGGATGCCACAAGATATGTAACGCAAGAGATCAAGCTGACTGCAATCACACAGTAGATAGGGATACCGGATTTCGTGCACTTCATGAAAAACTTTGGCGCCTGACCGTCGCGAGCAAGAGAGTAGAGTGTTCGACTAGACGAGTAAAGGTAGGCATTACCGCAAGACCATCCAGAGAGGAGAATCAAGAAGTTGATCAGGCCTGGCAGTCCGGTGATACCGAGATTCTGGATACCGATGACCCATGGGGATGCAGCGGCACCAACATCGCCTCCTTTGATAGCCCCAATAAGTCGAGTATCTCGCGACGAGCAAATGATGCCCACAGCAAAGACACCCACAACGTAGAAGCCGACAAGTCGGTAGAAGACGAGTTTTGCAACGCGGGGGATCGTTCGTCGAGGATTTTGGATCTCACCAGATGCGAGGGCGATGAGATCCGGGCCCGCAATCGTGAAACCAGCGTATCTGACAACACTCCACCAGCCTAGGAAGCGGCCGGTACTGCCACTCGCATAGTATGGATGTGTAGCAAGGCCGTTCTTCCAATAACGGAAACCATAAGCATCGTGTTTGGGGTTGCCTCCCACCATGGTGATGAACGTCAGAAGAATCAAGCCGATAAGAAGGAGAACTTTAGTCGAGGCCATGACGAATTCTGATTCTCCATACCATCTGAGATCAATATTAGCCACGATTCGACCTGTTCGATCGCCTTGAGGACACTTACTTGACAGCCACAACATTGAGAAGGAAGCAAACCACTAAAGTCATCGTAATCCACACGGCCGGATTGACGTCCGTATTCCAATACTGCATGACGGTCGCGACAGCCGAATACTCAGTACACACCAGCATCGCACCGGCAAAGAAATAAGTCCAACCCATCGCAAAGCCGAGCGCAGGATCGACATATCTCCCAGCGAGTTCAAACACGGTGCCTCTGACCGGCAACCAAGCGGCAATCTCAGCAACACACAGATTGCAGGGCCAGATGAACAGCAGGCCCCAGAAGAGATAACCCAGGAGCAGCGACAATGGACCAGCCTTGCTCAGGCTGCCGCCGATACCGACGAAGAGACCTGTTCCGATGGAACCGCCGATCTGCATGAGCTGCACGTGGCGAGGCTCGAGGCCGCGCTTCGTCTGTCCGAACTTCGCCCATTCCGCTTCCGAGAGCCGTCGCTCGTACAGGTCGCCTTGGTCGTCGTCGGGCTTCAGGGGGAGCTCGTTAGACACGGAACCGGGGCCGTCTTTGACCTGTCCGGTCTTGACGTCGCTTTCGGGATCCATTTTTTGTACTTTGGAGGGGTTTGATGTCCCAGAAGGATGGATGGGTGGTGGGGAGGAGGGAGGGGAGAGAGAGGAGGGTTGAGGGTCGTTTGAGGAAATCCCACTGGTAGTATATATAAGATTTCCACGAAGGATGTCAGCACCCACCACCTCTCATATGAACGCCGCTAGAAGCAAGCAGAGAACCATCTTTCGTCGCGTGAGCATTTCGGATATCTCCACGGGAAAGTGCAGGGAACAGCTGATATGGGACTCGCTGTCAATTGCCAGGGTGTTATGAGCTCGAGGCAAAATTAACAAAGATCCAATAGTAAGTAATATGATAATTAGATGATCTTGATTGTCAAAGTTTACCCCTGTAACACGATAAAGGATGTCAGAGATAATCGCTCCAGGCTTCCTTGCATTCATACTGGCTATAGCTCAAAAATACTGTGACCATGACCTCAGAAAAATCTCAGAAGCATGATAACTGGTGGAGAAATATCAAAACACAAGGGTTTGATGGCTCGAGACGGCGGAATAGGGTTGCTTCCCGTACTCGCCAAGCCTTGGCGGCTTGTCTGGTTCAAGCAAAGCTCGACTTCCGACCGGCTGTCGATCCCGCCTTCGCACGAAAGCCGGGAAGCAGTCAGCGACACAGCGAATGTGATTGCTTCAAGCCGGTCGGTTGTTGAAAATTTGATGGAGAAAGGCACCCAAAGATGCATAGCGGCAATTGAACTGTCGATAAGGCTGGGCCCGCCATGAGAAGTTGTCAGCGAGACGGTCTTCGCCCATTCTCTCACAGTTCTAGCTTGCTTCTAGAACAACTTGATGTCTGCCGTGCATATCCGATGGAAGATATCCGTACTTCCTTTGAGCCGTGGTTAGGTGCGTTGGCTGGACTTGCACAAATATAGGACTGAAGGCCCACCTCTTACCCCAACTGAAACCCCGTCACTCCACGATAATGGAAATTTCTCGTATACGGTGACTGATTGCAGACCTTCATTTCCCCCTGGAAACAGAACCCGGCCCGGGCCATAGAGTTGTCTCTCAATCTTGCTCGACATAATGAACGGTTCGATGTGCAACACCCGCCTCGCACCACAGAGACTATTAGTGCCAACTGTAAAGTCCGCTTAGATCGCCAGGACTCGCTTTCCTGTTGCTCTCAAGGCTGGAACCCAGCCTGGAACTTCCGTCGACCCTTCATCGTCCCGAAGTGACCAGGCTTTTTGAACGATATTCCAAAGATGTGGAATGTTGCCTATCCGGTGTCGCAGCATCCCATTCCACCATCGACGCCAGACATCTCGTTCTGAGCCTTGTTTGGCTTCGCAAGAAGCAATAAAGCCTGGCCAAGTAATTGTGGCTGCAACGTTGGAGTCGTAATTCGCCTCCGACTTGATGCTCTCAATGGTCATGAGATGATGGGCGACCAGTTCAACATAATGGGACATTTCTGAGGAGCTACAAGGTAATATCCGCGTGTGGTAGTATACCCGCAGACAATTAGCAAATGCAAGGAGGTGAGATCGGGCCAGCTGAAGACTAATATGACAGTCTCGCTCTGAGTCCAACACAAAGAGCTCTGACAATGGCTCCGAGTCGATAGACCAGTCTGAGATATCGTCAGACAACTTCGTGCAGGCGGCAATGAGCGATGTGGGCAGTGGCATGTCTTTAGAGACGTAGAAGGAGATGTTTTGAGATCGAGCGACTATTCGCCGCATGAGGCGAGCTAGAGAATATGTAATCCCATAGGTGACTTCCAATCCATGGTGGACGTTGAAGCGCTCCTCTTCCACGTCGCTCGAGTCACTGGTGTCATATTGCCATGGGATTGAAGGCAAGTCTATCGAAGTGGTACTGGCAACTGTCGAGAGAAAGGATGAATTGGCGATCAGGCGATCAGTGATAGTTGATGTTTTGCCATCATTTCGAAGTTGCCGAGCGAGGAGTTCAAGACCATCAAGATGAATCCAGTACTCACTCATAGAGCCTTCCATGATCTGTGGGAATAATTGTCAACAGAAATCGTTGATTCAAGGAGCGCACTTACATCCATAGACGAGAATGCCAGCATCGCGGAAAGCAGTGTCTCAAAGTGCGGTACTGAGGATTGGTGAAATTCGGTCGAAGGATAATTCCCATTCTGCACAGGGAGTTCCCCAAGAGCCTTCTGTAAGGATGCAAATGCTTTGGCACGAAAACTTCTACCTATAAGGTCGAATCCCGAGTCACTGCGTACTCCGGAGCCTCGCAGTTGGAAGGCGGAAGTCGCCAACAGTGCGTAGAAAACCGCGACATTGCTCGAGGGGAGATTGGTGCCTATGTCCCCGACACCAAGGATGAGACTTGCTGCACCAATCATGGCGTTCGGTACATATACTGATGCGTATGGGCTCTCAGGGTGTGGAAGTGGAGGTAACACATTTGCCACATTGATTACGTAGTTTTTCATTAGTCGATCGACAATAGGGTCCTCGAAGATCGAGGAAGATGATATCGTTGACATGGGGGAGCCATATGTGACGAGTGAGTCTTCATTTTGCCACGAATTCGAGGGTGATGAGAGTGATCCTCGACGTCCAATATCGATATAATCATAGATGGTGGCACTGTCACTTTCGGAACATTGATGGATATGTTCAGCAGTGTCCTCATTAGATATCGACGTCGTACTAGCACTTGTCGTTGGACTGTGTGAGCCATATGGATCGTGCGCGTGTCCGCGAAAGACCGAGAAGGGGCCTGTTGAGCATGATTGTCCTTCAATATTGATAGCATGGTAATCATCTATCAGTGCAATCTGGCGATCGACCTCATCAAGTTGAAATGGCCACGATCGAGAACCTAAAACATTGAAAGATATAAGCCGCGATCCCGGTGAAGAACCTGCATTCTACACTCATTTAGACAGAATCACTGGGTAGGAGTCACACCTTCTAGCGTCATTGCCTGCCGCTTGATGGCGGAAGGCGCAACGGTATCTTCATCGGTAATCCAGTACAGCTTCAAGCTATAGCCCTCACAATGTAAAGCAGACTTTTTACACCGTAAACATGCCGGACGAGTTGCATCGCACTTGACTTTGCGACCTCGGCAGGTCCAACATCTAGTAACAGCCGATAACGCGGTAAGTTAAGGTGGCCACCAGTCTTGCTGTTGGGGTTTGTTGCTCACCCTGTAAAAGTCTTGGTTTTCGGCTTCACTTCTCGGACTCTCCTTTTCGAAGTTGCCATCACTTTAGCCTATAGGCTTGATATTGAATCAAACAGAGGTGCACTGTCCATAGCGACCAATCACGCCAGAGGTGGCACTTGCCGACACCATCAGGTGGAACTTGTGAATCGGCGCTGCCCTTTCTCCGCTCGAAAGAACTTAGAGTGCGCTATGAAAGACGGGTGAGGGTGGATGTAGCAGCAAGGAGAGTGATGGGCTCCAGGGGACCTGAATTGAGCGTGGGGTGTAGTTGGCTGTTTAGAGATAGATTGCTCGTTGAAGATAAAGTCGCGTGAGCTGTCGTTGACGTTGATGCGAGGGAGTCGTTAGTGAGGAGTTAGGTCGTTAGATACGCCAAGAAACCGGGGACCACGCCCCCCAAAGCAACGTGGTCTCCACCCGCCACGGGCTGTCGCTTCCAGCGCAAACTCCCGCTTTACCTCGTACTCTTGTTTGTTCCCGAAAGTAAAGTATCGCTAAGCGTGTTCAATCGTCAGAGACCCTGCACTACTACTCCCAGCTCCATAGTCGTACTCGGCACGCATGCATGGAGATAGCGACATTGGAGTCTGGTGGCGTGCACGGGTTACATCAGTCTATTTCCTTATCGACACGTTCGGCACCGTCCAGAGATTGCGACAGAAGAAACTCCAATCTCGCTTTACCGAGGCCTTGGTGCCTTTGCGTTATCTTCTTGTATCTCCTCCAATCAAATGGTAATGTTTTGAACCACCGACATTGCATGTAAGCTGGGGACGCTTCTCGGCATTCAGGGGATGCGAATGCAAAAATCTTCGCAGATGGGTCTCGATAGGGTACATTTGCCTGAATCTAATTCTACAAAGGTCTACACACATATACACGAAGTCCGAAAATGAACCGATCTTGACATGGTAACAGTATTCATGAGTCGTGAAAACCTGGTATCTCAGCAAAGAAGAGATGCTCTGATACAATACTTAGTACACCATCAACAATTGTAGGCATGACACATCGTAGAAATCCCGCTGGGGCAACTTCTCAAAGCTGGAGCCTTATGCTTCAGCAAATTTCTGGCGGCCCCTGTAGTGATGCTCGTAGTCTTGTCTCGATTTACTCCTCGAAGAGGTCTTGGCAGTATGAGGCCGCCTGGTATGTTGTAATATATCTTGATAGTCGTCTTCATCGTCGTTGAGCTCCTTTGGGAGACTGTCAACACGCAGTGGATGTCCAGCGGCGGCAGCGTTCGAGAAATGACTCAATAATGCCAATTCCTCGCGAGATGCAAGGATAGGTATGAGTCGTTGATTTGATCGGCTGGGCCTTACGTGGTTCGGGATCGGGGGTACTGGAGGCAGCGCTCTATTCGGTGCTTTCGTGGGAGGTTCGGCCGGGATTGAAGGTGGTCGAGGAAAGTATTTCGCTCCTTCTTCTGATGAAGCGCTGGTGCTGTAGTTGACGAATGTGAAGGCACCAGCGTCGATGGATTCTCCAAAGGACAGGCGGGGATCGACTTCGCTATCGTTCTGGTGCCATGTGTTCCAATACTGCATCTGCTCTCTCCTATTGTTACGCTCCTGTTCCTCGGACCATGGCACATCGACGTGACGAGGGCCACGATTGTCCCTCCGACGTCCAGCCTTGCGAGAATGGTCTCTCGACCTAGGACTTTCTCCAACGACTGTATCTGATAGACCATCGAAATTGAACGACGCTAGCGAGCTAGCTGAAGTTGTTGCCGGGGTGGTGCTGACCGACATGCCACGACTTGATGGAACGTCACTTATGGGCGATTGAAGTATTTGCGCATCGGGTAAGATTGTTCGTTGTTGTTCTTGTCTCCATTCCCGGGCCAGGGTTCGTGGATTTGGTGAAGGTTGTCGAAGTCGATCATGCGATGACGTTTCTTTCACTGAACGCTCAGCAGACACAGCATCAGGTGCGGCAGAATCGCTTCTGGTATTTTCTTTAGGTTCCTTGACCTTTTCAGCAGCACAATGGAGACTGGCGATGCTGGAGAAGCGACAGATGTAATCTTCCAGCTTTTGTTCCAGCTTCTCACTGGTCAATCGAGTAGCAGGGTCTCGTTCGAGGCATTGGAGTGTTAGCTGTACGACTGGTCCAACAGCATGGTACACTTGGCTTTCGTCTTTTTTGGCTTTCTTCTCTGCCTCGTTCTGAAGCGATTGTGCCCACAGAAAGACTTGTCCAAGGTTTGCATGGAAGCTTGCATCTGCCAAGCCACCTCCTCGGCCAGCGTTCCGGTTTTTGGCTGATCGGTGTCTTGCAAATGAGCTATAGCTTCGTTTGCACAGAATAGTGAGAATATCTAGAATTACCGCGCCCAGAGAAAAGATGTCGGAAGTAAACATGTCTTGCTCAACCGATTGCCATGTTTGTACAACCGCACTTCGACCTTCAGGGGCAGAGATAAACATAGGGTTGCTTCGAAACGAAGAGGCGATGTTCCTTCCGCTAGAACCAGTCGATGATATCACGGAAGCGGGCTTTGGACGTGTCGTAGCTTGGGTTGACACCGACTTGTTATCGGTCGGAGATCTCATATTGCGTCCACGAACAGTAGGTTGAGGCGGTGCATCAGGACCCATCGCCGCGCTCAATCTCAGTCTTGCATAGTTTCCTCTCGAAGTCGGTTGAAAAGTGTAAGCTGCCGCAATAGAATCCGTCCTTGCTCTGACACTATTATCGCCATCAGAGGAATTCCACTTCTCGGACTTGCCAGTCATCTTTCGGCCCGATCGCCCACCAGACGGCAGGGATACTGTGGCAGACCCTGTATTCTGGACAGTTACCGCTCTCTTCCATCTTTCTGGTGGGGCGTATTGATATGCTTCAATGTCATCCGACCTCACACTATCACGAAGTAGGCCGTCACCATCAAGGAGACCGAGACATATCCGGAAATTGCTATCGATCTGGATATTGGACGGTCGAATAGCTCCATGGAATTCGCCATTTTTGTGAAGCCATGTCAAGGCATTGGCGAGACAATGTGGCCAATTGATGAGATGGTGGCGACGTTCGACTTTCGATAAGGCATTAAATGCTTTGGGGGTGTCGGTAAGAAAAGTTTTGAGACTCCATTCCGCCGCTGGAAGGGACAGAACATTAAACGCGCCTTGATGTAGATAGGAACCGAAAACAGAGCTGATGTGCTCGTGGCACAGTCTCCGACTCGTAGCTATCTCCATGAGAATATCCTCTTCCGTCCATTGCGAGTCCAAGACGATTCGACGGCGTAGAACTGTTTTCGCCGGTTCTGAGGGGAGCCGAACTCTGTCGGTCCCATCATTTCCTCTAGGAAGGACCACAGTCTTCAAGCTAAGGGGGATAACAGGAATAGTTTCCTCGTCAGCATATCGTATGTGCTCGCCCTCACCAACAACACGGGTAAGGAAGCGGAACTGATTCTTGTAGAACCGTTTGTCGAGAGATCGATCAGGCTGAAATGACAATCGTAAATCGGGTATTGCCTGCTCAATCACAGGAAGGTCTTCATCGTCATACGAATCGTCGACAATGCCAAATATCTGATCTGGGACACCTGTCGCTACCAGGATGAGGAAGAAACGCTTCGCCCGGGTAAGAATCCAATCAAGATAGGTATCGTCGGTCAAATCGCCTCCGAAATAAAGAGGTCGCTGTAATAGTTCCTGTTCATTGGGACGAAGATGCGAATGGACATAAGCTGAAGTCACAGTCTCATATACCCGATCATCGCTCCACCAAGGGGGTGAGGTAGGGGCCATAGTAAATGATCACTTCTCTAGCATCGGAATGTTGATAAATAATGAGAACAGCTGGAAGATGAACCAACTGCAGGATCGGGTCATGTTCAGGACAAAATTCATCAAGGAAGAAAGTCTGCACAGTAGACATCGCCACGTGGGAAATGAGCAGTCGTCATATTTAGATGAACTGGGGAAGGATACGAAGGCTCGTGAGTAGTGTCCTCCCAGGGAATACACCAAGCGAAACCAAGAAAGGCCTAATTCGCAACCAGGGTTCAGACCGACTATGATCAAAAAGGAGACAAAACTCACAGGGAAGCTTGCATCTTATGGCTTCAAAGATGACAGGAGGACTCCAGGGTCATGTCGAGAAAGAAGTGCAGCTGTCTTTCCGAGCAACGGGTGAGTAGCCGGAGAACGATGGTGATGGCGCTAGTCGGGGGGTGGGGGTGAGGGCAAAGGGCAAACGCTATGAAAGCGGTTGAAGCAGTAAGACCTGGTGGACCTATCTTATCTTGACCAACAGGGGGAAGTGACAAGCAGCTACGAGCCTTCCTACTTGATAGTTTTTGGCTGCCCTGTTACCATTGGAGAACTTCTTCTGACTGAGACAAGAGTCATCCGACATAATCGCTACTTGTCCCTTCCATCAGTTGAGGCAGCTCCGCGCTGCTCATAGTACAACTGGAGTTCAGCAACATAGGAGGGAAGAATGGAGACAAGTCGAGAGACGGGTTAGATTGTGAAGTTGGAATGATACATGCAGCAGGAGGAAGCAATCATTCCCGGCAAGGGTCGAAATTGATTTCGAAAAGCTCTAAACCAGGAGTAAACGTATGCTGGGCGGGCGATTGCCTGCCCAAGATCGGGTGTTACGGGATCCTCCTAGACGTGAGAACAAGAAAAGGGATGTTTGGGTTTGATGGCTGCATGCTTTGTCGGTAGACTCTATCGCAACATGGTCCAAAGGAGAAGGATAGCGAAAAACGATATACTCCGTAAGCACACTTAAATTTGCAAGTGTTTTCTGTCACCTTTGGTACCTAGCTCAGGAAAAGCTCGGTCGCTCACTGGCTGTTTTCCAGCCTTATCAGTTGGAGCTAAAGAGAGGTGCAAAGGGAGAAACCGCAACTGGATCGGTGTCCAGGTGGAAGTGGATTTGAGAATGGAGCCCGTTGTGTGGAACGACCATCCCTGATCCAGCACCGTCTGTAGGCTGGGGCGAGCCAGGGGTTACAAAAGCAACCTTAGGCGTACCCAGAGAACGACCCGGGTACCCATGATGGCGCCTTGAGTTGCTAAGCGACAAAAGTTCGATGCTCAATGGGTTCAGAGCATTTGTGTCTGGAGTGAACATGGACAAGGTAACCACTGACAGTCCACTACTTGCGCGTGTTAAACTCTTCCGATGAACCTCCTCAAGTGATAGAGATTATTTAGTCATCCAATTAACGTTCAATAATGTATGGTTGTAGCGACACGGCGGACCAAAGGCAACAACACTGTGTCAAGACCCTCCTTTCCTGGCTGCAGTCTTCGGCAGCCACCGCTACGGGAAAACTGTTAGATTAAAGTCAGCAATGATGGGCACGCCTGACCGAGGAGGCAGGCCGTACTTTCCGAGACGAAATCCCAGAGGTTCATCCTCAGGATGCTTCTCGCGCACCAGGCAGTTAACAGCTGTATAGCTGGCTCCAAGGAACCACGAACATAGCCTGGAACTGCTCGAGCCGCTTTATCCGTACTATCTGGTCTCATTGCTTACAGCCTATGCAGAGAGTATGAACAACCATAGGATGAAGTCAGCAAGTGAGTATCGTGCTTATCCGACCTTCGACATGAAACTCGGTTGCAACGCCACCTACTCATCACTACCCCGCCATGTCACAACATCCTCCAGACACATATGATTGATCTATCAGATGATTTATCGTGCAGTACATGCGCAATACGGAGTATCTCGTATATCACTGTGAAGTAGTTGGTGATACTACAAGCTAGTCATTCCTCCTCTCAAGCTATTGACGGGCCTACGTAACCGTAGACTCGTTGGACTCCCCAGAAGTTGATTGCAGGCTTGCAGGTTACCACTATAATGCCGGCTGTAAAAACTCATCGATCTTCAGATACGAAGGTAAGCCATGCGCTGTAGATGTTCTGGGTACAGATGACGAGATTGAGAGCCAGTTTATGGCTTGTGTTTATACGGCTATCATTTCTTGCTTGCCACATATTCTGCTAGTTCGACTATGAAGATAAAATTCTCATGCACCATAACGGGAACGACTGTTCGCCGTCCTTCAAGAGTGCCCTGTTCAACTCTACCAGATCAGGGGATCCGGGTAATCAATCGCACCACTAATTAGCTCTGTAAATTGAGAGGGAACCCGTTTCAGCGTCTTTGCATCCTGAACCATGAAGCAGTCCAATACTCTACAAGATACCTCGTTTGAGTGCCAATCTTGACTTAGGTCTCGCCAAGGAAAGGCGCTCTGATCGACGTGGCAGACGCCTGCCCGCCGAAGCCTACAAGCCCGCCCGAGGCCCCCGGCAAGCCACTGCCAGTGTCAGTTCTGCAACCTGCAGCTTCAGTGGATGAGGTTTTTTCTCGGTGCTTGGGCGTCTCTTGGCCGTGCCCTACCAATAATGCAAACCACCACTTTTTTGCTCACCAGTTGCCTATGGGTGATACTGATATCCAACCTGAAGGTATGTACCACAGAGCCGCTGACTATCATCTACAATGCCTAATCAAGTACCTACCTGGATAAACTCCGAGGTACAAGTAAGGAGAAGTCTACCTAGGTATCCAGACCTCGTGTTGTCAATGCCATTGGAAAAGCCAAGCGGTACTTAACATGTCGCTGCCTCCCAGTTGCCTTGATCGATTGCAGTTTGCTCAATTCAACTTAGCCAGATCGATTGGTGAGCGATGACCAGCCTTTGATACCAGGTACTACGAGGTAAGATGCCGATGGATCGAATTACCTCCCTGATCTCTCCTAAAAAAATATGCTCTGGGCGGTTGCGGTTGGCTAGAACTTCCATGGGGTTACGGCCTCCCGATTTTTTGATACCTGCCAACGCTCCGGCATGATCAAACTTTGTTTGCTTAAGCAGAAAGTTAAACCATTGTCATTGCAACCTAGTCTCACTGCAGATGGCTGTCAAAATGCTCTGCATGCATCCCATTTGCTTGAAATCATGCAATGTCTGGGACACGGAAGATAAATGAATGAATGATTATTATCAATACTTGGTATCTGTGGTACAAGGAGCCCAGGTCCTTTCCATCCACAGATACACCGTGAGGTGACTTGCACCTCGTGCGGGAAAATTGCCAACAAGATCAAAGAAACACAGCCCTGGTCCTACCACAAATCACCGAGACGGATGTCCTTGCATTGTCACAACAGGTATAAAGAGGATATAAGGTAATGAGAGAAGGAAAGTACCTCGAACGATACTTTGTTACCTTTGGAGTCGGCTTTTGGGGGGGGGGCAGGGAATCTTCATCTAATCCCTCTGAGTGGTCCGAAGGCCCGTTGCAGCCACAAACTCGATATGCTTTGTCTATCTGCCTACTGATTTAACTTACTGGGCACCAACCACTTCAGAACCCACTTCACCGCTGGTTGAGCGGAAAATAATGCATAAGGATCAAATCTTCGGTTTTAGGGATGCCACCACGATTTTACTAATACATAGCATCACACAGAGAATACTTTACTAATGGCCTTCAGGACTCAAGCAAGAAGACGATGGATATCTGTGTCCCTAAACCCTTGTCCCTGGCAGGAGCTGTGCCTGAAGTGGCCTCAGTGGTTCTAGTGGCCCGGGCTAAGAAAATGCCGGTGCCTTTCCCCCTGTGGCTCGTACGATCCATGAGAGTCTAGAACCTGCCAATCCTTCCACAATCCTCTGAAAACCACTCAACTGAGCATCCTCAGCACCGACCATCCGCCCTCGAAACTCCACTTTGGATGTTCTGCATGTAAAATGTCTGTGCCTAAACCGCATTGCCCCAAGCTGTCCTTATTCAAAGGCACAGGTCCACGTACTCGTAAGGTTGGGGTGCCAGGCACACAAGCAAAACCCTCCAAACCAGTCCCATGCTCAACTGTCAGACGCTGTCTTGTTCTTCAGAATATCCGTGAGGCGTTGCTGAGGATTGAACATTTCCTTCTGCTGCAGCGTGCTTGCTCTTGATTGTCCCGTCATCTGCTGGCTGAACGGTTCAAAGTTTCTTGTTTTGGAGCCTTGAGCATTCCTCGCTTGGTGCATATGCCTTGTCCCACCGACTGCTCCTCGACGCCTGTTTGACCCAGCTTCGGACCCAGCTGGCTCGTGCAGACAACCCCCCACAGATAATTGCCTGCTCACAATATCAATTTTCGCATTCCTTCTTCCACCAGATCATCCTTTCCGTAACAATCCACTGGTGGTCTTCAGGGTCCAGCAGGTGCGGTGGCGCCAATGACCTCTCAGGACTTGCCACTGGACAATGGCATACTCGCACTCCCCAAAAGAAATTCCGTGGTGGTTGAGGTTACAGAACTCCCGCTAAACTCTCCTACTCAAGAGCTCACATCAGCATCCTGTCATGGCTTGGTCGAAATCCTGGGGAAGATGGATGGGGCACAACTTGACAGTTCAAAAGCCTGGATGGATGGGTCGAGTTTGAAACGGCCACAGACGGGTGATGGACATAAATCCTGGAGAAATTCTCGGAGTAGAGGCCGAAGAAGTTCGTCAGTTGGGTCCATGGACAGCACTGTGGGAGACTCGCATAGTCGTGGTCACGTCCAACGACCAACAATGCAACTTCCTGCCTTTGAGGAGTATAGCAGGCCGAGGTTCCAATCGGAGCAGAATAATCTGCAACAAGGGTTGAGGAATGGCGTTGGACTACCGCAGAGGAACACAGATGGAGGTGCGCGGTCCAGCTATGGCGCGCATTCAGATTCCACTCGGTTATCTCATACTCAATCGTGGCCATTGACGTCTCACATGGATGCATCATATTTTCACTATCCTTCTGGAATTCAACCACTGCTCACTCCACCAGAAGACATTGACGCTTTCAAATGGGGTACAACTGTCCAAGCAGATACCGCCGATAGTATTAGCACTGTTCCGGTAAACGAGCAAGGAAGTGGGAGCGGGAGTCATGTCCAAGAACAGTCCCGATCACCGCCCAACACCAGACCTTCAGAGATACAATTGCCGGCACCTTCGAATATGTCATCAGACGAATCAAACATGCCTCTCTGGCTGGGGAGAGCGTGTCAGAAGCTTGGTATGCCCCCTGAGGAGTGGAATCGCTTGCGTGTTCACTAATAAAATGTATAGTTTCATCTTTGGGCGATCCAAACAAGCAGCAAAATATCCAGATGGTTGTTCAGGCTTTGCCACCCCAGGCAAAGAAAGCAGGCGTCAAACTAGTCTTCGAGAAGGTGGTGGAGGTATTACAAGGTCATTTTCTGTTGCCACCATACATAACCATCACCCACGCTGTCTCGCAGGTCATTAGTATGGACGAAGTTCCCGCCTCGCCTCCCGCAACTCCCAACACTCACCATTCGAGCGATGGCTACTTTGAGGATCAGACTATATTTACGCATGCAGCCGTTGTACCCGCTTACCATGCTCAGAGCACGGTATCGACGATCGTGAGTCCCCGGCCAAGTAACATCATTGCTGCGCCGAGCAGCATACAGATGACAATTCTGGAAAGATACATCCCACCGACAACTGCCCAGGAAGTCCACGATTTCTTTACAATGAGCAGAAAGTCGTATCTCGCGGACAGATTACTTGAACTGTCTGCGAATGACGGGTCGTTACTCCTAGTCTTCCCGACTAAAACCGGAGGGATGACTTTCGCGAAAAACTATATAGGGCCGATTATCGAACCTTTTCTTCGACAATTCGTCCTCCTGAACCACCTCTTTGTCGACATCGCAGTGGACTTGGGACGCATGGCATCACTGGATAGCATGAAGGAGTTTTCCGAGCTGCGAGATGCTGTACGACAAATGTGCCAAGCTCTCAGCCAGCGAGCCCCTGCCCGAGGCATACAAAGTCGCTACGAGGTCGTACACGCCGAAACGGCCGAGGTGGCACTGAACCGGAACGTGTGGAGAGAATGGTATCTTGAGCAAGAAACACCCCGGCTTCGCCAGAACCTGGTGGATTATCACAAGGCTGGAGGGCGAATGCCATCCCGTGTTGGTCAAATCGAAACCACGCCAGGCATGTTGGCCCGAGAAGTGGTGGACGGCATACGAACGAGTCGGGAGCCGGCAGGAGAGGTTGGGATCGAAGTGGGGGTTTTTGTCATCCGACGGTCCATTGTGTAGGACGAGCAACCTGGGCCACAGGACCATAACTTGCATCATTCAACAGTAGGAGCAGTTTGATTTCCAGCGCGAAAAGAAGGTGGGGCGGGGGCAAGAATACAGCAGCAAGGCGTTGTGACATGGGCATAGGGCATCAGCATGAGTTTTGCGACAGTACAAGATGGTTGACGAGACACGTGATACCCAGCAAAAGGAAATCATTTGAGATTTTTTGCTTGTGCTTTTTGGCATTCTTGCCTGATTCCAGAGTATCATTCATCATTGGGATACTACATGGCTTTGCTTGTATATTGATGAATGAGCATCGGCTCCTGCGAGCTTTAATAGTACGAAGGGTTAGTGTTCACACGTTGAGCCTGCCTAATATATAGGCAGCATAGCCAGAGTAGCAAATTAATATAAATATTCTCCGGAGATAAACATGTGGTGGTGGTGATGATGATGGTGTGGACACGGATCTGCAGTTCAGATGTTGTGTGCAGACGCTGTGTGAAGTAGCAGCTAATGGGCGGGAGCCCTGGTCCTCGGGCACCAGAATAGGCATAGGCCTCCGGGTAGCTTAAGCACGATAACCCTCTGAAGCACACCGAAGCGTCCCTTATCTCGGGGCTTAATAACCAACAACTCGCCCGCAAACTCAACTGAGCCATTCCCGTTCACGATCCACTTGCCATTTTTTGATTCCCCAACTTTGTTAGCTTTACTTTGGCGAGATTTCTTGCAACCACTGCGCCGACACTTGCACCTAGCTCAGTTAGCCACTTGATCGATGTCATGGGTAAGTCAAAAACCGGTTGTTCCAAAAAGCCATATCTGCCTGGACTTGCATCATGGCGCGCCCGCTTGGTTGAGTTTTCCTCTTATCCGTAATGGCGCCTTCCCTGGTCAAGACGGCCGGGAACGTAGACCGCCCCGTATGCCAGAGGCCATGATTGCCTTGCCACCGGGCACATGTGAGTGACAATCCTCACTAACTAACTACGGCGTTGCTGCTTCCATACTCAACGCGTGCAGCTCACGGATTTTTGGTGACGACAATGACCTGCTTCTTCTTGCTTGTTTGAGCGTCGCGGTCGCGTGCTTTCCTCTTCTCTTGTAGATACTGTTACTGCTTGTTCGTCGTTCTTGCTCGGCGACCACGACCAAGGGCTGCTCTTTTCTCTCGTTTACTGTCTTCTCGGCGTCAGTCGCACTTTCCCTTATCAGACCCAACTGCTCGTTGCCAGTGCAGGACTAAAGGGAGATTTCACTTCTTTTCACTGCCTCAAACTCCTGTCACTGTTGTGGTTCACGAATTGAGCAAAACTTGTCATTGCCAGAGGATCTTCTTCAGTGGCATGCGACCCTGTCTTCTATCGCTCATATTCTTTCCTCAACAATTAGCTGTTTCATGCTGAGTACTCTTTTCCACTACCTCAACATCGACGGCTCGCTCTCAACTCCATCCAAGCATCATCAGAGGTCTTCAGTGGTGCGCACTGTTTACAAAGAACTTGAAAAAAGCCATCTTATGCTGTGACCTATCACAATGGCTCCCCAAATCACTCCCATCCTCCTCATCTTGGCTGCTATGTGCGCCACAGTCAATGCCATCTTGCCTTTATCAGTGGTCGGTGCCAAGTTCTTCACCAGTGACGGTAACCAGTTCCGTCTTAAAGGTATGGCTACATGATCCATGGTGTTGTCAAGGCCTTTTCATTGACCTAAACCTGCTAGGTGTCGCCTACCAATTGGTTGAAGACGATCCGCTCGTGAACACCACTCAATGTCAGCTTGATGCCAATCTCATGCAACAGCTCGGGGCCAATGCCATACGCGTCTACCATGTCGATCCGACCGCAGACCATAGTGGATGCATGAACGCTTTTGCGGCTGTTGGCATTTATCTCTTTGTCGATTGCGATAGCTTCAAGACATACATCCGCCTTGTAAGGAGACATCTGACCCGAGCCATGCCCATAATTGACCAAAGCAGGGTTCTGAGTCATCTTGGACAGAGAACAAGTCGGAATCATACCGTGCGGTTGTTGATAACTTTCAGCAATATCCCAACACTGGGGGCTTCCTCGTCGGAAATGAGGTTCTCAACGTTGGTACGTTATTTATACGTTCAATTGGGGTTCCTGTAGCTGACAAAGTCTCAGTGGAGGATGCCCCGGCTGCTCCATACCTGCTGTCAGCCGCTGTTGATTTGAAGAACTACATCGCTGCCAAAGGCTACCGCAAGATCCCCATTGGTTATTCAGCCACAGATACTGGTGCACTTCGACCTATGCTCCAGAACTACTTGGTTTGCCGGGAAAATCCTGTGGAACGCCTCGATTTCTATGCTTTGAACAGCTACGAGTGGTGTGGATCAACTCCGACCTTTGAGACCTCTGGTTATGTGTCCTTGCAAGCAGATGCCAACAACTACCCTGTACCAATCTTCTTCTCAGAGGACGGATGCAACACTGTTCCTCCTCGTACTTTCAATGATCAGAACGCTATCTTTGGTCCCAATATGTCGGACACCTGGTCAGGTGCCATCATCTATGAATGGATACAAGAAATGAACCAATATGGGCTGGTGTCTTACGGACCACAACTAGATTCTAGTGTTCAGGAAGGATCCATCATTGTTCAAGGGTAAAATTCGTGGACCACTCCCATGAGTCAGGTTCAAGCGGGCTAACAGTGCACAGGTTCACTCGCCAAGGCGTTCCTACACCAGTCCAACCCGATTTCAATAATCTTCAACAAGTATGGAAGACCTTGAATCCCACTGGTGTCAATTCTGCCGAGTACCAAGCCACATTCACAGCGGTTGTCCCTCGTTGCCCGGCTTCAACTGAAGGAGGATGGAACGTGATCCCCGACGCACCATTGCCCACGATCGGCGTGGCTGGTGTCACACCAGGTATGCCGGAGAACGTGCCAAAAGGCACCATCTCTGTGGAGACCCAAACATCGCAGATCAGTGTTACTTACAGCTCGACAGGCAATCCTTCGACTACTTCTTCCAGCAGTGCTAGCTCGGCGACTTCTGAAGCAGCAGCAGGTAGAACCGTCTCCAAGCCCCTATCAATGTACGACCAGGGATTTTTGGGCATGATGATTGCGCTTCTTGCAGTTTGTGCCGGGGCTGTGGCTTTGCTATGATACACAGTCACTATCAAGCGTGGGCGTTGTTGGTCAAGGTCAATGATAAAAGCATGATTGGAGCGTCCTTCATACACGAGTTCAAAGATGTATTTCAGGCAGGGCACTTGATGAGAACTGGGATCCCAGATGGATGGATGAGATGTTCAAATAGAGCTTGCACGTGCTGCAGATACCACTGCTGCATTGCATAGTGCACATTAGTGCACTGGTACACCTACCCAAAAAGTAATGATAATCAAGTTTTCAATCTTGTGCAGAATGAGCTTACCCAGCTGATCCATAGTTTGACCCTGGAACGAGCGTACTCATATCTCGATTAGTCACTGGAGGCTCCGTGGGAAGTCATCCCGGTCACGTTGTGGGTGAGCTTGTCTGTTAAAGGCAATGTAACCGATTTGTCTAACCAGATACGTGCTTCTTGGCATTTAGCTGACCTGCAGCCGGCGTTGAGGAAAATTTTGTCAACACGGCACTCATCCATTTCAATTCCACAAGTCCGTCGAGGCCATTACCCAAGATCCTAGTAGTGGGTGAGCTGGGATTGAACATGATCAGTAAGACGTACTGTACCGACTTCCATGCCGGGCTCGAATTCGTGAGACCGGCCGCCGAAAGCAGGCCCCTTGACCGACAATGAGTCTCCAAGTTTGTTCAGTAGCCGAACTTCTGCCAATTCATCGCCATCAAAAACGACGTCGAGCTTCGACCCACACAAACGCGGTTTAGGCTTTGCTAAACTCCGGCCCACTGACGTATTCTAAAGATCCTGTCTCAACACAATGAGGATCCGTCATGACTGGGAGAAATGGCTAGTATCTCTCCGCCCCTGACGTTATCTCCTACGGGGTTCTCGAGGCTTGACATCCTTCAATCAGTAACAGGCGTGGAAAAAGTGACCTCCACCAAGATCCGGGCTCTTAGTCTCTTAAGACCTATTCCCAGCCAAGCTTAGAAATACATAGATATGCTAGCGGACGATCGACAGTGTCCGCCATCTCCGACCCTGCATACCTTTTTCGGGTAATATTGTTTTTCTCTGCCTCATCATTGAATCTTTTGTTGACCTTTTTCCTTCCTGTTGATACCGTTTCTTCCGCCTAGCGGGTTGTTAGCTTCCTCTTTTCCCACTTCCCTTCCACTTGATAGCTACGTCTCACACTTCGGCGTGCTTTGTTGATATCCCTTGGACGATTTCGACCGGGAAATCCCCACCCCACCGCCAGTCTTTGAGAGCCGGGAAGCCACCTAACATAAGGACTTCCACTTTTCAAGTGACGTGCCATAGAAGCTACAGGTTTCAGTTCCCCCTGGTACCGGCACTGACAGGCCTATCAAGATGTTCAATCAACATTCCAGGGAGATGTTTGGGCGCCGGTATGGCCCAGATCGTAAGTATTCGTCCGACCGCCACCTATACTGCAAGATGGACTAACCCAGCCAGTCCCTCCATTGAACTTACATAACATACAACCGACTGAAGACAACTCTGATGAGACCAGTCCTGCGGAAGGCTCGACACCAGAAAGAGGTCACAGCCATGAACGGGATGGGACCTGGGGCGAACGAGATGTTGGTGGACCTCTCGATCGGGACGATGCCATGGCAGACTTTGACGAGATGAGGCTAGAACTGAGCAAGTTGAGCATGCACCGGACGGCCACTCGTGAGTCAAACAGACGACCTAGTCTGGCATCCAGAGTCCGGACACGCACATCCCTTGCGAGAAAAAGAACTCGTTCTATGAGAGCAGAGAGCGTGGCCACGGCATCCACTTTTGATGAAGAAGAAGGGCACGATTCTGAAGATGATGACGAAGATGACGTCGATTTGGGTGATTTCCTCAAGAACGGCCATTTCGAAAAGCGTACAGATGCTGGTGGCCCAACGAAGAAGGTCGGTGTCACATATAAGAATCTGACTGTGAAAGGGGTGGGCGCCCAAGCAACATTCACCAAGACTTTACCGGAGGCCATTTTGGGGACTTTTGGTCCTGATTTGTATCACCTGGTCACTCGGTTTGTACCTTCATTGAAATTCGGGCGGCTGCCAGCGACAAGAGATCTCATTCACGACTTCACTGGTGCCGTACGGGATGGAGAGATGATGTTGGTGTTGGGTCGTCCAGGTGCAGGTTGCTCAACATTCCTCAAGGTCCTTGCCAATCAACGCGATACTTTTGCAGGAGTGGAAGGAGAAGTACACTATGGAGGTATCTCTGCCGAAGAGCAGCGAAAGCGATATCGGGGCGAGGTCAATTACAACCCCGAAGACGATCAACACCTGCCCAACTTGACTGTCTGGCAGACTTTGAGGTTCGCATTGATGAACAAAACTCGGAAGCACGAAGAGAACAGTATCCCCATCATTATTGACGCGCTCTTAAAGATTTTTGGCATCTCTCACACGAAGGGAACACTCGTTGGCAACGAGTATGTCAGAGGTGTCTCTGGAGGGGAGCGCAAACGTGTCGGTATTGCCGAGACGTTGGCCACCAAGTCAACCGTTGTTTGTTGGGACAATTCGACTCGGGGACTCGATGCTTCGACCGCACTAGACTATGCCAAGTCGTTGAGAGTCATGACCGATATCTCCAATCGAACTACGATTGTGACGCTTTATCAAGCTGGGGAGGGCATTTATGACTTGATGGATAAAGTTTTGGTAATCGAAGAAGGCCGTATGATCTACCAAGGACCTGCCAAACTCGCACGGCAGTATTTCATCGATCTCGGATTCAAAGCGCCTGACAGACAAACCACAGCCGACTTCCTGACCTCCGTTGGGGACGCCAATGAACGACAATTCCAGTCCGGCAAGGAAGCTTCGACGCCCAAAACTGCCGAAGAATTGGAAGCCGCCTTCCGCAGATCCGATATCTACAAACATGCCATCGTTGACGTCCAGAGCTATGAAGGCGACTTAGAGAAAACTGACTGCCAGGATACCCGTCGCTTCCAAGAAGCTGTCGAAGAACAAAAGAGCAACAGCAAACTCATCTCCAGCGGCTCGAGCTACACTGTCTCCTTCTGGCGTCAAGTGCTTGCATGCACACTGCGTGAATTCTGGCTGTTCTGGGGCGATAAGACAACACTGTACACCAAGACGTTCATCATCATTGCCAACGGTCTCATTGTTGGTTCGCTTTTCTACGGCGAAAGTCTCGAGACCGATGGCGCGTTCCCCCGTGGGGGTGCGCTCTTCTTTGCCATTTTGTTCCTGGGTTGGCTGCAGCTCACGGAATTGATGCGCGCGATCAGTGGTCGCGTCGTTGTTGCGAGACATCGTGACTACGCGTTCTACCGCCCCAGTGCCGTCGTCATTGCGCGAGTCCTCCTCGACTTACCTGTTTTGGCGGTCCAGGCCGTTGTCTTCACCATTATTCTGTACTTCATGGCGGAGTTGGATGTCCAGGCGAGCAAATTTTTCATCAATCTGCTTTTCGTCTACGTCAGCACGATATGTATCACAGCGCTTTATCGCATGTTCGCCTCGTTGAGTCCGACAATCGACGATGCGGTCCGCTTCAGTGGTATAGCACTCAATCTTCTGATAATCTTTGTTGGTTATACTATCCCAAAGCGTACACTTACGAGCGATGTGATTTGGTTTGGCTGGCTATATTATGGTAAGTCAATTTGACTTTGTCTTTTGACACTGTGACTAACAAATACCTTGCAGTCAATCCCGTCTCCTATGCGTACGAAGCTGTTCTATCAAACGAATTCTCTGGTCGAATCATGAACTGCTCGCCATCTAATCTAGTACCACAAGGGCCGGACGTTGATCCGGCTTATCAAGGATGTGCATTGACCGGCTCAACTCTTGGGAGCAATACTGTCAGTGGTGATGCATATATCGAAACCTCGTTTGGCTATTCACGCTCCCATCTTTGGCGAAACCTCGGAGTTCTGCTTGCTTTCACGGCACTATACGTCCTAATCACTGCCGTGGCCTCCGAAGTCTTCTCGTTTGCTGGTGGTGGCGGTGGCGCATTGGTTTTCAAGAAGACTAAAAAGGCTAAGCAAATGGTGAACGAGGAGAAAAAGCCAACAGATGAAGAAAAAGCATCTTCTCCGACAGACCCAAGCCCTGGTGCATCATCGGATACCCTTGAGGGTGCAGATGATGCCGTTGTTGATGACCTTACTCAAGGCAAGAGTGTCTTTACCTGGGAAAACGTCGAATATGAAGTGCCTTACCAAGGCGGAAAGAGGAAACTACTTAACGGGGTGAATGGTTACGTTAAGCCAGGAATGATGATCGCCCTTATGGGTGCCAGTGGCGCAGGCAAGACTACTTTGCTCAACACCCTCTCGCAAAGACAAACTCTCGGTACCGTTTCTGGCGACATGCTTGTCGATGGTAAGAAGCTCGGGGTGGAATTCCAACGTGGTACAGGTTTCTGCGAACAAATGGATCTCCATGATGAGACCGCCACAGTTCGTGAAGCCCTTGAGTTCTCTGCTATTCTCAGACAAGATCGGAAGGTCCCAAAACAAGAGAAGGTCGACTATGTCAATAAGATCATTGAGTTGCTGGAGTTACAAGATATTCAGGACGCCATTATCGGCTCTTTGGGCGTCGAGCAGCGGAAGAGACTGACGATTGGCGTGGAACTGGCCGCGAAACCAGAATTACTCCTCTTCCTCGACGAACCAACCAGCGGTCTTGACTCTCAGTCAGCATTCTCGATCATCCGATTCCTGAAGAAGCTCTCAAAATCTGGACAGGCGATTATTTGTACGATTCATCAGCCGTCTTCGATGCTCATCCAACAGTTCGACATGGTGCTTGCACTCAATCCTGGCGGGAACCCTTTCTACTTCGGTCCTGTAGGCGATAATGGCTCCGCCATAATTGACTACTTTGCCCAAAGAGGTACACAATGCCCACCGAACAAGAATGTCGCTGAATTCATCCTCGAAACTGCCGCCAAAGGAGGCGCCAAGCGAGATGGCAAGCGGGTGAATTGGAACAAGGAGTGGTTAGCTTCACAAAACAATACCGATATGCTCGAGGAGATCCAACGGATCAAGGATGCCCGATCCAAAGTGCCCATGAAAACCACCGCACAATACGCCTTTGCCGCCCCGATCGCCGCCCAAACCTTGGAGGTCACGAAACGAACCTTCCGCCAATACTGGCGGGATCCATCATACCTGTACGGCAAGCTCTTCGTGAGTGTGGTGATCGGTATATTCAACGGTTTCACCTTCTACAACCTCGACAACAGCGTCGCCTCGCTTCAATCACGTCTCTTCACGCCCTTCCTCATTCTGCTCATCCCGCCCACCATCGTCAACGGCGTGGTTCCGAAGTTCTACCAGAATCGCGCTCTGTGGGAGGCAAGAGAACACCCGAGTCGCATCTACGGGTGGTTCGCCTTCTGCACAGCCCAAGTTGTTGCCGAGGTCCCTATGGCCATCATATCCTCCATCGTTTACTGGCTGCTGTGGTACTATCCAACCAACATGCCCCGCGATAGCAGTACCGCTGGGTATATGTTTCTAATGACCATGTTGTTTTACTTCTTTATGTCGAGCTGGGGCCAGTGGATATGCGCATTCGCTCCCAGTTTTACCGTCATTTCAAACGTATTGCCGTTCTTCTTTGTCACCGTGAGTATTTTCAACGGTATCGTTCGCCCTTACGCCCAACTCCCCGTGTTTTGGCGGTATTGGATGTATTGGGTCAACCCGAGCACATGGTGGATCAACGGCGTGCTCGCAGCGACTGTCCGTGGTCTCACGATCGAATGTGCACAGGGCGAGAGCACGCTCTTCAATGCTCCCCCAGGCCAGACGTGTGATTCCTACGCGAGCGACTTCGTCCGAACCAGCGGCATGGGATACGTCTCGACGACGAACAACGGTACTTGTGCGTACTGTCCTTACGCCACGGGCGATGAGTACCTCTCGACCCTGAACATCCGCGGCGACGAGAAGTGGAGGGATTTCGGTATCTTCTTGGTCTTTGTTTTCTCAAATTGGGCTTTGGTTTATTTCTTCATCTATACTGTTAGGGTGAAGAAGTGGGGATTTGGAATGGGATATTTGACCGGTGCCGTGGAAAAGCTTGGAAAACTGATCAGAAAGAAGTAGAGCAGTTCTCTGGAGTGCTTCGTCTAGCATGTGGTATGGAGTGCGGGCGTTAGTTGTGGAAAGAAGCTAGATGGACGTTTGATCGATTGCCAGTACGAATGTCATGTTGCAGCCAGTCAACACCCAATCTCGGATAGGCGCATATGATATACACTTTCCCTCGACCCGGACACGGCTGCATAGGCATTTAGCTTGACTTCGGTATCCATAACTCGCTATTTAGCATGTCCAGGGTATCCCAAAGCATAAGTGCTGCTCATGGCTTGTGCTCTCCTGTGCCCTAGGCTGTTTCACGACACTTGGAACAGTCTCTAAAAAAGGCTCTCAGCCATCTCGCATTCACCTGGATAAATGAATCCTAAGACCACTCCGGCGTAACCTGTGAATTATATCACTGTATATGCGGGGTTTTTGATCACTAAGCGAGCCAAAGCCAACCCAATACTTCGGAGCTCCCAGACACCGAGTCCGGCATGAGGCTGGACGAGGCTGGTAGCAGGGCTTGATCATAATTGGTGGCAAGCTTACTAGTCGGGAGTTCTTCCCTCCATGCTTGTCCTCAATTATGTCATGCCATGTTCGCATGGTGCAAGTGTGGGGGATCGCGAGATACCGAGCCATGAGACATCACCTCATCAAAACCCAATTTTAGATAGCCCACGATGCTTCCCTCGAGCATTAGTCTCCTGGTCGGCGTTAGGCAATAGAGTTCTGTGTGTACATCTACTCACGTATCTCGTTGATTTGAAATCTTGACCTGGAAACGGTCAGGATATATCTAGTCGATGGACACATCGTTCAGTCTGTGGTTCTTCCATACAAATATACTTTGAACAATTAAGTCGTCTGGTAAACCAGATCATAAATCCAAATAACTCAGCAGCACCACTTCCTGTACTCGGGACCTGACAACTTCTACACACACGACACTTGAGAATATAACAGATATAGTAGAGTCAGGATCCATCACACAACAATAGCCTTATCATTGGAGGAAAGTCACAGGGATGGTGTCATACTCAGATATCAAGTTGAACAATGAATCCCTAGCCTCTGGCGGGAGCAGTCCAATCGCCGCATTTGTCGGTGGCACTGCCGGGATTGGATACGAAGCACTGCTGGCCTTATTGCGATACAGCAGCTCACCCACCATCTACATTGTCGGCCGCGGAGAGTCGCGCCTCAATAGCCTGATCGAAACAGCTCAAACGCTCAACGCCAATGCAAAGCTGATACCCATCGTCGCCAATGACTTGACCCTCGTCAAGGATGCACAGAAGGCCGCAGAGCAAATCGCCGCACAGGCTGACCACCTCGATCTACTCGTCACGTCACAAGGCTTCATCAGTTTCAGCTCCAAGCCAGAGTATAGTACCGAGGGGCTCGACAAAGTGACGGCAATCCGCTATCATTCGCGCTTCCGCTTCATAATCACGCTGCTGCCGTTGTTGCGCAAGGCACCCAGTCCACGAGTCATCTCGGTGCTAGCATCCGGACAGGAAGGCCCGCTGGATCTCGAGGATCTGGGCATGACCAAGCCCGAGAAATACGGCGTTTTCTACGCCGCCGGCGCGAGCAGCAGTCTGACCACGCTGGCATTCGAGGAGCTGTCGAAGCAGAAGGAGAACGAGAAAATCGTCTTCATCCACATCTACCCGGGCCTGGTCAGCACGGGGCTCCAGGCGGTCGGCGGACCGGCCCCGCTGACTTTCCTATTCAACAACGTGCTCAAGGCCGTTTTCTGGCTGGTCGGATATACGCCACGTGAGGCTGGAGAGAGGGTGCTCTTCGCGGCCACCAACGGACGCTTCCGCAAGCTGCAGCCCGGTGCCACGGGTGAGGGGACCTTGATCCAGGAGGGCAGCAATGGCAGCAAAGGAAGCGGCGTGTATCTGGTTCAGGGAAATTCGAGTGTCGCGTCTGGTAATGCCGAGTTGAAGAAGTTGAAGGATCAGGACGCGGGGAAGAAGGTTATCGAGTATACACTCAACGAGTTTGAGAGGATCTCGAAACTGTAGACTCTGTGCTGCTCGACTGATTACGGCTGTTTTTGGTTAGCAAGCATTGCTGTTTCCGTGGGTAGCGTCGTGGTACTGGATAGGTCATGAATTTGGACCAGGAGGTTCGTATGCTTGCTCCATCAATGGCTCCTCAAGAGTGAGAATCTGCGATTCATTAACTCTGACCTGATCAATGCATATTGTATTATTGCAAAGGCATTGATGTCCTGGGGGCGTAATCTGTAAGTCTCCAGTGAGGCCTACCACCCTTTCACTTGCAATAGATAATTTCTCTACATAAGGTGCCATACCTAAAGCCGAGAATGCGAGTATGATCGAGACTTTCTTCAACAGGGTTGTGCTTCTCCCTTCGTATGTAATCGCTTCTATCTCGACTGCTCGATGAGAAAGTTTCATTGGAACTGTGCCGTGGAATTTGTCTCCGAGACAGAATTTTGTAGAACAGATGTCAGGCAATCAAACTAACTAATCCTCCTTTCTAAAACTCGATGAAACGGACAGGCGAGCGGGTTTGAGGCTCCGTTCGCTCTCGGCCCCAGGCGCGAGGCTTAGGGGACGGGGCTCTTTTAGGCCCCCCCACCGCCCAAATCCTCAAGACTGAACAGCACACAGCCTCAATCAACAAAAGTCTAACGTGGCCATCTTAAGTCCCTAGAGACGATTTTTCAGGATTATCGAGCATGGCAATCGCAATGATCAAAGCACAACCCAAAGAGTAACGTGGGAGGCAATAGTCTCGCACTGTAACCTGGACATGGCCGAAGCAGTGGCTGTGATTGGCCTGCTATCCTCCATCATACAACTCGTCGATTTCAGTTCAAACCTCCTTGACCGCCTCCATGATTTCGTGACAACAACCAAAGAGGTGCCTGATGTGTTTCGGAATATTTGTGTTCAACTGCCTCTCACGACAGCGACCTTACAGAGACTGTCCCGCCGTATTAGCGAGAATGGGCTCAGCAGTGATGAGCAGAAGGCGCTCCAGGCGATCGTGGATCGTACCATGGAATTGATCCACAATATCAATGAGGTTCTCTCAAAAACCATTCCTTCCAAGACCTCTTCTTCCTTTGAGAAACGAGTCCTTGCGCTCCAGAGTTTGCGATACGACAAAAGAATTCAGACAGCCAGCGCGCAATTACTACAGAATGTGAACCTGTTGACCTTCTTTCAGACCACCCAAATCCACGATAACTCAACAAGGTCTGCTCGAAGATTGTCGGGAACCACATTTATCGATGTACCGGAAGTCCTAGATTTTCAACATGGACTAAATCTAGGGGGTGCACCTCACCTGGCAGAGGGTAATTTTGTCGGGCGGGAGCTGGAGTTGAAACAGCTCAGTAACATGTTGAAGCCTGACTCACAAAGGCAATCTATCGTCGCCGTCGTCGGCATGGGTGGTATGGGAAAGACTCAGTTGTGCATTGAATATGCAGTAACTCACCAAGATTTGTACTCATCCATTTTTTGGCTGAATGCTCAAGACGAGTCGTCACTACGCGCAGACCTTCTAAGCGTAGCGAACATTGTCCTATCAGCTCAGGAGAGCAAGTTGAGATCAAAGACAGACGAGGATGATATTATTCGAGAACTCCGACAGTGGCTCTCTCAGCCCAAAAACCGAAATTGGCTGCTGATCTTGGACAATTTAGACAACCCAAAAATGCCAACCGACAACGACCCTTCGGCTCTTGACGTACGAGAGTATTTCCCCTATCGATCCCAAGGCTCAATCCTGATAACAACTCGAGCTCGGACACTTCATTTTGCTAAGCAATTGCCACTTCGAAAACTTGAGACTCTTGAGCAAGGGTTGGAGATGCTTTCTGTACGCTCTGGCCGACTTATCACCACAGGTAAGAAGACTCCCTGTACTGTCGACCTTGGCTGTAAACACGGTTCATGGCCTAGAGCATGAACAAAATTAATTTTTGTGTGGCACAGATGATGATGCGAAGGAGTTAGTTCGTCGCTTGGATGGTCTTCCGCTTGCCCTTACTTCAGCGGCTTCCTTTCTGGAGCGCACGACGTGCACCATACAGGAGTATCTGAAGGAGTACAAAGAAAACTGGGTCAAAAATGAAGCGGAGAGCTTATTCGAATATGGGGATCGTACCTTGTTCACAACTTGGAATATGTCAGTCGAGAAACTTAAGAATCAGGACGATCCCGCGGTTGAGTTATTACGGATTTCAGCCTATTTCAGCAACGAGAACATATACTATGAACTATTATCAGGAGGAGACCCCAATGTTTGGCCAATCTTGGGGGACATTCGACAGAACAAGGCGACGTTTGACCGTTCGATGGCTAAACTCCGAGACTACTCTTTAATCGAAACTACTCATCGAGGCTATCGTTTACATCCGTGCGTTCATGATTGGACGCTTTCAAGCCTGAACCAAACTATTGTTGACGCGGATGTCTGGGGTGCCGCGAAGTGCACTGTGGCGGCATCAGGCTTCTCAATATGGGCAACCGACTACGATCAAGCTCTATCACGACATGCGTCACATGTGATAAGGCTCACGCACCCGCTGTTGTATGATGTGTTGATACACGGCGAGCTGAATGAAGATCGTTGTGATGCGTTGACTGGATTGGGTCAAATCCTTCATGATGTAGGACGAATTCAGGAGGCTATGCCGCTCATGACCCGTGCTCTACTATGGTCTCAAGAACATCTGGGTGAAGCGCACGAGACTTTCCTTTACGCCTGCAGCATGGTCGGTCTCTTTCAAAAAGACCTGGGGAACTTCGCCGAGGCAGAGGACCTGATCAAAATTGCAACGTACGGACGTGCACGAACTCTGGGCCCATATCACACGAGCACTCTGGACCCAGTCCATAACCTGGGAATTCTTTATCTCGATCTCGACCAGTTCCAAGAAGCAGAGCAGATGTACCTCTGGTCCCTGACTGGGTGCGAGCAGAGCTACGGACCACAAGATGTGAACACATTTTGGGCAATGATGGCACTCGCAGAATGCTACATGGCACAGGACAAGCTTGACGAGGCTGCTAGGCAATTCGAGCGAGCACTGGAGGGTTTCGACATGTCCATCGACAATGATCACGCCTTCAGTCGTAGAACTGCATCTAAGCTTGGCATGATCTATGAGCAGAAGGGAGCGTACACTTCAGCCGCAGCCATGTACCAGCGTGTTCATGAGAGCTGCCGACAACTTTTCGGCCAAGACCATTGGTCAACGCTCGAAGCAAAAGATGACTTGGACAGGCTTCAAAGCAAGTGCTTGTCAATAGCAAGTGCAGCATCACCACCTGGATTAAACGAAAGTCCACCCACCCCACCCACGGACGATGCCGCTGTCGCAAGCCTTCAATCATCAGACGAAGATGTGGATGATGAAGGCTCTCCAGAAGGCGCTCATGATGCTGGGGAGCCATTTGGGATTCCTTTCAGACCTTCAAAATCATTCCCGCTCTCTTGCCACAGATGTCGTGTACCATTGACGGCCGAGACGAAGAGATTCATTTGCTGCTTCTGCGACGACCACGAACTTTGTGGAGACTGTCACACACAGCTTCGATCCAAACAGCAGAGTGATCCAGACCAGGAGAAGCAACATGATCGGCACATTTTCCTGTCATGCGACTTTCCAGAGCCAGCCCCTTGATGGGAATCATAACGAAGACGCCGCATGCCCATGAATGGGACTAAGCCTCTGGAGAAACGATGAACCTGATATTAGATTGCAGACTCTGAGATCATTCTCTCCATATAGGGAACTGCGAATTGCGCTAGATACTTGAATTGCAGCGCCCACTTAACACGAAATGTGAAAAGAAGACCACAAGTAGTTGGTGAAGCTAGGCCTGGAGAATTAAAGAGAACTGACTGAGGTGGATGGATGATACCAATAACAAGAACAGGGCCATAAGGAGACAGGCCGCGAATTGTGCAATAAGGCTTTCGACATGCCACACGGGATAGTGGAAGCCGATCAGAGAACGCGCAATGCCCCAAGACAAATTGGTTATGGCTACTAGGAGAACGGTAAGCCTAAATCGTGAGCGCGCCCACAAGTTGTGCAATCAATAATGTCTTACTTCCTACTAGGTTACCACATGTCTCGATGGTCCATAGAGGAAATCCAGAGGAAAGTGGAGGACAACTCATTTTAAAAATTATGATACAGGAGGACACCGTATGTGGAACTGGCAATATAGTGTAGCATGAACCGTCCACCATATACCCGTGAGTTATGATACTAAAATGGATACCGGTATAAAAGTTCTCGGGACTGTGTCTGGCCGTGTTGCCGGCTAATGAAATAACGATGAATGGCTTGCTATTCGTGGATAAAGCACTCTCAAGAGTGAACTCTAGTTGATACTAGCACCTGTATGATTGTGCTTGCACGGACTGAAATACCCGAGTATCAACTACCGAGATAGACCGCTGTCCATGATGCTAGTACTGGCATACAACAGACATGGACAGCATACATGCATTCTCTGCATACTGCCTATAATAATTTGAAGGGATACCAGGACACCATCAGCTATGTCTGGCATACTTAGTACCGGGGTAGCAGCAGATTTCACAATAGCTACAGATTTGTACGAAATTTTTGTGGCAGGGGTCTCGGTCTTTATGAATTCGAAATCTGATGGCGTGTTCTTGACACAAGTGTCTGATGAGATGCCGTAGCATTTCCTGGTGGGAACCAACACAATCGTTGCAGCTTCTTGTGAATTACGCAAGGCCCTTGTCGGTGCCTTGCTAGAGGGCCATTGCTTATCTGATCATGATCGGAGGCTAATGATCTAGATCTTCGCGATCATCCAAATCGAAAAGTTTTCATGAAACATTTTATCAGTGGCGACGTCCTATGACGATGAGGATCATGCTTTGGAAACTCTGTTTCAGATTCTCAGTCACCGACGGTCCTCACTGACTCACCATGTGCGAAGCGCCCTCCCACTTGGCATAATGACGACGGCCTCCGGCAGAAGATCTTGGAGCATGTTGACTTGTTATTAACAACAACTCTACAAAATTGAGTTTCGGTCTCACCCTTGCAACAAGTGGTACATGTATCCAGACATGTGGTGGATATTGGAAGACCGTGGACGTCTCAGGCTCGGCAGGCAAAGGCGAGAGCGATACGAGGAGGGCGAATGCCTTGGGCAGATACGAAGTATGTTGAGTAAGCATTAGGGCATTTTATGGAATAGTTTACGAATGTTGAAAGGCAAAAGGTAGCGGGAGCGCAAGCCATTTCCAGAAGAGGCGTGGCCCGTGATGGGCATAATTTTAACTGGGTCATTGCTAGACGGACGAGCCGGACGAGCATATCCACGTGTATTTGTGCTTTGAGACTTGAGAGTAAAAACTACGGGTATACTCTCCATCGAGCTGTCTGGCACATGCAACAGGAGCAATTAAGGTCTTGCATGGTTCTCTTGGGCAGGAATCTTATCCCGAACATCAGCCTGAAAACACTGTCATTGACGGATACCGAAGCTCCCGAGTAGATCTCGTTGATCTGTGCAACGCAGAATTCTACGGATACACTGTTCTTACATTCTTAGAGTTCACAGTGGTCCGTAATTCCTGAATCTCAATGTTACAGTGTGCTCTATGTGGTCATCGTATTCGGAGCATGTTCTTATTTTTCAACATACCTAGGTACTATGTAGAAACAGACTTCCATGAACACAATGTCGAAGAATGAGGAAATGGCTTGCGATGTTCAATTATAGAACCCGTGGCATTATCGTGAAGAATGACCAGCAAGTTTTCGTCTCAGGGAACACGGTGGGCATATTGCCAGGCGCAATGCAGGGTCGTATCATAAGGCTGCGGCGTTAGGGAGTACCTGCCCCTGGAGTCATGAGCACAAAATACGAATGCGACATCTTGCGACACTTCCTAGTCGAGTTTGGTCTCCGCAAGATTGCTGATATCCGGGCGTGGGACACTGCCTAAGACTAGCCCAAGGCCCCTAAAAGTCCCTTGGCTGGTGCCACAAAATCTATGAAGGGGGCGACAGGGCACGGCTAAAAAGTGCGAAATCATGCCCGACCACGACCAAGGTCCCACAACGAAGTCGAGTCGGGTTCTACAGCCTTTGAGCTGAGGGCTATCTGTACTCGCAATCTCGTGGTAGGAATAGGCTGGCAAGACACCCGTAACTCGGGTCAAGACTCTGTATCACAGAACGCGAATACCTACGTATGCTCTTCTGTTGCAGATAGGCTGTGCAAGCATTCATGCTCATGGTACTGAGTAACTAGCAGACTACCTCGTAATCTACTTCATCAAAGCCTGAATGCAATCTGCCAAGTGACAATAACGAAATGCCAAGCGAGCCAAAGAGGCGAGGCATTTATGCAACCTGTGAACTCCGACCCGATTGCATAAACGAGCTTTGTGCATGTGACTGTTTGCCCCTCCAGGTTCCGAGCCGTGTTCATGGAAGAAAATATGCTCGTAACTGGAAACTGGAGGTTCAGTCTTCCCGGAGAAGGGGTGCCCTGTGTCCCCCACTCAGTCGAAGCACAACTTTGCGATGGTGGGTGGATGCTCGGTTTGCCTATCCCGGCATCGTCAACAATTCAAGCAGGACTTGTCCTTTTTCTCTCCGCTCCGTGCGATTGATCTTTCATAGGCGCCAGAGTAACAACAAATGACTCCGGATCTGTTCATGTAACGTTTCCTCCTACATATCGTCTTCTTTCCAAGCCTCTGTATTCATTGGACGAGGTAACTGAGTGAGCCTTATACCTCCTGGGCCTCAAAAAGCTCGCGCTGTGGCGTCATTCATTTACTCTCCGAAGGTCATTTACTTTCCGAAGGTTATATCTTCTCATGCCTGTCGTTCTAATCTAAGATTTTTGTTCCTCCACCCATCTTTACCTTCTGCTTCTTCTTCCATCACGGGCAGATATGTCTCTCGTGGGGACCTTTACATCCAATTACGATAAAAGTATAAATACAAGTGGCCCTGGGGTACTGGGACAAAGACGACCTAGTGAAGCAGATCAATCTAGCGTGCCATTCCGAACTCGATCGCACTCTCAGTCGACGAAACCGAAACGTTCTACTGACAACCAAGAAATGTCAGCAACATCTGACGACAAAACAGCAAGTCGAAACGATGCAGCACTACCTTCCAACAAGCCCGAGTCTGCCAGCAGCACCGACGAAGAGGGAGCTGAGCGTATCAAATATCTGGCCAGACAGTTCTCGCGGACGTCAAACTTCTCAGTGAATGCCAGCCCATTCGAGGCAGAGGCAGACTCAGCTCTAGATCCCAGTTCAGACAACTTTCGATCTCGAGCATGGGTCAAGTCCATGTTCAAGCTACAGTCGGAAGATGACCGTTTTCTCGCCAGGACTGCTGGGTTTGCATTCCGAAATTTAAGTGCCTATGGCTTTGGTGCAGCAACCGATTATCAAAAATCCGTCGGTAACGTAATGCTAGAAGTTGTCGGAATGGCTCGAAGACTTATGGGTACTGGCCAGCGACGGATTGATATCCTGCGGAATTTCGATGGTCTCGTTCTTCCGGGAGAAATGCTTGTTGTCCTTGGACCCCCAGGCTCAGGTTGTTCCACATTTCTAAAGACAATCGCTGGTGAAACGCACGGTTTCAATATTGAGCAAGACTCCTACATTAATTATCAGGGCATCAGCTATGCGGACATGCACAAGCACTTCCGAGGCGAAGCGATCTATACGGCAGAACTTGATGTTCACTTTCCTCAGTTGACCGTGGCTGAGACTCTCTACTTTGCAGCCCGTGCAAGAGCCCCGAGATTCCTCCCTGGTGGGGTGTCGATAGAGACATACGCTGCACATATGAGGGATGTCATTATGGCAACCCTAGGCATTCGCCATACATTCAACACTCAAGTTGGCAACGATTACATCCGAGGCGTCTCTGGTGGTGAGCGAAAGCGTGTCAGTATTGCCGAAGCAATGTTAAATCAATCACCTCTACAGTGCTGGGACAATAGTACTCGTGGCTTGGACAGTGCCAATGCAATTGAATTTGTGAAGGGTCTACGCATCTCCGCTGATGTCCTCAACGCCACTGCCGCTGTTGCTATCTACCAAGCACCACAAAGTGCCTATGACATCTTCGACAAGGCTCTTGTGCTTTACGAGGGACGTCAAATATATTTTGGAAAGAAAGAGGACGCCAAAGCGTTTTTCGTCAACATGGGATTCCAATGTCCTGATCGACAAACAACTGCCGACTTTTTGACCTCTATGACAAGTCCAGAGGAACGCATCGTCCGCGAAGGTTTCGAGAATAGAGTGCCACGCACACCAGACGAATTTGCTAAAGCCTGGAAGGACAGCCCCGAGCATGCACAGCTCCTGCGAGATATTGAACAATTCGACCAGGAGCATCCGCTGGGCGGAGAAGGTCTTTCCAGATTCAAGGAGTCAAGACGCTTACAGCAAGCTAAGAGACAGCGTGTCGCATCGCCATATACCCTCTCCTACTACCAACAGGTACGACTCTGCCTCTGGCGCGGGTTCCGCAGACTGTTGGCGGATCCTACAATCACATTCGTACAATTGTTTGCAAACACCATCATGGCATTGGTCATTTCCTCCATCTTCTACAACCTTGATAAGACAACAAACTCTTTCTACTCCCGCGGCGCCCTACTTTTCTTTGCAATCCTGATGAACGCGTTCGGTAGTGCCTTGGAGATCCTCACTCTCTATGCACAGAGACCAATTGTCGAAAAACACCAGCGATATGCTCTTTATCATCCTTCGGCAGAAGCATTCGCGTCGATGTTGACGGATATGCCTTACAAGATTCTGAACAGTATCGTCTTCAACCTCACGCTATACTTCATGACCAATTTGAGAAGAGAACCAGGACCTTTCTTTTTCTTCGTCTTGATCTCCTTCTTTTTGACCCTGGTCATGAGTATGTTGTTCCGAACCATTGCCTCTGTGTCAAGAACCCTCAGTCAAGCTCTAGCACCAGCAGCCATCTTGATCCTTGCCATTGTGATCTACACTGGATTCGCTATTCCCGTCAGCTACATGCAGGGATGGGCCCGCTGGATCAATTATTTGGACCCCGTTGCATACGGCTTTGAAGCTTTAATGATCAATGAATTTTCAGGCCAAAACTACGATTGTGCGGTATACGTTCCAAGCGGACCCGGCTATAGTGGTCTATCCGGATTGGCGCACGTGTGCAACACCCCTGGATCTCGACCTGGTCAGTCTTTCGTGAACGGTGACGACTACATCAATACCACCTATCAGTACTATGCTTCGCATAGGTGGCGGAATTTCGGTTTATTGATCGTGTTTATGATTGGTCTCATGATCACGTACCTGGTTGCAGCCGAACTCGTCTCCGCAAAGAAGTCCAAGGGTGAAGTTTTGGTATTCCGTCGCGGACATAAACCAGCCGGTCTGAAAGACCACCCGGAAGATGCTGAATCTGGCGCAACCGGGCGCGCCGTAGGAGCCGAAAGACATAACGATCTTGAACAAATCTCGAGCATCATTCAAAAGCAGACTGCCATCTTCCAGTGGAAGAATGTTTGTTACGATATCAAGGTCAAAGGTGGTGAAAGAAGGCTCCTAGACCACGTCGATGGATGGGTCAAACCTGGTACCTTGACTGGACTGATGGGTGTTTCTGGTGCTGGCAAAACAACATTGCTTGATGTCCTAGCCACCCGTGTTACCATGGGAGTAATTTCAGGAGAAATGTTGGTTGACGGACAACAAAGAGACGAATCGTTTCAGCGCAAGACCGGTTACGTACAACAGCAGGATCTCCATCTGGAGACGTCAACCGTTCGAGAAGCCCTGGAATTCAGCGCCTTGTTGCGTCAACCAGCCCATATTCCTCGGAAGGAGAAAATTTCGTATGTGAACGAGGTGATCAAGCTTCTCGATATGACTGAATACGCCGATGCTGTCGTAGGTGTCCCTGGTGAAGGTCTCAACGTTGAACAGCGAAAACGTCTTACCATCGGTGTCGAACTAGCTGCTAAGCCTCAACTCTTGCTCTTCTTGGACGAACCTACCTCCGGTCTCGACTCGCAAACTTCCTGGTCTATTCTTGATCTTCTCGAGAAGTTGAAGAACAACGGTCAAGCCATCTTGTGCACAATCCATCAACCTTCGGCAATGCTTTTCCAGCGCTTCGACCGACTGCTCTTCCTGGCTTCTGGTGGCAAGACTGTCTATTTCGGACCTGTTGGTGAATCCTCCCACATTTTGACTAGCTACTTTGAGCGTAATGGTGGACATCCGTGCCCTCCTGAAGCCAATCCCGCAGAATGGATGTTGGAAGTTATCGGAGCTGCACCGGGCTCTCATACCGATATTGATTGGGTCGACACTTGGCGAAACTCTCCCGAACGTAAGGAAGTCCATGCCGAACTTTCACAGATGAAGCATGATCGTTGCAAGCTTGAGCGAGCGACTTCCAACAGTGCGGACAAGTCCAGCTACCGAGAATTTGCCGCACCGTTCTGGCAACAACAATGGGAGGTCCAGAAACGGGTCTTCACACAATACTGGCGTACACCTTCTTATATCTACAGCAAGCTATCTCTGGTTGTTTTCTCTGTAAGTTGAAAGAAGCTAACCATTCTCATGCATGGATACTAATATATCTTCTCAGGGTCTTTTCATCGGTTTCTCATTCTTCAAAGCCCGCAATACGCAACAAGGCCTACAGAACCAAATGTTCGGAATTTTCATGTTGATGACCATTTTCGGTCAACTGGTACAGCAAATCATGCCGCTCTTCGTCACACAACGCTCCTTGTACGAAGTTCGTGAACGCCCCTCAAAGGCCTATTCCTGGAAAGCCTTCATGATGAGCAACATCGTAGTTGAGCTCCCATGGTCGGCTCTGTGCGCTCTGCTCCTCTTTCTTACCTGGTACTATCCCATTGGACTATACAACAACGCCGAGCCGACAGACAGTGTCCATGAGCGTGGCGCACTGATGTTCTTGTATATCCTTTCATTCTTGCTCTTCACTTCGACTTTCGCGCACATGGCAATCGCAGCTGTTGATACTGCCGAGACTGGTGCCAACATCGCCAATTTGGCATTCATGCTGTCATTGGTATTCTGCGGTGTTTTGGCCGGACCTTCTTCCCTTCCCGGATTTTGGATGTAAGTTGATGATCCCACCCTCCTGTCCCTTTCCCTTTCCTCCCTCGATCAGCCACTAACAATCCAAAAAGCTTCATGTACCGAGTCAGCCCCTTCACCTACCTGATAGACGGCATGCTTTCGGTCGCCGTTTCTGGCACGAACGTCATATGCGCCGAGAACGAATACCTGCACTTCAACCCATCGGAAGCCGGGCAAACCTGCGCCGACTACCTGGCACCATACATCAACGCAACAGGAGGCTACGTGCTCAACGGCGACGCAACAGACGACTGCTCGTACTGCCAGATCAGCGAGACCAACACTTTCCTCGCGGCCGTCAGCTCGCACCCTCAATACCAATGGCGTAACTGGGGAATCATCTGGGCGTACATCATCTTCAACATTGCCGCCGCCGTCTTCTTCTACTGGCTCGGCCGAGTTCCCAAGAACAGAGGCAAGGGTAAAAAAGAGGAGACGGGCAGTCCCTCGGGCAGCAGGGACGGCAGCGTCCTCGTGCCCACCAGCACCATCCAACGCGAAGAGAAGGACATCGAGTCCGGCCCCTCGGTTGAACCTGTGCTCACCACCTCTCATTCGGCCACACATGCTTGTGAGGTGGAGTCTGAGACGGTGATTGAGAAAGACCACGCAGCTGTCCGTTGAGGTCGCCCATATCTCTTGCTTGACACACTAATGTCTCTCTCCATCTCGTCAACCCTTCGCATCATTCACAGTTAATCACAACAACATCCCGCACGACATGGATCTTTTCCTTTTCTATTTATCAGCGTTTCGAAATCCTGGATCCAGGACACCACGGCATCATCACCATCATCACGGCGTCTTTTGGTTTACCTTATACTTTTTTTGATAGTCACAGGACATCTGTTGGGGAACTTGTACATCATCGAATCATGTCACATAATATCCGTCACATGTTGTGATTGGGACATCGTTTTTGTTCATTGTGGGGGACAAACATCCCTTTTGCCATTCCACTCCACATACCAGGTTTTTATAGACGGAGCAGCGGATGAAGGATCATTATTATTGATAGATAGACTTAAACACACACTAGGTGTGGGAGGTTACAGAAAAAATCAAAGGATTAAGTCAAACCAAAATAGATCCAGAACTCATAGGGAGACAAAAACTTCACTCGATGGACACAAAGTTGCAGTAGAAATACCCAAGTACGAATAAAATCTCCGAGGAATCCCGGGCGAAGGCTGAGGCTATTTACTCAGCTCGATGCAGGTGGTCTATTTCATCATGGATGCTGTTGTTTTAAAACTCGGCGGTCGGGCTTGCTGACGAGAATGGAAGATAGAGTTGATTTTTAGAGATCTCCACCTTTTCTTACCTGTTACCGCATGCTACAGACTTAGTACCCAGCTCATAAGACCTCGTGATATGAAAAGCAATACTACGCAGTAAAGGTCGTGTGATCATCTACACTTGTAGTATAAACAGAGCCACTAAACTGCCATATGTAAATCCTTACGAAAGACAATTTGCGTGATTGCCCTCGCCTGACTCTTATTCGGTCTTAATATGTCATTCATCTGTACTACAGTCTTTGGACGACTGGGAGCGTCTCTTCGACTTTTCTTCGCTCATGTCCTCAAGAAGATTCAAGAGGCCGGAACTAATGCCCTACACGGTCTTGCATCCCAGCATACTAGGTGCGACTCTGACTATTGATTGTCAAAAGACCCACAAACCCCATGCGAAATTGAACTTTCATGTCTTCAGAAGAAATCCTGAATCCTGATAGCTTGACCGCTCTCACCTCTCGGCCTTGCAACGTGCCTCCATGTTTCCATATATCTCGACTTCCCTGACGATCGAATATCGAGAGGAAGGGTCAGTTTCGAGGATGATTTTGATTTTGACCGTGAGCTTGTAGTGGATTTCGAACTTCCACTGAATCTAGATGATGAAGTCAAGACCTTTTTGAGGCTATACTGGCTTTCGGTATTTAGGTCTGGCCCTGATGCGCGGTTCCATAAGCCATCACAACGCGATGCTCTTGAAAGTCGGTCGCTCGTCGGTAAATCATGCTCGCTACTGCTTCCAGAGCGATCGTTTTCGGACCTTAGGCTTGTGCTCCCTGTACTAGCACCGCTTCCTGCTTTCGCCTTTTCTTGGATACCTAAGAGCTCTGCCCAACCCACCAACCCTCCATTTTGATCGCGTCCTACAACATTTGGTTCAAGGAGAAACTGAGGACGCCAAAAGGTCGTCGCCGGGCCTTGATTGACCTTTGCAAGATGGATTTGCCCATAACCAAATGTTGCCGTGTTGAAGTGGAGGGGATGCCGGGGTGGTAGAAGGGGAGAGCCTGCGACACGATGATAGGTATCTTTCTTGGCTGAGTGAGATACGCCGTTTCCTCTGTCGTCATCACGGCGAAGCGCGGAATATTCGGGACCCTTGTGACTTACCACTGAAGTAGTATCATCCTGACCAGTCGTTCCTCTTGTGTCAGTCTCCACATATCTATTGGTGGTCCGCACCATACTCTGTGAAGCATTCTGACTGAGAGCCTGCTGCTGCACTGCTTGGCGAGCCATCCTCTGGGCTCTAATTCGTGCGACAGCAAGGGAGTTTGAATACGGCTTCGCATGAAAGTCGTCCATACCGTCCTTGTCATTTGGTAGAAGGAACCCGTGTTCAGGAGCAGGTAGACATACAGACTGTAGGATGCCGTATGGTGCTGTATCGCGCGGGGCTCGAAGATGCTGAAGTTGTGGAAAACCTCCATGTCGGATCGACTGCGCAAGGTGGGCATTTGCTGACATTCGATGCCTGGAAGGGGCATGACTGAATGTTGCATTTGCGCGTGTACTCTTCATTCCCTGGTTCTCTCTGCAGAGAATGTCCCAATGTATGAACGTTAGCGATGAGGATGCGAGAGTGGGTTGTAAAGCAAGTTGCTCTTCCTCTTGTGTAAATGAAGGCTCGCTATCACTCTGCATGACAGTGAATTTGGTCATACAATTCAAACTAGCCAGCAATTTCGATAGAGTTGAGAGAGCCATGATTGATTGATAGAGCAGGATGAGCTCCTTCACACGAGCAGCGCTTGGGCTTGCCGCCCATCTCGTCAGGCCATTTTCGGTGACTCCAGGGCACTCCTCAAGTCTAAGACATCGTACCGGAGGCAATGAAAGCAGTGTCTTGTCATGAAAATCATCTGCGTCGAAGGATGATATGCATAAATTTTCAAGTGATGGTAAGGAATGAAGAATATGAATGAAAAGATCGTGTTCAATGACCCCAAGACTGCCTGGTGAACAGAGCATGAGAGTCTCAAGATGTATCCAGCGATCATGATAGTGTGTGAATTCATAGAGTTGCTGATCATCCAACAATCCCGGAGGTAACTGTGTCTGGCTCCGGGCGCTGACATCGTCATTTTCTGCAACGACCCAGGTATGCTGCCGTAGTTTGGTCCTTGTCGATAGGGCATATGTCAGGCGATCAAACGTGTGATTGTAGAATGGAACGAAGCCTGTCAATGCCTCGAGATTTGGACAGGACATAACCACAGATGCTAGTATGCACAGATAGCCATCATAGTCTGGGTTCGGATAGTCGTTGGGCAGATATAAAGGAATGTGTGGGTCAGGCACATGCATCTTTTTGACCAACGCTGCAAGTAGACTGTCCGATCGAAGTGTAGAGCGAAGACGTATCAGACGCGCGCCGCGAGACAACCTCCATTTCTGGAGCATCAATGGATTGTCGTCACCAACAATCTCAATGTTGGCATAGAGATGTCTTTGAGCATTAGAAGTCCACGCCTTGCAAGTCATCTGCACCGAACTTAGGTCTCGCATGTAGCATGTTGTACAGGACGAGGAGTCTGGAGCCAAGTGGATTGCTCGAAGTTGCTCCAAGATAAGGTCTAGGGCTCGGGCTGGTAGCCTTTTCCAATTCAATGTTGCTGTGGATCATGGAGAGGTTCGGTTGACCGTATACTTCGCTGGCCGAAAGGATACTGTGGATGGTAAAGATTTGGTCCTTGTGGCCAGTGAACCAAAGGCACCGTCGTCAATGACCTTGATGGAAACCAGGTCAGGCTGTGATTTAATGGCCGCATGGTGGGAAATATGGTTTTCGCCATGCGACAAATTTGCATTTCTAGCTGCCATCCTGGCTCACCGGAAAGACAGTTTCCATGTCCATCAAACCCGTCCAGATGGGATAGAGTGGGCGTGCACAGGCGTTGTGTCAACCTGGTACTGGCATTTCAGGGGTGAGGAGTGTAAAGTGCGGAGTCGGAGTACTGGATTTTCACAGACCATCTATCACGATCTAGAATCTCGAGTCTAGATCGTCAAGCGAATCCGATGAAGAATCGTTCAGAGCAATCATGGAAAAGAGCAGACGGCGTGGATGGGAAAGTTGGAAATGCATGTTTTAAGAGTTGGAATTAGTGGAATCCAAGGCTGGCAGGAGCGACGTTCCCCTGAACCAATCAGGGGGCGAGAACGAAAACACTTCATTTGGCAGCCGCGAATACAAGTCTGGGCAAGAGCTTCAAGTACCTAGGTATCTGTTAAAGCCCTGGACGGCAGCTCAGGTACGAAGGACTCAAGAGGTATGCAGAGGAAGTGGGATGAGCAAGGTGTCCTCTGCAGTTATCAGCGCATGTCATGCACAGCTTCGGATATAAGTGCTAGGATGGCGCCGTGGGTGGTGGGTTTCAGGCCAAGGCCAGTTGATTTATCTATCAAGGCTACCGTTGGTAATTACTCCACCATGCTGCTAAATTACATGCAAGCACCGCAGCTTGGTAATGTTTTGCGAGAATTTTAAGCGTAGAAGTTGACACTAATTGTGAGATCAGTATAAACATGGAATCAGGAGGCGTGATAGAGGTACTTACGTGTCTTTCTTCTTGGCCTGAACTTCGGCGATGGCGTCGACAAAGTGCTCGTGAGTCACCTTGGAGTGTCCTTTGCGCAGGGCAATCATGCCTTGATTATACTATTAGCGATTGTTTCAACGGAGGCACTGTTATTTGAGTATTTACCAGCTTCGACACAAACGGCCTTGAGCATTGCACCACCTGATTGAAAAGTTAGCCGGGTCGTGGAGGACGAAGCAGGGGTCAGGGACATACCAAACTCGTCAGTGCTTCGTGCAAGTTCATTCCAGTTGATGTTACCTTCATCAATGGTCATCTTCCTGGAATGGATACGAAGAATCTGAGCTCGCGACTCTTCGTTGGGCAAAGGGAATTCAATTTTTCGATCCAATCGGCCTGAACGTAGCAGGGCGGGATCAAGGACATCAACTCTGTTCGTAGCTGCTAGAACCTTGATTCTCTCGTCCGAAGCAAATCCGTCAAGCTGATTGAGTAATTCCAACATGGTTCTCTGCACTTCTCGGTCGCCACTCTTTTCGGAATCGAAACGCTTGGTACCCACGGCATCGAGTTCGTCAATGAAGATGATTGATGGAGCCTTCTCCTTGGCCAGGGCAAAACAATCGCGGACAAGTTTAGCACCATCACCAATAAACATCTGAACCAGCTGAGGGCCGGCGAGTTTGAGGAAAGTGGCATTTGTTTGAGCAGCGCAGGCACGAGCAAGGAGAGTCTTGCCGGTACCCGGAGGCCCATACATCAATGCACCTACACAGGAGGTTAGAATTGTCAGTCAGGAATAGGTCTACAGCACATACCCTTGGGTGCTTTGATGCCAATCTTCGCGAAGCGCTCTGCTTCCTTCATCGGCCAGACGACTGCCTCAACAAGTTCCTCAATCTGCTTGTCGAGACCACCAACATCGGTATATTTTTCGGTGGGTTTCTCATCGACCTCCATGGCTTTCACCCGGGAGTCGTATTCTGCGGGCAGTGTGTCCAAAACCAGGTATGAGTCTTTGTTGACACCAATCAAATCCGCCGGTTTGAGCTTATTATGATCCACAAGACCGATCAGAGGCAGGAAGATAGTCTGTCTCGTACTCGTCTTGATGACCGCAGATTTGCCGACTCGTGTGGCGTCGAGATCGATGTTGGCGCCTTCCTCCGCAGCCTCAGCCTCGACGTCAAGGTCTAGAAGTTCGACAACGTTTCCAACTAGATAGGGTAGTTGGCTGATGGTCGATGCGTTAGCCAAAGAAAGCAATGGGGAAGGATCCCGCATGGCTCACCGGTTATTCTCGATCTTGTCCAGATTGTCCTTGATCTTGTCCTTCATTGTTGTCTCCTCATGTTTCAATCTTTGAAACTCACTCTTGAGGATCTTCATTTCATTCTCAAGTAACCGCCGCCGATTGATGATGTCTCTGGTGCTGGATTGAAGGATTTCGGTATCAATGTATTCCTCTTCTTCATCTTTCTTATCGGCGTCGGCATCTTTCATTTCGGCATCTTTGGCGTCGCCCGTGCCTGATGATTTCTTCTCATTGTTGTCTTCCTTCTTTTGCTCCTTCTCATCGCGCTCGATGTCATCGAGGTCTTCTAGTGTTGACATGATTGGTAATGTAATGTACAGTAAAGGATGATGGTTTCAGTTGTGAGGGAGAGGTTGGGAGAGGTTGATTCTGGGGAATGGGAAGTCCCGATCGATCGATATATGGATCACAGTTCTTGGTAGAACTTTAACAATTATCACTAGGTTGTTCGCATGCAGTGGTGATCAAATGGAAACAGCTGGGGTTGTCCAGACCGAGAGGCTCCTACTAATACTCGCAGGCGATGCGGCGAAACGTGACCGCGTCCCGGTCTTGGCACTTTTCACCGCGCAACGCAAGGCAGCCTGCAGATTCCAATCAGCACGACTCGCTTCTAGATAGAATGCCAGAGTACGGCTTGGTGGACTCATCTTGGGTTCAGTAATCTGTTTTTAAGCCATCGAGTCAATTGGAATCAAGGTTCTCAGTCGATCAAGTCAAGTCATTGTTTAATGAATGTTTGTATTGTCTTTTGCAAGGGTATTCTTCTCTTCATCGCTAAGAAAAGACAAAGCCATTGCATAGTCTATCAGGGGTATAGAATAATCCCATCCCATCTCTGTAAAGAAAAGAATTCGTCCATGTAGAAGTCGACAGCTGATCGATTTGCAATACAACGTATCTCGATCAACATGTCCTGTTGTTCCAAGTTTTTCATGCTTTTGCCAGCACCAATGTTTCTGATGTGCTCCTGATCTTCGTTCATCTGTGCGTGACCTTCGAGACACTTCTGCTCCATCTCAGGATAGCTGCATCTCTCCGTCTCTCGCACACCGGGTTTCCATGGTTGAACCGACCGCCACATGATTCATATAGCTAATTACAAGGAATGACGAAACAGCCTCGCCAGCTGGCTTCAATCAATCGCCCCACCACGCGATGCAAGCAAGCACGCAAGCAAGCCATCCTCATCTCCATCATTTCACCGTGTTTGAACGAAAATCCGTAATTGTAGTAAACTCTTGCCGTGACTTGAATGGAAAAAACCCTTATGAATCCACAATCACTTTGCAAGCCCCATCTGAAGTTGCCGTAACGCCATAACAATTAACCCTCCTGGAGGCGGATACTTTTTGGTAGACTTTTTCCTCTGTAAACTTCCCATGCCGCCTGCCCATCATGAATATATAATGTAAGAAAGCCTTCTATAGTGAAGAAAGTTGCTCGCTGTGTAAATGCTGAAGAAACGAAAGACAAGAAAGCGCGTGTCGTGAGAAGTCGTAAAATGTAATCGCAATTAAAAAGACCTCGATGCGTTGAAAAGGTGCTTGCGAGAGAACAAGCTCAAGATTTCTCCCTAAGCCAGACTTCAAGATTCAGTCCATTGAGAGGGTCCACAAGAATCAGGTTTCGGAGAAGCATGCCAAACGCTGTGCGAATAGAATGATTTATCCCACGACAGTCTGCAATGGATAGCCTGTGTGACCACCAAAATAGTAGTCTTGCTTGGCATGAAGAGAGCAGTTACAATTTGGCCCATGAGTCATCCAAGACGTTGGGGTCAGGCTGTTGGGATAGTTGTAGTTGTGAGTGTATGCAGGAATTTGATGACGCTGAGCATTGTAAGCGGAAGCATTGCCAGCGTGGTATGACTGTCGTCCAAAGGTCGAACCGGTAGGAGTGTAAGACCAAGCCGATGGGTAGTAGTCAGGGGTCGAAGGACCACTGTGCGGTGCAGATGGCGGAGAATACTCTGAGATGTAAGGGCGTACCCAGCGGGTATCATACTGTGAACCCTGTTGATACTGTGGAGGAATTGGCCCTTCTGGCGACATCAATGGCTGATGATGAATAGAGTGGCTGCGATGGATGTTGGTCTCAATGGGAGCAAGCTTCTGCAACTCCTTGACTTTGGCGAGTTGAGCCTTCTCCTCGTACGCGTGCCAGTGATCGACCCACAAGAAGAATCCTTCTTGATCATCATACATCATGCCATGGATCTCCCAATTGAAATCAGTGAGCCACTGCAACTCCATCATGTTCAGCTCGTGGACTGGGATACTGCTGACTTCAGCCCATGATCGGTTTTGGAAGGTGTTATCATCCAGAAACTTGCTGCCCAAGAGGAGTGAAGTGGTAAGCATTCGATACACGGTGCCGGAAGAAGAGGTGACCTGGCCACGCTCGGTGACATGCTTCATGCGAGAAGCGAGATAGAAAAGACCAAGCATAATGGTTGAGCTGGGCAATCGAGTTGATGAAAGAATTTGAGAGACGTATTTGCGGAATTGTGATGTAGGGACGGTTTCTGGTGTTACACTGAACGAGAGTTAGTTTTGAAGCTGCATGAGCATTCCGACGAGACTTACAGTTTTTGGGACATCTCAGCAACAAAGCTGGCCATCAAATCCATATCATAATCCAAATGCTGAGCCACACCTCCAGTGGGCTTTTCCTCTTTCTGTTTTTGTTGCTCCGCTTGTTGCGCAATTTGAGCCGAGAAGTCCATAGCTTCAGTGACACGGATTGGTGGCAGGATGGGAGCAACAACAGGGGCATACTGGTACTGAGAAGTGGCATATGGTTGAGGGAATGAATAATCCTGAGATGGATGACCATGGCCCAACCTAGCCACTTGCCCATTCACTGTTGGTTGAGAGCCGTAAGCCGGAGGTGCTTGGTGGCATCGCTCGTTGTATTCTCGAGTGGACAGAGATCGGCGGGGCTGATAGGTCTGAGTTGCATAGTATCCGTGATCGGACACGGAGCTCATGGGGGTCAGGTATGGTTGATACTCTGGTGGTGTGGGAGGCAATCGTGAATGCTGGCCATTAGGGCCCCAATTATGGTATGAAGGCATGGTTGATGAGGGTTGATGAGCAAAGCAGACTGCACAAAGCACTGCAACAGTCAGTTACTGTTGAGGTGAGTATGGTTGTATGATCCTTACCGTCTGCTTCTGCTGGTCTCGGCCACGCCAATGGCGTTGAGACCGATGCGTTCAGCTGATGACGAAGTTCGTCTTTGAGCAATAGCGCATGAGCAGGCTGAAGGTGTCGTAGCCAAACGCGAGTCTAGTTACGACCTGATGAGATGACTGGGTTCGTTGATGGGATTCAGTTCTGATGATCGAATGTAGAAAGTCGACAAACGGGTGGAAATATACAAGATGTTTTGATCGTAAAAGGTTGGGATTGTGGGCTTGGGACAAGACTTAGTGAAAAGCTCGTCGAATGGTGGTAAACGTAGTCGCTATGCGGTATGAAGAGTTCTTTGTCGGTTCTGGCAGCCTGCAGGAAGAATGGAGTCAGAACAGGTTTCTCAAAGTCGAGATCCAAGAATGCTCAGCCAGATTGCTGCGCGTTCGCTGATCGGAGGTACGGGACGTCGAGCGGAAAGGAACATACCAAGTGGTGTCACCTCGGCGCGCACTGGCTCTTTTCAAGGCAATGAGCTTTGAGAAGGACTGGAGGAGGACCGCGTTTGCTTGCTGGGGATGGGAGCAGGCAGAATTGTTTGTGATGGCAAGTCACGAGTAAAGCTCGAAAATATGACAAGAAGTGTCTGGTGTTCAGACGAGCCGGGTCAGGATACACAGCCACTAGCGAGGCCAGAAACAAGCGCAGCAGCACGAGAGGTGTTGGGCTGGCTTGTGACGCGCTGGGCTGGCGTGGACGTTATGGCTTGCCAAAGTGCAAATTGGCCACTAAAGTGGTGGTGCCTGGGCGACGAGAGGATGAAATGTTATGGCGAAGCAAGACCAAATCGGTAGCCTGGCGACAATGGTGCGGTGGGAAATTGTGGCAATCAATGCTGACCGCAAGGAGTCGTCACTTGGGAGGCAGAGTGGATTCGGGTCCGAAATTACCACTGGGGGAGGCTGGGTTGGATAGTGTGCTCCTGGCGTGCCCAGAATAGCAACTGTGAACTGCACCAACAAAAGGCCGGCCGCAAAGAATTATGGTTGATGTCGTGGAGGAGAGATTTCGAAGAGGGAGAGGAGATTTGAGGGTTTGGGAGGGATGAGGGATGAGGATTGAGGGAAGATGGGAGAGAAGGGAAAGATGATGAGGAACTGGAAAAGTGTGAGTAGTTGGTGAGGGAGAGCCAGTGGGAGTGATGGAATAGTGGAGGGCGGCGAGGTGTGTGGTAAGTCACGGAGTACGAGGAGGCAGTAGCGGATAGGCCTCCTCGCCCAAAGCCCATGGATTGCCCAGTGGATGCCCGGAGGAGTGACGGGAGCGAGTCAAGGAACAGGCAAGACAGGCTAAGGGGGAAGGCGAAGGGCGAGGGCGAGGGCGAAGACACGATGGGGGGTGGCAGACGGGGACAAGGGACCAGTCCACGAGTCCAAGGACTAGCCTACAAACTAGACAAGTCGCCCAGTGGTTCCCCCCTACCAGCCTACCAGCTTGAGCTGCAACGAAGAGGAGTCGGCGTCGTTGGCCGTTTGGTGTGGGAATAAGGAAACGCCAGTGCCACTTTGTGCCAGAGCCAGAAGAACGTCAGGGTCCAGTTGGTTGATTTGGCTCCCCCTGGCTTTTTGGTTCGGATGGGAAAGGGTGTGCCAAACCCAACCCACGCCTCTCTTGGTATGATAGTAACTAGTTGATTCCCTACAATTCACGAGGGACAATTCTTTGGAGAGGCGATGAGTGGATTTGTGAATCGGTGGCTCGAGGATAATCTTTGCCCGCTCCGAATTCTCATGTCTCCATGGGTAAATCAGTGCCATGGCATGCCACCGTCACCCGTTCCAGAACTGTAACGAACGAGAGAAAAACCCTCATCACACACACAAGCCGAGACGTGCAGGTGCACAGACAGTCCATTCAGCTTGGAGTATTTTTGGCCGCTCAACTCATCATTTTAGGCCTCGATCACGCTTTGTAACCAATCGAGGGATTCCCAAAAACCGCGCCCGGCTGCCGCCTTGGCTAGTTCTTCTTGTTCTTGCAAGTCATCCGAGTCGAGAAGCGACCTGACTAACCATTGTGACTACTGTATGCGTTTCATCTACTCCTCTATCGCCCCCGATGATGATGATGATGATGATCATGATGATACAGCGATCCGCAGTCTTTCGATGGGCTGTGAATAACCGTCCATGATCTATCTCGAATATGAGATCCACGGGCACATGTCTCAAAACTAAATCTTCAACAATGACGATATCTTAGACGATTGTTGGAGCCTTGGAATGATCTGTCCCCTAATAAGACATGTCTCCATTCACCTGCGCCTACACGCCCAATCGTGACTCCATCGTTCTATCCCCAAAGCCCGTCAGTGTCTGTATCTACTGCACGTCTTTCCACTTGTGAGGAACCCGTTGCCACCCACCGCACAGAAATTTTGTTCCCTCTCACACCCCGCCTCACCCATGCCGAGCAAATGACGAACACTGGGTTTCTCCATCCACCAAATCAAACTGCAGAGTTAAGGGTTTCAATCCGAACACAGAACCAGTTTTCGATCCCAGCAATAATGGGACAATCGTGACTTCAGACCATAAGCCACATTCATCACTAAATACGGAGCGTCTTAGAAGATTTCTCCATTCTCAGGCTCCATCGCCCCCTTGCCGAGTCCGCTGTTTGCCGCATGCCTGCCTAAAAACTTCTTGTCATTAACCAGTTCTGACTTGCATTATCGTTATTCATTTAGTCAACGCAGTAGCGGGTAAATGGTGACTGGTCAATGCCATCCCACGGGTTCGCGAGGCAGGATTGTGACGGCAACCAAATCCTCCATTTCTGCCGCGGCTTCGCCTAGGGAGCGATTTGAATTGGTCTCTATACGAGAACGGTGAACCTTCACCACGTAATCGAATCCGTCTTCGTCCGGTCCGGCATTGGACTCGAAATTGATACATGGCAATGAAACTGCAAAAGTTCTAACCTGTTGTTAACTTCTGGGGTATCCAAGAAGGAAGTCCACGAGTCAAGTTCTGCTCCGATGTAACAGCATCAGCGTGATCACGGCCATTACAATTCGTCACCGTGCAGCAGTGACTTTTCACCATGTCTGCCTACGCACATACCAAATGAACTGCGCCTTGGGAGTCGGACCCGACGATCTGATCGACCTGCCCCCTTCGGACCCTCTCTCCGTCATATTACTCGTACACAAAAGCTCCAGCGTCAAGGTCGCCATTATGGCTAACCATAGTCCACGGCGTACTCGTAAAACCTGGTGCTGACCGCTCGCTTGGATGTCCAAGGTCTGCCTGGTCTGTGCCTCCTCGAGGCTCATTGAAGCTGTATCATTTGCCCCAACTCCAAAGACGGGGAAGAAACGAGACCGAATGAAGAATATCAGCTGCACAAGTCCATTCCGGGGTGAGCGATCGAGTGAGCAATCCTGTCCTGTACAACGACATCACACGCATCGTGCACACCGCAGGTCCGTCGTGTGCCTCGTCCCGCAGCCACTAGCTTCTCACGTGCCTTTCGAGTCCTTTGGTATGTCACGGGAACTACCAGACTTTTTGCCATGCACGATTCAAGCAGAGTTTTTCGGCTTTCATCATCAGCAGTCCGTCTCAACCTTACCGCACCACCGGGGCGAGGCCATGATCCATATGAGAATCCAACAATCTAGGCTATGGCACGCGAGTACACGCAGTAGAAGCTCACTTGAACATGTTATCCTACGAGTAACCCCGCCCCCTCCTTCCTCCCCTCTGCACGTACGAGTACATAGGGTAAGATCCTACAATAGTACATACATGGTCACGTTCTCACGAAAAGTCGGTGGGACGGACTGCAAGTCTGCAACTAGCAAAAGCCATCCTAGATATCCACCACACACTACTCGTCCACCCCCCGAAGAAACAAAAATCATTCGATTCGCTGAACAATGTCGTGTCGTCTCCTCCCGCTGCACACCACGATCTAGGCTCCGACCAACAGCAAGTTGCTCACCACCTGCTACTGGATATTGGTGTACTGGGTAACTGGGAACCAGCCCGGCCGGCTGCTTCGCTGATTGGAAACCTGGGGATCCATCCCATCCGCGAGGCACTGCACTGCAAGTGCAAAACTACGAGTAAGTGAACCCTCCAGTACTAGTAGTCCAGTCGAGATTCCAGTCCTCCCGATGGATGGATCCCAGCCCAACGACGATATCTTCAGGATGGGGCTTGGGCTTGGGCTTGGGCTTGGGGTCATGCACGGAAGGGAAAGGATGGGAAGAAAAAGAACCCCTGAATGCTTCGGGACCCTGTCGTCGAATACCTTTAGATATCTACATCAGTACTCGGTACGGAGGGGAGGTGAGTAAACTACCTTGAACTAGATATCTCCGCAACACTAGTCGAGAGCCGGCATGGGAACGACAGCTGGTTGGCGTGTGTGGGTTGCTAGCTGTCGGTTGCTTGCGTGCTTGCTTGCGTTGTCCAGACCTCTGTATGTATGTGTGTATGTTTGTACCTACGAGTAGTATGCATGTGCATGCACGAAACCCATCCCATTGAATCCCATTTTCTTTTTCCTTTTCCTTGTCTTTTTCTATGGCTCTCTCTACCCTGTGTATTTACTCCCTGTGGCATTTGTTCCCATATCCCAACAGGGTAAGACGGGGGAAGAAAAACTCCAACGTCGACGATAGTGGGAAAACAGATGCCCAAACACAAAACGTGTTCTGGGCGGTCTCGGACCGAACGCGCGCAAACTACTCGTAGTTCACCTTCGCAGAAACCATGCACGGAGGATTGGTAACCAGTCAGATGGGAGTGGGACAAGGAAAAGAAAGGAAAGAAAATCTTGGGTGACAAGCGAACCAATCACGATGCTGACGATTCGCAATTTCCTCCATCAACGAACGGTTCGCCGAGGTCCGGATTGATGGCTATCCTCATTTTCAATTTTGGGCAACCTCATCTGTTGACCGGAGTAACTAGCTTAGTCTATATTCCCCGGGTTCTGCCGGCTTCATCTTGGAGTGCTTCAATATCGACGACCAACGACCGTACATGTTCCCCACACGCCCTGATTGTTGACCCCGGGCCGTGATGGAGGAGTCTGCTAGTGTATACCCAGACGACCGAGACCTCATTCCCACTCCAGGGTCATGTCGCATGAACGGCGTTAAGGTCGAAGCGGATAGCGGAATCCTTTTGTGCAGTCGAGTCCCTGCGGGGTGGCCTCGCATCAAAATGAAAAAGACGGAGGTGGATGTTATGCCCGGATTGCTCCTCACTTTGGTTCCGTGCAAATGCACGCACGGTTGACGTGACTCCGGTGTCGCTCATGCTTGAGTTGGCAGTCTGTGCTTCTCCATAGCTTAGATATCTTTGGTACGTCGACCGCGACTGAGGCAGGTGTTATGGCCAGGAATAAGGGGCTGTCTGGTGCACAGTATTTCGACATAGAAATACAAAGTTGTCGTTCAACATGTCTTGTCGATCCCAAGATCTCGTCATGATATGGGCATTGGTTCTGGGAGCAAGATCAAGTATCGATCAAGATTCTCACTTAGGGAACCACTCAATTGAAGGAGGAATACGTGCTCGAAGACCGTCAACGTGCTCTGTTTGCCATTTGTTTCTCCAGCTGGCCTCGCGATCTCTTGCCTCGATCAAAGCTGAAAGAACATCCGGGGGTAGTTCGTCGAATACTTCTGAAGGTATTGATGCGAGACCTGTGTTTGCGTCCAACCCTCCAGCACTGCCAAACCATGATTCCGGTGCCGTTTCCAGACAAATATCGTGGATTCGGAAGTTGCGTCCATAGACTGGATTGAGGCGAGGCAGTCGAGCGGTCTCGTCATCACCCTGAGTGTCGGCTTCATCGTCAACAAGTTCCCATCTTGCCTGCGTAGGTTGCGTGCTGGCAGAACATTGCAAAACATTGGTGTGTATATCGTAGATCCCATTTATGTTATCGAGCCGCGCAGCTGCCAGTGATGAGTTGAAACGACTATTGCGTACTATTAGCAATCATTCTGCCCCAATCAGGCTGTAGACACCGCTTACCTAGCTTCTCGAGCATGTTCAAGCATCCAATTATCGCTTGTCACTACAATCTTCCGGCGCTTAGCCTCCTGTACTTTCGCATTTGGGACCGGCACGTTTGGAATGTTCATGTGATAGACGGCACTAGCTCCATGCCACGCAACGTACTGATTGCGGTTGTAAGGCTCGCCTGGCAGGGGCAAGCGGTCCTCCGGAACAGCCAACTCGCCCTCGACATCTCCCTGCTCTAGCGCTTTCTTGCCGTCATAATCGTCGATGACTTTCTTGCCGCCAATGACGATTTTGGCACCGAATTCGCGGAAGACTGAACGAGCTGTGACCACACCGATCGCCCGACCTTTGTATGAGTGAGGGATCAAGTCTCGCTCGATCAGATCTCTCTTTTCGTCATCGTCGATGATGATCTTGTAGAGATTTTTGTGTTTCTGGAAGAACAGATACGAGTCACGGAAACCAATGCATCGCGCAGGTTCAGTAGACAGCATGTATAATCTGTCGTCACGACCTAAGATGGTGAACGTCCGAACCCGGTATTCTCTGCCGCCTAAGAGTTCACCGTTTTTGTCGACCTTCTCCTCGCCCTCGGGATCGTCAGGAAGCTCGACCTCGTCGTTCACGATGTTCATGGGGTTACCATCGACATCTAGAGGTGCATGCGACGTTCTCGTTGTTCCCGCTTTGTATTTTGCCCAGCGATTCCCCCGATGTCCTCGGAAACCCCCTCTGCGCTTAGGAGTGTTGACTTCTGAAGCCACATCATTGTTCTCATCCTCCGAAGCAAGTACTGGGCGCTTAGGTGGCCGACCGAGTCTTCGTCTGCCACCTCGTGGGCCAACAGCTGATTGCCTGCCCGAGCGACGAGGAGTTGCGGCAAGGGAGGGTGGTTCCGAGTCGCGCGAGGGAGTAGCTACATCTTCGACTTCAGCTTGTTCGGTCTCTTCGTCTGCATTGGGTTCTTGATCTTCGTCTTCGTCTTGGGGAGTCTCTGCTTCGACAGAAGTTGCGTCTGGCATTTCTTCATCTTCATTGTCTGATATGTTTGGAATTGGAGTTCCTGTGAGAGAAAAAAGTCAGTTGGCATCACTAAGACGGTGTTTGGGTGTGAGATGTACGCATGGAAGCGGCAGCGGCTTGCGCTGCAAGGCGTGGGCGCCGAGCCATGTCGTTGTAAAGTTTTGGTTTGGAGAAGGTTGTTTGAGGGATTCTATGCGGTCCAGGTCGCAGCAGAATCGCAACGCACCAGTTATGGTTAGCAGTTGACGCGGCGGGCAAACAAATCTACGGAAGGCGCGCCCGGAACATTGGAAGGAGAAGGCCACGACGCCGGAAGGATTATCACGTGATCTCGGCGATTCTCCGAAAGTTACACAAGCACGTGACCAGCCAATGACGTCGTAATAGAACGTCCACGTAACTGCCTACCCGTAGGTAATTATCTAAGTAGGGATCATTTGCAGGTCATGCTAGGAGGGCAACAGTGTCCTTGTGGTTATGGTGATACACATCTATTTTGGAATTGAGCTTTAGTTCGAATTGTTGGCATTTGGGCAGACAATTTGAAGTTCAATGAAGATGGGGACAGCAAAGCAAAGCAAGCCCCTTCCAGATCAAACAGAAAATCCACGAGAAGGATCGACAGGGCGAACACATCTCAGCCTTGCTACTATTATAAGCGACTGACCTCTTGGGTGTTGCACAGTAACAGGGATGTTCCCATTATCGATGTTTCACCCGATGTGAATAATCTCAGCCTCAGCCGTACCACACATAGAAGGAACGATGCCTAGGTGGTAGTAAGGGGTGCGCATCTATCTATCTCCAGAGCTAGATATGTAGGTTGGGAGGTAGGTCTACAAACTGAATCATCAAGATACAATGAATAGGCACTCTGTATGCCATTTACTAATACCGCCGATTGGAAAGGAGGAAAGACCGAACGGTGGCTGTGCTAACTAGACTCGGAGTCCAGAGACCTTGCATGTGCTGGGCCATGTCTGTGCGAGCCTGCAGTGAGCACATGCGTGCCGTGGAGTGTAGGAGTAGTGCAGTGCCAGTGAGTCAGGGTTCTTCCCAAGACTCTTCTCCAACCGCCAGTGCCTTTCTGATTAATGACGTCTTTTTCTACACACAACACGATGCCCCAAAAAACTCAACTCCGAGTCTGTTGGGATTGTAGTCCCTCGTACCCTGTAAAGGACTTGTAACTTTTTGACCCTGTACCATTTCTTTGGGAATGTACCTCTACCTGGACCTGTAGCCGACTCAGTCGCCTCGAGTCCTCTCAGGGTCTCCATCACCAGCTACCTACTTCAATATCGCCCGAGGCATAATTGAGGCTGCACTGATTCAGAATTGGCCGCAATGACTGGTCCTGGCGTCTCGCAACGAGGGGTTCTTGAACCACTAGGCATTTGGACATTTTGCCCGCACTGATCCGCATTGCCTATCAATGGACTCGCTGCCTAAAGTCTAGTCCTGGCAACTAGTTACCGTCCAGAGGAGGAGTACCTATCGCAAATCAAGGTCCCAGATACTCGATACAATTAGTGATTTGCCTCAAATTCCAGTGCTCCGGACTTGTACGAGTTTCGATTGACACTTTGTTGTTGCTTCTGCCCGCTTCTTCGACTGTTTTTCGCCATCAGATCCTGCTCGTACCATATTTTCTTCGCCCTCCATAGCCCCAATCCCCTCAATCCGTGCCTTGATATCGTAATTATTGGCAATTGTTCTAGCCCTGCCAGTGAATCCCACCACTGGCACTGGCACTGGTACCGACCAAGACCCAACACAACTCGCCTTTGCCTCTGACCAAGTACTACTACCACAGAGAACGGATACTCGGTTCCTATCACTCAGCTTGTGTCCACCTGAGCGTCCCCCTCCACTCGTCCTCCAACCTTGCTCAGGTCAGCCCGCAAATTCTCCTTCTGCAATCTTCTTTCATCATACTTGTCACTTGCCCTCAAGCTCGCTGTCGCTACCGATCACCTTGGGGCATTTCTCCTCTTCCTCTTCTTCTTCTCCTCCCTCCAATTCTCGCTTTCTTGTTTCTTCACCACACTCGACACCACCCTCAACCTTGAGCCGGTCCCAACCCCGGGAAGCACCTGCAAACCTTGCCGACTCACCTTCCGAGATTCTCCAACTTTTGCACCACTTTCGTCATCCCTCGAAGCCCACACCCGGATATTTCAGGAGCTTCGACACCTCCACTCCAAACGGCACATACACGCGATATTGGATCGGGACTTGAATACGAGACTAAACTGACGGTTGAGGAGGAGGTTGAAGATTCTCCCGCCATCATGGCGCAGACTGGTGTCAACCCTCATGCAGCTGCAGACTTGCTAAGACAAGCCATGGCTCAAAAGTGAGTTCCACCTTCCCCGTCCCTCTATAACAGAAGCGTCATCTTGGGAGAGCTTGGTAAGAACCGACTCGGGTGTCACGGGAAACAAGTAGTCCAATACCACGAGCTTCACCTCGGCCTTTTAAGGCAGTACGATTCGAGGTGAAGATGGCTTGAACCTTTCAAGTCACTTCAGAACACTTGAAATCGTTTGTCCACAACCAAACCGTTTCCAAAGGCTTTTGAGCCTGTCATGGAACCCTCGAAAAACCATCAATGACCGACTACGCAAAGTGACCCAGACAATCACCATGTTTCGCTCTCCCGGTTTCCCACCTGCTCGTCCGCTCAAATCACCTCTGTTTGCACAATGACACCGCCGTTTGTAACTCATAACTGACCGGGTGATTAGCAGTGCGAGACATGAAGGCCGAGAAGATCTCCATGATCACATCGGTTCCAATTCTCCTACACCCTCCGGTGTCGAAACCCCTCGACCTGACCTCCACGATAAGCGCCTCCCTGGAATAATGAGCTACTTTGGCCAGGTGGGTAGAGATCCTTCTCAAAATACACCATCACGGTCATCTCAAGTCTCTGCGTACCCTGAATCCAACCAGAACTATTCCCCTTCTTCTGTTCAGCCCTCGAAAGAGAAAGGAAAAAAGCGCATGTCCTCGTCTGCTTCTATCGGTTCGATGGTGATGGTCGAACGGGAGCAGACAACAGTGCCCACACCACCGCCAGAGGACTTTCATGATGAGCATGAGTCTCTCGTAAATGTACCTGAAACAGATCCTTCTCGCTTGCCTCCTACACCCATCTCGTCGGCCGCATCCGTTGTGCACCGAGACGGTGAAGTCGCGGAGAATGGATCTTCCATGGTGGACAGTGGCATGGCCTCCATTACGCAAGCATTGAGAAACTTCGTGCTACCAAAGTCAGCGTTTGGAATGAAAGAACGCCGCCACCAGTCCTTACCTGTTTCAAGCGTCACCAAAAGCACTGTCACCGCAGCTCACATATCCAACCCCACCTCGTCAACACAGTCCTCCCGACCGCATTCCCCTCCATCTTCATCTCCAAGTTCTGCTAAGCTCCCATCATCTCAAACTGTGCCAGAGAATCATGAGCTAACTTCGAGCGTGGCCACCGTGCCGCGTGATAAGAGTACCCCTCCGCACACTCCACGAGCCTTATCGCAAGAAGATCGAAGAGACCAAACTCGCTCTCCCCTTTCGAGTACGAGCACCGCGGCTGGTGAGAACACAGCTCCACAAGCGGAACCTGAGCCACAGACACAAAAGCAGTTGCGTACTGACCTTCCCTCCGTTTCCTCCCCACGAGGCAAGTTATCAATCAAGATCGCCGAAGGTCGAAATTTGAAGCCCTCAGTTGACCCCTATGTTGTGGTCCAGTTTGAGTGGAATGAGTATGTTTCCAAGGGGCCCCGACAGGACAAGATGGACGTCGATAGCGATTCAAAGGGTCCAGTAGCTTCTTTACAGTCTGTCCCCATCCGAAGAACTGACAGTGATATGGGTAAACCAATGGCCATCCCCATGCGAAGCCGTCAGAGTAGCACGAATGGAGAGGATCGACCCCTTGAAAAGGTCACCGACCCTCAATGGGATCGCGAAGCCAATTTGTAAGTTGATTCCGATCATTTGTCACTGGCACATGACTGATATGGTGCAGCGATGTTGTCAGCCAACGGTCGGAACTTGATGTTACAGTTTATGACCGTCATTCAGACTCATTCCTGGGGCACGTCCGTCTTTGTCTGTTGTTGACTGAACAAAACCCAAACTTGGAAGGATTCTTCCGACTTGAACCACGAGGATCACAGGACCAAGACATCACAGGAGAAATTCACATCCGGATGCACTTTTCAAAGGTTGAAAAGCGACACTTTGGACCCAATGATTTCCATATCTTGAAATTGATCGGCAAAGGTACTTTTGGCCAGGTATACCAAGTCCGAAAGAAAGATACTCAACGTATCTACGCGATGAAAGTTCTGTCAAAGAAAGTGATTATTCAGAAGAAAGAAATTCAACACACCATTGGAGAACGGAACATCTTGGTCAGGACAGCCACGACAGACTCACCTTTCATCGTTGGTTTGAAATTCTCTTTCCAAACCCCTACAGACCTGTATTTGGTTACCGACTTCATGTCTGGTGGAGAGTTGTTCTGGCATTTGCAAAAGGAAGGACGCTTCAAGGAAGATCGTGCCAAGTTTTATATTGCCGAGCTGATCCTAGCGCTGAAACACCTGCATGATCATGACATCGTCTACCGAGATCTGAAGCCGGAAAACATCCTATTAGATGCAAATGGTCATATTGCTCTTTGTGACTTTGGTCTATCAAAAGCAAATCTCACGCAAGATGATACCACCAATACCTTCTGTGGAACCACGGAATATCTGGCACCTGAAGTCCTATTGGATGAGCAGGGTTACACTAAGATGGTTGACTTCTGGTCGCTTGGTGTACTTGTTTTTGAAATGTGCTGTGGCTGGAGTCCATTCTATGCCGAGGATACCCAACAGATGTATAAAAATATTGCATTCGGAAAAGTCCGATTCCCAAGAGATGCATTGAGTACCGAAGGCAGGAATTTCGTCAAGGGCTTGCTCAATCGCAACCCTAGACATCGATTGGGTGCAAATCGGGATGCACAGGAATTGATTGAGCATCCATTCTTTGCCGATGTTGACTGGGACGCCCTTGCCAAAAAGAACCTGGTACCCCCATTCAAACCCAAATTGAGCTCGGTTTCAGATACATCAAATTTCGACCCAGAGTTCACCAATGCGCTCAACACATCGTCATCATTGAATGCTCGAGCTGCTGCATTGGCTGCAGGAGCCGCACCAGCCTCAACACCACTTTCACCCACCATGCAAAATGCTTTCCAAGGATTCACATTTGTCGATGAGAGCACATTGGAACAGGAATTCCGTGGTTCGAGAGCCCCTGAAGATGACAGAGTGGATGAGACACACCTATCTCGTTCGAGGACCCATGAACATAGGATGAGCGGAGTCCAAAAGACCGGTGATGATGGATTTTTCTTTGAGGAATAATCGACAACTTGGGTTTTAACGCATCCTGTATCTGTTTCACAACCCCAAAAAATCGCATCATGCTTAGCCGTGCTGCGTTGCATTGCATTGCCCTCGACTGTTTATAACCAAAAACAACCCAGACATCCTTCCTCTCTGGAAGTAGATGAAATACGTTTAATTGCCCCAAACCCATGTCCATACTCGTTCGACGTTCCCTCTGTCTCATCATGGCAGAGGTTGAAAATATGCGGAAAAGCAAAAATTGTGCAATGGTGAAGAGTCCTTTTTTCACACTTGGCGACGGAAAAAACCCCGGGGTGGCAGTATCGTTTTTCTATCATGAAATCAATGCTTCAAGCGGAGTGCGGAGGGGAGATTTTCAGACAAGGAGTGGGGCATCGGGCTATTCGGCGTTGAATTCAAACTTCATGTATCCATGATGGAACGTCAGCTTACCTTGAGCTATTCAGGTGGCAGAGAACGAATTTCAAATGAGACCCAAGAAAATGAGATTGAGATTGAGATTGCCACTGATGAGGTGAAGATATATGATCGGTCACAACAATGTCCTGCGATGTTCTATGTACTTGACATGTGGGTTCACACGTCGCTATCTAGGTAGGTAGTCGGGTTAGTACCTCAACAGTGACGATAGGACAGTACGGATCGGATTGTCCCTCACCCTTTGAGAGAACTGAATGATTCCCGTGGTCCCACCGTCACATTCGATCAGTCATGCTGTCTGCTGCTATTCGTGTCCATTACCCTATTCCATCTGGCTGCCAGTACCGTACATCGGAATACGAGGTACACAGAAACCCACCCATCCGCCAGAGGATGCCTCTTGTCCCATCCCAATAATACCTACTAGCTAGGTGGTCTAATTATCCAACCCTGATCTTCTGTGCTACAATTGCCTGTCTCCACCGCCACCTCCACCACCATTACTATCACCCACAGCCTGACTCCCAAGCCCTTCGACTCGACTCCTCCTCTCGGCACCAACAGGCACCTCTCCCTTCTTGGCCGCGAGCCTCGCGTCCTCATGGCTCATCTTCTCGAATCCACGTTCCGCGAGAGCATCATTCCGCAATACCGTCCCCGTCGCCGCTTGAATGCCGCCTCCCACGCCCGCCGCCGCGCCTTTCACGTCCCCCGCGAGTTTCTGCGACGCGCTGGCGGAGGGGGAGGTCGTTGGGTCGGTGGACTGATATTGAGATTGAGATTGGTAGGCATGCTCGTGCGACGTTGCCGTTGTGGTTGTTGCTGGTGTCGCGGAGGGCGGTGCATTTGGGGTGTTGGTGTTGGTGGCCATGAGGGATGTCTTGAGTCTTTTTAGTCAAGATAGTGTGTTTTTCTATTCACTTCACGTATATTCAGCTGTATCGTTTATGACTAGTACATGGCAAACTGTCCGATCATGCTGCTGGCCCTGGCAAGAATAAATATTCAGACGAGCCATCCTCGCAAAGACACGTTGGATGCATTCATAAATACATTCATCCGTCACTAGGCCAGTTTGCGAATCTTCCCCATCACTGCCGACACCAGTATGACGTATATTTAACGTCACTCAAGTCCTGACTGAATCGAAGATGAAAAGATCGACGAGGCTGTGGTATGAGTGGTGGGGGTCGGAAAAACTCAGCCGGAGATGTCTCACAAGGCTGTACGCAAGCTGGCGAATCATGCCTCCCGTAGCTTCTATGCCATCACCACGTGAACTTCAACCATCATCATCATCTTCATCATCTCGACCAATGGACACGACGAGGCTTCCACACTCATGATCCATCATCTACTAATCACCCGCTGTTGATCCAGAACGCCCAATACCAGCAGCAATCCTCTGAGAGGGTACAAGCCGAACGAGGGTTCAACCTCACCAGCATCATCCACAATCGTGATCAACGACCCGACGAAAATTGAAACCAGCACCAAGCATAGACACAGAGACAGACATAGAGTCTCCATCCACCACCCATCCACCGCCCCGTCGCTCTTCCACTGCATCTATCACCACGTGCCTGCACCAACCCACTCAAATTTCACAGCATACCTACTTACCTAACTACCATGCCAACGCTCTCAGGGCGCACACGCCCGATCGAAAAACTCGCCACGGCCGTCGCGAAGTGTTCTGCTGAGGTAAGTCCATAAGTTCATCTATCTGCAGTAACAGTCTAGACTACAGCCATCCCATCTCGTGACTCCTCGACTCTCAAAACCCAAACCCTGCACAAAACCAAGCCATTTCTAACCATTCCGCTTCGTCTGTGTCACCTACAGGCATCAATCTACGGCAAGTGCATCGTCGCCGACTACCAGGGCACGCATAAAGACATGTGCGCGGCCGAGTTTCTGAGGTTGAAGGATTGTTATTTGGTGAGTCTGTTTTTGATATTACTTTCGTCTTTCGCTTTCGAGTACCATGCGTGTTCGGTGTGGTCCTTTGTGCTTCGATGCGTGATGATATACATGTGCTGTATGGTATAGCGATGGGAATGGAAGGGCCTGTTTGCCTCCTCTTCACGGCGTGGATTCATCCTTCCGTGTGCTTGCTTCTCTGCTGCGTTGTGTTTTGTCATTGTGCTGACGGGTCCGTTGCTACCAATCGCAGAAACACGCAAAGAAATCATAGTTGATCTTGAGAGGATTCGATTTCGAAGATCTTGTTCGCCTGGAGGCATGTTCTAGAGGGAAAGATGAAATCTAGAGGTTCATGGAGTTCACTAGGTATATGATATAAAGCATGCTTCCCATTTCTCTCATACAGTTCATTCATCATATCTTTCATTCCATCTTTGGTTTGAACATCTTTCTAAAGCTTTAACAGCCTCAACAAGAAAGTCGCTTTCTGGATCTCTTGAACCTCCTCCGCAATGATTTTGTCCTCATCCACTCCATTCACTACAGCTCCCTCGACCTGTGTGGCAATGTGCTTGTCTAATGGCCTTCTGAGGGCCTTTCCAATGAAGTCACGCTGTGATTCAAATGCACTCTCCAGTCCAATGTCATCGGGATCCTCCTGTATCCGATATTCCATTTTGATATCATCCGTTGGTTTGAGATTTGCTTTCTTTCTCAATTGCTGTACACGATTGATGACCTCGCGAGCAAGACCTTCCTGTGCAAGTTCTGGATGGATCGCCACATCCAAAATAGTCAGAACATCATCGTCGGTGTTTGTTTCTTGATGTTTGGAGTTTTCATCTTGTTTCAGTGCCCGTTTTACCACGAGATCACCCTCCACCAATTCAATACCAGCCACCGATATCTTCTTGTCGGAAAGGAAGGCTTTGCAATCATTGCTCGTGACATCGGGAAGAGCTTTTTTGACTTTCTGTACATCCTTCTTGAGTTTCTTTCCAAGAACAGGCCAATCGGCATTGACACTGTATTGGACATTGTACTTCTCCTCATCGGATGATAGCACCAAATCTCGGATATTCAGTTCTTCTGTAATGTATCCCTGCAAAGATTTGACATCGTTCAGATACTGTTGGTCTGTATGAATGACCACAAGTGTCTTAAGTGGAGTTTTCAACCCTACTGTTCTTCGTTCTCTGGATTGTCTTGCGAGTTCAATGACTTTTTGCATCCGTCCAACTCTTCTCTCAATGATCGGGTCGAAAAGCTCTTCCCGAAGTTCTGGGAATGCGAGGAAATGTACACTTCGGTCATCCTTGCTATGAAGAGATTTGGGGATATGGGGAAGAAGCTTTGAGTAGATGAGGTCGGCAATGAAAGGGGTAAACGGGGCGAGTGCCCGAACAAGCGTGTACAAAACATCGAAAAGGGTGTTGAGGGCATGCAGAGTGTCATCTACTCCCAATTCACCCTTCAGACGTTTTCGATTGAAACGAATGTACCAATTTGTAGTCTCGTCGATCAAGTTCAGTAAACCAGGTACAACGGTATAGAGTCGATATGCTGCCATCTCCTCGTTGATGTATTTGAGGAGAGTTTGCGTGCTTGCGAGGATCCATTTATCCATTACGTTAGTGTTGGTTGTTTCGGCTTCAGGATCAAAAACATAATCGATTCCTTCGACCTTCTTCAGCAGCTGGACCTGGCCTTCAAAGAATTTGTAGCTGTTCCACAAGGGTAATAGAACTTTCGCCACAATTTCTTTGACACCAGTCTCCTTGAATCTCAGTGGTTCGGCTCGTACCACGGGCGAGTTAATCATGTAAAGGCGTAGAGCATCGGCACCATACTTGTCGATGACTGTGGTAGGATCGGGATAATTTTTCAGTCGCTTGGACATTTTCTTTCCGTCTTCAGCCAAGACAATGCCATTGACCACGCAGTTCTTGAAGGGCAACATCTTCTTGAGATGGATGCCCAAGACTACCAAGGTGTAGAACCAGCCACGGGTTTGATCAAGACCCTCTGCAATGAAATCACCAGGAAAGGTCTGCTCAAAGAAGTCCTTATTCTCAAAGGGATAATGCGACGAAGCGTACGGCATGCTCCCAGATTCGAACCAGCAGTCAAAGACTTCCTCGACTCTCCGGAGGACACCATTTCCTTTTTGACTGGGTATGGTGATTTCGTCAACGCTGTCTCGATGGAGATCAGTGATCTCACCCTTATAGCCGCTGAGTTTCTTCAACTCCTCGATACTGCCAATCGCGACAACTTCGGAGTAGTCTTCACTCGCCCAGAGAGGGATTGGAGTACCCCAGTAACGGTTCCTTGAGATGTTCCAATCTCTGGCATTCTTGATCCACTCAGCAAATCTCTTTTCTTTGACGAAGTTGGGTACCCAGTGAGATTTCGCGATGCCATCCAGCATCAAAGGGATGATACTGGGCACTTTGTCGTTTCCGGCAATGTTGACGAACCACCCAGAGACGGCCCGATAGATGAGTGGAGTATCTGACCGCCAACAGAATGGATACTGATGGGAGATCTGGCTGTCTTTGATCAGCTTTCCACTCGCTTTCAAATGCTTCATGATTTGCTTGTCGGCCTCCTTAACATGCTGGCCAGCAAAATCAGGGACTTCTGAGGTAAATCGACCAGTATCGTCAACAGGATTAGGAGGTAGTTGGTCATGGCTGATGATACCATTCTCCATTGCAACTCGGAAATCCTCCTCACCAAAGGCTGGAGCTTGATGTACCACGCCAGTACCATCATCGTCGGTGACATAACTTGCGTTCAACACTTTGAAGGCTCGGTCTTTGAAATCGTCATAGAAATAGTCGAAGGGAGGAATGTATTGTTTGTCCTTGAGATCGGTCCCTTTGATGCGCTCTAAGATGGTGTATTTTGCTTTCTTTGGGTCTTTGTACAATGTTTTGAGCAATTTCTCAAGCATAATGAACTGTTGTCCCGACTCCTGATCCAAGAACTTGATGTATTCATAGTTGGCATTGACAGCCAGACCAATATTCGAAGGGAGAGTCCAGGGTGTGGTTGTCCAGGCTAGAAGGCTGGTCTTGGGGTCATCGACCAAGGGGAAAGCAATGACTACAGCCGGGTCGAATGTTTCTTTGTAGTTTGATTGAGCTTCATGTTGACTGAGAGGAGTGCTCAAGGCCGTGGAGAAGGGCATGACTCTGTAGCTGCGATAGACCTGTCCTTGGTCGAACAGCTGCTTGAACACCCACCAGACTGACTCCATAAAGGTCGGGTTCATGGTCTTGTAATCATTGTCAAAGTCGATCCATCGGCCGAGTCGGTCAATGGTCTCTCGCCATTCGGTGGCGAACCTCATGACAATTGCTTTGCATTCAGCGTTGTATTTGGCGATTCCCATCTCTTTGACCGCGGCCGGACCAGAGATATTGAACTTTTTGTCAATCTCATACTCGATGGGTAGGCCATGAGTGTCCCAGCCAAATCTGCGTTCGACATAGTAGCCCTTCATGGACCAATATCTGGGGATGATGTCCTTGATAGTGGAAGCCAACAAGTGGCCATAGTGAGGCAGACCGGTCGCAAACGGAGGCCCATCGTAGAAAGTGTAAGGCTTGTTGCCCTGGGATAGGCGTAATTGGGTCTGGAAGGCATCTATCTCCCGCCATCGTTTGAGGGTTGCAGCCTCTTCAGCAGCAAAGTTGACCGCCATGTTCTGAAAGACTGTACAACGGACTCTGCTCTCTATGGAAGAAGGATGTGAAGGGCGAGATATTGACTCGAGTCGCAGTGACGGTGGCAGTCAAGAGTCAGAATGAGTCAACCAGCGAGATGAAACACAGTCACGGTGGCTGCGGCGGTCGGGCAAATAATTCAATGGCGGGATGAAATCTTGGCAGGTACAAGTTTCACTGGTGGGGGAAGGAGGGACTTCAGCCTCGTGAGGCGACCCAGGTTTGACCATTCGAAATCAGATGGTAAAGTTCTCTTATCTTACAGGGTATCAATTTTCAACTATACAATTATCCTACGGCCATTAATTTTCAACATCTCACTCGCTATCGTCGAGAAGGGCCCATGCCGGGCCAGAATACTTCGGAAGAACTTTCTTCAGTCCACATCCTCATCCTCATCATCTCCCTCTCCTTCTTCGTCCTCCTCATCCTCTTCATCTACGTCACCCTCGTCTTCATCATCAGATACCTCCTCACCGAGCTCCTTCAGTCGCTTCTTATCCGTAGACCTCTTGGCTTCCAAGTCTCCAAACACAACAAGAAGATCATCAAGCTCAGTCTGCACATCTTTTCGCTCAGACTTCTCCCTCTCCAGTTCTACTTGCAAGCGTTTGGCGTCGCTCTCGCCATCACTGGCTCGGCTCTCTGCTCGCATCAGTCGTGCTTCTAGCGCCTCGACCTTGCTAGTGTAGTCTTCGTGTGCCGTCTCCAGATCTTGAATGTGATTCTGTTCTACCTTTTTCAGGCTCGTCTCCAGCTCGTGAATCATGCGTTTGAGATCCGCAATCTCATCAGCTTCTCTCTTGCGCGCGCTGGAAGACTTCTTCTCCACTTCTTGAAGTTCTTGTTCATGATGCCGGACTAAGGCTGCCCGTTCTCGAGAGGCCTCCTGTTCAAGTACTTTGAGACGTTGTTCAAGCCGTTGTATCTCACCATCGTGTTGCTTTTTCGAATTCTCAAATGTACTGAGATGTTCATTTCGTCGCCGGTGCAACTCGTCCTCGTGTGTTTTCAGAAGCGAATTCCTGTCTCTCGTGAAGCCTTGCTGCAATTTCGCAACTTCATCCTCATGATTCTCATGCAAACTCTGATTGATCTGTTTGATACGAGACAGCTCGACTGTCGTAGATTCTCGTGTACGGCGGTGGTCCAACTCTTCCTGCTCGAGCTTCCGCTTGATTTGAAGCAGTTCAGTATTGGCCGCTTCCAACGCCTGTTTCTGCTCTTCCACTTGTGCCCTGAGACTGTCGACAAGGTCTCGGGAAACCCCTTTCTGAACTCCATTGCTCACAATTGACACCTCAAAGTTCGGATCACGGTCGATCGCACGGAGAAATCGACTGAAGTTGTCCTTCAAAAAGTCGATGAAAATCTTATCAAAAAAGACCTCTGGGAGCCCTCCACTACCTCCCTGTGGCAGGACTTCATAGTCTCGAACAAAAGGATTCTCACGTAGCTTGGTCAGCCGGTCCACATAGGTCTCGCGACCCATATTTCCTGTCAGAATCGAATGTAGAGTTGTTCGGGGAACTGGAGAATCCTTCGTGGAAAACTCATAGATTATTCCGAGCAGAAACGCGGCTAGTCCAGCCACCAAGGGCATCGAAGTATTTGCAATCTTGACAGCTGCGACCAGACCTTGCACATTACTTCCCTCGACGAGAAGATCGTTGACAGCCTCGGGGTCTTCGAAGAGCCACACTGAAAGCAGCATAAGATAACCGAGAAGCGCGCGTTCATCCTCGACATGCTGAACCCCAGCAATGACATTACTTGTTATACTTTGGACAAAGGTCACAACCTCCTCCCCACTCTCGGCATCGCCTTCAGTTACCTTCAGGGCGAGCTCCTTGGTGTCGCCATTTTCATATACCAGATGCAGCAGGAGCATAGCGGCCATCCATTGCTGATAAGGGTCTGCATTGCTGCGGCTGGAGGGTGGCTCCAAGAGAACGGTGAGCATATTGGGAATGGCATCATCCCCGCTTTGATGACCCTCAATCGCTCTCCGAAGAACATGAACACGAATGCCATTATGGCCTTCGACAAATGCTTGCACGCAAGATAAGGCAGAAAGTCGAACGTCAAACAGGGCTAGTGGTGCAGACTCTAAAGTCAGCTCTAGGAGTGACTCGATGACATTTTGTTCTCTGTAACTGGTCTTTGTAGGCTTGATCTGCTTCTCGCCCGGAGCTGGGGGTGGATGGCCATTTGTCGTCAGTGTTGCTGGCTGTTTTAGTTGGACTGGCAGATCGCCAAACCGTTCCTGCAAGCCCTGGTTGCCGCGTATGATATCTCCACACGTCTGAAGGGATTTCGCACGAACGTTGGAATTGAATCCAGAGTGAAATGCTATACAAAGTACAATCTGGAGGACTCCTGTCTGCCACAATGCCTGTTGATTGACTGTAGTACCCTGAGCACCTATCGTGAGGAAAAGTTGAACCACACCAAGTATACCCCAGACATTCATGTCTCTCTGCGGCTTCATCCACTCCGATACTCCCTCTGGGCTGTCCTCTTGCTCCACAGCAGCAAGCAGTAGCTTTCGGATCTTCACGATGCCACCAATCTCACGGAAGTAGGATTGGTTGGATGTATTCAGTCGTAGTAGATTTGCAAATAAGGACAAACAATCCTGGACAATGGTCGAGCCCTCTGTCAAGCCTCCATCGCCCTCGATCAACGCAAAGTTTCGATCAAAGGCATTCTCAAAGGCCACCACTTTCTGCAATTCGGCGGAGGTGGGTGTCAAGGCCACGAGCAATACCAAGGCCCCATTCCTTACGGCCTCTCGTTTGTCATCCAGGACACCTGTAATTCGTGAAACACCCAGAGGTGCTGCGAAGACCGCTTCCTGTGTTCGTTGTGGTCTCAATGTTGAGACGTGTGAGAGTATCTGCAGCCCGTATAAGCGGAGGTAGAACTCCCCCGACTCGAGCAAATCCAGCAGTGCCGTGATATTGTCCTGCCGCTGGGTGAACTCGTCTGCCAACCACAACGTTATCTCCTCCGACGCTTCGGGTGATTTTTCATCCGGCTCAAAGAGCATCAAAATGGTCTCCAGGACCACCTTGATCGTGTCCGAGTCCTCTCCATCTCGACGGAGGGCAGCAATAAGGTCTCGAAGCGCTCCGGATGCAACAGAGGCAGGATAGGTTTTGGCAAAACTGCGCAGACCGAGGATGGCTGCACGACGGTCTTCCAATAGGGTAGCACTTGAGAGGCGGCTGCTCAGTGTCTGGATGGTGTCGGTGGCTGTCTGCCGTGCAGGAGCCTGTGCTTCGAGAATTCGCATCATCTTGAAGATGGGTTCATGGCCATTCGGGGTTTCTGTGTTTTACGGCCATTCTGCATGGCTTCAAGCAGCGTTTTCACACATGGCTTTATGAGTCATGGGAGCACTATTCAATGACTTATAGACAAGTAAGAGTGCGAAGTGATCAACGTTGTCACTGAAAATAAAGGATGTTCAAGAAGTGTCCTCACGATGCGTTGCGAGGGTCGTCAAACAAACAAAATATGCCAAGATCTGCCGAACTACTCGACTAGTGTTACAGACAGGAGACGTAATGTGTATTGATGGATGTATTATGAATCTCAACTAGGCACCATGAGATAAAGTTAATGCGTATTGACTTTGTAATGAATGTATTATAAATCTCAAGTAGTTTTTTTGTGAAGTACTAGTTCTAGCTCAAGAATAGCTACCTAGGTAAGTTAGTTAGCTATCTGCATAAGACATCTACTGCTGCACCTTCGAGAACGTCTGGCTGTCTTCATTGATACATTGATATTGAACGATTATATATCTGAACAAGTCCAAGGTTCGCGTCACATGGCCTTCAGGCAGTCCCATTGACGTAGCCGTTCCCGTACGTCGTTTCCTTATCATATATCAATGTCAAAGTGGTAGGAATAGGACTCTCGTTCGAATTTGCATCGAGATAGACCCTCATATTCACACCCGCCACGTGATGCGAGAGCGTGCTGAAATGACCTTGTGAGCCGGGGGCACGCCGCAGGTTCTTCAGACAGAAGACCTCCTTTATCGTGGACACCAATGCTGGGGCCACTAATCGTGCTCCGAAGCAGAAGTGGAGGCCATGACCCAGAAGAATGTATGAAGAGATTGGGCGGTGCGGATCAATGATCTCGGGATGCGGGAATGCAATTGGATCCATCGCAGCTCGGGAGGTGGCGATCAAGACGGTCTGGTTCGCCTTGATCCGGATGCCACCACGCTGACCATCCTTGACAGTGATGTCCTGTGCTGCCACTCTCGGTAATCCTGGGACCACACCGGCGTGGCGCATTCCCTCATAGACATACCCGAGGAGCTCCTTATCCGCGGCGGCGTCATCGCGATGTGCAAGCTCAACGATGCGTGCCTTATACTTCTCGTAACCCGGGCTGAGATATAAGTCAATCAGTAGAGATGCTTGCTGGGTTAGATTACCCGCCACTGGCGCGCCCATGCCAATACAGTCACCCACTAGATCACCGGCAGGTAGGCCGCTCTTGGCGAGCTCCTTGAAGAGACGATCAGCAGCTGGACCTACTTCGTAGGCCGTGCCTTTCTCAACATAATCGGCGAAGACCTCCTTGTAACCACCGGTCTGGCTGGAGAGGTGCCCATGAAGGATGCCGCGAAGGAGGGGCGCGACTTTCAGACTGGCTTCACGCAATTTCCATTCCGAGCGTGGGAGAATGTTGAAGGACTGGTACATGAACAGAACGAGGTAGAGATCGAAGAGCTCCGCACGGGTGATGAGGCCCCTGGGGTGTTGTTCGGACTTGAGTGGGATGGCGAATCGATCTGCAAGCCACAGGATTGGGGTCACATTGGTGACATCTCTGATGATATCGATTGAAGTTCGACCGTCGGCGTAAGATATGGAGCTCTTATCGATGAGTTGTCGGACGGTCTTCCGGAAGAATGATGATACATTACTCTCAAAGCCTTGCTCGAAGAAGATGTGATGAAGTAGGTTGGACCTTTCATCGTGCTTTCTTTGCTGATCCCATCCGATCATGAAATCATGGCCATCCGTACAATTGCGGATCGCGGCTTGATACATGACACGGAAGTTATCGCGGTCCTCAAAGATCTTCTTGCATCCTTCCTGTGTGTGGATGCCAACGATTTTACTCACATTAGTCGGCGGTCGGTTTAGGTCATACTGTTGAAGTACACCATTACCCTGAAGTATTTCTCGGACGGCTTCAGGTGTATAGAAAGGTAGAAGGGCGTACGAAGAGGTACCGGTAAATTCGCCTGGGAGGCCATTGAAAAGCAGAGTAGGTAGAACACCACCAAATGAGCCTGGAGCAACACTGCTAGCCAATTTCGAGACTCCCCAATTTGTCAGCGTGCTGCTATTGAAGTCGTAGGTTAGGAAACGATCTCCCCTGACCAGAGAGACAGCATCATCCAAGATTCCGCGGCCCGTGGTTTGTCCAGGACATACACCGCTCCCGGGCATAGCGGGTTTTGTACATTCGGCCTGTAAGCCAGGATATAACTCCATGTTGTCAATGTGCCCATAGAGGAGCTCGGCAGATCGTGCGGTCTCTTTATCTTCACACCACTCCATAAAGTTCTCATATGGCTTTAGGTTGAGATACTTTCGGAACCTGATTCTTGTCAGCTAGAATGCTCCGCGGACTGGGGTTTTAGGTCAATACTTACTCATTCAAGCTGCAGACGTTAAAAACGCCCCTAGCTTGAAGCTGACCCATGATGTCGACCACCTTCAAGCTCGCTGGGGTACCGTGTGCACCAAAGGCATGAGCTGGTTCCTCAATGCAGTCTTTGATGATCCTTCCAATATCTGTATCGCTGAATGTTCCGTCGGCGCCTCTTTTAAGACCACCGAACGTCCATTCTTTAGGTGCGGTTGACATTAATTTATGGCCTTCTTGTTTCAAAACCTTTTTGAAAAGGTCGGGAGACATATCGTCAAGGGACTTCAGCTCCGGCAAATTAGCTCTGATAATATCTTCCATCCATTGCCCATCTGCTGCACTTAATGCAGCATGCCAATGATAAAGAACCGCGAACTCGACCGAAACGACATTGCCTTGGCCTCTTTCTACACGTTCACCTCGTAGCTTGATCTCGCCTCCTAGATCGAGAGACCATTTGGAATTAGCGCGAGGAGTGTTGAGGATAGCAGCCACATAATCTCTTAGAACCACCGAGGCAAAGAAGCCCACGTTGATGTTCCTAGCGATTTGAAACAGGTCTTCATCTTGCCTAAGATTTGATTTAGCTGAGGCGAGTTGATTACAGTTTGGAGAGGCTTACCATTTTTTCTGCTCCTCCGTTAATTCGTCCCAGTCTCCATACTTATTGTTTTCATTGATAGACCATAGAGAATAAACGATCTCATTATGATTTCTAGAAAACATCAAGAGAGTTGCGACAACGCCAGGCGGCATTAACATGATCCTTTCAGAGGCAATGGAATCGGGATGGATCATGCCGTTTTGGTAGCTACGAACACGCTTCTGTTCCTCGCCTGTATTCCCATACAAGGTGCTAAGGTCGACGTAGCTCGAGGTCTCATTAATCCACGGTTTGTCGCGCGAGGTCTGAAAGCATTCGTGGATAACGATGGTAGCAAAGGAGAAAAACATTCGATTTAGGCCCGATGGGTGTGGTCGAAACGGCCCAGTCCGCTTCAATAGTTTCTCGAATACCAGCTCTGGATCAGGAAGATTGGGTCCTTTAGGTTTGCCCGGGGGTACACTTCGACAGTAAGGAGTACCGGCCTTGCCCATCTCTGGGTTCCAGTGATTGTTGCCTCCGCCGTCGTGTCTTCGGTAGCGATTTTCAGGACCGGCCAGCGAAGCCGGTGGGTGAGGAAGGTCGTGCCACAACATTTTGATGAAGCCTCCTGACACTTTGGAGCTTAGTCCGCTATCCAATGGCAACGATTGTAACATTGCAACGCCATGCTCGAGGAGCCACTTCTTGTCATCAAGAGGCTCTCCAGATGCGAGAGTGTTGAAAGCCTGCACCATTGTCCGTGTGTTTTTCCCTCCCAAATGTAGGAGATCGTGAAATATTGAGGTCTTCTCGTCTGAGGCACCAGCAGCAGCATGAAGGTCGGTCTTGCCGTCCGGCGCTGTTGGAGCAGCACGCCATATCATCCGCCATAACGTAGTCAAGGCACTAGCCATGATTATGAGTCCAGAAAGAATAAAAGACATGAGTGCATTGGACAATTTGCAGGGAAAGGTTGACGGGGTGAAGATGTTTTAGCAAGCAGCCTTCACAAGAAGTCAAGATCGAGGCCTCGGAGATCTGTCTTGATCATGACTTGACCAAGCCTCCAAATCAACATCTTGCTCGCGAGGTTGGGGCTGACAGCAGCATCCGTAAAGTGAACAGAGCAGAAGCTATCGAGTCGGCGTGCATCACTCACGTCATTGCAACGCAGAGTAAATGCAATCGTCGCTGCTCATGCATACCGCCTACTCGTCGTGCTGGCATTTACGGAGGGGTTAAGTGAGAGTTTGAGTCAACACTACGCAAACTGTCGGATTGGGTTTGCCAATTAGTCCTGGCATGAGTCCGATTGCAGTCGATATCTGACAAAAGAAGGAAGAGCTGCAGAGTTTGACCTAAAAGCGGAGACGTGTCATGCCCGTTAGCTCGTCTATTTCCGTCGATCTTAGGCTTGACTTCAGGCGATCTTTTGACAGAGTTCCACGGCCAAGTGTCGGTAATCTAATCTATCCGGAAATGGCCAAATGGGCCCGAAGAACCAAAGTCCATTTGCTAATCCCCCCAGTTTACTCGGGCAAGGCTGGCACGGTCCGCTACGATTTGTCGCCCAGGCTCCACATAAATTCGGTACGGGGGGTATCCTTAGCCCTAATGACACTACAGGGAATCCAAAACCCTTCGTATGATTGGACCACGGCATCGTGAAGCTGACGTCTTGACGCACTGGTCACACAGCCAAGGGGTTCGTGATCGACCGATGTTCATGCTCAGATAGTCTTTGAAGCTCAGTGCGGAGCACCGCCAGTGCTACACCCTTCACACGACTTGTCTTACAACAGAATCCGAGAACTGAGTTCCCTCGATCACTATCTGCTATTTTACACTGTTCGATCAGACAGCCATGTACACTCAAAAAGTGTATTTCCTGTAATTTTCTTCGAGATTCTGGTGACTCGTCCATGCCATTCTCAAAATTCCTTTGCTTCTGCTGGGATACACCTTCTGAGTCGGAGATTCCAGCCGGCAGAATGACTGAGACCGTCAAGCGGCGCTGGTCACGATCTAGATATCCTTTGCAAACAGCATCGGAACAGGCAGTCCTAGCCCCACGTACGACCACAGAGTCTAGTGGAAAGAGTGTCTCATCTCCGACTCAGCGCTCAGGCCTGACGAACAGTGTTCATACAATGAACATAGAGCATCAATCAGTGGCGAGAGATACAACACCGGAGGCCTTCGGAGACGAGACGAGTATTCCCTTGAGTGGGGCTTCCCAAGCTGTTCGAGGTACCATCAACAGGCTCGAAATCTCGCCGCTGTCGAAAGCATCATTTCCAACATCAACAGGCCAAAATTCCCAGAGTCTATCGGATAACACACGAGGGATACAGACTGTCTCTCTCAGTCCACCATATGATAACGAGGATCAAGCATTGAGCAAATTGAATTCGCAAGCGCAAGCTGGATGCCCCTTCAAGGGCACGGCACTGAAAGTCCAGGATTCGTTTTCAACTATACCATCATCAAAAGATCATGCTTTGGCTCTGGAATCTGGTAGCCTTCACCTCGACACGACGGACACAGAAACAACAACGAAGAAAACTCTGCGGAGGACACCGAGAAGTTGGTCGCTAAGGGAGGTTGCCTCAGGGGACCTCGAGTCAAAGTCGGGTTCCGAGATGTCTCATAATTCATCGGAGAGGGACTATGTGGATGACTTACCACAGGACCAGTGGAAACGACAAGTGTATCCTTTAGCTTCAGAGATGCTGAATATGCCTGTGCCAAGATCGGAAGAACTACCAGCTTCAAGAGAAGAGCTCGTGCAGAGTAGGGACGCTTCGTTAGCAGACTTCCCAGCAGACCAGCGACCTGGTTTGACACCATCTTCTATAACCGATCAGTTTCAGTCATGGTCACTAAGCATCCCAGGCCATGAGACAGAGGACGCCAGTCAAGAATTGCGACCTCGATTTCTCCGAAATACTTACCCCAGCAAGAACAACAGCTTGGAATCGCAAGACTATCTTGTGCATACGACGGCTGTTGCCACCGAACTGCTGGAACCACCAACACCGTCTTCATCCACAACCGGCATTGAGCATGGTAGCACCATTTCACCAACAGAGCTTACGGAAAATACTCTTTCATCCCAATGGGAACAATCTTCGAAGCCAGGAACTTACCGTTTGCAAGCAGCACTCAAATACAATAATCTTTGGTCTCCACAAACACACCCCTTACCAATAGTAGGAGGACCAGAGATTCAGACCAAGGAGATGGCGGATCCAGTGGTGAAGAATCATCGAAAACATAGCGCAACTCGAGGTCTTCGTCGTGGTGCATATCCACTTCAATCGCCAGCTAGCGTGCTAGATTTGAAAGCATCACGAACACCACAAGCCTCATCTGTTGAGGAAGGCTCGATTCCGGGAGAGGAACAAGCTCTAGAAGCTCTGAAGCCACGCCCGACTTCTGACAGAATTCAAACGTTCAATAGACGGACATATCCTTTGCAGTCACCAGCAAGCGTGTTGAGTTTGCATGCACCTGCACCACCACAGCCAGCACCTACAGAAGACCACTTAACCCCAGCAGAGGTAGAGAATGCAGAGGATCTGGAACCACAACCAGTGGTTGGAAATATTCGTACGCTGAATCGAAGGGGCTATCCCTTACAATCGCCGGCCAGTGTATTGGATTTAAGGAACGACACAGGCCCACGGCCACGAACGGCAAAAATCAATTCTGTTCCGATTCATTACCCACAAACGGACGACGTACAAGGAAGCCTCTACTTTCCTCACGATGAGAACAAATTTCGTCGACAGATCTATCCCCTAGAGGCGAGTGCAAGCGCTGCGAAGCAGGAGCGTCCTCCAACTCCACCACTGCTTGTGGATACGAGTCACCCGGCAGACGAGTTCTCACAACATTGGCCAAAGTCTGAATTGGGCAAGCGAACTCCACACCGTGTTAAGTCGACCTATAACCAGTCTTATCCTTCACAGTCACCCGCGAGCATTCCAGCTCTACGACTTCCACCATCACCGTCACCTTCACCACCACCCGTTGTTGAAGTGGAGTCGCGGAATGAAACTGGATCGTCAGCTCACTTGTCCCGACAGAAAGCGCTTGCTTCCAAGGTGATTAGACATTGGCGCCGTCAAGTCTATCCATTGCAGTCGACTGATAGCCTGTCACCCTTTCAGCGAGCGCCTACGCCGCAGCCTCTGGGGTCAGAGAGGGACAAACCCCACAGGTCTGAGCCAATTCACCTTCCAAAGAATATCCGCGCCGTGAAGGAGGTTGGAACTTCTGGATCTGATGGTCGCACCATAGTAGTCTGTCTCGATGGAACCGGGGACAAATTTGATGGTGACAACAGCAACATCGTCCATCTAATCAGTGCCCTCAAAAAAGACGATCCAAAACAAGTCTCTTACTACCAAGCTGGAATAGGCACTTATACCCAAGGTGGACTCAGCAGTGGCATGTCGGCTGCCCTAGATATGGCCGTTGGATCGGAGCTCGGTCTTCATGTCCGAGACGCATACCATTTTTTGATGCACACTTACAAGGAGGGTGATAAAATATGCATATTCGGCTTTTCACGGGGTGCCTATACCGCACGATGTTTAGCTGGCATGATACACAAGGTCGGTCTTCTACCCCCTCGCAATATCCAGCAGATTGCATTCGCCTACGAGTTTTATACCAACGACACAGCTTTTGGTTGGGAACAAAGCGGGATGTTTAAGGCTACCTTCTCCATCGATATCTCCGTTCACTTCCTCGGATGTTTCGACAGCGTTGCGAGCGTCGGCTTTATTCCTAGACAGTTACCACTGAGCACGACACCAGGCAATAAGCCTCGTTACTTTAGGCATGCGATGGCGTTGGACGAGCGTCGGGCTAAATTCAAGGTCTGTCGCCATCAGACTTGGGACCCGAATAAGCCACAAGAGCCCGAAAGGGCATTTGGAATTTCCAAAACCCAGACCGATGTGCCTCCATGGGATATACACGTGAGGTATGGCGAGCAATATCACCCAAACGTCACCGATGAAGAATACGAGCGACTTGCAGAGGCAGAGGATGAATTTGACACCGATGTCCTCGAGGTATGGTTCGCTGGGGCCCACGCAGACGTAGGTGGAGGCGCAGTAGCGAACGATGAAAGGCATAAACTCGCCCAGATTCCTTTGCGCTGGATGATCCGACAAGCCTTTGATTGCGATACGGGCATAATATTCAAGACAAAGAAATTGGCTGAGTTCGGCCTCGATGTACACACGCTCTGGCCCAAGTACAAGAGCCTCGATCCACCAGCTCATGGCCCTCCACCCTCAGTCCTCGACAAATATGACAAAGGGCTCCCTCCAAGATCGATTCGCCGCTCAAAGCTTGTCCCGATCGACAAAGTCGAAAATGGGGAGCGCTTCTATCATCTAAAAAGTCACACAGACGAAGATTGGACACCTGAGCTAGTTGAGGACTTCTTCGACGCCATGTCGCCACTTAATGACCAGCTGGAGCAAGCTCCACGATGGTGGATTCTTGAGGTATGGCCGGTGGAGTATAAGGTGCCCATTGGTCAGGGCCAGGTCGAAACAAGAGTTGGAATGAATCTAGGACGGTATCGTGCGATCGATGACATGGAGCCGAAGCTGCATTGGACGGTTCGTCATCGCGAGCAGCATATGGGATACAAGATCAGAGGAAGGACTGCTCCACATACTCAGTGGTCCGTTGTAGCATAGTTTGCTCCCAAAAGTCCAGCGTGCAGTTAGATAATGAGAACACGATTTGCCTACAACAAGTTCAGTCTAGGCTACAGTGACACTAGTTCCTGCTATCTCCCAAGTTAAGGATGTAACATCTGAACAGGCTTCGACGAGGTGACTATGGCAAGCAATCGAATACCCGGGAATGATGTCGCCTTGACGAATCTGTTCTGGTCTGAGCAAGAATATACAGTATCTGCGGATGGCGTGTTAATTTTGTATAGTTTTGTTCGCTAGCTTCTATCTCTACTATACTATGTATTTTTGATAAGAGCTAACCTAGATAGTATAAATAGAGGATATATAATAGATCTTATAAATTTAGAAGAAGATATATAAATTGTTTCTAGAGAAATCGAAATGTTAAGTATAGGAATTTTGGTAAAGGGTTTTCATTATTCAAGAGTCGACTTGTCTTTACAAAATATTGCGGTTTTCGCCGTTCGACTCAGGGGGCATTTCGTGAATGGGCTGCCGCCATTTACATCTGGCGTTCTTCGTGCTTCAACCCTCACAGATCTACCGGTCATTCTTGTCTCGCAATTCGAGATTGCCTGACACCCTGAACAATTATTCATCTTTATACTAGGACAAGAAACTAAGCCAGGATTATTTCCTCCTCTATCGAGTCCATATAGATGCTAGCGCTTCGACTTTCAAGTTGATATCTATCACCTCACCGTTTGCAAATAGTGAAAGTCCGGTATCTGAGCCGGACGGGAAAATCTGCGCTGTGATAGTGGACTCCCCGCGTCCACCAAATAATTCGACGGACGACCAGTCAAGAAAAACGCGCAGCTTGACTACTCCATCCTGTGTCTGTAGTGGTCCGTAGTAAATGCCTTTGTAGTCGTCGCTGAAGGACGAATCATCGGTTGTAGAACTGCGATCAACAAACATTCGTTGCGTGGTAAAGTCATATCCAATCAGAGTGCCAGAGGTCTTCCCACCAGTACGGACACCTAGACTGAAGCGTTTCGCGTTCTTGCCAGCTCGAAAACTGATACTAACTTCCAGTTGTTTGCCAGATACTGGGAGCGAAATGTTACCTGTGGCTGAATCCCAGTGATTGGCATACAACAAGGGTCCGTTCTTGAGCTTTTGCAAATTGGAATGGGGTATTGAAATCAGACGCGTTTGACCTTCAATTTTCTCAAGGGTGAGCTCACGAGGGACAGTCATTGCGCTTCGCCATGGCGATGTTGGTATAGTTGCACCATAAGCCCAGTCGCTCATCCAAGTAATTGCCACACGCTCATAATTCGCAAGACCATTGTATGTCAGTGAGGCGTAATAGTCAGGCCCATAGTCTACCCAGTTCGCGTTCCCGGAACCTGGGTCATAGTCACTATCTGGATCTGCCTTGAAGAAAGTGCCGTCAAAATTTCCGACGATGTATTGAGTTCCTGATGCCCCTGAAAAAGCTGGACCTCCGGGATTGATGCCAGCCATAAGAACCCATTTGATGTCGTGTATATTTCCCTTGAGTGGAAGGGGAAACAGGTTTGGACACTCCCAAACCCCACCAACGGCATTTGAAGGTCCGAATTCGCTCACATGCTCCCATTGTTTGAGATCTGTAGAGTGATATATGAGTATCTTGTGAAGCTGGGGAAGCGACACCACCATCACCCAATAAGCACCCTTTCCGTACCAAAAAAGGTAGGGGTCCCGAAAATCTTTCCATTGATCTTCATATGGGCTGGGGGGCAGGGCGAGGACCGGGTTGCCCTCGTACTCTATCCACGAGAGTCCATCATCATTGCTGTAGGCGATTGATTGACACTGCGTGCCTCCACGGATTGTTTGATTGTTGGGCAATGTGACGTTGTTCGGATAGTACGACGTATACGCCGCGACGAGTGGAGGGCTGTCTCCTAGGTGAGAAGAATGAAACTCATCATAAACTGCACTGCCGGAGAAGAAGAATTCACCCAGCACCCCAGCTGGGGTATTGAACGCACTGAGAGCGAGTGGTTGTTCTTCCCAATAAATCATATCTTGGCTGACTGCATGACCCCAGGACATGTTTCCCCAAACATCGCCGGTCGGGTTGTATTGATAGTACATATGGTATTGGCCATTGTGGTAAATCAAGCCATTGGGATCATTCATCCAGTTCTTGGCAGGTGTCCAGTGGAATTGAGGGCGATACCGCTCAGTGTAGTTTTGCGCACTGGCCGAGGCAAGGAGACTGCTGAGTAGCAGAACATGAGCCGCATACATGATGAGCTGTATTTGGGAGATTTGGAAAAGTTCAGGGTCTGTTGAACCATTGATTAATGTCTACAGAGGTGTGAATCAAGGTGCCGACTTCCTTCATATATGTCCTCCGACTACACGACGTGCTCATTGTTTTCCAAACGTCGCTCCATGCAACGATGAGTGGAGTTGCCCTTCTCAAACCCTCCCTGTCAGTATGGTCACATCCTGTGCGCAGTCTCATCGACGTGCCACTTCACTGAGCCGCCAATTGACCTAACTTACCTCATATAATAGTCATTTACCAGGGGGTCTAGCTTGCCGAGCTCGATATTGGGTATAGCTACAAAGGCATGCCCATTGGCAAGGAAGCTCAAATACATAATCCCGTTCCGGGCACCCTTTGATGATCTGCGACAGCGGTGTGGATGTGTCTTCTAGATCACGTTCTTTGAGACTTCCAACCATAGCACGTCGGAGCCTCGGACCGATGCTGGCTGAAGAGTCCACGGTTCTATGGCGTCAGTCATTACATTTCCCCGCAAGTACGACCCCTGGAACTCCTAAGATCTACAGCCTCGCTACAAACTGCTGTCATCCAGCGATTCACCGAGTAAATCACCGTGACTTCCCAGTCAGGGACTAATATCAAGGTAACAGAGATACCAGTAGTCCCCTGACAAGTAGGCTGATCAGCAGTTCCTACATACCTCGTACTAGCCTGTGTCTTTCGCTTAAAACAATCCGCTTCGCAAGGTCTCTTTTCGAGCTTTTCTCGTTTGAGATTCGGGAGTGCGCCAAGCCATGCTAGATTGTGGAAGATAACTCTTCTACCGCAGAGAATGCTACGCTATTATTAATTCTAATCGGTCCGATTATGGAGTCACTCTCCACAGAAACTTAGCTTGCATCAGGTGTCAGGTTCTTATTGGTTTGATAGAGACTCGAGGCTGTCACCGCAAATGAGCTGTGCACCACAGTCATATCTTCGTTGCAAGGGTGTATGTACGAAGTAGAATTATGCTTGTTGAGGTAGACTGGTAACATTAAGTACTTACTCTGCGAATGGCATGTGAAAGACGAAAGTAATCAGCTTCAAAGAGCCGCTGACGTCTCCATAATAACTCGAATTCGGCGACTCTTTAAGCCATGTGATCCTACGTGCAGTCTGAAGAATGCAGTTTGTTACGTCTGTGGAGGTTCTGCAAAACCTCACTGCAAAGAAATGATGTGTCATTTGATGATAATCTTGGTCTACATTCATGATGACGGCAGGCCCATGATGGCCGGAAGCGAAGTCCAGCGCTAGAAGCACTGTGCATGTTCGAGAAGGTGTGGGTACCGCACATGGTGTAGGTTTTAGAGAAGCAATGTGCATGTTCGAGAAGGTGCGGGTCCTTCACAAACCAGATCCGCTTCTTCCGAGCAAATCCGTTGAGAATGACAGCCTGACTCTCTCAAGAAAGTATTCTAGAAAAAGATAAGGAGGAAACGACACGGAGCTATAGCGCCACAGCGTCCCCATGGGCACTCTCCAGCGTTACACCTACGTACCGGATGCCCACAAACCTGGAGTTTCCTTACAGCTTTAACGTCAACCAGGATAGATGGTGATAAGTCCAGCATTTGTGGGGGCAAGCGCTGCTCATTGAAGGTAAGCAACAGCAAGCTGCCTGGGCCGCTGGCCCACCCAATAGCCCTCTGAGTCCACAATCTCAGGAGCAAGGCTCCCGAATCACCGACCTTCATGATTCCACTGATATCGCAATTTCAGATGGTTCAAAGGATCAGACTCCTTGAAGATGGAGCACTCCACTTGTCCATGCTGTTCGAGGAATGAATATGCGATTCAGCGTTGCATCGTCGCAATTAGAAGTGCTGCGGAGGTTCATATGGGAGAAATGCAAGCACACGCATCGCCAGTGACTTGGATGGGTTGATGTCTTTGCCTCTTGAGCCGATGAACTTGCTTCTGCCACTGCTGAGGCAATGGGAAGCATATAAACACAATAGAGTTGCCAGAGAAAGAGGCAATTTTTCAACACCACAGTCTTCTTTATCTTCTTCTCTAAGACTATTGACTTAAGATCAACCTCGCTCTAGGAAACTCTCAACATGGGCTTGCTGTTTAACAAGCCTGCCGATGTGGCGGGGTCAGCTACCCCAGCTATACTCGTTGGCATGTTTGTGGCTTTTGGAGGTGTGCTCTTCGGGTAGGTTCAGAGTTCTCAAGTATGGACTCTTGATGACTGACCATGGATAGATACGATACTGGCACTATTGGAGGCATTCTTGCTATGAAATACTGGAGACAGCTGTTCTCCACAGGATACGTTAATCCAGAAGATGATTTTCCAGACGTGACAGCTTCACAAACATCTGAAATCGTATCTATACTCTCTGCTGGAACCTTCTTTGTGAGTAGCCTCACACGGCTTGCCTATAATTCACTACTAACGATGTGTGACTAAGGGTGCACTTTTATCGGCACCAATTGCAGATTTCATCGGACGTCGCTGGGCCATGATTTTCAATACTGGAGTGTTCACTATCGGTGTGATTCTACAAACTGCGGCAACTGCGATCCCAATGTTCGTGGCTGGTAGATTCTTCGCCGGACTCGGTGTAGGCTTACTGAGTTCAACGATCCCGCTGCTACAGTCCGAGACACTTCCCAAATGGATACGAGGAACTATTGTTGGATGCTATCAATGGGCCATCACCATCGGGCTATTGCTGGCGGCAATCGTTCTGAATGCCACCAAAAATCACCAGAATACTGGCTCATATCGAATCCCCATAGCTGTCCAGTTCGCATTTTCCATCATCATGGTCGGTGGAATGATCATGATTCCGGAGACTCCACGATATCTCATCAAGAAAGGCGATCAAGCAGCCGCAGCACGATCTCTGGGTCGGTTACGCCGTCTACCACTTGACCATCCGGAGCTTGTCGAGGAGCTTGCTGAGATTCAGGCAAACCACAATTATGAGATGGCTATTGGTGGTGCGTCATACCGGGAGCTCTTCAGGAATGCCAGCATTCGGAAGCGACTTCTCACTGGTGCGGCTCTCCAGGCACTTCAGCAGTTGACCGGCGTGAACTTTATCTTCTACTACGGCACCTCCTACTTTACTCATTCTGGCATTTCGAACCCATTCGTGATTAGCATGATCACTAGCGTGGTAAATGTTGTGGGTACTGTCCCTGGCCTGATTCTCGTTGAAAAGTGGGGCCGTCGTCCACTTTTGCTGGCTGGTGCAATCGGTATGAGTGTTTGCCAACTTATCGTTGCAAGTGTGGGCACTGCCCTGCCTGACAGTCCGGCGGCCAGCAAAGCTCTTATCGCTTTTGTCTGCTTCTATATTGTCTTCTTTGCGTCCACCTGGGGGCCTTGTGCTTGGGTGGTGACTGGAGAGATCTTCCCACTTAAAGCCCGAGCAAAAGGTCTCAGTATCACCACTGCTTCGAACTGGCTTCTCAACTGGGCTATTGCATATGCAACCCCTTATCTTGTCAATGACGGACCAGGGAATGCAAACCTTGGCTCGAAAGTCTTCTTCATCTGGGGTGGATTTTGTTGCATCTGTGTGACCTTTGTCCATTTCTTCATATATGAAACGAAGGGTCTGTCACTTGAACAGGTGGATGAGCTCTATGCCAAGGTCGACAAGGCCTGGCAGTCGAAGGGATTTGTCCCAACCTTGCACTTCACTGATCTACAATCAGTCGGGGCGGAGGATGCTCGCAAACAAACCCTGGCTGAGCTGGAACATGGTGCTGATCAGCGCCGAGCATCAGTGGTTGGACCGATCACCGAGAAGTGAGTACTAGATCCCACGCTCGATCGGTGGCTGCTTTGTTTATCGAAGCATGGGGAGAGGCATGGAGAGGCGGGCTCGGTGGGAATTTAGAAGATGAACTGAACTTTTGGAGACGCCTCGTTGAAAACGAATTTGAGGGGCTGAACTTCACAACGAGAGATAGAAACGGGAGTTGACAGCATGACTGATTCTGTGTTTGTTGGCATTACTCTCATTCACCATCTGCCGCTGATAGGTCTTTCCATAGATGAGATTTTGAACGAGCTTGTATGGAATGGGGACCTCGTTCGTTGCGGCTTACGCTCTGTGAAAGTGAGTGTGATTGCTACCATGTTTATATTCATTGTACGCTTGACAAGTTACGAGCAGGTGTACAACGCGAATCCTCATTTGCTACGAGCATTGATGGCATAGTGAGATCCCATTTCCCAGCTTCCTATTACCACAATTCACTGTCTAGGCCATTGAGTCCCCATCTCGATTCACTGGATCTTCCGACCGTACTGTACGTAGCTCAGTGTTGCTAGTATATTCTTGCTGCTCAAAACTAGGCTTTGGTTTCTGCGGGACGAATACAGCATGAGAGAAGCGGATAGCTGTGTGTTTGACGATTCTATCAAGCGCTGTTTTAAAATCGTCCAGAATAATCGTATCTGTGAGACATTTGAAAACGAAGGAGAACTTCCAGAACGGATTGATGGCACCAGTCTGAAGCACCGAAGTCACCGAAAGAATATCGATCACAATAAAGATCACACTGAGGCACATGCTTAGTAGCAAAATACCGAAACGGGGTGATACCTTGATTAGCTGAAGGAAACCAAGGCTGTAGCTGTGTTTAATGTTCCAGAATAGATTAATCGTGGTGAAGATCCACCAAGGGTCGCTAAGACATGCCGCCGTTAGTACAAGTGTTGACTTCAGGCAAGAGCTAGGTTCTCACCGACAGAGTGCCTCATAGGGACGCGTAGACACGAAAAGATGCTCATTTAGGCCATTAAAGTAGGTGAAGTTGGCGTAGATCTCAAGTACCCAGTATGATTGAACCAAGATAACGGTTCCGATATAGATCCGACTCGTCGTCGGGGCCAAGAATGGCCTGTTCTTAATCCAACCGATCACATTGTGTAAGCTCCATGAAGTGATGAGCAAAACTGCTGTCGAGGATAAATACCAGCCAAATACTGGAGGGTCGAAGAATATAAAAAATCCGTTAGGAATAGCAAGAATGAGCTATGTGTCGGCCCAGTCAGAGAGGATGAGAGTCAGGAGACCAGAGGAAAAACGTGCCTCAAGCAGCACGAGTTTGTGCAGTAAAACCCCAGCTCGCATATTGGCACTCGTGATCAATGCCATCACAACCAGCGATCCCACCATCATGCCTTGGGACCATGCTTCCAGAGTCAAATGTGCTGGAATCGAGGGTTTGCCGGATTCTACAGGCATACTTGGAGGGATTGTTATTGAAGGGTTGAGAGTAGCTAAATGCTCAACCAGATACAATCTTGGTGAAGATATGGTCAGATAATGTTCAACACAGTGCACTGATAGGGGTAAATTGGGTGGGTTAGTTTGCGGTATTTATGAGGGCGGGAAACGGGCCAAAACTTAGATAGTCAGTGGCATGCTCTTTTTCCCTTGCCCGCTCCAGACCTCCCGCATCCGGGGTTGCATGAGGCTTGACACTACTGTAGGTGTAGCGAGTTGACTGAAGAGTGAGCCCAATCCCCACACAATCACCGCCCCACTTTTGAGTGCAGGTTACAACCACTTTACGAACATGACGAGGTATCTGACCATGCGAGCTTCGCAGTCAGACTATTCCCGTCTAGCAAAATTCCACTTAGTAGACATAAATGAAGTGTGGAATGGTGAGAACATGAAGTGATGGGCGCTTAATTGACTCTACGGGCTTAACACTATGACAGCAATAGGCGAAGCAAGTGTTCAGAGGTGTAATAGCCCTACTTTAAACTGTCGAGGAAGGCTTTCCTGATCTTTTTTGCATGCTCAATATTGAGTTTGGACCGTTCAACGCTTGCCAGACTTCTCCTTTCCAACCATTGATTCCGATCGTCAACAAACGCCTTCATGCGCTCGTCTCGCTGTTCGATCTTCTCTTTCTGAAGTTCACTTAGATTTCTTCGTGTTTGTGGGTCGGCGAGGCTCGGAGGTTGGACTTGAGGTCGATTAGGCAATCGCAAGGCGACAGAAGGAATTTCCAATCTTGGACCCGGCAAAGTTTGATACCAGTAGGCCGTAGTGGACCAGTCATCACGCAGATGATTGGCATGCCCATGCTCTAAGGTGACTTTGATCTTGGAGTTGAACCGAACAGGATCAGGGAGGTGCCATCTATAGGACACCTGGTAACCAGGAACGTCCTCTTCGTGGATAATTGTTCCGCAGAATGGATATGCATTCTTCTGCATGCCCCAGCCCTGAGTGAAATAGTCTTCGCCGCCTGTCCCGTGCATGCTAGGGGGCCATTCATCGTCATCAATGAAGATCATATCATCACCTTCGCCCCACCAGGTTCCCTGGAAATGCAGCACAGAGTGGTTACAGCCAATGTAAGTCCCTGATCCTGTTGTTTCCAAAATGGTATAGTTTCCTTTACCGTCCAAGTTCGGTACCTGCGTCTCGAGACTGTTGGTTTGCATGTTGTCAGGAGCCCACCCATTGGTGGGATTTTCACGTCTCCAATGAGCATGAAAGTAGAGAATTTCATTTGGGTCAAATGCTGCAGGACGTAGTTCGTAATCGATGTAGAAATATTGAAAATATGCATCTTCACCTTGATTTTCAATCTCAATGCGGGCTCTCTTGTTGAATGGCATCGGAAGGTAGCAATTGAAAGCTGCGGCACCTCCAAACTTCTTCTCCTCGGATGGCTTCACGGACACTGTGAATGGCAGGGATTGGAAATTCGCCGCCATGGAATGCCCAAGACAGAAGAAGTCGCCAATAGGTGCGACAACATTTGGTGTTTCTGAATCATCCCAATACATCTTGATGATAACTTTGCGGTAGTAATCGGGATCACTCTCTTCGTAGTTCAGACCCAATGCGTTGTGGATTTCCATCATGGCGACACCGGACTTAGAATACGGGATCAAGCCAGGCCCTAATATTCGACGACATGTCTGAACGAACCATAAATGCGTGATCTTGCCCGGCCCTTCGATATCAGCTAACACGGCTGTTTTGCCCGGCAACACCACCCAAGCATCCTCGTTGAGTCCAGTTTGATCCCAGCTGGAGATCCGGGCTGTACGCGCGGTCTTACGCTGGGCCGCAGAAGAGAGCAAGTCTCCGTCGAGGAAAGCAGAGGTAGACATAGTGGCTCTAGATGAGAGTTGCGTTGAATGGGTATCACTAGGCCAAGGTCAAGGACTTGGGGTTTAGGCGACTCTCAGTTTGTTCACTGGAAAAGACCTCGGCTTTTTAGAAATGAACGAAGAGAGAAACAGCAATACCTGACGACCCCAGCATTATAACATAACTTGGTAAGACTCGAAGTCCTCTTCTGAGAGTATTTCCTCTCAGGAGCGACGCCCCGATTGTCCGACTTCTCTTCGGCCCACGACAGCCGGAACACCACGCGTGAATGAACACGACAAAATTTTATCAAGGCCATTGAGATTGAAGAGATTTTGTGTTTTGGAGATGAAGGTGAACTACGCAAGACAATGGGTATAGATTACTAGTAGAAACTGCTGAACCCTCATGACGACTGGGAGCTTGGTTGGCATCCCTGATGTTCTCTTCCCCGCATGTTTTTCCACCAAGATCGAGCTTTACCTTTCGCGGAGCATCCTGTGCGTCTCCGCGAGAGACGATGTCACTCTCGCCCGATGTCCTCAGGCCATGCGTCTCCGCATCGTCGGAAGTACAAATCTCACGCCCCGATGGCGACTTTCTCTTGTCCCCTAAGATTCATAGGTATTGTGCCAAAGTCGAATTTCCTCTAAGTTAACTGATCTACACGACACAAGATGAGGCCGAGAGTCGGCAGAAAGGTCACGGTCATAGCCTGCAATACCTGTCGCTCCCGACGCACTAGATGTGGAGGACAGAGGCCGGTCTGTTCTTTTTGTCACACTCGTGGGTTAGAATGCCAGTACGAGAAGCCGAAAGCACCTCTGCCGTCAAGGTACGTTCTCTTCCATATCTCCAGCTTCTAGATGCCTGTTTACTGCGACTGCTTGGTGACTCCATCTCCTCAGTGTGGAAGTAGAGCTCGCACGCATCAATCAACGGCTTGATGATGTGACCACCCTATTGATCTCGACACCACACCATTCGAAGCCAGCTGGAAACCCTCCCATCGAGTGGGTCACGTTCAACGACGATGAGAGATCGCCATTTGAGCTTTTGGGAACTCAAGTCATGATGGATATTCTAGGTTTGCCTGCAAATTTTACCCGACAACTTCGCCACGTGGAGAGAGCCTCATCCTCGCCGAGACTCTCCTCCGCCCGTTTGTACATGGTGACACATCAGCAAGCCCTAAGGTCAGTACTAACTTGACTCTTGACTGATGTCGTGAATGAACTGCACCACTAATCTGGTTTTCTCCAATAGTGCTCTCGCAGCATTCTCTGCTCATGTACACATCTGGTATCCTATCTTCCGCCCAGGCTTCTCGGAGCAGTATTTCCGGGTTATATCAGGTCCCTTGATTCCATCTCCCGAATCTTGTCTTACACTACTAGTAACAGCGATTGGATTGGTGGTGCACAGCAGCATTAATAATGCTGGTGAAGCGCAATCTGAGCACACGAGTGATCCTTACTTCGAGGCAGCCATAGCGTCCTTGCCCCTGGTACTCACAGACGATAGCATAGCTAGCGCTCAATGCTTGATTCTGCTGAGTATCTACTACTGCTGTCTCTGCAGGCCATGTCATGCACTTGACTACTGCCTTATTGCATCGATCAAGGTGCAGAATTGTTTGCAGAAGTAAATATTTCTCAGGACGGTCACATTTTCATTGGGCTAATGAATTTAGTGCTGCAAATGAAGACCACGAGACAAATGAACGACTAATAAGAGCATATTGGGTGGTACTACTCTTGGAAAGGTATAGACTGTGCTTCCATAACTGCTTCGCAATTTCGTAGCTCTAATGTATCTACAGCGAATTACGAGTACAATTCAGTGCCCCAGAAAGTGGACTCTGGAGATTGGATGATGAGATATCGCTGCCCGACAGCCGCACCACTTGGCACTTTGATATCGACACAGGCTCCCCTGGGGCAACAGCGACACCTTCCAGCATGGTCTCCACGACGAGTGCGTCGACGGATAAAGTGCAATCGTATTTCTTAGCCGAGATAGCAATGAGACGCATGTTGCATCGTTGCAACACCGCCATTCGCCGTACATCCGATGGAAAGATTTCTTACGCCCCAGGCATTGCAGTCGAACTCGAGCTTCAGCTCGATGAATGGCACAAGTACCTCCCCGACCTGGTCCGTTTCGAAATTGAAAAAGATGTCGCCCAATCGGGCTCGGATACTCAGTTGGACGGCATGGATTCTTCTGATTCCTGTCCACTGAGCAATTTCTTACGCGTTCAATATCATTGCTGCAAAATCTCTATTTACTGGCCTGCGATCTATCAAGTTATCAACGAAGGATCACACGATAACCAACTATCAGATCACTGCCAAAGATTCTGGAATTCTTATATTCAGCTTGTACCAAGCATCATGGCTGCTTTTCAAGAGTGCATCGTCAACAGGTGGACTTTATATGCGAGCATTTTCATGACCACCATGGCTGCCTTGAAAGGTTCGCTGTCATCTTGTTTGCAAGATACTGTAGACATGACACAGCTGGGACAGTCTTTTGCCATGACGAGAACAGCTGAGCGGCGAATGATCGAAATAAGTCCATCTCTGACACTTCTTGCCGACACCTTAGCACAGAAGCTTGCCATAGAGTCCAACTCGCCTTCAGTTGTGATCACTTCAGATGTCGCGGAGCACTGAGCCAAACGCACATCTGTCTTGTAAGGATGCTTAGGTACTTGAGAGAAATGCTGTTTTATTGGCATCGGTTTCAGCCCATGAAAGTGAGGGAGAGATGTGCGCTGAATTGTACTGAGGAAATCTAATCTTGAGGCCTGTTACGTTTATGCAGTCATCTAGTCGGTAGCAAACGCCGACTTTCCACCATTCAGCCCGTCCCAAACTCGAACATTCTCAATAACAGCACTGCCATCCTCACCAGTGGCCAGTGCAGTAATGTCTCTGAGCTTCATATCAGGTTGACTGTAATAAACCATGGTGGCGAGAGCGAAGCGATCGTTTGCAAAGACCTCGAGCACATCCCGATCGAGGATAATCCGCAGGCGAAGTGGTTCTTGTAGGAGGTCGACAGGGCCAGTCTGGTTTTCGGTACCTCTTCTGGAGGTAAACAGGGTGAAGGGTCCCGATTCTGAGCACCTGTTGATATCAGGCTCAACATTGGTGGCTTCACGGTTGACTGTGATGCTCTGTAGAAGGGTGGAAAATAAGATGGTGGTGCAAACTGAGAAGTCATGGTTATGCCTGATACAAAACCCAACTGTCTCGCAACCGGCCGACACTGAAATGGTGGCTTCCAGCTCCCAGGTTGCAGATATTGTTGAGTAGAGCCATTGGTGCCGCCCTTGTGATGACTGAGGAAGTTCGATGGAGCTCTCGCTCTGATACTTTTTGATACTGAGATTGCGGAAATGTTCGAATTCAGCTATTGGCCGGATTCCCAATGTATATAGGTCAAAAGCACCATCTCCTCGTCTTTCCATTTCAAAGTTCGTTATCTCTGTGAGAGAGCTATGCAGCGCCTTGACAACCCTTGGAACCTTGAGCAGAAACAGTTCTCGGGGCAATGCGAGTGACCCGTTCCACCCTTTCTTCCTGGCACGCTCAGCCGTTATGTCCTCCTCTGGGACCCATCCGTACACAATGTAGCGACCGGATTTAGCTTCTCGAAATGAGTTAGCCGCGTAGTATGCGCCGTGATCGAGAAATCCGCCCGACTGGTACTGGAACTTGATGCCTGCGGAGTTTTTGACAAGATCTCCAGACATCCAAACCTGCGTTCTTACAGTCCGAGGAGTGACATCCACTGGGAGTTCAAAAGATCGAATTTGATCACGCTCAATATTCCCTTCAGCTCCTATGATGAGAATATTCTTTTCTTTCGAGTCAGTCGAAAACGACAAGAAATTGACACATTCCCAATTGACTCCATAGCTACCATTCCATTTCTTCGACGGCTGGAAGTTGACAGGCAAATCGACTAAAGAGCCAATGAATTTCCAGCTGGTGATATCGGAAGATTGCATCTCATACAAAAACGTGGTGGGACCTGAAGATTGGATGCCTCCGGATACGAGTCCGTACAACTTTGTGCCAGAATCATGACCCAGCAGAACATCTGCAGCCGGCCATGGGGCGATGAACGGATCACGAAAGCCCGTGACTGGCATGTCCGCAGGCTCGCCTGATACTATGGGGTTCTCAGAGCATTTCTGCCAGGATTTTCCGGCGTCATACGATGTTGCAATCGCCAGTCCGGCGGCATCGCGGGGATAAGGAGGAGTGCTCCAATGAAAGGGCAACTTGCAGATGGACGAGTAGGCCACCGTAAGCTGGTTGCCGGCCCCTGATCGTGGAGGGACCATACAGCCGGTGAAAACACCCTGGGCATCGTATGACTGATCTGGGATCAGTGCAGGGGAAGTTTGTACCTCCCAAGTAATTAGATCTCGTGACGTCAAATGGCCCCAGGACATGTTACCCCATTCACAGCCATAGGGATTGCCTTGATAGTACATGGTCAATTGTGTATTCTGGAGGGGTTAATGGTCATTTGCTCTTACATTGATAGAAGAGGTGGTAAGTACCGGTCTTGCAGTCATAGCCTGGTGCACAGGGATCGTTGATCCAGCCACTACCAGTGAAGTGCACCAATGGTCGTGCGTTAGAGGCCATCTGAGCTATGGACATGTTTCCCCTAAACCATGAATCTGCTCATCATTAATTCTATTCAAGGCATGATGTAGCGAAGGCTTTTATGGGTACACCAACTCAACACTTTGGTATTCTACCAAGAATCTCAATGATATGAAATAGTACACAACATATCTGCGTCGGGCCAGTCGGGCGAGGCATCTAATAGTGTGGAAAAGGAGGTTTACATCAACGTGTTTGGGGCGTAAGAGCGAAACCAACAACAATTGGCGATGTACGGTTTTGAGGGTCTTTGGTGCGCTACGTGCCGGCAGTTTCGGTGAAACCTCCCCGACAAATGTGTGCTACCCATGTGACTTCAAATTTCAATCCATGGTGCTAAATTGCAAACATCGGGAAGTAGTGCCAATGCTCCGCGATAAATACATAAATACGGACTTTGAAATGCATTACACAAGTCGCCACCCTGGTAAGGAAAATAGTTCCCGCCACGTTCCATTTCTCTTTTTTTCCCATGCGGAACACTCGAAGGCTTGCTTCTGGGCGACATTATCGATTAAGCGAGAGCCTGGTCGTTGCAATTACACATCTGACACTCCTCACGATTCCTGGAGCCCCCGAACAAGTAGTATTCGCTCCCCCTGGGGGATTGCCATGAATATGGGGAATATGGAGAGTTGATGAATACGAGAGGCTGCCGTTAAGGTATAAAGAGCAGGTCGTCGCCGTGCAAATGTATGTTGTACAACTTCATTCTCTTACCAGGTCAGATAACTTTGATCTAAATTGAGAACAACCACGGACATATGTCAATGATGAACGAAATAAATGGGTAAGGTTGATCTTACTGCTACCTATTGTGACATTAGCGATCAATATCTCATATCATCCCAGGGTCGACTATTCTGTCGTCAATCCCTCCAACAAATGGAAGATTCTTAAGACACAGTCACGCTTCGCTCTCTGGGGTATGCCTTCCCACAGACTACTAGACGTACTCATGCTGACAGCGCTGACTAGCATTTTGGATCTCCAGTGGTGTAATCATGCAAGGCTTTGATATTGTCGCAGGAGGTCAATTAGCAGCCTTACCAGCATTCAGAGAGAAGTTCGGTATTCTGCAACCCGACGGGTCGCACTTAATACCTGCACGTTATCTTTCAGCGTGGAACTCCATAGCACCCGCATGTGAGGTTGTGGCAACTTTTATTTTCGCTCCCCTGCTCGAACGGTATGGTCGCAAGTGGGGCATTCTTGCAGCATCACTCATTTCGACCGCTGGTATCCTGCTTCAACAGCTTGCGCCAGATTGGCGCGTGCACCTTGCAGGCCGTGGCGTCAATGGTAAGATATATTCTGGGTAGCTCCGGTTAGAGAGTGGTACTAATGGCTATGGTAGGCGTTGCTATTGGTATTATGTTCACGATCTCACCATTGTGGATTGGGGAAACCTGTCGTCCAGAGCTTCGTGGTTTCTTCCTGTGTTTCTTCAACACTAGTATTGTTTTTGGACAGTTTGCCATGTGAGTCTTGATGAAGTTCTAGCGATACCGAGTTTACGTCCTGACATATTATCTAAGTGTCGCCGTGTCCAAAGGCAGTAGCAACATTGAAGGCAAATGGTAGGTCTTGATGACTGTTCGATGGGTGATGGCTTACTTGTGCGATAGGCAATGGTGGCTACCTGTCGTTGCGATGTATATCTTCCCACGTGAGTCACCTACAGCTCTATCACGTACTATTGAAATACTGACTGGGTTCCACTCGCAGTCATATTGACATCTGTCTGGCCATTCTTCCCCGAGTCGCCATATTGGCTCGTGAGAAATGGCAAGATTGAGCAAGCCAAGAGGGCACTAAAGCGGGTCTATGGTTTCAAAGACCAGAGGTTCTACGACATCGAGGTCCGCCGAATGCAAGAGGAGATCGCTTTCACGCAGGAAGTTCAAGGCGGACCTCTGGAAGCAAATCATTCATTTACGGTACTTGGAGTCGATCTTGCAACTGAGGCTGAGTGTTTCCGGGCCACCAACCGCAAGCGAACATGGACAGCCATCTTCGCTGCGAGTGCACAACAGATGATTGGAGCCACCTTTGTCATTGGCTATGCGACCTACTTCCTCGAACTCATTGGCATCAAAGATTATTTCAGCGCCGCGGTAGCGCTATACGTGGTTATGCTGGTGTCGAGTACCGCCGCATTTCCGTTGACCGAGATATTCGGTCGACGATACTTGATTGTGATCCCCCAATTCATCCTCTGCGCAATGCTTCTCTTGATTGGCATCATGGGTTGTGTACCCGATAAAGGCAAAGCAAGCTGGGGCATCGTGGCCTTCATATATCTTTGGGCTATCATCTACCAGCTGTCTATTGGTGCCACGGGCTTCGTCCTGGCATCTGAAATCGCAACAGTGCGACTAAGAACCGCAACTCAGGGGTTGATCACGATCACCAATGCTATCTGGGGTTTGATAATGCAATTTACGGTCCCCTATATGGTACTTCTAACCCAGAGTTATGTTTTATTGATTTCATCACTGACTTGTCGCAAAAGATCAACCCAGATGCCGGAGATCTTGGAGGAAAAGTTGGCTTCATATTTCTTGGGACCGGGTTGATTGCTGCCATAGGAGGATGGTATCTCTACCCAGAAACGAAGGTATGCTCCTTACATGAAGGCCTAATCCCTTACCATCGGCCTCTCATGTCCCGCGTTGAAGCTAAAAGCATAACGTACTACAGGGCATCTCTTTTGAGAAACTCGATGCGCTTTATGCCGCAAAAGTTCCACCTCGGAAGTTCAAACAAGCAGCTCTCGAAATGCAGACTCAGCGTCCCATGGAACTTAATTCACCATCTGAGCATAATTCCAAAGAGCATGCTGCAGCTGAGAAGAACTCGCAGACCCATGTAGAGCACAAAGTGGTCTAGCACACTATGGATAATTACCAAATCAGGGACAATGTACCATATCAGATTGATGTGGCTTTACTCCTTCTAATGCGCCATGAGTGACTCAAGTGGGAGGTAGAGGGGGTAGCCCTGGTCCATTCGAATCGAACACTTTGGGGCTGCTTAACGTATGGATGAAGGCTGTGCAGAGAACGAAGATATCAAGGTCATCATAACGAAGGTATAGACCTTTGTCGTACTAAACTCAGTGGGAAAGATACTCGCAATCTCGACGCCTCTTTCAGCAAGGCTGGCACATACTAGATGGTAGCTCTTGAGCTGGAAGATTAAATGCAGTATTGCAATATTATGTATTGTAAGTTGTAAGTAGGGAATATTACACAGGCGTATAGTTTGCCGCATGAAGATTATTCGAGACAACATTTTCAGTCAAAACATCAAATTCAGTGAGGATTCAGGGTATCCGCAGAGCAAGTACGCGCGTCGTTCAACATATCGGATACTCTCATTCTCGAAGAGCATCAGTAATTGATCAGGTCCTCCGACTCCCCAAATATCAAGTTGTATGTTTCATGGCTGCCAGAAGACTCTTTTCCTTGGAGCTTTCCAAGGCATCTACCTGCGGAATCCTGCCTTCCCTCTCGGCACGGTCCATAGCGTCAGGGTCATCGACATTGACTCCAGCAACCTCGGCCTCCACCTGTCGAATGGGCCCCTTGAACCACTTTCGAGCCCACAAGCCCCAGCTAGCAAGGCACCAGAAGCCGATAATCCCGACGGCCACGGGCGTGTAATTCAGGGTTTGGCTGTCCACAGGGTTGACGGATGGCAGGCAGAAGATGATGGTGATGAAGGCAATCCACATGCAAGCGATGAGGGCAACAGGTCGTGAGAATTTCTTGAGGTTGAAGGGCCCGTGGATGAAGCCTTGTGGATTCACCATGCCGATCAGGATCGGGAGTCCGTAAGAAATGTACAGCCCGATCGTGGCGATTGAAGTTGCTGCTGCGAAGGCCACGCTGGAACCAACGCTAGGCACTGCTAGGAGGAATGAGAGTGTAGCTGCGAGCCAGATAGTGCGGATTGGGCTGCGGAATCGTTTGTCAACGTGATGAAAGAAAGGCGGGATGCCACCGTCGCGAGCGAAGGAGAACATCATCCGTGAGTTGGATGTTAAGCTGAAGAGACCGCAATGCCAGACACAAATTATGACGAGAGTGAAGAGAACAATTGCGCTTGTCTTGCCGAAAACATCAACAAGGATTTGAAGGACCGGGTTTCCGTACTCTGGAGCGACAGTGGATTCGAAATCTTGGATGCTGAAAAGAAGGCATAGAATCAAGAACCAGCCGAAGACGGCAGAACAACCGATTGACATTAGTACACCAAGAGGTGCGGACCAGGATGCGTTTTGCGTCTCCTCGGACAAATGCGCACTAAGGGAATTGTTAGAATTCAATGTAAAATCATGCTGAATTAAAGATTCACCTTGCATCAAAACCTGTAATGGTATATTGAGACATGAGAATGCCCACACAAGCAACATATGCAGGGGAAGCGCGAACAGACCAGCCTGGGTCGCCGGTTCCATCGTAGAATGTCGCGAAGACGAACTTGGCGTCCATATGGCGTGGTGCTTTAGCCACAACGGCCACGGCAAAGGCGAAAACGCCCAGTGAATGCAAAACAATCGATGTATTGTTTAAATACCGCAGGATGTGAACACCAAAAGAGTTGACAATTCCGTGGGAGAAAAGGATCGCGGCATAGATACCCAATGTTTTCCCAGCAGATGGCTCATAGCCGTTGATACTCGCTAACGTTGATACAAGGCCCGCACAGCCAAAGGTGATTCCGGTAGTGACAGCTACCTGCCCGAGCAGGTTAAACCAGCCAGTCACCCATGCTGCAAATGGGGCCCATTGTTGAGGAGCCAGAATCGCGGCCCAAAAATAAGGTCCACCAGCAGAGGGAATAGCCGATACCTAAGATCGAATACTCGTTAATTGCCTAGTTGGTCGGACACAACATGGGAGATGAATTGGTCCAAAGCGGAGAGTACATACAATCTCAGCCATACCTGGAAGTCATTGTCAGTTCGTTCCAGCAAGGAATGGATATGGAATGGTTACTCACCTAGCCCAACAAACATGGTAAAAAAACTCACCTAATCATCTTGTTAGAAGGAGATACACCTCAGTCGTGGAGTGTCAATGCATACGATAATCCAGCCGACGCTCATAACGCCGGGACCGCCAGTATTTAGGCCATAACTGAACAACGTGGTGATGCCGGTGATGACGGAAATGATACTGAATGAAACACCGAAATTATGAATCATAGACCAGTCTCGTTTCAGCTCTTGTTTGTATCCCAATTCGCGCAATCGGCCTTCATCTTTGGACATACTACGTGTCGCAGTGCCGAGATGCTCGGTGTCGGCCATCTTGGACGAGCCGGGACGTTATCAGTTGATTGATTATGTGGGGCGCGGTGGAGTTGCCAAATTGCTTGGGCAAGGCTTGAGGGCTGATAAGAAATGGTCAAGCCCAAGGCAAGCGCTGGGAGTAGAGAGACCAAGCTTGCGACAAGCTTGGGGTGGTGGGAGCCATCTTTATAGTTTACAAACACCAGCCAGTAGATCGCTGGTGTTTTGTCTAAACCTGAACTTGCAATCTACTGGTGCATTCAAGTCGAATGATAACAACGTCTCAAGTCCGAAAGATAAAGGCTCCCAATCCTGGTGTCGCACACGAGAGCACGTTGCCTCTTAGGGGATGCGCAGGCGGATGGCACTTTGAGGAGGGGTGCTCTCCAGCCATTCATAGGAGCTGGAATTCGATGCCAAGGAGTGCAGCACGCCGAACTTGTCGTTTAGATACGGGCCTCAGAGCTTAGAATGTGGTGCCTAGGCTTTCCTCCACGTTGCTGCCACATGCGGTAACACTGCACCGAATGCCTTGCTCCTCCTGGTTTCTGGTAAGTAAACACTTCATCGGAGGATGGCGGGCGAACTCTCCTCTGCAGGTACTGTGTGAGCTTTTGCTTTCGCTTAGTACAAGAATGACCGCTATTGATTGAACCTCGATTTAATGACGCCGGCCAGATTCCCAAAAAGACGTGCTGGCCCGGAGGGCTGATCGAGCAGAGCTCCCACACCTTGCGAAGTTTTGGGCGCGAGAGTACAGTGTGAGTGACCGAGTGCATGGTGGCGCCTTTAGAAGCATGAGGGTAGTCTCTAAGAAGAAAGAAAATGGGCAAACACTAAGCCCCAACAACTGCATCGTGAATGGTGGATTCTTTGATTGGATGGGGAGATAGATGAAGGTCGTAAATGTTTTTCTGCCTCGGCTGCAAGATTCCAATCTCATACGTTTGGAGGTCAGTAGTGGCTCACCACCAAAAGCTAACACTAATGCCAACAGAACAGCTCCGAACGTAGTGCCACCAGCCAACGGGTATATACAATGCTTGGCCAGGGTGGATGATGCAGTCCATATACGGGATATGACTAATGCCTGGGTAGACCTCGTCCCAATCTTCGAGTGGGGATAACTCCATTGCAGCAACGTCGACGCGGGAGGTGTTGGACATATCAATCGTCTCGGACAAACATTGCCCCTCATCCAATTTTCCCGTCGCGTTTTGCAGATGATCAATTCCATTTGTATGAGGAGCAGGTTCATTCTTGGGTCTGGGAAGCAAAGCGTTGGTGTGAGCAGGCGAGTACAAGCGGATATACTTTGTTCCCACAACTTGGCATAATATATTATGATAAGGATCATGATGTAAAGGTGATATACTCCAGGCAGGGCCGAACCAAATATTTCGTTGAATATCAGTGTCACCGGCGTCGCTCCTTGAATCACAGTCTTCGAACTCAGGATGCAACATATCAGCTGAGGGAATACTACTTGGCTGACTAACTTTTCTCAGAACTTCCCTTTCTGTTTTGCTCCTGGCGACCGGGTTGCCAGCCTCTGGGGCAGGAGCATCCAAATAACAGTAATCGGGAACAGCAATATCGCCCTGCAAGGAAGGAATCTGCTTGAGGAGATCATGTTGAGCAAGATAGCCAGTTTGAACTTCTTTTTCCGGGTGGGGTTCGACTTCTGATGTGCGGAGAATATAGTCATCGAGGAACTCGCGGAAGGGGAGAATCTTCTGACCCCAATCATCATCTGTATAACTTCGACCAATTTCGATGGGCACCAATCGACGCCCATGAATTGTCGCCTCCAACCAGTATGAGATAGTCTTCCATTTTTCGAGAGCTGGCCAATGAGTTAGAGTATCGTTCAGTATCAGAGGTTCTCGCTTCTCCAGCATGAAGGCTTGGAATTTTGTGAGCGATGGATTTTGCATTTGTGCAACAGGGAATTGGATTGTAGGAATGGAAACCTCGTCAGAAGGCAGGGTGTGGGCCGATTCCGGAAGTCGTCTTCTTTTGGCGGGACGCTCTGAGACTTCACGGTCACCTGCACAAGCAGCTTGTAGGCTGGAGAATATATCATGGATCAATTGCTCCCGACCAAGGCCACCTGCCATTATTAAAGCCATATCTAGGATTGACACGATAGTGTCAAGACTTTCAGAAACAGAGTCCTTTTCCATGAAAGTCAACGCTTTGACAATACTAGCATCGGTATAGAGTCGAAACCAGCAAGGCTTGACATTCTTGAATGGGAAAGTATGAAGTTTTTGATCCGCGAGAGTAAGGAGGGCAATATGCTGATCCCTAAGACTGTCGAAACCATCGGAATGACATTCGAGAATAGGATCGTCAGGTATATCTCTTCTCAGCTCTAGCACAATGGCTTTCAGAAACTCAGGATTTAGCTTCAGCATTAGAGCGTTAGGAGTCCGTGTGCTTGAAGGGGATTGAGGGTGGTTGTGGGTTGTAAATATTCAGATTCAGAACTGAAGCACTTCAAGGTCATGATGAGGCAGCAATGGGATATCTTGGCACATTCATCGTTTGGGCAGTCACGACGACACGGGTCGGCCCTAAGAAAGAAGGTGTGCCGGCCTAGATTCACGTGACGCAATTCTCCCTCACTTTTGTTCTTCTCTCTTGTCAACCTACATCTTGCCGCATCGCCGATTCTTGGGCATCCTCCTCTCGTCGTCTCTTTCCATCTCCACACCCATCACAGTGCTCGCGCTACTGGTCTTCATCGCATCTCGCGGGACTGGTGCATTCACCAGGCTGGTCTTTGTCTTGGGATTCTGTGTTTCCCAGCTTCCATCACCTGCGGTGGAAGTGCTAGCCTTTGGCAGCCAGATTCACTCTGCATCGTCGGACTGACCTCTACAAAGCCATCTCGCGGCCGTGCTAGGCTGCTTTGTCCTGCGCAATGGCTGACGTCTCCTCTACTCGTCTCTATCTGGGCAATCTCCCTCGCAACAGTATGATTACCTCCGTACCGGTTTTGATGGTGCCGAAACCGAGCTGCTCCCACCCATTGTGAATTCTTGTTCCTGTTCCAGATTTCCGAGGCTTTCAAATCATCAACTCCAGGCTCTCCCCAGTCGCTGACTCTTGTCTCCCTTTCCAGTCACAAAGCAAGATATCGAGGACCATTTCAGCACTCATGGAGCTGGTACCATCAAGGAAGTTAAACTCATGAATGGCTTCGGTTTCATCGAGTACGAGGATTCTATGGACGCTCGCGACGTGGTTCCAGGTATTTCTCACTCATTAAATGAATTGGTCATGATTTATACTGACATCGCTCGCAGCTTTCCGTACGCCCTCCCGTCTTTTCCTGCGCCGCCTTTGCCTCTTTCATGCTCTAACAGGACAACAGATGGGACTGAGTTCAAGGGCGAACGATTGACTGTTCAATTCGCCCGAGGCCCACGTCGCAAGGACGATTTTTCTGGTCCCGCCGATCGAAATGCCCCTCGACCACGTCGTACCATCTATCGCATGCAAATCACTGGTCTGCAACCTGAAACAAGCTGGCAGGTCGGTTTCAACTCTTGGAATGTCATTTACCCACGTCTTCTGACTCGATCTTCCGCAGGATTTGAAAGATTTTGCTCGAAACTCTGGCCAATTGGACGTCGTCTATTCGGAGACAGGTCGTGAACGTGACGGCAAAGGGTACGCTCCAACACCCTAACCTAGATAAACCAAACTGACCAAAAACTCCAGCTTTGTGGAATTCGAGACTAGTGCCGACCTCAAGACTGCTGTGGAGAAGCTGGATGGACAAAGCTTTAAGAATGCTACTGTCCACTGTACTGCAGATGTATGGTTATCGCCACAAGCCGACCATTCATTAGCTTACCTGTTGTGAACCTAGATCCAAGAAGAACGACCCGATGTTAGAAGCTACCGCCAACGCAGCCCACCTCGTGGTCGCTATGGCCCTCCAGAAGACTGGGACCGTCGTCCACCAGCACCAAGAGGTTACAGTCCCCGAGGTTATCGTGAACGCTCACCTGGTCGTCGTCCACCACCTGATGACTACTACGATCGAGGCTATGGACGACGCAGCCCTCCTCGCGGATACGACAGACCACCACCTCCCAGCAGATACGATGACCCATATGACAATCGCGGACCTCCCCCACCAGCACGAGGATATGGCGACCCATATGCGCGTAACGGAGATCCATATGCTCGTCCTCGAAGCCCTCCTCGCTATGGTCCCTATCCATCTGGAGGTGGTGGTGGCGGTTATCCTCCTCCATATGAAGAACGTCCACGTTACTAGGAGGCACGTGAATGAAGCCACTTGGAATCCAAGCTGGTGAAAACCGAGTCTGTTGAACGTGAACAAAGCTACTTCAACCCCGTACGAGTGAAGCACGAGTCCTTCGAAGATGAATTGTCGCCAGCGACTTGGAAGTTTGCCGAACGCAATATGAAATAACATGGCAGGTTACTGTTACGCTCTCTGGGCGGCTTGATTGATATGTACCCTTACCTGACTGAACTTGCCTGGGGAAAACCGACATCTCGAATTGTTTGTGGAACCATGGATCTTGAAATACGACTGCTATCGTGGATATGACTCCATCGCAGGAAGAATTCATGTGTATTTCTGGCACAGGCTTGAAATTGTTAGGCCTACGAACCCTCTGGCCCTGTCACGAAACTTTGGATTGTACCACATAGCACCTAAACCAAGGATTGATGATACGATGGGAACCATTCCGAGATTAATCATGGCCTACAGACTGTACGACTCATAAACGAAGTCACCAAAAAGGCCAAAGTAAGGACTGAGAACAGCGTCTTTGTTTTTGTTTTCCAGGTCACCTTCGAAATAAATTTCGTATCCGGTCAGGGTCCAGCCAGGTTTTCAAAGCAACCACATTAGGATTCCACTAACTGATGCTTCAACTGTGCTCGGTTCTGTATTACAAAGCCAACATGGACAGACTCAAATGTTTAACTCGACATCCCATGCGTCCTTGGTTGATTCTCTTCAGGACCCGCGAAACATCCTGGAACTCTTGGTGGGACATTCTTGTTCATACCTGTCTTTTTCTACTTTCCATCATCATGCCAATCATTCAACGCCTCGTAAACATTACGAATGGTAAGGGGTATCTAGATACCTGAGGGTAAGTTATTTTGGCAAGACTCACTCTCCATGAGCACACCTTCCTGTTCCCCCTCTGATGTCTTCCTTTCCCGACTTCCCACGTCCGAACTGTAGCTTTATTTTTAAATTCACATGACTTGTGATACACCAGCACGCCTGACGAGAAATCATAAGGCGTGACCATACCTCTCTCAATGTATCGGATATAGTCTAGTTCCTAGGTGTCCACCATTGGAGTTAGACCTTCCCACTGGGCTTCACATGCATGTCAACCCTGAATCCTGCTGGTACATTGGCCACATCCACGGCTGCAAGTGTCAAACAACTACTTATGATAGATATTAACACAAGAGCTTCGATGCGCACTATTATCTACTTGAAAGTACATTCACTCTTCATTCGTTTCTGCCGTATTATACTCTTTTCATTTCAATTAAAATCGAACATAAATACTAGATATGGATAGAATTTGTGGCAGTAGATGCGACCACGCTCTATGTCTGTCCCTGCCATGCAAAGGGTCTGGCCACGAACGATAAGATGTAATCTTAATTGACCTCGCTGCTGTCAGAAGGATCCCTCTATTGGTAGTACTAAGAAACCACTCTGCATGGAACGAACTGGACGTCTCAGGACCCGAGCGTTTTGGCCACGAGTTCCTTTCGCAGCAACGCACGCACGCCAGGAGGAAAGGGCCCTTGTTGATGTTTCAACACCTTAAAAATCATGTCCACCCGCTTAATACGAATATCGTCAATTCAGGGTAGCGAATTCTATCTATCCTCTGACAACCTATTATTCCTCAGCCGGCAAGCAGCTCTCCACATCACTCCTGCCTAAAAGCATCCTTCCTAAGCGGCTGTGCTTGGGCGGACAGGTAGGGAAGTATATAATTATAATCATGACCCTGCTCTCTAAGTAACGATGCCATGACACGCTCAGAGATTCGACCCTGCGATAGATTGGTCATCGATGATCGCTATATTGCTCAAGGAGACCAGATTGCGCACAGGCGGCATCACCCTGATTCTGTATGTGGCCGAGTTGTGCGTAGCACCTGTCCCCTAAATCATTGGCAGTTGATCACTTCGCCCTTCTGTGCATTGCTGCGTTAATCTGTCGGTATCGTTCTGCCATCTCGTGTCGTGGTATATTGCATTGCATTGCCAGGCGTGGTGCTCATCGTTCCAGGTTATCGTGATTGGTACTGGTTCACGAGAACGAGCACCCCCTTATCCTGCCCTGGAGCATCCCCAAAATCTGGGGTTCCCAATTTTGCGACCATCATGATAATATACTGTCGAGACTTTTATTCCATTCACGACCGCTTTCCAAAGAGTTTCTTCCTCAGGCCCTGCGGCTTTGCCGCCTCCTTGACCTTCGGTGGGGGTATGACTTCACCTGCCTGCTGGGCCGGTTTCCGGACGAACCTGTCTTTGTCCCCACGTCCCTGCTGCTGCTGCTGTTGTGCGGTGACTTCCAGTGGTTGTGTCGGAGGATACACTACGGATGGTTTCGTCGAGGTGCCCGTCCCTAGACCTGTTGCACTGCTTCTATCACCACCAGCAGACCGTACCGGTAAGGCTGTCAAATCGCCTTGAGGCTGTGGAAGTTGCTGGGAAGCGATGTGTGGGAGAGGAGGAAATGTGGGGACTTGTGAGGTACGTGAGGTTACGTATGATTCTGGGTGGACGTCGTCTTGTGTAGTGCTTTGAGGTGCGACGCGTTGTTGGCGAATAGTTGAGGCTGAGGTTGATGTTGGGCTGACTAATGCTGATTTGGCTTGGGGCGCCTGTTGTTGCTGCTGTTGACGGACAGGTGAGATTCGTTGTTGTGGTGGCTGCTGCGGTTGCTTTTGCGCCCGCGGTTCAATGTCCCCCTTCGCCCCCTGTTGTTCTTGCTCCTCAACGTCTTCCATTTGATAATCATCGTACTCATCATCATAGTCCTCGTCATCATCGTAATCATCAAAAGAGCGGGCTGGGTCGCCGTTATATACAACCCACCAACCGATCTTCTCTCCACTTGCAATTTTATCTCGCAAGTCAGCCAGCGCCTCCCAAGCACGGTTTGTCAAACCTGGTCCTTCTGAAATTACTTCTTCAACATTCATACTGAGAGCAGTGGGTTCGAGAGTCGCAATACGTGGCGTGTTGGGCTTCTTCAAGCTCCCAACGACAGCCTTGGTCGAGTCAACCGTAGCAGGGCTGGCTGGGCCTGTTTGCCCTAGTCCCGATGACAAGCCAGTCCCTTCGCCAGGGTTTGCCGCAATCGTCACGACCTTGTCACCGACATAAGCATAAGGCTGACTGACCGCATGGACGCTCTCTGTGTCTTCTGGGTTGTACTGTTCAATGAATTCGAGGTTCCGACCGGGACTATCAAGCTCTTTCATGATGTCTGGGAAGGCTTTGTGGAAAGAAGCTAGAATGTCGGCCTTACTTTGCTCGTTCTGGATATATTCCACCGATGTATCGTCCAGGTTGTGGAGTACAGCGTGAACTCGGATCCCAGTGAAGCCCTCCCGTGGCCAGCGAAAGCCATGAACTAAGTAGACGGGCATCTTGTGCTTGAGGGAGAGGTCTAGATTGGAAGGGAGGTACTCTGCGGAGGTTGAACGGCTTATGAGGTACAGAGTCAACGGCCTGGAGGGGAATTGTTTGACTTTGGCTTTGGCTTCGGACGCGGATTGTTATGGCTGATACAAAGATGGTAATGATATAGCAGAATATGGGTATTGAAGTAAAGATCTATTCACACGTTGAGAGATGGCAAGGCGCATGAGCATGTTGACGGTGATACGGTCCGAAGTGCAGACATGACAGGAGCCGGCAGTGATAGCTTCGTATAGGTCTTGGAGGGAGGTGTGGCCAGGTACGAGAGAGGAGGGCGGCAGAGGGTCACTAGTCGTAGATGCTGGGAGTGCCCAAGCGGAGCAATGCCGATGCTTGACTCCGTATCGCACCGTGCGCACCACAAGAATTGCAGGTTGTCGAATGTCAACAATGGGTGGTGTAACCAAAAGTGAACCCGTAGACTCTGTACCACGTCAAGATGGAGAGAGAGTGCCAGCCTGAGCCTGACTGAGGATGACCGTCAACGCATGTGAGCCCCAGAGGTGGAAAACGGGTGAGGGGAAATACTAAGGCGTTTCAGCATAATATACTCCACAGCATGCGGTACGGCGGAGTGCTAGCGGTGTTTCTGACGAGGCTGATTAAGGCTGAGTTGATGTCACTTCTCCAGCAGAGTGTCGCTCCAAAGTAATTGCAAACTACTTGACAATTTCAAGAAGCTCCTCCAGAGCAATCTAGCTAACGTCTCTAGTGGCATCCGTATCAAACTAAGATTTCCAGCTGATGTTTGGAGAGTTTAATTATATCTCTAGATCTGTCACTCGCAGGATTTGGAAAATGCGGTCCTAACCGAAAGAGTTTGCATTCCCCTGATGCAAACGCCATCTCATTCATATTCGGAACGGACTGTTTAGATCGAACTGGAAGCCGGAAGACAACTGTGGTATCTGGGAGTACCTCCCTTGCAGCAGTGCCCGCGTGTTCTGTAGTAGCTGGATCAAATAGTATGAGTACGGAGTCATGTTGATTGCCCGACTGGGGTATGCTTACCTGTATATAACTGACGTTCCAATTGAAATCACGTTTCATCGTCTCGAGGAAAGCCCAAGACATGGCACCTATCGTCCTCGCAACGGATATTAGAAATCCCATGATCCAGCTAAGACTGACCCTGCCAGAATTTTCAGACAACTTACCAACATGTCTTCCATTGATAAAAGCATCAGCACTGGTCTGTTCATCCTTACAGCCCGAGAACATAAAGACAGATTTTCCTTCCTGGGACCAGTCGTTTCCAAAATCGTCGATCTGCTGTAGTCCTTCTTCATTGTCGCCATTCATCTCGTGCTTCAAACTGCGGAAGAAGGACGTCGCGCCGGCCAAGAGATGGCGAGCTTCGCCCGAACTGGAGACTGAAAAGTCGCCCTGGATGAGATGAGAGGCCTGCCGTGTGTTGGAATATTTAGCAGCGGCATAGAACACTTAGACGGGGTAGGTTTATGTGGGGGTCTTCACCTCACCAATCAACGCCGCTCCCATACGCAGATTGTCCAGGAGATTCACATTTCCGTCCTCGTCAGTACGGTAGACAAACGGTAATTCCACAGCCGAGCCACTGGATTGAAAAGCCGGGGAGTTAGCTTCGGGAGGATCTCTGAAGCATCCAAACAAAGGAACACGAGAACGGCCTCACCTATGGCAGCAATCAAAGATAATCACCAACGTCGAGTTTGGCGGCAGGGCGCTGACGAGATGCCTATGCAACGTCCCACTGTCGATCATGCCATTCCGCTCGAAATCCACAGGTACAATCGTATCATCGAACCCGGTCTCCCGATCTCCAGGCACCTGGCCCCCGTGCCCAGAGTAGTGGAGAAAACACATACATCCGGGCTCGGAGACCAGCCAATCCATCGCAGCCATGATGTTGTGTGCGGACGGATAGAATGGCGAATTGGGTGGGTTGTAGGGGCTGTCGGTTAGTTGGACCATACTACCAGTCTGACGCGGGTAGCCCCGTGATATCAGGAACTCGGTCATGTTGGCTACATCGTCAATGCAGCCTTGTAACTGGTGTTGGGAGCCGATGTAGTTGATTCCGATTAGGAGTGCTTTCCGTCGGCCCATGATTGGTATATTGTTGAAGGAGGCTTAAGAATGTCCCGCTAATGAAATAATCTGGAAGACTAACGAGACAGTCAAACGCCCATGTGCATTAGGATCTAGTCAACCAGAAATCCTACGGAGTCATGAAACACCTAGGAAGTCGATAAATGTGAAGCTCAAATAGCGAAAGTGGGTCACAATCTGATATGCAGTGAGCAGGTGTTAGTGCTCCGATATGACATGGCTTCAGATCAAGGCTTTGTCCTTCCTCCAAGACAGAACCGAAAATAGCACAGTTTCCAGACTGCAGAGAATACGCGCAATCCTTAGGCAGATGGTTGGACCGAGCTGAGTCGACGGCATGATGCGTGACTTTCCGCTCGCATCAGCTCGGATCTTGGGGAATTGTGGCTGCAGATGCAACTCGACAATTGCCGAACCAAAACCAGGAACGAAGGTTTCATCGTTACTTTGGGTCACCATCGCGTGAACGCTAGCCCTGTTTGGATGCTGCTTGTCGACGAACAGTAACGTGCCTGTAAATCGTTGGATTATGTGAGAGATTCCCACCACTCGCCATGGATCTCGAAGTGGGTAAGGGAATTCTGGAATGCATGGGGAAGAAAGTAAGTAAATGTTCAGATTCGTAACCGATAGTATGACGACATCTTTCTGGACAAGAGCTCTTATGCCTGACACCAACCCTGTCCTCCGAGCAATTGAAGTCATATCTGAGATGACCTTGGGATTTGGGTCTGGTCAAAGTAACTTCTGGTATTCTTTTTGTCCTAAACCCGTCCCAAATAATGTGGAGTATACATCCGTCATATGTCCAAATAATTCTCTGGTATTCCCGTTACTGAATACCTTTTTGCAAGAGGCCTCTCAGCTGTAAATATATATCCCGATGATATCTTGCCATATAAATCCCCCCAACGATAGTCAAGCTCCATTGCGCCCAGCCCAGTCCGGAATACCTTAGATACAGTCATGACCTCGTAGACGCATTACCAAAAACACAATGCAAATCTCAAAAGTTTTTAGTAATCGCTAAACCACTCGCAAATACAATTCGAGGATAGCTGAGAAATCGAATCTGGCGAACGTTTCCTCCTTGCCATCCTTTTATTGCCACCTGCGGTGGCAGCAGGAGCATACTCATCCTCTGTTACACAAATGGTCGGTACGGTCGGAATGGGCATGATTTGCCAGTTATTGAGAACTTGCATCTGTTGGCAGTAAGGTTGAATATTACTGTGTGGTTTCCGCTTCTCCACCATCTTTACTAGCTTGGGAAAGATATCGGGAGCGCCAATCTGGGAGGTTTGTCGCTTGAGTTTCTGCCCGTCCCAGTAAGGGTCATTTTCATTGTAATTTGTAGGATAGCTTGGCGCCGGGTTGTTTTTGGAAACAGGGGAGGTTGAAGAAGGATATGGTGCCATTGAGCCAGAGGTGATGGACGACTGGCTTGCAGTGGAACTGGAATAGCCCGAGGTAATGGTGGAAGTGGCAGACGCTTGGCCCCATTCATCGAGATCTTGATCGAGGAAAATCCAAAATTCGCTCACAGTCGAATTCCAGAAACAGTACCAGGGCTGGTCGCCAATCTTCAGCCAGTCTGGCTCTTCCCAATTGGTCCTTTCTCGGAGTCTCGATGCAGCAACGGATCTTTTCTTTTCATTGGGGGCAGTGAGAGCCTCGGCGGGCACTGTCGAAAGATTAGCGGCCATGGTAGCAAGAGAGCACTATGGATAACTCACAAATACTTAGTTTATCAAAAAGAACACTGAAGAACATGGCAACCCCTAATTCATCGTCTTCCTTATCCATGTAGGGTTCCATGGTGAAAGCCGTACCATTGAAGTCGGGAGGCTGTGGGCCATATTTGAATTGTTGAGGCCTTATGGAATAGTCATCGAAGGCCACTTGGATGTCACCGGTATTGGGAATCTCAAAGATGTTGATGCCTAGTTTTGCGAAGTCCATGCAGCCCCACGCATTTTTGAGATTTGGGTCAACCACGCAGGTATCAATCTCTTCCGTTTGATTCAAGGCCAAAGTATAATGGCCAGTAGGGCACGATCCTGTCGATCCATCCGTTTGAGCGGGATCGGCATCAAGCCATACTGTAGTGGTTGCCGCACTGCAAGTCAAGGTTAGTATGGGTTGAGAAAGGCAGAATGCACAACATACCCATGATCGCCTTTTTTGGTACCCACTACTCCACCAATCACTCCGCCCAAGAGAGCAGCTACTATGACAATAGCTACAATGATGACAAAGGTCCAAAACGGTATACCAAAGCACATTCTCCTGTTTTTCTTTGGTTGTGTCAAACCCTCTTTTCTTGCAACTTCGTCCGAAGGAGCGTCAGGGCCAATAGGTGTCAACTCAATACTGGAGGACGATGCGGGAACCGGTGGAGCGACGGCCGAGGAGGAAGATGCATCGCTGATATCGGCGGAAGGGGGATTTATCCGAGCCATGTCACCTTTAGCAATGACGTTGTCGGCATATCGACTGTAAGGAGGTAATTGTTCAATATGACCGTCCGATCCAACAATATCACCGACTTCGTCTCCGGAAGAATTCGAACCAGATTGCGAAGATTGGCCCAGACTGGGAAATCCCAAGGGGATATTTAGTTGAGAGTCATCTTCTTCCTCGGGAACAGTATTTTGCTGATACATTCCGTACGGGTGTTCGGGCCCACCTCCAGGTACGAAGGGTCGATCAACCGGACGAAGAGTTGCCTCACTTGCAACACTGGAGACACGTGTGGCCTGGGGGTACATGCCGTACGGTTGACTAGGAGCGGTTGGGCCATTGTAAGGACTGGGGGCTCGAGGAATGGAAAACCGTGAGGATACGCTGAGGGTTCTGTGTGTCTCAGCTTCGGATCGAGCCGAAGTAGAGGAATTTCGTTGGGGGATGATGGATGAGTCGGTTGTGGGTGCGCCAGACATGCCGGATATCTGGCCTAGACCAGCTACATTTCCAGAAAGACCAGGAGGAGTGTATTCTCGAGGATTTGACTTGGAGTCGACAGGGTGATGTAGTGATAATCGATCCGAGCGGCTACCTATCGAGTCTGTGGGACTTGAACTGGCAAAAGGATTGGGATTTTCCAGGTCGTAGTCGTCACTGAAGACGTTTGTATTGGAGGAATTAGATGAGGTTCTTCGAGAGGGAGGGCGTTGATTGTTGGAAAGGGATCTGGTGGAAGGAGGTCGTCGCGCCATGGGCGCTGCGCCACCCCTTACGGCGGCCAACACAAAAGCACCGGAAATCGATGGACTGAGAGGGCGTCGACGATAAGATGATGGCGAGAAGCGAGTATCGAATGACGAGAGTGGGAGACGGGTTTGGGTGGTGATGGAGTTGATAGGGTAGTGGAGGGATGGCGAGAGGTGTGGTGGTAGGGAAGGATTGAAGTTGATCAGAGGTTGGCTGTAGTAGACGAGGAGATGGACACGGGACGGGAAGTCGTAAGGAAGTGCAAATAATTGTACAAGGTAGGGTGGGCGTGGGTGCAGACCGCGGAGACTGACTCCCAGGTGGAAAAACTTAGGGGCCGCTGGGTGCCCGGACACAGGTTGGCTAGGCTCGCTTTGGTGGTTGCAAGCCTAAAAGTGTAGGTGAGTCTGAGTGCTGCCTCTCAGATCCGTGAGACGCACTTTCCGTTCCCTGGTCGTTACAGTAGCAACTGCCTCCTACATCACTGGCAAGCACAATTCTTGGCACTCCACGTCGATCTTTGCCTGGTTGGCACTATCTACTCCACAAAACTCGTTAATCCATCCAATCGCCGAGACAGCCGCCCACTCTCTCTCGCCTCGACTCTTGTCCATCAGGCCTGAATTCCGACAAGAGGTCCATGGAAATCCCGACTTCTCCCCCTCGTCGCGCCTTCCCGCTCTCGGCATGCTGATCGAGTCCTTACAATCAGTCGCAAACGCATCATCGATTTGCCTGCTAAATCCACAATCGCTCGGACCTTGCTTGGGACTTTTGCCGTTGGAAATCTGGATTCGATTCGGCAAGGCCAAGACTCTGGATCAGACTGTCTCAGCCGCTGCCGCTTTACCTATGTGACATCTATCTAGCTGGTTGGATACCTACCTAGGTATCTAAGTCGAAATGGCCGCCGCTGAAGTACAGGCACTGTTGCGCTTCCTCACGAAAGATGCTCGTCTTCCTCTACAGGAGGCCATGTCAAAGATCAGTCCTCTCCGTAAGCAAGACCTCAACACCCCGGAGCAGATTTCCAAAGCCGATCCTGCCTTGCTCAAGGACATTTTTACTACGGGTGAGAAAATTGATTATGTGAAACAAGTCATCAATGCTGCCAAACGTGTTTCCACTCCAAAGAAGCGACCCGCTGCTCAGTCATCTTCAGTATCCACCGCCAAACGCATCAAGTCAGAAACCGACAAAGATGTCGTTAATGAAGAGGCCTTACTTGCCTTGCCGACATCAGAGTGCACCATTGAAGAACTGGAGAATGTCATCATTGAGACAAATCGAGCACCCCTTTTCCTCGCTTTCACAATTGCCGTCTTGGCCTATACACATCCTGAACAGCCACTTTCAAGTCGATGGAGTATGGCTCAAGCAGTAGTTAGTGCTGGCGCACAAAGCAAAGCCAAGTACCTTGGTCTGACATCCGGTCCCACCGCTGAAGAAGATGGTTGGGCCATGGGCCAGCCCAAGGTCAAAATCATGGGACGTGAAGTGGCCGTGATGCGAAGACATGTTGTCAGTTCGGACCAAGAGATCGCCAGCCCTACTACTGCCTTCTGGGGTTTGGACCTTGAAGCTTTACGGCGATCGAATGGCCCGTTGATTGGAGGTAAGAACGGAAAACAGCAAGACGGTCCTCCTATACACAGACCCAATGCCCCTCGAACCTACCTTTTGAAATCCATGATCGATGCACAGCTCACCGCCCAGGATGGTGGCATGGTTTCAGAGGCGAAATCACAGACGAAATCCAAGAAGCCGGCAGAGACGGCCCGCCGAAAAGAGGAAGCGGCCGCGAAGATGCTCAAAGCCATCGGAATTGTGTATCAAAGTTGGGCTGAGTTCTTGACCAAGGAAGAACTAGACTCGAAAGCCCAGTCGTGGTATATGCGAGTTCGACCTGATGTGGAGCAAGGTCAAGCGGGATGGGGTCAACGTGGTCAGGTGCCTCTACGCGACATCTTGCAGTTGAAACGAGGTTGAAAAGTTCAGCAGAAATGCTTGTCAAACGTGGACATCAATGAACAGAAACCACACTGTATTATACTACAATCTTCGACACTATTGGGGCACTAACATGCCAATCTGGCTCGGGACACGTTCACCTCATCCAGACCCGACCCGTTGTAAAACCCTTGGTCTACAAACCAACTAATCCTTCTTCGGGCCCACATCACCTTGGAGGAGAAATGTCAGCGATGTAATCGGTTGGATAACCACGGGATCGACAAACAAACATACCTGACCAGAAATTCTTATTCACCTTGTTATCTTCCTCGGACAGTTGATTGACAGACCTGTCGTTCCGCTGCGCCATCTCTTCATTGTGCTTCTTGACCTCGGGATCGGTATCCTCGGCAGCAGACTTGGGCGAATGAATCGCAGGCCTTGCCCCGTCACTAGATTTCTCTCCGCTTCCGGATGATTGCGACGAGGAGGAAGATGAGGACGAAGGATTCGAAGAGGAAGATGATGAAGACGACGACGACGATGTTGTCTCCTCTTTGGAGATTGAGCCTTTATTCGCGGGTGCTTCTGGCCCGGGATGTTCGAGGTTCGACTTGGGGTTCTTCAAATGCGTGCCTTGCTCCATGCCGGACTGCTCGTTCCCGTACGACGCATGAGCCAGTCGCACAGCTTGAATTGGTCGGAGGCCACGGGCGGTCACTGTCGTCGGTTGAGCTCGCAGAGCGCCTCTCACCGTCATCTGTCGGATCGACTGCATCATTGGTAAATGAAGGATGGGTTCGAACGGTAGAAGCCAATTCCCTTTCAATATTGCTGGGTTGGGTGGACAAGGCCGCGCTGAGCTGTAAATATAGAAGTATTCTGCCTACCAATACCTTGATTCAATCAGAGATCTGTTAATCCGGTAACCCAAGCTTTTGTATCAGAAAGAGTAATACGAAGATGATAGAAGCAGAATAAATCAAAAGGCAGGACGTGAGGTCACAGGCCACGACTTGTCCATCATCCAAGCACTACCACTGGCATCTGTACCCCAGGCCATCAACCTACCAGCCGTCTCCGATTGATGGTATTGATTGGACGACGTCACGTCAAGGATCTGAATGACTTCATCATCGCCAAGCGGCAGTCCTCCGGACTTGATTTCCGAACGGAACCCTCTCCCTTGGCCGTGACACTCTTTCAATGCTTCCGACGGCGTGAATTGGACGAGCTCTCTCGTAAGTCACATAAAGCTGGATTCGTGATATCCCTGGAGAATTAATTGTACACGTTGTATTTCAACTCGTGACTGAGAGACAAAAAAAGAAAAGTAAAGTAAGTAATAATAAATAATAGATATAAATATAAATATATCGTGTGGGTGCGTATATAGAGTGCAACATGAACATGCCGAACAGTGAGTAAGTAGTGAATAAAAACACCGCTATAGGTAGGTATCGTAAACTCGCTCCAAATCGCCTGACAGAATTGCAAGATCAGAACATGCATGCACATCAAACAGATAAGCGTTCCCTTGATAATGCTAAGAGACAGATTCGAAGATCTAGAGATCATGGTATATTTCATGTCGTGGAACAACGTCCTCTACCCAAAGACTTTGAGAAACGCCCACAGTCCAGCACTGCTCAACAGTGGAATCGTCAGGTTGTCGTCCCATCCCCAAACATCAATGAGTTCGGAAAGACTGGCGATCAAGCCGGTGCATACACTCATGATGGTGAGTGCTGCATTGCCCTCAATAACCGCTTGATCGGCCTTCCATCCAAGTGCGGATTTCACCTGAGTCGGTAAGGACAAGTGATTCTGGAACATGAATCCATTGACTGGGTCGTCTGGAAACGGGCCTGTTCTCGGTGCAAGCCAGCCCCAGAAAAACACGGCTACTAGTGCGCCCATGGCAAAGGCCGCGAGTGATCCAGCCAAGGACTTTCCTCTCCGCAACCGAATGGTGTAGCGGCCATATAATCGACCGAATGTGCTTGCAGCGGTATCGCACCAAGATAATAATAGGATCGACATGACACCGATATCTTTGGGGTAAAATTGTAGAGCGATGACCGCGCCCACCAGGTACCAAATAACACCATTGTATCCGTCCACTTCCGTCTCACGCATTAATGCACCTAGGACGCGAATATAGAAGCGATTAAAGCGGTCGGAGTGATGTCGTAGAATATCAGTTGGCCCAATAATGGCCAGTGCTCCTAGCAGCCATGGCGTGATAGCTGTGGCCTGGACACCATGAGTGTAAAAGCGCAATGTGAAGAATCCGATGGATACATGGAGGACTTTGCGAGGAATTTCATGTTTATGTATCAGGGTTCGATAGTGTCGATGTAGAGGAATTAGGCCCAGTGGGGAGGGTGATCGGGAGAATTCTCTCCATGATTTCTTGACTCGATCGTAGGGAGACAGATGGCCATTAGACTGAGGAACGGATTTCGAACCATTGGTGAGAGGCTCTGATTTAGTGACAGGGGTCTTGGTTGTGAGGCCACTCATGCGTCTTCTTTTACTGGTAGTGCCGTTCATCTGAACAGCTTGAGATAAAATAGGGCTTCTTGACCTCGTTCGAGCCCTCTTCTCAAGGCTCGAATCTGAACCGGACCCATCTTTCTCTTCATGTATAGGCTCCGGATGAGGTGACTTCTGTCGCTGAGATTTCGCAGCAGATCTCGTGACTGGCGCGAAATAGGAGTCCTGTCGATCGGAGGCCTCGGAAGGGGTAGGCGATGGAGAAATGACACGCGGAGTGGCTGGAATTGGATATTGGTACGACATCTGATGATAGGTGGTGGATTTAAGAGGCCGTGATGTAGAGCAAACTGGTGCAGGTGGTTGTGGTGGAGGGTGTGTGCAGTGGTTTGGGTGTGGCACATGCGCAGGCAGGCGACGTCAAGTTATGAAATGATACTGGGCCAAGGGTTGATTATTGCCACATGATGGAAGACATCAAAGTCCAATGGGGGTCTCACAACGCCTGAGCCAGCTCGAGGGAGGAGCAATACCAAGAATGACGCGTGATAATAGCAATCAAAAAGTTGTATCCGTAGAATGTGGGATGGTAATAGTAGATAGCAGTGAATGAAAGTGGGAGGTGTGGCTTTTCGAGAAAGTTGTCAGGAATCAAGTTGACATGATGGCACATGTGCAGGGATGGCCTCGGACGAACTCTGTGGCCCTTTTCTCTGTGCTTGGACTTTTAAATTGTGCACGAAGCCGAGGGGCGGCAGCCTGCGGAAAGTCAGTAGTGGTAAATCCGGTGCCAGTGCATTGTTGGTAAATTGATTATGATGAAAGTTCATTTGAAGTGGACACAGCTCGCATCTGGGAAGGGTTACAAATCTCGCTCCCTGAACCGAAATATCCTGCTTTTTTGATGAGATCAACAGTCTAACTCTAGGAGAGATAGATCATACTGTCGACCATAGACACCCTCTACGGCGGACGATAAAGCTGCTGATGGTCGTCGTCATTCGAGGATTTTCTGTAGAACAACTTTTTGGCGCCATCTTCCTCCTCACCGCAGTCAACGTCGCTGTCCCAGACGAGCGACTTTTCTCACCATGGCTCCTGACAGAGGTAAGTCAGGGTCGAAAACCACTTCCTCAAGAGCATGGGATTCTCTCACCCCCCCCCTCTCGCATTGGGTTCTCGATGCCACCATGTCCATGAACTTTCCCCGGATGACCCCAGTACAGGCCTCGACCATCCCACTCTTCATGGCCCACAAAGACGTTGTAGTGGAAGCAGTCACTGGAAGTGGAAAAACGCTGGCATTCCTCATCCCAGTCGTGGAACGTCTATTACGACTGGATGAACCCATCAAGAAACACCATGTTGGTGCCATCATAATATCTCCAACCAGAGAATTGGCTTCTCAGACATACAATGTACTTGTGTCATTACTCGACTTTCATGCTCCGTCTGCTGCTGCTCGGAGAACGCTCTCAGGCGGTGAGGGGGCCATTGCCGAAGAGAAATCAGATACCATTCCATCATCTACGGCTAAGATAGTGCCGCAACTGCTTTTGGGGGGCGCCACCACTCCTGCGCAAGATCTAAGTACTTTCCTCAAGATATCAGCGAATGTACTTGTGTCTACACCGGGACGATTGCTTGAGATCCTTTCATCTCCTTATGTTCACTGCCCTCAGTCGTCCTTCGAAGTCCTTGTTCTTGATGAGGCTGACCGACTTTTGGACCTTGGTTTTAAGGATGATCTGACTAAGATATTGAACCTTCTACCGAAACAGCGTCGAACTGGTCTATTCAGTGCAAGTGTAAGCGAGGCAGTTGACCAAATCATTCGAGTGGGTCTCCGAAATCCGGTGAGAATTGCCGTCAAGGTCAAGGGTGCAAATGGTTTGGAGGACAAGCGCACTCCTGCAAGTCTAAAAATGACCTACGCTCTTACTCCAGCTTCTGCAAAACTTCCGGCACTTTCAAATCTGTTGGCGAAACTCGAGCCCAAACCTCTCCGCACGATTGTGTATTTGTCAACTTGCGCCGCTGTCGATTATTTCCAAGCCGTGCTTCCTTTGATCCTTCCATCAGACACAACTCTTATTCCATTACATGGCAAACATCCCGCCAATGTTCGACAGAAGAATTTCGTTCGCTTCACAAGCAGTGCTTCTTCTGCCGTCTTATTGACCACCGACGTGGCAGCTAGAGGTCTGGACATTCCCTCGGTTGATTTGGTGGTACAGATCGATCCTCCTTCTGATCCGAAGGCATTTTTACATCGTTGCGGTAGGGCTGGTCGCGCAGGACGAAAAGGACTGAGTGTTGTATTTCTTCTGCCGGGTAGAGAAGAAGACTACGTATCCTTCCTCAACATTCGACAAACTCCTATCGAACTACTGGAAAAGCCAGACATCTCCGTTTCCGCCGAAGAATGTCTTTTGGCTAAAGAAAAGTTCCAAAAACTTGTTCTCAAAGATAGGAATCTCCACGACAAAGCTCAGAAGGGATTTGTCAGCTGGGTGAGAAGTTATTCCAAGCATCAAGCTTTTTCTATTTTCCGCGTGGCTGATATTGATTGGAATGATCATGCAACTGCGTGGGGACTTTTGAGACTGCCTAAGATGCCCGAACTTCGCAACTGGGACAAAAGCACATATGTTACTCCGGACATGAATTGGGACACATATGCATACAAGGACAAACAGGCCGAGAGGCAGAGGCTGCAGGCATTGCGGGAAAACAAAGAACAGACGAAGCATGATCAGCCCAAAAACGACAAGAAGCGAGGAAATACTTTAGCATGGTCGGAGAAATTGGAAAACAAAGCATCCCGAGAAGTGAAACGATCTAAAAAGCACGCTCGAAGGGAGCATGTCCGAATTGCTAAGATGGACGATGCCCAAAAGGCGCACGAAGCCGAAACAGCAAGAATGGTACAACTCATCCAGCAACAGCAACAGAATTCCAAAAATGATGACGACTTTGAGGGATTTGGGTGACCGGACTAGTCTCAAGCGGAAATTTAGGTTACAAGACAACACGAGAGTACGGAATAGTCCCTACACAGCTGCACTTTTTCAATTGTGCTTCGTCGAGTCATCCCCGTGGTGGAGTCGGAGATAGTGGTCAGCCTTGTCATCATCCAATTAAGGGTCTCGGTTTCAGCTTGGCGGCATTAAGGTGACTGGCTGACCACACAGCTTGAGAGCTTCATGATGAATGAATGAATAGGAGCCTACGATTTCGAGGGAAAGACATAAACTCTTTCTTGTCCTTCTTAACACCCTCTAGGGCTCTCGACAACTTTTCTCCGTTTACTATCACTGCTCCATCTTCAACGATGGACGACGCAGCCAACCCATATGCTCCCGCTCACAAAACACCCGGAGGTCCAGGAGATGCACGTCCAACCGCCTTACAAATTGTCGAGCATGAAGGCTTGACTGGCAAGCTAGATGGTGCGGTGATATTCGTAACCGGCTGCTCCTCCGGGCTTGGTGTAGAAACGGCACGTGCACTCTCTTCAACTGGGGCTACTCTGTTCCTGACTGCACGCGATCTCGCCAAAGCCCGCATCGCACTTGGTCCAGAGTTAGCCGACGATCCTAAAGTCCATCTACTGAAGCTGGATCTTGACTCTTTGGAGTCCGTACGACGATGTGCTGAGTCATTTCTAGAACAATCAGACAAGCTCAACATCCTCATCACCAACGCTGGAATTCGCCACGTCCCCTTTTCCAAGACCAAAGAGGGATTTGAGCAGCACTTTGCTGTCAATCACCTAGCTCATTTTCTTCTGACAAATCTCCTTCTGTCGACGCTACAGAAGAGCTCTACCTTTGGTTTTCAATCCCGTGTCGTCGTGCTAAGCAGTACTGCGCATCGTCACTCCCCAATTGTCTTCTCCGACCTCAACCTCGAGCAACCAGGTGTCTACACGAAAGAGAAAGGTTATGCCCAATCTAAACTCGCCAATGTATACATGGCATCCGAGATAACACGACGATATGGCGTGGTTGCCAATGCCCAAGACCCATCCCAACCTGGTGTCTGGGGCCTTGCTGTTCACCCTGGTGGTATAAGGACAGGTCTGCAAAAGAACTCCGGCATTGGGGAGGTCTTTACGTGGTACTATGCCCGGAATTTGATGAAGATGCTGAATTACATGAAAAGCCCGGAACAAGGTGCCGGCACGACAATCGTGGCTGCCGTTGCGAAGCGCTTTGAGGGGAGAGGCGCCCTCTACATGGAAGACTGTGGTCTTGCCGTTCCCGTGAAAAGGGGTTGGGGCCTTATTGACCCTGGATATGTCCCCGGGCGTACTGACAGTGACGCCGATGCTAGAAAGCTCTGGACGGTCAGTTGTGGGCTGGTTAGCGTGCAAGATGATAAGCGATGATCAATGCTACCTTTTCAGAAGGAGGCAGGGCAGAGGATTTTCTATAGAGACGATTCTCAGTATTATGGCACGGAAGGAGGTTGTCTAGGGAGGTGTTGAGTTATTGACCAATTTGTTCCAGCTCTCATGGCATCTATAGACACTCTATTGCCGGAGTAAGATACCTAGTCAACTCGTGAATTATCCCACGTCCACCCAATACTAAGTCGATGTGCACAAGCGAAACATGTTCTCAGCACTGATGCTTCGATCTCTCCAAGGAGCCCAACTCTGGTGATCCCTGTCCATACACATTGCGCCGGAACATGAGAACATTTACGCTGCTTGAGGAGAACCAAATCCATTCCACCGTTCAAGCCACAACGCCCTGATCCTTCAACCGCTGGACATCCTCCCCTCTCCAGCCCAAAATCTCCGTCAATACCGTGTCCGTATGTTGTCCCAGCGTCGGGGGTGGCGATCTAATGCCCGTCGCACTCTCACTATACTTGACTGGGGGGCTCACCAACTTGATGGGCCCGCAGCTGGGATGCTCAACCTCACTGACCATGCCACGCGCCCTGACATGCTCATGATCCAGAGTATCCTTCACATCATTGATAGCCGCATACGGCATGCCCGATCCCTCAAGCACATCAAGCCATTGCTTGGTGGTCTTCGTCCTTGTAATCTGCTCAATCATGTGCTCCAGCTCCACACGATTCTGCACGCGCCGATCATTCGTGACAAAGCGCTCGTCCGTCTTCCACTCGGCCTTCCCCAGCTTATCGCAAATCACGCCGAACAGCCGATCGTTACCGCCGCCTAGCATGATGTCGCCGTCCGACGTCTTGAACCCCTTGTATGGCACGATGCTCGGGTGCGCTGTGCCCCAGCGCCCGCCGTCACGCTCGCCGCTGATCAGCACGCTGCTCGCGATGTTCGCCAGTGTTGCGACTTGGCAGTCTGAGAGCGCCACGTCCAGATGTTGCCCTGTCCCGGTCTTTTGTCGAGCCAGGAGACTCGCCATGATCGCGTTACATGTGTACAGTCCTGTGGTGAGGTCGGTCACTGCGACCCCGACTTTCACGGGTGTTCCGTCTCGCTCGCCTGTTATGTGCATCAGTCCCATTTCCGCTTCCACCATTACGTCGTAGCCCGCCCGTGGCGAATAGGGTCCTGTTTGTCCGTAGCCTGTTATTGATGCGTATATTAATCTGCAGCACTCATTGGTTTAGCTTCCTGATCCTCGAGGCGATATTCCTCCGTTACAAGGAGGAAGACTCAAGGGGGAGCAGGACGTACTTGGGATTGATCTTCCTTAACGACTCATAATCTAGTTGATACTTTTTCAATGCTCCTGGACGCGTAAAACATGATTCATCAGTTCCTGTTGTTCGAGTGATCCGAAATTCTTAGCCAGACATGCTTTCCTTTCAGGACTTACCTGGAATATAATTCTCAACCAAAACGTCGGACGTCTTCGCCAGCTCATGCAGAATCTTGACACCCTCGGGGTGCTGGAAAGACAAAGCCATGGACTTTTTATTACGATTGACCTGTTTCATGCGAAATGACTGAGTAAGGAAGCACATCAGATGTTGGCAGTATTCGGGGACTTACACCAATGAAATATGCACTTTCGCCGGGCCGGCCTCCTTTTACTAAAGCTATGGGAGGGGCAGAGGTTAGCTGTTGGCATCCCACTGAGAAGTCTGAAGATTTGAACATAACAAGGGACATACCATCGTTCTTATAGTTGGCGTAAGGTGGACCCCACGCTCTCGTATCGTCGCCTCGAGTGGGATGTTCGATCTTGATGACTTCTGCTCTGCAGAGGCACGACTCTTATTAGTATTGCTACCCGAATGATTCCGCATTACAGTATAGTAGTGATCTCCACCCGAAGATATATTGAATGCCGCACTTGGACTTGAGGATGTCCAAAGCGTAGGATCTCTGGAGAAGGAAAACAAGAGCACTTACCCGAGATCTCCCAGAATCTGCGTGCAGTAAGGCTGTCGCATCACACAAGAGCAAAAGTCAGTGAACTGACTTCTGACACCTCTTAACATCGCAATGCCCTCCAACGCCTGAAATATCTATATGAGGGAACACTCACGCCAGCCAAAACTCTCGTCATATCCAAAACCCGTACGCCATCCAACGGTGCAACTTTTGCCGCCGCGCCTGAGCCATTGGTCGTCGTCGAAGATGCCGACCGCAAAAATCTCCTGGCAGGAACCGACACAAGTAACGACCTTGATCTTAAAACGTCCAAAATCAAGCACGCGGGATGTGCTGTGATGAAGGACCGCTGGAGAAGCGCGATTGAAGCTCTGCTGGGCGCCATTCTGAAGCAATTGTGCGGTGCCTGTGGACAAGGAACAAGGAAGTAAATTACGGAATCAGAGACGAGTTGTATCAAGGTTCAAGAATTCATCTAACAGTATTCAAAGAGGGAAAAAAGTACTTCATCCTACCACGATGGAGAGGTTGTCCGGTGTATTCACGGCGATACTTCTCTTCTCCAACTCCGACCATGGCGGGCGACGCTGCCGCTGGCCGGTCGCTTTGGGAGTGTTTTCGGACGCCAAGGCCCGACGATAGTAATTGCTTAATTTGATAGCTTTAAGGACATCAAGAGTAAATCAATACCTCGGCAATTGAGATCCCCAGACATTCTCGAAGGGACGACATAGGGAGGACATCTACCTTTACCGATTGCACGTCCTACACATTCGGAGCGAGAGATTTTGATGTGGTCTCTGCGATTTACCATTTAAAATGATGAAGATCATGCCATGCCAGCGTAAACTTGAGTGAGCTTTTGCGCAGGCTTGCATTGCCGACAGCAATGTCGAAGAAGTCCTAGAGAACAGCTTTCCAGGATGTTCGGACGGCGTACACAAACCCAAGGAGACTAAGAGCCATCAAGACATCAAAAACTTCAGGACTTTAACCCTCAGAAAGCTGTATCACTTTCGGCAACCTACTTGGGACAAAAAAAGATAAAGTATGCGGCTTGCCAAAACGGAAAACGCCACCAAGGCGCTCGTATCCGTGCCTCTGGCCGGTGTGATGCCCACCGTTCCCTTGTGCCTGCTTCCTGTGGCGCATCAGCAAGTACGTAATGCTGCAGGACCTCCTGCTTTGGTGGATGAATGACTTACCTGATGTCGGATCATCCTGATGGAAACAGAACGATAGTTCCAGAGGGACCGGAACAAGCCTGCGCAGATACGATGTGGTGTATGCGCGACCGTCATGCTGTGGTCCGCCAGCAGCGGTTCGCACAATCGCTGTTTGCCTTGCATGCAGCTATACGACATGGAGCCGTTCTCTTCGATGTGCCTTCGACCGCATTCTGCTTCTGGCAGTGATTCCCTGTTCGGTGGTCACGCGGCTGGTCGTGTTCAAGCGAGGAAAGGCGTTCGGAGGGGACGCATTGATTCATTTCGCATACCTTCACCACTGGTGCTGGTCCCTTTCCGGTCAATCATGTCGAATTTGAGCATCAAGGATCAATAAGCACTGGTCTTTGAGTATTACCGTGAGTCTGCCTGTCCATGCACGAGAGAAGATACGTACACATCCCCGGCAGGGATGGTGCCTGACGGATCAAAAGCATGATAACCTACTGGTCGCCTTTCCCCTTCACCGTACTGCTCCTTTTATTTCCAGAAGACGAGACTGAACATGGCACGGGGTTGGATTAGGCCATGCCCGGCCCTGTTCCCCAAGCGACAAGAGGAGCACCAGTGAGATGCAATGTGATCCCATGAAGGGGTTGCCGGTCGACGTCATCGACTGCACATTCGACCGCCCTGCATCAATACCTGATACACCATGGCTCCGCCCTGTCGGGCTACTTATGGTCCGGGGCGAGGCGAGGCGATGCCTGACCGAAGTCCCACCGTAGCTGGCGCGGCTACGGATATGATCATGGGTCTTGACAGTGGGGTTTTCCAAAGTCATCTTTTTCAACGTACCATCCTACCTGCAAAGCTGACTGGTATCTTTGCTTGGATTGTGGCGGAGCCAGCACGCTGCCAGTGGGGGTCTACAGCGCTGAATCGGCTTCAATGCATGATCGAACGCATGGGTGGGAAAGGGGCCATGAGGATGAAGAAAGCCGGAAGAAGGCCGCCGCATGGATGTAGTATCGGGATGAAGTTCCCGCAACCTCGTCTTAGGCATGAAGTACTACGAGCACCCATCGCGATGTTACAACATGCTTTTGGCACTGTGGCCCGGAGCTCCCGCCAGGCAACCACGCTACTTGGCCTGGTCTAGTACATATCTCCGAAGGCCAGTGAAACCAGACTGGGGATGGTGGATGGTGGGTGAAGATCCGCATGCAGTCCACACCGTGACGCGATGCCTTGTTCAGTAAACTGACTCGTGACTCGAACGACAGCGAAGCAGGAAGTTATGGATCGATATGGGAATTCCGTGGATCTCCAGAATGTATTGTTTTCCCTGCTCTAGCGAATCAAGAATGCTGGCATTCTCTAGGAGGTGAAACCGGTCTGGTTGTGTATACACCGACACGTTGGGGTGGGTCTCACATGATTCGAGAGGGGAGGAGTAACAAGTGAGGAAAGGACGAGAAAACAAGGCAAAAGAGAAAAAACAAAGCAAAGTGGAAATTTGGATCAAATCAAGCTGAAAAGCGTGTCAATTTTTCCTCTTGACCGCTGGTTTCGTTCTTTCCATATGTCCCGTGTGTGACTCAGAAAGTTCTAATATTCTAGTGATTTCATGGACCTCTCTTTTAATGGTCTCCCTTCTCTTTCTCGTTCAGATTTCTTCATGCTTCTCCTTGCCCCTCAAAATCTCCTCCTTCCTTCCTAGACATACAAGTTTTCCTCTCAACTAGAGAGATATAGTACAAGACAGACCATCCAAACCACGATATTCATCCTACCCTTCAGACGATGTTGGCCGGGCTCGACATTGTGTGAAGGATGGGAAAGAACCCGTACCAAACAACAGCTAGCTGGAAGTAGTTCGTAGACCACAAAAACAGCAGCAGTAAACCAAATAAAGACATGACATGCCGGGAACAAAGCCCGTGAGGTATCTTGAACCAAACAACCTCCCAAGCTCGATAGCGTAAAAACCCACAGGGAAAAAAAAGGAAAAATGATACATGACAACAAGACATTTCCACCTCGTGTAACTCAGCTTTTGTCGAGGGACGTGGGGGAAGGAAACAAGGAGACACCGAAATGCTATAAAGTTGGAAAAAAACAAATCCTCCGTCTTGAACCCCCTTTTGCGCAGTCCACCAGATATTTCAAAAACAAATTCGGTTCCGTACGCCTTCTTCCCCTTTCCAGTAAACCTAGTCTTTTCGATCTTCCATCATGCTTTAAACAAGCAAAAGAGAAACAGAAACAGAAAGAGTACTCCCAATATGCATATGAAATCCCTCGCAGCTCGCGCTGCTTTCCAAAAGTTCTTCGCAGTGGAGGCCACATTGGCTCCATAAAACATTCAAATCGTTATGATGAAAAGATCGCAAGCTTAATGCAAGTTTGACCGAAATTCGAGGGCAGAAACAGACAGAGGGTATCGTGGCCTGTTTGTGTCAATTCGAAGGCCAGACAAAGAAGCAATATCGGAAAAACAAAAAACTCCGAGTGTGATGCCAAGATACGTGATAGAAGAGAGGTCTGGAGCCTCTTAGTCCTTCTCTCCGAAATTGATTTCGTGCTTTTCAGGCTTCGTAAGGTCCAATTCGTCCATCAAGGTGAGATTGTCAGGTCGGGTGGAGAGAGGGCTTTCGTCGACCGGCTCAACGGCGGCAGCATGCAGTAGTGGTTCGCAGGTGTTTTGTTCTTCTTCTTCCAGATTACGATCCAGCCGTCCATCGGTATCTTCCATCCAATAGCTTTCCAGAGCTCCAATGGCGCAGACAATGCCACCTGCCCACCAAGCAAGGCCGTTGTAACCGAGTTTCAGCCCAGCTGAATGTATCGATCCGGTTGCAATTGGTCCGAGAGCTCGGGCCAGGCATGCAGTGGAGGCAGCCACTCCGTTAATGGTGCCAAGAACGTTTTTGGAATGGGCGGCGTTGGCGAGAAGGATTGCATTCGACGGGAAGGCAATCACTTGAAAGGTGATCTTGATGACTAGGCAAGTGTAGATACCGGCCGTCTGGAACTTTTCGGGAAGTAGAACCAGATAAGGGACGAAAAAGTACAGTACAGGCCAGATGGTCATGACTGCTCGGAAAGCACGGAGAGTACCAATGCGACGAACAATCATTGGGAAGAGCCAGAGTTGAGCGAACATGGAGTAAGCCGCTTGGACAGCCATCATAAAGCCGATTGCTTTAGTGCTTTTGGCAAACCCGCCGGAGAATTTGAAGGGCAAAACAGCTTCAGAAGCTGGCACCCGCTCCTCGCTTAGGAAAGTTGGCATCAAGGCGTCGAAGGAAACACTGTGACTAGAGTAATTGTTAGTTATAGTTTTGGCCCGGGGAGATTGTTGCACCTACTAGGCCAGAATAGCATAACCTACTATGATCAGTATGACGTGTCTGTTGAAGGTCTTGGCCATTCCTCGGTTCTCCTTTTCTGCAAAACTCTCAATATCGGCATGCATTTCGACTGTGGTTGTAGAGCGGAGTCGGGGAGATCCTTCAGTGCTCCGGTAGCCTGGGGGTGGATCGTCCTCGGTCAGGCTGTCAGTCTCATCTCCAAAGGCAAGCTCATATTTGTCGATGTTGGTAGTCTTTCTGCCGGTGACCCTCTTGATCAATATCTTTCCTAGCTCCAACCCCCAGTCGCGGCGGTTCTTCTTCTCCAAATGGGTCTCTTCCAAAAATAGGACCCCATTGATGATTCCAAAGATTAGGATGATCACACAGACTAGATTTGGGAGCAGAAACGGGTAAGTGTCGAATAGACTTCCTCGAGGAAAAAGAGAAGGGTAAGATTCGCATGGTTGTGCCAAGGCTCCTCCCATGGCAGGTCCAATAATCGAGCCCAAGCCCCATACGAAAGGCATGATGGAGTATGCACGAGGCTGGTGCTCCTTTTTGGTGACCAGCTCAGCCACGGTGGTTTGCAGTACTCCAACGTTACCATTCAGCAGACCTCCTAGAGCTCTGGCAACGATAGCTCCAGTGAGACTTGTTGCAAACCCAAAACATATCATACTGAGTGCTGTGCCAACCAAGCCCATCACCAGGACCGGCTTTCGACCAAATCGATCACTGATACGGCCCCATATCATTCCAGTAGAAAACTCGGCAAAAGCGAAAGCTGTGATGAGCATTCCCGCATATATGGAAATCTGGGTTTCGTCTTGAGTAAGATTAAAGGATTCGATCATGCGATATGCGTAAGGGAAGATGGACATAAAGGCGATTGGCTCGCATATCCGACATAATGCTGCGTTGTGCGTTAGCCAGAATTATTCTCGCAAGAGCATTCCATTTCCGGACGGGCTGCGAGATGACGTACCCAGAACGAATAACTGTCTGCTCGGAAAATTATCCTGAGCGTCTCGAGGTCGAGCATTGCGAAAGAACATATTGTTGAAAGGGAGAGGCATGGTTGCCGTGAGGGAAGAGGGTGTGTCGTCGGTAGAGTGCAAAAGAGTAGGTGAACAAGAGAAGGCATCTGCCAGCACGGCTGCAGGATGGGTAACATATTAAGGGAGACGACCAGATTTCCAGGAGTCAGACCGACAGAGAGCGGGGCGACGTTCATTTTGGCGGAATGGTGCATCCGCCGCCCGCGTGGAAGAGGCGGTGGGCTGCTTGGGCAAGATGGGATATCACAGGACACGGCGCCCAGCAGTAAGAGCATGAAAGTCGATGGGTACCATGGTGTGCCAGTGGCCAAATAAAGCCACGGTTACACGGCGCGAGGGAGCGCGGAAGCGTTGATAGTCAGGTCAAGTCTCTGACATCCGCGTCCGGCTGTCCATAGAAGCGAACTGTGGGAAACTCCATCAACAGCGCTAGACTCAGGAGCCGGGTCTGCAGACGAGTTTAGAATTACCCGAGTTAAAAATGCCCGCGTCCTCCGTACCAGGTCCAAGACCGGGGGATGACGAGGAACGTTTACGACTAACTTCATTTTTGGGATTGAATGACCAAAATAGTGGATGCGTGAGCATGGTCAATACTTGAACAAGGGGCAAGGGACTGGTAGAGCATCTTAGGCACAACTACTGGCGTGGAGGACATGTCGTCCGTCCATAGGCGGCAAGAAAATGACCGGGTAGAATCAGTCAGACGGGGGGTTAATAATAATGCTCAGAAATGTCCCATGTCGAATCCGAACGGAAAATGAGGCACAGCTTCTGTTGCTGCCCCAAGTGGGTTTCAGGGCTGCCATGCGACAAGTGGCGATGTGGGGCGAAAGATGGGCACTGGCTTGGGGGTAGGCAGGGAACAGGATGAGGGAGGTAAAAGTGTCCATGAACAAAACTCTGCAAACTGAAGGTGATGGACACGGGATGGAAATTTTGGAAACGCTGGAGGCAAAGGTAAAAAGACCAAAACCAGGGCCAGGGTGATAAAGTAGCAAGTCCTCCACTGATGACTGGCGGCAAAGTTCGATAGGGCAATTCTGGGCATTGGGTCAATGGGTCTCGGATCCATGCGCAAGGGTAATAGTCAGGCTGATCAGGAGGGCTTCAGCCATTCGTGGAGCTGCTTTAAAGGGGAGTAGAGGCTACGGAACCACCACCGCGGTACCTTGGGCGCATCTTTCCAAGTTGGCTTGATTGTATTTCGCACAATCGATTTGGTTTGGTGGTGTGAAGCAACGGCAGTGTTCGCGATTCGTCCAGAGAACCAACGTGCCCCTGATCAAAGTAGTAGCGTAGCACTAGGAAGAAGACCCCGGCCTCCCGAACACCGGGGAGACTGCTTACCGAGAAGCAAGGTGGTTTTAGTCCTCGAGCCTGCTTAGCCACCTGTGCCCATGCGCGCATGGTGGGGCCGACAGAGAAGCTAGAGCCTTCCCAGAAGCTTTTACTTTTTCGATTCTAGCCTAGCCTGACGAGCGCGGTTGAGTGATGGTGGACGCAATAATAACTGGGCATTTGGGGGAAAAGAAAGTTGTCAGCTCGATTCCGGACCAGCCAGCAAAAACTGCCCGCAGTTTATACGCTATGCACATGGCCTCGTGACTAGGTGGAGAGCGTGGTGTTGGGCCTGACTGCGTCCCGTACATAGTACTTGACATCAATCTTCGTCATCGGTTCTGTCTGAGAACCAATCCGTTACTGTCAACGATGGGAAAGGCGAGGCGGTGAAAGTAGCGGTCATGCCCGACCGGGCGAGGGTGATAAAGCAGGAAAGGCAAGCCAGAGCCCGATGGTTTCTAGAGCCACTTGCCACCAAGATTTGGGCTTTGCCCTGTTGCAGAACACGCTACAACCGTTGACAGGTTGCACTGTGCATCGCACGGAGGACCAGACCAGGGAGTATTCTGATTTATGCCAAAGTGGGGCATCGATTAGAGTACGGATATATTGCCTTTTGGCACGACTCGGGTTGGCGCAGCCACAGAATTGATGAATAAATTGTAAGCGGGGAGCTAGCACTGGCAGTCTCCCAGAGGGTGAACGACTCCTAGAGACCCCTCCGTAGGGACGACTACTCTGTACGGTACTCATAGACGGTCCATGTGGGCCACTGACTGGTAAGGCAACGTACGAGGTACTTCGTCTGCGTCTTCGTGGCTTCACCATGGGACTTCTGTCAGACAAGTCACCACGTCGTTGCAGGGCAGAAGCCACAAAACGGATTTTAGGTTATGATGAGCGTCCAAAGAATCAATGACGAGCAACTAGGATACCGCGGGCAGGTAGGCGGGGAGAGCATATCCTCAGCACTGGCCATAATAATGGCATGTACGATTCCGGATAATCCATGTGGACTCAAGATTTGCAAGCTTCCAGCAACCACTTAAAAATCAAGAGCTCGGACAGCTAGCATTAAAAGCCTAAAGGCCATGAAGTCAGTAAGATGTTTGTTTACCGGGGAACTCTGGGAAGACAGGGGCCATAATCTTACTTCCGACCCGACTCGAGCCCACGGTCTAGACAGTATTTCCGCCAAAGTATCTACCTCGTCACCCGTACGAGGTACGGATGCATACCTCGATTTACCAAGGCACTGTGACCAAAAGTGCACCAGGAGAGTACGAAGTAGGTTCATAGCTCCGGAATCATAGATCAATCATCCTGAAAACTGCCCAGCAGTCGACTAAACAGTTCTCAAACTCGCTCACATTCATCCCCGAAAGAGACAAATATTTTAATCCATGAAGAGGAGGCTAGCGTGCCCCTGATTCATTTCCAGAAAATATCCGCAGCTTCGATTGTGTGGGAATGACTTCGCCACTGATGTAACAATCCTAGAGAGCTAGAAAGCACCCAAGGAATTCTGACCCTCAACTTTCCCGGGGATACGGTCCAGAGGAGCCACCCGGGGAAGGCATGTTAGAGCCTCGCGGTGCTTTCTAGTCTTTCCCTAGGCCTCATTCCGGAAGCTCCACGCCTGCCTCGGGTCCTGGTCAGAGTTTGGTGTGATAAAGTTGACCCTGGAAGTATCCTGGACCTTGAGCCGGGCACATACGAAGTACCCACAGCATTATCACCATCCGTCCGTGGAGGACTCATCTGAGGGGAAGTTTTGACTATTGGGGGCAGCCAGCGAAGCATCATCAAACCAGTCGTTTTTAATGGTTCAGTTATGAATGATATTGTTCATGTTTTGGCCCTGGTCTGTCAGCACCGTGAAATTCTGAATCCCATGTATCATTGATGTGCCAGACTTTGTTAGTCTCTGGACAAGTTCTTGTAGTAAGAGATTGCCGAGTACCTCTGTGCTGGTAGCTGCTAGGTACTTACTGTGCATTCCTAAATCTGGTGGGTTTTCATGTATCTCTTTGGCTTCTAGTCAAGGTCGCTACCTAGGGGAGGCAAGTAGGCGCTCATGGGTGTACTCAGTACCCATTACAGGCTTGCGCAAGCCCCCGAAATAGACACCTGCCTTGCACGTTCCGAAGATGCAATGCATGTATCCAGTACCCACCGTGCTGTTTGACAAGGAACTCCGCTGCGTAATCCGTACGGATGACGGAAAGTAGTAGCTTCACCGTTGTTTGCCCTAGCACCAGAATCACAGTGCTTGTCGCATCATCACCGCTCGGTTCGAGAATCGATCCACTCTTTATGGCAATTGATCTTCCATCACCTGCTCATGTGAGCCTCGCTTCGATGAACTCGGTACTCCGCAGGGAGTACTATCAAATTTTATCTTTATCTACCAGGTTTTGAGACTGTGACAGGAGTAGTCCTCCCCAATTATCAATCATTGACAGCTGTCGCACTGCCAAGTGGTATCACTAGTGTTCTATCGCGCACGTCCATCGCTAGCAGCACTGGCCAATCCTGTTGATCAATGTGCAACTGTCAGTACGGAGAATCTGTGAGCCGTTAGTCACCGAGATACAAAGTCCGGTAATCACTTGCATTGACGTGTGTCCAAGTCTCAGCAGAGCAGCCACATCAACCCAGGCAATGTCACCACTACCATCAGCGAGTGTGTAGTGTATCCGAGATATGGGTTTCGAAACGTTGCCTTATTCTTGCCTTAATGGCGTACTATGCAGCACCGTCATGCATGGCAATATGCACGTCTACCTGAAGCCTATGCCGACACCACCCTGCATCTGTAGGCGGGCTGACGCAGTATGTATTTCTGGGCCAATAACGAGTGTGTCACACGCGGTTCACTCTCCCTCATCTGCGTCTTGAAGCCTTATCGCAGAAATATTCCTCAAAAGCTTCCCAAGGAGGAAAGACAGGTTCAACTCGACCTTGTTCAATGCAAGGCGCCGACCTGCTGACTTGTTTGATGCAGAATCCGCACTACTTTGGGGGTTACCATTGAGAAGCAGACAAGTTGTTACACAGCATTGGCCTAACCTTGCCAAATTGTCCGCATAGTGCTCCGGTCCACTCAGCCAGTTCTGAGCGAAGCTCAAAGTGTCCTGTCCGTGTCCTAGCAGAGCGGCATTCTATCTGTCATTGATTCAGATCCGAACGAGCCATGCATCACTTTGCCGATGTTCACCCCACTACGATGACCTGTCAAGCTCGACCCCATTGCACGTCAAAATAAATGTCGAACTTGCTTGTCCATTCTCCATCTGTCATTGCCCAAACTCGATTTCCAAGCCACTATGTCAATGCAATCGGCGGTCAGATTGAGTTTTAGGCTGCGCCTGTCAGCAACTGGTTAATATTTCAGTTTCCAGTCTTGTGCATGTCATGACATCTTGTCTCAGAGCTCGTTGGTAGGGCTGTTGAGTGGCTCCTTCGTACTTCGGATGCGCTGGTGCCAGTCAAGAATATATGGAATCCATCGATGATGGAACTGATGGTACGTGTCACAGTCTCGGCCATTTTGTCACCAATGATGGTGATCACAACGCTCGCAGTCTTCATCTAGCCTCAGTCCTCTGCATGCCGCCTTCTAGTATGAACTTCTGAAGCGATTCGCACAATACCCAACCGCAGATATAGGTCTGTGCGGATACCGCATGACACCTGGTGCAGTGACTCACTGATAGCGGCTCAAATAGCCCTTCACACATTCGGATCTCATCCCTCCCTCGAACGGCAGCCTGGCGCAATTTGGCTGTATCTTAGTTTACACCGTGCTTGCAAGGTAGCCGTCTGGAAGTCATCCTGATTTGATGAACAAACACATGCCAGGCTTGGTTATGACACGCGTCAGGAATGTACTGGACTCCAAATATCAGATAGCCAGGCCGACCATTCGATCAGCTTGTGCCATGCCACTCGCAGCATGAGTGCACTGAGAGGGCCCGAAGCCCGAGGTAGGCTGTTTTGATTGTTCCGAATGCTATCCACTGAATGGTGAAAATGTAAATGCAACGAAGACCACTACCTGCGTTCGGTGAGATTTCCATTTGCGTGACATTTCCGACGAACCAGGCCTGTCAACTGCCGGATCTCGGTATCCAGCTGCAACGGAAATAAAATCCAGATCACCGTTGAGACCAGCAAACATCCCGTGTTTGTACTGCCGAGGCAAGCCATGCAATGCAATGCAAGATTAGCCTTTCTCTGGATTGAATCTGGCAATTTTCCATTCCTGCCACGTCTGGTCATGGTCAAGCATTTCAAAGTTGGGCAATATTTTGGATAACGATCTGACCAGAAAAAGAACTTCTCAAACCTCGACTGCTAGGCTCTCACTTGTGCCCAACAATAATAGTCTCAGCTGCAGTACGTACGATATGGGTCTTCTGAATCGAACACGAATGCCGCGCTCTCAGCTTGCATCCAGCTCAACAGCTGAACCCCTGGACAAATCGCCCCTCTTTGGTGGTCTGATAGTGGTAACAGCACGACTTGAGCTTGGCTTGGATCCCTGTGCTGGACCGTCAACGCATATGCACTCCGATCCTGTACTCCAGATCCGGGCACGAAAGGCAGAAAACGTTTCTGTCTGCCAAAAATGCACGTTTATGGTCAGACAACCACCGTAATGTGTGGCTGTAGTCTAGAACAAGTCTCTCACGAGTGGGTTACGTGTGACCCTAGCCGTCTGCGTACAGGAGAGTTTCTCTCTTCGCTGAAAACATGCGAGCGTGCCGTTTTTCGCGACACGGCGGGACCCAAGTCACATCGTCATCAATCTGGTATCCATACGAACTGCGGAGTGGTCGAAAGGTGATAACATGCCTCCGAAGAAACTATGCAGAACTAGTGATGTGATAGGAACAAAATTATACTGGGTCACGGCTGCAGGAACCCTGGTCAGAATCCCGACTGGCTCTGGGACTCCTTCGGATGTTCTTCCGATGAAACTAGGTCCTGAGCATTGGATGGGGGCTTCGGATTAAAGTCAGAAGTTACAAGGGACGACGAGTACCAACTAATACCCTATCGACACGGGGTGCAAGCGGCACATACAGTGCTCAGAACTTGCAAGCAAAGTCACCCACAAGTATCTGGAGAATTGGAATAGGTCCAATTCCTCCTTTTTGCTCTAGTCGAGCATCCAAGGGATTTTTATTTACACATTTTCCGAACAACTCTACTTATAAGTTACAACTGTTGTATCATAGCCTCTATAACTACGAGTCAACAATTCAGCTTTTCATCCCTGCTGCTGAGTCCTATTGCGCTCGAATCGTGTTTTCACCAATGCCACCCTCGATTCCTTCGTTCTTGCGGTCACATGACGAACGGCAGCCAGCAGGATGAATCGGTGTGGGGGACGGTTGCTCATCCTCCCAATCCTGATGCGTGCTGAGTTCGATCACATCCCAGTAGTCCCGAGGCCCAAGAAGTTTGGGGGCAAGCTGTGAAAAGAACTCTTTTATTGGCGTATTGCCACCTGATAAGGAAGACATCCCATGTGTCCATTTGCCGTCGCACTTACCCATCTTTCTTGCCCGCTGTATTCTTCCTTGCCCATAGGTGCAGTCAAGTGTGTGCATTTCTCACAGAGGTATTTGATAGTACGACGATTGAGTCGTGCCTGCCTGGCGATCTGTGTCGCGAGTGATTGCCTAGAGTTGCCCCTGGCCAACATAACTCTGGCTGATAGATATTTTTTGGACTTCGTAGGTAGCTCCTGCCTGGTAATAGAATTACACAGATCTCTCAGACCGATCTAGGTACATTCCAAAACTCGGACCAGAAGTTGAGACGACTCAAAAAGCACTCTGACTTACACCGAGATATCGAAATCATTGATGACCAGATCTCATCGAGCAATCTCTTTCCCCATTGGCTGACTCCCTATCTGCCTGCGATAACCTGCATCAACCGCCCCCTCACAGAGTCGCAGCCTCTCTACTTCCTACCCGGCTTCGCGAACTTCTCAAGCCGAATGGAAAAGACCAAGCCATGCTTGATTAAGGATTCCCACAGGCGCTGGCACTGAACTTTACCGAATGAGGCTCTCTTGTCTTGCTATTGTGCGATATGTGTATCCAGACTCTAGATACCCTCATGCCACCCCTGCGTATCAAGCCTTGAACTCCAGCTTAAAAGAGATGGTAATACTCGTACCACAGGTTTTCGAAACGAATCCATGACCTCTACCGCTGCCTCACCCCAGAGTGTGGGTATCAAGCGCGCATACCAACCCGAAGATAAATCCTCCCAATCCCATCAAGATCTTTATCCTCCCACCGCTTCCCCGCCTCATAGTGTAGCTTCGGCCACCTCCGCCTTTCGCAATGTCTCAGCTTGCAATCGCTGTCGCGTTCGAAAGAATCGGTGTGATCAACGATTACCTGCCTGCAGCACTTGCGAAAAGGCGAGTGTTCGATGCGTAGGATATGATCCTATCACCAAGCGAGAAATCCCCCGCAGCTATGTCTACTATCTCGAGACTCGATTAGCATACTTCGAGCAACTCCTCAAGGCCAACGATGTCTCGTTTGAGGCCGCTGATGTATACAGTGCCGAGTCCAAAGAGCTTGGTGATAATGCACAAACCCCCAATAGCACCCGGAATACCTGGCTGGGGCCGCAGTCCCCAAAGACCACTTCACCACATGCCACCAAGCACGAGGACTGGGAGAAGAAGCAAGATGACGCCGACAAGCTCAACAAGCTAGTGTCCAATATTGGCATGGTCTCGGTACAAGGTGCCTCTGATGCGCGATATCTGGGTTCCACCTCTGGTATTTCCTTTGCTCGGCTGGTCCTGGCTGCTGTCAAAAGCTCAGTCTCGACCAACAATTCTGAGCGTGCAGGCCCCAGGTCCAGTCGGCCTATGACAAATGTAGCTGCATCTGGTGGAAGTTCAATGAGAGATTCCTACTTTGGCTTGCAGACGAAACCTACCATCAAAGAAGCCCCTTTTCCTGATCGCCAGTTGGGTGCCAAATTGGTCAATCTGTACTTCGAACATGCAAATCCACAAATACCAGTTCTGCATCGAGGTGAGTTTCTGGATTTATTCGAACGAACTTACTCCACCGAACCATCGAGGAGAACGAGTCGGGAGCTCTACTTGCTCAACATCGTCTTTGCAATTGGTGCTGGCATCATTTGGGGCTCTTCTGATCCGCAGCCCAATTCGCATGGTCAAGGCGACTATGCATCAAAAAGACCTAGGCTGGCCAGTCAACAGGCTCAACCGGAGGAATACCATGCTTCCGCTATCGTACACCTGGGTCCTTTCCTAAGCTCAAATTCATCGCTTGAGGGCGCTGACCGACCCAACGGTGACCTGGAAGAGCTGCAAGCTGTCTTATTGCTTTGTGGCTTTGCCTTGCTAAGGCCGGTTGCTCCAGGACTCTGGTATATAGTTGGTGTGGCCATGCGCCTTGCTGTCGACCTGGGACTGCATTACGAGGATGGCTCGGGGATTGAAAATGTTCCCAATCCAAACGATATACTCAATAGCAGTGGAGACATGAAGCCACCCCAGTCTGTGAATGCCAAAGAAAAAGGTCGAAGGGAGTGGGTTAGAGATTTTCGCCGACGGCTTTGGTGGTGCACCTACACATTCGACCGCCTAGTTAGTACCTGTGTTGGGAGACCATTCGGAATAACAGACCAAGTGGTTACCACAGACTTTCCATCTCTACTCGATGACAAATATATTACGCGCGGGGGATTTCTTCAGCAACAGATGCCCGCCAACGAACCTACTTACAAGTGCGTCTCTCGGCACTATTTCCGACTTCGTCTCCTCCAGTCGGAAGTTCTGCAGGTACTCCAGTACCAACAAGCACAGCAAACTCATCATCAAGGGATGAAGAGGCGCAATCAGTTCATGCATACACAACTTCCCTCACCATTTCTGAGCAAATTCCACAACTCCTTCCGCCTGTGGCGGAAAGACATAGACCAGCGTCTCTGGGAATGGAAACAATCAGCCCCTGAGCCTCATGAGACTGGAGTCGGGTTTTCCGTCCAGTTCCTGGAGTTGAACTATTGGCAAGCGGTCATCATGCTTTATCGACAAAGTTTGAGCGTACCAGGACCTTTGGCCAGTGAACTAAGTCCGACTGAGGATGTTTCCAGCCCGTCAAGTGTGCGGACGGAAGAAAAGGAGGACGAAGACCTGGTTTTCCTCAAATGCGCTGAAGCAGGACAGAAAACATTGAAACTCTACCGACAACTTCATCGTTTACGGCTGGTAAATTACACATACCTCGCAACACATCATCTCTTTATGGCAGGCATCTCCTTTCTCTATGCAGTATGGCATTCTCCTGCAGTCAGGGCTGGCTTGGTAAGTGTTTCTGCTCTCATTTCAAGTAGCCTTGTACTTATGCCCCTAGACACTTGATGATTTCGACTTCACCGTTTTATCTGCAACTTCGGTTCTTGGAGACTTGATGGAGAAATGCCCGCCTGCGGAGGCATGTAGAGATGCATTTGAACGAATGAGCAAAGCTACGGTTCAGATGTGCATGTCAACCCCGGGATATGGATTCTCTGAACGTGAGGAGACACGAGTGCCATTATCACGGCAGTCAAGTTTGCAGAGCCCAGTTGTACCCATGAATATCGATTCGTACCCCCAATTGGCGCCCAGACCACCAATGAAGCGTCCACTACCAAAATTTGATATGGATCTTCGAGAATTGTTTCCAGATGACTTGGAATTAAATGTTCGGCCGTCTCAATCTTTCCCACAACCCTTTCAAGGACAGCCACGAATGCAGCCTCTTACCCAACAACAGTTGAATCAGAGACAAGCTCCATTCCAACCAATGGCACAACCACACCAGAATTCACCTCAGCAGCAGCAACGACTCCCGGCTTTATCGAGTATCAATTCACAGATTGATTCTGGTCTCGGTCTTGGTGGAGCCCAACAATCAGGAACAATTCCTCCAACACGCCATTTCGACCAGCAGCAACAACCTTTTTATATGCAAAATACTTATAATCCAGATTTCATGTCATCCCTTCCGGGAATGGACTTCTTGAACAATGCCATGGGAGCGGGGGCTGGCGAAAATAATGATGATTTCAACTTCGATACCAATGGCTTGGACCTTGGCTTTGGTATGGGATTGGATCTACAACATGATTGGTCGGATGGCCAGCAATATGACCTGTTTGATGGGTTCTTCTTTGGTAACAATGCCGTCATAAATGGAACAGGCAACGGTCTTGGTGGTGAGGGAAGTATCAAAGAGGAAGGTAGTGGGGAATGGACCGGGGAATGAAAAACCTGGAGCCTGTACAGATTGTCACGATCTAGTGAATGGAAGAAGAGTAGCGACTGGGATCACTTGATTGAATCGGTGCAGCTACATATATACCCACGGATAGATATCCAAAAGTTGGAATATGATGTGGATATGTGAACAATACTACTGTTCCATATAAGAAGTAGTCAGAGCGGATCCTCCATGTTCCATACCAGATTGTTTCACCCGGCCCTGTTATTATCTTGTGAGTTTAGCTATCTGATCGTAAATGTCTTCTTCTCTCTTCGGGCACGGAAGCAGCATCGACGGCCTAAATCCAGCCAGCCAGCCCATAGTCTAGCTAATCGAGGGAGACAATGGTGCACTTTTCTGTTTATAACATCAAGTCTGTTGAATCCAATTGACTCGGACGAGACACAACGACCATCCCATATTCTTGAATACCATCACCCCTGCAAGGCCTTCAGCTTCTCCTCGACCAGCCTACCAACAATCTTCTCCAGAATAGCCGGCACGCCATCCTTTCCCACCGACCCCTCCAGATACCCCACGACACTCTTCTCAACAACCTTGCCCACGACATCAATCTCAACATTGACCTCTTCGCCAGCCTTTTTCGCGGCCGTCACAACCCGCTCCTGGGTGTACGCGATCAACATAACCTCGAACCAGCCCTCGACATCATGCACGGCCGTGACGGTCAAACTCGCCCCATCGAGCGTGACATAGCCCTTCTCAACGACATACCTCAGCACCTCCCTCTCCCTAGGCGCGAGGCGAAACGTCAACGCATTCCCGTCGGGCGTGACACTGACGATGCTGGCGATGGTGTCGACGTGGCCCTGGACGAAATGGCCGCCCATGCGCGTCGCGGCACTGACGGCGCGCTCGAGGTTGACTTTCGAGCCGGTCGTCAGCGACCCCAGATTCGTGCGCCGCAGCGTCTCGGGCGCGACGCCCACTTTGAAACTCGTCGCGTCGAATTCCGTCACCGTCAGGCACGTCCCGTTCACCGAAATCGAGTCCCCCAGCGCCGCATCTCCGAGGATCGCGCTGCAGTCCGAGATTGTCAGCGACGTGCCGTTGCCCCCGGACACGGAGGCGTCCAGTGCAGAGAGCGACGTTACCGTGCCGATTGTCTCGACAAGCCCCGTGAACATCTTGAGTGGCTTTAATGGATTGGTTTGTGTTGGTGAGTACCAAGTATGATCGGATTTGATGTTGTGGGTGATATCGTAAGTCGTTTTATAATGTGGTTGTAGGTATTGGATGAAGAGTGAATAAGTATTTAGTTGCTTGCAGTGGATGACTCAGTCGTCGGCCGTTGAATGAGGTTGATCCGTATTGATATCTTGTATATACTCACTTTCGATATACTGGGGTGTAAGTTCAGTATGTCACAGGGTTGTTTCGCGGAAGTCTAACCAGGTACTTTAGAAAGAAGTTGCAGAATGATGCTTTAATTATGAATTGTTTGATGATGATGAATAATGATGTCGGGACGAAGATCGCGCAACTTTCCCCACTATATTAAAAGTAAAATCCCGACATCGATTGCCTGCTAGGAACGTTTCCGACTTCAACGCTCTAGCTTATGTAATATAGCATATTGATATTCTCTCGAACTGAAGGATATGTTCAGTCATAGCAATGAATCACCCATGGTAGAATCGAGATTACAATGCGGTGATTCAGCAGTGTTTGTATAGTGATACATTTGTCCTCTGAGCTGCGAAGACGTAAGGCAATAGATACATATCAGGTACACCAGGTACTGTTAATATACAACTCTAATCGTACAGTCGTGTCAAAGCGGCTCATGGCCTACCGACCAGCCACGCGCATACTATCCAACAAGCCGGCCGTGAAGCGCATGACCTTATCGACGCCCTGGTTATTGATTGCAGAGACGGGGATAGTGGCGCAAGCCTGCCGCCAGGCATTTTGTTTCCCGCTGGGATGCTCGATCGAGCCGTTCTCCACACCAGCCACATAGTCGCGCAAGGCGAAGAACTCTTTCTGCGTCACGGCCGACTCCTTGTCGGCTTTGGTCGCGATCACGAACCAGGGCTTCGACGAGATCGGTGGGAAGCGCAGTGGTTCAAGGATGCGATTGTCGCTGTGGCGCCCAGAGCTGTTTTTGGGGGAAGCGGATGGAGGTGGGAAGACAGGAATCTCTTCGCCGTCATCGTTTAAGGCTTTTGTTTGGGAATGGGAAGGTGAAGTAGGTCCAGAGCTGATGTCGAATGGCGACCAGGCGACGGCGCGAGTCTCTGTCTGTTCATTGACCTCCGTATTGCGTAGACTTTCATACTCGCCAACCTCCTTCCACAGATTCTTCAGCGCCGTCACAGCATCGCCTGCGCTGAGGTCGATCACGAAAGCGAGGATACGGGCGCGCTCGATATGACGTAGGAACCCTAGGCCTAAGCCCTTGTCTAGATGTGCATCCTCGATCAGACCAGGGATATCGGCGATTGTGAAATTAGTGCGTGGCGCTTCTCCCTCAATCCCGGATTTGATGAGTGGTCGGCCCTCATTGTTGTCAAGGATCACAGTACCGATCGTCGGTTCCAAGGTCGTGAAGGCCCAATCTCCAATTCGTGTACGTGAATTACTGATGGCGCGGAGAAAGGTGCTTTTGCCGGCGTTCGGCAGCCCGACCAAGCCCACATCCGCAAGTAATTTGAGCTCCAGTTCGAACTTGACACGAACGGCGAGTTCGCCTTTCGTTGCGAACTTTGGTTTCGGTTCCTCCTTGGTGACAAAATGCGGATTTCCCAGACCGCCTGTTGCGCCAGCGATGAGAAGTTGTGGCTTCTCCATCGCTTTGTCCAAGTCCAAATTGATGGGGGCCATCGGCTGCAGTACCGTTAGATGACTCCTCCTAGCCTTCTGTGCAGGTGGAAGTCCGTCCTTGACACCTCTCGCTTCACTGGTTGTACACCCAGCGTAGAGAATCCACTTATCACGCAATCCGTGCTCGGTAGGATTTGCGAGGGGATCTTCCACGCCTGCGAGCCGTAGGTCCTTGAGGAGTTCCTCCTCCTCTGTCACTGGATCGCTGCGCCAGACCTCTCTAACCACCGTTCCCACCGGTACTTGAATGCAGATATCATCTCCTTTCCGTCCGCCCTGACTCTTACCCATGCCGCTAATACCTCGTTCTGCTTTCACAATTCCTCGGCGGGCAATCTTATGTAGGCTGGTTTCATCCGTTATTGCCTGTATCCAAACATTTCCCCCTGACCCTCCATCACCTCCATTGGGCGGCCCATCGGGAATATACACATCACGATGAAATGATACACACCCATTTCCACCTCCGCCGGCGTGGACAGTCAGGTAGCATTTGTCGACGAAAATATTGCGTGCGTAGTCGTCAGGGGTGGGATTGAGGCGTGAAGTGCCCTTCGGGGAGGGCAGTACTTCTGGAACCTCTGAGTATGCCGCACTCCGTCGGGCAGCATTTATCTCGGCAAGCGAAGGCTGGGATTGTCGAGTACTGCTATGTAGTAGATTCCGCCGGATCCTCGTGGAGATGAGGCAAGATCGGGCTCGTGTTGCTAGTGTGGCGGATTGAAACATGCATGGGTAGAGGAACGGCATCAAAGTACCGGAAGCCGGACTCATTGCGGCATACGTACCAAGTGTCTCGATGCGCTATAGCTTTCAAGCACCACGGTCTGAGGAAAAGGACTTTGAATATCGCCGCAGCGTGAGAAAAAGTTGTGCAATGCATCGTGACGAGGCTGACGTTTCGATCAATTAGGAATGTAAGCCGAAAACAGCCTTGTTAATATATGTCACGTGCCAAAAAAGAAGACGACCACGATCGGTTGGGAATCTTGCTGAGTGATAGCTCTTGGTGATCTACTTGACTTAGACTTGACTCAGATCAAATCTATCAAGAGGCAGGATAGTACATCTTGTCTGTGACAGCGATAGGTTCCCGATCTCATCACGTTCAAATACCAAGATGACACACCGCGCTCGAGTTCGGCTACCTACCGACTGACTATTGAAATTCGCCATCACACATACATGCTGGTGACTGGATCAGCATGATCGCTGTGCTTGCGACTTCTATAAATATTCCGATTAGAACCACAGACTTCGAGGTTACACTATGTGAACGAACTTGGTTGAAGAAAGACAAGAGGGAGGCACGAGCAAAGGCACCACAGAACGCGAGCACAGTCCAGTCCAGTCTCTAGTGGGGTTGATTCACCAACAACAGGTTACCCGAACCCGAAGTATACCAGTAGTGCATGCCAGATCCACAAGCTCATGAACAAGGTAACAGGAGTAGAGAGGTAGTCCTACCAGGTCTCCTGAGACCAATGATAGAAAACCCGAGATGGCGTAATTGAAGGCGGCCAGTATGGTGAAGAAGAAGTGTCGTATATCGAGACTAGTGATGCAATCGACTCGCTAGGAAGATCTCTGCGGATTGTGCTCCAGTTCTTGATGAAGCTAATATTAGAAGTCATTTATTTCGTTGTGTTTGCTAAGCTGTCTTGCCGCTTCTGGAGAAGGGTCTTTCTAAAGGTCTTTCCCTCGAGAAGTGCAAATTGATAAGAAGAACGCAAGGATGAAGTTCGTGACGACTCGTGGTCAATTGTGGGCCATAAAAGATGCACGTCAATAAGCACAAGTCGGTCCATCAAGTGTTCAGCAAACTGGAAATATTAAGCTGAAATTCCAAAGCTTCGAGGGTTCGAAGACGCTAATCGACATTGGGTTTCAAGACCAGATATCGAGGAGGAAAAATACAGAGCACGATGCCGCAGTCAAATCTGGTAGCCGGTTCATCGCTTAGAGGATGTACGGAACCAAATTGCAACTCAACCGTGGGAGTTCCAAGCGACGTCCGAATACGAACCTTAGAGCATAGGATTTCAGTGAGAGAATGGCGACTTCTTCCCAGCAGGCGCATACCTCCCTTTATGGGGCGCGACGAATATAGAAATGTCAACCTGATCACAAAGAGTTAGAAGGGTTGTTATGATTGTGGTCGCCACTTTGGAGAAGAAACAAAATTGTGGCGTCCCCATACGCTCGAGATGGAACCCAATGGTTGGAGGAATTTAGTACCGAAGATTTATACTCATGGACTGGGATTGTCTCGAAATAGAACTGCACTGGATGCTTTGGCGAAGAGCGGATAGATTTCCTCTGCATGGAGAGCAAAGTTCAAGAGATCATTCCTCCATCTTTCGCTGCTAGTGCATTACGTTTAGCGAGACTCGAGAAAGCACTATGCTCAGTTGGGGAACATCCGTGAGCGTTGCGTTCAGGTGTCGGTCCATATTGCTTCCTCGGTCTTTTCCTTGGCCTTCCCAGTCTGCAGGAATACAGCCTAAAGAACAATCACTTAGAGCCCAAGCTGGTAGCTTGAAATAAGGTACGATGGGTGTAGTATCGTAGTGGGGCAAACACATTTTACATATCTTCTAAAGGCTCTTCGTATGTACCTATGAAGAAACAATTAACGATAGAATCTTGATGGTGGCAGTCGGGCACCCTATCGTGCCAGCCGCCAAGAAAAGGCTACAACTTTGCTATTTTTAGCCATTTCTGTGCCTTTAACGACTTCAAATCTAGGTTGATTTTGCCAACCCCTCACAGCACTCGAGCATCGAGGTGGCATGCATCGGTAGTTCCAGAGGAGCGAATTAGCTAAGAGAATAGAAGAAATACAAGTTCTAAAAGACCAGTGACCCACCAGCTCCCCCTCCCACGAGAAACGCCACTTATGAGCCATGTCCGGTAAAAGCTGTATCTCAATGTAAGGCTAAACTCCGCTTAGAGGAAGTACTAGACTGGATCAACTTCGGCCGTCGATGACGCCTTCCCTCCAGGCCATATGTTTTAACCCAAGGCGACGTTGGGTTCGATTGTGCATGACCAGGACCGACGCTCGTTTTGTGGAATCAGCCTTGCATTCTGCCGCTCTTGGCCAAGCCACTTTGGTGTCAACTTTCCAAACGGAGCAGCTCTAATGCTTTTCATCTCATACGGCGATATTTCCTCCTTTGCAGGAACGTACTGGGTTGCAAAGATAGGGTTTGGAACTTCCCCAGGTTAAGGCGGGACGTATTCGTACTCATCAGTTCCGTTGATATATTCGGCTAGCGGATTAGATCCTCCATGAATGCATCGTTGTCAAGTTCGGCGGACTCCAGGGGAGGTCACCAGAGCAGGGCAATATCAGGCTATGGTAACAGTATATGGATGGTTTGGCAATGAACCCAGAAATATAAAACGTCCCTTTTCCACCTCTGATCGATCTAACCCGTGTGTCATTATCTCATCTTCATCATGTTGAACATTCGCTCTCGACTGAGGCTGCTAGCTTTTGCGACATTCTTTGCGCAACATCTTCCCTTGTCACAAGCGCAAGCATGTCCACCATTCACCCCTAATCTTCCAATCTCGAGACCGTTAGCAGGAACTGCTGCCATTGCTGCGACAATACAAAACATAACTGGTCTCATCGACGCTGTCCTAGCAGAAGGTATCATAAGCGATAATGACACATCGTTTTCCGTTGATATATACTCTCTTCATGATGGTGGCTCGCTGTTCACTTACCACTATTCTGCGCCAAACCTGCAGCATGCAACCGAGGGTGTGACTTCCGTGGATTCAAACTCAATCTACCGCATTGGTAGCATCTCAAAGGTCTTCACTGTGTACACCTACCTTGCAAGCTCGGGCGATATCTCGTGGAATGAACCAGTCACGAAATACGTCCCAGAACTTGCCAAGGCTGCATCTTCCACCAAGGATGACAGTGACCTTGACGCTGTCAGGTGGGACGATATCACTCTTGGATCTTTGGCTTCACACCTCGCTGGGGTCATCAGAGACGTGCAAGGAAATATACCGTCATCTTTGGCGGTTCTAGGATTGCCCCCCGTGCCAGAAACGAATGGTTCTTATTGTGGTTCAGATCCCCAATTTCAATTCCCATGTGACCGTGCATGTAAGTCGTGAGATACCTGAGCTAGTGATTTCATCTACTGACAAGCTCAGTCCTGCTCGAGACCATCACCGCCAGACACCCGGTAGTTGCGCCCTTCCACGCCCCGATTTACTCCAATCTGGCATTCCAGCTACTGGCTTTCGCCCTGGAGAATATCACCTCGACTCCGTTCGATGAGCTCGTCAATACTACGCTGTCCGACATCCACCTCAACTCGACGTATTTTCACCTCCCACCTTCTGCAGACAACGCGGTGATATCAATTAATGACACTTACTCTTGGTATTCGACAGACCTAGGACCCCTTGGTCCTGGTGGATCATTCTACAGTACCATTAACGACTTACGCACGTTCGGTCTCTCTATCCTGAACTATACGGTCTTGTCTCCAGCACTGACGAGAAGATGGCTAAAGCCTCATACGTTCCTCGCAGACGCCTACACGTCCATAGGCGCGCCTTGGGAGATCTTCTCCTTCCCTCCGGATGACCGCTACCCGACAAGAGTTTATGCCAAGTCTGGCGCGGTCGGCCTATACGCCTCCGAAATGGCTCTCGTCCCAGACTATAACGTCGGTTTCACAATCCTGGCAGTCGGTCAGATATCATCAGCGATCACCACAATCGGCTCTGATCTAATTGGCGCTCAATTGATCGCAGGAGTCAAGGCCGCGGCACGAGAGCAAGCCGAGAAGCTGTACGCAGGTATCTATGAAGACGAGGCGACCAATTCCACCATCAAACTCAGCGTCGTGGAAGATGCACGTGGCGGGCCGAGTCTGCATGTCGACAGCTGGATCTCGAATGGGTTGGATGCAAAGGCGCTGTTCGGTCTGCTGCTAGGTGTGGACACGACTGTGATGGAGCTTGATTTCACCCTCTTCCCCACCGGCCTGACCGGCAAAGGCCCGAATGGCACGAACCTCGTCAGCTGGCGCGCTCTCTACGGCCTGGTGCTTCAAGGGCCCACCGCACCTGCGGACAACAGTACTTCGCAAAACCCCGTCATCATCAACAACAGCATTTTAGAGTCAGTCGTCGGCCCGTTCAGCCTTTCATGTAGTGGATGGGCCGCCGTCGATGCATTGTCATATGGCGGAATAGCGTTCGACGAGGTTGCCTTCGGTACGGACCCACAGACCGGCGACGTCCTATCTGTGGAACTGCGCGTCTTGCGATCGGAGCCCCTGGAGAAGGTCAGCGGTGGCAGTGGGAACAGCACTCTCTTGAAAAGAGTCGAGAATTTGAGGTCGAAGATGGTGAAGAGGCACGCGTCTGCGAGTCCTTTCGTTCTCTGAGGGCCACCGCGACGGGTAGAGGAGAGTTCCTGTCAACGTCCAACAAACATCGATCCACAGAAGATATAGGGGGCGCTCGCCGGGATCATCTGACGCGTGAAACAGATCCTTAGTATAGCTCTGAACAATTAGTATAGCAGAGGCAACGATCGTTAAACTAAACCATATCAGTTCAACAACACGGGGTTCATGCTGGTTGAAATTGAAGAAATTGTAACATATCGCCATCAAGTTGGTAGTCTTGAAAAATGTTGCCTCATGACATAATGAGGTCGTTCATTATAATCCCATAGCAGGGCATGGACATAGATCAGGGAGGATGAGCTACTTGACTAGAACCAGACCTGTTACACGTGGTCTGGGATGTGTCAAAACACCAATATGTCGGATCAACCTTGTGCCCTCTGATCTGGTGACTCTGGTGCAAAACCACCTCAACCCTTCGCAAGCCGTGTCCCCAAGCCCCGGGTCGGCAAGCTCGGCTGGCGCCTGACACTCCTCCTGCCGACGGTATTCTGCACCTCGATCCACAGCTTCAGCGCATCGGCATCGCCCGTCTGCGCATGCCACAGGAACGACTCCATGATCTCTTTAGCCTCGAGCCAGCTCGAGACATTCGCGTCGGCGGCGGCGCGCCCAACCAGCGTCACAAACGCCTCTCGCTCGGTCTCGTGGCCCACCGCCATGATCGCCCCGAGAACGGTGGCCCAGAACACGAGGCGGATCTCCTGCGTGGTCAATTGCACCAGGATATCTGTTGTGTCGTTTAGCTTTTGAAGTTCCAGGAGGAGACGCCTGGCGAGCCGCATTCGCGGGAATGTCGAATAGTCGGTCGGATAGGTTACGCAGTTGGCGTAGCATATCGCTGCCAGCCGTGTGACTTCGTAGATCTGAAGTTGGAGTTCGAACCGCAGCTGGCTTGTGCTGGGCCCCGAGACATTGTCTTCCTGGGCGATGTCTTGCAGCTCCTCCTTCTCTTGTTTGTATTGGTTGTTGAGATCGGCAGCGGGAGGGAGTGATAAGAGACTGTGCTGTGTGAGCTGCATCTGGTCGAGAATTAGCGATGCGTAGCGTATGATAGAGCCGCCCGAGGCATAGTCGTCGGATATCGAGGTCATGTCGGCAAGATATCCCCATACCACACTGGGTTGTGGTGAGTCTGAAGGCGTTTCAGGGAATGTTACATCGTGGAATCCAGTGCCGCGAATCTGGGGTGTGGAGGATTGGGTATACTCGAACCCGGTCTGAAATCGCAGTAGTCTGTTTCCCTGGACGAGGTGCTCGATGGGATGGAGACTGGCGAAGGGGAAGAGAGGCGCTCTCAGATGTCTTCCGGAGAAGTGGATACCCTGGCTGCGATAGATGTCAGTCTCCGTTGCAGGACACGTTGGTTGTTTGGACTATTGCTCACAAGCACACTGATCGCCGGATCTGGGCGCTCTTGATGTTATGCACTCCACCGAGGAGCCTTACGATCGTGGCGAGACCGATCATATGCTCCTCAGCGACATTGAGGCCCGTCGCCAAATGCAGCAGATTCCACGTCTTGAAGTTTGACTGTCTCGGGCACGGTATGCTTCTGTCAATGAGGGGGAGATATGGTGGGAAGGAGAGATGCAAGATGGTAGAAATGGTGCTCTCATGAGTTGCAAGGGAAGAATCATCTAGAGCTCGCCGTAACGACTCGAGCGATTTGCTGTAGAAGAACATCTCCTGCGGAGTGTGTTGCAGCGATCCGCCCGCCAGCCACCGTCGACTTGTCGCGGAGAACCACGCTGCTCCCCAGTATGCATGTTCGTGGTGTAGTGCGTGCTTTGTGTATGGTAGAACACTGGTCTCTGCGGCTTCGCCCACGAAGAAGTTAGAGTATACTTGGTGATGAGCTGCGTCAGTAGCAACGATGTTAGCATTTTTGCTTCATACTGTTTGGATATGTGAGGGTTTTCTGCTCGTCCTCACTCACCATGTAGTACGAGCCTCGCTACGAGATCACCTCCGTCGGCGCCGGAGGGCAAAGTGTTGAAGCTGTCAAACCGCCCTCCTGGTTGCGTTGTAACAGCTCTCAAGGCTAGGCTAGTACTTTGACGTCTTGGAAGGATCGGTTTGGCTGACCCAGGCTTTCTTCTGCTGGTGGCAGCACTAGTAGTAGAGGCAGCAGCGTCGTGCCGCTTTCCATGACGGTGTTCTCTGTCAACATGGAGGACCTTGCCACTGTTCTCTCCAGAGGTCCCGAATGCGTCTAGCTGGTCATCTCCTAGTGAACTTTCGTCATGGTAAACGGCTCGATCTTGAGGCTCATTGGGAGGACCCACATGAGGTCCTGCATCATAGTCCTCCATCAGAATGGAAGTGAACGGGCATGATAGATCAAATCAGAGCGATGATATGCTCTCGTAAACAGGCTTCAGGCGCTGCATCAGAGAACGGTGAGTCGATGCGAGAGCCGGCAGTAGAGCCAAAGCCTTAGTAAGTGTGGTGCACCAAAACGGTCGGCCTGCCACACACGTGATGCCAAATGCCTGCTCTTTCCGGCATGCTGATGCTGTTACCGTGCAAGTTGACCGGACTGAGACGGAGGAGACTGAGTGGACTGAACCGTAGGCGGAATTGTAGGACTGATCGCTTCAAATGAGACTGGTTGCCATACTTGAGAGCGTTTGATAGTAGATGGCATCCTGATGTGAAGGAACGACGTTTGATATTTGGTAGTCATCACCAATAGAAGTTGGCGAATGTACTATCAGAAAACGGCATGGTCGCCAAGCACGGGAACTGAGCGGTAGCCCCAAGATCAGGGGCCGTTTATGCTGCATCAAAACATGGATCTGTGGCTGTATTATTCAGCCATTTTGGTATAAGAAACGACTGACCAACACCATAAAACGGCGACGGGACACAAGGTGAAAATTCGTGGCCAACTGGCAATGTTGGGGTTAGACGAGTTAAGAAGCCAGAGGGACACACTGCTAGCCAGTAACTATAATCAAGTGCATGACAAAGATCGCGCACCGAACAATAGATAAAGAGGAGCTTTTCGGCTGTGTCCGTATTTAAAAGCTCACAAAGGAAGATTGTCTAGGTATCTTCAAGATGAAGACTCTTCAATGCCGTTAAGCATATTTTATATTCAACCTTAGTGCACATTGACATCTGTGGTTAAGAAAGTACACTTGGGGTGCCGCTGTGCGAACCATTCAACAAGGTCCGAGGGCCAAACTTTGTGCGTACCTACGCTTGTTACTGGGGTTGTGAACGGTAGGGTTTCGAACCTCAAGGCCTTTGATATCGTCAATCGTAACCTGAGTAGGATGTGGGTGGTGGATCGCTCGGGGTGGGACCGCTTTTGATGACTGCTTAGGTCACTGAGATTGGCCCTCCCCAACTTCTCCTCGTGTTGTCCTCGCTGGTGTCCTAGCAGCTATGCAAGCCCAGCTGCAGGGGAGTTTGATTCCATGACCCAGATGAGAGCTAGGGCCTAGCGAGGCGTACTAGCAGGGGATAATCTATGCAGTCATGTAGTCATACACTTCGTCTCCTATCAGTGTTGAATTGATGGGTTACCATATGCTAGAGTGCAACGATGAAGAAAAGGTTGCCTGGCTGTGGCTGTGGCCGTGGTATGGGATTTATTTCATTCCTCATCCCACTGGGAATCATCGTCTTCTTCAAGCATTTTTTTACTGATCTCGAGGAATAGAAAGATTCCATCAAAGTCACTAACATCTTCAGACCATAGGTAATCTTGGAGAATTGCTTGCATCGACTCCCACGACGAGATATTGAGCTTCAAACAAAATTTGGCGGCAAGCGCGACGAGGGAAGTCCTTCGAGGTGTTCCGATCGCCGCCAATGCGGCCATGGTCGAGGTCCAGAGGAGAAGTGAGGTCATTTCGGTGTATTCATTGTCTTCAAGGACTTGAAGAATCCCTGCTTCCAGTCTGAAAGCAAGTTCTGGAAAGGGTGCCGTTGTTAGTGGCAAGGGGAAAATTGCAATGAAGCTATACACAATTAATGCATTGCGGACGACGCTGAAAAGGGCAGCGTCGTCGATGCTAGTCAGCATGGACAAGTCGTCTTCTAGGGGTAGGGACATCAGTTGATGCTGCGTCCAATTTCTGGCGTCACAGACACACTCAACGCCAAACCAGGAGAGTCTGTTTGATAGTAGTGCTGCCTGAATGGTGTTGTACGAAGAGATTTGAGTGATCGTGGTTAGAAGAGGTGCAGACAGGGCAGGACCCAGAGTGGCCGCATATCTCAGAAATCCAGGAGAGTCCTTCGGCCTCAGCTGGAAGATGACTTGGTTGTAGAGGGCAGGGAAGTCGAGATTGAGAAATGAACAGGGCGATCGGGGCTTTGTCAATGTGCGACACGACGAAATTATGTCGTTCCTGGAGGGGGTACGGTTTTAGTATCTCATGACACGTGGTTCTGGACTTACGAGAAACACTTACTGTGTTTGACATATCCTCAGACCACTCCAGAATGGATCGATTTGATGTGGATTAGTATCCAATATCTTTCTGGCGGCTTCTTCATGGTAATTCAACCAGCGAGGTGCAATCCCAAAAAGGTCGAGATTTTGAAGTTTGGTCAAGGTGCTTTGCCTTGGTCCTGACTTGACGACACGCAAAGCAACATTCTCCGTCGTTCCCAGCGCAAGAGACTGCATTGCAGAACAGAGCATACCTAATGCATTAGGTGGAGCCATGTAGTTGGGATCTGCAAGATCAGAAATCATCTGAATTACTGATTTCACAGCAATATTGTGACATAAATCCAAAAGCCGTGTATGTTTGCGAACTGCAGCGTTGGTTGACGTTCGGTCAATCATACCCTTGGCACAAACCCAGACCGCAGCATGAAATGAAGCCGGGTGTGATCGCATCTGTTGGACGTATCGACCTGCCATCATATTCATGGTTCGTGCTTGATTGCCGACGAAGGTGCGGTTAGTGACTTCGTATACTAAAAGTGGTCAGCATTGTATTCTTGGCTGAGCTTAGCTGTTCTCAAAGATGGTGTGGACATACCCAGGTGATATAAAGGTGCCACACTGCCGGAGGGGAGCTCTGTGGGATAGCCACCGGGTTGGAGTGAGCTATCATTGCCTGGGGCAGGTACTTTGACCAGCCTTAGGCGAGACTCGGTGTCAGTCTCAACAAATTCACCCAGATCCACAAGCCGGTTCCTCTGGCTTTTTTTGGCGTTTTCTGAAGGTAAGCCTGTGGTTTCTGGTACCTTGGTCTTCCTTCCTCTAGGCCGCACTGCTTTGGATCGTTTCCATTGGTATCGAACAGCATTGGAACGGACAGCATGGATACTTTCTGGTGTCGTTTTTCGGAGAGGATCATACTGCACTAGTTGAAATGTTCTTGGTGAGGACGATCCTGATGTGGAAGTGGGAATTTTGGAGCTCCTGGAACTGGTGCCTTGCTCAGGGAGAGGGTCATCTTCAAGCGAACGGGGTTGTTGGTCGCTTGTCGTCTGTTTGCCGTTTCGCAAGCGGGGAGAACCTGGAATTGTGAGCAGTTTTGGCGCACTCGGCACAAGTTCGACGTGTGAAGGCAATGGACTTTTCATCACTTGATAGTCCCCGCCCGTCGGCCTTTTTGTGACGTGTTGACGGGCGTTTTGAGGGGAAGGGCCTATTCGGTAAGCACCCGCCCAAGCAATGCGAGGTTTTGATCGAGTTTCTGAGTGTTTGGGGCCCATACTCAGAGCCTTCCGCTCTGATAGTGCCCTTTGACGACCAATAGTGCTGGCATGAGAGCGAGCTTTTGACATCTGGAGCATTCTTTGCCGCGGTGACACACCTTGAGGCAGATTCTCCAAGATGAGAAACCGGTCTGGGTCCATTTTGATGAACTGGATTCTTGTGTATAGGATTTCATCCCAGGATCTGTATTAGGAATTTGGGTTGTGAACGTATATTGTTGTTGATAGACCTGTGGTGCGAGTGGTAAAGGATCAATAAACTATGCCTCAAAATGGGTCATCAGCTCATCAATCGGTAGGGCGAAGAACATTAATATGAGATCTCTTCAACATCGCTTATCGAATGTGAACACAAGGTAGTTTCTTGCACGCCACAATCCTGCTAGGCTTTGTAAGGAATTGCGCTCCTTGGCGAAATGCCATGCTGTTGGAACCCTGACGTTGTTTGCATGAGCAGTTCGAAAGTGACTGCCTTTTTGGTGTAAGGTCTGGGTATTTCAACGAATACATGAACCACCGAAATGGTGGATAGAGTCTTTGACGTTGCGATACATCAGAGCTTTAAACATGATCCAATCGAAATCCGTGTCTAGGTGATACCGTATGAGAGTGAAATGACAGCATTGGCATTCGGTGGGAAATTTCACTAGAGAGCTCTCGGGGACCAGGGAGTCTGTGATTAGTCTGGGTATTCCCCAGTCTGCCAACACTTCAGCTCGGTAAGGCTGGTGTTCGAGCCACCGTCCGATCCGTCCTTAGGGCATCTGAAAGCGAAAGAAATTCAAATTGGAGCGGGATGATCTGACTCAGGATGTAGGTAATGACGACTCGACGCCTTGGGAAAACTTGAACAAATATGAGTTCTATGGAACTAAGAATGGAAGCGAAGCCGTTTATGCAAATCAAATGGAAAAGGGCTTGGCAGATTATTTGGAAATGGACGATTCTCGCTGTGTTCCCGTACGTAAGAAGAGTTTATCAAGATCAGGCTGGTGTATGGACAGCGAAACCAGGTTTATCAGCGTGCTGTTTCTAACATTCGGGTCGGCAGTAGCAGATTCATAACTGTGGTCTCAATAAGGAGAATAACGGCCGTGAGTAGTGGTCTGGAGAGAGCTACCAGTCCGCACATCTGTGGTCAAAGGGCCACAGACCACTATACGTTTATAGTGTCCGAAAGTGGGAGAAGATGTCGGAGTGGGCAATCGCGTTGTAGGTGAGCGACCAGATCAACCACGATGGCAAGAGTGTCAATCGCATAACTCCTCTGGCGTGTTGGTGTACCTGCTGGAACCTAGAGTCTCGGCTGTGACAACTTGTGGAGGTACACAACCAAAACTTCATCAAGTGCTGTGGCGGGTACACTTATTAGCATTTTCCTATGGATCGGAAGTGCTTCCCGATGTGACGGCGATCGAGTGTCAAGGACGGGGTACAGAACATGTGCATGAGGCTCGCGAGAATATCGATTTCCGAGACATGACCTATGAGTCGGTTATTGAAATCGCGAAGTGGCTTTGCATCTTGCATGCCATTCAGGGGTTAAGATCTGATGCAAGGCAAGCCTGGGCTGATCGCTTAAGCCAAAAAAAAAACATCCAGAAGCTCTCTGAGGGTGTGCCCGGCAAAAACCACAGGACATTGGTGGGTCGCTGCCATTGGCGTATATCGAAACGCCATCGACTTAATCTGGGTAGTCGGTATTTCTTCCAGAGCAAGCGTACAGGGTAACTCTGAGGCGCCCCATAGTCCTCTGGTGCTTCCTGCTCTCCAATGCCACGCTATTATTTCCGTCCCATTGCCGGTAAGTAGGCCCGTTCATATCACCCTATTAACCTTGTTTTGTTGCTATTCGCTAGCGTGTTTGGCCAAATTGTCACTTCATCACCTGACAGCCTCTGCTCTTGCCAGTCGGTACCTCACCGCCTCGCGGACCACATCTGCATTCCAGACTCCATCATCACCACCCTTTGCAAACTCCATGCCAGCAACATCTCCCTTTTCTACCTCAGCAAGTAAAACACTTAGGTCTTTCTTTTGGCTGTTCATCCATCGATCCATGAACTTCTTGGGATCTTCTGACATTGATTTGAAGAATGCATGTCGGGACTTGTGATGAAGGGTGGCCTGGACTAGCACGGCAAGGTCATCATCGATTTTGTTGATATGGCGTAGAGAAGCTTGGTGATCAGGGTTCTGGGTCATCTTGAATATCAGCGGACGCAAGGGGTCTTCAATAGTGACTTGAATGTCATAGACAGTTGGTTCTGGGTTTGAATGGAAAGCTTCATCCACTCTGATGGTGTAGGGTAGCCGGATGGCTGGTAGCGGATGAAGATGGGGGATGATTCTCTCTGCGGCTTGTGGGAAGAAGAGTGTCTCTGTATTGAAGATTTGACGAAGACGTTCGTCACAGCGAATGGTCCGCCGCTCCTCATCTTCTTGCAGACCCATAGCTTTCACGTAATCCCAAATACCCATGACAACTTCAGGGCGATCAGCTTCCTCCATATCCAAGGTGGCTGCAAGGGCTTGGCTCAGCCGAAAGCGTTCCGGTTGCTCGTCTCTTGTTAGACATACGGTGATGTTGAGATTCTCATCCGATTTGCGTTGGAATTGCAGATAATCGAGATCAGAGCTATTGTTCGCACCCTTGGTCCACGATACTTGGTAATTTGGGTCACCACTGCTAGTACGGGTCTTGTCGAATTCCACACTGATAGATTTGAAGAAGTGGGTGAAGCGTTTTGAGGGCTGCTTTGCTTTGGATGGGTCGTCGTCTTTCTCTGCCCGGGCTTCAACATCATCGTCAGTGTCATACATGATATCGTCCTCGGGCTCTTCCAGCAGTCTTCCCTCCACTTTCACCACATAAGACGGCTCCCCTTCTGCCTCAAAAGTGAAACTTCCCTCGTCGGGGTTGGCTTGCCAGGTTTGGTGGATGGCTGTATTGGAGATCCATATGCGCATGGTTCTATGTCTTTTGACGTTCCTTGTATAGGTGTCTTGAAGCTCCAGACGTTTCCTGGCCATGACATGGTCCAACTTCTTTTCAGTCTCACGTAGCTCTCTGTATTGTTGAACGCTGTTGCCGATGACCAGGTTATCAATATCTTCAGGCAGTGATCGGTCAGTGGGTTTCCGGGCTCGTCGTTGTGCTAATTGGTGTTCGATCGCTGCATTGCGCTGGCTGATTTGTTGGTTCACGATCTGGGCCTGAGCTTGTTGATGGGCATGTTGCGCTTGAGGCATTGGTCCTATGTTCTGTTAGTCCTCGAACAGCACCTATGCTTGGGTCGCACTCACCTGGCCTACGTGCCGCTGGAGACCTTCCGTGCGCCTGGGCATATTGACGGTAGTGCGGGTTCATTTGCGGGTTCATCTTCGGGAGATGGGTTGAGGGTGTTGGAAAGGACCGGTGTCAAAAGGGAGACGTTCCCTGGTATATGTTCTTGCAAACCCCGGGCAGTCAAAGAGATGATAGATGAACGAGCGTGAGAATTGATGACCAGGGTTCCGTCGACTCAACCGGAGACGCGCCGCGAATAAATGGAATATCTGCGCTAGAGAAATATGGGAGTAGCGTCTTGGCGGTTGTTGATGTATTTGGACTAGCTCGAAATGTTGTCATTGAAAAAGCACAAGGCTGCATCACTCTTTCAACCGAGTTCATCGTTAAATTCCCTATCCGATCTTTGAGTAGTGGTCCAGTATCGTGTGTACTCATACAAAGGAACAGGCCTCTAGATGTCATGGTGACCGGTCCCTGTGACTATTGCTCTGCGATCAACAAATAATCGTCTACTAGGTACCAAGAAGACGGTGAGTGACCGAGCAGATAGTCCAAAGCGAGATCACCACGATAGATTTGCATCATGGGTAAACCGAGATTGATCATAATCATTCGCCATGCCCAATCTGAGGGCAATCGGGACAAAACTATCCATCAAACGCTCGCAGATCACAAGGTTGGCTTGACTCCTGAAGGTCATCAACAAGCTCTGGAGGCTGGCGAAAAGCTTCGCGCTTTACTGCGTCCCGATGACACTCTGCACTTCTTCATATCTCCTTACAGGCGAACCAGAGAGACTACAGAAGGGATATTGACTGGCTTGACTTCAAATGATCCTGCACCTTCACCTTTTCAACGGTCCTATATCAAAGTCTATGAGGAACCCAGGTTGAGAGAACAGGACTTCGGCAATTTTCAACCTGGATCGGAGGAGACCGAGAGATTATGGCGGGAACGAGCCGAGTATGGCCATTTCTTCTACCGGATCCCCAACGGGGAGAGTGGTGCCGATGTTTATGACCGAGTATCTTCATTCAATGGTTCTTTATGGCGACGCTTTTCAGAAGACAACATGGCAAGCGTTGCAATTCTGGTGACGCATGGGCTATGTAGCCGTGTCTTCTTGATGGCATGGTACCACTACAGTGTGGAGTTCTTCGAAGATCTTCGGAATATCAACCACTGCGAATTTCTGGTCATGAAGCACAGCCCAAATGGGAGATACGTGTTGCAAAATCAACTACGCACGTGGTCGGACCTTAAGAGGGAAAGAGCCGCCAAGAAACAAAGTGTGTCATCCCCAACGACGGTAGAGCCCATACCTGTCAGACGCTGGGCATCTCATCGAACGGCACATGATCCATCAGGCGTCACCTTCTCGCCACGCCCAGAAAGAAAAAACACAGCTGATATGTTCAAGGACGATGTTGACATTAGGGAGGAGTCAGAAGAAGGCAGGGCCAATGGATCTCGTGGTCAGGAAAACAAGGGCAAGGAAATTCGTCGGAGTTCAAGTAAGGATAACCAGAGCTCGAGAGTTAGGTCTTCAAGTAATCTACGAAATTCGATTAGCGCCCTCGCTCTGGACACTGGAAAGAGGAATCAATCCTCTGGATTGAAATCATACTTGGGCCGAGATGGTGGTGGGTCGAGATCCGGGGCGGGCTCTCCTTTTGGATCAGGATCGGATGAGGAGAGCTTTGAGGGGACACCACAACCCGAGGCTCTCGCCACATCATTCGAGTCTGGGAAACATCAGTTCTCAACATCATTGGCACGTGCTTTACGGGGCGACTTTGATGATCCTAATCGACCACTTGCTGATGCGTTGGGCGATCAGAGTGATGCCGAAGTAGATGAAGCCGACCTTGAGATGGGAACCAAAGAACGAGAGGAGAAGGAAATGGAACAGATCATAGAGGATGAGATACGAGAGAGAAGACTCAGCACTGTGAAGTATTGACCTCAAATTGAGGCGAAGTATGCAAGTAGAATACCTAAGGTACCTAGGTAGTAGTACCTAGGTAGTAGTATACCACACAGAATTCAATGACGAAACGGTACTTCTCAGCCTTGTACTGGAATTCTCAGCCTCGTCACCCGCCAAGACATATCAACACGGCCGTCCAAGCCATTCCAAACTCACGTTGTTCTCAAAGAGACTCGACATTTCATCATATTCATATGCTCCATGAATGACTTGGACAGTTGACGAAGAACTAATGTGACGATCGACGTACCGACTGGCCCAAAATCATGGCGGACAGTCTGTATCAACTCTTGAAACCGCAACCCGAAACAGCGGCGGGCAAATCAACACCGACGGAGAGTGATGCAAAATATCTTGCTCGTCTAGTCTCACTCAAACTCTCAGACTTGACGACAACAGAACCGCAATCGCTGGCTCAGTCGACTCAGAGCAATATAGTATCAATTCAAGCACTAAGTTCTCGATCACATCGAACCACAACCACTTCATCTGACCACCTGTCCACACTCCGACAATCACTCCCACTTCTTTCCTCGTCTGTCGAGGCAATTCGTTCATTAATACCAGCGCTAGACAGCAGTGCTGTTGATTTTGCTTCATCTTATAGTAAGTCCAAAGATGACAACTTACTGCTCAAGGAGAGGAAGGACGCGGCACTCCTGACCCGCCAAGCCGACAAGGCCCAGGACATTCTCGACCTGCCCAACTTATTATCTGCCGCCATCGCTTCCGCCGGCACAGCAGGTGCGGCGGGTACCGGCGGTAGCAGTTCCAATTACACGCAGGCTCTTGACTTGCTCGCGCATATCAAAAGGTTGCAAATTCTATACCCAGACTCCAAACTCGTCAAGACTGTACTCTGCGACGCAGAAGTCGCGATGATAGACATGACGACGAATTTAATCACGAGTCTACGATCCCAGAATATTCGTATGGCCGCTGCCATTAGAACTATCGGATGGCTTAGACGTGTGGCGCCTGAGCTAGAGCTCAACAGTAAGAAGTCAGCTTCCTCCAAACCATCGTCCCTCAGCGTCCAGTCGATGGGCGTATCATCAGCGACATCAACTGCCACTCTTGGGGAAGGTCATTTTGGTGCGCTGTTTCTATGCGCCCGTCTGGCGACCTTCCTCAGCATGACAGAAGCACTATCACCACTACGCGATCTCGCAGATCAGGAGACCACGGCTCGCAACTCGAACCAGCAGCGAAGCACAAGCCAGGCCAACGGATCTTCCAGTCAGAGACCACAACCCACACGTCAAGGCTCTTCCGGGATCGGCAATTCCTACAATCCGGCTCTACAAGGCCAGCAGACGGAACGATATCTCAAACGCTACATCGAGATCTTCCGTGAGCAGTCCTTCGCGACCATCAGCATGTATCGCAACATCTTCCCCACCGAGGACGAAGAGAAAGGCAGTCCCGCGACAACACCACAGCCATCACCATCGTTGAGTGAATCACTCGCTCTTCCCTCGGCGCTCCAGTCCTTCCCACTCCACCTAGTCTCGCTCTTCACCGAAACACTTGCGGAATACCTGCCCAACGTGACAGACCCAACCGCTCGCGAATCGCTACTAATGCAGGTTCTCTACGCGGCGAACAGCCTCGGCCGCTTAGGCGCAGACTTCAGCCTTGTCATTGCCTTGCTCGCAAACGATGAGGTCGATGAAGGCGATGACGAGGATGACGACGTGGCCGACGACCCTCAAACCGCCGCGGCGGACGACAGCGCCCGGGATGATTCTCAAGCGACCGCCAGCGCTGAAGCACCGACCGAAGATACCACATCCTCGGGCCCTAAGAACGCGACTCCGCAAGCAGAGGCCATTCCAGCCGCGCCAGCCAAGGAGGCCGAATGGGTTGCCATCATCAAGAAGCACCGCGTCCAGGCCGCTCGACTGGAAGCGCTAGCGGCAGGACAGGACCGCGCGGTCGGCCATGGCGGCATTCAGAGCCGTGAGATGGGAAATGTCCTGCCTGTGCGCTAGGTGCGTGTTGGAGATGATGAGTTAATGATGTCTTGCATGTCGTGGGGCTGGGGGTTCTGCATGGTATCGCGGCGTGGATAGAGTTGTGCTGAAAGAGGGTAGATCGAAGTGCAGGACTCGCAATGCTAGCGGCGTGATACACTCTTAAAGCAAATGCAATTATGTCACACGGCGTTGATGACACCATGGAATACAAGCGTTGACCTCATTGTTGAAACATGTTGCTGCCTAGGTATGTATCTAGGTCCTAGCTCCCAAACCAATTATTCAAATAAGACTGGCGCTCCCTTCATTCTGATCCCCTGGACCAACGCAAGCATTGCCCGCTTCCTCGGTAGCCGTGTTTGAGATGACGAAATTCTTAGCACATACAAAATGCCAATTCCGCTCCTGTGGGCACGAACAAACAAACTGGTCCAAATGCGCTTGTCCCCGGTGCATTCGCACTTTTTGGTTCTTGGCGATAATGTCCATCGCCTGCACTCAGAATCTCCAGCTTAAAAGCCAAACTTGCGCTTCTTGATCCGTGGAATGAGACCCACAAGCACCAACAGACTAGACACAACCACTGCCCACGGCTTGATGTGTAACGCATTGTGGTTGAATCCTGTGTCAGTTGCAAGTCCTATGACGACTAGGAAGAGAACCGTCAGGACATAGCCCGACGCTCTGCATGACATATTAGCAAGGGTGGCTTCAATGATCATCCTTGGTCATACCTATGGTACTTGTAGAAGGACTTGGCCTTGTCGACAGAACCAAAGATTAGATTGGGCAGGAAAAACTGCGCCAATCCAAAGAGCCACTGAACGAAGATCAAGATGTATGCCACCAGTGCCACCTTTCCATGGGTACTTTGGAAGCGAGTTTCCGGGTGTGAAGCTTTATTCATCTCAATAACAACCAAGCCAGCAATGAGTGCTACGTAGTCCACGTTAGCCGTCACCATTCAGAATAGATCATTTCTTCCATCACATACCAGCAACACCCAACGTATTCAAAATGGAATGTACATATGTTCCATTGATTTTGTCTTTCTGCGCAGCTGTAGGCTGCAGGACGAGAGTGCCTTGCACAAGCAGGAGGACGGCCGCAGAATTGAGGAGAGGGTGGTACGAGAAGAAAATGAAGTTGGCCTGGAATACGGATGCCCACACAAGTGCTGTGAGGATCCAAATACCGGCTTGTGCGAGGACGGCTAATGGAGAGTCAGTCGCAGTAACAGCAGACCAAGGGTCCGTCGTATGGAGGCTCACCTGTTCCGATCACGAAATTCCACTGTAAACCCTGGTCTGGCCGCTGTGTTGCATCTCCTCGACGACCGAGGAGAGGTTCTTCCTCGTCTAGGAGGGGATTGTGCTCCGGGACGCCAGTTGCTGAAGCCATAGCTCTGTACTACAAGTCTGACCCGGGTCTGGGTAATGACGAAGAGGGGTCTAGATAATAGAGAGGGAGGAGAAGGTCTAAAGAAATTAGTCTGTCGACTTACCTGGGACTTCCTACTCAAATAGCGGTCATGGGTGCCCATTAAATTATGCCATTAAGACGGTAGATGAGCCCACCATGCGGTGTTCGTCGATGCGGAGATTATGCACTAAACCTGCCTTTTTGTTGTTGCAGCTGACCAATTCAAGCCTCCGATTGGGTTGTCCGGGGTCCATTACAGGCATGTCTTTCTCTTTTGGTGGCCCGGGGCGAGTTCGCAGAGGCGGATGACGCCACTGTAATGCTTGAGATCGCCCGAAGCCCCCCTGGGCAGGAACCTTTAACTAACGAGGACTGGTTGCCATGGACTGAGCTCTGGGGTATGCTGGGAGACGCAAGGCATTCAGCGGTTGAACATTTATCCTTCCAATCATTTATTGAACTATATATAACAAGTTGGGCATACTCATCTTAGACCCTGATACGCCTCTCAAATCTAACCAGGCACATAGCTAAGAATGCTATTGCAGCAACCACCGATATTGAATCGTAGGGCAAGCCGAGCCAGGCACCTCCGCCCTTCGCTAGACCCAAGTTGAAGAATGCTGCACTGATAGGGAAAGCCACCATGGCACTCAGGGTCTCAACGACAGCGAGCACAGCGAAGACACTCCCCTTGTCTGCTCCTTCCACCAGTGCCGACGCAAGTGCACGCGTTGTCGCGGGGAAACCTGTCGCGAGCGTCTCAATCAAAAGGCCAATGATCATGATCGGAGCAGTCGGGGCGAGCCCAATAACTGCATAAGCGAACACGAGAGTAAGAAGTGATGCCCTTGATAGCACAACATTCTTCTGAATGATGCTCCATGAGCATCGTTTGTCGATTTGGTGAGAAATCATAGGTAGGAGCGTAAAAAGCATGATAGCCGCTGCAGCTGCTTGTATCGCATACACCAGTGTTGCATCTGCCAGTGTCCAATGATATCGGTCACTGACATATCTCTGAGTGAGGTCGCCCAGGGCATAGCATACCACCCGGAAGGGGTAGGTCAAGGCCACAAAAATTAACCTGTAGTCACTCCATATCTTCATGACGTCTCTTAATGACTCTCGAGTATCCTTCCAGGAAAACTTGGGTATCTTGCTTCTCAGAGTTCGTGGCTGAGTCCATTCCTGCCCGTCTCGCTCGCTGTCATGGCTTTCAAGCATAACTCGTGAGGGCAGAGTCTCTGGAATGGAAAACATGAGAAGACATGTCGCAAGAATGAATGCGAGTCCGGTGTATATTGCAAGCCAAGGGTCAAAACGCATCAGGGTCGCAGCGATGATTGGCCCGATGACCTTTCCAAAGTAGCCCATAGAAGTTACTCGGAAGAAGGCAACAGTCCTAGGAATTCCTGTCAGCCTCCTACCAAACACCATCGCCAATTTAAACTTACAGGCCTTCTGCAGTACTGATATCGGTCAATACGCACTAAAGAGTTATTAGCCACTTGTCACCCATGAGCTGATAGACCCATGAACTCACCACCAAGATCAACTCGGCGCCCGCGGAGCCCCCACCGAAGAAGCTGAAAATAGAGCTCAACCAAATGGCTTTTAGCGGAACAGCTCCCTCAAACCACATAATAGCCATAGTCCAGAGCTGGGCGAGGAACAGGCTCGTGAGTGTGGCGATGCCGAAGATACGACGGCCGTAGATATCTGTGAGTTTACCAACGGGAATGCTCACGATCAAGGCGGGAGCGGCGCCGAAAAATTCCGCCCATCCTTTGAGGGTCGATAGCTGCTGCTGGACCTGGGGTATCTTGCAAAGGGACTCCGGTATCTGGCTTTGAAAGGTTACTCGATCGGTCGGGTGCTTGTCGTACCACTCATTGCAATAGATTCTCTCGAGTATTTGCACCTGGGCTGGACCTAGGACTTGAAACCCGAGATTGATCAGGAACACCACCGCGTATAGCTTCAGGAAAACTCGTGTGTAATCTGGCTTTGATTGTTCTGCGATCTCAGGGGCACGACCCACAAGTAACTCTTCGGTTTCTGGTGATGGCTGTTCAACTTGATCGGCACTCGACTCTACGTCGATGGTATCTTTTGCCATGATGAGAAGGCTTGATAGCTCTGAATGCCACAAATCTCAACAAAAGGACGAGAACTCTGGGGTCATATTCCCAAGCGATATTAATAAGTATATAGGTGAAACACTCTAGGTGGGAGTCCTAATTCTGAATCTTGGGGGCTAACTGGAGGGAAACGTTGCAGCCTGGTGCGACAACGAGCGTTGGGTTTCCGCCCTGCCAGAAACGTCACCCTTGTTTCGCGCCATCATTACCCATCTCAAATGTAGCTAAAGCTCACGAGCTCGAGCCTAAGACGCCGTTCAATAGTACTATTCAAGCAGTAAGCAACATTATTCGTTGCAATGATAATACTAAAGAGATACAGCTCCACAGCTTTATCTCGTTTCAAGGTAAGAGTCCGACGGCCATTTAACCGTGTCAAATCTGGATAGGCCAAGGAGTAGATTTGACGTCATTGTTGACGATATCCTCTAACTGGGATTCTCCTCCATCTAGGCACCATGATAAAAACCAATCAATTTCGAAAAGGTATGGGCACGATGGCATCTTGGAGTCCTTTTATTGCGATATCTACGGAAGAATCGGCATGATATCCAGCTAGATTCATGCTCCAGAAACAAGTGGTGTACGGCAACAACGCCCAATACCGTAGGGAAGTTATCGTGGCGATTGGATGTGAGGAGTGAAACCAGAGGTGGTTAACAGTCCTCGCCGCTGATGATCATGTTTCATTTTCAGTACAAGTTACTCTGTGCGAAGACGATGCGCCCTGAGTTAACCTGAACAATAGTGTCTTTCGTAAACCGAAGAAGCTAAACTATCCAGCCATCCAACTGTATGCTAATCTTGTTGGTCTCGCACTCCGTCCAGCATAAATCGAACCCACCGCATAGCTCAAGTACATCATGAAGTATCATGTTTCAGCCCCAGCAAGTCGAGAGACACTTTCCACAATTTGCCCTCCTTCGCTTCATCATACGCCCAAGCCGCATAACCATCTCCCCACTGCCCATCGCTCTCAGTCCAAGCCTTGGCAATCTGACAGGACTCTAGATACTTTCCTCCTTGATTATTAAATAAGGGTGCGACAGCGGCCCAGACGGTGGTTGCGGCGCCCTGGGCAGGGCTCTTGAAATATTCTTGAAGGCCCTCAAACATGCTCTGATCCTCCATATGTCGTTGGAGGTCGGTCCAGATCGCACCAGGATTGACAGAGGTCGCATGAAGACCTTTAGTTCCATATCGGCGATCAATCTCGTTGGCGGTCCAGACCGGTGCGGTCTTGCTCTGGCCGTAGGCAATCCACTCGTTGTAGATGCCTTCGAGGTTGATGTTGTCGAAGTTGACCTCCGCGATGCGGTGGGCCACACTGGAAAGGAAGATTGCTCGCGAACTGGAGGACGACGTGGCGGAAGACAAAAGTGTCGGTTGCAGGAGGTAAAAGAGCAGAAAGTGGGCAAGGTGGTTGGTGCCTAGCTGCGTCTCAAAGCCATCCTTGGTGCGGCCTTCTGGGCACGCCATAACTCCTGCATTGGCGATGAATATGTTGAGTGTCTTTGATCGAGACAGAAAACTCTTAGCACAAGCTCGCACGCTTTCCAATGAGTTGAGGTCGAGCTCTAGGAAATGCACTCGGTCGGACTCGACGAGCTCGGGAAGTGCGTTCTGGGCTTTGTTGAGATCTCGAGCAGCGAGGTATAGTTGTGCGCCTGTTGCGAAAAGGCCTCGTGTGGTCTCGACACCGATCCCTGACGATACGCCAGTGATCAGAATGACCTTGTCTGAAAGTTTACCCTCGAGGTCTTCGTCTTGAATTATCTGCAGAGCTGTTGGACGAGCATCTCCTGGACCCTTTGGTGATACATGTACTGCTGCATACTTGCTGGCCATATGGTGAATAACTTAGGGCAGAAGGGCTTGTCGGTTGAGAAGGTGGAGATGGAGAATGAAGTACTTGCAGACTTTTGAGCGGATGAATGTTGTGATGGCTTGTGGCGACTTGTACGGGCGGTGCCCAATCCTTTTATACCAGTAGTAGTAATAGGTGCCGAGTACACTTCAAACAATACCAGAGACCTGCACCAGCATGTTTGTCATGTCTCTCAATAGACTACTTCAATATCTCCGCATCGTTAATGCCGGTGCGGGTCAGTAGATGGCTAGCTCCATTATCTGCATTCGTGCGTACCGTAAGGCGTGAAACCCCTGTCACGGTCGAAGCACAAATAACGCTAGATGTAGCTCGCGGCCGCCCGTTCACGAAGTGCATCAGTCGAACGGCGAAAATTGTAGTGTGTTGAAAAGATAGGTCGATTACTAGATAGCGCAATTCCTTACATTTCTATCTTTTAAGAAGTAATTAATCTATGTTCATTAAATCTCATAGAAAGATCTTTTCTTCATGATACTAATGCTAAATAGACTAGTCTTAGATAGAAATACACGTTAAAGTAGCTTGAAATGGTCTCGAACATCTGCACTGTGTAACGTCATAGAACGTGGAGATCTGAGCCATCTTGGCATATGCAGGTGTAAGCAACTCGCGTTTACTCCAACGTCTAACTTGCTCAGCCACTGCACCAGATCTTCCTTCATATCTAGTATTTTTGTTACACGATGACCAAGAGTACGAAGTATTTAGCTGGACAAATAGCATCCAAATCATGCAAGTGTCATCAGGTCGCTTTCGAGACAATAAGTCAGAAGGTCTCGGCGCATCAATAGCATCTGCTGTCCGGATTTAAGTTTTTGCTCATAACGACGATGGCAGAAGGGGAGCTTATTGCCGTAGAGGCAATGACTCTACAACGAATGCCCCAGCAGCCCGCAATCATCGGCTCCATAGACGATTGGACTGGGATCAATAACTCCGTGGATAGAAGGAAAGTGCAGAACCGTCTCAATCAAAGAGCCTACAGTGGGTACATTGTTCTTACTCGGAGCCGAAACTATCTAAACTACTCCTGCAGGGAGGCGAAAGCGCAGTGACAATTTGAATACACAGGTTGCTTCAGGCAATCCACAAGCCAAGTCACAGACCATGTCTATATGGCAGGTATTCTATACGGCGCTTGGGTCTCAAACACCCCACCCGCCTGATCGCACCAAGCTGATAGCTGTGGCCGACCGGGCGCCTTTCGGCCACCATGACATCGAGCGGACGATGTCTGATTTTAAGGATTGGATGCAAACACGATCGATGGGTTCTCCTAGCACCGATAACCTGTTTGTACTAGTGAAATTCAATGTCTTTAGGGCACTGGTTAGCAACTGCAAAGATTTGGGTATCGCGGTTCAGGACACCTTGGTTGACGACAGTTTCTCCCCATTTCCCAACTCTTCTAATTCATCACTGGATCTGATACATGTTCCCAATGCTCTGTGGCCGACAAACCTCCAGAAACAGATCCCTCACCATCCCTGGATCGACACTCTACCAATCTCCAAGATGAGGGATAATCTCTTAGAGGCAGATGAGGCATATGACGGAGATAGCCTTTGTACTGCCCTGGTCGGGCATGGTAATGATGCTACTACTGACACGGGAATGATAATCTGGGGTGAACCATGGGATCCTGACGGCTGGGAGGTGACAAAGCCATTTCTGCAGCACTGGGGCTGGGTCCTCAAAGGATGCCATGAACTAGCAGCTGCAACCAACTCGTGGCGTCAGCGGCGTGGCGAGAGGCCGTTGGATTTTGAAGGCTACGTGTAGAGAATGAAAAATACGTAGAGAGGAATATCCGAACACTTGCAGGTTCGTCCGTTTGGGCAGCGCATGCAAGAGTACGGAGTAGGGAGTCCTACCTCAGATGTCCAATTGTTCAGATATGCTAGGCAGGCAACTAGTGTTCCAAAGCTCGCCCTTGTATAGACTGGGTGGACGATTGGTATGCATTCCTGGTAATTCGAGTCTTCGAGGCTGGGTTCCACGTGTTGACGATGTCTGCGTCATAGCCAAATGCAAATACTCGGACGTCTGTACCTGGGAAACATTAATGACTACCACCTGCTTGAGCCTGTCAACACCGACGTCTCATACAACAGTCGCTTGCAACAACTCAGTTCAGGAGCATTCATGGGGAGAGATTTGCTGGGGACCCTTTACAAGACGATGGTCAGACGTGATGAGAAAGGGCAGTTCGAAGAACATCAAAACTGGTTAGGGGAGCTAGGAATATTCCAGGAACAGTTCGGCAAGATGGTATTGAAAGGGAAACGGATCAAGCCAGCTTTATTGGGTTATACTTGGTGTGAAATAGTCGAACGCGAGTACACTTAATGTGGAATATCAGGAAGTCAAGTACCATTCACCAAGGTCTTCCGAAGCATTTTTTCCCGCATACTCTGGATGGAGAGTGTAGCAGACCTCGACTGGCTAATTGATGCTTATGCAGGTCTGAAGGCGCGCCCCGGCGCCTCAGAGAGTATTGAACATCTGGTTTGCTGCTGCTCACATATGGAATGTATCGGCAGCTCGCCGCTCTTGGTGAGTTCGCAATTTCCAACAAGGTCATTATACTAAGCTCGTCACAGGTTTCGTGCTGCTTATTGCACAGTCTTTGAGAACGAGCCATTGTTCGATCTATTTGGCTAGATGGATGTTGTGGAAGCCTCGCTTGTGGCCATGGCCCATGGAATCACCTTGAGCAGTTCCAGTAGCTGAAGTCATCACACGCCTCTGCAAGCCAGTCTTCGATTCTCATATAGCACTGATCGACTCGATGTCCAGTCCCTGTCAAGTTATTAAGAACTTGGGAATCGGCTCTTCAGCTCCTTGCCGGCCGGAAGATAAGCTCCCAGCTTTTCAAGAAAAATGGGCCTTCAAAGACCACGGGCGCTTGTCACTATCATAGTGCGCGTGCTGGGTAGAGAGATCATGTTCTTTCGCGCTAAAGTCATGTCGGTCGGGATTCGTGTATAACAAGCCAGTCCTCGAAGAAAGACGGTGAAAGCATGGCACCAGCAATATAGGTTAGGCATGAAGCAAACTCCTGCTGGTGCAAGTGGCGAGGTCACAAAGAGGCTGCTTGTGGATTCGGATGGACAGCAAACTCATTGTCTAAGCTCAACATTCGCAGTTTAAGCGATGTAGGCCGGATCTCCGTCAGTACAATGAACGCTTTAGCTGATATGTGCGGTCTCGAGCGGTGTGGACTGTGGCGTGCATGCGAGCCTTTGAGGGAGTGTCTTATCGTGGATGACCCATGAAATGCACAGACCGATGAAGCATTGGCCAATTATAAACGCCCCTCACGGTCCCCCAGAGAACCCGGCGGGGCACGGCTCAGCTCCTGGCTCAAACAGCGACTCCAGGCAATATTTGTATAGCCAGCTGAGAACCTAGTGTGGCTATTCCTCAGCTTCCTCCGAATAATTCCATGAAGGGGGTTATGATCTCCAAGAGTTCGACACAACCGTGCTGGATACTATTTCCTTGCCAAGCGGCATGCCTCCTTTCGCTGATTTGTGTAAGGCTAGTCGCTATGCACCCTACTAAGAGACGCTGTTGAGAATAGGACACGGATGAAATAGTGACAATTATCACAACAATATGGTCGGCCAAAGAAATAATGCTGAAATACTCCATACGCCATGCTATTCAAGAGGTCAAATAGCTATGATCTTCAGAATCTGCCTATAGCGTGGACCGATTGAGTTTGGGAGGTTTAGAGCCTGATGGTGACTGAGTCGAAGATTTGGATTGAGTTGACTGAAGATCGGCCCGACGGTTTGGGGGAGAACTTTTACCCCTGACTGGCGACGATTTGGGGGTCCAAACCTTCATATCTTGTCCTCACTTTCCTTGCTCATGAACTGGACTCCAGACGATACGCAATCTTGTCGATCATTCAAAATGATATCTCGTTCCGATCCTGCATAGAAGAGCACACTACGCATAAGACACCACCAGGTATGATGTTACACCACATGTAGCGTTGAAAACAGTACGTCAATCGGTGTACGACATAATGCACAGATGCTCAGGTTTGTGTTCGGTCTACCAAGATGTCCTGATCTCAAACTTGACTTTAGGTCTATCGAAACCGACAAGAACTTGAGAAGCCATAGCTGCAAGCGAATTCGGCCCGCGTAGGACAGCGCAATATGTGAGCGCCCTAAACAGGGCGAAGTTGTACGAAGGTTGTCCAGCTCAAGAATTCCCGCAAACTAGAGATTTCTCGCGTATTTATTAGGTTTGCCCTCTTCTCCAACTTCGATAATAAATGAGCAGTTTATTCGGAGTTGAGGACGTGTTCGTGCCAATCTATTGGAGGATGTCTCAAACTTTGACGCGCAAGTTTGAATGGTCGGGCCACCCGGGACGGTCCCTGCGTCTGTAATCAGGGTGTTTTATGCCCGAGACCGTGATGACGTCCGAGTCGTCTATCGACGCTCGGATATAACATTCCGGTACCGGGATACATTGACTGCATATATCAGTGTGTACAAGACCTGTTTACGCTAGACGGAATATTCCTGGCTTCGAAGTTTCACCAAATTACGAGGATAAGATGGCAACTGGCGATATTGAGAACGCCCGCCGCGGAACAGATATGTCCCAATCGCTCGAACGAGAAACGACAAGCTCAGAATATGGAGACCTAGGTCCGCCTTCGATCTCAGATGTTGAAACAGTGAGGGAAAAGCCACCCGAGCAGCGAGCCTCTTCAGCAACCGGCAACTCGTTCAGTCTCCGACGTACAGTAACACGGAGGGAAACCGTCCTGTCTCGCATCAGGTCGAGAGCGCCGATCGGAAATTTCACTCACCCATTACAACATGAGAAAACGGCCGCAGACCTGGTGGTTGATTTTGACGGTCCGGATGATCCATACCGACCGTTGAACTGGGCGATGAAGAAAAAGATCATCACAACCGCACTGTATGGATTCACTACCATGTCTGCTAGCTGGGCGAGTAGCTCCTACAGTGCTGGAACGCAGCAAGTTGCAGAGGACTTCCATGTCGGCACTCAGGTCGCCACGTTGGGAACCACCCTGTTTCTCTTTGGTTTCGGTATTGGGCCTTTACTGTGGGCGCCTCTTTCGGAAGTGTATGGGCGGAAGAATGCTGTGCTTCCGCCAATGTTTGTTGCGGCTTGTTTTGCTTTTGCGACTGCCGTTTCGAAGGATATCCAGTCTGTTATGATTACCAGGTTCTGGGCTGGGTTCTTTGCATCTGCACCTGTGACCAATACAGGTGGAGTGATTGGCGACCTGTTCCCGTCAACTCAAAGAGGTTTTGCCATCGCTTCGTATGCCATGGCGGTAGTGCTCGGTCCAGTATTTGGGCCGATAGTCTCGGCTGCACTGGTTGTGCAACCATCTCTTCGCTGGCGTTGGACAGAGTACCTGACTGGCATTCTCCAATTGTTTGTCCTGGCCTTGGATGTGATATTCCTGGATGAGTCGTACCCCCCGCGTCTTTTGGTGTACAAAGCCAGACGTCTCCGAATTCAGGGTGGCAACTGGGCGTTACATGCCAAATTCGAGGAATGGGATGTGTCGCTCAAAGAGCTCGCTAGCAAATTTCTTGTCCGCCCAATTCAGCTGTTGGTGACACCCATATGCGGACTCATTGCCCTGTATGCGAGCTTTTGCTATGGAATCCTGTACATGCAGCTTGGTGAGTCCAAAGGAATGGTGTATATCTCGTTCAGATCTCGCTAACACGCGGCATAGGGGCAATTCCCATAATCTTTGCAGAGCATCGTGGGTGGGGCCAGGTCGTTTCGGTGCTTCCATTCCTAGCAATCCTCGTGGGAACAGTCCTCGGCGCCGCGATCAATGTTTACAACCAGTTCCGATACAATCGAATAGTGAAGACCTCGGGTAAGAATGTGGTTCCCGAAGCTCGCTTACCGCCCATGGCTTTTGGTTCCATTATGTTCGCTGCTGGCATGTTTACCACTGGCTGGACGGCAGATCCAAGGTAAGTCATCTTTGAACTCGTGGGATGAGTGAAGACTAACATGGTATTGACAGATATCCCTGGATTGCTCCAGTGATTGGTCTCGCCATGACTGGTCTTGGATTCTTCACCATTTTTCAAGCTGCAATAAACTACCTCGTTGATACATTTCACAAGTATGCCGCCAGCGCCGTGGCAGCGAATAGTGAGTCTTTCCCCTTTCGTTCCGAAAAGTCGTTGGTATCTGACGGGAAGACAGCGTTTCTCCGCAGTTGCTTTGCAGGTGCATTCCCCTTGGTCGTGGGTCCCTTGTATCACAATGTGGGAATTCCTTGGGGAACAAGCATCTTTGCATTCTTTTCATTGGCTTTGATTCCTGTTCCGTTCTTTTTCATGGCGTTTGGGGAACGGATCAGAGCCAGAAGCGCGTGGAGCAGAATTTAATTCATTCAGTGATGTTTGCAGATTTCTCCAACATGTAATTTTAATTTGAAGTGATCGGTTGATCAGTCGACGCCAAATTCTATCTCAGTTTCCCTGAACTCCTTCACGAACTCCCAGATATCTTATCCCATCTTAGCCTCAACCTTTCGGGGTGGTTCATCCTCATCGCCAATGCCATATCAGAGTCTGCAAGCACTTGCATGGTTCGTTCCCTTGCAAAGGCCTCCGTCTCACCATTGTATGTATCCACAATGGGCGTGACACGATACTGATGAAAGAGCACGGCAATTGCAGCGACAAATTCGACCTGGCTGAATTTCTTGCCGGGACAGACACGAGGTCCAGCTGCCCAAGGGATATATGCTTTATCCACAGGCGCAATGGGAGTGTCTGCACTCTCAGGCTTAGTTTGGGCAGTATGTTTCGGGTTTTCAGTTTGAGTTTGCAACCAGCGACCTGGGCGCCAGGCAAGTGCGTCCGAGCTCCAAATTTCTCGATCAACTTGCACAGCCGCATTGTTGATGAAGACTGCTGTGTTCGGTGGAATCGTATGTGATGAGGCTCCTAACTTCAAAACTTGATATGAGGAACCAGTATGCCGCGGGATTCCGTTCAGAGGGGCATACAAACGGAGTGTTTCGTACTATTTTGAGGCATAAGTTAGTGAGGATCAAATTACATAATGGCGATCAGCGGCCATCATGCATGTCGGATATGCTCCAAAGTCCCGGGACATACTCACCATGATAGCATGGCACCGCTTTAATTGCTGGAAGGCATCGTGGTACTGGTCTTTGTTGACTGACCCATTGCCAAACACTTGATTCAGCTCTGGTTGTAACCAATCTTGCCATTCTGGATGGCACGCTAGTAAGCCGATAGCATACGCAAGAGCACCTGCCGTCGTCTCATGCCCTGCAACATTGTAGATGAATAGATTTCCCCAGATTTCACTATCTGTTAGGCTTGCACGAAGTGACGGCGCTTTACTTGCATCAACTGTAGCTTTTGCTGCGGCAAATTCTCTTGCAGCGTCGTCCGAAGCGCGGATGATGCTCGACATTAAGTTGGCGGTAGATGCGCCCTCGCCTTTTCGATGCTGATTACGCTCCTGCGTTACCATTTCGGACATATAAGACCTGAACTCGTTCACTGCCGTGAGAACGTCTCGGGCCTTTTGAGGGAGGATGAAAGAAGGTAGCCCTCCAGCAGACGCAATAAAGTACGTGATGAAGATATTGTCCATTACTGTTCGCAATGCGTCGCGGTAGCTGACAGTGTGCCCATGCGAAGGTACCTTCAAAGAGCTGTCGAAATCGTAGCTTATTCCAAAGCCCGCACCAGTAAGGACGTGTAGTGCGAACAAACTCGTATCCTCCGTCGTGCTAGTAACTTCGTTGCCGCGCGTAGATACCCAGGTGTGCAACATTTGTCTAGCTTGCTTCACGGCTTCGCTCCATACCAGGCTGCTGTTCCGCTCGTTGAAAGCTGCAGTCGTGATCTTTCGCTGACGCTTCCACGCGTCACCTTCGGCTGTACCAACACTGGGGCCGAATGTGTTGAGAGGGTCGTTGAATGCTGGATTTTTAGGCCATTCTCGATAGCGCTTGAAAAGATCATCACAGGCGTCAGCGCCTCCGACGATGAGTTGATTCTCTCCAGGTGTCACGATGATGAAAGCCGGGCCATGAAGTGTGTGAAGGTAGTTCTTGTCGCGCCATGCCCATCCAAGATAGTTATACCGAGTGGATTGACTCAATACACCTGGTAGGCGTGATAGAAGTGGATTCAAGTACGGGCGAGAAAGAATCCAGAGAGGGTTGAATGGATTGACTGGACTAATGAGAATGGGTAAATCTGCGCCTTGGGCAAGCCGATAGTTGCGATAAAGAGCCACCATGGTCCATATGGGATATCCGAATACCGCCAACACACCGATGACAACCCACAACGACATTTTGGCGGCAGCCTGAGGAACTGTGACGATGTTCTGCTTGAGAAAATCGTGTATAGCAATAGCCCAAATGCTGGCATCTTTATATTCCTCCTGCAACCGGTGGTAGTCCACTTACAATGTCCTGGTGCAAGAAAGCCCACTTCCGGCGCAGAGTTCAGCTACCATTTCCACGTTGCATTCTCGCGACATGTTGTAGGTTTGGGATGTATTCCGTCTCAAATTACAAATATCATTGAGCCCAGGTCCCATCCGAGCTCACTATCGTCCGATACAGAGCTTGAGAAGCCACGTCTCTGCTTCGTAGTTGAAAAATGATGTTCTGTAAGGTACACAAAAGTACCACGAGTGAACGTGATGCTGCCGGGCTTATGTCCATATCTAGAAACATGCCGCGAGGTGCATAAATAATCTGGTATCTAACTCCATGGATCCTCAAGCCTAGTTATTTAGCCCCTTGCCTGATCTGCGGCTGAAAAGGTAATGGATCTCGGAGGGGATTTGAGCAGATGTCTTCTGGCCAGATGGGTGCCAGATTAGAGGTCTGATTCGGCATGACTTACTGATTCGCCGTACTCACTGTACGGTCGAGCAATTAGCTTTTTCTCAACCAACGCGTCAATGCGCGACACCTGCATATATTGCTACACAATCCATACGGCACTAGCTGATGACCCAATGTCAAGGTTGTCCCTTAGTCCAAGGAGTTTCCTGCTCCGATGCAGACAATCATATAGCACTTCGGCGCGCTACCTACAAGAAGCACGGCCGCCAACTGCGCCGAAGCAGCAACCGCCTCTCTCACAGATCAGACACAACGTCGAAGCATACGAAAAAAATGTCGTGGTACGAAACTACAGGAGCCACAAGGGCATCCCTGGTGAGATCCGAGATAACGTGGAGGAAATCAACGAGATCGACAGTTTGCTGAAGGAGCCCCGTCAGAGGTTGAAAGAGCTGCAGAAACAAGTGAACAAGGACAAGAACTCAAGAGAAGCTGCAATTGCAGAGATGAGGCCGATTCGAGAACAGATGGAATCACTTTTGAAAAGGCAGGATGAGATTTCCGACAAAACCCATAGTCTGGCTGTGTCGCTGCCGAATCTGACGTCTGCAACAACACCGCTTGACGGCGAGCCAAAACTGATACAATATATCAATTACGATCCCGAGCATCCACCAACCTACGGCAAGTCTGCAGACCATACGATGATAGGGGATAAGCTGAAACTCTTGGATTTCACGTCCTCTTCCTCAACCTCGGGTTGGGGATTCTATTACTTATTGAACGAAGCAGCTCGACTTGAGCAAGCACTCATCCAGTTCGCTCTCTCCCAAGCCATGAAACGTGGCTGGTCAGTGGTCAGCCCTCCGTCCCTGGTCTACTCCCACATGGCCGCATCCTGTGGATTCCAACCACGAGATCAAAATGACGAACAGCAGATATGGCAAGTTGCACAGTCAGAGAGGGATGCTGGGAAACCGACCAGGAGCCTAGCAGCCACAGCGGAGATTCCACTAGCCGGCCTGTATGCGAACAAGGGCATTCCAGAAGCAGAGTTGCCCATAAAACTCGTTGGAAGCAGTCGGTGCTATCGAGCAGAGGCCGGCGCACGTGGAGTCGACACCAGGGGTCTTTATCGTGTGCATGAGTTCACCAAGGTCGAAATGTTCGGCTGGTCGAATTGCCCTACCCCCGATGAGAATATTCCGAGCGACGCGGAGCTGACAGTCGATTCGTCGCGCGTATGGAGAGAAATGGTCGAGATCCAGATTGACATCTTGAAATCCTTGGGGCTGCCATGTCGTGTACTGCAGATGCCGTCTACAGATCTCGGTGCCAGTGCATTCTGCAAGATCGACATCGAGGCCATGTTCCCATCCCGCAGGAATCGCGATGATGGATGGGGTGAAGTCACGTCAGCCTCGAATTGCACCGACTATCAAAGCAGAAGGCTCGACACGAGAATTGTAGAGGCGAATGGTTCGCGAAAGAAGTTCGCACACACGGTGAATGGCACCGCAATGGCGATCCCACGGGTCCTTGCTGCTATCTTGGAAAATGGATGGCGGGAGGAGCAGGGCTGTGTGATTATTCCAGAAGTGCTGAGAGAGTATATGGGCGGCATGAAGCAGATTGGACCAAAGTAAGTCCAATGTCAAAAATTCTGTATTGTATGTATATCCAAGCTGTATCTTGATACCATCAGATTCTCCACGTCCCTAAAACCTCTCCCTTTCTTGCTCTCCCTTCCGTTGCGAGGTACATCCTTCTTCATCTTTGCAAGCCCAACTGAGAGATGAACCAAGAAAATAAAGATTGCCCAATGCCAAATCAACACTTGCAGCCAACTCCGTTACATGGCTTGCGAGTTCTCTTCGACCTTCATCCCCAGCAGTCTTCTCCCCCAAGCGCAACTGAACGGACATGATGCATCTCTTCATGATGATCGCTGCTATGCCTATCGAACTTGCCGTCTGGATTTCCCAAGCTTGCTGGAGGATTGGAGGATAAAGGAAGGGCATGTAGAAAGACCGTAGGACTATAACATCTGACATCGTACATCCCCAACGAGCACAGATCAGCGTTGCTCATTCAGATCAGTACTGGTTGAACATGGGCCAGAATAGAACTGACTACCTCTACCAACAGCTCAGCGAGCTATTCGAGCTACACACAATTTCCTCTAATTTGTGGAATACATTTAGATCCAGAAATATCTACCAAGTTGATACTCCTATTATAAGCGTGGAAATGCAGCCTAGAAGGAACTGCTAAGTCTACCTACAAGAATACTACTTAGTTTCAACTGCTGAAAATATCACCTGATTTACATGTCACAAAAACTACCTCTCAGGCAGTTCGTTCTTACATGAATTTTGCGGCGGGATGGCGTAATGGCAACGCGTTGCTTTCCGGCGTGGAGTATGGCAAAGATTGTGGGTTCGAGTCCCATTCTCGTCGAAAGAATTTGATTTTTGGTATTCCGTATGAGACCACGATTTTCTTTTTAATTTTTGGTGGTTCTTTACGAGACAAATTTCCTTGTTATTCAGGCAGAGGAGGGATCAAGGTAATATTCGTCTATATATAGGCAAAAGAGAGGTAAGTAGAGGTACATTTCTGTGGAGCGGTTTGAATCCTGAAATCAGAGAGACTCAAGAAGTAACCGCACTCAGTCACAATCAGCTTGTGAGGGCAGGAATAAAAGCAGTCGGTATCTATGACTCTCTACCGTCTCATTCTCTACCGTCTCATTCTCTGCCGTCTCACATTATTTTCCCTACTAGTCGAGTACACTATATACAAGCACCTCTCGAAATCAAGACGTAACCCGTCGGTCCGTACGGCCTAGAAGAATACAAACCCTACATGAAAAGGCTGAAAGAGTAACTCCATCATGCATTCCGGTTCTTTGAGACGAGAGGTAGATAGTCCATCCAGAAAGACAGGGGGACGTTCTCCGAGCGATTTCAGTAAATCCTCGCAAACGACATAAATAAAGCCACAGCAAAGGATTTGTGACACTTTTTGATCCCAGCTTGATGTCAAGATATCGACGACTAAGCTAACGCCATGAAACCATGAACAATTCAGCCCGCTAGATTCTTCTTCACAATACTCATACAACTGTGGGACCTTCACTCCAACGGTGCCTGTGGAAATAAGCGAGATCCATATGTCCTGGCAATCTTAGGTCCTTGAACTTCCATCTCATAGTGACGACTCCTCATCGACGGGCATATGAACCTTGACCATATCCACCACCTCCACTATAGTTTCCATTACCTCTACGATCATCTCTGCCACGATGTTGATCACCGTAGTGGCCATCACTTACACTTCGTCCTCCATTTTGATGTCCTCCTTGTTGATATTGTCCACGGTACTGATTCTGTCCTTGTTGACCTCCATAATAAGCTTGCTCAGGTGGACCTTGGCGTTGGTCGTGATAATTGTTGTATCCTCCTTGCTGTCCAGTCTGGCCATTGCTAAAGCTGCGATCATAATTTTGTTGACCACCATAGTGTTGAGGCGGAGGTGGAACTCCTGGAGCATATCGAGGATCAAGCAAAGCAGCAAATGGATTGCCATTGGCGTATCCTGGTGGAGGAGGAGGCTCGGAATTCATTGGAGGTCGATTGACGGCGTAGCTAATACGACCATTTCGATTTGGCTGCTCATTGCCATGTCTGTTGTTGTCGTACAATGGCGCGCCTCCGAAATCTCTGCCCGAGTTCCTCGCCTTTGATCGGAGCATGGCTAGATCGCCATTGTTCAGTGCTGGTGGCGGTAAGACTACACCAGGGAACAGCATACTCTTGTGGACATGTGTGGGTGGCGGCATCGTGAAATGGACATTCAAAGAGCGATCATCATCAACGGCTGGTTCGAGCTTGATATCCTCTTCTGGTCCGATTAGGTCCATGTGGGGAAGGAAATCTTCATTCTTTGTTGCGGTACCAGCAAGTCGTCCTTTGCGTACGTTCAGCTTCACAGGACCATCAGTCTTCTTCTTGGAATAGAAATGAAGAGCCAAATCGTCATAGAGTGGATTTTGGTCCGCCACCAGCAAAGCGTCACTACCAAGCTCATTTCTGGCCTTTTCTTCGTCGGTCAGGAGCGGGTATTTGGTTCCCATGGCGCTAAGAAGACGCTTCTCGTCAATGAAGGGAAGAAGCACGATGGCCTTCCATGACTGCTTCTTCCCATTTGCGTCAAGCTCGAACTCTTCAGGGTAGAAATCGATAATGTCAGAGTCTGGCTCGGTCATGAGGGGATGAAATGCAGGCGGGATTGCGTGATTGGATGCCGCTGGCAACACACCCATCAACTGCTCGTAGGGTTTGAAAGGCTTTCCTTTCTCGAACTTGATGGTCATCTTGTCCAAATCGACAAAGTCGGCAGCAAATGGTGCATAGTGATATGGATAGTACCAGGTCCAAGAAGCGCATCCTTGGAAGTAGTAAAGCAATACCCAGGCCAACCCTTCGACATATGACCTCGCAACTTTGTGGCGAAATTCTATGTCTTGTGGGGAAACATGGAACTTTTGTTCGTAGTAACGATCAGCATAACCATCTTCCCACAAGCGAACAGTATCTGGTGGCGGATCATTTGGGTCAAACTTGACTTTGGGCTTTTCGATGGGTGTGTTACGACCAGGAGTTCCACTTTCAGACTCTTCTTCCATGAGCTCCGCCTTGCGCTTACCCAGAGCACTCAAAAGTCCATCGGATTGATCTGTAGTTTGATCAACACCATTGCCATTGACACCATTCTTTGCTGATGCTTCTGCCGCCTTCTTGGCAAGCATTTGCTCTTTCAAGATGGCAGCTGCACTTTTATTGGTTGTGGTTGATCTGTCAATGTTCTGTCTATTGATGATATCATTGTATGTCAAGGCCGGAAAGTTGCCGGCTTCAAAGGTTTCAACAGGTCCTGTCGGGACTCGTGCGTCCGGTCGGCTACCTTTCGTGTAATCTGGTGAGCTCCGGCGTTTCTTTGACGAGCGCTGATCTTGCTGAAATCGGCCACCTCTGGAAGAATTGTTCTGTTGATCACGGCGTTGTTGGTTACGTTCTCTTTTGTCGTCCATCTCCTTTCTGCGCTTGAAGATGGCATCTTCCTGCTTGGCAAGTCCTTCGAGAATGACCTGAGCACGTGCAAGGTCAACGTTGCCATCACAGGTCAAATAACCACCCATGACGGGAATATTATCTCTCCAGATAGCAATGAGCTTATCTATGCCATCTTCATGGATATCGAGACTGGGAAGATGGGGTAAAAAGTCGTTTCCGACGAAGAAGCACATGAAGACCCAATCATCAAGAGCACGTTCAAGATCAAAACGAAATGATTGACCAGGGACGAACATCTCTGCACCAAGATACTCACGTAAAATGGGAACATGGAGCCAGATGAAGGGCTTCAATTCTTCAACTGTTCCTTTTTCATCAAAATCACCAGACTTTGCTTTTGCATTGCCTCTGCAATTTTCTGCATAGTGCCCTTGTTGACCGCACAGTCTGCAGGTTTTGGCTTTGGCATCTCTGATATTGACATCTTCTCGAAGAACACGGAAATGTGGCTCATGGGTTGCAATACCAAGCATGATGAGATCGGCATCCAGGCCGTACATGACATGTCTTGTGTTTGGATCATATTCAGGATCGGAGCGTTGAGAACGAACGAATTGCATAATCTTATGCTCACCTTCACCTGGGACACTGGCATCAGAGATGACAACTTTCAATTCAGCCCAAGCTGGATCAGTGTTGAGTTTCCATTGTACCCAGTATCGGATGGATTTGGCAAGAATGAACATGAAAGGCGTTCCAGGAGTAATGACATTACTATCCCATGTTTTTTTGATTACTTCTTCGACTGTTGATTCCTCTGATTTACCCTGATTCTGCTGACGCAATAAAGCTTGAAACTCTGCTTTTTGTTCATCCGCCTCTTTTGCGTCTCGGGCCGACCGGAAACGTCGAGCTCGTTGTTGATTCATTTTGGCTCTGGGAGCGACACCGTCTGGTGAATGTTAGTTCTGAAGTATTGACGAGCGGGCATGCGCAAAAGCGACTACTGGGATTGACATACCAATGGCGATCATGAGAAGTCTGCGTGGGCGGACCATGTTCACGACGCGATCTGTGTACTTGAAAATCTCGAGCATCATCTCACTCTCGTCCACAGGAGGAGGTTTGTTCTCGGGATGAGAGCAAGGATGCACGATACCGTTGAAATCAAGATAGAGATTGTGCATTTCTTCTCCATTGGGATTGGGTTTGGTTGTGTCGACAGGGTATGTTACTCCATCGATTTCAACGGGCTGTTCTTCAATGACAGGGGAAATGATCTTGGGATACTTTTTCGTAAGCCATCGGAATAGGGCTGGGACACCCATAATTGCGTTGATTGCTGAATGGAGAAGATGAAAAGAAAAAGGCAAGCGGAAAGAAGTTTTCAAGTTGTCAACAGAAAAAACCTGGGTCGAACTGTATTAGCAACAGGAAAGAGTGACAAGCAACTCAACCGCACGGCAGTGCGACCCGGTGACTGGGTATGGCAAGTCACACTGAAGAGATAGGATCACTCAGATCTGTTGTGATGAGAGGTCGAATTGATCCAGGGATGACTGATTGGAATTGTGAAGCAGGCAACGACAAGGTAACCTCAAGTTCGAGTCCGACAGGCGAGTAGACGTCGCAGGAGGAAAGAGAGGGCTTGGCATGTTTGACTGCTTTCGGAAGTGCTGCTATCTTTCTATGGTTGACCCTACTGGCCACAGTTAGCGTTAGCACGTCTTTGATCCTCCCTATTACCAGCGACGCTTTTTATCCTGCAGTTCTTGTCTGGTTGAAGTGCTGTGTAAACCGCGACGGTATATCAATCCCCAGTGGCGAGCCTATACATCTCGTCTTTGAGTCGTGTTCATAATAACCTATGACAGAGTCTCCCCGCATCCTCCAGATCGCTCTGGACCATGGATTACACGATATGCCAACCCTCTCAACTGGTCATCATCCGCCGACCCAGAAAGGTCCAAGAGCAGATAGTAATCTTTACTTGCGACTATCACCAAGCAATGCTCATCGACTGAGCACAACCCTGATCCCCGGAGGCCGAAAACCGTCAGTCCATGAGTTCACCTGCCTCTCACACCTTCTGTAACTTGTTACCATATGGAAAGCCTCGGATGCCTTGGCCAGTGGCCATATCCGAATTGCGGTACGAATACGATAGGTGCAAATGCCGCTCCATGGAGAGTGGGTTTACATTAGGTAGGATTACTGCACCTTGTTATTTACTCTCCATGCTTTCTCCAATATCCGTTTCTTCCTTTCCTTGAACCAAGTCCCTTTCTACAATCACCATACAAAACTAGCATTCTATCGTCTTAAACATGGGTTCCATAGCACAAAGCACCAAGCGCTCAATCACCTCAGAAGACATCTCTACCCTTCAATCCCTTCTGGCCAAAACTAGCCCCACATTGCTCACACCCGAGGACGACAAGTACCCCGCATCCATTGCCCGGTGGTCAGCGGCCGCTCAGAAGCCAGCAGGCCTGGTACTTGCTCCAAAATCTAATGAAGAAATTTCCATCGCTATCAAGTATGCTTCAGCACAGAATATCGACGTTGCTGTCAAAGGTGGCGGTCATTCGACGGCTGGAGTCAGCAGTACTGATGGGGGACTTCTTATTGACTTGAATGCTAATCTGCGCAATGTCGAGGTCGAGGTGGAGAAGAAGTTGTTGCGGATTCAAGGTGGGTGTACTTGGGGAGATGTCGATAATGCAGGGGCAAAACATGGTCTCGCTACAGTAGGTGGCACCGTTGCAGATACTGGTGTTGGAGGTCTCACTTTGGGCGGTGGCTACGGTTTCCTGACAGGGCAACACGGCCTCACTATTGATAATCTAGTCGAGGCCACTGTCGTGCTGGCTAGCGGCGAGGTTGTCAAGGCCAGCAAATCTGAAAATGCCGACTTATTCTGGGGTCTCTCAGGAGCCGGTCAGAATTTTGGAGTGGTGACAGAGTTTGTCCTGCAAGCTTATGATCAAGGCGAGGTATGGGCCGGAATGCTCATCTTTCCTCCTACACCAGAGGTGGTCGAAAAGCTCGTTACTGCTCTCAACGATCTCTACACGGTGGACTCGAATGGAAAAACCAAAGGCGCTGGCCGAGCTGCAGGTGGCCTAGTATTCATGAAACCACCACCAACCTTCGACCAAGTAGCCCTGGCCGTCCCAACGATATATTTCGGCACAGAAGCCGAAGCCAAAGAGACGTTCAAGGCTCTATATGACATCGGACCCCTCGCAGATACTGCCACACTGGTCCCCTACCCAGTGCTGAACACATTGATGGCACCCCCAATTGGCCTTCGCGCAAGCATGAAAGGCGCTGCCTTCACAATGCCACTGCGTGTCCAATCAGTCCAAGATATCCTCGCCAACTTCATCCAATTCACCAACGACAACGAGGATGCCAAAGGCAGCATCATCTTCTACGAGATGCTCGATACAATCAAGGTCACAGAATTCGACGCAGGCAGTTTCGCTAACCGGGGGCCGCACATGAACGCTCTGATAATGCCCTTATGGACTAAGACGGAGAACGACCAAACTTACCGAAAATGGGCCCGCGACGTGAACGTTCTGTTCAAGGAGGAGCTGCAAAGGTCCGGCCATGAGACAGGTAAAGGCGTCGATGGCGGTGTAGGGATCCGCGGCAGTAAGGGTGCTGTGCTGTTGTATGGCAACTATGATCGTGAGTCGAATCTACCTCCTATCCGTTCTATTGTTGTTCTTACTACTGACTATTTTGTTACAGAATATGACGAGAAGTCCCGCGATATCTTTGGCGACAACTACGCGAGGCTGCAAAAGCTCAAGGCCAAGTACGACGCGACCAACGTTTTCAACAAGTTGTTTGCCATCACGCCTCAGGCATGAGTTTTGTGGTGTTGACACAAAGTAATTAGTGAGACCCAAAGAATTAAAATACAACCCTACTCTTCTTTGTCAAGTCAAAGGTATATTTCTTCGCCTGTTTGCCAGAGATAATCATCGCACAGGGGATAACTCATGGGAAGGAGAGCCGCTGTAACTATCCTTCTTGGTCAATAGAAAGTAAACTAGAACTCGGACGGGACTGAGCCGTTCCTCTATCTGGCCCTTACTAGCAAGTAGACATCATCAGAGAAGTGCCATGCTCCTGTGGCTTCCTCAATTAACGTTCAAAGCCCACACCAACTTTCCGCACTACTTTGATCAAACATGATTGACGCATACAAACCATCACTCCTCGGTACACCAAGGAACAGAACGACTGGAGGTCTTCAGCGTCTGAAAAGCCCAGAGTACGTGTGCAGCCACAGGGCCATGCTGTGTGGGATCCATAATATATTGGAAGCGGATGATCTGCTACGACATCCAGTCGAGTGTGACAAGTAGCTTCCAACTCCCAGCGTCAAGATCTCATGAATTCAGTAGCCTTCAGATGGTGTTTTATCTCAGTATGATGAAGGATACTCGAACCAAGATAGTGTCTCACCTCCATGCTCGCTTTCTGTGATTGCGCGGGACGAAAGGGAGAATACAACTCCTGCATCGCAGCATAAAATAGAATCGATGATAATCGCGCTGAACGGTCGATACGTAAAGATTGGGTGCATAGTTCCTCACAAGCGCGGAAAAGTAACTAGAATAGTTAGGTTGGGTCGGTAAGGAGCCAGAGGCATCAAAACGGGAAAAATGTTAGATTTCGGCTGGAACAATCGGAATTTTGACACAAGTGGTGGCTGGCAGAATTCATTCTCTGTAAGGTCTGCCTGGTCTCTGTCCTGAAAACTCCGATATCACAAAGTCGGTCCAAAAGGTCGATCCAGCCCTGGTATTTAATTCATCATCGCCTTGAAGTCATGCCCCTGAAAACCAACGACATGCATATAAATCAATCTGGCGAGTTCCTCTTTGCACCGTCCTATGCTGAAAACAATCTGCCCATCGTTGCGTTGCGTCGGTCGTTAAATTGACAATCCAATCAACTTATTCATTGACTCGTTGCAGCCAACGCCATGTCCTGATAGCAAAACCATGCGAGAACGCTTGAATTAAGTTGATTCGTACAATGATCATAATGGTTTGTCCCGTGCAGCTGCCTTGCTGCCAGAGTGATGCTCAGATATCAATCCTCCCAGCTCTTCTCCACAGTCTCCCTCACCCGCTTAGTATATTCTTTTCGGTTGTCTTTATAGAGGTTGCTCGCTTCGACATTGGCAGGAGAAGAAGTATTAGGGTCGTTCAAAAGAGACTGAATGCTGGTCAAGATAGCAGCAACGTCATAGGTGGGAGACCAGCGGTTTTGTAAGATATCAAGGCAGAGTTCACCGGTGCCGTAGACATTGGGATGGAACATCTGAGAGACAAACTTGACGCCGGGAGGTTTATTGGGATATGCTTCTTCGAATTGCATGACCAGTCGAAACGTGCCATCTTCAAAAGGTGTGTCGGCAGGGCCAATAATCACAGCGTTCCTAGGGTGTTCCGTCAGAAGGAGTCTCCACGAGCACGGGCAGAACTGCGTTTACCAAGTCATAACGTTATCGGCGATAGGCGAGGCCGATACACCGGCTGGAGGATCTGTTTGCATGCGCTGCTGAGGGTCAGTAATGTTCAAATTGGTTTCTCGGATCCGAATTGAGAGAGAATACATTTCGGAACCGGGAGGAGGAAGAGTGGCGGGGCATACCTTGAAGTCTCGCATCAAACGTCGTCTTGCGGAGGTGGACATGGTTGTGGATTTGATGGTGATGAATGAGAGATGATGGTAATGAGTATAGAGGCCAAGAGAAGAGGAATGGTGAAGAGAGAAGGCGAAATCGGTTGACTCACGCGATGATGAGTTGTAAAGAGGAGCAAAGGGTGGGATGGATTTGGATTGGAGTTCGCCGCAGTTTGCAGTCAGGCAGTTTCGAGGAGAAGTAGCCTTGCCGCCAGGCTGTCCTTGCCTATTTAAAGAGAGAAGGGCACTAGCCTAAAATGGCAGAGTAACCTTGCTCTTTTAAGACAGTAGCCCAAGATTGTTCCACCGGAAGTCTGTCATGTGACCGGCTAAGTTTCCCTTCGAGCCATGGAATTAATCCGGGCTTTTCTTTCTGAGCCGAGGATATGCGAGTTTTCATGGGAACCAAGTCGCCGTCTTCTTCGCTCAATGAGCACCAGTCCTGATCTCGTACCTTGATATGAATGTGAGACCCGGAAGGGGGCAAAATGATTATAATCATCCCTTGACCCTATGAACCTTGGTGCCACCTTCAATTTTCACCTTCCAATGCAATTTACTCATCACTCGTAACCACCTTCATATTCCGCACATCCACCATCAGCCTCCTCCGCATCATCTCCCCGTCCCCGCTTCTTTCCGCGCCTTCCTCGGTGCATGTGCTCCTGCTCGTCTACACTATAAACCAGTCCTTCCCAAGCTTCCTCCTTACCTTCATCCTGGCTTCCTCGTCGTCACCGTCGCCAGACACCGTCGATATGACGTCCTTTGCCTCTTCAACTGCTCGAGCAGCTTCAAGGGTTCCTTCCAGTTCGGCTGGTGCTCGCCTTACCCAGATGCGCAGTCATTTCAGCACTTCGTCTGTGGCTCGAAAAGAAATCCAAGATGCATATATCATCTCCGCCTCCCGAACACCCACTGCCAAATTCAATGGCTCTTTCATGGGTCTCTCTGCTCCTCAACTCGGTGCCGTCGCGATTAAATCTGCCGTTGAGAAGTCCAAAGTTCCCATCGCTAAAATCACTGATGTCTACATGGGCAATGTTCTATCAGCAGGCGCTGGTCAAGCCCCTGCACGACAAGCCCTGATCTTTGCCGGTTTGCCAAACACCATCGAGGCAGTCACCATCAATAAAGTCTGTGCTTCTGGCCTGAAAGCTGTTAGCACGGCGGCTCAAAACATCCAACTTGGTCTTGCGGAGGCCCAAGTTGCGGGAGGTATGGAAAATATGTCTCGTGTTCCATACTTTGTGCACCGGGCTGCTCAACAACCCCCTTTTGGTCATATTCAACTGAAAGATGGTCTGATCGAGGATGGTCTCTGGGATGTTTATAATCAGTTCCATATGGGCAATTGTGCAGAGAACACAGCCAAGAAGTACCAGATTTCCAGAGAACAGCAAGATGCTTATGCCATTCAAAGTTTCGAGCGCGCACAAAAGGCCTGGGCCGAAAAGAAATTTGCTGATGAAATCGCCCCTGTCACCATCAAAGGCAAGAAAGGTGAGACCGTCATTTCAGAAGACGAGGGATACCAAAATCTCAAAAAGGACAAAGTTGCAACCTTGAAGCCTGCATTTGTTCGTGATGGTACCGGCACAGTCACTGCTGCCAACTCTTCCACGTTCAACGATGGTGCAAGTGCTGTGGTGGTTGTCAACAAGGCTTTGGCTCAACAGTACGGCAAGGATAGTCGAGTCCTAGCTCGCATTGTCAGTTCTGCCGATGCCGCAATTGATCCCGTTGATTTCCCTGTCGCGCCAGCCAAGGCTGTTCCAATCGCCTTGGAACGTGCAGGGATTAAGAAGGAGGACGTTGCTATTTGGGAGTTCAATGAGGCTTTCGCCGCCGTCATCAAGGCCAACGAAAAAGTAAGTCGATCCCCCCGGAATTGATTACCTCTATGATCAGACACTAATGCGAAATTGCAGATTCTCGGTCTCGAGAATGCCAATGTCAACCCTCTCGGAGGCGCCATCTCACTGGGTCACGCCTTGGGAAGCTCTGGTTCTCGCATTCTTACAACACTACTCCATCAACTGAAGCCGGGGGAGTATGGTGTAGCAGCTATTTGCAACGGCGGCGGTGCAGCCACTGCTATGGTCGTGCAGAGGATTGAGAGCGTTGAGTAAGGACTCAATTCTATCCAACATATATGCCTGAATGAGTTCTCGATCGCCTAAGCAGTTCTATGATCTGGAATCTTTCAAGCAATAATGAAATGCTTCACTAGACAAAAGGATCTGAACGTGCCGCCATACAATCACGCAAACATCGACATCCACAGACTCAAGAATCTTCGAAAATTATGATTCGAGAAGCGCAAAAAAGGTCAAGTATAGTGAACTTGTCCAGCTCACTCGACGACAATGTTTTCGCATAGCGAGAGGGTATTCCAAGATTGAATACCAAATGGAACGGAGTCCCATGTATTTATTACAATATATATTTATCCAGTCAATAATGCCGTAAAAACAAAATTTCAAGGACGAACAAGTATTCACACCTGTACGTGCTTGACTCGCGATTTGGAGGGACATCGCCTTTGTCTACCTATGATAACTCGTAGTCTCCGGACTATCCAGTTGATGGGTGTAAAGTCTGAGGCGACCTGCACCCCAGTAATATCCAGGCACATCCAATGCCATGACAGGCACTCGAACCAACCTACTGTCCCGTGGAGCACCACACCACTGCCGTTTTTCATCAGAGCGACAACCTCTAACTTCCGCATCCACACACACGAGGTTTGACTCTCAGAATCAATGGTATCACATTACCAAGTAGTCAGAACTCTCCAACTTCAAGTATCGTAACAAAGGACTCCTGTAGCTAGCATACTTCGTGGTTAGTATAACTTACTCACCACTGGCATGGTACAAGGATCGGGATCGGAACTTGGTGGGAGGGAGGGTCGGCCTCGCTCATTGTTCCACCGCCCTTCTGCAGTCTGCAGGGGGTTCAGAAGTTCAGATCCAACATGTCCTGATGCCAACTTTACTTGCAATACTAAGGTACCTAAGTACCTAGCGTATCGAAAGTCGAGTCCCTCCAAGAAAGCCAATATTGCACTGTGACCTCGAGGCGAGGATTGTGCAGAAGAACAAAGGCAAAGTGGTGGCACCTTGTGCGAACATGAAACTCTCTGCTTGGAGTGAAATTGAAGTCAGCAGATGAGAACTGACTTGCTGCCCAAGGAGAGGAGTGCAAGGCTGTTTGTATTTTGCGGGTTTGACAAGTACCATCACAGAGAGGACGTGTGCGTGATTCATTCATTGGTTCGTATGACAAGCAGCAAGCCCTCTACTGATGACATGCGCATGTAAGGAAAGACCGCAAATTGAAAATGCCGTGCGATACGCAGGAGGCACCATGCTGCACCAGCGCCGAGGTGGAGAAAAAGGGGGAATGAACGAGGACAGCTACGAGCCCCCACCACGATCGTCAAACTCAAGGTTGGGGCCGCAAACCTTCAACCTCCACCCAGTGGCACCCACACCATTCGACCACTCCGGGCACAGTGGGAGCGGCATGTTCATGCAGGAACAGTCAAACCCTGCAAGGTACGTCGGGGTTTGGTAGTAGCTCGGTTTTCATCGGTGTGTCCACCGTCTCGAACTCGAAAATGAGGCGATGGTGGACGCTGTGGTCCGTGTCTAGATTGACAATCCATCGTAGGCCATATTTGGAGACCTACTTCGCGGGATCACACCAAAGTATCAAGTTTCGTGTGCATTCATCCTGTGCACAACGGAATACCACTGGCAAGACAATCACGCAAATCCAGATGAGGAAGCACGATCCAACAGCAGAATCTCAGGGAGGACGAACGACGTACTCCCCAGCTCCACACAGTATTTACTGGCCATCTCAGTCGAGATCTAGAGACCTCCGGTTTGTACGTGAAGTGGACACCATGGCGCAGGATATGCGTGTGGATGGATGTACTTTTGGCAATATATGTTTGGGCGGGCGGGGGCGGGCGGTTGGAGAACGAGGAACAAGAGTACGCAGTAGTTCACAGATCTTACAATTTTACCCATCCAACCCCAATATCGATCTGATATTTCTTGGTGAGATTGCTAGGTCTTGTCTCGTCTGGTCCATGAGGACCGGACAAGCGCACGGACAACTCGAAACATCCACTTAGGTAAGGCTGACCGGCAACACGATCTTCAGGCTCGGGGCCTCTTGGGCCGCGTTCGAGTCGAAACCCGCGGAGAGATAGAGTTATGTACTACTGTAACGTGTCTCTGGTGTGTTTTCTTCGAAAATGCATGTCTCATGCTCCTGTATGCGGGAGTCGCTCTGTACTGATATGCAGGTAAGCTGGAGGGGGGTTTTGATGTAGCCAAGCTGACACAAGCTAGTTGACCTTACCAAGTCCCAGTGAAGTGCTTGCGTTCGGCACTTGTTGTCGTATCTTGGGGTAAAAAATATTGAACTATACCAATATGCAATGTACGGGCATGTGAGGAAGGATGGTAGTGTATTGCTGAGCACGCACGACTTGAAAAATATTCCGTGAGCAAGGCACGCTAGCAAGGCATTGTTTCCTTCAGGCTGGATGCTGGAGGCTAGAGAAGATGAAGCTCAGAGTTGGAAGCCTATCCACGTAACCAAGCAAGCGTTCAAGCCGTCGGCGAACAAGCAGCAACTGGATATCAATGCAATCCACAGAGTACAAGACTTGAGTCGAGACGGCAGAATTAGCGACAACGAGACATGAGAAGATTGGAAGCAGGCTCCGAGGGTTACAGGAAATAGGATCCAATGCTTTTGAAATGCTTTTGATTTTGGCCAAAAGCCGCAGGACAATACTTGAAAGCGCAAGGGAAAATCAATTCTAATAAAAACCGCTCAAAGACTCCAGAACAATATTACGCCATGCTTCCAAATACATCTTATAACAGGTCAAATCCAATTTGTGGCAGTGATGAAGTAGACCTCATGAGACTTGACAAAGAAGATCGAAGATCAGTCCAGCAGCACCACCAACCGTCGGAATAGCTTTTAGAGCCGCCTGTGTAATCTTCCCTGCGCTATTATCGCACGCCCCTTGTCTTTCTGTTTCTGTTTGGGTAATCAGAACCTCCATCTGCGCCAGTATCGCATCCTGAGCGTCCCTCAAGGTCACTTGACCGAAGGTAGGTATATCATGGATCAAGGGATTCTCCAACACGGCAACATTGTCATCGTTAGGGTCGACGCCCAAAAACGCCATCGGGTTATTGCGGTCCTCAGACTGGGCCAGACGGAAGGACTCCATCAGAACATTCCGCATGTAGTCTCGCTGTTCGACGTTGGCGTAGGTGCCTCGGACTTCGACCTTGACGATCTCTTTGGAAGTCATGGGATTTTGCGTCTCGCTGAAGAAATTGGTATGATCACAGCCGAGATCGTTGCAGCTTTGCGCAACTCCGAGTTGGATCAGTTCAGTGGCTTGTTTAACCACTGTGACAAATTTGTCATTGATCAATAATTTTCCTTTGGCGCCATCGAGAGGATTGTCGAATGAATTCTGACTGAAGCAGATGACACCCGAGCCAATGATGCTGCCGCATTCGCCTGCAGTTTCAAACGTCCCGATGAAGTTTGCGCATGCTCTGTCAGAGTAGATGTTGCATTGAAAGCCGGCGTCTGCCGTGATTACCTCGACGGACGAAAATTGATTTGTCGCAACACATTCACTGCTTTGAAACTGATTGGCACTGTTCGATCGAATATTGTTGCTCAGGTTTCCGCCACAGTTTGGTTGCGTAAAGGTTGCTAACGAGATGCTTGCTGAAACCAAACGTGCCGCCAGCACAGGGAGGAGGATCGATGTTGGGATCATGATCGCTGTATGTGAGATATGGGAAGGTAGTATTTAGTAGGCGTTGTAAGACTTTGTAGGGCGATGTAGGTAGATAATTGGGTTTTATCCGTGTGTTGATTGTCCTACATGCAAAGTTTCCGGCCCAGAAGACTCTGTAATATAGCCAGAATCTGAGTCCAGCATACTGGCATCAAGCCACCATTGGCGATGTCCAACATAGTTAAGAGTCCGCAGCCGTAGACTAACAATAGTACACAAACCAGATGTGCTAAATCTGTAGATGCCATAACTCTCAGTCATCCCAATTGATGGACCATAACACGGTGCAGCCGTAGTTAGCTCAATATCTCGTCGTTGAGCTAACTACGGTTGCAACGTGGTATTCGTCCACCAACTGGAAAGCTAGGAGGGCTGTGACTATGTGGGCGGTCGAGACCTAGCGAACTGATTTTTGAGGCGCAGATCGCCTAGATAATCGTACATTTCAGCCTCATGCCTAGACTTGTACCTGCGACGTAGCATCGCACGTGGAAGGTTGACTCCGGTCACAGTGGACGTCGAGTCAAAGAGATGACTGCCCAGACGAACAATTTCCACGAAAGGCTACCCTCACGCAGCCTTGGCGATATTCAGCTGGTATTCCTTCCCCTGAGAAACCTCCGACCGAAAATTAACTCCTTAATAAGCGACGTTTGCGACGGCCATTCTCTATGTTCATTCGGCGATATCGCTCGCACAAGGCGAAGCGAGGGCACTCCGACTTGTCTAAGGGCCAGCTTGACCGTGCCGAAACCATGCTTGCTTACTTAACAAAGTGGATTTATAGGTTGACACGGAGAGTGTGACTCGAGCAGACCTAAAAATGATACTCCGAATTGGTAGACGGAGCTTGCCAATTGCCACGTTACCGCAACCTTTTCTATACTCCCAGCAAATTCAACCTTGCTGTGCCTTGACCAACCGCCCAATTGGAAGGTCTGGACACAATCACCGAGTACGGCGTTAGATGGGGCAACTCATGTTGATAGTCCTGCTTACTCAGGACCTAGAATATCACAGTTTCCCAAAATGAAACGTCTCTCGATAAATTGGTAAATCCTTCGTCGGGTGCTGCGTCCGCGTAGGGTTATCGACGAAGAGCTCCCTTGGCTTGTGGCTACGCTCGCCGAAAGGTGAGGCTCAGGCTTACCGTTGCATTGCGCGCGATGAGCTCGATACGTCTAGCACCGCAGACTAGGTGGAGAATGGTAAGGGCACATGCTGTGCACGACTCGGTTCGTTATTGTTATCAAGAAGCATAAGTTCATCTCTGAACGTCGATGGGTACTCGTAGCGACGCAAATTTTCTGAGTTTCAATCGCACCCTCACATTCCTGAACACAAGTACATACACATAGCCCCTCGAATTCTCTTTTCCTTCGTAGCCCAGATCTATACCCCTCCATCAGTTCAATATGTCTTCACAGCGGGACTCTTCCTACGAGCCATTCAGACACACGGGACGTGACTATGCAGATGCCGAGACACTCATCAGACCCGAAGCAGATGGCGAGAAGCTCTTTCCCACGGCGCCGCGAAAAACTAAGGCTCCGCCGAAGCCTCGCCCTGGAATCAGCGGCGTCCGCACCGCGCTCAGAGCTCTTGGACTCGCCATTGCTCTCAGCGTCCCCAGTATCCAGATCCGCACAGTCTATGTCTGGCTAGACACCCGGAGCGATACTTATCATAACACGACGACCGGGATCCGGACTCGCTCTTGGGCGCCCGTTGACAGCTGGCCTGCCTACCTGATGCTTGCGGTTGGCGCATTTGGGAGCCTGGTTGAGCTGTTGGCCCTCACGAGTTTGTGTAGCTGTGTGAGTCATCAGAAAGGACCGAGAGATCACTCGAAGTCAAGCTGATATAGGGAACAGTTTCAAGGTCTTCATGACGGAGTCTTACATTCGATCAGCATATACCTCAGCGCAGCCGCGGTGATGGCCGCTTGGATCGCAGCGCTTGTCGCTTTCCGCGTGGTGTACGCCCAAGGCGGCGGGCAAGACCATTGGGATATCTGGTCTTGGTCGTGCTTTCGCGGCCACTCGGTGGACGAGAACGTCAATTGGAACTCGATGTGTATCCAGCAGGTGCGTTTGCGACATATTTTTTCCAAGTTGGTTTTCCAAGATCTAATCTGTGACTGTGTTAGACCTATACCTTCTCGGCGTCAATCATCGCGGTGGTGGTTGAAATTCTCTGCGTGGGGCTCTTCATCTTCAACCAGCATAGAACGAAGCAGACAACTCATTACGGCAAAGTGATTAACACCTCGACATGACAGTGTCGCTAGGGCGCGCTCCGAACCTCCTAGTCAAGAAGTGGCAAGAGACATATGGATCCATTCCCATCCTGGATACTTGAGGAGTAGCGGTTGCAGGGCACAGCGTATTCGTTTTGGTTCAATTGGCAAACGGGATTCAAGCGATGGCGTTTGGACTGGGGTGTTGTTCTCTGGCTAGAGGCTACACTGTACTGAGTATTTCATGGCGTTTAATGGAACATAAGCAATCTTGAAGTGCACGTTGGCCGCCTTGAAAATCGGGCCGCAATAACATTGCTTCAATGCCAATGTCAGAGGAATAATGAAAAACACACGGATAAGGATGTGATGAGTGGAATAATGCCGTGTTTCATCGAACATCCGGAGTGAGAACAGCCGTGGCGCCCGAGGGCGCCAAGCTATCAACCTGATTGCCGAGCGGCGTTGTTTCATGGTATGGTTACCGTTGGGTGACATTAGGCGACGGCATCTATGTTTATGTTTTGTGTTATAAATTCCAACTTGTGGTGACTCGGTGAGCAGGGCAGTCCTTGAATGGGGGAAAAATGTTGAAAGAGCCGGAGGGGAAATGTTAGTACGGAGGCAAAAGGTACCACTGATTGTTAGTCGAATTCACAACCTACATGATTAAGTCGGGGACTTATGCAGGACATAGGGAGAGAGCGGAGAAACTGCCGATCGGGTGGAGATGCAGCGCGCCAGGTATCAACGCATATGGGCATTCAACCGAAGACAGTCTGGCCACGTAACTTAAGAAAAGGAGCAGGTTATAGAATTTTTAATTGGGGTATTTCTCATTTGATTTGCGACTAGGTACAGTGGTGTTTTGTAGCGTTGCAGACGCTTCCCGTGTAGGTAGGTACCTGGGCAATTCCAGTGGTGCTCAGGCATTGTCCACTGGGCCACTTTGTGTAGACTCTCCCAAAATACACTCCCTCTGTCCGGCAGTCGAGAAGAAGTAGCTATTCTGCGTTCTCATCGTCTTACCCTGGATCGTTGTAAACCCTTGACTTGATGGGGGATTGAGCGCCAAATCCCATGTTGAAAATTGCAGCCTCCAAAAATGTACAGCATTGTTGTCGTTTTGTAAAAATGGAGAAGGATGATAAAGCATGAAAAGCTGCCATTGGCGTCGGTTGCTTCTGAAGAGTGCTGTTGTGAAAAGAAAAGCGAAAGTAAAAGTAGAGTGGTATCGAAGGAATAGCTTATCGTAAAAGGTGCTGTGAAAAAATGACTGTGGCTGATGTGTAGTGCAGCCAATGTATGGATATCTCTCGTTAAGATGTCATCGCTTGCCAGGAAATCATGTGTAACAAAACCAGAAACATGCCGAGATGGTTACCACTTTCATTCTTACAAAGTTTCTCCGTACCCTTTACCAAGCTGAAGATGCTCTGCACTCCGGGTGCAGAAAGGGTGCGACCTATTGCCTGTTGCTGCTTACCAGAACCAGCACTCTGAGATCAGACTGCGGGAAGTAAATCAATCTCACTTTGTTGGACTGCCTTTCTGGGGTTGCAAGTTTCTTAGGGATTTCTTCCGTAAGACTCTGTTATTTTTTCCGGGGACTGTCACCACCCCTATTATATTATCCCTCTCACCTTCAGCTCCCACGTTCTTCAAGCTCCGTCTGGTGCTATTGAAAGAAGCTCGAGATTCCGATCCTATTACATCAAGTGTACTTGTCAGATCTTGCAGATCTGTTCTTGATGACCAGTAGTCCGGCAGCTGTGACTCATAAACCACTCCACTGGGGCCGATGCTCATGGACGATTTTCGAGAAGTAGACTTGGATGTAGGTTTTGCACTATCCTTTTGGGAAGCCGTAGATGCTCGCTTCGATAGATTCGATGTCGATTGGTCCATCTGTGGATACATTGAGCTGTTCTGTGGTACTTCTTGCCGCCGCGACGTGGTTTGCTTGACTGGCTTGGGAAAGGCCAACGTCTTAGGTAACTTTGGTGGTACTAAGTTTTGATTTTTGTTTTGCGATAGACCCCTAGGCGTCCTTGATGCGCTATCACCAGAAGTTTTTGGTCGTGGAGGTAACGGTAGCTGGCCCTTGATATCTTCGACATAGTGTGAACTTGTCAAAGCGGGGCCACTCAGGCGACGAGAGTCTTGATATATGGGTTCTAACAAAAAGGAAGTCGGATTGTTTCGCCCCTGGTCATACGGCAGGGGTGATTGCGATGACAGTGGCTGGTCCCTAGATATTATCGAGGTTGAAGGTTCTCGATTAGAAGTCGTAGCTGGGCGGCTCTCAGGAACGGGACGTGAGAGGGGGGTGCTGTCAACAGGGTGAATAGCAGCAAAGTAGGAAGATCGATTAGGAGGCTTAGGGCTGTTACTCAAAGCCGTTGTAGGCGGAGAGCTTTCTTCGATGCGTGACAGGGTATGTTGAGAACGCTGGGTAAGAGGTGAAGACGGTACTTTTTGTGCAAATGACCTCGAGAAATTTATGGATGGTCGGTGAGACGAAGGTGTGGGTGAAGGAGATGGGGAAGGAATGGTGAGCTCAGTTGTCCTCATAGAAGGCTCCTTGGTCTTTTCCGGTGTTCTTGTGGTAGGGGTTGGTGCAAAATAATCCTTTCGTGTGGCGATGGTGGTGGCTCTGGAGGAAGGTCGAGTAAAGATTGAACCTGCCTCCATCTGGGATATGCTATCTTGGCGAGACTGAGATCTATCAATCATGCCATTCCACCATTCGAATGGACTTCGTCGGCCGGTCATAGTAGACTCATTGTCGGCGAGTAGTCCAAATTGTCGCATACCAAACCTCGATCCGGTCAAGGAAAGGTGTTGAGATGTAGGGACCATCCTACCGCGCCTTACTGTCATCCGACGGGTGGCACCGGTGAGACCATTGTATTCGGGCGTCTTGGCCCTTTGACGTACGAACCAGCATCGCAGGAGGATTGCAATAGTAACCAATATGAGGACCGATCCGACAACGATGAGAAGTATATAAACCCAACGCGGCAAGCCAGTATTGTCAAGAAGGGTCGTCATTAAGACAAATACTTGCAGGACAATTCGAGCAGCATCGAGTCACCTTCGAGAAGGACCAAAACTGCCAGCGATTATTGAAGTTGGTTGATGGTGGGTGGACGTCTCGGGGGTCAGTGCTGAAGAGATATACTCCAGACTAGAAAAGTGACTTGCACGTCGACGACACACGTCAGCAACAGACACTCCTGAGTGTTTGTGCTGGAAATCTGCCGGTGTGGTTGAAAACTGGCTATGGGTGGTTGACAGGCAATGACAGCAGCTTGACGGTTGTGTCTGAAATGGAAAGCTTGGGTGGCTGAGACGCGGGAGCCGGTATGATATTCGAAGACAACCAGAGAACCGATACTCTTGGGTTCCCGGACGCTGATCGGGAAATGGCCGTCAAGACCTTGAATGGTAGAGAAAATAGTTGGAAATGAATTTGTAAAGAAACGGCACCTTCAAGAAGGATGAAACATAAGAGAAGAAGAGGCAGACGACAGCTCTCGACAGCAATTGGGCGAATGAGAATCAAATGTGAATGGACGGAAATATCAACAACCCACGGAACAAAAAGTCACGACAATAATATGATGCGGGATGCGGCAAGTATTGATAGGGTTCAAGGCTCATGAAGGCTCTGGTAGCTCCAATGGTAGCATCCCAGGACAGGGAAAATGCTTGAAGATGGGAGGGGAATTCAGGTGGAGAACAGATGAACGGCAGGTACGAGTTAGTCAGGCTAGCTTTTGGCCCTTTTGACCATGAGAGCCAGCGAAGTAAAAGGTGGGTGATCCATCTCGGGTCAGGTAGAGCCAATGAGAAACCAGATGGGCATGATTTGAAGGATCGATACGGAGAACCTTGAATGGTCGGTGTGGATGGATGGTCTGGAACTAACCAGGCGTACAACAGTACCATATGACGGGGGAAGATGAAAATCCCTAGTTGGACCTTGCCCGTGGGGTGTTCAGCCGATACTGAGTAAATTTGGACAGACAGCAGGTGGTCAGAAGATGTGGAGCAAGACATGGAAGAAAGTACATGGTTTGGAGTACTGTTCATGGCCATATGCATCGAGCACCGAGGTTCTACATACAGACGATTTGAGATATACCCGTACAGCGAAGAACGGGGTCCCGAACGTGTCATGGAGGCAGGCGCAGTCATGTTCATCTGCCGGGAGGATGAGACAATGAAGATGACGATTGCCAGTAGTCCGTGAGCCGGATTGACGCGACGGCATCATTGTTTCGGCGAAAAATAGGCACACGTACGCAGTACGATTGACGATGATGCTTCAGATATCGAGTCTCCGTCCTCCGTACCGAGCAGATATCATTGATAGATCGAGATAAGATGTATCAAGTTCACCACTCGGTAGGGAAGTTTGGACGGAAATATGCTCGAGGTCTGAGACTGAAACCATCAAGCAGAAAACTATCGAGCCTTGGGGGAAGAAAACAGGGCATCCGTGCAGGGGGGCAATGCAGGAACAAAGATCGATAGGCGTAGAGCTCGTTTCTAGGCCAGCCACACATGGGACCTTAGCGTAGGTTTGTTGCCGATGGTGGATCGCCAAAGGCCCGTAGAGGCCACAAGCGCATGGACCGTTGCGGAGATGAATGCAGCTGCCAGGGATCTGAAACGACAGGTTGGTTCATGCGCTTGGTAAAGGTGGTGAGTGGTGAGGAGAGTGACATACTTCTACGAGCACCCGTCCGAAGAACTGGGAAGACGGCTCATAGTGTAGAGAGTATTACGAAGTAGGAGTAAGACCATATTGTTCGAAACTTGGACAGAGTTCGAGTTACGAGCAATCAAGATATTCTGGTGTGACACAACTACGATGGGGTTTCCAACAGTTCGCTGGCTTCTGCCAGTGGGCAAAGAAAGAAATTGTCATAAAGAGTTTGAGTCTGATGGTTGAGACAGAGGCGAACAAAGGCAGCATCTTTTCAGCTTGGAGTCCAACTGGGCCAGGCATCCTTCCAGGCACACCTGTGACCTGATAGTCCGGTCAGCCTCCAGGGGTGCTTATAACTAAAAGTGACCGGATGTTGCGCCTTTGGAAACGAGCGCGGGAGACGCCTTTCGCCTAAAGGATTGCACGGTGCAAATGGCGTGGTGATCGGTGCAGATGTTAGCTGAATCTTGCCGGGGACTATAGCCTGAAACAGCCCTAAAGACCAGGATGATGCTTGCTATGATTGCACCCATTCTAAATACCACACCATCCCTCTCCCCATGGTCTCCTCTTTTTCCAAGAAAGAGAAGAATGGCCATTGCACTTCCACATTTTTAAAGTTTATCAACGGTCGTCTGCAAATCTCGACTGTTCAGGAAATCCGGTCGGGTCAGTATGCCTTCATTTCCCCTTCACAGCAGTGGGCGCAGGGAACAGGAAAATCCCTAGAGCCACAAATATCCTAGATCATGCCTGCTTTAGCCATCAAACCGTTTTAAGCAGGTCACTTTCGAAAACTGTGGTCTGGTTCTCATGTAAGCGAGATGAGTTCTGGACGGGTAAAATTTATGTATCCGTACGGACTCCTCGTGCTGATGAGAGATAGCAGTAGAGGCTCATGAGGCTTAGGGCCGTTCCCTCAGCAGACAAGGGTGGACACAGTCCACGATTACGAAGTAGCTACTCGTATGTAAGTTCAAATCTTGAAACGAGATTGAGGGCTGTCTTGTTTTCATTTCGTCATTGTTGACGGGTGTGAAACAACAGCTGACCTCGAGCTTTGTACCAAGCTTACTCCCCATCTGGTGTCGCACACCGACCGCCCCCAGACTGGCACGTGAGAAAATGAACGGACGCAAGAATGTTATACCGAGGTCCAAAACTCTTGATGCGAATAGAGACCAGTTACAGGTATGAAATCCGGGCACCTCAGGCACCGCAGGCACCTCAGGCACCTAAACCACCTAGGGAGGTCCCTAAACCACCCAGCTAGCCCATTGGCACCAAGTGCAGTGCCAAGCCTCCATCTGCCCCTCCACGGCCGTTCCCTCAATATGGAAATGCAGCCGTCAGCAAGACAGCCGGATTGTGATATTTTCGAGATCGTCATTCGAGTTCTTCGGCCAGCGACACAACACGACCAAGTTTGCTGTCTACCAATACTCACAAGCGGGCTTCTTGTCTCTCCTTAAGATTCACTAGATTTTCTTCTGCTGATTGCAAGCCAAGCGATATCCAAGTTTTGGAAAGCGAAACGAAACGCGTTCTCAGACAGCACGATTGGCCCTTTGACCGCTTGTCTGAGTTGTATCGACAGCATGTTACTCGCAAGGTAACATTGTACCTCTTCTGCTCGTTGCAGTTTTTGATGCCGTGTTGGTTTCTTCCAGTTCTCATCCTGGTCTCGCGTAATTCGCGTCCGTTCCTCAACCTTTGTCCCTACATACTACATTTTCCTCCAACGATCATTTAATTGCCGAGGTTGCAGGATCGATTGGCACACATCATGCCTAAACAACCTGCCGTCATCATCATAGCCCGGTACGGAAATACCTCTTTCTCTCGCGAGTGTCACTAACTGTTTCCCGCTTTACAGACACGGCGCTCGACTCGATCAAGTCGATAGAAATTGGATCACAACAGCCGAAAAGCCTTACGATCCTCCATTATCATATGGCGGCTGGATGCAATGCCAAACCCTGGGTGTGCGTATAAACAATGAGTTATACAATCTGGATAGAAAATACGGTCTTTCCACTGAAAACAAGGACGAGCCTGTAACAACTGATGTGCCACCTCCCAAGAAAAGAAAAATAATCATCCACACATCTCCATTCACTCGTTGTCTCCAGACCTCCATTGCAATCTCGGCAGGTTTACAGCATCCTCAGAACCATTCTCGGCCCCGTCCAAGACCCCGACAACAATCCTCACGCGCACCTCTGTCTCCAACTGAGCAACCGGACCCATCGTCAGAGCCGAGCGATTCATTGGAAGATGATTCTCTGCGCAAGACTACAAGCAAAGAACAGACACAGACAAATCGTTTAGGCTACAACACCTGCTCTCTACGTATTGATCCTTTCCTGGGCGAATGGCTTTCCCCGAGCTATTTTGAACATGGCGATCCACCACCTCCTTCCGCCGTGCTCGTCTCTGAGGCGAAGTTACTGCTTCAAACACCGCAAGAGGAGATCAAAGGTGCTGATTTATCTCAGTCTTTGTCCGACTTACCTTTGCTTGAATGGGATGAGAAAGAGAATGATGGTGCCTCACCTCCACCTCAAGAGAAGACTGGTCTAAAAGCAATGGCAGCTGCGGGTCATTCTTTTCCTAAAAGAGCAAGGAACATATCCTTTGGAACTGAGTTGGCCAATGGCGCCCGCCTCCTAAATCGTGCTCTCCGGCAGCCTGTCGGATATAGCCCTCCTTTACCTACCTACGCAATCGCTCCCTCGGAGAAAATTCCTGTAGGGTTTGTCACTCACGCCAGAGATGCTTGTGTCGAACTTGACCAGGACTGGAACAGCCAGAGTGAAGACCTCCAATGGGGCGACGGCGGTCACTACAATGAAGAGTGGGGCAGTATGCATCGTCGCTTTCGGAATGGTTTGCAGAAGATGATCGGCTTTTATGAGACCAACCTCACAGACGAGGAACAAACGAACGAGGACACCGTCGTTGTCATAGTTACACACCAAGCTGGCTGTAATGCTCTCATTCGGCTGCTGACAGGAGCACCGGCTTTACATGAGGTAGGAACCGCTTCACTGACCTTGGCAATCCGAAGGCCCCGGGATGAAAACACAACGATGGCGCCATCATCCCCAACTCGCAGACGAGGTTCGCTGGACTCTGGCATTTCGACAGACTACGACGTCAAGATCATCGCATCAACAGAACATTTGCGAGCCGCTTCCAATCCTCTGGGACTTAACTCACCACGACTCGGCTTCTCGCCTGCATTTGCAAGTCGTCGTGTAGTCGGCTCCGACGCCCCTGAAGGCTTTAGTCTGGGAGATCCCATGGCTATCCGTGGAATGTCGACCATACAGGCCAGAAACTCGAGCCAAAAGTCTCATGCTGCTGATGAACTTACTGCGGGCGAGCATCCCGCCGGTTTATGGCGAAGAGGTAGCCGATATTCGAGAGATGAGACGGTAGACTCGAGTGATGCGGGCAGAACACCTAGGACGGACAGTGTTGACACGAATGAAAGTGGTCCTGAATCTCAACCAGTTCCAGATTCCAATAATCTCAAGGTTCAAACTCAACATTTGCCGGTACGAAGCGCTAGTCAACGTGGTCTCTGGGGAGGCGAGTCGATAAACAGAAAAAGGAGTCCAGGGAAGAGGCGTTGGACAGCAGTGGAGAGATCTCCTTGAGATGTTGGCCTAGTCGAACTACGGAGTGGAAGGCCATATTTGATGTGTGTGGTGCACATATATGCCTCTCGTTAATGAAATCCGTGGTCATTTATCGCCATCGTGGCGATTTTGACTGATGTGTAGTAGTCGATGCAATGATACCTCACCCCTTGTGATTATTCCTCACGAGAGATAATAAAAGTGAAGTCGACTATATCCAGCCTAATTTAACGGGTTGAGTTATGGCGAATCAGACAAGTCTTCGATCACTCCGAGGAGCAAATGACGGGATGGGACGTCAGTGCAGTCACTATAAGCAGTCCAATGCATACACATGGTGATAGGAAAGGACCGTGACGGTGGCGTGATAGTATTAAGAAGATAAGGACAACAGTGCACCCACCTGTTGGCATTATCTTGGTATTTGATCGGAGATCGCCCCGCAGCGTCAATGGAGATCGGTTCAACAAGGTTACACTATTCAAGTTTTTCTTACGTCCGTGCAATGAATCCATCGGCTTTGGGTGTTGGCATAGTGACTCTGTACCCACGATAGAAGCACAAAAGTAGACAAGTTCATCGCATCATGGTCCCGAGGCTATTTTGTGCCATTTGATTTGACCCATGAAACACGAAGGCCTTTTTCACTTCCTTATCTATTTCCATCTGTGCGGGTTCATCTGGTTTGGGGTCAAAGGATATCTGCACAACCACAAACGGGCGAGGTTCGTGTAATCAAGACATCGGCATTGGTACAAATCAAGCTGCGAGACGATCAATGGGCTCGATGCCGAGCTGGAAGGAAAGCGCGCACCTTCGCCGCCAGCAACAGTATGAAACCATTCCACCGAGCTGGCGGCTGAAATCCATACCCACAGAGTTCCGGGATACTCGCTATGTCATCGAGCGCTCCGGGTTACTGACTGCCCGAGAGCTCGATATCACAGGCACCATCGGAGCAGGCAAGATCCTGCGTAAGTATGAGGAAGGAGACTGGACGGTCGAGGAGGTGGTGACGGCGTTCTGCAAGCGTGCCGCCATCGCAACGCAATTAATTGGCTGTTGCACGGAGCTGATGTTTGACGAAGCCATCGCTCAGGCTCGCGAGTTGGATCGCTGGTATGCAGACACGGGCGAGCTGACGGGTCCTTTGCATGGCATTCCCATCAGTCTGAAGGACAACCATCAGGTTCGCGGTGTCGACACGACGGTGGGCTGGGTGGGCTTGCTAGGTAAACCAGAGGCAGAGGATGGGTTGCCCGTCCAGCAATACCGGGCGCTCGGTGCGATCGTCTACGTCAAAACGAACGTTCCTCAATCAATGATGATGAGTGATTCCTACAATCACGTCTGGGGTCAGAGTCTCAACTCCCTGAGTCGGGCCCTGATATCCGGCGGTTCGTCTGGTGGTGAAGGCGCCTTGATTGGTGCACGAGGCTCACTACTCGGCATCGGCACAGATATCGGCGGCAGCATTCGAATCCCCGCGGCACTGCAAGGTCTATATGGTCTCTCCCCGTCCATCGGACGGGTCCCGAACCGCGAATCCGCCCGCGACCAGAAATACATTGTTCGCCCTGTCGCCGGGCCGATGAGCAACTCACTCTCCTCGATCGAGCTATTCATGGAAGCATATTCGACGATCGAGCCGTGGAAGATCGACCCTACAATCCAGCCGATTCCGTGGCGGTACGAGCTCGCCCTGCAGCCCAAAGACCGCCTGAAGATCGCATACATCGTCGACGATGGCGTCGTCGCACCACACCCACCGATCCAACGGGCCGTGCGCGACGTGGTGCGCAAGCTGCGACAGTGCGGCCACGAAGTGGTCGAATGGGAGTTCGCGTCCTCGCACCGCGCCGCCTACTACGAGCTGTGGGTGAAAGCGGTGCTCGCGGACGGGGGGCAACGGTGCGCCGACCTGTGCAAACTCGTCGACGAGCCCCTCATCCCGGGGATGTTGGTCGGCACTCCCGAGACGGCCCTGTCCGCGGACCAGAAGATGGCGCTGAGCGACGAGATCTGGGAGTACCAGGCGCAGTACCTCAAAAAGTGGAAGGACAGCGGCATCGACGCCCTCGTCATGCCCGTCACGCCCTGGGTCGGCATGCGGCCCAAGCAGTGGGTCCAGTCCCAGCAGTATGTCGGGTACACGGCGCTGTGGAACCTGTTGGACTACGCGGTCTTGACGATGCCCGTGGGCCTCGTCGATAGTATGGTTGACGATCCCGGCAGGGATGAGGCGTGGAAGGAGTATGGGAAGAGTCAGACCCGCGGCTTCAGCGATGAGTTCAATCACGCCCTGTATCAGGAGTTGTGGGATAAAGGCGTCGTGCAGGGCCTGCCGGTCAATGTTCAGGTGGTCACGGGCCGTCTGGCAGAGGAGAGGGCCTTGGCTATCGGCAAGGTTTTGGACGCTTTGCCTTGATTACGGTACGCCACGGGTCGGAATGGAGTTGAGGGGGTATTTTGTAGGTCTGTTTTATTTATGCCCTCGAACAGTGGCTAGATATTCGACCGAGTCATGTATTTCGAGTGATCTATTTCCTACCCCAACGGTATGTAGTCGCCGGGTCGATGTGTCTGCAACCTCCTAGGCCTACACTCTCTAAGTGACTTTCTCGATGAACTTGTAGATGTTCTCGAGCACCGTCTCATAAGCCTCCTCGGGCAGATAATGACCATACCCATCTCCAATGCCAACACCCTCATAGTCGACACCCGTCTGAACCCATTGCTTCCATTCGGCCGCGACGTCCGTCCTGGCCCCCAGCTTGGCTTTACTGAACATGACGAGGATGGGCACGCCGACTTTCCTGCCGGCCTTCTGGTCTTCATCCTGCTCTGTGACCTCAGGTGTTGAACCCGCCGCATAGTCCAGTGCAGTATAGTATAGCACTTCCTTAGTAGCGAAATTCTCGCTGTAGATATCGAGTCCGCCGTCTGCAGAAATCCGTTCGATCGATTTTGGATTCGGGCCAGAAATGCGCGTGTGCCCTCCACGTGCCCATGCCGCGCCTCCGAATGAGTCGAGGAGAGTGGCGGCGAGCTCTGCGTTGGCCAGCAGTGGCCAGTGGAAATAACCCGAGGCGATGACTGGATCGGCGAATTTCGCCCATTGCACCGACGTGGGCACGATGTCCATCAGAACGGTGCCGAGGACTGTGATGTTGAGCTTTTTATAGATATCATTCGTCTCTGGCGTGGCACCTAGGGCCGTGGCGGCTGGTGGGTGTGAGAAGTCCACGGCTAGACGGTGGGAGATTCGTGCGCCGCGGTCGTGTCCTCCGATGATGACCTTCCTCGGAGATGAAGACGATTTCGTGTTGAAGACTGCGCCCAGAGACTCAAGCAGCGCATTCCCTACGGAACGTTTGGAATTCGCTGGAATTGGGTCGGATGATTTAATGGGCGTGGAAATCCCGTATCCAGGTAGTTCAGGAACAAAAAGACTTACTTTGTCTTTGAGTGCTGGAACAAGCTGAGCGGAATTTGTTAGTAAAGGTGGATTCAGTGCAGGCGCAAATCGCTCAATGGTTGAAAGAAGCAGACCCCCCAAATTTCATAGCTGATGCAATGTAATATGACACGGAGATCTTACATATCGATATCTGGTTGACTATCAGCATACGAAGTGATCTAATGGACTGGCATCCGGGACTTACTCATATGCAGATTGCGGATAGCCATGTATCAGTGTCAAGATTGGAGCATCAGGACCCAAATCCGATATATAACTATGGACCTCGGACCCAGAAGTAGTCTTGGTAACATTATGAGTCAATCCGTGGCTCTCGTAGAGCGCCCGTGTCTTCTCGGCCGCGGATGGCATTGTGAATATGTTTCTGGAGCAGTGAACCTGAACTTGGTAAAGTTATTCAAAGATAGCTGGGAAGATGAATTGACACATGAGTCATAGACTATACCTGAGTCTTCGCTAAGAAGGAATGCAATATATATATATGGCGGGTATGTACGGTTATGTGCTATTCCGTACGCTTGCCGAATTACGTGCTTACCGAGCAATGAAGCTTTCTATCGCATGATTTGTCGAGTCCAAAGAGGAGTCGAAATATCTGAGCTCTATCTTAAGGCTCCCTCGGACTGAATTGATGATATTGGCCGGCACAAAGTGAAATCCAGGGGGGCCTTGAATACTGGAGCCGAGGCTTCAAGGGACAACAACAATGAGTTCTGTTGATGGTGGTCGTGGCTCGTGAAGAGGGAGGCCGCCCGCAATAACAGGAGAATGACGTAATCAATGGTCCTATCACGTGATAGCGCTGTCGTCACCTGATTTCACGTGACTGTCTAAGATCTCCAAAATTATGAAAGCAAGGTTCACATATCAGTGGGTCAAAAACACCAATCAGTCAGTGACAATCTGGCGCGTCACGTTCCGCAGGCAATCCAGGGACGAGTGCCCTGTTACTCGTAACTCCCGCTGCCGTGTCGCGCTCCGTTCATGCACATACCCGTCGGCTTGTTGGATCAACGATTTCGAATCCCTTTCCATCCTACATTCAACACATCGAGTTGTGGTTGCGACTTGGGTGCCAACTCTATCAACCAATATCCTCCAGTTCACGCCGCACAGCCACCTGTCACCTGCACTCCCAAAGGAGATATCCCTTGACAAACCTTCTAGGCGCCAGATCAAGCCACAACAATAACTTCCAGGACCCTTTGTTGACTCTTGTTCGCAGCCGGGCCTGCCTTTCCGAAACTGATGCTGTCCTCTTGGCCGGATTGATATTGTGTTACTAGGGCATTACAATGGCGTTCGTTGCCGTCTCCATTTCTTTAAGTGTGCACACTACTGACAATGGATCCTAGCACTACTACGGCAGCAAGTAGCGCAGGCGGGGGCAACAATATCAAAGTTGTTGCCCGATTCCGACCTCAGAACAAAGTCGAAATCGCAAATGGCGGCCAACCAATTGTCCAATTCTCGGGCGATGATACGTGCCAGCTGCAATCCTCCGAATCCAATGCCCCCTTTACCTTCGATCGAGTCTTTGGGACCTCTTCTCAACAAGCTGATATCTTTGATTTCTCAATAAGATCTACTGTCACTGATGTTATGAATGGTTACAATGGAACGGTCTTCGCTTATGGCCAGACTGGCGCAGGAAAATCATACACAATGATGGGTGATATGGATGATCAAGAGAAGAAAGGTATAATACCTAGAATCACGGAATTGATATTCGACTCCATCCTCGTTCACGGATCTGCGACTGTTGAATATACGGTGGGCATATCATACCTTGAAATCTACATGGAACGGATACGTGACCTGTTAAACCCTGCAATGGATAATCTGCCTATTAACGAAGGACCGAAAGGCCCTTACGTGAAAGGATTGCGGGAAATTTACGTCAATTCAGTGGAAGAGGTCTATACCGCTATGCACTTGGGTCAACGATCCCGAGTCACTGCGTCTACCAACATGAATCAAGAGTCTTCACGATCACATTCGATTTTCCTTACCACAATAAATCAGAAGGATATTACGACTGGTTCTCAGAAGAGTGGGATGCTGTACCTTGTGGATCTGGCCGGTTCCGAGAAGGTTGGCAAAACCGGTGCCAGTGGGCAAACACTAGAGGAGGCAAAGAAAATCAACAAGAGTTTGAGCGCCCTTGGAATGGTTATCAATGCCCTTACAGATGGAAAGTCGACACACGTGCCATACCGAGATTCCAAATTGACCAGAATCCTACAAGAGAGTTTGGGTGGTAATTCACGGACCACCTTGATTATCAATTGTTCTCCTAGCAGCTACAATGATGCAGAAACCATCGGTACTTTGCGTTTTGGTATGAGAGCAAAGACCATCAAGAACAAGGCAAAGGTCAATGCTGAATTGAGCCCTGCCGAACTTAAGAGACAACTCAAGATTGCCCAAAATCAAGCCATGTCCTTCGAGAAATATATCTCATCACTAGATGCAGAACTGCAACTATGGAGACAGGGTGAATCAGTGCCTAAAGAGAAGTGGGTGCAATCGTTGACTGCCTCCGCTTCGAAACAAGAGCAAAGGGCCAGGCCCGACACACCCTCCAGAGCCCCTTCAGATTTGCTGAGATCGGATACACCTAGTCGGCCAGATTCACGTATCGGGGAACGTTCAAGTACGCCAAGCATAATCCTCGAAAAGGATGAAAGAGAAGAATTTCTGCGTCGTGAGAATGAACTCCAAGATCAACTTACTGAAAAGGAGACACAAGCGGCGAATGCGGAAAGGAATCTTCAGGAAATGCGAGAAGAGCTCAAGACGTACAAAGAGGGTACACTTCGGACCACGAAAGAAAGTGAAGCATTGGCCGATAAGTTCAACAAGACTCAAATGGAGCTTCAGAAACTCTCATACCAGAGCAAAGAAGACACAATCACCATGGACAGCCTAAAAGAAGCCAATTCTGAGCTCGAGAGCGAACTCGTCTCCGTCAAGCAACAGCTTCTCAATCTGAAAATGAGCGCCAAGGAGACAACGGCAGCTCTCGACGAGAAAGACCGCAAAAAGCAGGAAAAGATGGCGAAAATGTTGGCCGGTTTTGATCTAGGGGATACTGCTTTCTCTGAAAATGAAGATCGTATGCGAGACATGCTCGAGCAGGTGGATACTGTGCACGCAGCAAGCCTGAATGGTGAAACTGTCCCCACACATGTCCTTGAAGACTTGAGGGCCAAATTATTGGAATCCCAGACTCTGGTACGTCAGGCTGAAAAGTCATTGAACACGAAGGCCGAGAACGACAGCGAAGAACGCGCACTGGTTCTCGAAGAAAAGTTGGCCACCATACAGCAAGAATATGAAGATCTCCTGACCCGCAATTTGGGTCCTGAAGATGTGGAGGACATCAAGGCCCGCCTTGAGCAGGTCCAGACTGAGAAGCGGGAGACACAAACAGACTTGCTCCATGACCTTCGAGAGCAATTGACACACAGATCACAGGAGGTCGACAAACTCCAAAAGACTATCACAGACCTCCAAACTCGGGGAGTTGCTAATGGTAGTGCCAATGGACCTATCGGGAAGAGTCTACAACAGCAAATCTCCGACTTTGATCTCATGAAGAAGAATTTGATGAGAGATCTGCAAAACCGATGTGAGCGAGTCGTTGAGCTGGAGATCTCCCTCGATGAAACACGGGAGCAATATAACAACGTCCTCCGCTCAAGCAACAACCGGCAGCAACAAAAGAAGATGGCATTCTTAGAACGAAACCTTGAACAACTCACTGTAGTGCAACGCCAATTAGTTGACCAGAACACCAGCCTCAAGAAAGAGGTGGCCATCGCCGAGCGAAAATTGATTGCCAGAAATGAACGAATACTCAGTCTAGAAAGCCTGCTGAACGAAAGCCAAGAGAAGCTGACGCAGACAAACCATAGGTATGTTTCCATTCATACTCGTGCCTTCTCGCAGACTAACTATGTTTTATTAGATTCGAGACACAACTCGCTGCCGTTAAGGAACGTCTGGAAGCGGCCAAAGTTTCATCACGAAACATGGCAGCTGGAGGCGTTGTTGGTCCCGGCGGTTTCAACAGCCTCATGACAGCAGGTGCCAGAATTGCAAAACCTCTCCGCGGTGGAGGAGGAGCCACAACTCTGGACGGCGCGAATGGTGGAGGCATGATGAACGGAGCCCCCTCGATCCCCATCATTTCCAGTCTTGCAGGGGGTGATGGTGGCAACAAACGGAGTAGCTGGTTCTTCAACACAAACCGATAAATCTAGAGGCGATGCGACACGAAGCTCTGTTTGAAAAGACTTGAAACACCATTTCCATTCCTCTGAAGATTACGACTCGATAGCTGTCGGTTGATTGGCTCAGCGTCGAGTGACCGAATTGATTTAGACATATCCCCGATCTTATGCATGATGAGCGACATGTGATTTCTATGAGCACATGCTGGGATTGCAATTCTTTTTTCAGCCCCTTGGCGAGCTGACGGCTTAGAACCCCCTTTTATTGAAGACATTACATATGGAGTGGTGCGCAATAGATTTTGCAAGAGAAGTGCTGAGAAATGTTATTGTGGTCTCTTCCGCCTGTGGACTGTTCGTCCGGTGATATTTGGTATTGGAATGAGTCAATGCCCAAGACGACTACTGAATCCGCAGCCTGACGATGTGACGTGATCAGGGTGACAGGACGATCGCAAGTGACTGCCAGTATGTTGACTCCTGCATCTTCAGATGATATAGGGTCCGGTGCCAGCCTGATTGAACTGCTATGGATGACGAACTGCCCCCAGGAAGAACAAAGGACGTAGAGTCAACCAACTCATTTACGAACAGGCTAGAGTATTCATCTACGAACAGGCTAGAGTATTCACGAATAGACCCTCAACCAGGTCCATTTGGAAGAACTGTTTGTCGTATGCCCTGCAAATGCTCCTTGTTCGTTAATCTACTGGCAGTAAAACTTGGGGTCGAGAGCGTTTGCATGGTGATTTCGCTGATTGAGTTCTTGAGATATATAAACCGCCTGAGATGGCTTGATTCGTGGTCTTCTCTTCCCCCATCCCTCGGCCAGACGATAATTCTACTCTTCCTTCTCCCTTTACCTCCCTTCTCCACCCGTCGAAAAATATAAAAGCTATTACACCATACACCCCCCTGCCGATACTCCAAAATTGGGTCATCGATTTCACTCCAGAAGGGGGTGTCAAAGACGAGCAACTCTTGCCAAGCAGTTCTAGAATTCCCGCCTGGAACCTACTGCTTCGCCATTGCACAATGTGTCTGATCACACGAGAGATCTACAAACTCGGCGATCATACTCTCGAGCAAGAGATCGAGCGATGCGATCGGTCAAACTGCGGCAGGCAAGAGGTGGTTTTTCCCGACCGCCTGATAGAAACGGAAGCCTCCGGAGAGTCATACGACCAAACAATTGTTACCAATTCACCGCGGCGAATGTGTACCGTGGGGAGAACATGGTTTGGCTGTGGGTGTAGCGATGCAGACTACGACCATTACTGCGACGGCAAATGTGATGTGCAACAATCGTTCCCAACTAAGGAGGACACCCGGCCGTGCAGATACTGTAAAGGCACCATGATCAAGACTTACTCGTCGCCCTGGACTCGGTGGAGTCGGTTGTTTAGACTCCTGCGCGGAGTATACAAGGGTCGTTATGAGGATGGCACATTGCCTGGCCCCCCAGCAGGTAAAGGAGAGTTTCTAGCCGAGTCGGGTACAGTGGACCGGTTTTAGTGATCTAAAGCACGTCATTTGTTTGGTTTGATCATACTAATAGTTAATTGGCAAACAATGATCCAATGTTATGAATTCGGAAGTTTGATACGGCCCCTGCTTTTTCAGCCTGATCATGTGACTGGCCATCCCGGCTAAGCTCCTGTCACGTTGAGCTGTAGATGATACGAAATTCTATGTGTGCAAAACTCCCTTATGCAAGTAATGGAGGCTTTGGTATCTCTGCTAGCAAGGCATGATAAGCTCAAAATGAGAATACTGCGAAGGCATGTTGGCCTCTTGCTGTGCGCCTTCCTATCTCCATCATGAGACAGACGTCAATTCCCAAAACGCCCCCAATGCGCTCGTATGCTTTAATCCAAATCAGTGCTGTCATATAAATTCGGGTATGATTGAAAAGTAATTTGACTCTACCAAGTCTGTGACCAAATTTAATGCTCATCATTATTCGTAACTAAGGGAGAGTTCAACATGAGAATTTAGTGTTAGGGTAAAGACAGGTTCATCTTCGGGCTATGGGTGACGTTCAGCGACTCGTGACCCCTGCCAGAGATGTTTGACTCCCACGAGCATGCGGGTACATATCCTGGCGGTCTTACTTGTCTCCTTTGTTGGCTTTGTTTCCTGTAACTTCCTCGTTTGTGTTGACTGCATCACAAAGTTTAGGCCCTCTGCTTTGTCTGTTTGTCGTGTGATGTCAACGTAATATAACCATAACCATCGCATTTCCTGAGTTGAATATGTAAAAGTTCCTAAATCATCTTCTAACTCATTTTAATAGGGATAGGATCGAATTCAACCTCGAAATTCCAATCTGATCTCGAGCAGAGTTTCTATTTCGAAAATTTCAACGCAAAAGATGGCAATAAATCACCTTGGTCAATTGGGACCCCCACCTCTGCTGCTCTCATACGCAATTGCCGTCTCGGTTGCTCATCATGTGCATAATCATTCGTGATGTTTGTGGATGGCACAGAGAGGAGCGACAGGTCACCAAAATTGACTGCGGTCGATCTGAGTGTGGCAGAAGAGGTCAATTCACAGTTTTTTGGGAGCACAGAGAGAGGATGGTGTGGGATGTGTACATTCGCCCCTCACCTCTTCCTGGAATGTCTCACCCATAACAGAAATTACAGATGTGGATGTATCGATCGCAGGATCGAGCACTTTTGTACAAACAGTGACCGATGCAGAAGAGTTGAATGTTCGTCGCCATCATTTGAGCATGATTCGTATCGTCGATGCACGTCTTGCGTTGGATCTCAGAAGCGGTAGCATGAGAGTCGAGGACGAAGCTCCTTGAGCTGTATTGGTTTCAGGCGTGGTTGAAGCACGATGCCGCTTCGATAGGCCAGCAAGCCTTTATATAAGATAAATTTCTTGATGGCCGCACAGTCTCTCGCTGAAACACGTCGAAACACATGGTGGACTTTGGACGTTCCGGCACTACAAAACCCTTTGGAAGACACCAGTCATTCACAACATAGCCTATAGGCTAGGTGCGGTGATGCTTGGGCCTCAATCACTGAACTCTCATGCCTCTTGAAATTAAATTGCGAGAATCAAGAACCAAGTGAAGCCATACAACGAGGGTGAAGATCGCAGTGAGTGAGATCGCGCGACCTGTGTCACCACCAGTGACTATCTATGATTAAGTTCAGGTGTGACACATTGATCCATTGGATCCTGATGTTTAATACCTCAGGCTCAATTGTTTGCTATCACGATCGTAACATTGAATCTACATAATCCACCTTCGAATCAACAAAATTCCAGGTCCAACAAGAGCGTACGAAACCCAATGAGTCAACGCCCATTTTCCATCATACTCGCAACTAAGAACCTCTCCTCCCTCTAGTCTCGACCATGTGTGAGATCGAAAGGCAAATCTGCGTCTTGCACGGCCACTTGCACCGACAAAAAGTCTTCGAATGTGACCGCGAAACCTGTATGAGAAGATACACTCTTAAGCAGCAAGATAGGAGACATCGCGAAAGATATATTATTTGCCCCGGTTGCAATCACATCAGACCACCAGTACGGAGATGTGAGGTCCGGACTGACAAATGGCGCTGTGGATGTATTGATGACTACCTCCAACACTTTTGTTACGATACATGTCATCGCCTGCACATCAATGAGCCCTTGATACATCCCCAGTCCTGTGAGCTGTGCAGACATTGTGACGACTGATGTTGGAGCAACTATTTTCTCTGGAAGGACAGCGAGCGGAATCGAACGGGCTCACTACTCATACAATCTTGTTCACGCTGCGCCATGGATCAGTCTCGTCGACAACTGTGAGCGAGCGGCACTTCTAGGCAATTGTGGGACTGCGCTAATCTTGTGTTGAAGAACTCATGTGCGTTAGGCCTCGCGAAGGTCTCGATAGGTTTGCAAACAAACTTGCCTATTAGTACCACAGTCTTTTCTTTAGAATCAAACGTTGAACAAGGAAGGCGACTACATCTCAAATTCATGAAACTCCATTTCTTTGACTCGCTTCTTCGGCCCTCTGAGATCTGTGTAGTTTGCAAGACCCAGCACAGTTGGAATTGTAACTCTCAACGTCGATTTTAGTAATACCAAGGTAAATTGCGAACGGGAGCCCGCAAAAACGTGAACGAGAATGACGAGAGTGTTCAGTAGATTCATACACCATAAGTTTCATTGTTCAAAAGCGCGAATATCCTCTGGTGCACATTCTTTATCGCAAACTTTGCCTTTGTGCCCCTTGTCGCCCCCACTGACATGACTAGAGATCAAACGGCATGATGAAATAGGCAATATGTCTTTCTTTGTGATCTGAAGTGATGAGAGTACTTCAATTGGTGTCAGCTACTTAATATTACATCGAAATGTTGCAAACAATGAGGCAGTCTTGCTTCTCGAAATCCAGTTAGTATCATTCGTATGTCAGCATCTTCATAAAGATAGCCTTGTCAATTTCCAACACCAGTCACAGAAAACAAGGGTCTTCGAAGTATATAAATTGGCTCGCTGCCTCGTGTTACTTCTCACTGAGATGCCTGCGATAAATGAACTTCTTTCCAATTTAGTCAGAACTCATTATATCCTTTGAATACACCAGAAAATCGAATTGAGCGAGCGAAATAGCCTCAGAACCATGTGTGTCTTGGAAGAATACATACACACCCCCTGTACCCACATAACAGGATCGACCTTAATCGTGTGCAGTAGTCAGCGATGCGCACATCCAAGCAGAGAATACGTTGATGAAATCGGAGTGTGTCCCATTTGCGCTCGAACTGCACCAACAGTCAAAGGGGAACAGACTGGAGAAGTTGCATCAACACGTCGATCCGGGAGCAACGATAATAACGAGCGAGCTGTCAAGTGGTGCGATAGCGATACTCTTGGTCGAGATAGTTGCTCTAATCTCAATGGTACAAGACGAGAGTATGACCGTCATGGTATAGAACAACAGCGCGATCGTGGAGAAGGCAGATGGCAGCGTGGATCCGGTCACAGGCACAGGCAAGAATCTCCGCCTCGACGCAATGCTCACTATGATCACAGTGGTAGGGAGAGGCGAGACTCACCAGCGCGACGGGGTGGTCACTCGGGTGGTCGTGATGACAGGAACAAGAGAGGCTCATCACCACGACGGTCTGGCTATCGCGACTATCGCGACTATCCTTCGTCAAGTGGCAGACATCGCAGGCGCTAAAAACTGGGAGACGCAGTAGCCGTCAATAGCCATGTGCGGTGGAAAATCCGGCTTCTTGACTGGCCAAACTATGAGATTCTGGCGGCGCTTTCCTAGAGGCTAGACCGCTTTCTAGCTAGGTCTATGAATATTGAAGTCAACTCTATGAAACGGAGAGTTTCTGAGATGGGTAGCTCACCCTCAATGCGGCCATTGGCGAGAGCAGATTGATGACTGTACGTTCCTAAAGCTCACTCCCTCCACGTGTTGGTTATGAGTAACTATAAATGTATACATGCGTCAGAAAATCCTATATGATCAAACCCAGTTGAGTTTCTCAGACGATCGTGAGCCCTTACGTTGTTTGATAGAATTTTCTGCCACCGAGTCGTACCAACCTGCGTGCGACGCTCTAGTAGATCTGACTGAGCATATCAAGATTCGGGGAAACGATTGGTGCATCTGGGCTTTGGGGCTCGAAGAGGTGATGAACTATAGCCTGCATGAGTCTAGCAAGTAATCTGAAGAATGGAGGTTGGATGTGACCACAGAAATTCGACGTCGTTTGTCGATACATGATGTTTGTGATTCTGCAACCGAACATGACAGCCTTTTCGCACCATGTCAGTCAGAGGCAACTATATTCCAATTTCTCATCGTATATAAAAACCAGCCCATCACAATCATATCAATCTATCTTGGGTATCTTCAACAAATCGACATTTGTCTCGTGGACTCAAACTCCCGAAGCTCTTCTGAAGTTCTCCTTAAACTGTTCAACAATCGAGCTAGCATACACAACCAGCTACTGAGCGGATTCTGAGTCGCTGAACAATGTGTCAACGCGAGGAGTTTGTGTACCGATGTGGTTGCTTGGTCAGGAAAGGCGAGATCAATCCGTGCGGCAGGCAGGGGCGGTGTGGATCACCTCTTGGGATAATAATCGAACAGACTGAGCCATGTACTGAATGCGCACCGACTGCAACAAACAAGCACCGAGAGCTAATTCCATGGGAAGAACAAAGCACTCGAACTCCGAAAAATAGACGAGATCGACGTGATGAGACAAGCGACAACGAACGCCGCGGTCGCCGCAGTGAGAATGAGGGATCTCCTCGTGATAGGAGAAGAGAGAATGATGGTGAAGGGGAGAGAAGGAGGCGTGACTGCCATGAAGGCGAGAGACGAACCACTCACCGCAACAACGGTGGCAGAAGACGCAGATCTGCGACTCAAGGGGAAAGTCGCCGCGGTTACAGATTCACTCGTGTTAGCGATCCCCGGCTCTGTGTTATCTCGTAACCACAGACATCAAACCACGGTCTGCCGAGGCTCAACCTGTGATGACTCAAGTTTGCAGATTTTGTGGGAGTCCAGCGGCATCGCGTATGCCTTTGCATCCGACTGTTCCAATCACCTCGCCTAGTCACTCAGCAATATCGCTTTCTCAATGGGTTGTGATATGACCTATTGCTCGAGGTCTCAAAGGCATCGCTTTGAGAAGTGTACATATATACATGAATTAGCATTTTTCATATGATCAAGTCCACTTTGGAATTTCTCAAAGCTCGAGTAGAGAATCGGACTTGCCCCCTTCTAGCTCTGCAATTTGTTTTCTGAGGACATCGGCTTTGAACGATCTAAACGCTTGCTCAACGCGCTTCTTGGTATCTGGATCGCTGCTGATGGTCCTTCTCGCAGACCAGCTTCCTGTCAGCAGACCAGTCTCTCCTCCGACGAATAGACCGCCCAGGCCGAAGAATGTGTAGGCAGCAATATCTCCCAGTGTCGTCGGTTTCATTAGTGGTGTTATATCTGGGATCGCCTCTTCTCTTCCGTCCGCAAATCGGACGTGTGTAGGTCGTTCGGTTGCTCGGAAGGCTTGGTACATCCGCGTGCGGTTTGCTCGAATGCGGAAAGCGAGGAAGCCTCCCAACGCAACACCAACTAGACTACCGATGAGGGCATGGGTGCTGAATTTGGAGGCGGCCTTTCTAACGAGGTCGCGGTCTTCTTGATTTAAGCTACCGGACAATTAGACAATACTTCCTCTCAAATTACCCCAGGGAGGAAGATGTACTCATGCTTGAAATGATCTTCCGCCAGCTTCGCAAGCTCGTCACCTCCCGATCGCCGTAGAGCAGCAAATGATTCGGACGACATTCTGCTAAAACTTGAGGATTAAATCTCTGGGTATGTTGGCTCGGATTTGAGTTGTGGGTTCTGGCTATTGTGAGCCTTCATCAATGCAAGAACATGAAGCTCAGTTTAAGATTTTTCGACGTCGGAAGCTTTGACCGATTTATTGTTGTCCAAAGTTGAAAGAAGCAACGCGTAAATGCCTGACGTCATTCACACGTGAAATTGCATTGACCCCGGAAGATGACTTTCCGCTTTATCGATAAGGCGAGAATTTATCTAACCCGATGAAGTATAGCGGTATATTGCTGTTCTACCAACCGAATGAACAAGATCTCAACCAAACTCTTTATGTCTGAAAGTCTCTACATGAATTGAGATACAATGCGCATAGATACATTGCGTTCACTCACGGCACTGGAGGATCATTAGAAAAGTCCTCGGGGTGCCGATTTAAAGTTAGCTGGGTGGCTTTGTCCTTGGCACACCACTGAAGGAGTGGCCTTTGATGTCACTGATCGATGCTTCCAAGTAATATCTTGACACTGACATACTAGTCAAAATATTGACAGCAACAGTACAAGTCAGGCATAAAGTCCTCGCTAAGTCCCATCTGGTGGACTCCAGACACCGCAAATAACCATTGGCATTCGCCGCGGTCGGTACTTGCAGGTTAGGGTTGATTCTGACAGGGCTGATCAAGCCACTGGCCTGACCTAGCGCACACTGTCCGAGCCTGTCTTCGAATATATAGCACTGGCCGTTTAGACCACTGTTGAAGTCTGTAAACGTGAATCCAGCAATAGCTCCTATAGGATTCAGAATGAGAGAAACGCAACAGTCATATGGAGAATTATTGCTAGCATCATTAGGCAAGACCAAGGCGAGGCTAGGGGAAGGATTGCCGCCTGAAACAGGGACGTTGTTGACATAATATTCAAGATTGGGTGTTGCGCTGCAAAGGTTAGTTGTTTGTGCTTCGAGATGCCCAGAGCAGTGAGCATCTGGTGGAATTCGATGGGATTTCACTCACCAGGCTGCATAACTTGTCGAAGTAAACGATGTCGAGGTCTCCGTCGAAGTACTGGTGGTGGTGGTGGTGGTCGTGGTCGTGCTTGTTGAAGTACTAGTCGTCGTTGTCGTCGTTGTCGTGGTACATCCTGGGGTGGTAGTCACGGTAGTTGTTGAAGTAGTGGTTGTCGTGGCAGTAGATTTTGGAGCCGTGATTGTGATCGTACGTTTGACAGTGGCTGTGGCGCATTTCCCAACATTCACATAGCAATTGACATCACCTGCTGGCAATAGTTTGGCTCCGGATCTAGATGAATTAAGGTTTGCAGGAGAGTATCCTCGTGCAAATTCGACATCGGGATTGAACCTTGGAGCTCGCTTCTTACTCTTGGTTGGTGTTCGTTGTGTTGTCGAACCTGGAACTGAGGTTTCGATGGGAATGAAGCCCGTTGACGTCGGAACGACTGTGAACGTACTAATTGTTGTGGTTGTAGTGGTCGTGCTAGTACTTGTTGACGTCGAAGTGGTCGTGGTTGTGGTCGTGGTCGTGCTTGTATATGTTGCTGTAATTCTTTTATATGTGAGCGAGAGAGAGATTTACTGAATTATGATTGTTACTTACTTAGTTGGAGGTGCAGTGCTGGTTTTGGTATCAGTCTTTGTCACTGTGGAAGTCGTTACTGGAGTGGTAGTGACAGTAAGTGCGGTAGTGCTTGTCCAGGTGCAAGATGTTGTTCGAGTTGACCATTTGGTACTTGGCCTTCGGGTTTGCTTCGTGACAGCGTCCGTATAGCAATTGGTGATTGGTGCGGGATAGCCTCGACCAATCCCATTGTAATTGCCATCTTGCTGGAAACCCTGAGGGACTGCAGAGGATAAAGGCGCGATTGCCAGAGCAAGGACAAGACCCTTGATTGGTTTTGTAAAATGCATAGTGATATTAGTGAAAATGAGGGTAATCAGTAAAAAGAATGGACGGAGCAAGAACTCCTTGATGTTGGATGAACCCTCTTACCCCAGGATAGTGCGTAAGTCGCGAAGTCTTATATGACAGCTCTCTTTCCCCGCCTAGGTCGATTGATTACTTGCCAGTCGCCACACGATGACAGTGCCAGGAGGTGGCTTTGTGGAATCTGCAGAGTAGATTCCCGCATGGGTCAACCGGCTTTCATGCTTTCACGGCACAAAACATCCTAAAACTCTTGTGCTCAAGAAGATGCGGGTATTCAAAATGCTTCCATTTGCCACTATGTTAATCATCCCAGTAGTGTAATTCGAGTAGTACAAAGTCTGTTGAGTGCTTGAAACTGCTCTGTGTTGACGGAGCCTCGGAGGCTGAATAATATAGCATCGTCTCTGTGAATTTTCGTATTGAGTTTACTAGGTCCGCCACTTCAGCCCAACTGAGCCACCCCTAACACATGGGCAATTTAAATGTGATCGCCTCAAATCCCATCCCGTCTGGAATGGCGCTTTTGCAGCCGAATTGGCGATACGATCGCTGAATTCGGATGCGGACAATAATGACTTGGATGTTGTTTCTCGCCATCTTTATTAAGTTCGATAAATCGGGATAAGCTTACGAGAGACCAACCTGTGAAGACTCACGCATCACCACGCTCTTCGCGAACGCATGAAACAACGAGACTTTACTACACGTACTTTGATGATTTGAAGTTGGTTACTTAGGTAGCTATGGCCGCTAAGTTCTGGTGGACTACTAAACGGGACTTCATAAGGTTTGTCCCGTCTCGTAGTGTCGATCGAATTTCCACATGCGGATACTGTGGATGATCTGGGAGGGTAAGGAATAAAAAGTAAATACTCCGTATATGTGGCGTAGATAGATGCGGAGTACGTGCAAAAATAGGACGCATGAAGTAACGCTCATGAAACCTGCAATAATCTGGAGCAAGCTTCAATCATTCAGCCCGGTATGATGCTTTCCGTTCGATCAAAGGAGGACGAATTGCAAGTCCTGGTATCCCAGTCACTAGATATGCGAAAGCGATCGACCCTGGGCTACGTGAGGCTCGGTCCCGAATCCAGTTTGCCGAATTTTTCGGGTGGTTTGTAGTTGCCAAGTGGGGAAGCATTCAATACTGGGTCAACTGAATCAACTACTAAGTAGCGTCCACGCTTGCATCCGGACTCCTGAAGCCTTTCCTCTGACGTTGACCTCCTTTCGACAAGAGGATATTGGTCGAGAGCCCGTGCTTTGAAATTAGAGTTCCCTGGAGATGTACTCAAGTCTGCGATACCGTGGTACGTATGAATGCTTGGACGTTCACAGGGTTCTCAGTAGTTATAAGAGCCGCGGTCCGAGAAAAATTTGGAGAGACATTCATATCGACTCCGCACTTGCGATTAAATGCTATCTCCCATCTCCGTCAGGGACGATAACGAGATTGACTGTTGAAACGGAAGATGGCGGCACTAGAGGAATTCGCTTCGACTCGACATTCTTCCCCTCTCTTACTTCAGACTTCTCTATGGCGGGTGAAGGAAATTGATCAACCAAGGCTGCCTGATATTCCCTCGCAGTGGCAGGTGGCTTTTCAACTCCTTCACCGTAATCCAGCAAAAATTGCTGTGGCGGACAATTGGCCTATTACACATGAATATCCTGTCTTGAGATTGAAGGCGTGATACACAGTATGGATTTATCGTCCATCATTGCAGAAGTACAGGAGAGGCGAGCAGCATCGATTCCGTACGAGTGGAAGATTGCTGAAGGCAAAGTTGACCCCGAGGCCAAGCCTATTGACTCAATCAAGCGGGTGGGGATTCTGAACAACAAAGAAGCCGAATTGACCGAGAAAAAAGCCACAGAAATCTTGAAGGAGATACACTCAGGCGAATTGACCTCACAAGAAGTGTTAGAAGCCTTCCTAAAGCGAGCAGCAGTTGCACACCAGATCACGAATTGTTTGACAGAGTTCTTTCCTGAGGAAGCACGTTTAGTAGCGAAGAGCCTAGATGAGGAGTTTCAGAAGACTGGAAAGCTCGTTGGGCCGTTGCATGGTCTACCCATAGCGATCAAGGTATGTCGCTAAACCTCGAGGCCCTCAACTTTGTAGGAAGCTCTGACTGCACCCTAGGACATGTACGTGTGACCCGCTTACTAACGACTGAGCATCAGACCAGCTCATGATACACAGGTGTGACCTGCAAGGTCATCTCACCACAGTAGGTTATGTTTCATGGCATGATAACATAGCTCAGACGGATGCGTCGCTAGTGAAAGTCATGAAAGATGCTGGAGGTAAGTTTAGCCCTAACTAGTTGTTCCTTTTGTATCAATGAAGCGAGACCTCGGTGTTGGAATGCGGATCTTTCTCTGATGTGATTGATTCAGCTATCATTTTTGCAAAGACGGCAATGCCTCAAACTGGCATGGCATTGGAGACCAACAGCAACCTCTGGGGTAGAAATCTGAATACCCATAGCACTAATTTTGGCTCGGGTGGCTCATCAGGAGGAGACGGGGTGCTTGTTGGTCTAAGAGGAGCACCAGCAGCACCTCTTGCATCTGACATAGGCGGGAGCATTCGAGCGCCAGCAGCATTCAATGGGCTCTATGCGCTTCGTCCAACGTCCGAACGGATTCCAAGAAAGGGTCTTCGTTCCACAGTTCCGGGACAGATATCGATCAAAACCTCGTGCGGACCGATAGCACACTCAATGCAGGATCTAAAATTGTTTGCTAATCTGATACTGACCCATCCCACTCTTCCGTTTGAGGGTAGTTGCCCACCTGGCTCATGGAGAGAAGTCGACACGCCAAGCAGGAAGCTTAAATTTGGACTTCTCCTGACCGACGGGGTGGTTCAGCCACATCCGCCCATTATTCGAGGTTTGAAAGAGACTGCTGAGAAATTAACGGCTGCTGGTCATGATGGTATACTCTATTCTCATCTTCTAAGAAGAGAACTTCACTAATCTGGTGCAGTTGTCGAATTCAAACTTCCGTTTGACGCTTGGGAGGCATCTTTACTGACGGTGAGAAATTGTACCATTCCAACCAATAATGCTGACCTTCGAAGTTCGCGTTGTACTGGCAGACTGGCGCGGCTGAAGCCAAAGCGAATATTGCGGAATCAGGGGAATCGCCAATACTCCCCTATGCAAAAAATCTGGAGATATATGACACTAAAGCCTTGTCAACGCAGGAGTTATATGCAGTAAGTCATAACATGGTTTTCAGCACAGATGATCGGGATGTCAGTCTAACCACGCGCTCTACCAATAGCTCAACACCAAGCAAATGAATCATAAGTGGGCATTTGCCGAAGCCTGGCAAGACGCAAACTCTGAGAACGGGTCTGGACGTCCCTTTGATGCTATTTTGTGCCCTGTATCACCCATGGCCGCGGTACCTCACGATTTTCCAGTGTACTGGGGTTACACATCCCTTTGGAATCTACTTGATTACCCCTCAGTGGTTATGCCGGTTGCAGATCTTGTCATCGACCCGTTAAAGGATGGGAAACCCCGTGACTATGTGCCGAAGGACAATCCATTCGACAAAGATAACTGGGAAATTTGTATGTCTGGATCTGATAGCGGCGCATTTCTTCTGAATAAGCTGACCTTTTACTCTCTCAGATGAATCCGAAAGGTGGCAAGGCCAGCCGGTGACGTTGCAGGTAGTTGGTCGACCATATATGGATGAGGAGCTGATTGCTGTGTGCGAAGCAATCGACAACGTTATCCATAGAAATGTGATCAAAGAAGAATGAGTAGGCAAGGCTTAACCGAGAGTGGGATTGCGTGGGTAAAGTTGTCATTCCATCCTAGAGTAGCGACACTGCCCCCCATCCTTTGGTTCACTTCATATTTCGATGCCTGACATCGCAGCATCCGAGTTCGGCTGGGAAAACCCTGAACTTGCACGTATCTGAAATGCCTTTCTTTGCAGCGTTCTTATCGTTCGAAACTGTGCCATAAGGTTCTCGTCCGCTTCTGATAGAATGCTCCTATGTTTCTGAACCTTAACCCGCAATTTGCCTTGACCGCCATCATCCTCAAACGTTAGTGGCCACTCCAACATCATCCTGTTATTGAGGCCTTTCTCGGTGGTTTCGGTTGCATCGTCATGCAGAATCGTGTAGCCTGGTTTGAGGATCACTTCAACGAAGATCGTAAAAGTACCCCAGCCCCAGCGTCGGATCTCAAAAGGGGAGTGCCTCAAGTCAATCTTATGATCACGGAATGACTTGTGTAGATGGACAACCACCTCTTGAACCATTTCCTGACGCGAAGGGCGGACGAAGAAAGTCCAGTCGTGTTTATTCTGATCCGACTTATCAGACAATTGCGAAAGGGGTGCTAATCTGTGTGTGTTGCCGATAAGTAAGGTCAAGGTCACCAGCACAGGCACCTTATTCTTGGAGTGTCCACTCGAAGCCTCTGCTGTGGGTGTAATGTCTAGTCTACTTTTGTAGTCCCACAGATACTTCACCTGCAAAGTCCGCTGAAGGTCTGAACGAAGGCTGAGATTGGTCTCAGTACCACACAACGGACAGAGCACTTGCCTATCATTTCGGCGATTGTCGGTTGTGGGAAATTCGTTGTAGTCAAGTGGCACGTCAATAAGCTCCGAAGAAACAATAGAAATATCGGCCCAATCAATACAAGTTTGGCAGAATATGTGACCACAATTCGTGCCGATTGGTGTCTGTAGAGGTCTGCGGCAGATGGGACAATTTTCGATGAGCTTGAGCGGTGTCGTTGGTGCAATGGGGGCGTTGACCTGCGTGAGGAAAAAGTCCTCTTCTGCCTTCAATCTCTGTATATCGACCGTCCAGTAGCGCTCATACATCAAATCTCTCTTCTCAATGTCGATGACCGTATTCAGGCTATCCAGAAACACCAATAAGCCCTTGTCTCGGTGGCCACGGACTGCGGCCCAGGTGCGAGTCGGACTGAATTCCTCCCGTGTCACGACATACCGAGACAGCTTTTCATCATGCTTCGCTCGAATAAAAGGAAGAGATGAAATCCACTCTCTGCTTGCATGTGCATCGGGTGGAAGACGAAGATTGCTTTCAGCATTGAAGTCTATATACAACCGTGGATTGAACTCAAAATCAAAGCCCAATCTGAGAATGATACCAGTTGGTGGAGAATGCTTTCGTGTCACGAAAATACTCAGAATTGCCATTGTCCCATAGAATTCTGGCGATAATGATATTGACTGTTCTTGAGGATCAAGCGCGTCGTAACTAAGTACCTGCATCAAAGGCTGGCCATCCGGGCCATTCTCAAAGACAGGACTATCAGCAAATCGCAAGTTGGGTCGGCAAATTCGAGTCCAAGACGTGTACGGCATCTGCATCACATTGACACGAACGTTTCGTTCTTCGGCATCGCTGTTAGCCCACAACTGTGTGCTTGATCCGTTTACAACTTCTCTTACATATTGACCGTCTTGCTCAATCTGTCTCAGATAGATGGAGATATCTGATGTCGGCCCATCGAGCGATTTGATTTCTGCAACACAGTTTAACTTTGCTTGATATGTGTCAATCGAGCAGGGCCGCAAGAGTAGCTCAATTGAAATACCCATATTGGTCATAGCGAATGACCGTTGTGATCCGGACGTCTCCATCGAACGAATATTGCCACAAAGAGCAAAGGCGAGGGGGGATTTTGCCAACAGGCCGCCACGGTGTTCATGGATTACGTCGTACATTTCGGCCTTGTCGTACTCGGATAATATTCCAGGCCATGCAAAGATGGTCTGGTCCCCGGAATACTTGATGATCTCTTCCTGTAATCGTATAAATGCCTTTTCTCCTTCTCCATATAACATTGGCATGTTCACATCAAAGAGCCCCATCAAGCTATATGCCTGGTCTTCAATGCGTGTCGTTATTCGGTTTGCCGCCCATGACATCCTTTGCGCTATTGAGTATTCTCTGGGACTTTCACCAAGCAGCACGTTACTAGGAATCTTCGTAATTGCTGAGATGCCACCAGCCAAATGCCTCTTGTTGCCTAGCGCTGTCCACTCAGTATCAAAGAACTCCATATGATTGGGAGCAATAAGTTCCTGTAGCGTCCAGCCTCTTCTAAACCACTCGCTTTCACTGAACGGCCAGCTATTTTCGAAACTGACATCGGAAAGAAATGCATAGCATTTTGTTGCGTTCTGGTACCATCGAAACATGGAATTTATCGCTTCGGATAGTTCAGCGCTACTGTCCTTATTGATACAGCATGTATCAATCCAAGCGTGAGAGAGGCCGTCTAACGCGCAGTGCTTGCAGAAGTCTCGGACTTTGACAAACCCTTTCTTCTTCCTCGCATTCCCGGTGACCATGTCTTGGTATGATACTTCTTGAGATTGCCATCGATGCGACAAAATTCCATATTTGGGTGTTGTGCGTTCATTTGCGAATTCTTCGAAAGCGAGTGTATGAACTTTCAGAAGGCGCATGTTGCATTTGCCTTCAAAGGCGTACGACGTTCTTGAATTGCAGCAGCAGGTGGATTTGCGGTGAGAGTTTACATAAGGCTATCTCCCAAAAGTAAATTCACCAGGAATCTAATCAGCCGCCAGTGCCGTGCAGTGTATGTCCGTAGGCACCTCGGTGTGGGCCAGTGCCAAGTGAGTGGCCACGGCACCCAGGGCCGAGCCACCAAGCGTACCTACGGTTGTAACTTGTAGGGCAAATTTTTAAAGCACTTTCAACTGCCTAGGTAGGCCCTCGGGCTGCGCAACGGGTTAGGCTATACCCTAAGCAAAAAAACCCGAAGCCCACCCGAAACCTGGGGGAAGTTGAGCCTTAAAAAAATAAACTAGGTCAACGCATAATTATATTAACTTATATAAGGAGGCACTTGTGGTATATAGTATATAACTTAAGTGAGTTATAGAGCATATAATTTCTGAAGCAGTGCTAACTTATATATAGTACTATAATGACTACTAAATAATAAAATAACGTAGTCCGAAGTCGTATAAGCAACGAGGCTGGGCAGATGTCGTCTGCCCGTAGCCTCCTTGTGTCAGACATGTCATTTAAAAGAGCATCTCCTAAGGCCTTGAACAAACATTGTTTGCGAGAGTTCATACCTCGTACAGCATGCACATAGCGCGAAGAGAAGAGGCAAGCCGATGGCAACCCGTCTGCACATCCACAATCCACCAAACGCCAGGACTTTGCGAATGCAAAGTCAAAGGGGTCGTTCCGCAAATTTTTCAGAGCTAATCCTAGTCGCAGTACTAAATCCGCATCATCTGAAGACAAGATTGCTGCAATTGGCCAAGCTCAAACGACTTCACCCGACGATGCTTCCATTCGCGACTCAGGTGAACAGGACAGCCACATAACAGCATAGTCAGCATCAACGGAAACGCCGATGGCGACGCCGACGCCAGAGTCGCCCAGGCGGCAGATGAGACAACCAGCGTCTCAAAAATTGCCTCTTCCAAGCCAAAGCGGCATCGGCTCAGATTCTGGAAGAACACGGTATCGTGAGCCGACAGCTGGTGATAACAAGGCTCCGAAGAAGAAGAGGGGAAGTAAAATAGGATCAATAACATCTACCTCCGTCAACCGTCCCGATTATATGAAAAGTGAGAAAATTCAAAGCCACATCTCGATGTCAATCCTTAGCTTGCAAAGCTAGGGGTCTTTATGTTATGTATACTTGCATGTATATTTATTTACATCACTATTGAATTTCAACTATCCATCTGTCAAATATTGAATTGGTTGTAATGTCGGTGAGGCTGTTAGGTTCAGAGCCGAGAGCAAAATACGTACCAGTACAGCGCCAGACCGTAAGCCTACCGCCTCAGTCGAGGCCTAAACTTTGAATCTTACTGTAGAATACAAGTCGCATCTGAATAGCGAGAATCCTTATCTAAATCGACAGGTATATTGTATTGGAAGGGGCGATGCGAAGATCGTTGAGCCTTTGAGACAATACGTCTCAGCAACATAAAACGTGCAATGCGTTAGATAAGTTGTTAGATCAGTCTTCGAAGAGGGCAGGAAGATAGTGCCGCATGATTTCTTCCCAACAATATCAATGTCCCATATCCCCTTTCGAACTCCACAAAGTATTTGCAGTATAGTGTCCAAGGCGTGATAACATTGTATTTAGCGGTTCGCTGTTTCGCTTCTCTGGAGTCTGGACCATGAAGGTTTGCCACTCTTATCACTTATCTGGCAGTTTTCACCCTGCCTTCCTCTGATATGCTCGCTGGTGGCAAACAGTTGAGCGCGTCTTGCAGAAGCTCGCATAGAGCACGCCTGAGCACCTTAGCTACACGTATTTTGAGCATGTCCAAGATCTGTATGCCATCTTTGATGCAGGAATCTCGAGCAAGTGAAAGCAAGCCTGTGGATACACATTCGCCGCACCACACAACGAGGATACTGAAATATATGCAATAGGCCAGATGAGGAGGTTCAAGAATCCGTCGCTTGCTGATACCAAGGTTCGACCGGTCTGGTTCAACGACCTCAAGCTCGCCCTTAATCTCTTGTATCATGGTTTTCGCATGCCAGAGGGCTGCTTCGAAGGAGCGACCACTCGTACAGGTTTTCAGCCCCTCATGGAAATTTCCCTCCTTGGTCACCTTTGGGTCTGTGGCAAACCCGCATGCAAACAGCTGAAGGAGCCCCAGGTTGACATTGAGCTGCAGATAACTCATGTGATAAAGAGTCATTGAAGATAGGTCCGTGGTAGTCGGACATAGTCTTTTCGCCTTTAGCCATCGTTCTAGACCAAGTTCTATCAGCTCTGGGCGCCACAACTGCCACTGTCGTGTTTGTTCTTGGCCTCTCAGATTTGATGCCCAGGTATATGCACCAAGATTCGCGACCTCGCGAATACTGCCAGTGACCCTTTCAGCCTCGTGAGAACAATCAAACAGCGGGCCCAGACCAACTGTGGAGGTCGTCATCATTGATTCTAGAAGGTGTATTGGCGATAATTGTGGTGGCCGCTGCAGCAGGAGTACATTGTAGCATTGAATGATTTCCATGGCTTCTGAAATGAGTGAAAGCTCTTCAGTCTCCGCCAGCGTCAGCTCCGTTGGTACAAACTGACAGCAGTATCTCATAGCTTGTATCATACTGACATGAAAGGCCTCGACGAACTCGTAGCTCCTTTTGTCACCACTGCTGATACCATAGATGGTGAGTAGAATGAATGTTTTAACAGAACTTGAGGCTGCTTGAAAAGATGATTTCACGCCATTGGAATGAAAATTCTCGAAATGAATTCTTCTGGCGTCGTTGTATAGCGTTTTCGCGACCGTAATGCCGCAGTCTACTCCCAAGAATAATGCGCCAATGGCGGCCATAGCTAGACACAACTCATGACTTGTGTTAGTCTTCGCTTCGAAGTCTGCGAAGAGTTTGAACGTAGTAGCCACGTGTCGGCGTGCAATATTGAGAAGTACATTCAACACTTCTTTATCGTAAAGTTGTAGCCGTGGAGGAGCAGAGTACCACAGTTTTTTCGCCTCGTTTGTCAAAGGGCTGGAACTGTGCGATCGCCGGCGAAAATGATCTTGAATCCAGCCAACAGAGCTCTCGATTCGGAGCTCATCCGACGAAAGTCCTGTCTGATTGACAGAATCAAAATCAGAGTGATCAATATCGTAAAACCAGTGTTCCGCTTCCTAGAGCTTTTGTAAGCAATGCAAGGTGCACACTGAAAATTTAACTATACCGAGGTAGGGGGGTCCCAGAAAGCACTCAATAGGTCGCTATCGCTAGGGTTCCAATAAAATTGATGCGGTCCACCATCAACAGATTCGAAGAGGGAGGGGAAAGTATCTTCAAATGCGGAGAATGAAAATGATGGCTCATTGGGAAGTGTCTGGACATTGGAATGTGATGCTCCCATGGTCAAGGGCGAGGAGTTGCAGGTGGTTGCACTCAAACCAGGTGTATACTGTGATGCCGGAGCGGACCCAGGGTCTGTCCTGGCAGGGTGCGATGTACAGGTTGTTGCCTCCAGGAGCGCAGTAAAGGCCGGCTGTGTCGATTCTTCTAGAGTTCGCCATATATCGTCTCCATCGGGGGCTTCATTCACAGCACGGCTTCTGGGTCTTCCCGGACCTTTGCGATTACTGGAGATTGTACATGACAATTCCCTTGTCCGGCATGTCTCGCAAGGCCGTTGATCGTCACATTTGAGTTTTCGCTTGCGACACTCATCACATGCCATCCTAGATCGTTCTTGGGGAGCTGGCCTGCCGGTTTTCGTGTTTGTCTCACCCCTGGCTAGTGGATGGCACCGCTTCATGTGTCTCTCCCGTACATCAGCGCGTGGGAATGTGACGTGACAATAACCACATTCGAATGGTTTTTCCTTAGTATCTAGGGCGTTCTTTCAGTCAGCATAGACATGGAGGCTCTGAGCACTTGGCAGTGGGCTTAGCCACATGTCACTTACGGGTTCTGCGATGGCGCACGAGATGCTCAACGCGAGCAAACTGTCGCCCACAGGTGTCACACTCGAGCATGATTAGCGAAGGCTTCATAGAACAGCATAGCGGTTGGAAGGACTCCGAACAACTGAATACGTACAGTCTTGTTGGCGTTGTTGATTGCTGTTGTCGGGTGTTCATCCATGATAGCCTCAGTAGGTACCTTTCTGGCGCACGAACGACACTACTTGCTTGCGTCTCAACCACAGTACGTCCGATCACTCCTGTGTAAGACAATGGTCGTTGATGCCGGTTGAGCCGCCTCTCTTCCCCGCAATTTGAATCTATCCGGCTGAGTGTTTAATGGCCACTTACCCCGCCACGGAAGTTATGACTCAGCCAAGCATTGGATGTTCATGACTCCTGCTTATTGCCTTTTTGCATGCGACCCATGCAAAGTCTTGTGTTGCTTGGGGACAATCTTGCACATGGAGAAACGCCTACCGATCACATCGTCTGGTTCAAATTGGCTAGGAGAGCGAGATCCCTCCCGCAAGGACGTGGAAGAAGCCAACGATGTGCCTGAACCAGCTTGGTTCTCAGAATTCAAAAGCTGCCTTTTAGCAGACTCTGAGGTTCAAGATAATGAATCCCTGATGCATCTCGACCTTCAGGTAAGCAGCCTCCACTATCCTCAAGTAGGATCGAATTACTCACACGATTACAGATAGATAGGCCTAGAAAGTATACGTACCCTCTGACGTTATTGTCAACATTCCCTTCGCAACTTCCGACGGAGGATGAAAACACTTATTTGAAGGAAGTATTCTCAAAAGTTTGCTCGAGCCATGAATTCCTGGGCTTGATCAATAGCTGGACCCAGCGTGGTGAACCTGTGGCGACACCACTAGCTCTTGCAATCAGTTGCTTAGGTTCAGTGCATGCCCGCCACGACACAGCACAGGCAAGGAACTTGTTTTTGGCCTCGCGATATCTGTTGGGCGTTATTATGGAGATTGATAACCGGGAATCACGCTCAGCTGATCTACTAATAGCCGTACGTAACATCTGGCATATTTCACTTGTTAATAAGGTTTCTCACGAACGCTTCCTGTGAGCCAGGCAACTTTTAATTCTATGTATGGAGCTTTGAGCTCCGATACAGCCATCTGGGATATAGCAGGTCAACAGCACTGCACAGCAGTGACGGTAAGTTGATGCCCCCAATCTGAGGGGCACTGACCGATGTCTCAGATTATGCGACGCATGCGTTACCACGAGCCAAAGTTTTTTGAGACTTATTACAGGCGATCAGCACCGTCTTACAGGTATGTTTCTCATTCTAAAGCTGATGTGGCTAACCCCGTTGAAAGTGGTCCGCTCGTCTGGTCTCTTTGGTTAGTTGATATCGTGCAGTCGCTTCATTTCGACCTCTCGATCAGCCTTTTCAGTTCAAGAGAGCTTTGGACTGCGATGCCTGGCTCTTCGAGAGAATTTCAAGATGTCTATCGACACCTGCTCGACGACAGAGTTCCCCGGGAACGCCATATTCTAGCAACAGCCTCACAAGAAGACATGCTCCTCCTTTTAATGGCGATCATAGCTGATTTACTCTATGCCCGCCACTCGCTCGGTCAAGTAAATCCACCTGCGGCACCCGAGACTGGAAAAGTCCCACGTGACAATCCTTTCAGCCCTTTCTCACCACACATGGAATTACGCCGAATCGAAGATCAGTTATCACTTGCAGTCGATAAGTGGCACATGTCTTTCAAAGCTGATGCCTCCCCAGAGGTCCTCGTCTTATATCACTACGTCAAGATGTACCTTTGTTTCGATCAACTGTTGAGCCTGCCGAAGTCCGCAGGCTATCCGAGTAGTAGGCCATCACTGCCAACGAATGGCAGTTTATCAATATCTGAGATTTCAGTTCGCGAAGCTTGGCATGTACTGGATAGTGCGGCTGCGTGGTCACAACAGTCTCGTGCAGATCAGCTTTGTCCAATATGGCTTCCGATCGCCTTATTCCACGCAGGACTTGTCGTTTGGGCTCACTTTACCACTTGCAATGCAAAATCTCCAGTGGCGTACGGCAGTCCACGAGTGTTGCTTGCATTCAAAGTCGAAATCGATGGAATGCCTTGGCCTTGTTGCGTGGAGATGTCTGCCACATTCGGAAGGTTGATTGCGGCCACCTCATCTTCGCGGGAATAACAATAATCAGTGATTCTACGATCCAACCAATACCTGGCATGTACTGTTCTTCAATTTGAGGGGAAGAAAGCAGACTTCACTACCGCATAAATAATAGCATACTTTCAACTAGCGTGTCAATCGCCTTTTGACTTGGGACAAATTTTGTAGTACGGTGTAATTCCTATCGTGGTGTACATAAGTCTCTATCTCTCCACTCGTAGACCACGGGAAGTAATTGGTTTCTTAGGCAGCACGGCTTTCGTAGTATCAACCTGGACTGCTGTCGTTCTGGGCTCATAGGCATAAATCGATCTGGGAATTACCGACCATGATTGTGAGAACCACGACGACGTAAGGTTTCTCACCTCCGGGACAACTCGGCCTCAGACTCGACAGGTGCATCTATATGCATGGTAAACTCCTGCTTATTATCGACAATGAAACAACTGACTGTCAGTGTCGTTGTTAGCTCGTGTTCATCTTCATACGGGGAGCAAAAGAATGTGGAAATGCAAGTAGTTGTTGGCGACTTACGTAGTGTGGCCACGGCCGCGAACGCGGCAGCAGCTATCCAAACACGGCGAAAACTAATAGAGTACGCTTCTTTGACACCCACCACGGCAGCTGTAATGATCTGAGGCGTGATCCCAGGAATTGACTCTAGTAATGTCCCGTTCTGGGCCCCGAGACCATCCAAGAGGACCCCAGTGTATCCTGTATCGAACCCTAGAGGAATAACCTGACCGAGCACCTTCTCTGGAAGTTGCTTGCTAAGCGCGTTGCTCAAGAGGGCCTGAAAAATCGAGAGACCCACCGTGCCTCCAGTGCTTCGCATTGCTATCATCAATCCACTGGCAAGGGCGATGAGATCTGGGGGAGTGGAGAGCTGTGCAGTAACGACAACAGTGTTCAGCGCTGATCCAAGCCCGAGGCCTAAAAAGACTGCAAATCCTATAGGGGACTGTGGTGTTGATGGTGTCAGGGACGCCATGGTAGCAAAGAAGAGTGTGATGAATGACGTCGCAACTATCAATGGCAACCGAAGTTGCTTGGTCCGTGAGACGTACAACCCTGTCAATATGGTGGCCACGTTTGCCGACCAGAAGACTACCGTGAATCTCAATCCAGCATGAAAGAAATCCTGATCGTAGAGTACCGCGTTTTCATAAGCGTAGAATGTATTGGCAGCGAAGAATGCCAAACCCTCAGTGAAGATCAGGGCTACACAGATAGGAAAATTTCGCCCCTTTGAAAAGAGCCCATGGTGTAGCATGCCAGAAGCCAACAACTTCCACTCATAGACGATAAACATCACGAGAAGCAGAACACCCACGACGAGAGGTCCGATGATCTTCGAACTACTCCAAGGGTATACACCACTGGACGAAGTGAGTGCGTAAGAAAACAGAATCAGCCCTGGCACGAATAGTAGATAGCCATACCAATCTAGCTGGGCAAGCTTTTGAGTTTGTCGAAGTTCGATTTGCAGTTGGCGAGGTGGAGGGTTATATAGCCAGAGGACTATAGCGGCAGTCGCACCATATAGAGCCGCTGTAATATAGAAGTAAATTCGAAAGCCTTCCGGATTGAATCGAACTAGAGCCCCGCCAATCATAATTCCGGTAAGTCCTCCGCTGGCTGAGGCGACGTTGACCGCAGATTGTGCAAGAGACCTGTATTTGCGGGGCACTATTTCTGACGCGATGGCATGCACAAGAGGCTGTGCCCCAAGAGCGAGACAGGCAATACTTTGGCCTCCAATGACCATGCCAAAGTTCGTTGCGCGCGAAACAATGAGACAGCCGATAAAGCCCAGAGCTGAAAAGCCGACAGTGAACCATTTGCGGCCCCAGAAGTCCGACGCTTGGCTTACAGGAGCTCCGAGCGCTGCTGCTGAGATGCCCAGGGCAGCAGTCAACCAGATGGACTGCGTTGCGCCGCCAGTAACAGCAGTAATCGTCGAAGCAAGCAATCCACTTCCTGCGAGATGTAGGACTTGGACGAAGTATATGGCGACAATGGCCTGCCCAATGGTCAGTGATCATGCTCCGCGAGAAATACATTCCGCTTCTGCGTCATTCGTACAATTAAAAGAATAATGGTCTTCGCATGGATTTGCTGCACGGCGTTCTCCTCAGCGTTTTCGCCATGTTGTTCCACGTCCTCAACTCTTTCGACCGCAGTCTCGCATGAGTGACCGTTGTTGTCCACCTTCAACGATAAGTCCTTAGATTCTGACATACTGATAACTTTGTCGCGCTGGGGAACTGACAGGTTGATTGGAACTCACCACGCTCTTCCCACGTGGACCAGAATATGTACTCATACTCTTCACCGTTGCGGAAGAGGACCCAGTTGGGGATGGCTGGTGGGGTCCGAGCCTAACCCAAATTGTCAAAGAACTGCTCTACCCCATGGATGTTTTGTTTCTTGACCGGCTGAAAGAGTCTGGGGAAGTAGGTGGCTTTACCGAGGTTATGATTATTATAATTTTTGGTTGGGATTGGTAGTTTCCAAACGATGAGTACCCTTAGTTTGACAAGAATTACTTGACAGCTTATCAATTGATGATCATGCCAAATAGCTTTCCAGAGGACCAAGACCTGGTATAGATAAGATCATGAATGTCACAGCCGATCCAATGTTTTGGACTCATCCTGGAAACAGAGATAGGTGTTTACATAAGACTGTGACTACTAAGCAAATCTCATACAACCCCTGCCTACAATCTAGACACTCTATCGTCACCTTTGTCATTGCCATTAGGCTATTGAGTGCACGACGACGGTACCGTAAATTGATCATAGAAAACCAATTGTAGGTTCTATTGGCTCACACTCATCGGAACTGCAATGATTGCAAGATCAATCGAAACCATCTATGACAAAGGTTCAAATGTAGTTCATTGCTGTTCATGCTGGTGATTTAAGTGATAGAATCTCGTACATAGACAGACATAACCACAGTGTCTGATTCGCACTCAGCTTCCTCCGAGGAATTTGGTGTCTTTCTATGCTTTGGTGTCGATACCATTGACCGCACCATTGGGCACGTGAAGTTGACTTTGAACATTTGTCTCCTTGGTAGCATTTCCATCTTTGACCTTTCCATCAAGAACGTATGTGTTCTCAACCTTCTTCAACGGTTCATGTGTAAACTTTGTACCATTCAGATACCAACTGAGTCCTTCAACATCACCTGTGCGTTCAGCCGCTGCCCAACCATCGCCAAACCATCCAAATGCGTTGTCGTCCACGAACGTCATTTCGTAATCCTCAAACCTAACTCTCTCCAAAGCACGTGCTGCATGAACACTACTACCAGGCCACAAAGCCACTATTCTTCCTTGCTTTCGTTCTTCCGCAGTTGCATTCGGTGGTGCTATCTTATACCAGCTACCACACTCGGCAGAAAAAACAGTTCTTTTAAAATATGCGTCGCAATAGTTCGTGAAATTCTCCACTTCCTGTCTCTGGGGAACGATGGTTTTGATGTTCCCTTTTGCCAGCTTCTCGAGTATTTGCCCGATGTAATTCGCAATCGACTCGATAATGAGCAGTAAATTTCCATTTGCCGCTCCTGAGTTCGGGCCTAACGAGTAGAAGAAGTTCGGAAACTCATCAACTGTAATTCCTAGATATGTCTCGGGACGGATTTTGTTTCGTTCTTGGAGATTGACTCCACCTCTTCCATAGATTGGGAAACGGCCCTGGAATGTAGTATCGAAGCCTGTTGCGGTGATTATAGCATCAACAGGCCGATGAATACCATCACACGTCGTGATTCCTGTTGCATCGATATGTGAAATCTTTTCTGGAATGACTGCAACATTATCCGCCACTAATGCCTCAAGATACCCAGGGCCGGGGGTCAGACGCTTACACAGTGGTGGAAAACTCGGGATCAAATGATCAGCTATGCGACTCTTCTTTGCCAGACGTCTTCGCATGTCTGTTTCAAATGCAGCCCATGCTCCCTCATGCTCCTGGGTCCCTCGGTGAGTAAGAGCAAAGTTGCCTTGCATTCCGAGCTCAAGTGTTTTTCGATATCTCAGATAGCTAGCCGGGTCGTTCTTCCAGCCTTGGATTTCTGCTGGAGAATAATTGAAGTTACCGTCCTGGCCATTGTTCCGTTCCCGGACGATTTCGCTTCCGAAGCTGGCAGCTATCCATGTCCTGCCTCTAACATAGTGGTCAATCGCTTTCACTTTCGGTAGCAGTGCCGGTACAATTTGGATGCCACTACTTCCTGCGCCAATGACCGCTATATTTTTCCCCGTTGGATCATATGATGTATCCCAGTTAGCGCTGTGAAGTAATTTACCTTTGAAATCATGGAGTCCATTAATGTTTGGCCAATTCCAATTATTGAGTACGCCCACACCCGTCACCAGCACATCGCCAATATCCTCGATGATCTTTTGGGTATTTCCGTCTGGCGTCTCGAGTTTGACGTGCCACTTTGATGTTGTCTCATTCCAGCGCGCTTCTATACAACGATGCTCGAAGTTCATGAATTTTCTGATGTCGTATTTATCCACTATTTTCCTCCAATACTCAAGAATCTCCTCGGCGCCCACGTAAAATTGGCTCCAGCTCACATCTGAGTCGTACGAAAGTTGATAAGAGTGCGCTGGAATGTCTGATTCCTACTGTCAGCTTTATAGTCACCACTCCAGCCCACCGGACGCCTACCACATGCACAACCGGGATATCTAAGTTGTACATTATCAGTAACCCGAGAGCTGTCATGGAAGAGACACCTACCTGTTCTCGTACCAGGTGCCGCCTATGTCTGGATTCTTCTCGTAAATCACCAGTTCCAGGTTCGGGACGAACTTAGGAAACTGGATGGCCGCGCAGATTCCTGAAATACCGGCCCCGACATAGATCACCCGCAGAGGCCTAGGTTCATCAACAGCTCGCTCTGAGATCAGTGGATGAGCATATTGTGAGCTCGCCACTTTATACCCCATGGAACCCATCCTCACTATGGAGTGTTTTGGATGCCCAGATTGAGATTGTATGAAATCGGAGGAAATTTTATTGAATACTAGTAGTTGCAAGGAAAACAGGTAACTCGAGCTTTGTGAAGAAAATAAAGTATGTCTTCTTCCTGCTGATCGACCGTGCTATACTTGTCGATGAAGAAGATAGCTCCTTAAAGACTCAAACTGCATTTGTCAGGGAAGCAATTCGCCGCTCACCTGTTCCCGCACTAAACAAATCTATGGAGGCGGTAACAATCCGCGGGGATAAGCATAAGTAGTGAGTATGTCTTCAAGTCAATAAGCACAGAAACATCCGGACTCGAGCATCACTAAGCGAAATAGACGGGAGAGTAGTCAAAAGAGTACCTACTGTAAGCGGGATGCCGGTGGGGTAGGGCTGTTGTCCGGTAGAATTTCAACTGTGGAACAGCACTCCATTGATGGTGAGCATGGAGAGATAGAGTACTAGTAGTATTGCACATAAATTTTGACACCATGTCTTACTGTCAACCAGGCTCGATGTTTGGTTCTTCCACAGCGTTGAAACCCCGGATCCATCCGCAGTGAGCGAGTAAACATCCGGTGGGGTTTGCAAAGCTTGCTTCCATCCCACAACACATCCGGTGCATTTGAGAATACGAGCCGTCCTCAAGGTTTGTGATGCTTCAGTATCACTTATTAATATCTCCCGGTAATTGAATGGGTCCTATGGCTCAACTTCGCTCAAATGACTTTCTGCTCATGGTAGGCCCAAGTCCTGAGGATTTCTGGGCTGTAGTGTTTGGTGAGTAGCATAATGAGTTCCGTCTTATCTACGGTGTTGTGTCTACATGTGGAATCTGTGGCAGAAGCGACGCATTCAAACACGTGTTCGTGCATCCCTGGTAGGAGAAAAGCAAGAGTATTGATGAAATTCCTACCATGGGTGACTGGCACCACTGCTGAGACTGCATTGCTGCCGAGCCACGTGGTTTTGTGACGTGACCGCCGTATAGCTTAGCAGCTCGATGTTGCCTTCAATGTAGTAGCTGAGGTGAGGCTTCCATTTCAGCATTCGCGTGTGTGTCTAACACAGAGTGAGGCTCAAGAATGCTGTCAAGGTTTTCAGTCAGATGTTTTGCCCTGTGAACGCAATACATTTTTTGAGCTAGTGGCCCATAGCTGCTCCTAGGTGGGAATCGATACCTATCAGTATACATGACGGATCAAGACATATACCCATGAATTTCCTCAGCTACCTAGGTACTTGGTTCAGATAAGGCTAACAGGCTGTTTTATATCAATTTCCGCTTACGACCTAGTGAAGTCCTTGGCGAGCGCCACATTGTGTGGTTATTGGCCCCCTCGGCCGCTAAACAGTTCTTCCCCAAATAGTTGGCAACGCTCATGACGTCAGACTCCAACTCTTCGTTTGCCGAATGCTTCGAAGCAACGACGTCCTTCATTCATCGAACTTCCAAGGTTATTTACATAACCTGTGCGTTGATATTGTGGTGCTGGCTGCCAATACTCAAATCTATTCCTTGCTTCATATCAATCAACGCAGCCGAACCCACCATGGCAGGACTCATTGAAAAGCTGACTGCCGAGGGAGATGGTGAATCAGCAGGTAGGAGCATCCGATGAATGCGATTCTCTGAGCCAACCTTGAACTAAACAGAGTTCTTGAACGATATCGTGAAATTGCTATGGCCCAACATCAATGCGGCGGGCAGCAAGATGGTCAAGGAGATCGTGGAGCCCATGTTTAAGACCATGCTTCCTGGCCCACTCAAGACTCTCCACTTTACCAAGATCGATCTCGGCCCAGTACCACTACGTGTGTCAAACGCAAAGACAACGAAAAGTGACGTCGATGGCATCAAACTCGACCTGAACGTTGACTGGGTGGGTAAGGCCGATATCGAGATGGATGCAGACATGATACCTGCCCTTGTGAGTGCCTGTTTGTGGGGCCATGGAATATCCCATTGATTTGCAACACAGGGAGTCGAGAGCGTTCAACTTCACGGCAGACTGTCGATATTACTATGCCCACTGACAAACGTGATTCCTCTGGTACGGAAAGATCTTGCTTCCCGGCTCTGCCACCGTTAACAGCTGACACAGATCGGAGCGGCCCAAATATCATTCGTCAATCCACCCGTCCTGAAGCTTGATTTTACGGGCGCTGCTAACGTAGCAGACTTCTCTCTCATTGATGATACCGTTCGAGGGGTGATTCTGGGCATCATCAATTCCATGTTTACCTTGCCCAATCGATTCCTGCTCAAGCTCGATGCCAACGCGGACTATTTCAAGACCTTCCACTACCCGCTTGGTATGGTGCGAGTGACTGTGGAAAAGGCGTGGGGCTTCGGCGAAGAGGCCAAGTCATCCACGAGAAAGCTATTCGACAAGTTGACACGGGCAGCTCCAGACTGCTATGCCAAGGTGGACGTTGGTGGTGAGCCATCCTGGCAGACAACCACAAAGAACAACACGAACAAGCCATCCTGGAGCGAGACGCATGATTTTGTGGTCAGCGATTTTGACCAGTGCATCAAGGTCGACGTGAGAGACGAAGATATCAACGGAGACGATGATGTTGGCCTGGGAGTGACGACGGTCCGAGAGATCTTGGTGGCCGGAGGGCAACAGGAGTTGCCATTGGTCCTCAAAGGGAAGGAGACGGATGGCAGGGTGGCGATCTCATGCCAGTTCTTCAAGTACGTGGCCGATGCTGGCAGCCTAACCGCCTCCGACCACAAAGGCGATGGACGCCTTTCTGGCATCGCCACCATCCTTGTCGCAAGTGCATTCGGTATCAAGGGCGCTCGCGAGACTCTGAAGCCAAGCGTCGTGGTGACTTGGGGAGCGACTCAAAAGTTCCAGACCGTCATCAAGGCCGACGCTCCAGGTACCGACATCAACAATCCTTCGTTCGACCAGGCATTCCGGATTCCCATCACGACGGACTTGGTGGGCAGTAGTCCAGATAACTTTCGGATTGCACTCATGGACGGCGAGAAGGAAATCGGAGCCGTCGATGTTCCCTTTGCAAATGTTGCGGACGCACCGGACAAAATCTTGCAGCAGAAGTTTGACGTCGGGAATGGTGCCACTGTCAGAGTTTCCATTCGCTTGAGAGGAGTTGTGCCGGAAGATATCTCTCGAACTGCGCTTGCGGACAGACGCAAGTGAGAACACTTCGATCAGTATGACGATAGTGATACTTTAAACTATCTCAGATAACATTTCAAATCATGCCCACTTTAGGTTTAATGAGCAGGTCACACGGACTAGTGAATGAATTCCAAAATAAGTCTTCTAAGTGTCTAGGCACTGTTATTATCATTCAGATGGCGTATACCACCTAGGCTAACCTAATGAGAGACACCCAGGTCTACCTGATTCCAGTATTCTCGTATGACAATAAGTAAACTCGGGAGTTACGTCAAGCACACACAATAGACGGTAGATGCTCTGTTCATAAAACATTTAAGATCTAATCTATATCAGCGGGAGTCTAGACCCGAGGCACATCATCATCATCATCGTCGTCATCATTGATGCAAAGCACATATCCACCGATCAATAGCTTCCACTGCTAACAACTGCAGGACGGCCAGAGACCAACGTCACTCACACCTTGGTGGTGGAATTCTCAACTTGCTGAAGCTCCACCGTCTTCTTCTCATTCTGGTTCCATTGTTCCTCATCGGCGTGGGAGCCGATTCCCTTGGTGAGTGCCCTGCCGTTGCGGCCGATCTGGTGCCATGGGAGGCTGAAGAGCGCATCCATACTTTCGAGCGACTTGCCGCGGGTTTCGGGGACGAAGAACCAGACCCAGGCAAGACCCAGGGCACAGACAACGGTGCAGAAGAAGAAGAATCCGTACGTGTGCATGTCCAGTAGCATGGTGGGGACGGCCTTGGTGTTGCCGAATTGGTTGACGAAGTGGAAGCACATGACCAGGGATGAGCCGAGGGCTCGCAGTCTGATTGGGTAGACTTCGGCGTTGACTAGGTATTGGAATGAGTTCCAGCCCATAGCCTAGGATGATGTTAGTGATTGAGTCTGGTATAGAGAGAGAACAACTTACCCATCCGAATCCCGAAATGTAAATTGCGGCAATGGCGCCGGTGGCAGCCCTCTTCTGTGATTCGCTCAGGATTCCTGACTTGAGGGCACCTGCTGGTACGACGGCCAGGAAGATGGCGACGTAGAGGATGGCGAAGAATTGCAAGGTAATGCCAGCGTAGAGCGATCGTCGACGACCGAGGAAATCGATCAAGAAGAATGCGCAGAGATATGCGGAGCAAAGCTTGACCACACCGAGAATGCAAGTGGCGAACAGTTTCTCCGATTGTCCAGTCTTGCCCAATGCTGCGAAGAACTGGGCAGCGTAGATGGTGATAGCGCTGGCTCCTGACCATTGACCAAGCAGTTGAGACATGATACCGAGCATGAATCGATAGCGGTTGGAGGGAATCATGACGAGTTCCTTGAACTTGCCCCATCTGGTTGCGCCCAGAGTGGCCTCTCTTTCACGCTCAAGCTGCTCACGAACGTCCAAGAGCTCGTTCTGGACAAAAGGGTGGTCTTCGGGAAGTTGTCTGAGAAGGCAGAGGTTCTTAAGAGCTTGCTCATGTCTACCCTTCATGGTGAGCCATCGTGGAGTCTCGTTGACGGTGAAGGATAGAATGAGAAGGAGTCTAAAGGTCGAGTTAGCACTTGTTTCGGCTTTGGAAATAAAAAAAGACTTACCCTGCAAATCCGATATGTGCGGTTTGCGGTGCAACCCATTGCATTCTTGTAGTGCTTGGAAGGTTGATGGCTGCACCCCAGTTGCTGAAGTAAGCGACCATAACTCCAAGGTAAACCGAACCGGCGAAGATGTTGGTCAACATGCCTCGAATTGCCTTGGGTGCAACTTCGACGAGAAATGTGGGGCCGACAACAGTAGTCATGCCAATACCCAGTCCAGCAATGAATCGCCCTGCAAGGATCTGGCCGAGGTTACCATAGCTGGTGACGACGATGATGAAACCAGTGAGCCAAAGAGCGCAAAGCGCCTGAAGTGAACGAACACGACCGATCTTGTCGCAAAGGACGAAAGCAAGGAGCGCGCCAGCAATGGAACCAAGTTGAACCATGCTAGTGACGTTGGACTCTCGGTTCGCTATCTCGGCCTTGGTGCCCTCCTCCATGTTGAAAGCGTGCTGGAAGCTCTTCATACCGACCATACCTCCGACGAGACCTTCATCGAGTCCTCGGCTGGCACCGAGGATACCGAAGACAAAGACGCACCAGTAGAGGCGCCAGTTGAGCACCTCCTTTGGAGTATCCGCCATCTCCTCTTTGCGATTGAAGACACCCATGATGAATGATGGGGATTGTGTCTAAAAGGGTGGCTGGGATGGAGAGGGTAGTATCAAGAGGAGAGAGGAATGGGAGAAGATGTATCGAACTGGAGAGATGAATCCCATGGGGAAGAATGGGGTGTTCTTATACCTGGGCCCATCCTTTCCATAATGGAGAGCGAAGGCGGGGATATTGGATCGATAGCTCATAGTTCATGAAAGAGACAATGCTCTCGCAGAGTCTCCGAAGCCTAGGTCTTCAAAACGGGGGTCAACTGGACCTTCACTGGCTGAGATATGCCAAGTATGTCAAGGTGGATATAAGCATGCCGAGATGTCTCCAAGAACCCGAAGCATTCTCTTGAAGGCGAATTCCTCAACGAGAAGCAATAGCCCAAGTCGGTGGACAGGGTTTTCATGTGGATTAAGCAATGTGGCGCCACTCAATTTGATAGGCCTCGCTTGATGTGTCGGCCATTGAGATTTGCCGCCAGTCCACACCTTTACCGACGCCAATACTTGGCAAAGTCGGAAGTTGACCGAGTGGTAGGAAGGCCTTCTAGAAGCATTGGATCACTGTCTGGTCCGGAACCTGACCGAGTTATGCCGTTTCCTTCCTCTAAGAGGATATCACTCTTAAATGACGTCCTGAGTACAGAATGCTAGTCGTTGAGACGAGACTTGCAGTAGAACTCAGGTTTGCAAATGAATACGGATCAAATGCCATCCCTCTTTTGGATGTCACCAGTGCAGGGCAATGGCGTGTTTTTCCGTAGAGCAGGGTTCATAGTGGATTTACATACGACCCCCGCCTCAACAGTCCACACTTGAAGAATAACACAGGATGCGACAGAGCATGAGTAAGGATCTAACGGATCAGCTGATTTTGAAGGTCAGATTGGACAAAGACCAGAAACTCGATCACATTTCTTTCTGATAGCCGGGGTACCACGGAAGACAGTGATACGGATCATATGTGTGATGATGCAGCTCATCCGTGTCAAACACACCCTCGTACACTCCTGAATTAAGATTATTGTCATGTGTGTAGCACTGTGCTGACTGTGGAATGACAACGCCTTTCCGGAATTCCTTACCCATCGAAATGAAGAGTCGCGATTCTGGGTAGGGATCTTGTGGAGAATGAAATGTTCGAGGGCCGCCTTCTGTTCTAGATTTAGCTCCGCATCATATTCGTAGAGGCACAGTTTCCATGGAGTTGGGTGTGATAACCGGACGGAACAACCGGAGTCGACTCCGCACTCGCATTAGCCGTAGTTGACCTTTCATTCGCCAACCAATTGGAATTGCTCCCTAAAAGCCTTGCCCACGATGAAGCTCACACCACGCAGGTTTGGCCGTAGCCTGTAATTGAGTTTGTAAGGGTTTCCACCCAAAAGAGTGCTGTCAATAATGTGGGCAGTGCATTGATAAAGATTGCAAGCCACCAGCGGTCTTCTTTCCATCTCCCATTGAGATAACGGAGGCGGGGGTTGAACTCAGGTCGTAGATATTTGGGGAAATCAATCTCGGTCAACTTCCGTGAGGAGATTCTCAGACTGGGCAGACCAAGGTGCAACTCAGGCAGGTGTACAGCTGATGGAATCTGACCGAGCATAGGATATCATGCCCTAGGATATTGCCTCGTAGTTCCAGTTTGTTGCGTTCTTATCTTCAATATAAGGAGAGAGCAATCACTCCTCTTGGCTGTGTAAGTGGCGCATTGTTACATCTAGAAGCTCGAAGTAGCCTGCTTCTCAAAGACCATTTGCACTAGTGACATGTCGGATATCGGTACTTGACTTGAGTACCTTGGTTATCATTACAGCAGGCTCAGAAGTGAGAAACAAGCCTAAACCATAAGGATGGATAGCAAACCAACGGTACTTGTGAGTATCGCGGCAGGAGCGGCAGCGGGTGCGACCGAGACGTTCGTTACTGTGAGTGAGCATCTGCAACACCATACAGAATTTCGCGTGTACGAGGAGGCGATCTCAACTCTACCACATTTCTGGCCTTGTGACGATGATGAGATTGTTGACTGACGTCGTCTTTAGTACCCAACAGAATATATCAAGACGTACAGACAGCTGCCTCCCCCAACTTCGAGCGCTGGGTCATTGGAAACTTACCGCCCAAAGACCAACATCCAAGTGCTCCGGGATACTCTCAGGGCTTCTGGACCTCGTGGGCTATACTCAGGCTGCTCTGCGCTTGCCGTTAGTAACGCAGCAAAAGGTGGTATTCGCTTTATATCCTTTACACAGAGCCAGGCGTGGCTGCGGAAGACGACTTTCGGCAAAACAAATCCTGGATGGAGCAATGCTCTTGCAGGACTGGCGGCTGGGGCTACAGAGTCCATCCTTGTCGTTACACCTGGAGAGGCATTAAAGACCAAGATCATACATGATCAATCTGCAGTCGGGGTAAGCAGACTGGGTCTTGAGAGGCTGAACTTGGCACAAGCAGCCATGCGTGTCGCCAAAATGGACGGTGTTCGAGCACTCTGGAGCGGTTTGGGACCCGTGCTTTGCAAACAAGGAACGAATAGTGCTGTGCGGTTCGCCACATTTGGTTGGGTTTTGGATAACATTCGACAAACCTGGAAGATGGATGGTGTAGGTGCCACCGTGATGGCAGGCGCTGTCAGTGGCGTGGTTACCACGTAAGCTCCCCAGCAAGTCAGGAGGAACTCCAAAGCAAGATGATTTGTGCTAATCTTCTCATTCTTCAGCTATGCTTCCATGCCTTTTGATAATATCAAAACACGTATGCAAAGTCTGGATTCGACAAAGTCTGTGGGCATGTTCAGACTTGCCTTCTCAATGCTGAGGATGGAAGGTCCATTGGTGTTCTGGAGAGCAACAACACCACGACTCATGCGATTGACTGTAAGTGTAGGAGCCCTTCGTCCAGGTCATCAGACTAACAAACTTCAAGATGTCAAGCGCAATAACCTTCACAGTCTTCAACCAGATTGTTGAACTTGCCGCAGGACTGAAGGAGCAGCCATGGGCTTCAGGAGCAAAAACGGAGATTTGAGCTTGAGAGTTTCCCCTTGAAAACTAAGGGGACCAATGTTGACTGCCCAGGTCAATGGCACCGAGATGTGATCGTCAACAAGAAGCAACCCGACTCCAAGTCGAGATCGAATATATTTCAACCATTGGGTATCATCTGTCAACAACTTCCTAGCCAATGGGAGGATAGATCGTGTGAACAGCAGTTGCCCACACAGCTGGCAAATCGACACGAAGGCTACTAACCTTGATAACCGCGCCTTCGACAAAAGATTGAGAACTGAGACAAGATCAGAAGTATGATCTTTATGTCGCACCAAAGGCCATATAATCGACAGGACCACATAAGAGCACTATGATTTGCTCTTATACAGCGCGTCACCTCAACGGACATCGCGGCCATCAGCTTGCATTAAAGTAGCGGCCAGGCAACTCACCAGGAATGAGTATTCCTGATGCAGTGCGATGGTGGAACTCAACTCCGAGTAGTGCCATCACTTCTCTGCGACAGGCTTCTACACACACATCCCGAGATGTCAAAATCTCAAACAAAGTTGGCCCAAGAAACCTCGCAGGCTTACCACGATCGACCACCAGTCGGCGCGGTCTTCGTAAGTGGTGGAGATTCATTGTTCCCGAGGTCGATACTGAGCTCTTGCTCCGAGTGTTCGCGCCAGTGGCATGAAGGGATCCTTTCCACCGGCAGGAAACTTTCGGACATTGAATTTGGCATGAGCTGCTTCTCGACCGGGTATATTGTCAACTAGGGTGACGATAAAGCAGAGATCATTGGTGATGAGGGTTTAGGGGAATAACGACGAAGATCAAAATTTAGTACTCGGCTTACCTTCCAACTTGTGTTGAATATCATTCTTGCCTCTCGCCCGGCATCACGCTTACGACTTATTAATCCTGGAGAAAGTCCAGGACGTAGATGCCCAGTCTATTGAAGCGTAGAGTTTTGGCGATGCTCAAAGTATCGGGATTGTCATACTTGACTCCGGCACTGCGTGTATTATGATTTTGAGGCTTGATAGAAAGCGACAGCAGGAGCGGAGGACAGGATCTCGAGCTTAAATCTTCGAATCCCCTGACTTAGCACGACAGAGAAGTCTTGATAGAGTGCAACATCCCGCATGATCGATGGGTAAACTGCTCGAGGTTAGAAAAATATCCATCCATTTTCGCTGAGGGATTTGGGATAATGTCTACCCTTACTCCCAAGCCGACCAGGCAGTCGACGGCCTGTAACTGGTGTCGGTTGCATAAAATGAAATGCGATACCGAGCAACCATCATGCCGCAATTGTCAGAAACGGAGAGTTCCTTGCGTTACGACTGATCTGCGACGACCCGAGAGGAATGGTCGAAGAACGGAACCCAAAGGACGCCGCCAAAGTCGCAACACCATTCCAACACCTGAGGGTAGTCGACATACTGCAACGGATCGTGGAAATCCTCTATCAACGGACCAGCAGATGCCTCGCTCACCGTCCGCGACACCATCACCAACCAGTCATCTTCTCGCTCATATGGAACACGATAGTGCGATACCATCCATTTTCACTACACCCTTCCAGAATGGAAGTCAACAGTCCAGTAGGGCCCACCAGGTGAACGATTCGAATGTCGGCTCTACATACCAGACGTCGAGTACAGACCTAGCCGATGGTACGAGAGATACAAGGGCAGAAGCAGACCAAACCCATCAAAACTCAAAGCTCCTGTTCGTGACTGACAAGAGCCGCTCTCGACTGCAGATCGTTGGCAGTGGAAGTAGCATCTATGTTATGGCGCATTGGCTGGACCTCTTCTTCGCCAAACATTCTTACTGGCGTCCCATATATCCCTATTTTCAACAAGGACTTGCATACTCGATCGAAGTGCCGTTGCCATTCTTGCATACACTACCACAGTTACCAACGCCTTCACAAACCACCGACTACATCTCCACTTTCTTCTCCCAGTTTTATCCAATCTATCCGATAATCGATCGATCCATGCTGGAAAGATCACTAGAAACCTTGGGCCCCAAATTAGAACAACAACCACAGCGGTTTGCACCTGAGGACTACCCTTCTCTCGCATGCCTCTATGCCGTGTTCAGCATCGCTGCGGATGAACTCGAGGGCTGTCCGACAAGTTCAGGAGCAACGTACCTCGAAGGTGCATATTTCTTGTATGCACATCTGGTCGCGCTACCATATGTCACCTCGGTGCAAGCTCTGCTTCTCTTGGCGATAGTGCTGAGACACCGAAACAAAGATGGCGCCAGTCTGGGAACACTTGGTCAAGCGATTCGAATCGCTCAATCGATCGGCCTACACCAGCATATGTCTGCCGCCGACGTCATTGGCTCCAGCTCTGAGAACGGTGCAATGGATGTCGCGTCCCAGACAGATCTTCACTCCCGAATATGGTGGACGGCATACATTCTTGAGAGGACTATGGAGCTTGAGACTGGGAGGCCATCCGCAATCCGAGACTCCGAGTGCAATCAAGTGCGTCCCGCACCTGCAGCAACTCATCGCAACGATGGGCCTCGCTTTGACTATTTTGGATCTCTGGTTCAGCTCGCTCAGATCCAGACTCAGATAATCGAGCTGTTTTACACCTCGAAACAACGACGTGAAACCAAGGAGCTGCTGCATGAAATGGGGAGATTGGATCGTGCTTTGTTGGACTGGACAGTCCAGTTTCCCGAAGACATTAGGTAAAGTCTCTGGTCAACTCTACTGAGCCTAAACTGACTGACCAGGCCTGGCCGAGACATATTTTGTGCAGAAGAAGAATACCATCTCGCGACCTACGTGACGCTGCAATACCATCAGACGTGAGCGATGCATCTTTTGCCGTGAAGTCACTGACTGACCGCCATGCTAGGTTCGTCGCACTCCACAGACCAGCTCTCATGTCTGCCACCCCATGGCTGAGGAGCCGCGTCAACCACCTCTGTGCCGGGACACCGTGGCGAGGCAGATTGAGATACGCACTGTGCATCGGTGCTGCATCCGCTCGAGCTGGGCTGAAGGCGTTAAACGACCTGTTGCTCTATGCAAAGGCTTCGAGGTTGATCACGGCGAATCAGACATTACTACTCACTCTAGTGCTTGCCATATATGTCACCCGCATCCCTACCAGTAGGATGAACGCATCAGATCTCGCGGTAGGGTGTAACCCATCTTTTTTCACAAGCTCTGACCATTGGCTAAATCCGGGCAGATTGTAGTCACGTTCGCCCAAGAAATCGAGCAGGACTACCTGGCGATGGGCCAGGATGTTGATTTCGCCAATGGTAAGATGACCTAACCTGGGACTCCGGAATAGACACATTGCTAAACGAACCAAACCAAAGGCCTTGGCATATTGCGGACACAACTGTCCGAGCACGTAAGGTTGACGAAAGCGAACCTCAGCCAGACTTCAAGCTCGGGCGGTGCAGCCACGGTGGTTCAAGAACCATCAGATGATGACATGTCGATGGACCTTATCCCGGACTTCGACCTCAGCAGTCTCGATGACGTTTGGCCTTCGCTCTGGACCGATGACCTGAGTGGTCTCTATGTGAATGATGCGAATCAGGACACCCTGAGTGCTTACCTGCTTGGCGTGCCTCGGATGAACAATTGAGACATGATCACTGTTTTCCCCGTTGGGTAGCAAACCGCCTTGGTTGGTAGAAAAAGGGGTGAACTGCGGTTGCCAGTGTCGACCGGCTATGGGCCCAGCTTCCTAGCTAGATGGTTTGCCAGGTCTGAATTGTTGGTGCAACGGAGAAGGTTTATTGAGAGCCTCAATACAAAGACGAAAGATGCGGGATGGAGTCAAACCCCAATGAATATCCCTCCTCGGTTTCACAACTCCTGGACAATTGAGTTCTGCACTCTTTCACGTATCTCGCGGCACTGCCGTCCGTAGAACGACCGTCACAGCACGAGGCTGCAGGTCTTACAATCATCTGTAGACATAGGCAAGTACTCGGAACACAGATTGTGTTGTTTGGCTTGGGAAGGGTCGAAGGACGGTCGGGTGACTAGGCCACTGCTTGAGCCCATGATCAGTTGTCCAAGAGGTTCAAGGTTCTTACTGGAGGCTTGGTCGATGGAATATCATTTGATGTGGCTCTTGCGGCCCGATCACAACCAGACTTGAAGTATGAAGCAACTCGCACCAGTGCCGACATTGAAGTACGGATCAGTACAGAGGGGTTCACAACAGTCGTCGGCGGCTGGCGGTTGTGGTTACAACATTGCTCTGCTGGCACGATGGTTCTGGCTGCTCAATGCCGTACGAGTACGGGTTCAGAGCAGCCCTGGCCCCTTGGCCCCACGACAGCGATGGTACGTAGTGCGGGAAATGTGAGGTGACCTACGAGTATGGAAGGACAGCTCAAGCAAAGCGCCTGTGGTCCAACCAGGACGGCATCAGCATACACGACATTCCTGCACAGCGCCTTCGGCATGCAGGGTGGAAAAGTGAAGGTCCTTCGCTGACGAAAAAAACTCTAAGATCTGAAACAACGATTGTCGCATCTTGTGCGAAGTAAGTCTGTCAATCCCCTATTCTTTGCGTGCTTCGGGAGCAGCGGCGGCAAGGGTTGGAAGGAGGGGGGTTAGCAGGGTACAAGGTGTAGAGATCGTGTCCGTAAGCTGGGCATAGCTAGGCATGCCACTCACACTCCCTGTCAGGCAAGGCCTGCCAAAAGTTGGGCATGCCCAGAAGCTGTCGCCACACCTATGGACCACAGTACTCGTACTCGGCAGGAGAAATAAAATCCAAAAAATTCAACGCCTTTGCATTTCAGTCCAGCCAGTCATGGGCCGATATGGCATTCTTTCTGCAAAATCACAATCGTACAACCCCTTGCAATGTAGAGAATAGTGCCAATTTGAAACGTGAAGCACATCACTGCACTCTCGCAGTTGGAAATTGAACGCTCCGTTATTGCAATACTTTTGGGTCGCGCAGGGCCGCCCAGCAATTTTGGTTGTGATTGCAATAACAATGTTTGCTGACCAGAATTTCGGTGTCGGGGGCAGGAGTGGTGTGAGCCTTTGGGATCTCGCTTTGCTTGAACGAACTAGAAAATCCAGGATGATTCCCAAGTGTTGGCCCCCCAGAATTAGCGGAATCAACCTGTGCTGCAGGCAGGCGGGCATTGCAATGGCAATGTACTTCGTGGCTCTGGCCCCTATTTCGGATCATTAAGCGACGCAGCTAGCAGTGAGCTGGATAGGGCGCGGGCCACTCGGGCTTTTTTCGCAAGCTTGACCGTACGGATTTTAGATGCTGATCGACAGGTACCAGGAACCTAACGTGCTAGCGCACCCTACGAGTAGGTGCCCGGAACCGGGGACTTTCAGCGCTCGAGGGTTACGCCATGTGCGCGGCGCTTTCCCTCACATGTTCTGTCTCATCAAATGCAGGAGTTGATAGATTCGCGGCTTCAGAAACGCATTGTAGAAACTTTATGGCTACATCAGTTGATGTTCATTGTTTGCTGTCTTGTGGCTGGATGTGAGGATTGAGCTTTCACCAGCGTTTGACCAGCTGTAGCAGCCCATTTGGACCAGACGTATTGCAGTCAATTTTGATATGTTGCCACGTCCTGTGCTTACCATATCCAGATCTATAGATTTGCCAGTCATGGAGATCAGAAGCCAGCCGTAGCTTCGTGGGCATCTTATCAGTCTAAGTCGAGCAAGTACATTCGTCGAGCGCATCAATAACGCTCAGAGACTTTCCTGGGGATGTGGATGGCCACTACATCTACACGGCCACTTGTCAATATCTTGCTCCAGGTGGCATTGGTGGTCGACGAGGCGTGCCTAGTGGAGAGTGAGCAATTTGCTACACGGCGCACACTGTGAAGAGGTCAGGCAACTTGTTTTATGGCCAGCATGGTGATTCATGAATGATAGCATGCATTGTTTCCAGTGATAAGATCACCGTATTCCCGAGTACAAACACTTGCGTGCACCTCTCCAGACTTCTTCGAGCATTTGTCGCCTTGGGAGGAGGGTCTGTAACTGGTCAGTTGAACTGAAGGCATTTTGCGAAAGGACATCCAACTAACCGGGAAGACAACAACAACTTCACCAGCATTCTCGACAATGACAGCCAAGTAGAACCTGACCTCTAATCCTATGAAAGCTTCATGGATGACGATGTCCTGGACTTCACTGGTCGGGATGAAGGTCGTTGTGGGTGGCAGGAAGAAGTAAGGGGAGCTGGTTGACGTCTGTATTCCTAGGCCTTGCAGGACCAGTAGAGACTCCTTGATGTGGTCTCTTTTCAGGCATGCATAGAATATGATGAGGCTGATGGGTGCTAATATCCACCACTCCAGGTTCTCAGCCAGAGGTCTGATGATCCGACCAATCAGAGTCATATTTATGACCCAGCCTGCATATTGGTGAGGCACGGATCCTGGAGAGGTCAGAGTCTGTGCCTTTGCTACGTTGACCAGCAACGCATAGATGACCAGCAAAGCGCGACAGCCATAGCGTAAAGCTGTGAGCAACCTCTGTCTCGAGTTTGCGCGCTGGCGGGTATCGACGGTGAATGAAACGGTCGTGGGAGATGGACAGAAGATCTCCAGATACTGTGCTGATCCAGAGAACATGGTGGTAGAGGTGGGTCTCTGGAACTCGGTACCCGCCGAAGAACCCCGTCGATGGGCCGCGTGGCCAGGTAGCCCGAGTGAGAGGCTGGCAAAGTGGTATGTGCTATTGAGGCTGGTGAATAAAGTTATGCTCCTTATTCGTAGTCCGCCACTCGGAAAGCATAAAGATGGAAAAGCTCAAGCCTGAAACAATCGAGGAACCAGGGAGCGCGTGTCGGAATGGAGAGATGTTGAGAAGGATTGAGCCCCTCGCCAGCTATTCTTGGTCTCTGTGTTGTTGCGAAGCTGGGAGATCAGCACTGTCGTAACTAAACGATAATGAAGGGGCACTGTAGATCCGTCCCTAGCAGCGTCTGACCATGGGAGGACCTTGACAACCAAGAGTCTTGGGGGCTGGCGTTATTTTCTATGACCATTCCCGGCTTTGGAGCAGATTTGTTGTTGTGGTGGTGAGGTAATGGGAAAGTGGTTTGTGTGGCAGCCCCAATTCAGGTACGGGCGACGAGGAACTGCCGAACGCCGATATTAGATCTCGGAGCCGGAATAACGATTGTCCCAGGACTAGGCGGGCACGTGTTCCCTGTCCTCGTAAACTCGTTCACATTAAGACAAGTCCTTCCGTGTCTATCTCTCGTTCACTCGCAACCCGCTCGAGTTCGTCATCTTCAACTAATTACAGTAGCCTCAGGGCACGATCCCAAAACACTTCAGGCATAGTCTTCGGCCTCAAGTGGTCTAAAGCAACCCATTAGCCCATCTGAATTCCACCGGTAATTACGGTTGAGTTCTTGGAGAAGAGGTCAAGATGCACACATCCGTCATCTCCGCACAGAACAAGACCTTGGATCCCATGCTAGCGACCCTGCCCCCTGCGTCGAGCTGGCCGTTCACTCATCCAGGTTGGTCTTAGCCTTGTGACCCTCTCTCCGACCCACAGTCAATCATGTCCACTTTTCAGAACAATGTGGCGGCAGGTTGATCAATGGTGCCCGTGATCCTACGCCTCGTCAATCTGTCGGCCGGCCAAGAGCCCGCCAGAAAGGGGCATTGTTGTTTCACACCAGGCCAGACTGGGTCTCGCTGGGCCCCAGATCCATGAATGGTGACAATGCATTTCCACCGGGGTAGGTGCTGCTTTCAACTATATCTTGCCTTGACGCCTCGGCCACCTTTGCAACTTGCCTTCTCGTTTTTAAAAGGTCTGTGACTTTCGCTTCCCTCTTTCGACGCCTGTCTACCCACGTTCATTTAATCCCAGGAGGATACATACACTCATTCAGTGAATACTTGTTATAAGTTTCACTCTTTCTCCAGACAAGCATTCCTCGGAAAATACACTCTTTTTACAGCGATTTCGAAGCTCACCAGAGAAACATAAATCCTCGCAAACATGTACGCCCTCAAGACCATCTCCGTTTTGGCCATTGCTGCCACCACTGTTTTCGCTGCGCCCACTCCTGCTGAGGGTTCTGCTCTCGCGGCCCGTCAATGGCGCGGTGGTAACAGATTCTGGAACCGCCCTTCCCCCGACGCCGAAACCACCACCTGGGGCTACGGCGGTGACTCTTCTTCAACTGAAGAGACTTCCTCCCCAGACACATCATCCAACTACGGCCCAGTTTCATGGGGTGCTCAATCCTCCGCTCCAGCAGCCCCTGCAACTTCTTCCGCTGCTCCTGCGTCATCAGGTGGCTGGTCAGCAGCTCCGTCAAGCGCCCCAGCTCCATCAAGCGCACCAGTCGCTTCCCCAGGTGGCGGCGGTGACTGGTTCTCTATTGCCAACAAATGGCGCGTGGCTGGTGGCAAGCCTGCCTTCACCGAGAGCTCCAAGCTCGTTGCCAACGCCCAAGACACTGCTGATAACTCTGTCGGTGGATTGATCCACAAGTTGAACCCAGGAACCTTCGCTCAGGTTCTCGCCCCTGGTGATGCCAGCAACTTCGAGAGCGTCTACCTTGGAGGCTGGCTCTGCGAGCTTCCAAACTCACCAGGACTCAATGGCGTCTGCGCCTCAGCATCAGGAGGATGGAACCATGAGGGACAAACCGGCCACGCTGAGATTTTGACCGGCGACTATAAAAGCATCGGCTGTGCGCTCTCGTCAGCTACTGGCGTGTGGGCTTGCGATTTGGCATAAGCGGTGGATTACTGAACCCCTTCCGCAAACGATATGGCGTTTGTCACGCCTATTGCAATATATGTGACGACTAGTTCTATCTCCTTCTGATCTTTATAGTATTTACATACTATGAAGCCTTTGAAACGTTTTTATTTTTTTGGAAATCAAATTTTATTGGTGAAAACGTGTATTAAGTGCATATCCACGAGTTTTGGCGAACCTGACCCTAAGGAGCTCCAAACCCACAGCCACGGGCGACGAGTTGCTCAGATGAGTTGAAGTTGCCCAAGAGAATTCGTTTGTTTAGCGGCAATGTTAGCCGTTTTTAGCTCCAGGGGCATTTTACTCAAGGACCAATCACTTGTCTTGTGCAGCCGACGTACCTTGCATTAGGCCAGAACGAAGCTTGGACCACCCCCTCCCAACCATGAAGGGTTCGGGTCTGAAGACTCGCAATTCATTGTCCATTTCAAGTCTTGTGCCTTTCCCGTTCTTCATTCACCACTTACTCCGTATGTCAATATGGCCTAGACGGCAGTCTACAACTGAGAGGCATCCAGCGAGATACCTGCTCGCCTAGATACCCACCTCCTCGTAGCTATATATGCTACAAAAGACATAGCGACCATGGTCCGCCAACATCCGTTCTGCCATCGTTGAACGTATGCGCTATGTACAGGTCGCAAGCCAATCCTGAATCTCTCATAGAGTGACCTGGAAATTGCGGACTTCGTACCAAGATGATCCAAGAAATGTCGCTCAATCTGGCAGCTTGGCAAGCCTCGACGTTAGCACCCAACCAGTTTAGGCCAAATCTGCTGGCGTGGTGTTCTTTTAGCGTACGTACTTACGAACCCTACTCACCTAACAGAGACACATACTCGTACGCCGCCTCTATCCGTCTTTCTGTGGCTGCATTCTAGTAAACCACATCAATCTCAGGAGATCATTTCTAGAAGTAGAAGAAACCCCTAGTTCCAGGAACAACTGCCGACACGGAGTCAGAATTCTCCTAGTCTCGCATGCACAACACTCAGCAGTGCGGGGGCGGGTGTGACGCCGAGGCGGGCAATTTCGTAGAAGGAAATACGAGTAGAGCAGAGCCGCCGACGCATGAAGAGTCCACAAAGAGTCAAGAAACAAGTGAAAGGACCTCGTTGCGAAGTCCGGAGTATACTTATCTGTCAGTCGTAATTATGTACAAATTGCCCAATTTTGTAGTACGCTCTGTGGCCCATGACCACGTAGTCTCACATACGGTGTAAAGGACAGTAATTCTCTTACCAGCCAGAAAGACACCTATACAGCGCGGATTAGAGCATTAACAATACTCCGAACTTCATGGAACCTATAACCAGAACGCACAAGTAGTCCTCAAACGAACAAGATTACGAAGTAGATATGGAAACTCTTTTGGAGACACGCCCTGGCCAATCTCAACATTAGCGGCACGCTAGAGGTACGCTAACGCAGGTACAGTTCCAAAAATCTTTGCACACACAAATATATTTTTTGCGGTTTCACTTTCTTTCGCAATCGACCATAGGATACAGAAAACAGGGCTTCCCGTTCGCTCAGCCGTACTTAAGCTGTATGCCGATTCGTTAGTACTAAAGTGGGTGACCATTTGGGAATCCGGATTGTTGATTGTTTTTGGTTTTTTTGGTGATTCTAACGTAAAGGCATGAGACTTATACTCACTGGTCGCGTAGGACTCACTTCTGGTGGTGGTGTCGAGGGGATGACGGCGCTGCTCCGAGGGAAACGTTGCCCTAGGGGGCATCTCTATATGCTCCGGAGCTTCAATCGGTATCAGACACAGCCGGATAGATGAGTCGCGGGCAGTAGATCATCAGAGCCGACTATGCAATACTTCGATTCTAATTCTCAGTCTTCATCCGCTTTCTCCTCTACGGCACCTTTCTTTAACTCGCGCTTCCACCCCCTCGTCCGTGCCCATTTCTCATTCTGCTCCTCCAGACTATCCAGCTTCGGCTTGCGCATGACAGGGATATACTTGCCGACGGTCCGGGCATTATCCCCACCATCAAAGACCTTCGCAGAGCGGGCATTACCGCTGGGCAGACTTCCCCTCTGCCCACCCCTCGCGAACGAGCTCCCATCGCCCTGCCCCATCGCCAGATCAAGCAGACTCCCAACGAGGACTTCGTTCATCTTGGCCTGCCGCCACTGCCGCCACAGCTCGTCGACGAGGCCCGCGGAGCCAAATCGCCCGTCGCCTTTGGTGTTCAGCGCGGACAGCGAGCGTGCGTCGCCCGTGTACACCCAGTCGAGGGAGTCGCACATGTCCTCGTCGCTTTCTGGGAAGATGCAGTCCCACAGGACCAAGGGCGCGTCGTCCGCCATCTCGTACAGTGGGCGGCGTGGGGTTTTCTCTATGTCTAATAGCTCGTCGACGATCGACGGTTCCTCTAGGCCCTGGCCTACGAGGAACATTATCGCTGCCATGCAGCGCACTTGATGCCAGAGGAATGCGGAGCCGTGGACACAGAAAGTGTAGACTTTCGGACCTGTCTCGCCAGTGACGCCTTCGAGCATAGATGATAAGAGTGCATTGGAACCCGTCTGGTTCAAGTCAGGGATTTTGGAAAAATCCTTCCCGGGACTGTCGAACTCCACCACGTCGGCAAACGTCACCCGTCGCTGACAGTTCGGCATCTGCTTGGTGGGATCGATTTTACACAGGTTGCGGAAATCATGCAGTCCTTCGAGCTTCTTGGCCGCTTCTTTCATCTTGTCGATATTGAGCCAGCCCTCCCTCACGTTTGCAGGCTTGCCGTTATACATTGAGAGTCCAGGTGGACCAGGCGTAGGGCAGAAAGCCGGATTCGTGAAGAAATACTTATACCGACGCTCGCGGCACGAGAAGCGGGCATCGAACGTTGGCGGTGGAGCGGGACACCATGCTAGAATTCGAATGTCCGGTGGTAAGACCGAGTTGAGCATGGTGACATAGGACAGTTCGTCTGCGATTGGGTCGAATGGCTGGGTATAGGTATCGATATCGAGGTCACCGGTGTCAATAGATGGCATCTCGTCTTCTAATAGGAGACTTGAGTTTTCGCCTTGAATCGTTTGGGCTTGACTTCTACCGCCGACTTCGCCGTTCCCGATAGTATTCTCGATGACTGTTTTCTCCACTGGCCGATTGCTTCTGACGCGTATCCCAATGACCTGCCCAAATGCACTCACGCCACGGTCCGTCCGGCCACATTTGGAGTACTGGCAACCTTCCCAGTTGACCTCGAGCTTGACTTTCTGACCACGTTGCTCTGCCGTGTCCCTGCCCTCAGTATATGCTTTCAGCCTCTTCTCCGGTCCCCACAGGAGCTCATAGCTCTGATCAAGCGGCACGCCGTCCGCGCCGGGCTCGCTTGGAGGGCTGATCAATCGTGTCTTGCGTAATGCTTTCCACAGAGCCTCCTCGATACTTGGCTGTGGTATGACGTTGCCATTCGGGTGCTCGAAGCCGTTGTATCGCTGACCCAGGTAGGCAAACTTCAAGGCGATGTGGCGGGTGGAATAGAGGCTTGGGTCGAAGGCTTTCAGACGTCGTTGGGAGGAAGAGCGACTGCGGGATGGTGGCTTCGACGTTGATCTTGTCTGGGTGGTTGTCGTGCGACCTCGAGCATTCTGCGCCGTGAGCTCGGAGAGCCGTTTCGTCGAGTCCTGGAGTTGACGTTCCAGAGCCGTTATTCGTGAAATCAAGTCCTCGTGTGAGCTAGTCGCATAATCGCTGCGTGGATTGATTTCCTGTGACATGGAATTTGTGTTTCGTTGTGCCCGATGGCCATCTGGTGTGCTCATGCCTGCGGAGGTGCTGAATCCGTGTGATCTGATCGCTAACGACGTCTGAAGAGGCGAGATAGTTGTCTGAGAATTTACGAGCCTGCTCGTTGACAATCCCCGCAAGGCAAAGCGTTGTATGTGAGGCATCAACTCCTTATCCAGTATCAATCGAGTAATCATCGAAAGTGGGAATTGGAGAAATAAATTCGAGTCACTTTATCCTTTTTTGGGGAGGGTGTATATCACGTGGGAAGGAACCAGATGGAAATTAAGGCGAGTTTGACTGCAGTTGTGAGGAGGTCAAACCCCTTCCTCGGAGACTCACTTCGTAATGATAGATTTGCATGATATCGAGAAGTTTACAGTTTGTCGCTGAGGTGCGTAATCAGATCAATACCAAGGCAGCGTATTGAAAGTTCCTGACATTACGTTTCTTAGGGGCGCAAGATGAGGTGGTAAACTACCTAACAGTGCCTGAGCAAGGGGATCACTATTGCTCTCTGGCTTCATGGAACTCGTCGTGGCCACCTGGGCTGTCCCTGGCAAGGTTTTCCTGTGAATCTTGGATCTCCAGTTCGCCGTCGCCGTCGCCGTCGCCATCGCCATCGCCATCGCCGTCACCTTCCCCACCACCATCACCATCAATCTCGTCTCCACCGTCTTCCATTTCCTCGTCCTCATTCTCGTTGTTCTCGTCATCCAAGGATCCCTCTTCACCGTCCTCCTCACCATCTTCCCCTTCGCCAGCTTCGTCACCAGCCTCGTCATCATCGGCATCATCGGCTTGTTCCCCTGCTTGCTCCATTTCCGAGAGGAGTTGTTTCTTGTCCAAGTCCATGTCGTCTAACTCACTCAGCTCACTACCCGAATCGTCTTCAGCGTCGGCACTGTCACGGATACTGCCTTTAGGTGAGTTAGCCCGGCTATCGTAGGCCTGGCCCTCCGCATCAGCTGCTCGACGAGGCATTGGCGATTCGGTATTATCAATGACAATTTCAATAGTGGGGCGCTTGCTCAAGATCGGTGTTTTGATCGGAGGTGGTTTGGATATAACGGCTTCCGCCTTGCGTTGGATCTCACGCCTCGTCACGGTCTTGGTTCTACCAGGTTTTCCAGGGACGCGATGAACTTCTGGCATTGCTGTGTGACCCGCGCCTCCTGGGAGAGGGTTGGACTGCCCTTGCAGACCCAGTCCAACCGGTGCAGATACAGACACAGCAAATGGACCTTCTGCACTGCCGTCTCCCTGAGCTCGGAGGATGTTGTTGAGTCGAGTATGCTCAGCATCTTCATCACTGCCAGGTACGACATCAGCAGTCATGTTGATGAACGTGCCTTGTGGAAGAGATGCCGGCTGTAGGTGTGGCTGTTCTTCCGGTGGCAATTGCGCAACGAATTCCTCGTAGAGACATGCGTAGGCATCGCCTATCAAATCCTCGATCAACGGCCCCTTCATGAGACTGTTGTTAAGCCGCTTCAAATCAATACCGTCTCGTAAAATATCCAATGCCACCGACTGGGTATCCGGATCAAGAGCCCACGCCTCCATCTTTTCGGATTTCTTGGTGAACTCTTCATGATTCATGCCATCGAAGAGCGCTCTTTCACGCCCATCCGGAATTTGCCCATGTCGTCGTAAGAGTCTCACGTAGGCCGTGGCCACATCCTCCCAGACTCTTGTATGATCCAGAAAATCAGTAGTCTTTCGACGAATCCGACGAACCAGTTGATCAAGATTTGTCCGATCGTTCAACTGCTCCAAGATGTGTACAAAAAATGCCACGTAGCGACCAGTATAGACATAGTGTCTCCCAGGTCGTTCATGTTCAGGCTTCCATACTTGTATGGTCATTGTTTTGGTGAAAATCTGTTGAGTGAAGTGGTGTTTGGCAGCAAGTGCTCCAGAAGTATCACGTGCTACATCATAGACCACATGAGCTGCACGGTCAATAATTCGATGATGCCAATTGGATTTGTCGGCGTGGCTGAGCTTTTCCAGGAGAGCTAGCATGTACTCTTGCCATTCGTCGCCCTCCTCCTCATCATCAGCAAGATGAATACCGTGAGAGTAACGTGTAGCATGCATGTACTCTTGACCTTGTGCATAGGGCATTCTGTACTTAGTAACAAGCTTGTGAATGATGGACACGAGTTTGAAATGAGGTTCTAGGATGGGTTCGTTTGATTTTTCTTTCTTCGGCAATGCTTCGATAGCTTCGACAATCGCATCCAAGACATCTTCGGGAGTTACCGGACGACGGCGGGTATGGTTCTCTTTGCTGGTGTACATCTTCCACAGGCACTTACTTCGAGTGTAGTGTGCTGTCCAATGCTTGGGCTTGTCACTGAATTTACAACTCAAGAGGTATGCTGCGAACTTCCACAAAGCATAAGTTCCAAGTGGGGGGTGGAAGGCTTGTTTCGACATGGTAGAATCGATATTGCTACTCATGTGACGCATATTCTTGTCTGTTTTAAACGCCTCCATGTTCAAGGGCGGCCGAGACGAGGCGTACAAGCGGGTTGCGAACTCTGCAAGCATATCTTCGATCATCTGAGCTGTTGCTGCTGCCGTACTGTCAAGCCGCATGGCTATGGTTGTGGCCATCATGAAACTGTGAATAGCCTGGCGTTCCAACAACGCTATGTCACCACGTGCATCGTTTAACTTCGTGGAGTTCCAAATCAAGTCGTCCTCAATCTTGGCTTCGTATACTTGTGCCAAGCGATACCATGTTTCCCACTTATTGATGTCATGATCGAGGTCTTGTCGAAATAGGGTGGCGGCAGTATCTAGATCGTCGGTAGGAGTGGGTGTAACCCTCTTCACCGATTTATACTTTGCAAGGCTCATGTGTCCTAGCAAGAAATACCATCCATGCCGAGCAGCAACTTCGGTATCACCCTCTGTCAAGCGAGTTGAGAGGTCGCCTATGCCCCGGATACACCGATAGAGGTCATCTGATCTGATAGGGGACTTGAGATAATTGGATATAACCTTCTTGTTGTACAGCAATGGTGGAGGACTTTTCACGACTCCCAAAGCACTTTGAATTTTATCAATCGCGATTCTCAGTTCTCCTTTCGCAAGATCCTTGACACTGTACTTGGATGCGTAACTCATGATAGTGGGGACCAATGACCAGGCAGTTTTCCGATCCAGATTCTCGGTTGGACAGCCATGGTTGGCATCCCCAACGCCGTTGGCGAAACGAAGCTGGTACAGATCATAGAATACCTGAGTCATGTCGACAGTGTAATCTTGCTGGGTATTGAGCGCGCACAACTCGGTTTTCACGAGTTTCACAAATGCCTTGTTCGCATATTTGCAGTAATGTCGGATGCCTATGCCGTTGTGCACAGTGCTCAAATACTCAGCCAGGTCGTCCGCAGCACGCTCAAATGCCGACGGGTGCTGTATGGTAGCCTCTTTCAATAACAGATATTGCAATATGTATGTTCGCACTAACATCTCTCTAAGGCGATCTTTGCTTTTGTCGAAAATCTTGGTAGAGGCGGCTCCCTTCAGCTGGGGTGGTGCAGTTTGGCCGACCCGGATTGAATCCTCATAAATGACAAAGCCTTGGAGAAGTCTTGTAAGCGATATGATGACTTGCAGTGAGGAATGCAAATGATGCTCATCGACACACTCCCAGGCAGCACTATCACCCTGGACTTTAGACAATAGTTTGATCATCATTTCATCAATGTCGCGCAGCCATTTCAGCATGGATATTTGGCGACTTGTGGACTCTGCTTCAAGGTGTCTTGAAGTGAACAGCTCGTGGACACCTGTTTCGATGCTCCGTAGCAGACATGAAACCACCTTAGGCGTGTACGAGATAGCCGTATAGGCATTCTGAAGTCGTCGCCAGAGAAATAGCTTCAGTGAGGGTTCGCCGGATTCCAAAAAATGAATCAACTTCCCAGCTTGGGAATGACTCTGACCCTCAACAGGGGTCAGTAACTCATTAGTTTCAAGAAGAGACTCTGGCTCTAGGATTGGCTCAAGTTTTTCAATCACGACAACAGGATTGCTGTTATCAGTGTCAAAGACACTTGTGAAGAAATCCAAAGTATCCAACCGTGATACCTCCTGTTCGATGGCTGATGTTGATATGATCGGCATGGCGGAGCTATTGGGAAGGTGTATCTCCTCCAGCTTGGACCGCTGTAGTAGCGCTTTAAGGTCTTGTAGACACAAGAGAACATGTGCTTTGTCCACATCCTCACTCAACGTTGCGCAGATTGCTGAGGCCCAGATGAATCGGACAATCAAAGGGTCATCCAGCTCAAGCTTATTGGAGTGGTCACGATAGAGACTCATCATGTCGTTTGCTAAGCCCGCAGACTGGAGTAGTCGATATTGGCTGGATGATCGGACACTCTCCAACACGTCCTGATCTGGACCTGTGATGGTAGAATATTGATCGAGATGCAACTCAAACCAAGCTTGAGTGAACTCAAATAGTGCCTCTACGTCGGGAATAATGTGTCCATCGGTCTTCTGTACAGAATGCTTGAACGTAGTATAGCGCTGGCGAAGTGTTTCATAGATTTGTGGGTGTGCAATGAAAAGGACGTTGTCTAGTGTACCCCTCAACTCATTTGACCACGGTTGATGCATATATAGCGACGTGGTCGGTTGATCGTGAGGACTGACCAAAAGGGATGAGAGCCAGCAGAATACAGCATCATATATGTTTGTTGGTTCAGCGTTGATAAGGCTTGCGAGCGAGATAAAGCATGAGCTCGATCCATCTGTCGCTGGAGACGTACCTTTTGCCAAGCTTGGTTTTGAATGTTGAAGGTAGAGGGACATCCCAGTCGACTTTTCGGCAATGTCTTGGTGGCCATGGCCGGAAAGAGTTGCGTGTCCTTTGTCATCAGTCCAGTTCAGTAACGCGATTCTGAGATCTGCGAGGAGTATCAGATCCTTTCGCGAGGCACCAGTAACAGACAGGTCGAGTGTCCCACTGGCAGTGCTCTGCCAGAAAGCTCTATTTGCTTCATCTGTGGAGTGATAAAATTGGAGATCCAGTTTTGCAAGCATTGAGTTGACCACGTCGAACATAGCTTGATCAGTCTGCTCAAATAATGCAAGCTGATCAAGAAAATACTGGGGATCATCATGTGCAGCTTCGTCTTCCTGCGCGGCCAGATCTGCCAGAGACTCTCTCGCTCGGAGACGCTTGCTCTTGGTTCTCCCTTCAGGTTCCTCATTTCCGGCTGCTGTCGTTGACCGTTTTCTTGGCAGAGGCTCATCATGAATCGCTACGGGCGTGGCGTTTTGAACCTCTCCTGAAGCAGAAGTTTGATGCCGTACAATGTCGATGGTCGCATCTGTGTTCTCGCCCCCGTTCTCCAGCACATGTATGCTCTGCTCAGGTCGGGCATCATTCTCACCCAAAGGACTCTCGTGAATTCCATTCTCAGCGACTGGGTTCATCGTGGGCTCTTCAGAGAGAGTCAGCATGGGACTCGGTTGATCATTAGACGCGATGGTGTCTTCATAGCCCGACATCGTCTGATCTTGTTGGACGGACACACCCTCGGGTAACTCGACCTGGACATTGGTCGCGGCGTTGAAAGAAACATCGCCGTCATGAACTGCTCGGACTGTTTGATGGATGACTTGACCCAGAGAGGTAAGAGTGGCCATCGCTGGTTTTAGTCGGATTTGACCGAAGCCAACGCTCAGAGGCCGATAGCGGTCGTCGACATACTCGAGCTGTTTGGGGCGCTTAGGAAGATATGGATAAGGGTCATTTGTTTTTCGCAAAAGAATGAGCAGGTGATTTTTGGGTCGAATGGCGGGTCTTTGAAGACGACTGAGGTCATCGTTCAACAAATCCACGACCTCTTCCAGCTCCCCTGCCGCAAACGCTTCGTCGAGTCCCGATAGATCAATTGCTTGTTGTGTGTCGTCATCATCGCCGGCCAGGACACTCTCCAAGCAGAATCGAGCGATTCTTTGCGTCGACAATAAGATATCAGCGACGCGGGCAGACTTTTTCCACAGGTCGAGATCGGTATCATCTCTCTCCAAGGCTTTGGCAAAATCGGCAATGCTATCAGCACAGGCCTTGGCGTAAGACCGACATAATTCTACTCGAGAACTCTGTTTGTCTGAAACTTGATGTCGGGCGACATCGAGGATAAATTGTCCTCTGTTCTTGAAAGCGAGATAAATGAGTTGGGGAATGGAGCTGGCTGAGGATTCGGCAGCGCTGCTTGGAAGCAAGGCAATCGGCCCAGCGTCTGGATGAATGGCAGCGCTGGCTATGTCTTCATCAAGCTCATCATGTGCGAAGTCAGATAGAACTTCTGGATATCTGAAGACTTCAGATTGCAGCAGCTCTTTGTAGGCATCCGTGGCCTCCTGAAATGAGATAGGACCCTGTGAGTGCAGCTTGAGTGCATTCTGATATAACTTAAAAGCCTCTTCGAGTTGGATTTCTTTGGTGTCGTCAACTTCCTCCTCAAAGTTATCTTCGGGCTCAACATTCAAGGCCGTAAAGCCAGACATGACGCCGGCAAAGATGAACCTGTGTGGTTAGTCCGGAATTGGCTGTGTCGAGGAATCATCATCGGACGAAAGTGATCAAGTTGAGAGGCAAACTGATGAAACAAATAGTGATGGGAAGTTCTAGGGTCCTTGATAACTCTTAAGAATTCATCCCTGCCTAGGTCAGTAGTGATGTTTGAAAGCGGAATAATGTGAAGCCCGTCAAGAAACGCGTGTCTCGTACTTTTGGGTGACGCGCATTGGTAGAAGTGTCCCAGATAGGAAGGATTGGCGAGACATTTCATTCAACAACATTCCTGGCTGCACACACTGCGGCTCCTACTGGCAGCAGGCTACATCACGTTGGACTTCACCATTACGCAAGCACTCATTGGGGGAAGACTTTGTTACTGAGACGACATAGACCTTCAAGAACACCAACCAAAGATCCTTTGAATTCGACCAACGGCGACAGCGCATTCACTGCTCAGAGATCTCCAAACTTCCTTCAATCTGTCCTGATTGTTCGTCTGCACGCCCTCAGGGCTGCACTGCGATGCTTGCGCCTGCGGTGCCAGAGTTAGTCCCCCGCCACATGTCTACTTGGTACTTATTGCATTTGGATCTGATCTGTGAATAGGATCATCGAAGATGACGATATCGGGCTAGCCGTCGACGCCCGCACCGAGAGTCTCCCCGGGCTGCGCGAACTTGGGCCCCCCGATCTCGTGCATCTGGTCAAGCAAAGCGTAAAGGCTGGCGCGAAACAAACCGGTGTCTACCACCATGTGACCGGAGTCGATGCCTCATCCTCGGCGAGTTTGGCTGCCTATGTCAACACACTCACCTTCAACCCTTCCGACAAGACGCACAAGGTCGTATCGGGCCTGTATTGCTGTTACAATGCTTTTTCGCACCTAGACATGAGAGTTGAAGTCAAGATTCCCGGTAGTGTTGAGAGCTATTGTGTGGACGAGAGAGGCGATCGGAGAGTGGCCACCGACAGTCTGTGGCTTGAAACATTCTTATGTGGAGTCTTGCGCGCCTACTCATACTCGGATGATGGTAGTGGAGACACCATCAAGAAGATCATTGGCGTCAGGAGGTTCAACCCGATAACGAATACCGAAATGGAGCACAGGTTTTTCGAAGCTGCCGAGAAACTATTTTTCAGCGGTCGACAACTGGGTTCAGATCCGGAAATTCAAATCCCCAATCTTGTTTCCAACCACCTGACTGCTGGACTTCTCAAATATATCAAAACTGCTGGCCGCTATGCTTCTGGTATCAATCTATTCGAGAAGCTCCGGTCCAAGGATGTCGAAATATCTTCGCTGCTTGCTCGAGTCCTGCTTGATGGAGATGAGGAAGTCCAAGCAGTAAGGCTACTACATGACGCTCTACAGGACGTGCCCATGGATTATGCGCTGCTCGACGCTCAGGCAACATTTTGCCAGCAAAAGGGCGAAGGTTTAACCGCCCTCGAATTGGCCAAGCAGGGAGTCACTGCTGCTCCTAGCGAGTTTAGCACTTGGGCTCGTCTGGCTGAAGTTTATGTGGATCTCGAACAATGGGATCTTGCTCTTCTCACACTCAACTCTTGTCCGATGTTCTCATATCAGGATAAGGATTCACCGAGAATGCCTGAACCCACACGAGTTCTCCTTCCTATATTACCAGAGACCGCATTAGATGAGATTGATGAAGGCCAGCCACGGCAAGGTGAAGCTTATGACACAATTCATGTGTCTCTTCGGAAACTACAAGCTGCAGCATATCAAGGCACATTCCTAAAAGCATATAGTCTCCTCACCAGAATTGCTGCTTCCATAGGATGGGACTCCTTGTTGAAGACTCGCAGTCTTGTTTTTGTCATGGAGGAAGAGTATCGCACCGAGAGGACCCATTCCATGACCCCTAAGGTACCCTCAAGCAGGAATGCCAGCACCGTTGCGTTATCCGGCACACCTAATGGCAAGGCAAAGGAAACAAATGATACAATCTCGGATGATGAAGCATCAGACGATGAAGTTTCGCCTGTTGATGAGAAGAACACAAAAGCAGAAGGCTCATCAATGTCCTCCACACTCAACGGCGGTACTGGTGAGAATGCTGAGCTTAACACTGATCGAACCATGGAGAAGCCTGTTCCAACAATCGCTGCAGAAGAAGTCAAATCTGGGAGCGAGGATCCAGACGCCGCTCATGCACAGTATCCACAGTTTCAAAACAAGCGACTATGCGAGCGATGGCTAGACAACCTATTCATGGTGCTGTACGAAGATCTTCGTATATACACGATATGGAGAACGGAAATGGGTCAATATCGGCAACAGCAGATGCAATACAAGAAGTCGGCATCGGAATGGGAAATCCTTGGCGATTTGGCTGAACGATTACACCATACGAATGAAGCTTTGGAAGCTTACCAGCAGTGTCTGAATATCCGTTTCTCCCCCAAGGCCATGCGAGGGTTACTTCGAATGCACGAGAGGAAGGGAGATACGAGAAACGCCTTGGCTTGCTTGATTCGCTTAATCACATGGCAGTACCGATGGTACTCGGAGGTAAGATAATCATACCTCTTTTCCCCTCCACCATACTAACATGTTTTCAGTTTTCGCCAGAGTTATTCTATTCAATACGCAAACTTATTGAAGAGGAGGGCGCTGTTAAAATCCGAAGTATTGTGCAATCAACAAATCTGCCTCAGCATGTCTTGGATCTTACTCACGAATACTGTCAAGTATGTGTGACGTTCCGGAGCAGCGGGACTGATGGTTGACTTTAAATGTTGGCCTTGAGGAAATGCCCCATTCGGGCAGTGGTATGAGCTCTCAAAAGGAGATGTCTTCTAAGCAAGCATTGGCGTCCGGCAAATGGCCAGGATAAATAGAAAGCGTCGTACAGTCAATGAGCAAAGAAATGTTGGTGATGGCCTACGTAGTACTATCACCGGAGTACATACTGTACCTACCAAAGAAGGCTTCGACCAGAGGGAGATGATCTAATCTAATCAGGTGACGAAGCCGCAAGAGATTGATCCGATATTTATCCGGCCCAGGCAATGACTACACAGCAAACAATTGCCTTCCATCTCGTAAAGATCAGATAGAACTCAAGAATGCTAGTGCGTTCCTCTCTGGTTCATTTACATCTTATAGGTCTTGCAAATTTCTGAGCCTTTGCGTTCAACATTCACCCGTCATAGCCAGCGATTTTCCTTTTCGCCGAATATAATTGAGATACCCCGCGCTGTTGTGAGCCACACTTAAATCCACCTGGCAGGCTGCCCAACAATCCTCGTGATTGAGGTTGAGATCGATAAGTGGTGATCATGTCAAGTCAGAAGCGTATCACCAAGGTCGGTGCCTTGGACTTTCCCTTCCGGTGTTCATGGGAAAGAATGACTGATGTGAGAATCATAGGAGCTGGCGGATCTGACGGTCTCCCCACCTGATGGCATCACCGTGGCTTTAGCAGATGAGTCAAATTTGTTTCTGTGGAAAGTCGACATGGACGGGCCCTCTGATTCTCCTTATGCTGTGAGTCCTCCACAGTATGCTCTCAAAAAAATCAACGACCTTGACATCCATCTCCTCCCATCCATTCCATCTGAGGTCCACTATCCCAAGTTACTAACCACAAGACAGGGCGGCCACTTCACACTCAACATCACACTCCCACCAAACTACCCATTCAAGCCACCAACAGTGACCTTCACAACGAAGATCTACCACCCCAACATTTCGAACGACTCACCACCCAACTCCGGCACCATGTGTCTCGGCATGTTAAAGGATTCAGAATGGAAGCCATCGACCAAAATGAGCGCCGTGCTGGAATTTACTCGACAGCTATTGAAGGGTTCGTACTCTGAATCCAGCAGCAACGACATCAATGACCACCACTAATCCTTCCCTCCCCAACAGAGCCTAATCCAGACGACGCAGTGGAATCCAAAATCGCAGACCAATATCGCGGTGACCGGGCCGGCTACGAGCGAGAAGCCAGAGACTGGGTGAAGCGCTACGCCACTAAGAAGTAGATTTGTCTTCTCTGGCAGCTTTGAGCAGAAAGCCATGCGTGAAATGGCATGCCGTTGGTTCGCTTTGCTGCGACAGGCCACCAGCCAGGTCTCTATGGGTTCGGAGGAAATCCAATCCGCCATTTCCGGCGTTCACCCTGGCAGGCAGGCAGCGACACATTGGAGCCGAAGAATGAACCACGATCATGACTGCGACAGGGTCCGCAGGAGCGAGTCTATGGGTGTTCGTATGAACCAGCGGAGGAGCCAGACACGGGCCCCGTAGAGATCCTCCTGGCGATGTATCCGTGTTGGGTACATCGGTCTCAGACACAAGGCGCGGCCGGGAAACTGGGTTGTTCACCGTTACCCGTTTAGGCAGGAAATCAGCATGAACAGCATCGCATCCGAGTCATGTACTACAGCCCGAGCAATGATGCTGATATGATAAACAATGAGGCACAATTGAAATAGCAGCACGAGTCAAAGACAGATCGACGTTTTTCCAGAACCAAAAGACGATATGCGTCGCTGTAATCGGATTGTTTACGACTCGCTTTTATTGTAGACTACAGGCGCCCGCGAATTGAATGCGAGTATATAAGTAGGCGTGGTCAGCCATTGGCGATGTGCTAGGTGATAGCGATTGATGCTACCCAGCACTCGGCATTTTTCCGCCGTTGTATCTCTCCAATCCAGTCCCCCGGGACCGCAAAACGAGAAGATGCCTCTCTGCGTGTTCGACCCAGACCATTTGGTTCTCAAGATATGTCGATGCCTTTTCTTGGAGTTTTTCATCTCAGGGCAGGTGGTCCACGGCCTTGACGCAGAACAAGGCGAATCCCGTCAATGGTCGGGTGTACATGTCCGGCGGACACTGATATCAACAGCTCGGCTCAAGCTGAACGTGAATGCAGTCGAGTGCATCACAGAACATGGAATTGAAGCTCGAAGCGGTGATACGCCGGCAAGTCGTCGGATACACTAATTCTTATGTCGTATGGCCTGTCAATCCTGATCCTTGCGAGTCGTTGTCAGAGCGAGCTGTGAATTCAGCAGGTGATGTTGGCCAACGCTGTATCTTACCAGCTGCGTTTTTCGCAAACATGAGCTGGGTGCGAATATTCCCGAAGGTAACCAAGATCGGAATTCGTTTCAGCCTTCCATCTCGTCGTCTTCATCAATGGCACCGGCCTCAGCCTCCTCAGCATCCTCGTTGTCGTCATCATCTTCATCATCGACGTCCCAATTTTCCAGATCTTCGCTATCCCATTCCTCCTCGCTGTCCCCTTCATTAGCGCCTTCTTCGCCGTCGCCAGTCTTGCCCGCATTCTTCTTAGTATTCTTCTTCAGCTCCTTTTTCCTTTCTACATTCTCCCGTTGTATCTTCCTTCTTTCCTCTTTTTCTTTTCTTCGAAGATCCCATTTCTCCTCGAGTGCTTTCTCTTCTTCTTTGGTCTTGGTGACGTACTCGTTCCACATGACCTTGCCATCACATATTCCCTCTTCGACCTTGACCATCCTCAGGCGCATGCGGGGGCCTAGCTCGACCAACTTGACTGCCCTCTTTTCCACATTCGAGCTCTGTTCTGTTTTGCTCGCCTTCTTGTCTCCATTATTCGCGAGCTTCTGTTGCTCGCGTTTGCTAAGCACACGTTGGGTTGTTGTCTCCATGACCTCTATTTCATTATCTGTGTCTAGTTCGGTCTCGCTGGCAGAAGTGTAGCCTCCAGCCGCAGGATCGAGGATATAATCTGCCACGTCGTTCAGCTTACCAAGGTTGGGCAATGCGCCACTCTTTTTCTCCCTTAGGCGTTGTTCGGTTTGGTCGAATCTCCTAACACGCTTTGACACACCCGTCTTTCTGGTAGTGATCGCATAATGCCGTAAACTAATGACATATGTTCCGTCTGCCTGTGTCTCACGATTGAGGAGTAGAATCCTCCGTATTGAATTTAGTGGGGTACTCTGTGGATTGATGGGTGGAAACATTGATTGGAATATCGTTGTGGTCAAGGATTCCAGTTGCTTCTTGATCGGGTCTGCGCCACTGTCTGTAGAATTTTGTGACACGAAGTTGTTCATGACTAACAAAGGTGCCGTCTGGTACTCTTTCCCTCCCCCACGAGGGTGCTTTTGTGACTTTGCAATGTCCTTGGCTAGTGCATATCGATCGACTCGAAAAGTGACCGTCGGTCCGCGTGGGGTCAGTGCCACCCGCAAATGGACATTGCCATTATTTGACCGCGAGAAGAGAAAGAGGTGTGTGACACCCAAGGGGCCGGCCATAGCGGTGTAGTCCTTCAATTTATTTGCTTTACGTTCCTATTGGGGTCGAGATCAGCCTGGGGAATTTTCGACAATATCATGATCACCACGTACCTTCAGCCTGCTTGCTGTATCAGGTTCCATTACGGCACGGAAATCCTTCGCCAGCTGGGTGACACTTGGTCCAATGTCGCCTGCGCCCATACGGATAACCATACTTCGTGGTCGTCGGTTGCCCCGACCTGGCTTCGTAGCGCCATCGTCGATTTGAGTGTGTGTTCTCTTCTTTTTCCTAGGTCTTGCCATGGTTGATGTCTGGTTTTGCACAGGCAAAGCTAAGGTAGCGAGCTTTGTAAATGTCTGGACCTCTACAATAGTCGGTCGCCGACAAGAAAGATTTGGGGAAGCCGCAATTTTTCGTCTTCAGATAAGAGTCACGTGGCGATAGTATTACGGCAAGCCGCTGAGATGCAAGCGACACTACTACTATGGTGGAGCATTGAGATCTCTATGGTGGAGATCTCGGTGGATATATCAATTGGCCATGTTCAACAGATAGGTAGTCAAATTCTCTGTAAATGCAATAGAGCACGAGGCGAGAAAGGGTGCCAAATGGAAAAAAACTGGATTTTTCATACATCATGCCAAGCACCAACCCAATATACAATATATCGCACAATCGCTCAGTCGCTCAACCGCGTGTGTACACAAATCAAACAAGAGGAACGTCCGCGATCACAAACCCGACTTTTAAATCGCCACCGGCAATATCTGAGAAGTCCTTTTCATTCCCTCAATCGTATCGACCCTCTGGCATCTTGCCACGGATGTATCCATAACCTTCAGCCTCCTCGACGATGCCGAGATCCCGCACGAAAGTAGTGTCTGAATGACCTGGATCATTCCTGTCGGGACGTACGGCGTAGGCAATCTTGTAGTCTCCCAGCCTCTCTGCCATCTCATCCGTTGACAACAGCGAGCCGCTCTCTCCAACCTTATTGAGCATGGGCTGCAGAAGATGTGCAGCCGTCATGTAGCTTGGTTCGAGAATGACAGCCTTCCCAGAAAACCATACCACTCCTATTAGCATGATGAACTGCACAAGGGGGATCCCGGCAAGGATAAGAATGGACCATTTCCACTTGACATTGACAATTTGGGCTGCTCCGGGACTGTTTGCTCCCATCGTGTACTGTCTCGGCCCACCAGCCTGATCAATTGCGGCGACTACTCCCACGGAGAACCTCATCACCAGTTGTGCGATGCCCTCCGCACCTGCGCTCCCGGGAGCGTTCATGATATTCCTCCCACGGAAGATGACTGCTTGTGTGAGACCGGAGTCGCCCAGGAAAACTCCGCTCCAGCCAGTCGCTCCTGCGATAATCTGCGCCTGCGGGTCTGGGAGAGCGAGCACCTCTGGGGTCTGGAACCCTTCCAAAGGAGAAGTCGCGTTGAGGACGTCGGTGATATTTGTGTCGCATGTCCACAGCCTGGGTTCTGGAACGGGAACAACCCCAAAACAGTCGTCTGTCGTATTGGTTGTGAGTGTCATTGCTTCTGTGCAATTGTTGGCAGTCTGCAGGATGAGTACCTGGGCGCAACGAGGACCGCAGGTTAAGTTGTCAACAGAAGATCCGTTGCCAATATAACTCGTAGCTCCAATAGCAACATTCTCTATTATCAAACTTTGTTCAACGCCTTCGAAGTCCTCATACATGACCAAGTTCACTGCCGTTGTGTCCTCACCAACATTGAAATTGCCGAATCCTCCAAATGTAACCTTGTACTCCTGGCATGTACTAGTACTGTGGACTTCCCTGGTGGATAACACACCCAATTTGTTTTCAGGATTTGATGAATAATCGGAAAATGTGTATTTCCATGAGCTGTTCGTTCCATCGACAGGGTAGACGGAATCTTGGTATGATAAGCCGAGCTCGCCCCACAAGTTTGCTGCCGGCATGGACTCATATATGGAAAGGCTTGCTCCGTTGTCTTCGAGATCATCACCGGATATGTAACTCAGGTCGGCCACACTGATGTTTCCTAGATATGAGTTAGCATGGACAATAATAGGTAGTCGCCGAGGTGAGGAATACTGACCAGGACTTATGGAAATGGCGGTTTCCGAGACATCGATGGAGTACGTCAAACCCAAAAGGGCTGCGCAAACGTTGAAAACAACGAAAACCATGAACCAGAAGCACGCAATGACTTGGGTTTTGCTGGGATACCAGGTGCCTTTGCGGTTGCCACCACACATGAGACTCAATGTATTGCGGTAGCTATCACAACCTAGAACAAGCTCGAAGTCTTGTAGTGAACGGTATTCTGATGCAAGAAACCGCCAGCGCATCATCTCTGCATACTGCTTGAACTGTGCCGCAAATGCAAGACCAAGAACAATGGATAGGCCAGTGACCAAGGCGTTGTATCCGTACTTCTGAAATTGAGACATGCCTGAAGTGATTCTGGAGAACCCGTACATGGTGCCGGCCAGCGCTCCACAAACGAAGGCTGTGCCGAACCACATGAACAGACATTCGAGAAATACTCTGCGAGTCTGGCGCCCGCGATCGAAGTACCTCGTAGTGTCTGTTGGTGGAGGAACACCCCTGACGTGTTTCTCGTTCAATTTATGTTCCCATGGAGAAGATGCGATTTTCCCGAGAGAAGATCCAGTGTCGGTCCTGTTGAATTCTTTCCAGGTCGATTGTTGAGACACTGTGATAGCGTGAGCCTATCGTCCCATAGCTAGATTGAGCCCACTTACTGGAATTGTATGGCTCACTCTGCTCTGATACCCGGGTAAAATTCTGGGATTTTAGAGGAATATTCTCACTACTGTTCGTGTAGGGTGGATATTGTGAATTCATGTTGTCGAAGTTTGCTGAAGTGAACTCTGCGGGAGGATGATGACTCACGGGGGCGTAACGAGACATGGCGGAAGGAGGAGATATGTATTTTTGCTGTTACTGGAGTCCAGTAGTACAAAGGAAGCCGAAGCAGAACGAGGGAATGAGATGATATCCTTCTGCCAAGGCAAAGGAGGATTCAGGATCATGGTGAACGAGGTATCTCAAGAGATAGATCGATGACTGTCCCCACTCGACACGAGTGTTTGATGGTGCGCAGAGGGCCACTAGGGGCGAAGATACACCAATGCGGGTTCTCGCTGTGTTTGTTGGCTATTTAGCCTCAGCTTAGCGTGCCACAGAGCCTCCATACTGCTCGATATAGCCTGGGCTGGGAAGGAGGGTAGAGTGTCGAGACTCAAGAAGGAGGCTCGCCGGAATCCTTCAGGATTTCTTGGTCAGCCCTGCAACTGGCACTAAGCTCGTTCCTGTCAAGCTTACACGGGTGAAAGCAATGGCGCAAATTCTCCCAATGTGCCGTGTCGACTCGTTGACACTAAAGAGAAACTCACTTGGTCATAAACGAGCAGCTGTTGAAACGGTTGGAGGAGTACTGCCAAGGTATTAAGTGTCGTGATTGCTATTAGAAGAACCGAGCTAGAAAGGTCTAAGCCAGAGCCTTACTCGGTATGTCCACAATCGCCAACCACTTGCCACAGAGGCAATAATCGATGGTCACAATTAACAACGCTCCATAGTCGCTTCATACTACGAAGCATTGTTTTGTCGCCTTGTACTGCGTGGACTGAACTTAATCTGGATACTTCTTTGACCTGATGAGTACGAAGGACAAACTTCCAGCCTGAAACAGCCCCATGCAGGGAACACGGCACAGAGCACGAAGGATTTTGTTGTAATTTTAAGGCCTCCCCAGGGCTGGGCTTTTGTCCGGCTTACCAAACAACTTAAGCGCCACCCGAAAAAACCCAAACAATCCGCCCCAAGGTCCTTTGGTACGAATAAAAAAGGAAAATTGATTTATAGGTATGGTGCGGCGCGATGATCTACAGTAGATTGTCACAGAAAGCTGCCTGAATCACACCATGGAAACATGATACTATTTCTGCTCGCGGTATTCAACAATCGTCGTTGATTCACCTTCTTGGCTAATTTCAAAGACGATGCGCAAACCCCACAAAATGTGCGAAAACTGCCCCTTCTAAGTAAATGCTACATGAGGATCCTACCTGATTGTGGCTCTCATCATTACTCATCTGAATCCCCCGGCGCTGACCTGTGGCGTAGCTCCTCGAGTTAGATAAGCAGTATCCTGGCGGTTACAAGATTCAACTCCACGTCAATCACTCGGAAAGATGGATGCTCCATGTCCTTCTTGCAATATATCCGTTAGAGTTAATTGAATGTCCTCGATAAAAATGATGAGCGGGTACAGCAGAATTATAAAATCTTACTTCCACTACTAATTGTATACGTTCCAAAAGTCTTGAATTTACGGCGGTTTGCATGATTACTTATCGACATGGCTCAAGGTCCAGCTATGAGTGACCTAGAATGGGTACACCTCCTTTCATAGTGATCAAGGGAGCAGTGTTACGGTCATTCCATCACGTTACTGGTCGTACCACCCAAGGACAACCATCAACTCCGGGTGCCCATACAACTTTCGAGCTTTCTCTGCAGTTTTCAGCTAAGACGGTTTCGCGTTCTGAATTATTTGTTTCCTCAAGAACCAACACGTTTTGTCTGCGTGGGTGCCACCACAGTAAGCGTTATTTGATATTACTTTGGGCCTAAGCCTGTCAGTCTTCCTGCCTACATTGGAATCGCGGCCATTAGGGTTCTCGTCGCCGTCGTGCTCCGTAAGCTCGCTACCATTCGCCGCCACACATGAGGCTGTTCCTAGTATGAAAAAGCCACAGCCTTGCCTTTCCAATTCTTCACCCACCAGGCATGGTCAGGCCAGCTTGTTATTTACGCATGGGACGACTGTACACAGAAGCAAGGCTGAGTGGAAATCCAACCAGCACCCGTGGCCGTGAACACTAGTGGAGATTTACCCGATGCTATCAGCTCGCTATCAACTCCCTACACACTGCTCTACTGCTCTGGGGTAATGGCATGCAACGCAACGTCATCTTTGACAAGGAGAACATGGTTGAGATGATAATAAATCCAGCTGAATCTACCAACACTCATGACTGCAGTCACCTCTGGGAAACAATCCAGGGATTGTTGACTCCAAACTTGAAGTTTGAAGCAGAACCGCACAAAAACCCCGCAAAATCCAGCCTTCGTGAGGGAATCACCTGACCGGCTTTTACGGCCCGCACCCAACGCCATTCGGCATCTTGTGACAACGTCGGGCCTTCCTTGAAGACTTGGAGACTCTGCTCGAGGCCATCATCAATCTATCCGCTAGCCGATATCGATCTATCTCGCAATCGCAAGCGCAACAATGGTTGTAAATCCCGAGGTCTACCACCTCAAACCCAACCGACATGCTCCGAACAATGACAATCCGGTCCTGATCTATCGAGATTGCCTTCCACTACCATTTTCGGAAGAAAAGACCACGGAATTTCTCGAGTCACATGCTTGGGTCAAGAAAGGGACATGGGGTCATATTCCGATACGGCACTTCCATCCCAATACACACGAATGCTATGGTAAGATCTCATTGCTATCCAACGTCAGGCCGTACCATCGCGCTGCTCTTCCAAACCATCCATTGGCTCCTCCGTGGCCCAACCCTGCCAGATGTACCTCTAATCTGTGATATACAGGTGTCTTTCAGGGCGAGTCTACGATCCTTGTGGGTTGTGGTACACATGATCTAGAGGACGAAGGCACCAAAATTGATGTCTCGGTTGGAGATGTCATCGTCCTACCTGCTGGGACTGGCCACTGCAATTTACAAAGTAGCAAAGACTATCAGTACATTGGTGTTTACCCCAAGGTAAGTAATTGCAACATATGAAGATTTGTCACTTCGCCAAACCGCTGATCGTTGACTCCCAATCATGTAGGGTGCTCCGCAATGGCGTAACGAACTAGGAAAGAAACCGATCAACCTCGAGGAAATCCGCAAGGAAATCACCGCTGTGGAAATGCCGAGCCAGGACCCTGTCAACGGTGCCAATGGGCCCTTGTTGAGTCTCTGGACCAAGTGATGATCACTATCGAGTGCGTACAATAAACAAATTGCCTGTCACAGATTTCCAAAGTCCCACCAAGCTGGATTTGCATTGTTACGGTCGTAGAAATGAACCATTGGATCATTCGAGACGTTCATCAAGGTTTCGTGACTGGGATCTTCCGTCCAGTACCAATTAGCCATCTCCGGGACGTCCAGGTTCGTGTTCGAAATCTGCAACGTCGAATCGCTTTCGCGTATCGTAGTTGAAGGTCGTCTTTCGGCCGCTTCCCAAGTGACAAGAGGAGGAATCGCCGTCGAAGGCACCGGGTCGAACCAGTCAGGTGTAGAACCGTGGATACGGGATACTGAATTCTCCAGGCCCCTACTCGCATTTGTCCCAGCCGGTTCGGTCATTATCGTTTGATCGGGGGCCCTCTTTGACGGTGAATTCTCCACTGATGATAAATGGAAGATTCCATTCCCTACCGAAAAGTCGCCCCGTGGTGCAGCGTAGTCTAGAATCCTCCACATCAAAGCCGTGTTCAGCGCGACACTTGTCGATATGTTGGGGTCGGATTGGTCTGACTGTGTTCTCCACGTTGCGGAATTCACCAGCTGGTCCAGAGTTTCACTCTGGTGGTCTACTTAGCCCATTGCTCCACCCATAAGTACTAAATTGTGATGGGGTAGAACTACTCACGATTGATTGACATATTGGCCACCGCTGCGCCATACCCGCGATGAACGATCTACACGTCTGCAAGTTATCCAGGGCTGCTGAGCTGGCTTCTGGATCGCTGGCTCGGCTGTAGTAAAAATGAAGCGTTGCTGCGATGGCCGCAGCATAGGCGAAAAACGGATCGGCGACATCGAGCTCGTTTTCAGTAGTTAAGGTGATGATATGCGTAACCCACCTACAGTGTAGCATCGCGATCTCTGCCGACTGTTTCCAGAATATGTTCGGGCCCTGTCGGTGCTGTGATTGCTTCTGGGAGTACAAAAATGGATGATTGAGGACCGAGTGGTGAGTGTGATAGATAATTTGTGTACTTAGCCACGGCATCCAGAAAGACTTGTTAGCCTGTAATTCAGACTTAGAGCGTTCAGACAGCCTTGAAGTGCCGTAGCGCACGAACGTTGGTAGCTTGCATTCGCAATCGAGGAGACATGAATTGATCAACGTATACTCGGAGTCGGTAGCCCAAGGTGATTTATTCTGGCCGTTGGCACAGCTCCAGACATATGATCTTACCGAAGACCAGATATACATCTGCTGGATCATGTACGACCAAATTCCGATGGCTTTTCCATTCATCTCATCATAGGATTCAAGAGGCAATAGCTGGCACTGAACGCTCGTCTTCTGCGACATCCCAGCTATATCCAGATATCGCGGACTTTGGAGGTCATCACCAAGAGAAGGTATCCTGGGTTGCATTCCAAAGAGCTGGTCGAGGATAAGGACGCTCCAGCACAGCTTCCTTTGAGACTCGAGGACATCGGTACGTTCTGTCGCCGATGCAACATCTAAACCTGCGCACTGGAGAAGGCTCTTTGCAAGAGACACATGAAGACGAGCCACGTGTGTGTCCTTTACTAATAATGACTTTCAGCTCGGTCGCCGACAAATGTTCACGGGAGCGGTAACTCACAAACAAAGTTTGCATACGCCAGCAAGCAAAGCGACTGTAGTGTCGAGATTGTCACTTTACCGCTCGCGATCCTGAGCATGATCAGTGACCGACATGCGTCAGCATACATCTCCGGGGATTTGGCGGAGGTTTCAAGCTCAGTATCACGGTAAATTTGAGCAGTGAGAGCAAGTATCGAAAGCTTGAGCTCTTCACAACAACTCGTCGGATCTAGTTCGTGCTCAGAGTCAAACAGCCATAATGGCTGACGGTGGCAGAAAGAGAAATATGCTTTGATGGCTTGATACATATGGCGCTCGCTCGGGATTAAGCTTTAGATTCTTAGTGACAGAACTGCCGAAAGGATTTATTGCCATACCTTTCGTTGGAGTCTGTGTCTTGCTCATCCATAGGCACAGAAGCCGGACGGGTAGTATCGCCCTCCACGCCTAAAGAGTGGGGAGTGTCACTTTGTGTCAAGGATGGTCTAGGTGCTAGGTTAGTCATGTACTGTAACAGGATGGGAAGGACTACTGGGGTCTGTCCATCATCATCTCCATCTTCTCCTCCAGCTGTGCCAAGCGATTCTCCTACATCTCATGAGCAGCGTTGCTTAGAATCGGTGGGAGAAATATACCAAGAAGCGTGTGTGGCTCTCATGATGAACATTCCCATCCACGCTGGCCCGAGAGTACTGACACTGTTGCTTGAGTCGTGCGCAGCTAGAGCAGCGCGGCTTTTCGCCAGGACATCTTGTTTTCTTTCGCCTTGGAAAGACACAATCAGTGAGTGCGTTTAGGAACAACGACCCACCTTTATTGATAGACGTGGACCATACCTGCAATTCTCGCACGCCTGCAAGACGCGTTTCGTGATTCGGTTCTCCAAAGAATTGGACATGTGTCATCGAGATTTCGCTACACCAAGTCAAAGGCACTCCTAGGTGATACGTTGTAAATTACGTTGTTGAGCCTGAAGTAGCTGAGGACTGTGTGAGGTTGGCACAGGGTTGTGGTCAAGTGGCTAGTTAGTGGCACAGGTGGATCTTTAAAGATAAGGGGGTTGTGATAATAATGATAACCCCGCAATTGAACCGCCAAAGCATCGTCATTTAGGCCACGCTTTACCCGTAAATTGTTGCTATTTACGTGATAGGAGCCGTCTCGGCCCCGTAAGTAACCACCTGGGTAGATGAGCCACTAGGTATTCATGCATTTCGGATACGAAGTACCTCGCCACTCCGCCAAAAAAGGAGCTCCCTCTGGTCAGCGATATGTTTTGAACCAAGGCGAATGTTTTTGGAGCATTAGCTTTTCACAACCACTTCTGACTTTAGCATTGGTTGAATGGGCATTTGATTACAACTACATAGGCACCTGAGGTTCAACGTCTATGGCTCAAGGTAGCTGACTTGTGCAGTAGAGGGGTTTAGCACACGCGAGGCATGCTAAATGGTTACCACGCAAGTGCTTTCGACTCTGGGGCACAGCTTAGGCCAGAGCAAAATGCCTCATCTTCGTCTGCTGTAGATTCGACAGGTGGAGCCGCAGGCCAAATCTGGGACTTCAGCTTCTCTTCCTCTTTTCGATGCTCATAAATGGCTTTCCTGACCAGTGATTGGAAGTATACAGGACCGGATTCGTAATCAGGGTGCAAAGGCCCATTTTTATAAATGCCGGCTTCCAAGTTCTTTTGAGTTTCATTGCACAGCCATTTGTCCTCGGCGAGGACTCTCTTGAAAAGCTGATCAGTCTTATCAAATGCTTCCGGATCGCCACCTATCTTTCGGTATACCTCATACTCCATCGAACAGGTTGATACTGACGTGGGGACGCATCTCATCATATAAAAGAAATCTGGTCTTCGTTTGGTAAGTTGAAAGCATCAAGAGCACATAATGTGGAGATGCAGGAACTTACGTTACTGTCATGCAAGCATTGGGAAAGTAATAAGTGCTTGCCAGTTGAAAATCCCCATTCAGGCCGTCCTCCTGACGCTTGTTATAGTGTTGAAGGTGACCGACATTGCCTTCAACTCGATATGCCTCAATTTCAACCAACCCAGCAGTATCAGGGTGCGCCGTCCGGCAATGAAGGCATTCGTTATAATTGTCTGCCAAGGTTTTCCAGTTGTAGTCTCCTTGCATTCCCCATGAATGGTCATAACGATAATGTGAAAAATCAAACCCTGAAAATCGCTGCTGCTGGTCGACCCCGTCCAGTTGTTCGTCCCAAGAAGTCGTCGGCACCTTGGAAGCCTCAAGGTTGACCCACACAAATTTGAGCTGGTCGACATGAACATGAACAGGAAGTAGACCGGTCTGGTCTTTATCGAAATTCGAGAATGTCTCGAAATGTGGAGCCTTCGCGAGTTTCCCATTGATACCATATGACCATCCATGGTACTTACAAGCGAGTATCTTTGCATTGCCTTCATCGTTGTGGAGTATGGGAAAGCCTCGATGCCTGCAAATATTATGGAAGCCTCTCAGAATACCATCCTTTCCCAAGCATAAAAAGAACGAGAAACCGGCTTCTGTGATACGAACATAATCTCCAGGTTTCTCAAATCGATTTTGGTGTGTAACCAAGATCCATTTCTTGGAAAATATGGCTCGACGCTCAAGTTCGTACATCTCGGGGCTTCGGTACCATGATGCTGGAAGCGAACGTTTTGAGGTGGGGGCATCGTTAGCTTCTGTTCCATAGCCTAGAAAGCGTTTCAATGTGCCTGCCATGGTGAATAGATCCAGATATCGCTCGCGCACGCCCTTCTATTTGGTGAACACTGGTACGATTTGCGCTTCTGAGTTTGACTTGATATACCAAACCAGCAATTGTGTCGGGAATACTGTTTTGGCCATCTAGTCCAGCCACGCAGGGCAGAGGCAGATAATTTGATAAGAAGGGAGGCTTGAACGATAAGCAAATAGCCGGCCCTCTTTCCGTGTGATCTAGAACGAGTCTCTGGCTAAGTTTGAATGCAATCGATGCAAAGCAAGGCTCGGTCCAACCGTGTCATGTGACCGGCTGACCCGGTTGACGGCCAGTGGAGGTAGGTCCGCAATCCGATCGCGTGAATCCTCTGGGGTGAGGCGGATACCAAGAGTGTAGAAACCTGGGGAAGAACCTTGCCTACGACTGCGCGGCCGACTTGACTAATTGTAAGAGTGGGCGACCGGTGTAGAGATAGCAAATGCTCCTTCACTAAGAATATGAGCCGTTTTCGACTCCAGAAAAGTGTTATTAAATTATACTCTCTTCGAAGGACTCGCTATGCGCTCTTGCTAGCTACAGTCAACAGGAGTTATTCGGCATTAAGTCCCAACTCAACAAGTTTCGTTTTCAGAACATGTATATTCTCCCCCCTAATTGTTAGAGTACCAAGTATTACGGTACCCTGCCGACTTACTTTCGGGCACCCACTGACGATGAGCGAGTTCCGCACCCCAAGAGCTGTATCTGAGTGACAAGCAAGCAGTAGCTGAGGTCTCCGATGTATCGTGCCTAGACAAAGGTGTACGTATGATGTTGAACTCAGCTGAGAGATAGTTAAGTTATGAAAAGGCCCGAGCGAATGGTTGCTTGTATGCGTTGTGCAACCAGCGAGGATGTAGACTATTCAGGCAGCGGATTGAGATAGTGGCAAAACTTAACGAGCTCCGGAGGATTTGCATAAAATCTGAGGATCATTTGTTGTAATTATCAATACTAGATACCTAGGCTAGAAAGTCTAGATACTTTGGGGGCTTGCTGCCTCGAGATGGCCAGGACGAGCAAGAAAGACATCAAGTATTTTCGTCCTCACGGCGCACCATATGCTGAAACTCTCTAGCTCATCGGAATTTTCGCTAACAGTTGCCACATTGCCTCGACTAGCCAGGGTACATAATGATGGCGCTAGCCCCGTGTCCCTAGCAGAGGTCTTTTCCATAAAACCACCCGAAATCTAAGGCGTTAAAGACGCTCTAGATACTTTGTCCATTCTGCGGTTCGTATGGGAAGATTGCTGAGACAGCGGCCATGACGGCAAAGAGGGCCGCACAGATATACACTGGCACTGGAGTTGACGTGTCGGCATAGGTCGCAACAATCGCTGACATAATGCCCATGATACGATTTAGTGCGACCGCTGTGCCATTGCCCGTTGCTCTGTGGCCAGAAGGTAAAACCTCTGGACTGTAGGCATAGAGAGTACCGTAGTAGATGTTGATGGCAAATGAAACGATGCAACTGAAGGCGATGTTTTGGTCATCATTGCGAACGGAAGTGTAGGCGAAGAAGAACACCACTCACGGAAGTTGTTAGCTTTTGCCCGTTAATGCGAAACACCAACATCAACTCACTCGTAAGAATGGCTCCAATGACCATAGTATATTTCCTTCCAACTCGTGGTATTTTGCAGAGGTAACCAGCGACCAAAGGACCAAATATAGCACTGAACTGGGCCAGAACATAGTTGCGCCAGGTGATATATGCTGACGTTTCTCCAAATTGTGCACCTCTGCTGCTCAGGTACTCAGGAAGAAAAATATAAAACAGAGGATAGGCAAGGCCTATAAGCGTCCATGATAACCAGACCAGTGACGTAGATATTCCTAACTTTCGAGTTGCAAAAAGCCCGTTGTAATGAACCATGATCTCATTAAAGGAGAACAGGTTCTGTGAGTGAGCTGTTGCGACAGCGCCATGGCGCTGAAGCTGTTCGACGGTTAGATCACAAGGTCGTCCATACTTCTGAGCCAGATCTTGAAGACCCTTAACAACCTTCTCATCGTCGCCTCTGCAGACCAAGAACTTCGGAGTCTCATGGAAACGAATGACAGTCACCCGAGCAATACTCATGCAAAGCACGAGAGCACCAGATGTGAAGTAAAGGTAACGCCAGCCCATGTTCTCAGATCGAGGACAATCATCAGCCGATGTGCAGCTGAAATTAGCTACTGCCAATCAGTAACAACTCAGCGCAGGGAAACATTGGAGGCTTACGAATGAAAGCCCAGGCCAACAGGCCAGCAACTGTCTGTCCGATTCCCCACCAGACCGCCATCAGGGTAACAAGCCACTGGCTCTTTGCAGGTAGATACTCCAAGAAGACAGTCGTGTCCAAGACAAGATTTCCACCAGCACCAAACCCAGTAATGGCGACGAACGACGTCCAGGTAATGAAGTTAGGCGATGCTCCGGCAGCGATTGAGAACACAGCGGCAATCAAAAGACTCAGGTTAAAGGCCCACTTCCTTCCCATGATATCGGCACCTGTGCGGCGACACGATAGTTAGTCTAGAGTCAAAGAGCCGTGGAAGATAGTGCACCGACCTATGCCCCAAAAGAGAGCGCCGACAAGGAGTCCGACATATAGGGCGATGGTCCCACCTCGGGCGTAGGATGGCTGGAATTCGAGAGCGACTTGGCCCGCCGTGATACTCATAAGAAAGGCTAACAGAGAGTCAACGGCGTATCTAGGTCGGTCAGTCATTTCATCGGTAGGTAAGCCAAACTCCACTCACCCAAACCCATTCAAGAAAAACAACTTCGTATGATAGGTCGTGAAGCCGATTTGGTTGATAGCCTTGCTAGTCGTCAGACAGAACTCCCCAACTTGGAGATGAGCATACATCGTTCACAATGTGCATCTTCGCTGCAAGAGCTGGATCCACTCCACCAATGGAGATCATGTCCCCAGTTGTCATTGTTTGTTCCTGTGCGGATTCATCTTTGGTGTCCATGTCGTCGTCCACCCGAGGAGTCTTCTGTTCGCTTTGCACCACCTGCATTATTGGTGCATTCCAGAATGTACGGGCTCTGCTTCAAGGAGAGGTATGACTTAGGTCTAGAGCTTGCTTCCTGGAAAGGGGGCAAGCTTGATATATGTTTCCCCAGAGAGTCGTCAAGGATCCAGTTAATTGGAGAAATGACTGGCAAAACCACGACGCGAGGCAATTATCTTGTGACGAACCTTGATTGGTGCCCGCTGATTTGGTTTCTGCCCTTTATCTCCTAGCGAAAGATTAATCCACTCCCACGGTGGGGATATACGACTGTCGGGCCGTGATACAGAGGAGGAGGAAGCATTTCGGCTTGCTCTCCCGGTCACGTGTATCCAGCCTTCCTAGAGGGAGCGCAAAATGATAATCTGGATTGAGACTCACAGGTCATATCCTGAGTCCTCGTTTGATCGGTGTAAATGGACAACGGGCCGCAACATTTTATTATCAGCTCAGACTTTCACTCAACTGTTAAGCTTGGAGACGCGAACCCTGCCGAGCTTTTGTCGGAAATGGAGGAGTCGACTATGGTTGTTGGACCTGGAATGCTCCGGTTGTTGATGACCCCTGCCTGCGACTGCGTGGTCATCGAAATATCACTGTGCCAGACCGCTGACCTGCTCCAGTGCCAGAGGGGAATAGTGCCGATGTATCACGGGTCATCAGGTGTGATTGCATGGATCCATTCTATGCTAGAATTGTGGGAGAAGCGCTACATGAATAGGCTAGCGATCCGTAGGGAGACTATTACCACAAATAAGGGTTTGTCATGTCTTCGCGAGATGAAGATGATACAATCATCCTGAAGTGCAAGAAGGTCCTTAAAAGTCAGAATCACCCAGCGGGATCTTACTTTTGATGGCGGGATAGAAGACGCAGGCGGATAATTCAACCATGTGGCTGGTTGGGCGAAGCTGCTGGTGAAAGTTGTCGACTAGCAGTCCGTTGTTCGGAAGCGGGTGTCTGGATGATAAGAAGTTCAAGAGGAACATGGTAATCGTTGTTCCTCAGTGGTTCTATCAACAGGGGCGTCGGGACCAGTGGTGATGTCTTACATGGCGCTTCGATGCTTGTACGCAACTGGCGCTTGAACGAATCGGCTCGTAAACTTGAACTTTGCCATGTCGTCTTCGGACAAGCTGGTTAGTTTCATACAGCTGACAGCACACGAGGCCACTGCATTGTCCAGCATGCCAGGGGGAATCGACTTTGACCCTGTATCTTCGTTTTCCCACCCACACCAGGTACATTTGCTGAAAATTGCCCGACTTAGCCACGATTTTGAAAACGAAACTGTCAACGAGAACGGAACGACCATCTCCTCTCCCAAGCTGAACTCTGATAACGCAGCTTTATTGTTCATTCTAGATGATGCAACCGAGGCGTAACGACAAGTATTCAGATATTTCCTGCCTGTGTTTGCGATTTGGCCTTGTCTGAGGCGGCGTCTTTGTTGGTATCTTGTACGTCAGCCTGAAACTTTGTTGTTGATAATCATCCAACCATCGAAGGTCTACATATCGTAGCTGCGGGTGCTGGGCAGCAAGTGATCCACGTATCGAAGGAAAGAAACACCAATCCTTTGCAGTGCGAGAGTTAGCACAGCTCCAAAAGGGAGTTTGATAACACAATAGGAAGGAGAAATTATGTCAAGAACGGCAGACAAGACCCCAAACAGAATCTGCAGATGAGATGGATATCACATCGAAATCCCGTCTCTCAATAACGAAATAATCCTCGTCTTTGTCGTATGCCCATAGCGAATCGTGAAGGATGACGAAGCCATCGACCAGATCACAATCCGGGATATCAGGATCCTGCTGTGCGGTGTCATCGCGTGGGAAACACTCCGGAATACTCCACAGATCATCCTCAAAGCCTGGGTAAACAGGAAACATGTAATCACGCTCCTCGCTGAAGTCATAGACTGAATCGATATCATCCAGATAAGAAATATCGTCCGAAGCGAAGGCCGTCATTTTGCCTCTTAACTTGGTGCCCCTCCCCAATGCTCTTTCTTGGTATTTCCACGACCGCTTCTCACGTTTCTTCTTCCCCATATGGTGACGGCGGTCTAGAGGCCAAATATTGAAATCTCTGTCTTCCCACATATCCCTCTTTGTATAGACGCGAGGTCGTGCGTCTAGCCTGGAAATTGGAAGACTATTATTCCAAAGAGTCACAGAAGACCGCCAGACAGGATCGTATGGTTGTCCTATCCAGTTTGGGTCAACACCACGGAAACCATAGTATTTCGCGGATCGTTTGGAGATGCGGTTTTGGGATCGTTTAAGGGAGCGAAGGTCCTTATAAGCTGCATAATCTTCTCCATGGTCGTTTGCAATATCAATCAGGGGCTTATCAGAGGCCCTACATGATGATTTATTTGATGACGCCATTTGGGAGTGCTGCTGTTCCTTCTGGGTGATATGTCCGGGCGCAAGCCCCTGTTGGGCCAATCGAAAAGTTGCCCCAGACGAGTTTGAGATTTTGTTTTTATGGTTTGGAATAGTCCTATGAGCCTTATATAATGCATATTGCATTTCAATAGCTCAAGATAGTTAAACACGAGATGGGTGACTCATTGCGGAATCTTGATTGAGCTTCAAGGGAGGTCTGGGGGCCACGAATCTAAATGGCCATGTGATTGGCTGGCGGTGTGGCCTTCAATGGCTGTGCAGATTGTGGCCCAGTGTTGTTGAAGACCAGAAACCACACCCTCCAGTCTAACTTGTGAGGGTTGAAGACAGATCTATCGAGGTGTGCTGAGCTTGGTATAACATTGCATCAATCAGTATCTTACTAAAATCTGTTTGGTAGTGTGCCATTAAGAACATCACACTATTTGATGACAAGTCGAAACTCACCTCAGCTCCGACTGCGAAGTCCAGCACGGCGAGGCGGGTTGATCTGAGGAGGGTCCCCACTGCTGTCAGCCACAACAGGGATAATCCTCGAAGCTTGCGTCCGCGCCTTCGATTTTGGTTTGGGCTTTGCTTTCTTCACTCCGTTCGATGTTTTGGACTTTAGGCCTGTTGACTTAGCTTGATCTGCCGATAGCTTTTCCACAATGCTTCGAACCCTTTGATCTCTAGTTTTTGCGGAAGCCGTCTGCAAGCGCATAAGGATTGAGTAGCGATCAGTTCTCGTCATGCTTTCGAAGAACGCAGTGGCAGCTGGGTCAGCACTCAAAGCGCTTGCCAGATCATCAGGTGTTGTCATAGTGGCTGGGCCTGCGTAAGCTCGGTCCCAGCGGCCATCGAGTTTAGCAGCCTCGACAGCTGCAATGCCAGCAGGTCGCATTCGACCTTCCGTCGTCAGCCTTGCGACTGTATTGACGTTTTTCTGCGACCACATGCTCTTAGCACGGCGAGGTGTGAAACGTAGCAACCACCAGCTGTCATCGAAGGGATTCGCGCGCCCATCTATCCAACCGAAACATAACGCTATCTCAACCGCCTCGGCGCCGGATATGGAGGGGATCCCAGAGGACTTTTTCGCAAGTTTAAGATGAATACCAGCAGCAGTAGTGTGCTCCCGCTCGAGAAACGCTTCGAGGTCGGCGGCAGAAGAGAAGGCACGGATAGGGAGATCCGTAGGAAGTAGTTTCGCAGTTGTCTGAGACTGAGCAGGCATGGGAAAGGAGGACGCCCTTCGTCTTGACGCTGGGTTACAGATCTGAACTCGAGCTATATAGCCTTGACTCTGCACACGCAAGGATTGTGACAAATGTGTTAGATAGAAGCCGCCAAATATTTGGGCGTATCTTGAAATGATGCCGCCACTGCAAAAGAATTGCTTCGAGTAGGGCATGGGAATGAGTGATACCAGGGATTTACGAGAAGACGCTCATTTCACGAGTCGCGACGACGCGTTGCGGGGAGAGCATTAATTGGAAGCCCCGAAAAGTCCCCATGTCGTAGGTAAGTTTAAGCGCCTCAGCCAGTAGCAATGGGTGTCTCGGGTCTCCGGGCCCAACCAAGGATCACCCGGCTGGAGCCTCCGAGGTCCTGGGGACTTGTCTTGCTGGTCTGCACTTGCTCTCAAGTATTCCGATTTCTGGGATTTATCCCTGCGACCATGCGTCCCGCTATTTGACGGGACAACTTGACCAATACACCCTGAGGCTCACAAGCATTGTGCTGCTTGAGAGATATATCGTCATGAGTCTCCAAGTCAATAGCATTCTCTGACGTCAGGGGACCTGTGCCTGCCTTGAGGAATGGTATTCTATGACATATTTGACCATCTCAACCAGTGAGTAGTGACGAGAATCGCAGAAACATAGCCTTTAACTTGTCATCAATATGGTCAAGGTGGCAGAGAATCGCGTGATTGATCTTGACGTCTTCCCTGGTGATCCAAAAGGTGACCAACTTGCAGAGCAAACAAGGTAAGCGATTATTGACCACCTAGTTCCCCAGGCATCACTTTGACAGTGTAAAGGGCCGCCGTCTCAGGAAAGCTTCCTCAAGAAGGAGCCCAAGGCGTTTCTGCCAATTCACAAAGCGCAATCACTGCACTTGGTGGTACTGTCGGAGGTGGTGTGAAAGGCGTTGTTGACACGCTTGGAAATACTGTTGGAGCATTAGGTGAAGGGGTAACGGGTACTGTGCAAGGCGTTGGTGACGGTGTTGGAAGTACTGTTCAATTCGCTGGTGGAGCAGTAGGAGCTGGAGCAGGTAAACTCGGCAACATGTTCACAGGAAGTAAGCAAGGCCAATGTGAGACCACCAGGACGACATGAAGCTTGACGTGTGGAACTGACTCTGTCACAGCTGAGGCCATGAAGGACCAAAAAGCGAATTTGAACGCAGAATCAAAGAAGACCGAGGAAATTGAATCCGACATTCCTACTTCGGTTCAAGAACACAGTAAAGATGCTAATAATGCGGCCAAGAACACTCCGCAGAAATCAGAAGGTCTCGAAGACCAGGGAGAAGATAAAATTGCAGGTGTATCTTCGTCCTCGTCTTGATGGATGGATTAGAGCCATACCATCCCCCCGATGGAAAGTGGTCTAAATAAGTCGACCTGACATGAGTATGTAGGCAAGATTGTCTATGTTATCACTGGCTACTACTTGGACTGCTGGTATCGTAGACCTTCTTGCCGCCAAACCATGTTTGAGTCACCCTGTCCTGCAAAAGAGTATGAGGTGACCAAGACATGTCCAAGACGACGAAGTCGGCCTTCTTCCCAGCTTCAATCTTCCCTACTAACTGGTCTGCAAAGCATGAATATGAAGCTCCTAATGTTGCAGCGGAAAATGCATGTAAGATAGGCAACGCCCAATGCTCGTTGAAAGTCTCCTCCGACTCCGGCTCCCTGGCTGATTTCCTCGTGGTCGCAATGTACAAATTCTGCAAGGGCAAATTTGGTGCTGTGGGAGCATCGGTACCAAGAGCTAGTGTGACTCCCTCGTCGAGAAACTCTCGATATGCAAAAGCTCGCTTTCTCCGTTTGACCCCAAGTAGCGAGTCCCATTCACGTGTAATAGCCGGATCAGCATGAACAGGTTGTACAGACGCAGTGATGCCATTCTCCTGGAGTCGTTTGGCATCACCCGGAGAGGTGAGCTCCAGGTGTTCGATACGATGCCGTCGACCCTTCGAAGCAACCGATTCGAGCACATCAATTGCTAATTTCACAGTTGCATCCCCAATCGCATGAAGCGCACACTGTAGACCAGCACTATCTGCGCGGGCCACGACGTCGGCCAGCATATCTCGGTTCCAGAGAGGCTCGCAAGAAATACCGTTTCTTGAGTATGGCTCTAACAACGACGCTGTGCACGCGTCGATGACTCCGTCCCCGATGACTTTGATCCCAGCGATTCGGAAACCTGGCGAGGTTTCCAGATTGAACTCCTTCCACAGTTCTATAGCGCGGTCGACCTGCCGGAGATTCTCTTCGGTCGTGTTCGACGGGGCAATCAACCAGTGAGCAGCTATTTGGATAGTCAATTCTTCTTTTGACCTGAACTGCAGTAAAGCCTCCCAAGAATTTTCATCCATCGCCATCTCCACAAGACCTGTGTAGCCAGCTGCATTGTAGGTCCTGACCGCTTCACGGATAGCGCTTTGCTTCTCTTCCACGGACGCCACTTTGGCTAAATGCGGCCAGACAATTGTGACGGCAGCAGCTTCACTCAACAGCCCTGTCGCTTTCCCTGTTTCATCCCTATGAATCTCTCCACCTGCAGGATTCGGCATGTCTTCAACGCCAAGTTCTTTGATTGCTGAGGAACTGACCCAGGTGGAATGTAAATCCTTGGAGTCGATGTAGATTGGTCTCTTCGCGTCATCGAGGTCATCAAGATCGCTTGCAAGGGCTGTCCCATCAGTCATATAATGCATCCAGCCACGACATAGTATTCGTGACCTCGTCGAATCCTTTCTGGCCGCCTCCCGGATAGTGTTGCGAATATCTTGTAGTGATCTGCAATGCTCAAGGCTGACTTTCTGTAGTGAAGTGCCGAACATTAAAAGATGCATGTGTCCATCGAAGAAGCCGGGTGCTATGGTTTGGGCACCGACGTCGTACACTCGCGCTCCATCTTTGACGGCAGCGACAACTGTTTCATCGGTTTCAGTGCCTACATATTCAATTAATTCGTCCTGGATAACAACTGAGTTATGCCGAAAACTTTCAGCTGCTGTCTCTGCCAGCCCAGTGAATATTTTCGCATTCTTAAAGACTGTACGCATTGTGGCACGCGCTCTTAATGTTACCGGGCGGAATGGAATTTACTGTCCATCTCAGACGTTTTTAAGACACAATTTGACCTGGGCAGGAGGATTGCTACTCATAGTGCGTCGAAGCGAGAAATATATTCTTGTTTGAACCCCCACTTACTTAGTCCCGACCTCGGTCACTGATGAAGTTAGCCTATCCTTTAGCTATCAGAACGTTACGAGCAGCCACACTCCAGCCACAGAGCCGCGACGCCACAGCCCCTTTGGCGGCCTCGAATCGGAACCAGACGCTCTCGACGTCTGCAGGTGTATCAAAATCCGCTGAAAATGTCGAATGATCATCACAATATCAAGGCCATGACCAAAGCGGATCTTCTTCGGAAGACGCTGCTATTGAGATGGGTTTCTCCTCACCATCCATCATCTAGACCACCTGGTCGGATAAATCTGGCTAAATTCACATTTACGCTAGTCGACTTTCAGCATAATTCCAGAATCATGGGGGTATAAGTATCTTGGTGTCAGGTCATGAGGTCAAATTTGTCGTTCGGGGAGAGATTTACTGGAATCCGCTGAGACCACCAGTGCCATATTCCCCAGATCTGAGCCCAGAAAGGCCATCCTCGTATTTGACCCATAACCCGGGCAGAAAGGCACATCAAGGCGCTTGATATCTCAAGCAAATATGGCCCACGAACCATTGGTCACCCACATTTATACGGCGGATCCGTCTGCGCATGCGTTCGAAGGAAAGATATATGTCTATCCATCTCATGTAAGGTCATATCTAGAAACGAAGAGAAATTTAATCTCTTGCGATCATTCCTTTAAGGACAGACGGGTTCGCACCGACACCACGACTAACATTGGGGCATCTAGGATCGGGAGACCGACATCCAGTTCAACGATAATGGCGACCAATATGACATGGTCGACTACCATGTTTTATCACTCGAAGAAATTGGTGGCAAAGTCACCGACCATGGGGTAGCGCTAAAAGCCGACGACGTCCCTTGGGTCTCGAAACAGCTTTGGGCACCCGACGCAGCATTCATCAACGGCAAATATCATCTATACTTCCCTGCACGCGACAAGGAGGGCATCTTCCGCATCGGCGTCGCCGTGAGTGATAAACCAGAGGGACCTTTCACTCCCGATCCCGAGCCGATTCAGGGCAGTTATTCGATCGACCCGGCCAGCTTTGTCGACGACGATGGCCAGGCATACCTTTACTTCGGAGGCATCTGGGGCGGCCAGCTACAGTGCTGGTCAACAGGGAAATTCGAAGACTCACAGTCTGGCCCCCATGAACCAAAAGGAACTGACGTACCGGCACTCCTTCCTCGTGTTGGGAAGCTGTCCCCAGACGGACACCAATTCGCTGCCGGTGTGCAGGAGGTGCAGATTGTAGATGATGCAGGGAAGCTTCTGGTTGCAGATGACCATGACGGTCGTTTCTTTGAGGCCGCATGGATGCACAAGTACAAGGGCAAGTATTACTTCAGCTACTCGACGGGTGACACCCACTATATCGCCTATGCGGTGGGAGACAACCCATTGGGCCCCTTCACATATGGTGGACGGATTCTCGAGCCTGTTGTTGGCTGGACGACCCATCATTCAATCGTCGAGTTCAAAGGGAAATGGTATCTGTTCTACCATGACTCGAGTCTGAGCAAAGGTGCCAGTCATCTAAGAAGTGTCAAAGTTAGGGAAATTGTATATGACGAGGATGGTAAGATTGCTCTGGCAGAGAAGCAGTAGGCGGTTTAGTGAAGATTGGGAAACGATACGTTCCGAGAAAAAGTAATGTATTTCAGCTGGTATATGTGCAAATAGGATTTTAAGATTGACAACATTTGAATGTTGCTAAGTATTTGTTCACTAATGGAAGCGTAATTTAGTGACACAAAGTAATCCATTGTTCCAAGACACTTTCCATGTCCGCCGCAATGCCCCATTGTGCGTACAAGCACCTGAACAGTTTGTGCATTGAATTTAGTTCATACAGCAGATTTCTGGAAGTTGTTCCAATTGGGCTTGCCGGTGAGTTTCCTTGGATATATTTCGTTGTTTCCGTCTCGTGCAATGATATCTGACTGGAGGCTGACAACTCAGAAAGTGAAAGGTAAGAATTGGTGGTGGTTTGCCTCCCACTCGAAAGCACATCTTGCCAAACCACCGTGCAAGGTATTTGCATGACTGGATGACCGGCAAGAGTGAAGACAGAATAGACCGTCGCGGCTGAGAAGAGGGCGCTGGGCATCGTTATTGCGTGAGCTCTACCACGGGGAAGCTGCTCAACGAGCTCTTGAATCGCCATAGCGTGAAGCACCGCGCTTCGTGCTGCAGAGGTGGTCACCCAACTCACTAAGTCGATACTGTGCTTTGACTGGTCGGCGTTACGCCAGATATGTTGCGTGATGTTGTATCTGGAGCAAAGAGTTCTGCAGAGAAGGGAAGAATCAACGATCGTATTTAAGCATATAGAATGCCAGCGTAGGATGGTTTCGAGACGATCGTTGGAAGACAGGAATGAATTTGTTGTGATACCTTCATAGACCTGACACAGAGCATGCCGAACCTCAGAACGAGTGGGCACGCCAACTGCAGTCTCCTCAGTATCGTCATCCGATACTAATGACTGAAGACCTTCCAAAATTACCTTGTAAGAAAATGCGGAGAGTGCTGTGTTGATCCAACGCTTTTCGAGGGTGGGTCGGAAGAGTTGTCGCAGTATGGTTCGAAAAGAAGTCGTATCGCTAGGAGATTCTAGGCGGATGATAGAAATCCATTCGTTGGCAGTTGATGCTTCAAATGAAGCCTCGCTGCTCGGGAGGTTTAGCTGATTTGTAGCATGGCGAACTGAAGTGGGCTCGCCAGACATTTGTGATATCAACCCATCCAGCATATAATGTGCCAGCAGAGCTCGCTGTTGAATCTCTCGGGACACCCAAAGTCTCCATTGATGTTCCTTGTCGAGCTCTGGCGTGTCTAATGCCGGAACAAGCCTCAAATCGAACGGCTGACTGTCAAACATGCCACTTCGCCGGGCCCAAACGAACCCAAGAGAATGGAATGCCTGACTCGTAGTCCGAATGGCTCGATTCTTAGAGAGTGTTCCGTAAACCTGTCCCAAAACGGCGGTGATAATGAGTTGAACACCTTCACAAGCATCGTACTCTCCACGGTGTGTTATAAGAGTCTGCCATGATGTGGCAATAGCGGTGTGAGCCAGATGCCATAAGGTCTCGCCCTTTGCTACCGCGTCCTTTTGTCCCAAGTATAATGAACCGATGGCAATGGCATTGAGAAGTAAGGTACGCGCACAGTCTCGAAACACGAATGTAGCCCGATGGAGAATAGGAAATGTAGGGATGAACTTCACGAAAAACATATGCAAGCATTCATCCAAGAATACTGAAGTGAAGGAGTTGGAATTGGCTGCCATTGTAACACTCGATGACTAAGTTTTCTTCGTCAGTGCTGTCCTTGGCCCTGTTTCAATGCACCTACCAGATTTGATACCATCCTGCTAACATCTAGAACAGCTTGGGTATTGCCTCCAGATGGGATGGCTCCTATTGAAGCTGGTCTCTCGTCGAAAGAGCTTGGAGTAGCAAATGCCAGGTCACTGGGCGACGGAGAAGCCGAGACTGAGAACGGTAAGGCTCCGATGGGTATCTGCAATTGATGCGCGGCGTCTCCCGACATGAGAGTTTGGAAAAGGTCTTCAGAATCAGGCCAGATAAGATCAAAGTCTAGTGAAGTACTTTGATGCAGTGCTTGTTGTGGGGTAAAGGGCTGCGATTTATTTTCAAGGCAGCGACCGCTAGTAAGTGATGGATTCCGAACACAATTGACGGGATCCTCATTAGGCTCAGTATTTCGTAGAATACTTTCAGGAGTACCAGGGCTACACTCAGAGCCTTGTTTTGATGGTGCTTCCTGTGGCCGCCGGGTATGTAGCTTCTCGTGACGAGCACGTGAATCTTGTCGACTGAAGCATCGATGACACTCTCTGCATTGGAAAGGCTTCGCTCCAGTATCTGATTACCACCTCGTCATTAGGCGTATCCTGCCAATTATGAAATTTTCGAAACTTACGACGTCGTTCGTGTCTCTAGGTAATGTCAGCATTGCAGTAGAACAAAAGCTTTATGAATAAGAGCTCATACTCTCAGGTGCTCTCCCTTCGAAAAGACCTTCTGGCAATACTTGCACTCCATGATGGCAAAACTGTGATACCTCAGCAAGGCTTAGCGAGTGTTTTAGAGTGATAGGGAGTCGAATGATGGCGGACAGATCGTGGAGACTTACTAATGAGGGACCAGATGGCTTTGTGGGGAGCGAAAAGTTGTGTGGGGCTCGTTGTGGGAGGAGGTGGCGACTTTGAAGGCTTTTCCGGGGCTGAAGGCCCAGGCGTTCCTAGCCTTCGGCGGCACTTTCCATGGCCTCATGGCGTCAGAGATTATCTTCATCCTCAGGTCATCTGGTTATGGACGTATGCTGAGATTCGTGGTCGGCCTTACTCACGCCCAGATCGCTGGGTTCATTATTTCTCAGGCCAGGTGAAACATGTCCACGGAACAGATCAATTCAAGTACATGCACGCCTGTCTCGAGTCCGAAGTCTCGAAGAGTGGTATTGAACTTGAGTTACAATCATCGGCCTTGAAATTCAACAGCCCTTTTTACAGAAAACCTTTGATATACCACTTGGCGGCAAGTCCATGTGATATATCATCTACCTGAGTATGGCTCACCTGCGTTCCTGTTTCCTCATGTAGTTGGCGTGATATTGACATCCTGCGCCGGCATGTGGAATAAAGGTACACTAAACTTGTCTTAAGCACTATTTGACTCTGCTTTGACCAGATCCTCTGCGACTTGAACGCAATCATGACCGTAGATCTTCCTCTGTACATCGGCATCGGCCCACTTGTCTGGGACTGGACCCTTGCCGGCCTTTAATGCTGCAAACTGTTTGTCACGCTCCTCCTTAGCCTTGCCGTCCCCAAGATGCAACCCTCTTCCGGAAGCTGCAGCAAGTTCAACAAGTGTCTCAGCACGCTCCTTGCGCACCTTTTCATATTGCTTAAGTGCCTTGTTGATGTCAGAAGGCGTTGCATTATTGGGAAGGTGCGATAGCACGACTCCTAGCACGGCGGCGTCTTCGATTGCCTGAGCTGCACCTTGAGCCAGATGGGGAAGCGTTGGATGACAGGCGTCTCCCACGAGCGCAACGGATCCATGTACCCACGTAGGCAGTGGCTCATGAACCCTCAACTTCCATTCGCAGACTTCTCCCTCGGGGACAAGCTCAAGCATCCTGTGGATCATGGGACAGAAATCATCATAAACATCTAGCATGGCCTTTTTGGATCCCTTAGTCGTGTAAGTGGCTGAAGGCGCAGCGGCGAAATTGACATCTGGTTGTGTGGTGGAGATATTGTAAATCTCCTTATTGGACACGGGGTAGGCGATCAAGTGTCTTTTCTCACCGATCCAGCGTATTACTTTGTCCGCATCGATGAGCGCCAGTAGTTCTGGATCATTAGACATTTGCTCTCGGGTTAACATTATCCGGTATGCTGCTTGATTTGTGTCCTGGACATTCGCGACAACATCCAAAGCTTGGAGCATGGCAACTCTTGTGCTGGACTTCACGCCATCCGCACCAAGAAGTACATCGCATTCAACCTCGTACGGGTCGCCATCTTTCCTGGGTATTGCTGTGAAACTTGGTCGAGGACCAAACTTGATGTCTTCGCATGTGGTTGCAAATTTGAAAGTGATGCTCTTCGACTCTCGTAAGCACCCATTGTAGAGCTCTCCCGCTAATGTGGCTCGATGTCCAACCATGTGTGGGTAGCCGTAAGTTTCTCGAATGTACTTGAGATCAACGTGGCCCAGTTCACTATCTGTTGATCCCTGGCGAATACTGGTTTCATTCAAAACGACACCCTCCTTTGCAATGTCTTGCCAAACGCCTAGCCGGTCAAGTATGCGAGCCATGTTGGGTGCCATTTGAATGCCTGCACCAACAAAACCAAGACTTGATGCTATCTCAAACACTGTTATGTCCGAGAAACCCACCCGTGCAAGGGCAAGTGCGGTCGTTAAACCGCCCATGCCAGCACCTAGGATGCATATTTTCAAAGACTGAGTATCGGGATGCATTGCTTCTTTGGGAACCTTTGAACCTCGATAGTGGAAACAAAATGATGCGTAAACCCGCTCTTGTGAGAGGTCATATAGGTGCTGTCAATCCAGACCAGATCAGTTTTAGGAGCAGCGAACTTTGAATATCTATGCTCAAATTATTGTCGTTGTTATTAGACTCGAGTGACGACAAAAGGTTTACACCCTCAACTACCTTGTGGCGTTCAAATCGGGTGTCTTTAGCGGCAATTGGAAACGGGCCCTTCGTACCCGAACCCCGGCATATCTCACGAACTGTTAAAGCTTCTGGGAATGGGCCAGGCTGTTTCGACCCTCACAAGGTTATTGAGGGGTAAGATAGCATCGCCCTTTAGGCGGCAAAAGGCTTTCCCCGACTTCGGCATTGGAGATCCTGTCACCGATCTCGGCAAGGCAAACATCCTCATTGCAGTACGGGCACGCTCTCAAAACCGGTTCATTTCGATATGGAGTGCAAATAGAATAGTATGTTATTGAAAAAATCTTTTTGGAAAGCTTTGTACTTCAAGTCTAGCTTCGTGAGTCTATCGGCAATTCTATGATCGGTCTATCAGGAATGAGATGTGGATTTCATGCCAAAATGTCCGGAATCCGTTCTTGCAAATATTCAACTACCGCATCAGGGCCCTTCTCTACTTGCAACCCCTGAGGGATCGCATGTGTCTTGATTCCTGGTCGATTATCTCTAGCAATCTGCTGTATACGCGTGCTTTCTTCTGGTGTCCACATGGAGGCACAGAACTGCTTACGGTTAGATTTTCTCCTTTCAGGGCGCTAGTTCACAAGAACTTGATATGTACCAAGATATCGGGCTGCAATTCCTTAACTTTGCCTTCTACCTCGTCAATCGCTACGGTCGTCAGTCGGAGCTCTTTTGTATTCGAGAAGTGGAAGCGCAATCTTAGCAACATGGATTTGGTGACAGGGGTGTACTGACTCTCACAATTTGCCACATGCTGGATTGTATATTGCTCCTTCACGGCGTCGACAACGCGTCCAACCAGTCTCTTTGCTCGTTCGGGAGCAGTGTTCACCGTCACCAATTTGTAAGGACCTTTGGGAGACATCGATATCGAAATCTTGAGTATACGTACTGGAAGAATATACAGGAGATCTCGAGAATAGGGCGTTAGCTTTGGAAGTTCAGTCTGCGACTAGATCTAAACATCAATTAGATATTTCCTGAGAGTGGGCGACGTGGAACAGATCTATAGTTTAAGGTCGTACATTCTCGGGGACAGTTCCGTACCAGCAGCCATCAGAACAATGAGCCCGCCCCGACGAATTTCCCGACCGCGGCGGCAATCGGCTTGTTCGTGGGGACGTTGAAAGGGTGCCACAAACCTAATCACAACCGTAAACGACAACCCACGGCGTGCGACTGACATGATTTGTTACGGTGAGTCACTGCTCCATACATGCTCTTGTAGCCGAGGCTTCCAGTCGGTACCAGAAGTAGGTACCTTTAGTTATGGTCCAACCCACGTCAGCTTAATGTACAAAGCTGTTAACAATTCCCACAAGTCACTATCTACACTTAGCCTCTCTGTGGAGGTGGAATTTTGAAGATGCAATTGTCTTAGTCAATGTCCTCAGGACGACTACGCTTTATATAAATGGCAACGGATCCAGCATCAAGGGCGAAACATAGACGTCGCATACGGGCTGCACGAGCATGTGAGCGCTGTCGAGGTCGGAAGGTGCGATGCGACATCGTTCATAGAACTGGGTCATGCACAAATTGTGAGCTAGATGATGTGGGCAGGCTTGAATTATTCCTGAGCCTTCCTCATTGCTAACATTTAATGACAAGGTCCCCTGCGTGGACAATTCTAGTGTGGTCGAGTTTGCCAGGTGAGTAACAGGCAGAGAGAGGAGGCAGGCTTGCTAAATGGATTGCAGCCGCCGTGAAGCTCATCAGAAGAGACCATCTATGTCCATCCCTTCAATAAGAAACTCAACTGCATCACGGTTAAGCTTGGATGGGTCTGCTGAATTACCACCCCAGGCCAATGATTATCCCAGGAATCTCTTTCTGGCTGAAGTACCACAGACTTCGGGATCACCAGAAAGAGTCGGATTCATACCCATTGCACACCAACCCCTGGTCGGTGCCGAAGCACATATAGGTTTTACACCTTCTTCCACCCTATCATCGGCTGGGCTTGACAGGAGTACGAGTAACAATAAACGCCATTCTCCATTGCCAGAACTTGCTATCAAACCCTCACCAAGTATAGACCCAGAAGATCTCGCGTATCTCACTTCAACAGGCGTCTTCAACCTGCCACCACCATCAGTCGTCCGTGACCTTCTTGGATGTTTCATTAACTATGTGTACCCTTTATTGCCTATTTTAGATATTCAGAGCCTCCTCGAGGAGCTGGATGGACCTAGCCCTCAAATCAATCTACCTCTACTATATGGAATAATGCTTGCTGCTTCTGGTTTCGCACCCCAAGACACTGTTGAACAGGCGGGGTTCCGATCAAGGTTCGAGTGGAGAAAAGGATTGGGTCGAAAGCTCCAGGTGAGTAATAAAATCCGTACCAAAATGCAGCACCCTAATACTTGCCTCAAGCTCCTCTACGATTTTGATTATGAGTCTGATCGTCTGATAATGGTCCAAACCCTACTTTTGATGACCTACTTTCATGACAAAGTGGATGATAGCAAGCACCTTTGGCATAAAATAATCAACGCCAGATATCTCGCTCTCACAATTGGCTTGAACAACGACCTGGGCCAGGGCAAGCTAGACGATCGGAAGCGCAGGCTTTGGAAAAGGATCTGGTGGTCGTGCTATATCCGCGATCGAACTTGCGCGCTCGGTGTACGCCAGTACCCCACGATTGATATCAATGAGTGCCACTGGACTGACTTGGAGTTGGAAGATTTTGAGATCAAGTCTTTACCGGAAAGTATGTGGATCAAAACACACGAGCATGGCTTGCTCTCGGACACGGATCTTCAGTCTCATATGGCCAAAGTTTGCCTCTCCCAGTTGCAGCTTTGGCATCTCCTGTCGGATATCATGCACACGAGATTCAAACCCACGTTTCCACGCTATGGCATAACGACAGAGACGTCGCTTGTTTTGATACCAGTATCACCTCAAGCCAATCGAGAGGGAATCGAGGATTGCCAGCAAAGCCTAGATCGATGGTTTGCTACCCTTCCAGAGCAGTATGCATATCGACTCCCATCTTCACATGTTTTCGAATTAGGCCATCCATTGTTACGACTTCACGCCTGCATGCTCTGTCTACTGTACAATGGACTGCAATGTGTCTTGAATAGATGGGCATTATCGCCCAATTGTAATTTACAATCTGCCGGTGATATTGCGGCACGACAGAAGGGCCGGAGTTCGGCGAACATGATATTATCCATTTTCGAGTATTTGCATGATGGTGACATGATCCAGTACACACCTGGTTGGTCGGTCACTATTCTGATGCAAGCTGCTTTGACTTTCAAGACTGAATCAAGAGCGCCGCATTCACAAGCCGGCCGGCGGTTGCAGGACTGCACTGATGTCTTGGAATGGCTGAAAGATCACCATTTCCATGCAAACTTTGGTGTTTCGCTAATCAAAGCGTTTCTTAAAACTGCCGATGTTGTATCGACATCAAGCGGGCACGCGTCTTCAATTACCTGCGTAAGTAGCACAAGCGCTGCCACAGCACAAGAGACGCCATTGAATCCTCTCGACGACGCAACTTCTCAGCAACCATTGCCATGGACTGGCACAGATGGTATTTTGAACGACATCTCCGCAGAGCCACCTTGGTTAGCAGATTTTCTTGAACAAGAATTCTGGTCTCAGGACAACCCCTTTGAAAGCTTTTAATTCTGTTGGTACTTCATCTGAAAGGCAATTTCCTCCAACCCAGCAGTTGACCGACACTATTTCGATGGTGATACTGTATTTGAAGCACTTGCGTGGAAGATGCTTGTTCTCGAAAGCTCTCCATCTGCGAAGAAACGCCGTATGTCTTGAATTAGCAAGTCTGGGTTCGTCAGACTTGCGAAATGGCCCCCAGTCTGGTGTACGGTTCTGATCTTCACATTGCCGCCACGCCGAGCCCAGTCTAATGGCGTCCGATACCACAAGTCATATGGGAACTCGGAAATCGCAACCGGTTGATGTACATATGGTAGAAGATTAATCCCTGTCGTCGAGATTGCCCCGTCCTGGAGTCATTCGTCAGCAAACAATATCATTTGACGGTCTGGAAAAGTCAACCTTGGCACCATTTCTGTACAAGCTGAAAGCACCATATGGTCCGTTGATCCAGTGCATCATTGTCCAGGTGATGATCAAGTCTGGAGTCCAAATGCTTTGATCAGGAACTCCGGAAACTACTGAGTCATAGATCCACATGGCGAGGCCCACGGGGCTATCAGTCATTGCACCCGCCAGTTTCAGAGGGCGAGTCTGTTGGATTTGGCCGTACGCCCAACCACTCGCAACGAAGCCGCTATACAGTTCAATGAGATAGTTCTCGTCTTCGTCCGTCTCACCTCGCTTGTGTCGTTCTAAGTCATCCTCATTGGGAGGGATGATCCAGAAATTTGAATGGCCCGAGACAACGTTATGGGGAAAGTCAACGGCCATGTAACGGTTGATAAGATCACCAGCATCACCTCCTTGAAAGACATACTTGCTGTAACCCAGCTTGAGCATCAATGCATTGAAAGTCGCACCTGCTTGTCGATAGCCATAGCCAACCTTGCGAGGTGAAGGACTAAATCCATATCCAGGAATAGATGGCGCCACCACGTGGAAAGCGGGCATATTATCATCTGCTGGGTTTGTCAGCGGTTCAATAATGTTGTCGACTTCGAGGAACGATCCTGGCCAACCGTGCACGAATAGGAGCGGAATGGCATCCTGGCGAGGTGATCGGTGGTGGACAAAGTGCAAGGGGATGTGGTCTGCGTAGTTTGTAGTGGGAGTCTGAAGCACGGTGGTAAATTGCTTGAGTCTTGAATTGATATCGGCCTCCACTGAACGCCAATCATATGTGCCTTTCCAGTGGTTTGCAACGGCCTCTGCTGTTTGACGAGGCGGTCCATCTGTGAAAGGAACCTGATCCTCCAGTTCCTCCACAAAACGGGTTAATGACACCTTCAGCTTCGTCGTGTCGAGGAACTCCTGCATCACATGAACAGTAAACGGCTCGACATTAGGCGTGAAGTTAGCTACATAGCTGAGCTTCAAGTCTGTATGAGAGAAGCTCATCGGGCTGGAATGTCCAGTCAGTAAGACTATTATCGAAACGTGGCTGAGAGCACGATATAACATCTCAAGCGATGATGTACTTAATTAGGGAATCACGTACTCTGGTGGGAAGTTCTTCCTCGTCAGTATTTACTACCGGACCTGAGACGGTCCAGTGATTTAAGAGTATTTGGATCACCCAAACCTCATGCCTGCGTCTAGCTCGAAGCGTCAAGCACGACGCGTTCGGGAGAAGAAGTCTATCTCAGCAGAGCCACGACTTCGGGATTGTGTCATGACAATGGAAAGAGGGTTTGGAAACCAAATTCCACTTGGAAACGCACTTGGCAATTCGTGATCTTGGCCTCAATCAATGTGCCTTGGTAGGAAATATTAGCCAATCAAGATTCTTGCCGAGGTAGCCATCGTTCCTAGTCCAGTCATCCTCGGAAAGCACCCTGGGACGCTCGGGGATAGGGGTAGGTCTCAATGGCACATACTCGGTCCTGTTCGACGATTCCTTAATCTGTGTTCCGACCATAGCCTGTGCCCCGGCTTTGGAGCCCCATGGGGTCATGCATATGCTTCTTCTATCTTGGGGAAGATGAACTAGTTGACCTGGGGTCTTCAAATCAGTGGTCGCGTCCATTTTAGTTATCCTCGGCTAGAGAGCAGCAGTTGTAGGCTTTGTTCCCAGATCCCATCCAACGATCACTGGTGAGTATTAAAGCTAGAATGACATGGCTACATGTAAGAAGCACGTCTCAGAGTCCATTGCAAAGAAACGCAACCACCATCTTGCATTGTACTTGAGTTTCCCAAGTGTCAAACATGGCAGAAACATTAGGAGTTGAACATTCAAAGGCACGCCAGTTTCGTGCGTATAATATTCTCGTCATTCTATTGATGTCACTCGGGTCTATCGGATACGGATACAACGCGAGCATTATTGCAACAACTTTGGCACAACCGACGTTTATATCTTACTTCGAGCTCGACACACGCCCAGATGGCACAAGTCTTATCGCGACCACGAATGGTCTCTATCAAGCTGGTGGCTTTCTTGCAGTCTTTTCCGTCTCCTGGTTTGCGGATAGATGGGGCAGACGATTTGCCATTGGCATCTCAGCGTTCATAAACCTGATCTCTGGAATTGGCCTCACAGCTAGTGTGCATATCGGCATGTTCATCTTCTTCCGATTTTTGGCTGGTGCTGGAGCCTTCATGATAGTGGCTGCAGTACCAATATGGATGAATGAAGTCGTACCACCCAATGTGAGGGGAATAATGGTGGATTGCCACTGCGTGGGGCTTCTGGTAGGGTACACATCTGCAACGGTTGTTGGATATGGATTTTTCCATCTCTCCGCGGACAAGACTGGAGCCTGGAGAGGTCCACTATCTTTCCAGTGCTTACCAGTTCTCTTGTTGTTACTTGGGATCTACTGGATGCCAGAGTCTCCCAGGTGGCTTTTGGGTCAGGATCGAGTGGAAGAGGCGGAAAAAGTTCTTCACAAGCTTCACGGGCCAGAGGAAGCCAGAATCGAACTTCAGCAAATTCGCGCGGCTCTCAATGCCGACCGCCATCTCGAGAGTTCCTGGTGGTCTATGTTTGCTAAGAAAAGTTACCGCAAACGATCATTCCTTGCAATGGGCATGGCAGCTTCAATTCAGACGAGCGGAATACTGGTCGTAAACAACTATGGCCCTACAATTTACCGGTCGCTCGGGTTCGATACTAATAAGCAATTGATCTATCAGATTGGATGGTGCTGTACCGCTCTTGGAACTGGAATCATGTCATTTTTCATCATCGATCGCTTCAAGAGACCAACATTACTGTCTCTTGGGGTAGGGGGGTGTGCTTCATGCCTCGTCATCTTGTGCGCACTAGTCGGAAAGTATGCAAGCTCACCAGAAATGTTGGAGACTCCGAATACTGCGGCATTGAGTGCCGCAGTAGTTATGATCTATCTCTTGACCGCATTCTATCAGTTAGGCCTAGATGGAGTCCAATTTGCCTATCTGGGTGAGCTTTTCCCCTACCAGATCCGTGCCAAAGGTATGGTGTTAGGGATTGCTACAATTTGCGGGATGAATATTATGTGGCTTCAGACAGCGCCCGTTGCTTTCGAGCAAATTGGTTGGAAGTTCTACATCTGCTTCTTTGTGCCTGGCTTGATTGCGGCGACAATTATTTGGTTCTATTTTCCAGATACTTTGGGTATACCCTTGGAGGAGATTGCTAGGCTCTTTGGAGATCATGATGAATTTTTCAATCCGGAGGCACCTGCAGAAGAGCAGCTCAACGAAATCGAAGAAAAGCGCAAAGGGGATGCCAGTGACCATGTCGAAGTGTCTTCGGTGTGAGCAAGTGAAATTTAAGCCACACTGATGAGGATTTCTTTGACGGACGAAGTTGGTTGGCAAGCATTGCGGTGAACTGCAGGGAGTGGGAAAGAATGTGAAGCCCAGCGAGAGAGTTGTTATGTCTTTCTCCATTCTGTCGAAAAAGGGGTTCGGTATCTATTGATCCTAATAGCCATGGTAAATTTGTTTCAACGATACCCTTGACTCCATACCAGAATGCCCATGCAGCATTGTGTAGCCTTATAACTAAGAGCCCAATCTAGCACTCTACACAGTTTTATGAATTTCGATAGCTTCGAACGATGCACATAAGAATAGTGCATTCTTGGGCCTACTACTGTGGTCGCCAATTGTAACGACTAGCAATATTTCGCAGTGCTCTGTACACCGATGAGGCCTGTCAGAACGATACTGTGAAATTCGTTCACTTTTGGGTAAAGTCTAACGATCAAGATTCCAGGATCAAATGCATCAAATGTATCAAATGTATTAAATGTATTAAATGTATTAAAGGCATTCAACGTACGGGATGATTTATGGACTACTGAACATGAACACCGCCTGGTTTTGACACTGGAGAAGCGAAAGACCCGACGCATATCATCGGATGCTAGATCATGCATGCCAACAACAAATGTCCGCCACTACTGCGTCTCATCGTTGCCATATCAGCAGAAACCTCGGCTGCTTAGGTAGACGGGTATCCGAGGGTGCATCCAGTAGATGAATGACATTATTGTTATCATCGGAATAAGAGCTTAAGCGGAAGCAGCTTTCAAATACCCTCGGTAGTGTAATGTAATGCGGTATGCGTTGCCAGAATCGGTGATCATGATCTATGCCTTTTGATACTGCACTTCAAACTCTTCCTTGACATTCTAGATATCAGCTGCATGGAATCCGGGTCCCGAGAAGCAGGAATCTGAAAAATTTTAAGCGCAATACAATAAGTAGAGATCTCATCCTGTTCCTATCATCAGAGTACGAAATGTCGTCTCAATACACATCCTTTCCCACTATTCGTGGGGATCAAGTTCCAGATTATCCTCAATGCACACCCCGTCGCCTGAAAATCATCCATGTTGGAATGGGCGCTTCGGGCTTAGTGTTCGCACACAAGGCGGATAAATACCTCAAAAATTTCGAGCTTGTATGCTATGAGCGAAATTCTACCATAGGAGGAACGTGGTACGAAAATAGATATCCGGGATGTGCATGCGACATTCCAGCTCATACGTACACATTCCCTTTCTATGGCAACACGGAATGGAGTGGGTACTACAGTTATAGTCACGAAATCCAAGACTACTTTCTACGATTTGCTAAAGACTACGACGTGGAGAAATTTGCCGTTCTTAACACAGAGGTACTCGCATGTACATGGACCGGTGATCAATGGGAGATCGAATTGCGCAAAAAGGATGGCTCGGTATTTGTTGATACCTGCGATGTCTTAGTAAATGGCTCTGGCATTTTCAACAAATGGAAGTGGCCAAGCATTGAAGGTCTTTCGGATTTCTCTGGTATTGTAGCACACTCTGCAAGATGGCCACAAGATCTTGACTGGACGAACAAACGTGTTGCTGTTATTGGAACAGGATCGAGTTCCATTCAGATGGTACCCAGATTTGCAAACAACGCGAAGCAAGTTACAGTTTTCATGAGAAATCGCACCTATATTGGCCCTCAAATAGGATCAGATATCTCTAACAAGGAGGCTGATCCGGAAGCAATGGAGCCGTTGGCGGCAGGAAAGCACCATTACACTGAGAAAGAAAAGATTCGGTTTCGCGAAGATCCAGACTATCACCTTAAGTACCGCCGGGACATTGAACGAGCCGTTGTGAGTGGTTTCAAAATGTTTTACCGCGGAAGTGATGCCAATGTCGAGGCAAAACAAACAATGCAAAGAAACATGGCAAAAAGAATTGGCGATGGTCATGAGGACCTCAAAGATCGATTTATACCGGACTGGAGTCCTGGGTGTCGCCGGTTGACACCAGGGGAGGGATACCTCGAGTCGTTGGTGCTACTTAACGTCAATCCAACGTTTGAGGAGATCATCAAAATAACTTCCACTGGTATCTTGACTAAAGACGGGATCGAACATGAAGTTGACATTATTGCTTGCGCAACTGGCTTCGATATCCAGTATCTGCCGCACTTCAAAGTTATCGGACTTGGTGGAGAAGTCATGCAGGATAGCGAGCCGAATGTTTACGCGTCCATTGCATCTCCCGGTTTTCCCAACTATTTCGTGGTGAACGGACCTAGAGGAAATTGGGGCCAGGGATGTGCACTTCCGAGTCACGAAGTTCAGGTTGAGTACATCATTCAAATGTGTCGAAAGATTCAGGAAGATGGAATCAAGACCATCATGCCTAAACTAGAAGCCACTTTACAATTGAACGCGTACATGGACGCATGGCATGCTAAGAACTCGGTTTGGGCAGAGAGCTGTAGGAGTTGGTACAAGGTATGTTCTTCCTGTTCAGTATTTGGACATCCAGATTAACTAAAGACGGTAACTTTTTACAGGACAACAAACCCGACGGTAGGATACATATTTGGCCTGGGAGCCTTTACCACCACTTGAGATATATGAAAAGACCAAGATACGAGCATTATGATATCGTGTACCAGAACTCTGACAATATTTTCGCATTCCTTGGAAACGGATTGACCATCACAGAAGAGACCTTTGACAAGGACACGATGCCTGTTCCATACATTCGGAATAACGAAGACGAGCAGTGGGATATCGCATAAAAGCTGCGTGATCGGGGTAGCGAAACCATCATTACAGACTGGAGGGAGAAAGAATCCTAGAAGAGTAGTCAGTACTTAAGTCCTCAGAAGGTCCATGCAATTAAATACAGAAGGTTGATCCTTGATCCAGCTTCAATTGTTCACAATGCTGCTGAAGTCTGCCTGCCCCAGGTTAAGGAACAGGTCCGGACTAAGGTCTAATTCCAATTGACCATAGTCAAACAAGTCCAGCAGGTCACTTGGAATATCAGGCTGAGAATCAGCACTTTGCTTCGGTAAGAAAACTGTGGGATGGTCATTTGTTGCGTCAACCAGAGACGGGCGAATGTCAGAGAATGATGTCAGCTTTAATGACCCTGGAGTGAAAATGTTGCCTTCTCCGAATTCGTGTTGTTGGGTTCCAGACCCTCCAAATGTTTTCAAATGCTCCATGTACTTCGGTTCGCGATACAAATTCGCCGCGGCTGAAACGAGAAACGATTTCGCAAACAGCGAATAGCTGTGGACCTCCACAAGTGTATCAAGGAAACCCAGACAGGTCTCAAGCTGATGCCTGCTTTGGTCACGCAGAGATGCTATCTCTGTTGTTGAATCGCTCATATGAACAATCGCAGCTTGGACAATGGATGTGATTCCGGATGTAGGTAGGAGATGGACCATCTCTAGAACTTGAAGATCTTTCAAGATGGATGATATCGCGTTAGCAGCCAGGCGAGATTTGCGCTGTGAACAGATCTCCGATGCTGGAAGCACTCGCAAGATTGCTGATGGCCAGGGTCGCTGGAGGACACAAAGTAGTGTGTAGTAGTGTAGGTTAAGTAAAGCACAGTGAAATATTAGCAGATCTTGCTCCGGCCCGAATTGCAGTGATGACGACCCCTGATATCTCAAAATACTTGGAAGATCCCTATACCATGATGTGAGTTCAGAGGCGCAATTTTGTATTTCAGGCGTATTAGTGATCGAAGTTCTCGGCACAGAGACTAGGGTTCTTGTGGTTGTGCATCCAAGTCTGGGAGCTATAGTTTCATAACGGGCTTTTAGTACTTTGGAAAGCTTAAGACAAAGCTGCTGTTGTGCGATACAGACGCTTGCTAATTGGTTCTGCTGATCGATGTCGAATAGAAGTCCACAGTCCTTGAATACTGATGAGACATCGGCCGTGGGCGGCCGAATGTCAAAATCCTCGAGAACTAGATCTGGGGTCTCGCATTCATCTGCTGATATAATTGGTGGATGCCTTAGCCCTAAAGCAAGCATTTGATCTTTCATGTAACAGGACCACCAAACACGTTTCCACAAATGCTTTCGCTGAACTGGTATTGAAGCTGAAGTGGGATCTTTATTGAGACCAATGAAAACAGAAATATTGAAAGCAATTCCTATCCAATGTCGAAGGTGTTTGACTTCATCACCAGCTTCTTGCCAGCATGTCATGAGCGTTAGAGATTGAACAAGGACCAGACGGTCAGTTTCGCAATCGAAATCATATAGTAATCTTGCTCGATCAGCAAGTTGCTTCCTTAGGCCCATGCGAGAGTCGAAACCAGCTTCAGTGACATGCTCCATCTCCACAAAAGTAGACCCTGAGAGTAGTATACACTGAAACAGAAGGATACTGATCTTGCAATCCCGACCGTTTGTTGCTAGAGCTTGTAACAGGTCATGGATGTCCACCACTGGGAGCTGAGGGTGTACAAAATGAATGTAGCTTGTGATAATAGCGTTGCAAAGTTTCTCTTCTGGCACATTGAACGCTCCCTGGCACCGGAGAAACGCCTGGTGTTGATTGCATTTAGCAGAATCAATTGGAACGATAAATTTTGGAAGTCCGTCATTGATGATCTGACAGGTTCTTACATCATCCATTATGGTAGAGTGTCTAAAACTGGCTCCGGTAGACGAGCAGGGCTCGGTGCAGCTTACCGCTTCTGAATCATTAAATAGTCCCATTGCAAGGTCTGGAAAGTGATTTTCTGTACGAGGTGGGCAATGTGGCGACTCTGAATTCTTTCGAGATTTCATATCGGGAGAGAAGCTTATTGCTGTTGTGGGCGGGCTTGCGATATTTGACAGTTGAAGTGTAGGATCAAGCAGCGATTCAGCACTCTCCAAGCTCTCTTCCGGACCTTTCGCTGCTAACTGAGGTACCCTTCTATTTTTTGATCGCTTCGTCGACTTATGCTGCTCACCAGCTTGTTTCCTTGACAGTGTGTCAATGCATTCGACTTCATCCAGCGCACAATTCGTGCAACTCTCTCCTCTCAGGACGATGTCGCACCGCACTTTTCTTGTTCTACATCTTTCGCAAGCTTTTGGAGCTCTTCGCTTGAAAGCTCTCTTTGTGGCTGTCGTAATTGGAAGCATAGTGGAAAGCTCAAGGGCAACTTGACTGCAGTCTGATGATTTGTCAGGTTCAAAGTCGACGATGCCAATGGGCATTTCGGTGGTGGCTTCGGTGACCACGGTCGCGCTGTGCAGAGGCATAGACACTATTGAGAATAGAAATTACTGTATGGAGGAGAGGTTGATTGGCAAGTCCATTCTTTCAATACGATGGGTTGCGCATTATAGGTGATGTGCACTTGGGTATGTATGTTAATTTGATGACAAATTAAAAGAAAAGCGAGTTTGAATAATGCTTTCGAGCACTTGAGCGGGGCACCAGTGATCCTATGTCATCGACCTTGGAACTCTGGGTCAGGCATTAGCCTTGCCAGCAGCGGGATCCACAGCTGCCTTGTGATCTTGTCAAGGACACAGAGAATCTTAGCTGGCCTCTTCCTATGGAGAGCCAGCCATAAGCCGATCGACCAGTTTGCAAGCTTTTACTCCTTTGGTCATGAAATCTCAAAGTTCAATCATGATCGCTTTTCGAGTCGAGGATTGGGCGTCACTTGTCCGGCACTACTTATTCGAGAAGGCATAATACTAGAAAACCTTACGCCAACCCTGGGCTACTACGACACAATCAACGAGTGGAATCGGTGCCCAGTTGTGGTAGTGCGTTTTTCTAAGCACGTTTGACTTAGGTATTCCTCGAACGGCGGCCGTCATGCATATTTCGCGCTACTACTGCTTCGATGCTAAGAGCATATGAAATTTAGACTGAGGTGCGTATGCCATTCCAGGGTAGTAATGAGCATAAAATGACAACAGAACACGAACCTCGGATAAGTACACTGAAGGTCTCACCGGATGTGTCCCGAATACTGCGTTTTGGATTTATCATGCCTTGGATGTAGCAGAGGTAAAGGGAATGCGTCCGAGGCTGTCCCTCGGCTGGCTATCCGAGGTTAAGGGCAGGGCACCTGCGGAGGTAATCAGCCCACGGTCTTCCATTCCAGGAACTGGGGACGTTTTAACTTGTTAAGCCTCAATTGATACTAAAAGTGATATTAACGCATGCTTTTGGATTGCACGTAATTGGAATACTAAGCAGAAACTACTCAAGGCACGGTGACTATGAAAGCTGCTCGATATTATGGCAAGGGTGATATCAGGATAGAAGATATTCCCGTTCCAGAATTTGGAGATGGACAGTGCTTGATTGAAGTTGAGTGGTGCGGTATATGCGGCAGTGATCTTCATGAATACGTTGCTGGTATGTGCAGACAATGCATGATATCTAGTCGACATGGCTGAACCTCATCCAGGCCCCATAGGCATTCCTACCCCGGAAAGTCCGCACCCCTGGAATGGCAGCCATATTCCTGCAACACTCGGCCATGAGTTTTGCGGCCGAATCAGCAAGGTGAATGCTGGTTCCAGGTTCAAAGAAGGACAGATTGTCATGGTTGATCCACACATCGCATGCCGGCAATCAACTTGCCATGTTTGCAAAGTGGGAAAGGATCATCTTTGTCCAAATCTTGCATTTCTTGGAGGTAGTTCACTAGGAGGAGGTGGATTATCTGAATACGCTGCTGTGGACGAAGAATATCTTCACGTACTGCCGCAAAACGTGGATCTCGAAAATGCTGCTGTCATAGAGCCACTAGTTGTGGCGAGTCATGTTATTGATGTTGTGGGAAAGAGTCTAAGTGGACTTGACATTTTAATAGTCGGCGGCGGGCCGATTGGTATCGCACTGGCTTCTCTTCTCAAAGCTCAGGATGCCGCTTTCATTATTCTCAGTGAGCCGGCAAGTAGGAGAAGGAACCAAGCTTTTGATTTGCAGCTTATGCAGAAAGTGATTGACCCTCGAGCTGAAAATCTTGGTGAGGTCTGCCGCCAGGTCACTACGGGAAAGGGCGTCGATGTAGTATTCGACTGTGCTGGCATTCAAGCGGCTCTAGAAAGTGCGTTCGAAGCAATAGCATATGGAGGTACTTATGTCAATGTTGCAATGTGGGATAAACCGGTATGTTGGTCCCAGAAAGGTGATCTGTGGCTAATGTAGACAGCTGATGATCCCATTCTACACCTTTTTTCGAAAAGAGATCAAAATCTTGAGTTCGTGTTGTTACAACAAAGCAGATTTCCAGCGTGTTATGAAGCTAATGTCCGAAGGTATGTCCTGAATTACTTTCACTTTACTTGACTATTTGAGACACTCACACCGACCAAAGGTCGGCTACAAGGTTACGAAAAAATGATCACTAGTCGAGTTGCATTGGACGATGTGGTAACTAAAGGATTTGAAGAACTTGTGGCAAGGAAAGATGACCATGTGAAGATACTGATATCACCAAAGTTAGCCTCATCCGCAGCTTAAAAATACGCGGATAGACTTTAGTGTAACAGCATCCTTCTTTCGACTTTCCACCCCTTTAAGTAAATGAAGCTACCGATGCTGTCAGGTTACCAATGGTAATGCAAGGATCTGACGAGTATTCTGACTGGCTAGAACGTCGCTGATGCTGGCCTTGCTCAATTTCCATACAGCTACCAAGGGCTCAATGCTTGATTTAGACGCGACCAGTCCTAGCTAAACTCCCAATTATTGGGCATTGGAAACAAGAAGACAACATGTCCCAGTGGAATTTCTATATGTGCGTCCTCATTGCATTGCAAAGGTCTTGAGCGATTGGCAAACGAACAGCGTTTAGGTATCCGCAACCTATTCGAAATTCTGAGCTAGCTCCTCAACTAAGACGGGCTTATTAGTTTCGAGACTTTTGAACAACGCTTCTACGACTAGCACAGCTTTGACTCCATCTTCAACGGAGCAATCTGGGGCGGTTTCCCTTCGAACCGATTGCACAAAATGTTTCAATTGCCGGGTGAAAGGCGGAATGTCGTCGATATCGTGTTTTGCGTCTTCATCCTTGCTTAGGGGAAAGTTCCAATTCCGTTCGTCAGCTGGTCGATCATTATAATGATATCTCACCCTCGTGACTAGTAAGCACCGATTGATTTAAGAGCACTGACACTTACATGGAGGGCACGTCTATAGTTCCCTGGGATCCGAAAATAGTCAAGGAAGGCTTTCCAGTGACGGGAAAGTTTGGGTTCTCTCCAGTCGCACTTTCCCACGAGTTAGGTGAGACTGTCGTGCTGTAATCGAGTGGTGAATTGTCAGCGCATCTAGGCAGCTCAATGTTATAGGGGTGAACGAACTCTGATAACAAGAAGGATCCGACTACCCCGGATGAAAATCTCAGGATTGTTTGCACCGTTGAGTCCACAGGGAATGGCCGCTCTTTCATGCCCTCCATGGCATAGACTTCCGTTACATCACCTAACCAGTGTTGCATCATATCGATCTCATGAATTGCGTTCGTCAATATCTTGGTCAATGGTCAGCACAATATCTTCTGCCTACTTCGTTAACACTAACGACCCCACCAGCGCCAGCCTGTTGTCGCCACGGCACTCTGAAATACTCGTCAGACTTTCGCATAGTCCAGACTGTGGAATTGCATCAGCTTGTTGCGAAGTGAGGTTTGGGATACAAACCTCCATTTACAGCCATGATTTTTCCCAGCTTTCCACCTTCCACTACCTTCTTGATAGCTCTGACGTAGCAATTATGCCTTCGGTGGTGACCAACCATGACCACACTATTCTCATGGCTTTGACAAGCTGCGATCAATTCCCGCCCATCCTGACCGGTGACCGCCACAGGTTTCTCAATGAGAATTGCAATGTCATGCTCCAAGAGCTTTCTTGCAAGTGGTACATGTGTTTGAGTGGGAGTTGCCAGAATTATTGCCTCTGCAACACATCTGCCAGCCTTTCGAGCACTTGTAAATTCCTCGAGGTCGTTGAAAAGGGGAACGCCATGTGTCTTTGCCAACTCCGGTGCCGCAGGATCGACATCGCTGTCAGTTATTAGTATCTTCTCCAAATGATTTCTTTTGTGTGTAGTCGACTGTCCAACGATACTTACATGATGGCCGCAAGCTCTACGATATTGAGGTCAACCTATAGTTCCAAGAAACATTGATCCACATACCTGTCTCAGACTCGACTAAAATATGTTTCAAATGCCGACGACCAATTACACCAGTAGCTCCTGCAAGAGCCTTTTCCTCATCAGCTGAGATGCTTTGAACGCGTGGTAGCAAGGATAAGTCGTAGACATCGACTCACAATTTTGACCGGCGCCTTGACCATCTTGAGTGAACGACTGCGATTTAGAGGCGTGAGATTTGCAAATTAGAGTGGTTGGCAACCGCAACAATGTATACTATCATCGCGGCTCAAAACAATTAGTTCACTGTAATGTAATATATAGTAGTGCTACATGACCTACGTAGTATTAGGATGTATGTCCTCCGCCGTCCAATCGGCAAAGTTGAACTTCCGGAAAAGTACAACTCCGCGTACCTAGGTAGGTATTACTGACTCTGCCGCCTGGGAAGTGGGTAGTCGAAGGGGCTTGTATTGCGAGCGAAAATCAGAATGTCAATGGACTGGGTTTAAACCTCAGCATATGCCGGAATTGTACTACTCCATTGCCACCGATCAAAGCTGATACCCACCAAGTTTTCATTTCACCAGTGTTACTCGTCAGACAGGATGTGATCCCCGACTGTAAGTGCCACCCTTCGAAAGAACTTCATCATGGCGCTATCAGTCCCTAAGAATCAACCCGGTTGAGGATGCGTCTACGAACATAATGACAAAATGTTCTGCAGGAATGCATGCATGGTCTCTGAGATTCCCCACGGCTGTTCCAGGTTCTTAAGCGTACCACAAAGGAAGTTTGTGTTATATAGAAGATGCGTGTTTGAGTTTATCTGAACGAGCGGATCTCGTAGGAATTGCCGTGCTGCAACATCAAGGTCATCCGCTGGGTAATCTATGTCCGCCTCGAGATCAATTAAGAGCAGACTCTCCCAATTGACATCGGATGGGACACAAATGCTCTTTACACCTGCCAGCATGAACGTACAGAAAATGAGGCTAGCACTGAAGATAGCCACTGGCACGTGTATCGATCGGAGCTTTGTCAAAGGCATTTCTCGGAGTATCTGGTAAATTCCCCTTGCATGTAACAAGGCCAAGCGAGCTCTTGAGGTATCTTTCCAGACATCAAGATCGAGAGATGCATCTGTCTGTCTCCCAAAGACATGTTGTTCGATTTGAAACTGGCCACAAATACTCCGGCAGAGCCCACCAAGATTGAGGACTGCATCTGCACTGATTGCATGCCATCTCATCATGACTGCCTGCTGGGTTGCTAGTGACAGCTTGGTACTTTGCAGGATGTAGGAATAAAGCCGACTTCGCGCTCTTGCTAGGTCAGCATTAGTAGGAACGCCAACAGGCTTCATCCCCACGGGATATCGTTCGGTTGCTAGCGACTTTATACCTTCCAGAATTACTGATGCATTGAAAGAAGACAGCGAAGGTCCTAGGTGTCTGGCGTGCATGTGATCTGAGAATAGCATTGAGAACTGCCTTATGAACGGAGCATGCTGGTGGGTCGGTTCGATGTGGGCGTGGCGCCACTGCAGGGCGTCTGGTGCCTGAAACGCAGCATCACTTGAGCTCATCTGCAAGGAGTGACTAGTATGACGCTGCGATGTTGGCCTGCCGCTAAACTCTGAGATTTGCCCATCCAGTATATAATGCCCCAGAAGAGCTCGAAGTTTGGTCTCTTTTGCCGCCCAAATTCTCCATTCATGTTCGATATTCTCCGGAGCATTGTGGACATCCCTAGCGACGGTGGGATTGTCATATTGGATATCATACATCCCAGTCTCATGAGCCCCTGAAGATCGAAAATTATGGTTAGCTCATAGTTGACTCAATATGTTCACGACAAGTGAGGGCATTAATGGGTACAGAACCAAGTGGGTATACACTGCTACACTTACAATAAAACCCGAGGCTATGGAATACCTGGGCAGTCATCTGTAGCTTCCGATTCTGGAAGGTCTTAGACCCGAGGCTCAGAGCTATGTTTGGACGACGTACCTTTGAGAGATTTGCGTAGACCTGGCCTAGGAGTGCGGTAAGAACCAGCTGTACTCCACATGCAGAATCGTAAGGGCCCCGGTGTTTAATCAATGTATGCCACTGTAAAATTCAGTACTCTGTCGATGATATCTCGCAACAGGTGGTTACCGACGCAGCGACTGCGGTATAAGCAAGTCGCCAAAGTATCTCGCCCTATGATATTAGTTTTTTCAGAGTACTCGCGATCTTGTCTTACCTTCTTCACGTAGTCGCTCTTGCCTACGAATAATGATCCTAATGCTATTGCATTCAACAACAGGGGATGCGTCCAATCCTTGAAAACGAACGTTGGTGCATGCACGACGGGAAACAGTGGCACGAATTCTTCGAAAAACATATGTAGGCAACTATCGAGGAAAGAACTGGTCAAACCGATGCTTTGGGCTTCCGATGTAACGTTTGTAGACTATCTGTATCAGTCAGGACGTCACATTTGGTGTTCAGGAATTACCGTGGTGTTGATGATCTCACTCAGATGATGCACAGCATTCTGTCCTCCAAGCCAGGGGCTTTGCTGCTCGCGTAGGTTAAGTGATGGCGACGTCGGATTGCTCTCTGTCGCTGGTGACTCCGTCGAGCGCATCATTTGCGAGGGAAGGATCTCCAACGAAGGAAGATTGACAAACTCGGCCGATAAGATAGATTGCAATAGTTCTGTCGAACCAGGCCAGTTCAGGAAATCAGAGGTGTCATTCGTAACCAGTAGGTTATCTGATGCTGGTGGCGGATCAGTATATGCATCATTTCTTGACGACTGCACATCGATATGTGGTAATGAGTAGGCTTTTTCCTGTGTATCCAGCAGTCCTTGGTGCAAAATAGGACTTGAAGTCTCCGTTGGTTGACTCTGATATTGTCCTAATTGAGCAGGATGACGCTTTGAGTGCCGGTGAAGACTATCCAGGCGCGAGAATTGTTGCCCACATTTCTCACAGGTGAAGGGCTTGACTCCAGTATCTGCAATAGTCAGGGTTACATTTTGAATTGATATCGGTCTAGTTACGTGTTCGTTCATGCCTCTGGAGTTGTGTAAGTTAAGTCATGTCAGGATGTCCAAATACAATCAGACTCACAATCAAGTGCTCAGCCTTACCATAGGATCGGCTACACGTCATGCACACATATTTACGGCTTCTGGCTCGAGTTTCCATGGAGCCCACTCGAAGTATTAATCTGAAGTATTAATCTCTGAATGTGTAAGGATTGTTTTGATTATCAGCGAAAATCTAGGTGTTCAGTTTGATGCACAGGTCGCTCAGGTAATGATCAAGCCGCCGAATCTTTACTTGGCATGAGCATGGCTAGCACTCACTGGGGGTGCTGATGGCGTCCCACAAAGGAGGGGCCATCCTGCCCAAAGTTTAAGCCTGAAGGCCCCAGAGCTGGACCAACGAGTACCCGTGTTCACCAAGGTTAATCAATTCTTCCAACCCGGAATGCATTTACTTCCGGATTCTGATCTGTATTCAAAAGCCTCATCAGTCTCGCCAGAGAAACCTGTAGCCTGACACTAGATAATACACAAATGCTACACGACACCTAAGTCAGCATGTCTGATGAGCTTCACAATTTTGTGTCTATTTTATGTTCCAGAGAGCATCGTCACGACATCAATGTTGCTTCTCCGCTTCTCCGCTTCCCCACCACAATTGTGCCCATTTCTCCACCAGCATTAAGGGGATGGAAGCATTTAATACCTCATGGACTAATCTTAGACGTTTAGGCTCGATCCTTATTCTTGATTATCAGAGATGTATTGATCAAGTCTTAGGCGCAAGCTCACCACACAAAAATCAGTTATGGCTATCTCTAATCCGAGCAACGGCGTCAATGGGGTGGGACACCAGATCTCACCATCCTTGAATGGCAACCACATAAATGATACACCTCTAGAGGTACCAGTACTTATCATCGGTGGAGGACCGACTGGTCTGCTTCAAGCTTATCTCCTGGCACGACTTCAAGGTGAGCAGCATTGATCCTTTTGCTCTCACAGGAGCTGATGTGTTAGTCAAATGCTTGATCATCGAACGCTATCCAGAAAGGCTTGGGGCACCCAAAGCTCACGCACTGTCTCCAAGGTCCCTCGAGATATGCCGACAGTTCAATTTGGACGTGCGGAAGATTCGCCAACTCGGTACTAAGAGAGCAGATGCATTCTGGGTGAATTTTCTCACAAACCTGAGCGGCAAATCAGTGGGGGTTCTGCCATATGAACGGATGGACGTTGGCGTGCTTGAGCATACTCCAGAGGTAGAACTCACTAGCCTCAAGTGAAAGGATAACCGATGCTGATGAAGCTACATCCAGATGATCCATAATATTCCACAACCAACGTTCGAAGATTTCCTGACAGATGTTATTTCTGGAGAAAGGAATGTCGATCTTCGAAAAGGAATATCCTTTGTGTCCCTAGAACAGGTAGGTTTGAAGTCAGGTATCGAGATCGTAGATATCTGACCCTGTCAGCTTGATGGTGAGGTTATTACCACCGTCGAAGAAAGAGCCACTGGGCATCGGTACCAGATCAGATCCAAATACGTCATTGGTTGCGATGGTGCAAGAAGCAAAGTCCGCACGTGTTTGGGCATTGAAAGTGAGGGCGAAGACTCATGTAAGTTCCATACCCAGAAGTTCGCTCGTAGCTAATTTGCAGATGAAACCATGATGACCATCCATTTCAATGCGAATCTCCGGCCCATCGTAGGAGATCGTGTGGGTATGCTTCACTGGATCATGGACCCGGAAGCATCGGGTTTTATCATTGCTTATGACTTGTCAGGGGATGCCGTACTTATCAGCAACTTCGATGTGAGTCGTCCTTGTCAAAAATGGAGTCCAAAGCTTAAAGGAGACTTTTCTAGCCAAAACGGAACCCGGTCGAATGCTGGAATCAAGAACTGTGCCGGAAAGTTGTGACCAGTGCTTTGGGAGTCGAAACTCCTTTCCAAATTCACAGTTATCGTCCATGGCTACTGAGTCGGAAAGTTGCCAAATCTTATCGATCTGGAAACGTTTTCTTGTAAGTGGCAGTACACAAATCGTCATTGTCACTGATGAAACGTAACAGGGCTGGAGATGCTGCTCACTCCTTCCCACCTACTGGTGGTCTTGGTCTCAACTCAGGCTTGGGGGATGTTCACAACTTGGCGTACAAAATCGCTATGGTACTCAATGGCGACGCGTCAGATGGTCTTTTGGACACATACGAATCTGATAGAAGGCATGTCGCAATGGTAAACTCGATGCAAAGTGTCAAAAACGGACAAGAGATCTTCCGTTTGCTCAAACTCCTGGGAATAGGCGATGATGTGGCGCAGGCGCGCAAGAACCTTTATACCTCGCTCAACGACCCAATGAAGACAAAGTTGATCGATGAGGGGATTGAAGGTCAGAGAGAACATTTTGATAATGTAAGTCTGGAAAACAATGCTTGACAGGCGTCATGTTATTGAATGATGCTTACCTATCTCCAGCTCGAATTGCATATTGGTTACGTGTATGGTTCTCGAACCATTCCACCGCATGCATCACATTATGAGCCCAAGTTCACAGTAGGGGCAAGGCTTCCACATACTTGGATCGCCGTCAAGGAGAGTGATCTTCAGCCTGTAGACGTTTCATATGTTACAGAGCTATCCCCTGAGGACGTCCAACGTCGCACATACAGCGTTCTCGATCTCTGCGCGCCAAACCGATTCACGCTCATCGGTGACCTTGAGGTTCCTGGTGTGAAGACAGTCCGGCTGGGTCAAGGTTTTGATGTTGTTCGCCCAGAAGGAGACTCGTGGCTAAGCCAGAGTGGGATATCCGAGGGAGGAGGATTCCTAGTCCGACCTGACCAGCACATCTTGATGGTCCTGACTGCTGATACGACAAGTCAAGACGTTCAGAAAGCAATTAAGGAGCACCTATGCTTGTAACTTCAGCTTTCTCAATTGAGGTTTTATTCAAGACGCCTATCATGCTAAGAGTATCTAGAATCAGGACAACATAGAAGGTGATGAACGCTATTGAGTGTTCTATGTACATACCAAGGTTGTGGCATCAATACATGGCACCAAATCCAGCTAGATAGAAGAAAATACTCTGAGCTGATTTTGGAGTATTTTCTTCTCGATTAGTGAACTGTCCTAAGAACAGAGGCCGCCGTTCCCAGTGAATGCGTTGGACACGAGAAAAACATTTCGCAACGCATATATATTCCTTGATAGTATCATAGTTTAGATTGAGGTGTTATATGGGCAGCAACCTTCGAGAGCTTTTGAATCGTGCCCAGCGCCTCCTTCTCGATCCTCTGGAGTAAATCTGCGACGGTCGGTACATCATGAATAAGACCCATGACTTGACCTGCGTACCATACCTGTGGAAGGTTAGATATGTGGCAAATGTAAGTAGCGTGACATTTTTAGAGTCGAACTTACCCCATGTTCGATATCTCCTTTTAGAAGCACTTCTCGACCTTTCGCACCACTCACCACGGGAGCAACTTGCGCAAAATCGTCACTCACGCTCTGAGTTTCAATCTCGATTGCCTTTTTGGTCTGTGAATTCGAATACATCCTGCTGGTGTTCTTCCAGCGGCGTAGAATAAGAGTTGTTTGGTGCTCGTCTGCATCGACAATCGCTTGTTTTACATTGGGATGTATGGGTGCCTCAACAGTGCACATGAATCTCGTACCCATATTAATGCCAGCTGCGCCCAGGCTTAGGGCCGAAACAAGGCCGTAGCCGTCAGCAAAGCCGCCCGAAGCAATGAAGGGAACATTGCCAAGTTCTTGACGTGCTCGGCTATTCAAGATCAACGATGCAATATCAGATTCTCCAACATGACCTGCGCATTCGAAGCCATCAATGGAGAGAACATCGACTCCCAACCGGATTGCTGCTTTGGCGTGTCGAATGGTTGTTGCCTTGTGAATGACGATGATCCCAGCTTCCTTGAGTCGCTTGATGACAGGTCCAGGACTGTTACCAGCTGTTTCCACGATTCGAATGTTTTCTTCAATAATGACTTTGATGAATCCGGGATAGTCTGGTGGGTTCAATGCCGGGAGTAACGTCAGATTGACACCAAATGGGAATTTCGTCAGTGACCTTGTTTTCCGAATTTCTTGTCGCAAACTTTCAGGGTCTGGCTGCGTCAGAGCATTTATTATCCCCAAGCCTCCCGCATTGCTCACAGCGGCTGCAAGTTCTGCATAAGCCACCCATTGCAGACCTCCTTGAACAACGGGAATCTTGATACCCAATAGTCGGGTGAGGGCAGTGTCAAAGCTCATAGCGGTATCGCTGAAATATTGGGATGTTGACAGCTTTCCTGTATGTTATGGCAACACAGTGACAACAACCGGGAGTCAATCGTATGGCACGGCTCCCTTGATATCTGAGATGAAGATTCATACAAATAGTAATCATGGTTAGCCGAAATGCCGAGCTTGGGCCGTTCAACCAATCGGATGGCATCTTTGCATTACGCCCGTAGCTGCTGTGCCTGTGCATCTTGAGGGAGCCAGATGCGAACTGATATTGGGATTAGTGAATTTGTGCTCAGATGAATTGATCATCACCTAATTCTGGGCCTAGGTACCTAGGTACTCGTGCAACAGGTGTTTCGAAATCGTCAGCAGCAGGATTGGCCCTAAATCTGGGTCCATGGAGGAAAGTCTAGGTCTTGTCTTGGGATGGACATCATGTTTCGATCCTCGATGTAGTCCTTGAGTGGCAGACTCTCGAACTGGCCTCGGTTGCCAATGTACACACCTCGGTGCTGAATTAGTCGGGCAAACTCGACAGTCCTTTTGACGAATTGGTGGTGGTCACCTGATTTGAGGTATTCAACCAACATCAGAACATCAAACGCGGCCTGGCCGGTTGAAGCAACCGTGTGTGGTCTGAAGCCAGCGAGCGCATCTCCAATGAGAACGATCTTGCCATCCATAAATGAGTTTGTTGGTGTTATGACATCCGTGATGCATTGGACGAAGGGCTGCTTGGTCTTCTCCACCATCTCAGACATCTGCGGTGGCAGACGATCTCGACCTCTTGTCTTGACCATCTCCCATGCCTCGTCAGTCATGGTCCCAGGTGGGATAGTTAATCTTCTCCTTTTGCCTTCCATGTCTGTCATAACAGTTTCAAGCTCCTCTGATCCTTCGGGAAAGTTGGTGTACCACACAAAGTTGAGAAGTCTCTTCCCCTCCTCCATGGCCCCATTAATTCCTGGTATCGTGTACGTTAGGTTCAGAATGCCTGGGGCATGAAAGAATGTGAACCGCTGAATAAAGGCAGACTTCGCTTGCTCCGATGCCTCCTGCTCAGGAACGGTACCCCTAATGACACAATAGCCTGCATATTTCCGCTCAACATTTGGGCATAGTATTTTTCTGATTGTGGAACTTGGGCCATCCGCTCCAACAAGAAAATCACAAGTGATGCTCTCTTTCTCGCCATTAATATTGTTGTAGGATACTATCACATGTTCTCCTTCCCGTTTAAAGTCGGTAACTGTACAACCGTATCGATAATCTATCTTCCCATCACCCGGCTGCGGGCCCGCGACTTGACAATATCCACTCTCTTGATGATCATAGTTCGCCCGGAGCATATAATAGCACAAGTCCCAGCTCGTCATGGTCTGTTTCATCTCTTCCTCGTGGACGACCTGGCCAGACTGATCAAGGTACACGCGTTTTTGTGATTCGACCGCAACAGGTCTTTTGCACCGATCGTACCTATCAAAAAATGCAAGCGTGTCACCGCCAGCCACTATTCCCGCGCCCTGGTTTTCGAGAAGATTGTTAGGATTGCGCTCGAGGATAGTGGTATCGAAGCCATGCTGCTTCAGTGCTACACCAGTAAAAAGCCCTCCTAACGAACCACCGACTATAACAATATGTTGGGGAGGGCGAAACCCGTCCGAAGAGGCGTTGACCTGTGGAGTAGCCATAATCGAGCAAAAAAGGCACTTAATAGAAGGAAAACCACACAGCGCATGAAAGGGACAAGGGCAGTTCTACTTATGTCTAGCATCAGGAACACTCGTGCGGGGAGCGAGGGTGGTGACATCAAAGCCTACTGACGCGGTCACTTTGACACTTATCGCTCGAGGCGAGAGGTTCGGCCAATAGTGATACCAGAAGCTTGATTAAAGCCCCTCAAAGGATGAAATATTGGAGGCATGCTCTCGCATGACCGGATCCCGGACTATACAAGTCGGCAGTCTTGAGTATCAGTCGTGCCTATCCCTCAACTGCGGTAATGATTTAAACTGCCAAGCATTCTCCAAAGGACAAGGGAACTTCTGCATGTTTTCGTCTTGGCATTGCCCAACGAATAGGGCAGGTATGCCGAGACGGAGCGTCTTTTCAAACAATCTCGTCCTCTCCCTCGTCTTGGACACGGGTATGCCTCTCCTTGTTGTGCCTCCTGTGTTATCATGGCTGATATCATGGCGAGCAATGCCAGATTAGGAGATTCCAGGCTCGTCGCTGCTATCTTGGATGAGTGTTTGCTCAGTCCGAACCGGCTGCCGGTTCCAATGGCAATATCCATTTTCTGGTGAAGATCATCGTAGGTCGTGTCCCAATGATCTTGCACCCTGTGTTTTACACAAACAGAGAACCGGACAGCTGCAGAGACCATCTCTTCTCTCGAGAGACTATGAAATGCGGCACGCGTTCGGATGTGTTGGATGGCTACCGTTGGCGTCGTCGATGCATAATGCCACGATGCACCAGCAGCGTTCGACCACCTTAAGCTTAGTTTTACACGATAAACTGGGCAAAATAATCTATGGTTATATCTAGTTCTGTATGTTTCTCCCTCATTGCAAATCCAAGTAAGGTCTTCCATATTGCCACCACCTTGACAACGGAGACCCTCAACTCCCTCAAGCTAGACCTGAGGCAGGCAGGTTCATTAATCGGAGATTCATTGGAGCTGCCATTATCTGACGAGCAGTACAGCAATGGGTTTGAGATCTTGGCCAGGAACGCGGAATATAGGACGTACCAAGATTTCATTATTCTTCAATTGCTTCAGCTCTTTAATCTACTTCTCAGATCCATTGACAACATCTCAGTGTTAGAAATTGGACCTGGTCCTGAAAGTGTGCTAGGATATTTACCTGGTCATCAGAGGGACAAGATCACAAAGTACTTTGCTTTTGAGCCCAATGAGCTTTTCGCCACAAAATTGGAGCAATGGCTTTCTCCTATTGCCAATAATGAGATTCCACTCCCCTCTCTGCAGGAGCCCGGCAGTATCAATAGATCTCCGTTTCAAATCCAGCACAAAGCAGAGACGGTGCCCGATGACATGCTGTCCGATCTGGACGGACAATTCAATGTTATATTGTTCTGTCACAGCATGTATGGCATGAAACCAAAGCGGAAATTCATCGAACGGGCACTGGAGATGCTCGTTGAACAGCCACAGCATGGAATGGTACTGGTTTTCCACCGAGGGGAGGCTCTCCAAACTGACGGTCTTGTGTGTAGTCGAAGCGCGACCTTCCCTGGTGTCGTCCGTGTGGACGATGATGATGAAGTACTGGACAGATTTGCACCCTTCCTGGCCGGGTTCGTGGTGGAGGATGCGAATATCGCCGGCAGTGTCCGAGTTAAATGGCGTCAGATCTGCCGTACCATGGGGCACCGTGACGAGGCTTATCCTGACCATCTCTCCTTCAGCTCACCCAATACCATGGTGGCTTTTGACAAGCATGCAACCTCGTTGCCAGAATTGACGAGGCAAGTGCCATTGATCAGTGGGGGCATGGCAGTCAAAAGCTTTGAAGCGAGATCTCTTCATCCCACAGCCCTTGTGAGGCCGACTGAGACTCGACATGTCCAGAAATGCGTTCAATGGGCTCTGGAGCATGGAACTCGCCTTACTGTGGTTAGTGGTAATCATAGTGGCCATTGCCTTCAGTCGAATGTTGTGGCAGTTGACATGGGCGCCTTTGACCAGATCCACGTTTTGACTGAAGGAGATGATCAGCTCGAAACCCAACCCGGACCTCTCGTTTTCGTTGGCTCTGGCTGTAAAACTGGAGACATCATCCGGGAAACTAAGGCAAGAGGTTTGACAGTTCCACTCGGGGCTCGTCCAAGCGTAGGTGCTGGGCTTTGGCTGCAAGGCGGGATCGAACACCTAGCTAGATCACATGGACTTGCGTGTGACTCGATCATCGGTGCCGTTCTGGTCAGCGTCGACTCTGCCCGTGTGCTCTACATTGGCTCTGTACCAAGCCAACATCAGATCGCTGGTGCCGTTCGCGCTGAAAATGATCGCGAGTTGCTGTGGGCGACCAGAGGGGCTGGGACCAACTTTGGCATCGTGATCAGTGTCACTTTCAAGGCCTATGCAGCACCAACATTCATGACCCGACACTGGGATGTCCCTCTCAACAACAATTTCGAAGCACAACGAAGCCTTAGTGCCTTTGATAACCGCATTTCCTGCAGGCTCCCTCAAAATTGTGCTGCAGATGCATATCTCTACCAGGAGGGCGGGCAATTACGTCTCGGAGTCTCCATGTTCGAATCAACTACAACTAGTCAGGACCTCGGGGTCCTTGTACCTACGGTAGACAGAATTTGGGACACGCAAGCTAAGGTTATAGCATTGGACAGCGTCAGTTTGTTCGATGCGGAAATGTACATGTCGGGAATGCATGGCGGTCATGCCGGTGGCAAGACTTCTTCATTCAAACGATGTTTGTTCTTGAAAGACATTGGAATGGCGCATACCACGGAGAAATTAGTGTTGGCTATGGAGAGTCGTCCTTCTCCCCTATGCTATATTCACCTGCTGCACGGTGGAGGTGTTGTGCGTCAAGTCGCACCCAAAGATACTGCTTTCGGTTGCCGAGATTGGGACTATGCATGTGTGATCACCGGCGTGTGGCCACGCGATCAAGACAACAGTGGAGTGACACAAGCTGTTGTACACTGGGTCTACAGTGTCACTGAGCGACTGCTGCCATTGTGCTGTGGCGTCTACGGAGCTGACCTAGGTCCGGACCCTAGAGATGCCGCTTTGGCACTCAAGGCCTTTGGAAACAACCTGCCGCGATTAGCCGCCCTCAAGAAAACCCTTGACCCGCACAATGTGCTAGCTTATGGCTGTCCACTACTGAAAGCACCCGAGAAACAGAAACTCATTATCCTTGTCACAGGCGAAAGCGGCGTTGGCAAGGACTACTGCGCTGATATCTGGGCCGAAGCTCTCTCTCGCATTCGTGACGACTTCGCAGTACGGGTAGTCAGCATCAGTGAAGCCATCAAGCGAGAATACGCACAGGCAACTGGTGCCAACGTGGACTTCCTGCTTCGGAACCGTGCCTACAAGGAACAACATCGAGCGAAATTAACGAAGTTCTATAATGAACAACTTCAACAACGCCCGCAGCTGCTGCAAGAAAATTTCCTAGCTGCTGTGAATTTGCCTTTGGACTCAGGTGTACTGATGATCACTGGAATGAGGGAAGATGCACCGGTCGCAGCCTTTGCGCACCTTGTACCTAGCATTAAGATCGTCGAGGTTCACGTCCAAGCTGGTCAGAGGACGCGGCAAGTTCGTCGAGGGTGCCACAGTATTGATGAACAGGAAACATACGCCACGAACTCCAATGAGATCAAAGGGAAATCGAAGTCGACACTACAGTATTCTCAGCCCGAATTTATCTTCGATAACAATAAGTCCGGGTCTGATAGTGCTAAGACTTTCGACTCATGTTACCTTGCTCCTTTGATTGACGAGGGCGTGCAGCGCTTAGCTGATATGGTGCGTTCTGTACCTGATTTTTCAACACCAGGCATTGAATTTCGCCACATTCTCAATATCTGCCAGGAGCCAGATGGGATGGTCCTTTGCAGTTCTCTTATGCAACCTCAACTCAGTACCTGGAGCAATGTCGACGCGGCAGTAGGCTGTGAGGCCGGCGGATTCCTTTTTGCATCGGCTCTTACGTTACGGCTCAATAAGCGATTGCTGTTGATTCGTGAAGCTGGCAAACTGCCTCCACCCACAATCTCGGTCGTTAAGCCCAGATCGTTCATCTCGTCATTTGCATCACAGGCCTCTGGGAAACTTCGAATTAAGTTGGAACGAAATATGCTGAAAAGACATGCCTCGGTGATCGTGGTCGACGATGTGCTTTCCACCGGCCACACACTTTGTGCGATACTCCAGCTGTTGACTGAAGCTGGTGTCGACCATGAGAATATTAGGGTACTTGTCGTGGCCGAATTTCCAGCTCACCAGGGCCAACAGCTGCTGCGTGAGCCTGGCTTTGGACGAGTAGGTATTCAGAACATTTTGGTCTTTGGCGGTGCTTAGACGGGATATGAAAATCAGGAAACCGCGAAAGGATCTAGTAGACCAAGAAATGCGATGTGGGAAGTTTTTAACTTGTCGGCTCGAAAAATCAAAATTTCAATTCCTTGGTGGGGAGCGAGGTGGGCGCCTCAAGTCTCGTGCACTGAAGATCAGTGCCTGTCCTGATTTCCCACCATCTTATCGTCCTTACCTTCTTTTTCTACAAAAAGGAAGTATCAATGAAATCATATTAAGGCCCCAAAGAAGGCTCAGCTTAGGGGGGCGTTTTTCCCACGTGATCATTCTTACGTCATATCGGCGGATTTACTCATTCTTCCGGTTTCACGTGCCTGCGGATTTGAACGCATGCGGGGTGATTGCGGCAGGGATATTTGCGTGGCAAGCTGATCTGAGGGGCATCATCTAAAGGAATTCCCCAGCTCGACAGGTAGCACGCAAGACATAGGGTGTCGGAGGCCGCCGACGCCCTGTTGGGCACATGGAAATGGGGAAATGAATTTGTGCATTTTCTGGGTCCAAATTCCTCCACCAAATTCTTGGGCGACGGCGTAGCACTTTCCTCGCAAAATAATATTGAGCTGCAGGAGATCTCACGGCACACACATACTTAACTACTCATATGTTGGCCAGCCAGAAAGACTCACCAGACCCTTGAAATTACTACCGAGAAAATGGAAGTCCACGTCGAGCCTCAAGCCATGGCTGAAGTAGTGGTCGACAAGGTCTTGCCTTCTTCCTCATCTTCGACCTCCAGGGTGAAGGTCACACCTATTCCTGCGGCACTTATAGATGCGACGTTCTCGTCGTCCACAAATCTATCAACTACCGTTCTTGGTGCTCAAGTCCTCTCATTCTCAGACGAGTACTTTGCCTCTGCGTCCAACCTCCTGACCGCCGGTCCACCGATACGTAAAGCTGGATATTTCGTACATACAGGTGCCTGGTACGACGGTTGGGAGACGAGGAGGCATAACACGAAAGAGTATGACTGGGTTGTGATAAAGCTCGGTGCCGTTGGGATAATTGATGCCATCGAAGTTGACACAGCCTATTTCAACGGAAATGAGGCTCCATTTGCAGGGGTAGATGGAGTATTTTTGACTACAGAACAAGAGAAGGAAAGTGGTGTTGAGACTGAAGGATTTCAGAACTGGACTGAAATCCTCCCACCTTCCAAATGCGGTCCATCGCAAAGACAGGCTTGGAAACTGTCGGGACCTGCTGTGTCAAACAAAGAGTTCACTCATTTGAGATTGAAGCAATATCCGGATGGCGGGATTGCCAGACTACGCGTATATGGACGAGTCGTACCTCCACCATTACCAGTACAAGCAGCCGGTGGTGAAAGACCTGTCGAAGATCTGGCGAGCGCACTCAATGGAGGTGTCGCTGTTGAATGTTCTGATCAACACTTTGGCGGCAAATCCTACTTGTTGCTACCCGGTCGCGGAAAGGATATGGGCGATGGTTGGGAAACCGCTAGAAGCAGAACCCAAGGCCATACGGATTGGGTGATCGTCAAACTTGGGCTGAAAGGCCGAAATATTTCCAAGGTTGTGGTCGACACGAAAGACTTCCGAGGTAACTTCCCTCGCGCTGTTAAAGTTGAAGCATTGGCTACAGAAGTGGCGAAGGCTGCTCTTGGGACCGAGAGTGACCCGAAGCATGATGCACCAGGTTGGGTGGAATTGGTCAAAGGCGAGAAGAGCACAAAGGCTGACACAGAGCACATTTTCGAAAATGAAGAGCTGGCTGTGACTGCTCCGCCGGACGGATTTGTTTGGACGCATGTCAAAATGACCATCATACCAGATGGCGGAGTCAAGAGGATACGAGTTTTCGGGCAGCGAGCATAGGTCGATTCTACAAGGACACAAAAATAATATTCAATTTTCACCAATTATCGTGGACGAAACCCTTCTTCTGCCTTGCGAGACTTCCCCATATTGACGCCGCCGGGAACCCTTGTAACCCATCTTGTTTGCTTATGGCTTCGGCAACGAGGTTCCCGGCTTCCAGAGTCTTTAGCTAACTACTCTTGTTTCCAGATCACCGTTCACGCAAGGTCATCTCTTCTCCGCCACTATCTTGCGGTAACCACCTCCCTCTTCCCGAGCTTCTGCCAGTATCAGCCCAAAGATCCCTAGACTGATCATCTCTAGTGACGCGATGATTATGGATGCGGTAAATGTAAATTTCTAGAACGTCACGTGGAGTGAGTCGAACCATCAAAATACCTCAGCCAGGGAAGAAGGAGCGACTTACCATCTTGACACACATTGCTTCAAAAGACATCTTGCCATTTTCAAGTGACTTGTGTCCACAGGACCAAGACCACAGGTCCCAATTCGCCTGGCCCCTCCTGTTCTGCAGCTTGAAGTAAATGGCCGCTGCGAGCCAAGCAGCTATGCCCAACGCTGAAGTGATGAAGACGGTCCATGAATGCAAGCCTTCTGACTCGCGCAGTCGACGAACCTATTAGAATAAAAGTAAGCATCACCACTGAACAAAAAAACTAGGTTACCCAGCAAAGCTGCAGAGTTTCAGAAAGGGTTTGGGTTGTTGGACTTACGCATCCACAAAGTGTCAAGAGCGCAAGTGTTTGTATGACAACCGCAATGACTGCAGCCCCCAGCATGACCCACATCGGCCAAAGGTTCATATGTGCAGGCCATGCTCGCTGTCGGCTGCCATCAGGCAGTTGTTGTACAACATAGCGTGTTGAAAACCAGACCGCCGCGGCATGTCCGAGTACTCCAACAATGGCTATACCGACAGCTAGGGTTGTGATTCGCACGCCCACACGAAAGGAATGCGGAACTGCCTGTCTCTTCCGTCGATATTTAGCCGTCGCAGAAGCCGTGGATGAATCCGTGTTGTTGTACTCGGGTTGCAGAAGGCGGAGAGGCTCCATTCTCTAAACTAGGGACTTTGTATCCTTGAGTAAAGCCAGGGTGCGAATGCCCGTGTTGTTCTTTCAAAATGGACTTGAGCCTAAGATCCTCTGTTGTGGTGGTTATATCTTGACTTGAGACCAGACGTACTAATAGTTTTGGGGTTGACGAGGCTGAGCGGATATTCAAGGCACCAAAGTCTTTAATAGGAAAAAATGAAAACCCACCTTATTTTCAAACACTAGTTTGCTAAGGACAACCTTGCATCGCGAAACACGGCCTTGCAGAAGCGAGAATCAATTCTAAATGCTTAGAATAGCTTATCGGTGCACTTCAAATGCAACGTGGAAGAATTAGCTTCTCACTCGCCTCCTCCCATGGCTTGACGCCACTGCCTTCTCCATTCGGTTCCCCGTGTTCGACGTGGCGTACGAATGATAGGCACTCGATTTTCCCTGAAACGGATCTCATTCGGGAACTATAGTGACTCGAGAAGTACTGGGAGATTTTTTAACCGTTCTGCTAGGTGATTGTGGTGTCTGATTAGTCACCTGTTGCTATGCTTGCCATGAGGTGGCCGATTGCCACATTGATGCTTCCCTTCCACTTCTAAGCATTTCGATGACCCTGATGGCAGATTGCCACAAAAACTTGATCTAAGGAATGAATTCGCTTCCACTGCCGTTCTTTTTGGAGGTACCCGCTCGTCATCGAGGACCAGACCTCAGGCTCAATTACTTGTTTTCGCAGCAGGATGATTTTTGACCGCTATCTTGCAAAGCCCTGGATGCATCGTAAGCCGTAGTTGTCGCGCTTTATGTGGGACTCGGTGGATATGCAACGGGTGTGTACTTTGACGCTGTTGCACCAGCGTCGCCCCTTGATTTCTGTGGGTTGGAGCGAGGCGCAAAGCTTTCTCTTTGTCACCTTCTATTTATTTTTAGGGTGTACAATATTCACATCGCACACTCTGATAGGCTTGCAATCTGTAAGGCTTTATGTGCAATGTGGAATCCCTTGACCATGCCGACAAAGTCACCTTGGCCCCATTCGCCGCACCCGTACAGATTGAGCCTCTTCGAAACCGCAATCCTAGGGATCAAAAGCAGCGTTCTGCTGATGTGGTATAAGTATAACGATAGCCTTTTCCAAAATCAGAGCGAAAATTAGGCCATTCCTACCTATACATCCATAACAGATATCTGCACATCTCGAGCGACTTACTGCAGTGGCACTTCAGAATCATTCGAGCCCAGTTGGAGTTCGACAATGCCTACCGCGATCTCCGTTACATTGCTTGCGTTTCTGCCGATATTCGCACTTTCGCAGTCTTTGAAGAACAATGGAATTGGCCATGAGCTCAAAAGCCGTCAGACCTTTTGCTCTCTTGGCGTCAACCACGTTACAGCTTGTGGATCTGGCGATCTGACAACAGAGAACTGGAACACATTCAACATCGACGCGTTCCTCTTAGGATTCATAAATCAGTTTGGTACTTCAGACAACTTCCCCAAATTTTTCGTATCTCAAGATACACCCACTGAAAACCCATTCGACGGCTTCGACTGCTCAAGCTTTGGGTCCAGCAGCTGCTCTGTACCGTCTCTGTCAAACCCGGATGTCGGGACTGACTGCGCTTTCGACGGACTGGAGTCAACTTTCTGTGCGAATTTCATCGCACCTGAAGCGGCTTTTGTAGTGCAGAACTACATCAACATGTGGCAAGGCCTGCAGAATCACCATGATGCCATTCAAGACGCTGCAGATGCAATCACGAGCTCGGGATTCATCGACACAATGGTCAAAGCACTGGCACCAAAGAAGCAACCAATCGCACCAGCCGTGTTCAGTCTAATTGCGGATATTGTGACCGACATCCTGCCGATTGGGGGAGAGATCAAAGCGGCAACGACATTCATGAAGAAGTTTCGGCTGATCTTCAATAAAACCCAATCCGACCTGAAGGACGACTCCAATGACATCGTAAGCATTATCCAGGCCAACGAGGCTATTGACCAGGAGGTCACTGCAACAGAAGATCAGCTCAAACAGCAGCTAGCGAACATGGTGACCGGAACACAGGCAAGACTTCAGAAAATACTCGATCAGGTATTTGGAGCCAACAAGGATCCGCAAATAATTGAAAATGCAGCAGATGTGCAAAATACCTATGCATTTCAGAACGCTGAAGGCGGTATGTTCCTTGATGACGTTCCCCAGCGCTCTGATCTAGCGGCACAGATGCAAAAGCAGCTGCAGAATTGGATAGTGAGCTCGGTCCTGACAGTAATGGGTTACGACGTGACTGTCGACTTGACCGAGTTGGCGGATCCACCTGGCAAACCTGGAACCGTTTGCAGAGCGGAAAACGGATTCTCAGTTGGGCGTGGCTGTGCCTTGTTCCGAATCAACGGAATTGATGGCGGTGGCAATGTGATCGAGGATGCAAGGATGGGAAACAATATCTTCGCACTTCAAGATGCAGGATTGGATATCGGAGCCGTGGTTAGCAACGCAGAAAATTGTAATGGTGGGAATGGTGGTGGCGTTGCGGATTTCGAGAGCTTTCTGGCAATGGACAACACCAATGCGCTGCCGGACTGCATGTTTAATTTCAGAGTCAAAGCAGTCGCCCTCTAAGAAGAGATGCTGAGGATTTATGCGCTAGCTTTCGTTACATAAGGATGAGTGTCTCAAGCCATCATTATATACTAAAGCGTGCAGGACGATACTATGTCGTTTGAAGAAATGTTTTGCAGACACTCGTCGACTTCGCCAAGCTTTCGATCCACCGTAGAGCCTACATCAGAATAAAACTTCACCGTACCAGAATTGCAGTTCTCTTTCTTTCTTTTTTGATCTTGATTTCAATCTCCGACTACATAATCATACATCGTGTCATAGGATGCTCAGGCATAGGACTGGAGCCAGATGGACGTCAACACCTCAGTGGAAGCTGTACGATTAGTTGGCCGCAGCTTGGTCGACGGCCAAGCATCTGGGGAACTTCTCTGGTCGAATGTTAGCTTGAGCTTTTGGGGTGGTGTTGATTCGAGAACGGGCGTGATAGTTGATCAGCACCACCCGCTCCAAGGTCAGTGTGTAACAGATCGCATTGTTGCAATACCCGCTGGAAGAGGATCATGTTCTGGCAGTGGAGTGTTGCTGGAACTCCTCCTAAGGAAGATGGGTCCTACAGCTTTCGTGTTTCAGACATTCGACGAGATCTTAACACTGGGTGTAGTTGTTGCCAAAGCAATATTTCAACTTTCAATTCCAGTTGTTGTGTTACGAGCGGAAGATTTTTCAACACTCCAGGACCAAGAACATCTCACTATCATTGGTGCGAGCCTTTTCAGAGGACTTTGCCCTCTCCGACCACAGTTACCATCACAGACCAATATAGCTCAAACAAATATCAAACTGAGTGGAAAGGATGACATGATGCTGTCTGGTGCTAACGGAAAAGCTACACAGATAGCTATGGAGATTTTACTAACCATGGCTAGCCTTCAGGGGGCCGAGGCTCTCTTGAATGTTACTCAAGTCCATATCGATGCATGCATATATACAGGTCCCGGCGGCCTTGAGTTTGCACAAAAGCTTCTGGGTATGGGTGGTAGGTTCTCCGTACCAACAACTCTCAATTCGATCTCAATCGATTCTCGTAAATGGAAGGAGCTCGACATGGACCCGGAGATGGCAAATCAGGCACAGAAGCTGGCCGATACATACATGAACATGGGTGCATTGATGAGCTTTACTTGCGCTCCTTATTTGCTCGACACGGCGCCCAAAGCAGGTGAGAATATTGGCTGGGCCGAGTCCAATGCTGTGGTCTTCGCCAACAGTGTTCTCGGTGCCAAAACCCAGAAGTATCCTGATTTCCTTGACGTCTGCATTGCCTTGACCGGTAGGGCGCCCATGGCCGGATGCCATATTGAACAAAATCGTCTACCAGTTCTAGAGATCCTTGTCCCCAAAGTGTCTCAGCCTGATGATGCTTTCTGGCCATTGATCGGATACCTTGCTGGCAAGCTGTCTGGTCCAAAGATCCCATTGATCTTTGGCTTGGAACATGCTCAACCCACTATGTCCGACCTCAAAGCATTTGGCGCGGCATTCGCCACAACAGCCTCCGCTGCAATGTTTCATATCGTTGGAGTGACTCCCGAAGCCCAGTCAGCGGCAGCGTTAAGGGGATCCATTCCGTCAGCAACAATCCAATTGTTGGACGTGAAGGAATGCTGGGCCAAGCTCAACACAGCCTCGGATTTTTCTGTATCTCTGGTATCCCTCGGAAATCCCCATTTTTCGTTGGAAGAATTTGCGCAGCTCGCATCGCTTTGTTCCGAACGGAAAAAACATCATCATGTTCACATGACCATAACCACGAGTAGAGCCACACTCGAACAGGCAGAGAAGACGGGCCACTTGCGTGCGATTCAAGATTTCGGTGCGCAAGTAATCACCGATACGTGCTGGTGTATGCTTGGGGAACCTATAATTCCCGAAGATGCGCGGAATATCATGACTAATTCGGCGAAATATGCACACTATGCTCCAGGAATGGTCAACCGCGGAGTGTTTTTTGGAAGTCTGGCGGCTTGTGTTGAGGCGGCATGCACTGGACAGAACATCATGCAATCTCCAGGCTGGCTTCTCGGTGAATGAGATTGAGTGAGCCCAATTGCACCGGATATTGGCCTCTGCCCCTTTTAATTCCGATTCGACATGTCGGCAACTTGCATACTGAGCACGCCGGGCCTACCCCGTACTCTGCATTTAAGTACACCGCTTTTCTCTGCTGGAGAGCATGATCCAACAACCTCGATATGCTCGAAGGTCATGATCTAGTATGCATTCAATTCAAAAACATCCTTACCAGGCAATGGTCATAGCCAAGCACTTCGACTACGTTCCAGAGACGCAATTAGGGGTACACGGACTTCGCCAATGAAGTGAAAAGTTAGCTTGATAAGGTTCGCAAGTCTATCGCTCCTCAATACCCCAGTGCAACCAATTGCTCCTCCGTCCACGCCCACAGCTTCTCACGAAGTTTGACGTCCCGGCTCAACTTCGACCCATCATTCTCCTTGCCAGCAGGGACATAATACGCCCCATTCACAATATCGGACCGCTTCCACGTAGCCGCCCAAATCTGATTCAATGCGCCTGCCTGGACAGAGTGCGGTTTAATCAGAAAATCGGAGACCTGGGAAACCCTGTGGAGGAATCCACCCTGCTCATGAACGCTACTCCCGAGATTTGTTTCCACTCTACCGGGATGGACAGAAACACTGAGGATATCTGGATAGCGATGCGCAAGCTCACGCGTATAAAGTATGTTTGCAAGCTTGCTTGAGCCGTAAAGTCGTATGGGATATTGTGAGGTCATGGACGTCTTGACCTCGTCGAATTTGATCCCTTGATCGGGTGCCATTGTGTGGCCGATGGAGGAGAGGTTGATTATTCGGACGTCGGAGGATGGCTCCTTTGCCGCCTTTTCCAGCAGTGGGAGGAGTTGACGGGTCAAAAGGGCGTGGCCCATATGGTTTGTGCCGAATTGGATTTCGAAGCCGTCCTTCGTGAGGCCGTGTGGAACAGCCATAATGCCGGCGTTGTTGACGAGGATATCTAGTCTGTCACACTCTCGCAGGACGATATCGCTCGCATTTTTGACACTCTCCAAGGAGGCCAGGTCAAGTTCTAAGAATGTGACGAAGTTACTTGAGTTTGGGACAGCGGCTGTGATTGCCTTCATTGCATCGTCGTATTTGGCCTTGCTGCGCGCAGCCAGATATATGCGCTTCGGGTTATGTTTGGCAAGTTGGAGCACAGTCTCCTTCCCACACCCAGAGTTACCCCCTGTCACCACAATAACCTTGCCAGTGAGAGAGGGAATATGCTTGTCCGGATCAAATTTGTGGACGTTGTCTAAAGGATTGAATAATCTCTGCATTGTAGGATGATGCTAGGCGAGTATTCCGGAACCAAGGGATAGGTTGCTGTGTGACTTGTGAATGATATTTATTTGAGTAAATAGAAATACGGTGCATGTACCGATTGCTACTTGCCATAATCATAACATGGAAGTATGTATTTATTGTTCTGCGCTTATATTGCATCGTTTCAGCGAACATCAACTGCACTGCCACAGAGCATGAGTGCAATATTACGCACGTATGCGGAACCGAAGTCGCCCAGGCTTGATGCCCTCACCAAAGGAAGCCAGTTTCAGGCATCCGTTATTCGAAAGGTTGTCTGATTTACTCGGGACCCAACCGCACATGGGTGTCAATACCTGATAGCCACCAGGCACCAGCATTGACCAGATACGGGCATATGGATAAAGCCGATACACGGAGCAAAAATCATAATCCCGAAATCAATTCGCAAGCAACTTCAGAATAGTATCTAGGTCCAAACCCTCCGGTATGAAGTCGGACACTGCACAGATCGATATCTAGCCGATCTTTTATCGCAAGCACAACCTAAGAGGGAGGGTGTTTCCGATATCTAAGCCCATGGGGTAAACCTACCCACCGAACTGCGTCAGTATTCAGCTCTCAATACAATGACCATGCTCGAGCAGGCACCATAAATCTCTTAATTCCAGCATTCGAAACCCAACTTTGAGGCTACTGTGAAATGCAAGGATACATTCCTTGGATTGCGTACCCGTTTGAAAATTAATGGGCCGACAGCCTCGCATAGCCGCTGAGCGAGCCAGAGTACCAAAGGCAATACTGCGAACGTGTGCCGAGGATTTAAGCTCATCAACTCAATGCTATCGTTGAGTGACACGCTGAGCCCCAGCAGATTTCATACAATGTCTGTTGGGGCACAGTTTCCATATCTCTTCATACATTACTCTAACATTAAGTGGTCCAAGGTATTTAATCTAATTCACTGTTCCAGGAACATACGTACTCATACACATTCCATATTCCAATTTGAGTATGTGGCATAATCTGAAGCATTCCTGTGACGCAGGATTTTCCCTTCTCTCTAGCCATCGAATTGATACAGTGGTGCGATTGGTTCAACATCTCGCCTCAAAACATGCTTGTTGAGATACCACGGAGCCTTATCCATATAATATTTAGCATGTTCTCTCGCACCAACATTGAAGACATCGTCGAGCTCTTCCAGCGTAAGGTTCTGCAATGAGTTAGTCCACAAGTATGTTGCAAACCCTAAACCACGCAAGGGTGAGACGTACCTTTGTTTCAGGAAGAAAGAAATACGCAATGAAGAACGCAGCGAAGTTCCAGCAAGCGTACCACGCGAAGGCGCCTTGGGGTCGGAAGGCTCTCACCAAAGCGGGCCAGGTCAGACTGAGAATGAAATTGAAGCCCCAGCAAGTGGCCGTGGCGAAACTCATACCAATGTCGCGAATGTACAGTGGGAAGGCCTCAGCAGAGTAGGTGAATGGTACTGGTCCCTCGCCTGGACTGTAGATGACCATGAACAGGTAAATTCCGGACGCGACCAAGCCCAATCTGAGGTCGCCTTCTGGTGCCCAAAAGGAGAAACCGGTCCACAGCAAGCATAATCCCATAAGAGGGAATGTTGTCAACAAGAGATTTCGACGGCCGAATGTGTCAATGGTATAAATCGCCGGAATGGCAAATAGCCAGTTGGTCACACCGGTGCCAAAAGATACCAATAGCGCATTCGATCGTGAGAAGCCCGAATCAATGAAGATTTGCGTGCTGTAATACGCGATGACGTTGACCTATGAGAATTAGTATCTGGTTCACGAGACTTCCATGATTCACTAACCCCGCAAAATTGTTGCATGAACATGACAAAAAATGAGGACTGCGCCGCACGTCGGTTGCGCTTAACGGTGAAAAATTCTTTCCAAAGATTCTTGCCTTCACGTTGGGCTGATTCAATTTCCAGCATTTTGTATGCGTAGTACATGTCACGAGCGGCTTGGATGTTGCTGGTTCGTAGTCTTGCGAATGCAGTGAAAGCTTTGTCAAATTTTCCCTTCTCCATATACCTGTCGATCGTTAGCGACTGTCGATTGTTGATAGGATTGCGAAGATCATACCATCGAGGAGATTCAGGGCAGAAGTACACTTGAATACAGACAAAGAATGGAGGGATCGCTGTGGAAGCAAGCATCCATCGCCATTGGGAATATTCGCCCAGGAAGTCGACATTTTGAAAGGCAAGAGAAGAAACAAACCCCAGCATGATGCCGAAAGCAGTCCACATCTGCCACATCATAGTCAAAGCACTACAAAACCAATCATTAGCATCGTTTCTCGTGGTCAACTGCTCAAGCAAGCCAACAAATCAAAGAGTCTTCAAATATTGCTTGCAGAGAGGATGATGGCGTGCAGAGCAGGAGTCACTCACCCTCGGATTGTCTTTGGCGCACACTCCGCAGCATAAACAGGAGTTGTACTTGATTTAGCACCTGTAGTTGTTATCCATTAGTATCTTTCAAATGATGTTTGCGATCTGGTAGGGAGTAAGTTTACACGTTACTTACCAACAGCGAAGCCAAGAGCAAAGCGAGCGATCAGGAGGTTGATCCATCTGGAACTACAGTCAGCAAAGATCCCTATCTCACCAATAACGGCACTTACGTGTTGGCAGCAGCCATCCAGAAAGAAGAGGCAAAAGATATGATGCATGAAATGAAGATGGTTCCACGACGTCCAAATAGTTTGTTTAGGGGAGCATTGGTCCAGCAACCTATGGCTGCAGAGAACAAGTACCTAGGAGAAATCGGATCAGCTGCAGTCTTTGTAGAAAGTGGGAGTCTTAGTGATTGATTTGACCCAGTGAAACTTACGGTGCACCGTTAAGGAGCCCTTGCTGCCACTCATTGGTAATACCAAATTCCTCGAAGTAGAAGACCTGGCCAACGTCAGTCAGGAATGCGGATATGGATTTATTGACAACTTGACTCACTTGTGCGCCATTCACAGCGGTCTGGTCCATACCCTGCACAATAGCAGAACCGGCACAGAGAACAACGAGGAAGTAAAGCATGAAAGGTTGTTTCCAACGATGAGTCTGTTCGTATCGCAGGATCTCCTTCTCCTGCTCGCTAATCTGTGTAACATGTTCGAACCCACCATCACGGTTGACGACGCGAGCCAGTAGGGCACCTTTCTGGAAATCGTCTCGGAATTGATCCAGTCCCTTTTCAGTTACGAACTGGTCGACGTCACGTAAGACGTCGGCTTCAGTCTTGCCTGCAAGAGGATTGCGAAGCTGGGCGGAGACGGAAGGCTGTCGCATTCGGAAGCTACCTCGTCGGCTGCCACTGCTTCCACGGCGGTCTGGGTCGCCGCCCTCTTTGTGGTCGGTACGAATGTCTTCATACTTGTCTGCAGCTGTCACTGAAGAGTTGGAAGAAGATCGGCGACGACCAGTAGGGTTTTGTGCTCCGTGAATTTCATTGCGTTCCTTCTCAGCTTCGAAGTCAACAGCTTCTGAATCAACCTTTGGAGGTGGCATGGCAGTCAGATCTTTGTCACAATGATTGGGTTCTGAACCTTTTCCAGCGATTAGATGGCGTCGGCCACAGAAGTAGAAGCGATATGAGCAATGGTCAAGCAAGCAATACCAAGCGGTGGCTAGAATGGTATTAAGAGACGGCCTGTCCCAGATTCGAAGCAATAGAAGCCACAACGAAAGTTGGGGGATTGAGAGTGGGTTTATTGATCACTAAGTACTTGAAAATCATGTTCTCAGCCAAGATGCTTGATGCCTCCACCATATGGATATGGAGCTATTGGAGGCCCTATCCCGCCACACATGATATATGAGCAAAGGCTTTTGGTATCCATGGTCTCCAGTACAATGCCGCAAACTTGCCTGCAGTGGAGATCGTGCTGCTAGGTCAATAGAGTCCAGCTACTATTGGCATACGTCAATAGGCTAGACCAAGACCTCACACCCACCGCATCAATGAGCGGGAGTTTGTGGGGTACCCACGGAGTAGCATCATACGCACATGGCATTGGGGTGAGGTTACAAGCAGTACGGAGTAGTGACAACAGATCCATGTCGAGCTACGCAATGGCATGTGGTGAGTTTGGAAGCACCATCGTGTAAGTGAAAGGAGTTCTACAAATTGAAAAGCCTTGACATACGTACTTCGGATTACAAGCAAAGGCTGATAGTGGGCCTATTTCCGCCGCTCGGCCTTGTCTGACATCATTTGGGACAGTTGCCGAGCCTTGTCCTTACAATTGACGACATGCCCAGCCTGGGCACCAAGGCTGAAAAAATCCGATCGACCATCTAACTTTCCCATCATCTGTTTATCGGGGATTGATCGAGACAAGATAAGGCGGACAAAACGGCATCTTTATCCACATCAATTCTTGTCTGAATTGGCACTCTGGACGTCATCTACATGCACAGAGTCTTTGCTCGGGAAAATGATCTTCCTAGAGGTTCCTTGACCGCCAGCTGTAAGAATTATCAATGACTGTGGACGATAAGGTGGGTAGTCCAAGGATTCACGTAACCACAGCTACTTGACTCAGTTGCAGACCCATATGATGCTCTTGAGGGCACATACTGCTTTGAGATTAAGTAGATTCTTGATATATATGATGGCTACCCCGCGGTCGCATTGCCGAGCTCGTAAACTCCCACGGAACACCGTACCCACGGCACGAGATGCAATTTGATGCGTTCAGATCACACGACAGCATTCGATCTCCAGTTAAGTTCCAAAACGCTTGGGGCAGACCAGCCAATTGATGATGCAGTGTGCTTCGGACAAAGCTTGAGCAGCATGATCCATTTCACAAAGTTCGACAGTGCCTCAAGTGTCTTAGCATCGTCGCTGGCGGGATGACTGCGATGGGATCAGGGGCAGTCGCCCCTTCAGGATGTACCATGAATGACTCCTCGTTACAGAAAAATCAAAGACTTACTCAGGGTGTTCTGTCTCTGGTGGTACAGGCTCGTGTCTAGCACCAGTTCTCGCCTGGTCATCTACCACGTCCATCGACTCTTTGAACGTGCGCCCGCATTTCCACTGCCAATATTTTGACTCAGCATAGCAGCGATAATTGTCCGCGTTCTCGACGGATTTGATTTGTTTTGTATGGAACGAGCCATACTCGTCGGGAGGAGTTGGTCCTTGAAAATCTCCGATCTGGGGAAATCCGATCTCTCCCTCGTCGATCAAATCGTCAAAATTGGGTACATTCTCCAGCAACCCTGACCAATGCAGCATTTCATGCAATAGTATGCCTCCAATACTCATCATGAGCTCCGAGTCATGATCACCTAGGCCATCGCAGCCCCAACCCGGGTTGCCTTCCTTCGCATCGAGGGGGTCAAATATCTCGTCCGGGGACGGGTACTGGCCAAACTTCATCACAAAGTGAGACCCAGGCCCAGTCACCCAATGCTTGGCTTAGGAATGTAAATGCCACCGGCGTGATACCATTCTTCGACATCCCGCAAAGCTGCTTCATTTCTGGTAAGTCAGGAGGATTTCCCACACTAAGTTCGAGGTGATTGAACAACGGTGCCATATCGTGAACAAGGGTACTTGAAAGTATTTCAATAACGGCGGTGTCGTCGAGTACCGTTGTTAGTGGTACATTCGCAATTGTTTTGAAAATGTTGTGGACGAAAACACCATCGACCGCTTTGAAGTACCGCTGAAAACCCTATGCGAACATGTTAATTCGTAAATAGATCACCAGCATCAAAAATACACCACGAAGATGTGATTCAACCCACCTCTTCGCAGCTATCAAAAGTTATCGCAACAACTCTCGCAAGGAGCACGGCATCTTTGAATGCTTGTTGCAGTGCGTCCTGCCTTTCTTGAATGGTATTTTCTGGCCAAGGGAAATTCGGTTGGTTTGCAGTACACCAGGTGATGGTGGTCGACAACAGAAGCAATAGAACTGTCCATTGGCGACTGATCCATCTGGGGATTTGGTATTCGGGGCGCATCTTCTGTGTTCCAATTACTGGTCGAGTCATATTCTATGGAAGAAGCTGGATTTGACTACATCAAAACGACCGGCATGGGGCCAGGTGTCAAGGCTGCCTTGATGATTCTTGAGACTGCCTCGTGAGGGAACTGTTTGGGCCATAACGTGAGTTATTTCAGTGAGGCAGCCGCAGCTGTTCGATTTTGTCACTAGCCATGGGATCATAGCGAGGGTGACTCAAATCCCTTCACGTCAGTCACTATTTCCAGTTGTGGCAGAGAACTGGCAACTCACAAGAGGCGAAGACTTGTCCACTCACGTTGACATGTGCATGCGAGGATCACAAACATATTTTACGAAGTGACATACAAACTCACTTGAGATGCGATGACTCAGGAGCACCTCGATGTTCACCTTTCGCATATAAATTTGCTTTTACTGCTTCTCCCCCATACCGGAGGGTTGTGCCTCCATTCAAAATCCCCTTTGTTTCAGCGGATGCGTCGTTGGGGATTTTTGCTCCTATTCACAGCTGACTAGCTAGCCGAGTTGTTCTTTTCGACGCTCCTACGTTGGATATCCCGATAGAAACTTCGACGATTGTGAATGAGAGTAGACATGGTGACAAAAGACCGTCTGCTCAAGCGAAAATGTCCCCTTGTTGCCGCTAGTATTGTCACTCGGCGACCCTACCAGGTACCTTCTAGAAGATTATCATATAATTGGAGAATTACGATGCATGAACCCTCGACCGGTCTACAACTCCAAGTTGTCATGTACTAAGTTCCACCCTACTTTCAGTTCTGTACTGCTCAGAAGCGCCATGATGGTCAGTATTGATTCCTTTGTTCCTTTGGGACAGATCTTGTCACAACATTCTCTTTCCTGTCTTATATGGATGTGGTCAACTTTCGTCGTCGCGTGTCGCGTGAGGTTTCCCCGGATTTCCCCTCTAGCGCCTTGGCAACGTGTCTGATTCCGACGTCGGTCGATCGTAGTTTGATTCCTGGATGATACCTGATATTGGAAGATTATCTTTCAATGACTTTGTATGGTAGGACATAAGGGGTGAGCATCTAGAATATATCACCAACCCCCATCCCCACAACATCTTCGACTCCGCCAGAGGCCAAAGTCGAATTTCTTGGTTCGAGTCGAGAGATGAAGCTCCGACCGTCGCCGCTCGTGTCTCGCTTGAGACACAACAGTTTATGGCAGCCGCGATGTCAGACACTCGTGCCTTTGAGTAATCGATCGAAGTACTCCTCCAGCTTTCATGGCGAAGTCAATATTTGGATGACGCAAAGGAGGGGCCTCGCAACAAGCCCCGCCAGGTTGAAACCGCCCACAGCACTCCCTCAGGTGATGGTCAACGACATGGCGAACCAAGAATTGCTGGTCGACTTCAACAGCGGAGCGGCGATGCGCTTCCCGTCTTTCTGGCTGCGCGACAACTGTCCATGTCCGGCATGTCAGCACCCGTCGACCCATCAAAGACTCCTGGACACCTTCGCCATCGACCCGGAGATCAAAGTCTCCAGCATCGAGACCACACCGGAGGGGCTTCAAGTGACATGGCCTGGGACCGAGAGTGACGCGCACAGGAGCATCTATCCCTGGGAATGGCTGTCGGGACATCCACCATTCAACCAGCCAAGCGCGACGCCAACTTCGAAAGGACAAGCGCCCCCCGCTTCCAACACTCAGCGGGAATGGATCCACGTCGCACCCAACAGTCCCAACACGACTCTCCCCCGTGTCTCCTACAACGCCATCACATCACCAACGTCCGCCACCGGACTGAAGCACTTCCTCTCCAACATCCACACATACGGACTGTGCTTCATGCCCGACACGCCGCCCAACCCGGAAGCGACGCAAACACTGATCGAGACCATCTCGCACATCCGAGCCACTCACTACGGCGGGTTCTGGGACTTCACATCCGAAGTCAACCCAATCGACACGGCCTACACCAACGACTACCTCCCACCACACACTGACACGACATACTTCACGGACCCGGCGGGCTTGCAGCTCTTCCACTGCCTGTCCCACACGTCGCTCGCGGACGCGACCGTCCCCGGAAAAGGCGGCGAGAGCACATTCGTCGACGGCTTCGCGGCGGCGTCACACCTGTACACGACCAACCCGGACCTGTACCACACACTGGCGACCTACCCAATCCTGTCCGCCGCCCAAGGCGACCCACAGCACGGGTCGTTCTACAACGACACGACGTCGCGCCAGGGCTACCCGGTATTCATCCACTCGGCACCCAACGGCAGCATCACATCGCCGTCGCCCTCGACATTGGTGCAGATCCGGTGGAACAACCTCGACCGCCTGTCGCCGGCGACGCCCGTGTTCCCGAACCACACGGCCCTGAAGAAATGGTATGGCGCTGCCCGTGCCTGGTCGCAGATTCTTGACTCGCCCGAATTTCTGCTCACCGTCAAGCTGCAGCCGGGCGAACCTGTCATCTTCGATAATTGGCGTGTGTTGCATGGCCGCCTCGGCTTTGAGGGCAAACGCCGCATCTGTGGTGCCTATATCGGTATGGATGATTTTAGGGCCAAATGTCGCAGTCTACAGGTCGAGTTGTAGATAGAGAGGCTGATTAGTGGATGATTCTGGACCGTAGGTTAAAGAGATGAAAATGAGTACGGCTGGAAGTGTATATCTCATGCATTGGTACGGACAGCAGATTCAGCATCAGACTTGGCAAAAGTGACAAGGCAGCAAACAGGATCTTTGATAGCATTAAAGTCAATTAACGAATGGAATTTCTGACAAGTACCTAATATTTGACATAGCTATCAAACCCATCATCGTCAACCCCAATGCGAGCTCAAGATATCTCCCACTCACTGAAAGGTACCGTGGTCATACAAGGATCCGAAGGGTCTCGAAGTGGATCAGCTTTGATCCGATATTCATCGACAGACGGGGGTTGCTACTCCGAGAACAGCTGAACCCACTCCGCTTGTTTGTCGAAAGTCTTGTACAGTTCTTTGGTAGTTGGTTGAATTCCTTGACTGATGTCTAACTCCTCACGTCGTTGACCAATCCTTCTAATCTCCCCACGGTGATAGTCAACGAATTGAGCAAGGCCATTCCGCTGTTGTCGAATACTGTCACTAAGCTCATCAAGCTTCTTGAGTGAACAACGCTGGACATCATCTCTGAGCCGTTGGTGAGTGTAGAGACGGGAGGATGTTTGCTCGATCTCTCGGTTTCGCTCTCTCACCATTTTCCGGATCAGGTCGAGTTCACCAAGATGGTAATTGAGTCGTGCTTCAAGCCCTTCTCTTGTGTCTGGTAGCTCATCTTCCAGCTGTGGCGGATTTTCAGAAGTAGGGCTCTTTTGGCTAGCAGATAGCGTGAGCTTCTGGAGACCCGAAACAATGCTCTTCAGACTGCCTATAGAGCCACGATGTTCCTCTTGTTTTGGTGACATGGATGAACTAGAATGTCCGCTGTCAATGCTAGAATTGTTGCTCCTCCGTAATTTGGTCAAAAGCGGGGTGATTATAGGTGTGCCGGTGGAAGGTGGTCTCTCCTCGATATCGAAATCAATAACACTTGTGCCGTCAAATGCAGGTGGGCGAAGAGGTCCTGATCCTCTACGACCTTGTCCTCGCGGATGCGTCCGTGGGACAGAAGTCACAGATCGATCGAGACTTGCGGTACTGGGCGGTGATGCAGAAACAGTGATAACCCGAGTGTGAAATTGTACAGATCTGCCCCGAGTTTCTGGCTCACCAGAAATCTCGACGGCTTCACCGTGGAGTGAGGTGAAACTCGATAGTGGAGGATCAGAATGCTCGTCAAGTAGGGGCGTTGTGCTGGGTCTCGGCTCTTCCTGTTCTGCTGGTCCGTTTGACGGTCGTGGAGGTGTGGCCTGGGGAGATGATTGAGGGCTTTCTTCATTGATTGTGGAGAGGGTTGTGGGATAAGTGATCTCTTGATCGTGACTGTTGCTCTCCTCGTGATTCCCGCCTGCTGGTGCTGAAACAAATGATTCACTGCTGGTGCTCTTGGATCTTTGTGTGGGTACTACAAAAGAGCCAAAAGATTCCGAGTACCCATCGTCATTCACTTGTTCTGGCACTGTTGTGATGTTTGGTGTGACTTCAACTAGAGTCTCGGCCTTTGAAGAGGTTGGGCTACCCAAATGTGGTGGAAGGATACCTCCTCTCTGGCTAATAGTCAGTCTGTGAATTACACGTGATTTGAGAAAGGATGGAGAGCACTCACTCTTTCCACGACGAAGGAGAGTTCAGGGCTTGACGTGGCAGAATTTCCACCGCTGTGAGAGTAGAAATTGAGACGGGTTTTTCGAGCTCGTTTGCTCTTGGAGACCAGTCGTTTGACTTGCTTGGTGAAGAAGTGTTTGACAGTCTTGAGGTGACGACAAAGTTTCTGGGTTTTGCTGGAAGTCGCCATTTTGAACAGGAAATACAATAAAAAATAATAGACTCTTTCCAAAATTACAGTGACTGACAAGCAGTGTTCCGCCGTCTGATGGCAGAGAGCAACATATACGAGATGGGTAGATAAAAGTGATTGATATGGTGCAAGGATGCTGTGTACTCAATTCATGGTCATGATCCTAAGATCAAGAGGAGGACAGAAGTCTCAAGACACGAAGGTAAGGTCACTGTCTCGTGTGTTGCGCCTGCTCTTACCGCTGTCATTCGACTGGTGCGGGAAGGCACATTTATTGAGTGCAGTATCAAAAAATGGAAGGGACTATCGCAAGAAGAGGCACTTCAGCCCCATCCTGCCAAAGTCCAATTGACCTTTTCGCCTGGCTTGGACGTTATGGCTCGTTGCGTAACTGCCGCATGGTCCACTTCACGATGAGCACCATTCAAGCCATGAGTAAGAAACTTTTCCCTCTCAATTTCAACAAATGATTTCGCCTTCAAGCTTGAGACGAGGCTGGCGGCAGCCCAAGGGCCTAATGACTCCACCTGCTGGAGTGCCGCAGTCACATTTGATTTTGCCTTCTGGCGGAGGAGTTGGTCTTCCCATGGTACACCTTCAGCGGGAATTGTGGAATGATACCGGGCATCAGCAGGAGTAGCTCTACCGTGTGCGAGCTCGCTGAGACCACTCCTCTTGGAGTTGATATTCTTGCCACGCACGGCTGTCCAGCCGTACTGCTTCATCAAACTACCCACAGAGCGAAGAACGTATTGGGATAAGCCTCGAATGCTGGATGCTTGTCTGCCAGAAAAAATAATGCGAGAAATGCAGATACTCCGCACATCTGACGAAATTGAAAGTAAACTCGTGTAGATCAATAAGTCGATTGGTTGTTCGTGATCGTCCGGGTGGTTGTCATCTTGAGATCCAGTAAACGCATCCAGGCATGCGGTTTGGAGAGCTCTTCGCGATATCAGCACTCTATGGACGGAAGTACTGGTGGGCCAGTCAACGGCAAAGGTTTGTGAAGCACCATCTGTCGCTGGCTTGGCACCGTCCTTCACCAGATCTATCGAAGCCGTCTTTTGCTCAAGATCTTCCTCTTCTGTGGGAACCAATGCATGACATGCTCCCGCACGAAGAATGAACTCCTCCACGAAATCAAAATCTAGCCGTAACAAGTCTTTTATCGAGTCATTCTGCTGGAGTCTGACCGTCTCAAGAAATTCGGCGATCTTCCACACTAGCAACTTCATGGCTCTAGTACTCCTTCTGACGTGAACCTCACGAAACTCATAGATGGATGTGACCACTGTCTCCTCCCAGCCAATGTCGATTACCAGACCGGACCGTAACCCAGCCGACGCAACGGTCATCGCAGGCGTAGGAAGGAGGGTAATGGATGAATACTTGAACTTCTCAAAGCACAGCCTCAAGACTGTGTCCAATACAGGAAGTGGCACCAAGCTCGGTAGCACCAGGATGAGCCTTACTATTCCCGCATCCACGAGCAGGTATTTGTTATGGGCTTCTCTTACCGCCCGCTCAAGTTTGTCCTCAACCAGGCCGAGGTCCACATCTCTCAGGTCCGCCCTCCAGAGCTCATACTCGCTGCTCTTTGTCTTAACATCTTCCTTCCTCCGACTGTAGCCTGGCAGATAACTCCTGTAGTCACCAACGCGTCGATTGGTCTCGGGGGTGAAGCGCAAGCAACACTGCGGCCCACTTTCGCCCTGAAAGCCAACGAGGACGTAGCGTGGATCGAGCTCGATGATTATTGGGTCATCCTCGGTGCGAAAGAGCGAAGAGCCTGGTGAGGAGTGGGCGGAGGAGATATGTCTGGTTGGCGGAGTGTGTGGTAGTGCTGTTGTTTGGCGTTGGCGGTCTGGCAAACGGTCGCGTAAAGTGGCGCTGATTGCACTGGCCCAGGGAGTGCTCATGGTCCAAGATACCTTGGAAAGCACGGGCACACCACTTCGCCCACCGCGTCACAGGATGCTTTAGTCAATAGGCCCAGTCGCTCATTTCGTGAATGGTGGTCAAGATTATGTCGCGTAGGAATGAAGCCTGCGACTCTCTGGTGCGGGGTAAAAAATATTTGGAGTAGCAGTGCATAAAACATTGATGACTCAGCGCCAAGACATCCGCCATTCCACCTCGGAGCGTTGTACCAGGTTCTAATCCAGAGGTAGGAGGTACTTGGGTAGGTGAGATACCTACGAGTACGTGTGGCCACCAGGCTGTCGCATGTAAATCAGAAAGATTCAGGCACACACCGACTTTAAATCATACATTCATCCAAGCGTAGGCCACTAATGCCCTGTCACAACGCCATAGAATCTGGGGTTTTGGAGACTCGTAATACCAAAGTACAAACGAGGTATTAGAGCTACAAAGCTTCATTCAACCCACGTCCGTTTAATCATGCCCATAGTTTCACAGGATGGAAGAAAGCTCTAGATTACCTCGGGAAAGGAGAACCCAACAGGCTCCCGTGTTGTGAACGTTTTACCAATCGGTAGTGCTTGTTCAATTGCGATCGAGAACTGTGGAAATCGCAAAAGTAGCCGTGGAACCGCGGTGTACGATCATATCCTAGCATCGACGGCTTACAAGCCGGAATTCAAGGCAAAGTAGACCTCGAACTTCACAGCTAAAACACGTCATTGTAGTGGATTTCCCGTTTCGAAGGGCGAGAAATTAAATGGTCGCTGGTCTTTAACCCTTTCTTAGGTAGTCCAACGGCGCCGGCGGTTGGAAAATGCCAATTGTAGTATATCATGCCCTCGACTACCTCGCTATACTGTGCCATACTATGGGAACACTCTTCTATCATAATCACATAAGTAAACCGAACAAAGTGTGAGAAGGTGCTCGTCTCTTGGCGGCGAGATTCCGACAAGTGGTCAATCCTCAGCCTGTGGCGCAAGTTGCTTTCTCTCATCTTTGAAGGCCCCTCTATCGATTCCAACCTTGCAGCGTCTTAGGGGGCAGTTCACCGGCGAAGCCGTTCATGAAGGTCGAGACGTACTTGTAGAAGGCGATGTTTTGAACCAAAGCGGCAGCGCCCGGCTTGCTGAGGACCTCGACGGCCTTGTCCCAGAGCTCCAGCTTAAGCGTGCCGATTTTAAGCGTCATCTCCTTGGCTACCTCGAAGCAGACCTTCTCATCTTCTTTGAGGCTCGCGGGGCACTCGGCCCTCTCGATCGTGTTCAGTTCATCTGGCGTGAACCCCAAGGTTGACGCCTGGATCTTGTGCAAGTGTACCTCCACCGGAGTCTCCATCAACGTGCTGACCAAGATAATGATCACTTCGCGGCACCGTGGCGATATGCCCGGCAGCGCCGCCAGGTTCTTGGAGAACGTCACGAAGGGGAACACCAACCCGGGTGTGTGTAGCAACACTCCAGAAGGACCGATCGCCTCGCCCGTAGGCATTTTGAGGGAGAGCCTACACGAGTGACGGCAAGATTAGTGTTTCAACTTCCATCGAGAATAGATGCCAATGTCCGATTGAGCGTTACAGCTGGAATGGTTGACACGCCGCTCGGGTTATCTTGGAGGTCTTACAAATCTGCGTATTTTCTAGTTGTGTGACCGTCCACCAACTCATAGGCTTCTGTTTGCAGTGGCGTCAGTGCCGCCGGCTTGATCAGGCCAAGTCGACTGGTCATGTTGTCTTATGGTTTTGGGCGTTTATGTGATGTTCGTTCGACGCGAAGCCTGTTACTCTCTTACAGGAGGTGTATGAGACTGGCGCACCAGTTTCTTTGTGTTGAATCTGCCTCAATATCGATTAGCAGCTGTTTGCAGAGACGCGCACTTTATTCTTCTCAGGTGGCGGTGGTCGAGGTCAAATGTGTGGGACAAAGTCTTTGCTGCTCAGTCTTCGGGCTAGGTTGCGAAGTATACCCGACACAGGTTGCAGAAGTAATTGGACCACGAGAGTCACATACTTTCCACCAAGCACCGTTGCATCTTCTACTGCTTGTACTGAGTGATGGCGGCCGCTGAAGAGTACCGTCACAATTTGAGACAGTGAAAATGCCGGCCTAGTATACTATCTCCACCAATCAACACACAGTTCGTAGGCCACTTCTAGTGTAGCTCGAGATATCTCCGGCCCGAAAGATCGTCGCACACATCAACAGCCATACTTTCGGCCCGACGATTTGACCTTCTCTGCAAATGTCAAGATCCGTAAATTGAACATTCTTGATCCTGATGTTCTTGGAACGTGAGTTCGCAGACACAGAGAAATGACGGAGAGGAATTCCTGGCTAGTGAAAATCATTCCTGACACCCATGCAGACTCATACGCCAGCAAATCGGGTGGGACGCTCGTGAGTTTCGAACAGGAAGGGTTGGAGGATGAAGATTTCGCATGAGAAGCGCTGCGATGCTGAGTTCTTGCGACATGGGCCCACTCGTCAGCTGATGATCAACACTGCGGCTTCATAAGATCCAAGAGTCGAAGTCGGTTGCTTGCGAATGGAGGTGCTCAGTCTACAGTGTCATCAGTACGTGCGTGGACTGCATGTCAGTTTCATCAGAGCTCACAGCATTTGCCACTCCGGAATAGTTTATTCCGATGTCGTGCGGGACTTGAATAGGAGGTTCAGGAGCTACCAATCGGGCGTGGTCGGCCACGTTGCGAGCGAGCGCTGCGACATTCCGAGCAAAAGAACAGCTGAATTTGGAGCCGGTAACGAACTCCATCTGCCCAAAATAGCCTGCTGCAATGTCGAGAAGCGCGAGATCTGACTGAACCGTGGGCAAGCACGGATTGTCGATCACGTAAATGAAGAGATTCATGAAGGCACGCATGGGCAGATGCAAAGTGAACCTTTAAAGTTGGTGTAAGCATCCAGATACACCCATCCCTCCTCCAGACACTCACTTTTGTATGCCGATAGTGTCCATATCCAAGCTCCTAGTCATGACGATAAGACTTCGGGCGGCATTGGCGACGAGATGCGAACTGGTCATTATCTGAGCATTGAGCTTGCAGGCAAAGTTCGGATCTCCGTCACTAGAAAATGACGAAACGACCCATGGATACATGAAAATAGAGTGAGTGACCATTAGAAGGTCATAGAAGGAGCTGTGGACTGACATCAATCCCAACAATCTCAGGGTTCCAGGCATTGTGAACTGTCTCAAAAATTCTGTGGGTCGTAGCTGTGAGGGCATCGACTCTTTCCACGTTCGGAGTTGTAGGTCAAATTGCCTCACAAAAGTCAGCATCTTCGCAGGAGGTTCGTGGTGTGCACGTATGGCGATGAGCTGCTTGTTGACTTGATCATATAGCCGACAGGTTTCAATAGTATAGGTGAACATTTCGACATCAATCCTACTTCCAGGGTAGACTGTCGTGGGGATGTCGCAGGTGATATCATCGTCGTTGATTACCTTTGCGTCTCGTTAGCTAGCAACGACACACAGACTTTGATAATATCTACCGAGGGCTTGCATAATCGTTGTGCAATGTGTTTCTCGGCACAGTACACCGCCCAGAAGAGCCATCCTCGCTGGAGAGATTCGGAGTCGTCATGCATACCGGCGCCACCCCTATTCCGGTGGAGGCCGAGCGAAAGGGCATGGAGAGCGGCATTGGATATCAAGCCAGAACTCAGCGCTGTGGCTGATAGACTTTCTGCGAGAAGTGTCTGATGGTTTTCCTGGCTTAGTATATCTTCCCATATATTTTCGGGATATTCGACGCACCATGATTAAGAGAGCTCTAACAGAACGCAGTGTTGGCTTAGTGAGCAATAGCTCGCTATGGACGGAAAGAGCATTCGCAAAGTAGCCCTGACACTCCCTCTGGATGTCTAACGAGTTGACAGCTGAAAACTCGGAACGATAGATGCGACAGCCAGCTGCATAAATCACGTTTCGAAGAGCGTACCAGGTCGGATCATGGTAATGTATTTGACCCGAGAAATGAGCTCGCAGGTGTCGTTCGAAACTAGGTCGGTACACCATTTCCCACAAATTGCCAACCGAGTGCTCGAAGTAGGCTGACGTGGTCAGTAATAAAGCTATCTAATGGCTCGTCAGCAACGATGCATACCATTGCAATACGTCCACGCCAGATGTGGTTTGGGCTCCTCGCATCTGGACGCCGGTGGAGCAGGATCGAGTTTCAACTGCTGGGCCCAAATAGCTTTCAATCCGACAGCGATCTGGTCAAACTCTTCCGATCTAGTTTTTTGGCGCATCCAATCGACTGCCGGACCCGAGCAGACCGAAAGCCAATCGCCGAAGCCTGTTAGAGTTACCTCAGTTGTCTATATCGAAGAGCTGTCCACAGACCATAATTGTTTGCGGCGACCTGCAAATCGGATTAGTGTCATGCTTGCTCCACGTTGGGTAGGGCATTCGGCTTACACTTTCGGGATCTGCTGGAGACGTTGTATCTTGGACATGTGAAGCCGGGGTTTGGAGCGATTCATAGTCCTGATCAATCGCCGCGGGGCTTCTTAAGGGAGACAGAATAGATGAAATAGGTGGGGTGGGTGTGATTCCTGGGATGTCGAAGAAGTCTCCATATAGTGGCCAGAATTCTGCGTCCTCAAAGACATGATGCTGGAAGCTGAAACTGTCGAAGTGCGGCGGCGGCTGGTGCTCGTCAGGCGTTGATTCGTTTTGACGCGAAGCCAGTTCACTATAGATGTCCCTTTCCTCTGCCATAGATCTCACTCTGCGATGCTCGGTAGTAAAACGACTTGTTGAATGAGAATAGATAGGGCAAGAAGAGGGAAAGCACCATCGGAGGAAATAGTGACGGGTGTTGGTCTTAGCTAGTTGAAGCCTAAATCTCATGACTGAGCCAAGCCAAATAGCACTGCGATGGCCTCGGCCGAGGCCAGTTCAGCCTCAGTTCGCACGCCTAAGTTAGCCCGAGGCCCCTGCTACACAGGCAAACAGTCCCCTATCGCACATGCCTCAAACGTGTGATGTTTTTAAGTAAAGGGCAGCCCTCGGGCCACCTCGCAACCCCAAATGCTTCCCCGTCCTACCCCCGCGCCACTTAGACTAGATATGTCCTTGCTTTTACCCTGGTGGGGTGATGCAAACCCTAGGTAGGGAGCTATCGACATTAACTACGCAGTCACGGATACTTAGACAGTGCAATCAGTTTATCGCAGTGGCTGATTCAGTTGGTATCTTCCCCTTGATTCAAAGCTTCCACGTCCAGGTCTGACATTCTGGCCATTCGCTGGCTTCGGTTTGGATTGCAAGGCTGCGGCTCAGCCTCGCTGTGTCAGGTCCTAAACCTAGTCCTAGTTGGGGCTTGGGCAACTGCCTTGGTTTTCTCCGCTGGAGATTCTACCCAAGTACTGAACTTGGTCCCTCCTTCATCTAGCCTTTTATCTTTCCATTGCCCATTTACTCTGGCGCCTGGGTTTGCGATATGTGCCGCCCATCGCCGACTTGTCAAGACTGAATATGCCACCCCGCATGTCTGAACAAACTGAGAAGCAAAAGAGCGACAGGGTAGCCATAGCGTGTTTGACTTGCAGATTCCGCAAGGTACGATGTAAGAAGGCTTAGTATCCTTTCACCAAGCGTCTAGCCTACTACCTAATATGCGACAGGTTCTGGTGGCAATCCATGCAAACTTTGTTCGAAATTAGCGACAGAGTGTGAATACCCACCGAAGCAACGCCGGAAACCGACCAAGAAGATACGAGACGTACATTACGTGGCTGATGAAACGGCGATCAGCTCAGCTCAGGAAGAACGCGAGGCTTCTGTCCCAGAGGGCCACTCCATCTTGCATTCCCGCAAACAGCCTCGTGGGCCTCAGGACAGTGACACTCGACCTGCCGGCGCTGCACGTACCATCTCCGTAGCAAGGAGCGCATCGCCCACCCGAAACCTCACAGAAAGCGTAAACCAAACGTTAACAACAACTTGGCCTGCGACAGCTCAGATTCGAAGAGACGATGCTTCTGTGTGGCTCTCGCCTTGTATCAATGCCGGCATTGCGTGGGTTTGTGAGAAGACCGGGGAGCAAAGCTTTGCCAAAGTTGCAGAACGTTTCACCAGAATTGCAGAAGAACTATTTCCAACCAGGCCATGCACCTTCCCAACTCCGACAAGCGCTGAGCCGACCGAGGCAACGGCTTGGGAGTATGTGAATGGTAAGCGTTCTTCCTCGCAAATGAAACCCTCGTCTAACTAATGCCCTCGGCAGCTTTTTTCGAGAACTGTTGGGAAGCTCGATTGGGGTTTGTCCACCGTCCAGATTTCGAGGCGCAGCTCCAAGCTCATTTTTACGGTGCCTCCTCTTCGTCTACCGATTGTGCCGCTCTAGCTCTTCGAAACGTGATCTTTGCTGCAGGATATCGCAGTATATTGGCCAAGAGGCCAGAAATCTCCTTTACAGCAGCTCAAAAAATAGTCTGGCAAGGCTATTTTCAAAACGCTCTATCAGTCTTGACCGGACTCCTGTTGCCGCCTTCAAGACTGATGGCGGTTCAAGCTCTGGCTTTAATGGTAGGCAAAGGCTATAAGTAGAAAAATGCGGAGCTGATAGTACGTCTAGGCTTGCTACGTAGAAGGACTTGGCAGTTTGGGAATTCAGCGTGTCCTGTGTCACAATGCAGTACACGCCGCAATCACACAAGGCTTGCACCTTGACTCCACCCAGCCGATAGACAATTCACCGAACGAGCGCCTCAAAAGAGCCTGGCTGTGGTGGTCGATCTACGCCTTTGAGAAGCATCATTCCATCACCAATGGAAGACCGTCAATGATTGATGATTACATTATCAGCGTTCCGGTACCAAGGGAAGTGCCCCCAGGGAGTGTGGTGGACGTGGAGGCCACCGAAATTGCGATCCGTCTCGCGAAAACATGCTCACGACTCTTACGGGAAATCCTGTCGACCAAAGCGTGGGGTATTCCTGCTCGTGAATTACAAAAAGCCGTGATGGATACTGACAAACAATTGAAAGCACTGCTCGACAGCTTACCTCTAGACCTTCGGGTGGGCACTTTGGCGAAGCTGTCGGAAGCGACATATCCAACGGCTCGCCGCATTTACGCCTTCTACCTTCATTTTTCCATCCACGGCAGCTTGTTGGCCATACACGCCCAATTTTCCTATCCATGGCTTTCGGCCAGGCTTGCAGGTCACCTTCCAGATACCACTCTGGACGCACAGAGCGCGTTGTCATCCGCCATTGCCGCGGAAGCAGCCCGAAACATTTTACTGGCCATCCGAACGGTAACATCGAACGTGGCGACTCCCACTTGGCTGGCTTTCAATTATCCAGTTTATGCACATCTGGGCCTATTCATTCATGTGTTAAGGTATCCAAACTTACCTACCGCGAGTGCCGATCTCGGTGTATTAGACATCTGCGCCGGGCACTTTGGACATATTGATTTCATGACCTCCTCCGAGCTCTCAGTCTCATTGCCAAGGGAATCGGTTCATCTTGCCGCAAAAGTGGTGAAAGCTTTTCAACTAGGCCAGGATCAGCTCGCCAGCCTGAACCATGATCACGAAGATCAGAGCGCAGATTTGCAGACCAGACCAGAAGGCACGCACGGATCTAAGCACTCACAATCACTGACGGCTACGAGTTCGACGAGCCAGGTATGTTAACGCTTTACTACCAACCGCTTACAACTCCGCTGACTGCATTCCTTCGCAGGGACATCTTCCACAGATTAGCTCAGTGGGATGGAATGCACTGCGATCATACGATACTATGGGCATCAATGATCACACTCACGACGACTTTTGATCCGTGACGTACTGTAATAAACACGGAAACTTCCATGCAATCAACTGTTGGGGTTTTTGGTTCTGGAACATCAATGGACCTGTGTCTTCACGGACGGCTAAGTGCCCCAAAGGTTCCTATTCGACGCACGGTGAATGTCTATTCTGTCTATTCTACTGCTACACATGCCGCAGCGACACCGAGGACGAAACCCGGAGACCGCCAAGCTCACAGAATCCGAATCCTACAGTCTTGTAAGATGCAAAGCCGACTCCGCCGGCTCAGGGTTCGTTCAACTCAGCGTAGTACGAGCACGAGGTGAAAGTCTTCATTGTAGGACAATGTGCCACCGAAGAGCCAGGGCCTCTTGATCAACTTTACGGGCCGGACGTCTCGACTAAGCGAAAAGTGTTACGGGCCGAGCTGCAATGTGGGACGTTGAACGAGAGTGTTACGGCCCGAGATTTTCATGTGGCGTTCATTCCCCGCGGGGGAGAATTACTAGTGCTGACATGGGTTGGCAGGCTGTGCTTCTCCAGATTGAGGTTGATGAAGCCGCTTGCTGTGGGTGACGCAGATGACTGGCGTATCCAGATGCCCCGCGGACGACCTCTTCGGTGCTCTCTGGTCATTTCAGAGGAACCCTAGGACGCTAGGCTCAAACTCATACAAACCCTGGAGCGTATTCGCGGTTGATGTTTGCAGATAACGGTCCGGAGGCGATGCTTATGATGGGAATTTACCGTGATGCAACTTTCACCCCAACCTACAGAGCACTGTAGCCCCGAGTCGCTTCCGCCAGTCTGGTCCCGACCCCATACCCCCGGTCAGAAAGTATTAAAACCCCATACCCCGGAACAATACCAGCGACGGCGTTTCCATCTCACAAGCTGGAGCCCTCATTTGGAACATTTCTGCTGCACAGTCTGCCGACCATGACTGCAGAAACCAATACTGTCGCTCCCGCCATTGAGCACGGCCTTCAACACCCCGTGGAGGCCGAGTCTAAGACACATGAGGAGTACGAGCTGAAAGAGGACGAATACATCGATTTCAACAACGACGGCAACCTTCACTTCGAGCAAGACGCCGAGCCTGAACTGCACTGGCGTACTTGGTTCGCCATCGCAGCCATGCACTTGTTGGTATTCACTGCCGTACTTGGTTTACAAGGACCGGCCGCGGTCGTATGTCGCGACCCTCTCAAGTGTCAACGTACCGACGTCGAACTCCTGCTAACCCGTCGTTGCATCACAGCTGTCTTTCATCGGAGCAGACCTCCACAACATTCCCCTCGAGTCGTGGATCGTCAACGGCCTGTCTCTCTCCCAGGCCGTCATCGGGCCCGTCTTGTGTACCGCTTCCGATACCTTTCAGGCCAGAAAATCCATCCTCGTCGGCGCCAGCGCTATTTCCTTCGTCGGCACGACAATCGCTCCTGGAGCCACCGACATCTACCGTGTGATTGGCGCTACTCTCCTTATTGGGGTGGGTTTCGCAGCGATACCTCTGGCCTATGCTGTGCCCGCAGAAGTCCTTCCTCGCAAATGGAGGCCTTGTAAGCCAACTTCCTCTACTACCAATTCCATCTGCAGCTAATCAGGATCACCTTCAGTTCTCCAAGCCACCATCAACGCTGCTGCTTTGTTGTCCACCGTGGTAGGGCCATTTACGATCGGCGCTCTCACGAAGCGCGACCCCCATACTGGATGGCGTTATTTCTACGTAAGTCTAGGCCGCTGGCTTTCACGGCGCAAAGCTGACATGGATGAGTTTAGTGGTTTCAAACGGCCTTGTGGGGCGCTGTGACACTCTTTATTCTAGTCGGCTATCGTCCTCCAAAACGTCACACTAAGCTGGATCACCTCTCCTTCTGGCAGAAGGTTGGTCAGCTTGACCTCGTTGGTTTCTGCCTCATCGTTATTGGTTTGACTCTCTTCCTTGTTGGGGCTGGCTTTGGAGGTGGCAAATTCACCTGGCACGACCGTCGTGTGCTTGCGCCTCTGATCGTCGGTATCGTCGGGCTCATCTGCTTCGGTATCTGGGAGTGGAAGGGCACGTCGACTGGTATTCTGCACCACGATCTCTTCCACCAAGGTCGGGCCAAGGCTCTCACATTCGTCATATGTACCTGCCTACTCACCTTCGAGGGTCTCCTCATCTTCTCTCACGCCATCTTCTTCCCTCTCCTGTAAGTCTTGTCCTCCTTGAAACGCATTCTGCGCGTTACTCCGGCATTTGCTGACCATTTGCATAGCACACGGACTCTCTATACCCAAGATCCGATTCAGATTGTCCTTCGAGGCCAGTCGGCTTGGCTTACCTGCTTCTTGTCCACCCTTCCCTGGGGTTACCTGGCTACTCGGCTCCAAAACATCCGATATCCCTTGATGGCGGGCTTCACGCTAGTCAGCATCGGCATGATTGGTCTCTCCACGTGGCAACCGTCGCAGTCTGGCAAGTCTCTTGCGTTCTCGGTCATCTATGGCTTGGGACTGGGAGCCCCCTTCGCACTTGCCGTCAGTGGTGCGCAGTTGGTCGTGCCCCATCACGTCCTCGCCCGAGCTTCGGGCGTTTTGTCTTGTGGTCGTGCCTTTGGCGTCGCAATCTTCACCGCCATCTTCTACGCCGTCTATCACAGCGCACTGGGCAACCATCTGCCCAAGCAAGTCGCCGCTGCCGCTGCCGCTGCCGGGCTTCCTGCCGCCTCGATCAAGGCATTGGTTGCCGGCTACAGAGCCGGATCTCCACAGGCGGTCCTCGCCAACATTCCCAACGTCACGCCCCAAATCCTCAAGGCAACTCATTCGGCCTACGAGCAGTCGCAGTGCGACTCTGTCCGGCTGATATTCATTATCGCTGCGGTCTTTGCCTTCCTCGGCGCCGTCTTCAGCTTCTTCATCTGTGACTTGCGGGACGCCATGACCTACACGGTCGAGGCGCCCATGGAAAAGCTGCACGCGAAGAGGCAGCACCACGCTTCCGTTGAGGCCCACGGTCATGCGTGAGATGACCAGTCTAGAAAGGAGAGATGCTTTTTGGAATTTCTCCATTCTGCAATTTCAGTGGCAGGCTGTGTTCGATGGTGGGGGCTTTTAGTCGTCAACGTTGCTACTTCTCACGACATGTACCTAGTCTTCACTTGAGAGTGTTGTTGTCTCAGAGGATAGCTGAGTAGATTTTCATAGCATGTGATCAAGAAGCATTCGAGTGGTGTTTCATGAAAAAGAAATCTCTTTGCACCTGACTTCCGAAGCTTTGCTTGAACGCTGCGTGGATGTGCGGCACTAACAAGGTGGTTGGATTGTGATTTTGTTTGTACGATCTCTATTTACTACCGCAAGCTTACATCTATCGCCTGTCTTCCGAAGTGATGGAGAAACATTGGAGAACTACAGGACGGAATGTATATGATATCACAGGTAATGGTCTCTCCCATAAGCCTGCTGTCTGAAAATTTTCATTTTCTGGTGGCTCGATTGATGCGTTTTGCTTATTCACATAGATTCTCGCCTCGACGCTAAGCTAATGGGGACCTCTAATGCCTTCTCTCCAGACAGCAGCGATGCCTTGATCCTCCTCCCAGAGAGCCTCGACACCTTTACCAGCGAACAAGTCGCCGTTGACGAGAAGCAGATCGGCGCGCAGACCGTGAGCGACGCGGCCACGGTCGTGGAAGCCGAATCTGCGCGCCGTGGTCGACGTGCAGCTGGCCAAGGCCTGTTTCGTGGTCATGCCGCAGCGCTCGATGTAGATGGTGAGTTCCATCCATAGGCCGGGGCCCAAGGCGGCGCCGGGGACGCCGCCGATGTTGTCGGTGCCCGCAACGATATCGCCGCCCTGGGCCATGAGTTGCTTGACGTTCTCGACGCCGTACTCGATCGAGGCCTTGGGGTTCTGCTGCGACGCGATGTGCATGACACCCAGCAGGGTGTTGCGGTTGATGACCACGTCGTCGAACATGTCCAGCCGGTCGTAGATGGCAGCGAACCGCTCGCGGTAGTCCTGCAGCTCCGTGGTGAGTGCGCTCAGGGCGCAAAAGGTCGGGATCAGGAACGCCCCGCTCTGCTTGTACAGCTGCATCAGGTTCTCCGTCGGCGCCTGGTCGATGATCATGTGTGCCAGCCCGTCCACCCCGGCCTTGAGCAATACCTCGGTCATGTCCACGCTCAGCGCGTGCCCGACGGCCGGCAGCCCGTGCTCGTGCGCGCAGTCGACGACGGCCTTTTGCAGTTCCAAACTTGCCACCGGCACCGAGTTGGTTTCGAATTTCAGCGAGCAGCAGTTCTCCTGCATCAGCTTGATGTAGTTGGCCCCATTCGCTTTGTGGTCTTTGATATACTCCGGCACCGTTTCCACAGTCAGATTCGGCCATTTGGCCACGCGGGCTTCGAGCTAAAGTAGGCAGAATGAAATTGTCAGCAGTCCTCTTTCTTTCATTACGATTTTGGCATCATCGGCCGAGAGGCTCCCGATATAGTTCGTGCACATACTCTTGCGGGGTCGGTGTGGTGGTGCGACAGCACGACCGGCTTCGGCCAACCGCCCTGGATGGTCGCCGCCAATAGAGCTGTCTTCAGGTCGGCCATGTGGACACGGCCGTCCTTGCCCTTTGACTTTGCCTTGGTTGTTTCCTTCTCAATGAGGTCTCGGAGGTTGTTCACGCAGTACGGGTCGCTGTGGAAATCGCACACCGTCGTGACGCCCGCTCTCATCGTCATGCGCAACACGTCCGAGTTGCCGACACCCTCAGGCATGTGGATATCCCAGCAGTGCATGTGGCCCTCGATGAGGCCGGGCAGGAGCGTCTTGCCTGTGCCATCAATCACCTCAGCGTCACCTGTTGCCTGAGGGGGCCCCGAAGTGGTCGACACAGAGTCGATGGTTCCACTGACCTGGTCGAAGACGACGGTGGCGTTCTCATGGATCTCCTCGCCATCGAACAACTTGACCGAGTGGATGATGGTTTTGGGCATTTTGGCTGCATAAACTAGAAAACTTGGCAGGTAGAGGCAGTATTGACCGCATCGTGAAATCGAAGGGAGTAAATTCGAATCGTCGCAGAGTGCATTTGTTGGGTTTATACTCCAAGTAGCCAATAAGTTGGATTTCCACGGAAGAGGTGGTCGGTACTGTGAGCCCATGGTCTCCTTTGATCTGTTCGGCCCGACATATTTTCACGGGCCGTCAGTTCGAGGGCTAAATCAAGTATGGTAGTAGAATTTCGAGACAGCATCGCGGTCTACCCTCCAGGGGCCGGTACCCTACAGGCTCGGCAGAAGTTAATGACATCTGTCAAACACCTTCTGCATCCGTTCTTCAACTATCGTGGCGCATATCTAACCCTCTGAACGAAACATGGATCGGAGGGGAAAGGGCAACAGCACGCCCTGGTCCAAAAGTCTGGATGAAGAGCCTTCATTCGAACATTCAAGTTGGTGCAGGATCGCTGCCTAGCATGAGAACAGAGATCCATTTTCCAAGGGCCGCGGAGGATCCTGCGCGAGTACAGTATGCTATGAGTATCTTCATCGTAAACCGTGGGGATGAAGCTGCTTCGAGACCTGCTGTTACTATACTTAGATCATCAATCCAGATGCCGTACATTCTTCCACATACCCAGATGTACAGGCCTTGACTAGACTCCCACATTGTCGCAAAGCCAGGGGTGTAGCTTCCTTGGACTCTAGCTTTGTTAGTGTTACCGTCGATCGGGACATGGCGATAGACTATATAGACAGAGTCTGATGCAATCGAACGCGCACATCTAAATGGATTTGAGCCATGATGGATACTCGGAAATGCGTACGATCATTTTTCTTGTACATGCTAATCAATGGATTGCTGACAGTCAATTTCTACACGCTCGACTCTCGAGTCTAAGAGTAACAAGAAGCTTTCTCATTCTCAATCCCATTCCTTCCCCTGACCTCCCTTCCCACACCTAGCGTCGCATCACATCAGGTCAGCGATTTCCATCCCTTCACGAATCCCACATGACCTCGCCCAACTGCAGCAGGACCTCCTGCATGCGTTTCCGCGCCTTGATGCTCTCCCCGCGGTCCTCGCCGCGGAGTTTCGTGCTGAACCACAGCTCGATCAGCGTGCGGAGCTCGTCGTATGTATAGCCGACGTCGTGCGCTTTGTCGCCGGTCTGGCCCTGGGATTTCGTGTCCTTGATGTACTGGATGACGGAATCTGGGCCGCTGAGAAACAGGTCGAAGTAGCGGGACGAGGAGGTGAGAGCGCCGGCGTCGAGGTCGGTGTCTTCGGTCGAGGTAAATGATGACTGTGGGGTTTGTGAGATGATGCCGAGGCCGGTGCCGACGTCTGACGTAGCAGGGCCATTGGTGTTTTGGGTTCGCTCGAGTAGGCTTTGGCGGTTCGACTGCGCCGTCGTCGCGAGGATGGCGCGCAGGTTCTGCTGGATGACCATGGCGTCGATGCGGATGCGTTCGGCACCGTTGGTGTTCATGACGCCGATCGAGTCGGCGGTCGCGACGAGGTAGCGGTCCACGAGCTTGGCAAGGCCTGAGAGGATGAAGTTCTGTTCCTTGCCGCCGAGGTAGCTTGCGATATTGCTGTCGAAGGAGATTAGGTCGTTGTTGAGTTCGAGGACGAGCGGGGAGGCGGAGCTGGGTGGCGAGCTCAGCACATATGGATACAGCCCTGAGTCGAGGTTCGGGATGGCGGAGGAGTCCCTGTTGTCGGATGGGGAGATTGAGCTTGTAACTTCTGGGCCGCGGAGAGTGCGGCCTAGTTGGTGGATTATGCCACAACGAATGTCGATATGGAGAGTCAGCAGTGTGGTTTGGGCAAGCGTGCGGAATGAGGAGAGGGTGTTGTCGAAGGGGATGGCGGTTTCGGATGTCAGAGGTAGATGGACGGGAATAACTGCGCCGGGATGGGTTGGGATATTCGTTGGTGAGCGGAGACTGGCTACTAATGTCCAACGACGAGGGTTTCTGCTTTGAGATGCTGATCGAGCATGTCCGTGAGATGCTGTGGCATCAACATGGCGAAGCTGTGTCAGCGCTGAAGAGAGCCATTGCATACTGTTGTACAGAAGCGAAAGTTGGTGAACAGATTTGGGGTCAGAGATGATGTCGTAAGATGAAAGAGGTTTGGCTTTGGTGGCTGCCAGGAGTGCCAGGACTTCTTTGCTGATCAGTTCCGGCAGTAGTGGGCCATCACTGGTACTCTTGTCGTATTTCAGTACCTCAACAGCAACGTCATGTATATCACCTGATTCTGCCCATGATGCTGCTGCTTTCAGAGTCAGGGTGTTGATGTTTGGATTGGAATTTGAGGGTGCAACCCGGCTGACTAAAGACTTGTAGTAGCCAAAGCATTTGTCGTAATAGGTAACGAGCTGGCTGATGATAAGTTGGGTGAAGATCTGGTCTTGTGGGATGGCACTCAGCATGCCTGAGAAAGCGCGGATCAAGCCTAGGAAGGCAATGGTACCCTTGAAGATAGGGTGTGGTGAATGTCTGGACCACTGACTATCTTCGGAGAAGGCTTCCAAATCGATCATGCAGTGCGTGCATAGTTCCGTCACGGCGTCTTCAAGTTGAGGATGGAAGACATTGATCAGGAAATCATCGAGGAAGGAGGTCAAAGTACTCATTGGAATATTCGAAGTGGCGGGAACAACATCCTTGAGCCGTTGTAAAAAGGTCAACGATGGAGCCAACAACACGGTCATGTTGAAGACACCGGGTTCAACCAACAACTTATGACCGGCCGCAGTACTGTCTTGACCATTTCGGTCGGAAGTGATTTCTGCTCCAGTCCTCGCTCTAGATTTGCTCACCAGGCCAGGAACCGAGCTTTTGAGAATTTCATCCAACTCGTCTTCCTCCGCCTTCATCGCCTCTGATTTCTGATCCATCTCGGAGAGTTTGAACATCTTTTTGTTCTTGTCACGCTGCGACCGGGAGAAGATATCAGTGCTGCTGGCGGTAGTCAGACCAGACCGCAGAGTCATGTCGCCACTAGTCGCCAGATAATCGTGCAACAACGATCGCATCTCCATCTGATATAACTTCCACAACTCCTTGAAGCCACCGATATAGCGCTCCGGCTTGGGGAGTTTTTCTCTGACGACGACGCCACCTACGACCTCGTGCAAGACACGATGAGATTCGGCGATGGCCTCGAATTTCGAATATAACGTCCAGAGGAAATCTGACAGGACTTGATTTCTACTGTCATCGGCTTGTAGGGACAAGACTTTCCTGCCACCCTTTGCCGTTTGACCCCGTACATGGGATGGGTACTTCGCATCAATATCGTGGTTCGTCTTTTCAACCACCTTGTAGAGTTCCATTGGCATACGTTGTTCGATTCTTGAGATGGCTTCGCCTAGTTGACCCAGTTTGTTCAAAGATTCCACAATCATGTGAATGTAGTAGAAAGTGTCGGCTTCGGGGTTCTTGGAGGCATCTTCCACCATGGGGACGGAGAGTTCGGCATTATTCAGGTAATGATTGAATGGCCGATCCCACGGATTGACGCCAGTACCCAAGAGATGATCTTTGGGATCTCGTTCTTCACCCGTTGAGCTCTTTCCTTTCCAACGGTCCTTACAGTAAGGACTTCTCAGATACAGATGGTCGTGGAGTTCTTCGACCAAAATATCCAGCAACGTGCCTTCCTGGTTGGTGAAATAGTTCCTAAGATCTGATATTGCACCGATACCATCGTAGTCGCTCTTGGTGATGCCCTTGAGACTCTCCATGAGTAAGTCGACGGCTCCGAGGAATTTCTTCTCGCTGATCTTCTCTTCCAGCTTCGTCGGGATCATTTTCAGAGCCTCGATATTGCTCAGCATAACGACCATGTCGTCGAGCTCTCCACTTTGCTCAGCCAGTATTCTCAATTCGGGTCGAGTGGTCAACATGGAACCCTTTACGTTCATCAGACCAGTCTTGAGCATCCTCACTCGACTCTGACTCTCTCGGATGGCATTCTGAATCTTGTGGTAGGTACCCACAGCGCTGTTGAAATCGGTGTAATGTTCATTGACCACCGTCTTCAAGCTCTTCTGCAGATCGACGTGTGTATCCGCGAAATCGCCCTCTTTATCAGCCAGTCCCAGAGAGCTGGGGTCCATGAGCTTGAGCGCGATCTTGACGGGTATGCACTCGTCACTATCTAGATCTTTCCAATCGGACTGGATGTGTCGCATGATCTCCTCCATGTTCTTCGGGGGTCGTCGAGGGGAATAATGTCGATTGGCATTCTCTGGAGGAGGGTATTTTTGTGCGGTTGAGACAGTTATCGGGGCCTGCTGTTTGAGACTGGGGGCAGATGGCTTTTGTGGGATGGTCATGGGAGGCGGCATAGGGGCTCGATTTTCTCGGACTTCACGCATTCCCGGGTCGTTGTATGCTCTTTCTCTCTCCCGTGTTGGAGGCCGCGGCTGTTGCTGCTGCTGCTGCAATGGAGGTGGTTGTTGTCGTGATAGTGGCTGCTGTCGCTGTTCATAGTTTTGCGGCTCCCTGTCACGACTCGAGTTGTATTCATTCCGCGGCGGTGGAGGGGCATCTTGATATCTGGCCCGTGGAGGTGGAAGACCACCATAGCCGCCACCGCCTCCACCTGCGCTCCCACTCACAGAGCCAGAACCTGACCTTCCGGAGGAAGATGGTGGTCCTGGAGAGTCCCTGTCGCGCTGTTCGTAGGGATTCGGACGCAGCCTGCGTTCCTGGGAACCGAAACTGTTCACGGAGGCGGAGGAGGCATTGTTCTGGTTTGAAAGGTAGGGGTCGGCAAAGCGACCACTGGGGATGGAGGATGAAGTGTTTGTAGCAGCATAGGGGTTCGAACTGGAGGTACTGCTGGTGGTGGCATAGGGATTGGAGTTGTTGTTCGGGGGTCGACCACCGCCGTTGACGGCGTAGGGGTTACCACTCATTGCGCAGGAGCAGGAGGCATTACATGGTCATATGAATAAGGAGAGAGTAGTGTCCGTCCAGCGGGCGTAATGCTGTCTCTGTCTCTGTTGTGAATTGTGTGGTGTTGGCTGGTGGGAGATGGGATGTCTGACGGTTCACTTTCACAATTCATTTAGGCATGTCGTGTCAAGCACCCAATAGGGCCTCCGGGCGTTGTCCGCCTCCGAGCCTCCGCAAAATGCAAGGGATCCCACTCGGTTTGACGGCTGACTGATGGATGCCTGATCGGTGATAAGAGAAATTAATTCTGGTTGTGGAATTCATCTTCTTCATTCTCAAATCTATTGATCTATTTTTAAGAAGAAAAACGCGGTGTATTCATTTTCTCTCTGTTTCGTTTAGAAGCAACATGCATAACCTTAGGTGCAGCCGGCTCCCCCCAAATGCCTGGCCGAAACCCTAAAAAATAATGCTCAGCATCGTCCATAAACATCACAATAGCAAGCCGAAGGATCCGGACAACTACATAAAGTCAGTCATTTCCTCATTGGAAGGGCAAAGGTAAGAACTCACTGAACGGCCTCTCTGCCAAAAATCACATGCCAGAGAAATTCCATCACTCTCCCGCTATGTGCATTATCTAAGGTGGTGTCGAGCAACCACTGTCGAATGTTGAGATAATCATTCAGAGGGCGCTGATAAATCTGCTTGGCTGAAACCGCGAATTGAGCACAGCAGGGACTTTTGATGTCGATGAAGTCGGATTCAAGGCTGTCCGCAGCGTCCATCGAAGGATACTCGTACCGAGACTCGTGAAAACTCGAGACCGCCGCCGGTCCTTCGGGATCCGAGCTGAATGCGGGCGTGGACGTGTTGGCGAAGATTTCCTTCCAGACCTGTCCCGTCACGTGGGAGTTGCGTTTCTCGAGTTTCATGCAGCCCGGGTTGCGGTTGCATCGCAGATTGACGTAGCCGGTCTTCAGCACGTGGTCCACACGCAGATGTCGGATGGAGTCGACGTTACTGTGCAGAGCCGTGTCGACGTGCCAGGCCCGAAAGAAGCCGTCGCGGTGTGAATGCACAAAGACGACGACTTCGGGAATCGGTTGGTGGTAGTGTTCAATGATGTAAGTGAGATATGTCATGGCTTCGTTTCCTTTGTTGGCTGGTGTTGTCAGTCGTTCGAGATCCGGTTCGGAATGATTGTTGCTGTTGTTGGAGGGTGAGTCGAAATAGTAGATTGCGGATTGCCATCTGGGGGGAATGTCAATTTCAACAGGCACATCAACCATGATAGACCTCGTCGCAGGAGGTGGTGGAACCTACTCTGGAAGTTCGTCGGCGATCCAAGAAACCTCGTCGGGATGCAGCGTGGGAACAACGATGATGCCTTGATGCTGGACAGGATTGACGACGTCGTCAAAGGGGCTCTTTTCTGACCATGGCAAGGAGTCCAGGAAGAAGGACCATGGATCATAAGTCTCGCATTTGTCTTCCAACACGGCCAGAAGAATGGCGACTACTGTCAGTCCGAGGGTGACAATGACGATCTTGACACCTCGTCGCAGTCCGAATCCTCGCATCTTGATCCGTTAAGGCGTCTCCCCAGGAGAAGACGAAGACGAAATTCCAAACCACCCTGATCTGGTCCACATCGGGATTGACTTTGTCTTTGGTCGAGCTCACTGTTGGTGTTGGTGGTGATGGTGGTGGTGAGTGATCAAGCGTTGTCTTGGAGAGAGTCTTGTTCGGCAGAAGAAATTGAACCACAGACCTTGTCCGTTAGTACGGATTATTGAGATGCTGGTACCGAGTACTGAGGCAGTGCAATTCAACCTTTGCAGCTGAATCGGGTGTAGATCCCCCGCTCTCAAAGCATGCTTTTGAGATCATCGTGGTGACGACCGTGACCATGAGTCAAGCTGGGTCGGAAACGAAGTACCGAACACAACACGGAGGAGCCAACTAGTCTAAGAACTTCTCAACAAACTTTCAGGTACCATCTGCGGATTGAACCGAAGCCACCACCAGGGCAAAATCCTACAAGTCGTACGTGATCCTACTGCCAGGCACGCTGTCGCACCACTGGCTGCTGTTTGTTTACAGACAAATGAGCCGACACGCCTATTTTCACCCATGATCTCAGCTTGGGTTTGCAGTTTACCGAGGACTGGCGAGTTGGGGACCACCACCTAAATATCCACCGGATACATTCCTACTCGTACCTAGTGGAAAGACTGCACACTTGCTGGGATGCGAGTCCTTAGTGGGTTAGTCTTCACGGAGAGGCCTGTCCATCTTCTCCAATTTCGAATTCCCATTTTCGAGGCCTCATCACCAAAAAATCTATTCTTCCTATATAGGGGAGCCCGCCTAATCACCATTTCCCGGACGTGATCGCACAACCCCGTCTAATATTCTCCAACACCACCCCCTGCCACTTCAGACAATGTAACTGAATCCGCTACCTCGACAGGCAATCCAAAACTCTTTCACGATATCGTTCGTCTTTCTTGATCCTCGCAAGCTCTCCAACTGCGCCAGAAATCGTTTGCGTTGATCTATTGTCGTTGCTTTCAGTGCCTTTTCGCTCAAGATACCCTGGTCCTCTTCCACGGCGTTTCGAAGCACCTGTTTGGTGACAATCCCTTGTTTCTGAATGAACCGCTTAAGTGTCTCTGTAATACTTTCAAGCTCTGACCTGGCACATTCACCGCCAATAAGTCGCAGCACAAGCCCCAATATCCGTGGTCCATATTTATGTATCGCTCTTTGAATCTTGACCTGAACCTCTGGTCCGAGTGCCCCGTCCTGTGCAGACATGTCTGCAAAAGTCGCAAGGAAGGAAGCAGCCGATCGTCGAGGTAGTGTATCTGGGTTCGCCAAAAGTACAAGAGACAACTCAATCGCAGTACCTAATGTCTCCTCGACGTCTGGCCGACTGTACCATACGATGCCCCATTTGGTCATCAGTCGAGCCTGAAATTCTAATGAACTCGAAGAAAACGTGCTGCTGAGCATCACCTCTGACCGCCGGAACTCCGCCAGAATGGCCTGTTGGTTACTTGCAATGGGATGCAGCACCCCATTGATGCATTCTTCATTTGCACCTTGGTCCACAGAGGCTATGAAACTCGATGCACATGCCATCGTACTATCAATGTTCGGGTTACTGACATTGATAAGTGAGACCACAAGGTTGAGTCCAATCTCATCTCGGAATTTGAATGGTGATGGATGCTCTTCAGTAAAGCCCGAGCGGATGAAATCACAACAAGCTTCCACAAACATGCTGTCTGCGTGCTCATTGACTGCATGCATGACGGATCCGTATCGCGCAAGTACATTGGCTTGGATTGTTTGTCCAGGACCGTCAAGCCAGAATGATGGCTGCTCATGTGCAGAACCGTCCAATTCCACGGGTGTATCCGAAGGCGCCCTCAAGCCTTTGCCAATCGAAGCAAGAGATTGCATCAGATCCGTACAGATTCGCAGTGTTTCCTCCCAATTTCCTGGGGAAATTTGGAGATTTGTTAATGGATCACTAGCAGCAGCCAGTAAATCAAGGAGGGGAGCGATCTTGGACTCTTCTTGTGGTAGAGCTTGAATGATTGCGGCCACTGCAGCGTATATCCTATGTCGTTCAGCTTCACCTGAGTCGGATATCGATCCTAGTGCAGCCATGAATTGTGGTAAACCTTCGGCGAGAACCCCCCGGTGGGAGTCGCAAAGATGATAGATCGCTCGGGACGCCGATACGCTAGATGCATGGAGGTGAAGTGATGAGAAGAGAAAGCTCAACATTGAGATCAGTCGATCTGGGTGCCGTTGGAGGTAAACCACATTTTCGGTGATAAATCGAATACCAGTCTGTCGTGCCCGATCAGGTATGTCTTGTGATGACTCAAGAATCGATACCCATCCTGGACTATTGAGTACAGTTGTGATCAGTTCATCATATATTTCGGGTTCACCTGACATCGTATCTGAGAAGGCTGTTAGGCTGAAAATTCCTGCTTCAAAATTGCTCCAGTCCGGTGGTTGTTGTGGCACCAGGACTGTCTTGACTATCTCCTCAATCAAAGCATTTCCAAGTAGAGCGAACGCAGATTGGAAATAATCTTGCACATCGTACCGGAAATCTTGAAATTTGGCTCGTTCGTCTGCATCCCAATCCTGGGTTTGAGATGACATCTGCTCTAAAGGCAGCCTGACTTTCACTAGCGCAGCTTGACATGCATCGATAGTGATGGACTGAAGAAGACCTTGTGCAGCTTGGTCTTCCTCCCAGTCTGTGAAGCCCTCCAACATTTCGTTGACATTCTCCAGCGCGATTTGGCATACTAGATCATCGATGCCTGGAACTCCTTCGCAGCGGAGTAGCTTCAATACACTCTGTAGGACGACACGATACCGCTCATCGAGCAAATATTCCGGGTTGGTGGTATCGATGTCTCCAATGACGCTATCCAAAAAGTCCACATAAAGAATGCCCTCAGGCTCAAAGTCTCCCTGAACGAGCGAACCCACCAACCTTTGAGCTCTATCACTGCTTGTAATGTTGAGTGGAAAACCAGGGACCGCGTCTTGAAGAAGTTTGGCAGACGATTGATAAAGAGAGATGAGCATTTGCAGGACCGCAGATACCAATTCGTCCACTTCGAAGGCCTTCATTATCAACCCAATGCAGCGAGTTGAAGCGGCTTCAACCCTCATTCTTCGCTCCTTCTCAAGGGAGTTGCGAGAGCTTCGGGACACACTCGCCCAGAAGGGTATACCTTTCGCAACTAGCTTGATGAGTTCAATAGAATCATCAGAGGAAAATGCGGATACACTATTGTTCTGAATTACCTGCGGCCGGGTCGCCTCCAGGGCCGCCAGTAGATTGGTGATGCAATAGTCATAAATCGCCCAGGCATCAATGCTATTCATGGCAAGGCGCTCTGAGATTCCTCCTTCTTCTTTATTGTTGGTTGCCGAGCTAGTGGTATCTTCGGCCAAAGTGGTAAGAATCATTATCATGCCTTTGAGCTGCGATACCGAACAGGAATTTGCTGCTTCCAATAATCGTGAGATATCAGGGAGATCGTCCTGCGAGACATACCGGCCACTGAGAAGACATGCTAGGACATGCCGGGCTGGATAAATCCATGCAGATTCTGACCTCAAGAAAAGGGTCACAAGTGTTGAGCATAATTTTTGAAGAACGAAATTAGCATCTGGTAATGTGACTAGTTGCACATAATGCGTGATCAAAGCTTCAAGGAGATAAGCCTTCATCTGTTGGTCTTGCGAGATGCCATCACTCTCCCTGGGCATGGGTTAGAAGTGTGCGGCAACCCTGTACTCTGTGATGATGTTTCAACATACCAATCTGCATTGATTTTGATGGTTAACGTCAACGCTCCATAAAAGCGCACCACAGCTTCGTCATGGCTTAAAAGATCTAATCCCAATTGCCAGGCTGATTTTTGTCGTTGGATTTGTTGGATCTGTCTCTGAAGGGCGTTGACCCGTTCTGGAGAAGATTGATTGGAAGGATGGTAGAGTTCTGCTATGAGCTGTTCCATTTTTGTGAAGGATCATGATCATGAGGCAATAGGTACGATCACGTTTCTTTTCCAGAATAAATGATATTCTGAGGTCTGAAGAAGGCAACTAGCAAACGAACACGCTTGCCCACATGTCAACCTTACCATGAATTTTCTGTGCTACCATTTTCCAGATATTTGAGGGTCTTTGTCAAATCAGGGATCAGAGGACAACCAGCCGTGACTTAACTTTTGTAGCCCCGCAGGTCCTCAATGGGAAATTCCGTAGATTGGTAGTCTGAGAAGCTTTAATTCAATGGCAGATGACAATGAAGGCAATCATAGCTTTGATTCAACAGAGAGCCTAAGGTGCCAGTGAGCCTCAAAGAGAGAAAGAGAGAAACTGCGGATATGGAAAAACCTGTCGGATGTTGAACGATGAAAAGGAAGGAGCGCGTCCCACTGCACTTCACATGCTGCAGGAACGAGTCACGACTCCAATTTCCCAATGCGTTCTTTTTGAGAATCATCACTGCATCAGCAACAATTCGAGCCTGAGCCCTTGCAACTCAACAGTAGACTCCTCTCATTCTATCGCGACCTGGTTCCTCACCTTCACCTTCATTCTCAGTCGCCACCTTTGTCCATAGCTACAACTTCAATTCCTCTCCTTCACTTATCATCCTCGTTTGGCATGCGCTGGTCCCTCTTCCGTCTCCCTTCACTGTTGAGTCGATCTCACACCCCGCTTCAATCCTCAATATATCCGTCGCGTCTTCCCTCTGTTCGGTCCTTTTCGTTCTCTAGTTCTCTTCAATCCATTGAAATGGAGACGGTTGATACCACAAAGCGTCTTGCGCAACTGCGCGAACTGATGCAAAAGAACAAAGTCGATATCTACATCGTTCCTTCAGAAGACAGCCACCAGTCAGAATATATTGCACCATGTGACGCAAGACGAGAGCATATCTGCGGCTTTACTGGTTCTGCAGGCACTGCTGTCATCACACTCGACAAAGCTGCCCTTGCAACTGATGGTCGCTACTTCAACCAAGCCTCCAAGCAGTTAGATGCCAACTGGTTATTATTGAAACAAGGCCTAGAAGATGTTCCTACTTGGCAAGAATGGTACGCTTGATTCGTTGTCAGATTGTGTGCATGAAACTGAGTGGATGTTAGGACTACAGAGCAAGCAGAGGGTGGCAAGACTGTTGGTGTCGATCCTACCCTTATCACTTCTACAGATGCTCGCAAATTAAGTGCTACCCTTGCAAAGCAATCACAAGCAACTCTAGTTGGCATTTCGGAGAATTTGGTTGACCAAATCTGGACAGATCGACCAGCCAGACCCGCAGAGCCTGTCATTGTTCTTTCAGAAAAGTATGCTGGCAAGTCACTCAAGGAGAAACTCGAAGACCTCCGAAAAGACCTGAAGAAGAAGAAAACGGCCGGTATGGTGGTCTCGATGCTCGATGAGGTTGCCTGGCTATTCAACCTGAGAGGCAGTGATATCCCTTACAATCCTGTCTTCTTCTCCTATGCTGCAGTCACTCCGCGTTCAGCAACTCTGTATATTGATGCAACCAAGGTTGGCCAGGATGTCAAAGATTATCTTGGTGACTCGGTTGAGATCAAGCCCTATGACGCCCTATTTTCGGACCTCACCATGATTGCCGAGACTGCAGTACATGAAGTTGAGATCAATAGCACAACCAAGACCAAACCTCAGAAGCTCTTACTGTCTAACAAATCGTCTTGGGCACTAAGTCTAGGTCTTGGTGGAGAGGATAAAGTTGAGGAAGCCAGGAGTCCTATAACCGATGCCAAGGCTATCAAAAATGCTACTGAACTTGAGGGCATGAGACAATGCCACATTCGAGATGGCGCAGCCTTGATCAAGTATTTTGCTTGGTTGGAAGATGAACTGGTCAATAAAGGTTCATGGCTGGATGAAGTTCAAGTGGCAGACAAGCTTGAGGAGTTCAGATCTCAAGGTGATCACTTCAAAGGCTTATCATTCCCCACCATCTCCTCGACAGGGCCCAACGCTGCAGTCATTCATTACTCTCCTGAGCGCGGCAACTGCTCTGTTGTGGACCCAAAAGCGATCTACCTTTGCGATTCAGGTGCACAGTACCTAGATGGAACGACGGATACCACAAGAACACTTCACTTCACAACACCTACAGAAATGGAAATCAAAGCATATACCTTGGTCTTGAAGGGTGTCATCTCACTTGATCGAGCTGTCTTCCCCAAGGGGACGACAGGATTTGCCATTGATGCGTTTGCAAGACAGCATTTATGGCGTGAAGGTCTTGATTATCGTCATGGTACAGGTCATGGCGTTGGCTCATTCCTGAATGTACATGAAGGTCCTGTTGGTATCGGAACAAGAGCTGCCTACTCTGAGGTGTCATTAAGTATTGGAAATGTCATCTCTGATGAACCAGGATACTATGAAGATGGCAATTTTGGAATTCGGATTGAAAACATGATCATGGCCAGGGAGGCGAGTACCAATCACAAATTTGGTGACAAGCCATGGATTAGCTTTGAGCATGTTACCGTGGTGCCGATGTGTAGCAAGTTGATCGACGCCAAGTTGCTGGACCCAGAAGAAAAGATTTGGTTGAACGACTATCATAAAGAGGTGTGGGAGAAGACCAGCGGTTTCTTCCAGGGTGATGAACTGACGACGAAGTGGTTGAAGCGGGAGACTGCTCCTATTTGATGCAGCGATAGCACAAGCTCTTCTTGAATTGGATAGGATAAGCAAGCATCAAGAATAGATGAACTTGAGGAGCTGAGCATAAACAAGTTGTGGGACAAATAGATCTTCACATCTACTAGCCAAGTCTCAGATATCGACAACGCCAGCATCAAATACTCATGCTTTGAGCTCACTTCAATGACCATATTAATGTTATTTCGGACCCGCAGCCTAAAGCAATCAACATGGAACGAATTAGCGCATTCTATCCACCTAATGTCCCGGGACAAAACTTATTCCAATGTAACTCACATTCTGGCCCTGCCCCTGTATCTGGCCCTGCGACCCAGAAGTCTGTGTGCCCGATCCGCCCGGTGCAGGTGCTTTGTTTTTGAATTTCTCGGCCCTAATGTATTGATTTAGTGCTGTGGGTGGCGAGTTGGAAGGATGGAGAAAGTGAGATGTGTGCTAGGTCCTTACTCTCTCTTGCGAATATATTCGTCCTCGAGCGCCTTCTCGCGCTCGTTGAATTTCGGGACGTTCATTTTCCTACAGAATAGGTGCTTTGCAACTCGGTGTGGACGTGTTTGTCTCTGTAATGGCTTGTGGGATTTAGGACAGTGATTCTCTCTACTCACTTAGTCAATCAGTAAATCAATTATTGGAGTGTTCAAGCAATCGACTCATGGCTCCGTCTAATGCGAAATGATGCATGTTCAGTGTCTCTGACATCACCCAGGGTCTTCCCGCAGCGTCTTTCCGTATCTTGAGCACTGTCGATGCCTAGCTGCCATTTATCCACCAATCTTGTCATGGGTCACCGCCAGACGCCCCACCTCATTTTTTGATCTATAGATAATAAAGTACTTCAAAATTCATCCAAATCATCTAGCATTGGTGGTGTAGCGGTAACATTATTGCCTTCCACCTTCTGAAGATGGCTGTTAGCAATAGCTCTGGGTTCGAGTAAGCTCATCTATTATTCCATTACAATGGAATTTGCATTCTAACGAATTTGACAGCTCCCGGCCAATGCATAACCGCATGGTATTATTTTTTGCAGTTGTTATTTTTAATTTTTGGGACTCTCTTAATGCTAGACTGAAGAAGTATAGTGTGAGTTTTTATGTGCGGATTTATAAAAATGGAAAGTGTGGTATTTTTTTTTTCCGGGCGTCGTGAAAGAGAGGGGCCAGCAGCATAAAAGCTGGCCCGGCAGATGATCGGAGCGAGTTTCTGAACTCGAAAGTAATGCATCTATCTGTATCTTTCACAGACCTTGACTCTGGGTATGAGACACGGCATACTTTGCGAATAGTAGTAGCAGCATTCCGTACCTACTCATTTGCGAGCGCATTCATCTAATGTGTTCAATCTCACGATCCCATAACTCCATTATCCTTCAACACTCTCTCCGTCGGATTAAGTCTTATGCAGTGCATCCATGACTTCAGCCGGTTCGTCGTGTCCGCTATCATCGTTGACCACTTAGTTGTCCGCTTGGAGTCAGAGAGATATGATCTCAGGTCAGTTCGGCTGAAAATGGAGGCGAACCTTGAAGGTGTCGAATGGATGCACTGCATTTTTAGTGGCTAAGGACGGAGGAGATGCCCTACTAACAGCATTTGGTTGTTAGCATTCCGCTCAGCGCCACGAATTGGGCAGTACACTGCATTTTTAGTGTCTGGCTGGAGATAGCATCAACAAGGCTCCAGCAAGATGAGCCGTGGACAAGCTCGGCTACCATCGGTTAAGCTAGCACTCTGCACTGCATTTTTATTGCCTGAGAAGAGATGAAATAAGAAACACGCTGTTTGCAACCGTAAGGCTGTCAAGTTCTGGTTCTGCCAGGTCACTGAGCCAATGGAGGCGTTAAACAGAGGGGGTGAGATGTGAAGGTTAGATACGGAGTACTCGGTTGGTGGGGTTGTGACCTCAAAATGGGCGCACTGCATTTTTAGTGCCTGGGAGAGCCTCGACCAGGAACAATCTCCCTGGACGCATGTCTGACAAGGTCTGAGTCTCTCGAGTGCCCAACTATGTAAGTAGATGACTGTTGGTCCAGCCTTTGCTTTCCTGATCATTGGTGGAGGTATGCTTCGCCTGATTGAAGTGCACTGCATACTTACGGACTACTAGATTTCTGACATGAGGAGATGGGTGAGAAATAGTCTTTCTGATCGTGCCCGGGGGTTTAATCTGGGATGTGCACTGCATTTTTAGTGCCTGACTGGAGATCATGACTACCTCGGTACTGTGGCTGCACCGTAGAGCAAGGCTGATAAAAACAGGTGCCTGGATATAAATAAGTGGACGCCTGGGATTGCACATTTTTAGTGCCGCGCAGCCATTCCCGTAAGGCTGGCTGAGCTTGCATCTCCGGTGATTGTGCAAGATCACTTTCAGGAAGACCTTGATTTCTCATGGAGGAAGTAAAACTCTTTACTTACATGTTAACCATCATCTAGGGACTTTATTCCGCAACCTAAAAATGTGCAGTTATCCCAGGGTAGGTCTCAAAGCTTCCCAGGCCAGAATCTGCCATCCATTTTCGCCTGTTCTTCCCAGGCGAAGTCATGGGCAAAGATGACTTCGACCTGTGCTTTATCCTTCTCGCCTTCCAATCCGAGTCCTTCAGTTGAGGCTTCATACAAGCGGGATAGAGTCTCCTTGGTCTGAGCAATATCGACGTGTATGCAGCAATAGCGACCCTCGTCATCCGTCCACGTTGCAATGTCCTTCTCACGTCGAAATAATCGGATGTCGTGGCATGCATCACCCGCCAAGCAGACAAATTTGGTCGGGTTGCTGGAGATCCGACAGAGCAGGTTGATGTGACCAGGCAAATGGCCGGGAGCATTGATGATGTAGACGCTGCCGTCGTTGAAGAAGTCGATGGCGTGAGGGAACAATGATAGCGGCTTCCAGGAATAATCAGACTTCTCACTTGCGTCATCTGGCTGGGGCAGCTCAACCGTCCGTTCTGGATCAAGCAAATCTGACTCAAACACCATGTGCTTGCCGAGGTTGAGCTGTGTTTTCCCACTCAGAAGGTCGAGGGCACCATTGCCGACGAGAAACTTTGTCTGAGGACTCGTGAAATCTTTTGGAAACCCGACGTGATCATAGTGCACATGGCTAAAGATGACATAGTCGATATCAGTCTGCTTGAGTCCTCCTTCAGCGAGTGATGCCACGACATCAGGCTCTGTAGAGATTGGCCCTCGACTTGCGAGGTGACCCTGCAGGACCTCCGGATAAAGCTTGAGGTCTCGCCGCATTCCAAGATCGAACACTATTCGGGTAGCCTTGCCATTAATACTCTTGTGCTGTATCAGGAATGACAAGGACGGTACTGTTGTTTTTGCTTCAGGGTCAAACGGAGTGACGAAGAACCGTTCGGGAATGGTAAGGTGTCCAGCACCTAGGGCATGAACAGTCACGGTCGCCATTGGCAGCTTGCTGCTCCAGTTGCTTTGTTGACTGCTCACGCTTGAAGGACAACTGGGGTGATGTGCGGTCTCAATAGAACACTGTATCGAATATGAATCGCCTTTCGGTCACTTAGCATCGAGTCGATGATCACTGATGAACATACGTTGGTTTGGAGAAAACTTCCCCGCACCGAATAGACCGGAACGCGGAATGGAATCTGGGTCCTGCAGAACGGACAGTCTCCATGCTTGATTTCTGCGGTCACCAATAGACGGAGATACATAGTGGGATACCACCTTACTCCAACTATGAGCTTTCACATTCGCTACCTGAGGTGACTAGTCTCGAGAACTTGAGCAGTGAGGGGCATGTGGCGTATCCTGTTGAACTCACCAAGCGAGGTGATATCTGTATGAGGAGAAAACAGAGCCTCGTGAGGGGAAGACGAAGCGGTGGTACCAGGCGGCCACAATGTTCAAAGGCCCCAAGATCTGATTTTCTGTTGCAAGGAAGGATGTGATGATCCGAAGACACTTTCTGCCTTGATGCAGGCTTGAGCGTGGTTGCCCTGGAGTTCAGCGCTGTTTTGGCTTGTTACGTACCTTATTCGCAACACTCGGTGGTACAAAGCGTAAAGACGACATGGATTGCTCAAGCTCTTTGATGGTATTATCCGAGACACTCTCGACCAGATTGCGATCTTGGGTTTCGATATTCGCTTTCGTCCTCATCAGTTCACCCTCCGACAATGGTGGTACAGGAGATGATTGCTTTTTCGAAATGGCCCCGGTCCTAGAATCCTTCCTCTGATGCCCACTAGGCTGAGGCGGGTCAGTTGCGGTAGAAACTCTTCTCCTTCGACTCTCATGGAGCATTGAGGTAGATTTGTCGATGCCGGTATCCACAATTCTAAAATTGTATATCTTGGGGAACAAGTGTTTATCGATCAAATGAAGACGGCGCTTTTGTGGAGTAGAACAAACTTTCTCACAGCCTTGGACAAAACATGCGTAGGTCTTCTCACCTTTAGCTTGTAGAGCCTCACGAAAGGTGTTGTGATTCTCATCAGTATGTAATGCCAGAAAATGGGCGGTTGGAAAGTTCTTCCCACATGAAGAGCAACGATTGGAATGTTCTTTGGAATAGTGAACTTCAAATCCTTCAATGTTGGAGAAGCTTAACAGTTCTCGATGAGGTGGGAGTGAACATTGGATGGTACTCGTCTCGGGAGCATCCGACATGGCGATAGCAGACACTTTTGCCGGACGGGGCGATTCAGATTCAGAGTCAGACTCAGGTATTACCGAATGCCCGTATCTGTGGTCTTGATCCTCTTCATCGGAAGAAATGATAGACGAGTCGCGTGAACGCTTTGCCATCAGATGGAAGAGTAGGCGAGGTGAGTAAGCGAGTATCAGCTCATTCCACTCACGCTGTCAATTGCCAGGGAGGTGTTGGGAATGGTTGTCTGGAGCACGCTGGAGTCAGAATGCAGAATTGATGAAAGCAAGACAGGGAGTGAGAATGGATGTCATAAGCGTCTCAAGAACCAGGATAAGGCTGGATGAGAGGTGAGGAAGAAACAGGACAACTGTGTTCTGAGTGGTCAGCTAATGTTGGCTCTACGATCGCACCATTAAAGGAAGCCAAGCCATTTTAGGGAGTAGATTGCCGCCTAGAAATCCATTAGGTGCCGTCCAAGGTCTCTTGGGGTCCCCAAGAGGTCCCTTAGAGGCCCCAGAAGGGTCTCTCCCCTGTCCATCCCCCCACCTAAACTTGGTTGTCATGGCCTAATTGGCCCTCCCACTTTCCCCTGGCGGCCTCCTCCACCCTTCCCTTTCGCTCTTCTCTTTCCCTGTCCCCTGTCCATCTTCTGCCACCTGCCTCGTGCTGGCCCTGTTACATTCGACTTTCTGCCCTTGACTCGACATCGAGATCATCATCCGCCCTCACCACCGCGTTTCAGGTTCCTTCAACATGATGCAAGCCATCGCCTGACACCCGAGACACCCAAACAATTCCTACAGCCGCCAGACTCGTCATCCTACTCTTTCGGTTTGTACCGAGTTCAGCACAGCCTAACCTTTTCTCCATCTGCCTGCAAGTGACATCTTGACAAGTAGGAGTATCTCTGCTTATTCAAGTTCCATTCACGTTTCTTTCTTCACTTTTTCGATCAAGGCGATCTTTCATTGTCACCGAAGCACTGCCACACAACCTCTAGACACTGGCTCTGAGGGTGAAGACAAGGGACATTTCTGGTCGATACAATATCTCTCATATCTCCACGGAATGAGATTCACATTCCACCACGGCCATGTTAGCCTCCAAAACACCATATGCCTCCAACTTTGGCAATAGCCAGCAGGCCACAATTCGAAACGTCTCCGAGGAATCTCATAGAACGCAAGTCTCTGCGATGCCTACCCAAGACGGCATGTTCACCTCTCCTACCAACTCCGAATTCTCCGACGCCTACGACGGTCTAGACTCTATTAGAGCATGGGATGAAAAGAAGGTTGGGGAATGGTTGCACACAATCCGATGCGGTCAATACGAATCGCTGTTCAAATCCAACAATTTCACAGGAGAAAGTCTACTGGAATGTGATCAAAAGATTCTGGCCGAAATCGGGATCAAGAAGATTGGGGATCGAGTACGAATCAATGTGGCTATCAAACAGTTGCGGAACAAATCATCATTGCTGAGGAACAAACGAAATCGAGATTCACTCGCGATCCTCGATGGCTTCGCAGGAACTCCTTCATCCTCAGATTCACCTCGCACATTGGGCTCCAGGTCTCAGAATGGAAGTGGGAAACGCTATTCTCGACAACTCGACCCATCAGTTCTGCAGAATTTCAACTCGGCAGGCACGGGCTTCAAAATTGGTTCGAGGCCCAGCTCACCACTTGCTGATATTCACAGCGCTGGTCTTCGAGCACATCAATATGTTAAGAGCCCCATGGACACAGCAAGAGGTAATCAGTCCGCTGGTTATTTCAGTCAACCTGGTTCTGCAAGCTCCACGTCAGGCCGAAGACCAGAGACGCCACAACTCGCTCATCAGACAACTCGAGCTGCCCATCTTCGTCAAAACTCCAGTATCGATGGCTTGACTCCAGGTGGCCTCCCAACAGGATCGCCGGTCATCAAGGTCATCCACGGTGGAGGTCAGACCAAGGTTGTCAATATCAAGTTCTGCCGAACAGCTGATGAGGTGACGTCGACAGTACTGAAAAAGGTCCATTTGTCAGAAACACAGTTCCGCAACTACTGTTTCTATGTTCTCAATGGTCTCGAGCCAGACTTTAGCAACTGCCGCCGAGTCTCCGACAATGAGTTGATGAAGATTTGCAATGACTCGTTCCGCTCAGAAAGGAATCGTTTGATCTTGAGAAGAATCAATGATGGTCCTCCTGATCTAGATGAACTTCGCAAGGCTGCAAAAATCGCGGCAGATGAATCACAAGTCCTACATAACAACGCTTTGAGTTCAAACAATATGCGGAATCAAATCAAACTACAGAAACTCACTGGAGAGTCATGGCATAATATTCAGGCACCGAACTCACCTGTCACCACCACCGATCGCAACAGAAATGTCATGGCGACTGCAGATGAGTACGACAGACAAGAAGCACAACATCTTCGACTTCCCGAAAGTCAAAGTACCAAACTGCGGTCATTCTTCGGGGCGAGACCTCCAAGCGAGATGATTGTGCAGGAATTGACCTCATATTTCCCTGCCCATCAGCATCAAGATATTGAAAAAACAATGAGAATGTCGGTGCGACGATCTCAAAGAATGAGTCGAGCCGCCAGTCGACTTAGTGTTATGAGCAATGTCAGCTATGCATCGAGTCTTAAGGATGCTCCACCAGTCCCAAGTATTCCTAACATTGCCGATAGCTGGCTGGCACAAGGGCTAGGATCTCGAGCACCCACTGCACGACCACTCTCAGTCATGTCAAGCCGTTTGAACCTTTCTAGTGCAGCTTACAGAGATTCAATTGCATCGTCAACGCTTCATCCCCTACAGGAAGAATCTCCCATCGAGCCCAACAGGAAATCCTACGTCTCTTTCGACAGTGGTTCTGATTCTGCCACTCAAAATGAGACCGCACGAATCAGTTATTTCGACGAAAGCCCTGGAGGAATGGGCAATGACAATATGAACGACCGACTTTCTGTCATTGTTGCTGAAGACGGAGAAGAAGAGGATCAAGAATTGAATTCATTCCTCAAGGGAAATAGCTTTGATAAGAACAACTGGATGAAAGGTGATCTTATCGGTGAAGGTTCATTTGGAAGTGTTTACCTTGCTCTCCATGCTGTTACTGGTGAACTCATGGCAGTGAAACAAGTTGAGCTGCCCAATGTTGCCAAAGGAACAGAAGGAGACAAGAAGACGGCTCTGATGATCACAGCACTCAAGCAGGAAATTGAGCTATTACAAGGTCTTCGCCACCCACACATTGTGCAATATTTGGGGACATCCTCTGATGAGACTCATCTCAACATTTTCCTTGAATATGTTGCTGGAGGTTCTATCGCAGGTATGCTCAAGCAATACAACACTTTCCAGGAACCGCTGGTCCGCAACTTTACCAGACAGATCTTGGAAGGGCTGTCTTATCTTCACGGCCGGAACATTATTCACCGTGATATCAAAGGTGCCAATATTTTGGTGGACAATCGTGGAGCTGTCAAGATCTCCGATTTTGGCGTGTCCAAGAAGACAGGATTCAATGGTATGAATATGGCACCAGGAACTCGCACTTCTCTTCAAGGGTCTGTTTTCTGGATGGCACCTGAAGTTGTTCGACAGAGTGGACAGTCACTTAAATCCGATATTTGGTCTGTTGGCTGCTTGATCGTGGAGATGTTCACAGGATCCAGACCGTTCCCTTCCATGACCACATTGCAAACTCTCTTCGCAGTGGGAAGCAATAACGAGAAACCGACCATCCCAGAGAACGCAAGTGAAGATGCCAAGAAATTCCTGAACCAGACTTTCGAGGCGGATCATGAGAAGAGACCGGGCGCCAATGAGCTACTGAAAGAGAAATTCTTGTTGCCAATGGCCTGAGGAACTTTCCATCATATGGCCGACAATGATGTGAATCGCACAGTCAGCATTTGGGTCGAGTTGGGTTGACATGTGTGTGTTATTATAATGATTATGAGGACTTTCCAGCGCGGAAAGGGACAATGTGTACTATCACGGGTTACGGGACTGAGAATATCGGACTCATACTTGTACTTGTGCTGGAGGATTTCCTACTCTATATCTATTCTTGTGCTTGTGATATCTCATGGTTTACTCATTTGGGGGGACATGTCTCAAGTGGTTACTCTCTTGCCAGCATCTCTTGGGATTCATCAGACGGAACAGACGGAACACAGTACTGCTTCCATCAGACAGACTTTTATAGATTATACTGAGCTAATCGATCGATTGAGAGTCTCGCCTAATGAGTTCCGTGTCTGCATAAGGTTGACTTTACTCATACTTGCCGGGTCTGTCTTGCAAGGCCATTTATAGTGGAGCGGATGTATTTCCAGAATAGGCAGGTTTGAGCGACACTCGGCAATGGCCATGTCGGCCCAACCAAAAAAATATTATTGGAGGGGCATGTATGTCACTGTGGTGTCCCCATATATCAAATCCCACGTCCCACCCAGCATCTCGGTAGATTTCAGTTGACCCCAAAGTACAGAGAGACATTATCATCAACCATGGAGTACGACACCAAAACACCGACATATCAAACGTCAGACCCGACCTCGTTCGCCTTCACATCGGCGCGCGAACGATGGCCCGCCATCATCACAGGCGCGATCGACGACGTGCACCGGACAGTGTCGTCAATCTCGTCTTCAGACGCGGATAAAGAGAAACTGGCGGAAGGCAAGGCCATCGTCTCGGCACTCGCCTCGCTGAAATACGAACTCCAACACAATCGCGCCTTGACGCCTCTCCCTGACGACAGCTTCCCGGATATTGCAGGATATAATGCCGAGTTACAGGCCCGGGGCACTCCGAAATGGCACGACGTCGAGTGGCTGTACGCGGAGTGCTACCTGTACCGACGGATCGCGACGCTGTTCAGTATGGCGCGCGACCCGTACTGGAAAGCCTACGACATCTTCCAGCGGCAGAAGATGAGCACGTTCAAGTCGTCCCGACCCGCGGTGCTGGAGCTGGCGAGCCGGTATCGCGAGATCATCGAGCAGATCCGCGGGTCGAAGAACCATGCTGTGGTGGATGCGTCTGACCCCGCCGCGGTCGAGGAGGCCGAGAAAGTCCTGTTTACCGAAATGGCCGAGATCTGCCTCTGGGGAAACGCCACGGATTTGAGTCTGCTTACGAGTCTGACCTACGAGGATATTCAGAAGTTGCAGGGCAGTAATGCGCGGAAGGAATCTGAGAAGAATATTTTGGTCAACGATCTGGGGAAGGCGTTTGAGGTATTGAATCGGGCGCATAAGGAGGGCAAGGAGAGTAGAAGGGTTGATATTGTGCTGGACAATGCTGGGTTCGAGTTGTTTGTGGATCTAGTGCTGGCCGGGTATTTGCTCGCGACGGGTCTGGCGACCGAGGTCGTGCTGCATCCCAAGAGTATCCCGTGGTTTGTGAGCGACGTCGTGCCCCGAGATCTCCAGGCGCTGCTCGAGGCGATGCAGGATCCCAAGGCGTTCTATGAGAGTGCGTCAGATGAGCACGATGGGAAGTCGAATGGACAAGCGCCCGCACCATTGTCGGATGACGAGGCTGCAAATGTGAAATTCCTGTTCGACGATTGGAGTGCCTTGCATGCTGAGGGACAGTTGATTCTAAGGCCTAATCGGTTCTGGACCCACGCTGGCAGTTTCTGGAGGTTGCCCAAGACTGAGCCTGATTTGTTGGAGGATTTGAAGGAGAGTGAGCTGGTGATCTTCAAGGGAGATCTGAACTACCGGAAATTGACGGGCGATGTGAGTTCAACTCTTTTCTCTATCTTTTTGTTGTTGTTTGATGCAATGCTGACATATGATATTACTTGATATACAGGCTACATGGCCGGCTTCGACGCCATTTGTTGAAGCTATTGGCCCCCTTGGTCCATCTTCGGGCATACGAGTCCTTGCTCTACGAACATGCAAGGCTGATGTTGTCGTTGGACTACCAGAAGGCAAGGACGAGGAGATCCGTGCTACTTCTGGTGGTGGAGGCGACTCTGGAGCGAGAAAGTGGGCATGGAGTGGGAAATGGGCGGTGGTCCAGTTCTCTGACGGCAAGTCATGAAGTTACGAGGCATAAAGGCTAACGGAACTTTACAAAATATGGGGACTAGAGGCACTAGATGAAAGAAAAAAGAGTTCGTCCGGGGTATTAGATGGGTAAATGATGGCCAGAGACGAAATAGATACTGGAACATAGAGAACTTGATGCCAGGCAAAGGCACAGTTCAGATGCGTACCGAAAAGAACAATTGGTCATGACTTGAGCAGGTGAAATGCCAGACCTATTGATGTGTGTGCATAAAGTCGGCTGTCTCGTCGTATAATCGAACTGACTGGGAAGCAAGAGATACGGGGTAGAAATGCTGAAAATGGATAGAACTCTCCGGTCAGCCTTGTGTGGTGGCCCGAGGCCTGGAATTGTGTCCTCGCTTAAGAACAAAGTAATCCCTGAAACGACATGCATAGTTAAAGCTCGCCGGGCCTCCCGGGCTGCTTCGGGGCACCCTTAGGCACCCTTATTAGCGAGCTCATGCCTAGAAAGTCGCGCCGCAGAGGAACCGACAAGCCCGACGCGTCAGATTGCACTTTAAATTTTCTTGTGCATCCCGCATCCCCTGATTCGACGATCCATGAATCCGTGATCCGGGCTCCGACCACGAGGGAACTCCTTTGACCGTTGACCCTTGATGAGCCTTTCTCATTATTCTCAATCCTCAACCCTCGATATAATATACAAACGTCCCAGCCCTAACCCGACGCACCTCGATCGCCCTTCGCCTGCTTTTCTGTCACTCGTTAAGATACAACTAGACGCTCGCAACCCTCCCTTCGTTATCCGCCCTTGCCGCACCCAGCATCCCCCTACGAAAGTCCCTCGATTCCCTACGATTCCGAAGCCACTCACAAGGCATAATCCACCAGATATACATCTACACTCCATCTCCGCCATTCAAGCCAACAACAACACTCTCCACACTATATGCCGACCATCGCGCTAGAAATGCCCGACTACGCCAAAGCGGCCAAAGAGCAACCGCGCGTCTCATACCTCGCCTCGCTGGTCCGGTGGCTCCAGTTGAAGAAATACCAATATGAAGTCACCTTCTCACTGTACATGTTGACGTCGACCGAGAAGTTTATTTTCAGTACGTGGTGACCTATCCCTTCCGACAAGGGTCCTTTTCTTTTCTTACAGATCTTATAGATTTAATCCTCTTCATACTCGTCTCGCTGCTCGTCACCGCCGCCTCGCTGTATCTGCCCGACCACGTCGCTGTTATCTACAACCGGATCTGGTATTATGTGCACGGAGGTGAGATCGCGTATATGAATGCGGCGTCTGTGGCGGCGGCCGGGGAGAAGACGACACTGGGTCAGGCGATTGGTGAGAGTCTCAAGTTGACGTCTGGGGCGATCAAGGCCGGTGCGAAGGCTACGGTCAGGGAACTATAATACTTGGTGGAGGGAGATAATAAAAGACCGCAAGAGACAAGAGAAAGAAACCGATACCCCTGTTGGTCGAGTACTCGTTAATCATTGGTGTTCGGGACTGGGACTTGGAAAACTAATAATACACTGGCATTTCAACTGGAGCGGCTTGTTCGTCGTTTCGGGTCCGTCAATAGACAGACTGAAGATCATGCAATGGGTGTTAATGGGAGATATGGAATCGTTGTTGACCTTGCATACAACGAGCCATCCCTGCTTCCATCAGAGCAGCATGGGTTCCTAAGAATTTGAATTCGTCGAGCCTTCAGTCGCTGCGATTCGGGCAGACCTCATGAGTGGATTTTATGTACCATATCCTCACCCCCCATAATGTACAAAGCTCACCCAACCGTAAGAGCCGACTGACCGTGTCGTGAAACAACAATATCCGTGATTTTTATGCCCACCTCTTTTTAATGTCGAGAAACCCAAGAACTCCCCTCCCATAGAATGCACACGAGCACACAACCACTGCATGTCAAGCATCACCATCAACCTTGTCCTCCCTCAACTTCTGCCTCACGGCGTCAAAAGCACTCTCGGTCCTCCGGCGCCTCTCGCCCTCGCGCTCGCGCATGTCGCGTTGGATGCGCTCCACCTCGGCCTTGATGTCCTCGCGCTCGTACGGGATTTTGTGGCCCTGTTCCTGTGTCGGCCAGAAGCCCGGCACCGAGAACCGATTCTCAAGATTCGTCCCGAAATAGTACATGTAGCCGATCGGGAAGGATAGGTACAGCCCGAACTGTGGGTGGGTGGATTTTAGCGTGAGTGGGATGGGATGCGATGTGAGGGGAGCCGGGGATGGGATGGGAGTTGTTGGGCACGTACTTTGAAGATCTCCAGGTTCGACCCGTGCAGGGTGCGTCGTATGTAGTTGAGCACCATGGACGTGGGCGGTGGTGGTGGCTGCTGGCGCTGTTTCTGGCCCCGGGTAAGATGGAGTTGGGGAGTCGGGTGGTAGTCGTGGTTGTGTAGCGAATGTTCGGATTCTTAAACTCCTCGTGTACCAGAGAAGGTAAGGTCCGAAGCTGTACAATTCTTCTCTCTACACCTCAGGTTGAAAGAGATAGATACTCAGAACCGAAAAGTCGTCCCTTGGGAAAGCTCCGCAGTATGAAGCCCGACAGTCCGCCTGTGGTAATTTTCATACTCCGCAGTGGTGTGAATCGTATGGAGATTTCATGATGGTGACGCAATTGATGGGCATAAATTGACCCTCGCTTGAAATGACATGAAAGACACCATGAGCATGGTAGATGTCAGCGAGGAGCTCTTCGTCAGACGAGGACATTTTATCCAAAGTCTGCACTGCATCCCAATCTCTGCAGTCCAGTGCGAATGAAGGCCGCTCCCTTGTGTGGAAGGTGATTTGCGCAATGGGCCTCTTCTCAAAGTTTGCGACGCGTCACTACACAGTTGTTGCACGCCGCAGTCTAGATACATTGGTCGAAGAACAGGGTCCTCGCGCTTCGTCCCTATTGTCCCGAGAGCTCCTCGGCAGATGCGCCGATGGGAACACTTCTGATCTCTTTCAAAGAAGCACGAACAAGGTTCATCGATGTGGACGTCAAATTCTTCGACTGCAGGTATTAGTAGAGCGATGAGAATACCTCGAAAAGTCTCGAGAACCTCATGATTTATTTTCATCAGAGTGGAGATCTATGTTTGCTGGGCCATGTCTACCTATGTAGGCGTTTTCAGGTGTGATACGTCTTTCTGCCTCTCAACTTATGCTGGGGTCTATAGAAGTGAGAAATAAGGGCAGGATGACCCCTTCTTACAACTTCTCACAACGTCTCACCACATACCCCGGCATAGGTATTCGCTCAGATATCCTCGCCCGCGGCCTTGCGAATAACATCGACGATCAACCCAGGATTGCTCAAGTATGGTGAATGGCCCTCCTGGCAGCGAACGACATCAAAGGCGCCTTCGCCTTCCGCAATGATCCTTTCTTGTGCGGACGGGGCAAAGGCTCTATCATTCTCACAAAGAATATAGGTACTTGGGATCTCCAGGTAGGCGGTGTATGTGGCAGGCACCAGCAGCGGGCCGATGGAGAACGTTCCGATTTGAGCGATTGCAGCCTCGATATCTTCTGGAGAGCAGCGGTTGTAGAGCTGTTGACTGGCGGCTTCAGCGTCCTCGGGGCTGGGACGCATGCTTCCGTCCTGAGAAAATTGGAGGTGTTAGCCATGGTCAAAAGTCTGCTGATGCTAGCATTTCGTTGAAGGTAAATGCCACGGGAACACTAGGGTCATATCATGTCATACCTCTCCAATCTTCATGGACTTCATCTGGGATTCCGCCAATTTGGCCTCTTCCTCAGTACGAGGGAATGTCTTGTCCTGAACCGTTTCCCCCTTCCTCGGCGCAACGGCACACATATAAATCAACCTGAGTACACCAGCCTTCGGTCCATCTCCATCTTGACGTGCCTTCTTTCCTAGGCCTTTCACGGCTTCTGACATGACGAACCCTCCATAAGAATGAGCAATCACAATGACGTCCTTCCCAGCATCCAGGTTCTTCAAGATCACATCTCGAACTCCTTCGGCGTCCTTGTCCCAGCTGGTGGCTGGAGGTGAAGCGTCGACTGATGCCAAAGCTACAGCCTGGGCTTCATAGCCGGCTTTCTCGAGTCCATCGACAACTTTGTGGAGGTGTTGTGGTCGGTGCCACGCTCCTGGGACAAGTACAATGGTAGGTTTAGACATTCTGGAATCGGAGTGACGACGATGTAAGATGGAGGATTATCATGTGCATTCAGTGGTTATGGATCAGCTTTCCTAGGTAATGAGAGATATATATATATCAGAAGCTTGGTAGGACATGACTTCCTCCAGACCTGGCCCCGGCTTGGCAAGGCTCGAGAAACAGGGGTCGGAGCCGCATGTCCAAATCAGGAAAGTGGTGGACTGGTGATAGCTTCGAGTGTAACGATTTAAGAAGCCATCTCGGAAAGAATAGGGCCATGTTTGCTATTCTTATGAAGCTTGGATAAGCATGAAGTTTGAGCGATTTTGTCCATGTCGTCGTTAGACAAACCAACACTCCGATAGAACATCACCATGGGTCTGCATCAATGCCTGCAACGACACAGTAGCAGTTCGCGACCCACCAACCGTCACACCCAGCGCTACAAGGCCTTTCATGAGAATGCCGAGATACCGGTCCCAGGTCCCATCAGGAAACAAATTGTCAGCCTGGGATTCAATGATATGTTCGACGGACTTTTGCAACGCCATCACCACAGTTACTGTGTTAACGTGAGAGGCCGTGAGCGGTACTGCTGGGTCAAGACCACTAGATGGTGGAAATGCTTCTGTGGTGGGTAGATCGAGAACACACTCGATCATCCGAGCCACTGATAGTGCCGATTCCCACCGATACTTTTGCATCTGGAAGGCAAGCTGCTCATTTGGCTTTGCGCCATCGCATGACGAGATGGCCTCCAAGACTTCGGCGAGAATGAGGACTCCCAGATCCCAGAAAATTACGAGGAATACTATTGATTCCCCTATGTCATTGTGTGATACACCCAAGAGTGCGGAATAACATACCGATAAATTTCCTTGACACATTGGAGAGCGAGGATAAATTGTCTCTGCAATAATTCATGAAGGTGCCAAATGATTGTTCAAACTCGTTGACGGCTTGGACGGTGGTTTTGACCAAAAGATCAGTTTTGGACGAGACCCCAAACTTATTTGGTGCACCTTTTGTACTCTCTCTCAATTTGATGATCTTTCTCCAGACTCCGAATGCAGACGCGATTGCACGACGGCATATGTTCGGCAAGTTGTCTTCAGCATACCATTCGAGAGGCGAAAAGAACTCAATATTCAAGGATTCTTCTTCACGTCAGATTCAATGAACATCTTGCAGTGTGAGCAGTGGATCAGCTTACCTTTGTTTTGAGAATCGACATCTGCAAGCCTGCATGGACGGTTCGCCATTAGTCCAACTACCGTGTCTCGAAGGTAGGCGAACCAGCGAATAATGCTTAGGCTGGATTCAACAAGAGCTCCATGTTGAGATATCGTCCCAAGATTTGCGCAGTATTTCTTCACTTGATATTCCAGTTGAGAAAGTTTATTGAATGCGTTATCGAGGAATCCATGCTCGAGGATATCGTTTGCCAATCCTTGAGAAGCTTCAACAGGGATAACTATGGTATCGAAAAGTAGTGTTGCATACACGACACCAAAAGAGACTGTAGATTGGGCGCTCTTGATCAACGATCGAGCTCGAGTCCATGTATCGACAAATGCAAGATGAGAGCGCTGTGGTTGCGGCCCTGGGGAAAATTCGGAAAACGTAAGATCATTGGTATCAGAGTCAATCGAAAAGATCGTATTCGGCAGCCACTGGAATGCAAAGCATCGCAAAACCTCCTTCAATATTTGGTCTGATTGTGCTTTGGCAGTGACACTCAAATGATTACCATAAAGCTCTCCAAAATGGTCGAGAAAACGAACAGCCCCCAGAACAGTGATTGTGCAGTTATATGGACGCGCATGAGGAATCTGGGAAGGGACACCACTCTCAATCAGGGATAAGGGATTTGTATCTTGGTTGGACAATGATTCTGGGGGGTTTGATAGCGATATCGAAGTGAAGTCAATGTGTGCCGCATCTTCTGATATTGCATTTGATAATTCGTCCGCTGAAATTTTCGACGCAACAGAGCTCGACTGGTCAAATCGATAACGGTGACTGCCGGTGAGAAGATTGCAATTATAGTCTAGGAATATCGAAGCAGAGTCTGAGGTGATGGTTTGGTAGATGCGAGCGAGCTGTTCGCTAAGAAGCCACGCCTCCCATGTCGAGCTAAGTAAGTGGACTGGACTGTTCAGCGAACAACCCACAATGGAGCGAGATTTGGGCCGACAGATTGAAGGACGTGTGATGTCCGAGACGACAAGAGTCTCCTGATGATCCGGCAACGGATACAAGCTAAAATCGACAAAAGTGTCGAAATCGAGCTCAATTGATGAACCTGAGATCGGATTGTGATCTCGCGCTCCTTGATAGATCCTGTCAGAGAATTCCAGCAACTTGGTGCTTTTAAGGTTTGAAGGTTGGTCTTGCAACGTTGGAATCTTTCCATTGCCTTTCCTGCTACTCGATGCTTTTCGACTATCTGCGAAACTGAAAGTGCAAGAGTAGCTCAGACGTTTGCAATTGGTACAGACCGGTTCGGATTCCTGTTCTTGGGAAGGTGCTATCAGACATCGTCGCTTTGACTGCCGGCACCGGTCGCAGCTTGCATTTTGACGGCGCTGAGATCTCGGGTAAAGCTTACTCGGCATCAACGGGTATCAAGATCGTCTCGTTTGCGAAAGTAGGAGAATTTAAAAGAAGCAGACAACGTTCTCCTACTCGAGGCCAGGACAGTCTCGGAGCTTGCGCTGAGGGCTTCGTATATTCGTCAAGGTAGAATTCGTGAGGCTTCCGGAAGTTATGGTGCTACCGGAAGTTCATACTCCTATAAATTCTTAGTATATAGGTTGTGGGCAGTTCCTCTACAATAATGAGACAGGTACTCCTCCTGTCAGCAACGATGTTCAGCTTGAATGAAGATCTCTAAATACAAGCATTTTCGTTAGCATCACGTGGATCATGCACACGTACAGAATACGAGTTTAGCGTAACATTAGCGAAGCCCCTGCAGAAAGATGCCACACTTTTACTTTTCGTGGCAGCCATAAAAAAGACCCATCTATTCCCGATCCAAAGCAACGAATAAGATCTTGCGAGCCTTCCGAACCACGTGTAGCAAGCCATCGAGAGCATATGGAGCTGATCTGAGCAAGTTGAAGGCTTACTGGATACTTACCCCCAAAAGTTCGGTGATAGGTCGTCAACCATGACCCTACGATCAACATTGGAGACTTTTATCAGAGAATGCGTCAGAGTGTAAGAAAAGTGGAATTCGGCAGCCTTCCTACTACTCTTCAAGTATTCTCGTGCCGAAGAGAGCGTTCTTTCAAGTTTCCTCTGCAAGAAGGCTTTATGCACGAGGTACAGCTCGGCCGACACGTCGGACTCGGTCTTCGCCCGAAAGCTTCTTGCCTGCCGTGAATGATGCCCGGGGTTAAGCGGCAGTTATTTTCGGGCCGCGTGTGCATGTTATCTAATCAGATAATCTAACTTTTGCCCCTGCGGAACATGTACCGTCCCCTCCTTATTTTATGGTAAGTCAACGACAGAGGTAGGTAGCATTCAGCAGAAGTTTTCTCTTGTGTTTATCCTTCTTGTATCAGCAGGGCTATTTCCTCAATTTCTAGTTCACAGCCTAAAAGTCGCATCTCTTATAAGAAACAATCAAGACCAAGAAGAAAACACCGTGCTAAGCCTCAGGCTGTCGACGATGATCGCCCAATCGCTTAAGAATATCATTGTGGTTGGAGGCTCGTACATTGGACGGGTTCGTCTAAGAAACACAACGTCTATTAGATGCCCTTACTAACCTATCCAGGTAACCGCTCAAGAGCTTGCGAAGGTCATACCACCAACGCACAGGGTAGGATATCACCTTTTTCCACCATGAACATCAAGTATTGACTTCTGAGCAGGTGCTGCTCATCGAACCCCACAGCCACTTTCACCATCTATTCACATTTGTTAGTCTCACCGGACAAGAAGCTACTTCTGCTTGGTACTAATTGCATTAATAGCCTAGATTTGCAATCGTTCCTGGCCAGGAACACAAAGCATTCATCCCATATAGTGGAACATTCGCGGCTGTGCCCAACTCAGCTTCTCATGCTTTCGTACAGGCTCGTGTTCTGTCAATTCAACCTCAGCACGTAACGCTTGACAGACAATGGCAGGGTTCAGATCAAATCCCCTTTGAATATCTTGCTCTCGCCACCGGCACACGTCTTGCCCAGCCAGCTGCTATGCAGTACGACGACAAGCCATCTTCTGTGCAATACTTGCAGGATCACCAAAAGGGTCTGAAGAATTCCAAGTCAATCTTGATTGTTGGTGGTGGAGCTGTTGGCGTGCAAATGGCTACGGACTTGAAGGAGTATTACCCGGACAAGAAGGTCACTGTGGTTCAATCTCGTGCCCAAGTAATGCCACAGTACCATAGGAAGTTTCACGAGCTTATCAAGAAGCGTTTCGATGATCTTGGCATCGATCTCATAACTGGCTCACGTGTGACGATACCCTCTAGCGGATTCCTGAATAATGGAACACCGTTTGATGTTCAGCTCACAAATGGGGACACTGTATCCACCGAGTTTGTCATCTTAGCCACGGGTCAAAAGCCAAATAACGGCCTTGTGGCTAATCTGGAGCAATCCAACCCAGGATCCGTCATTAATCCTACGAATGGATTCATACGCGTGCGGCCTACTCTACAATTCTTGGACAAAAAATATTCCAATCTCTTCGCGGTTGGCGATATCGCAGATACTGGTGCCCATAAGGCAGCAAGACCTGGTGTTGCTCAAGCTGCAGTCTTAGCGAAAAATGTACAGGCATTGATCGAGGGACGACAACCAGAGGAAGCGTTTGTGCGTGGTCCTGCGGCCATCCACCTGACCTTAGGCATGGTAAGTAACACTGATGTCTCCACTGCAAGTCTGTGCGCTGATCATGCATTAGACCGAGAATGTCGTCTTCAGAAATCCAAATGAAGCCGAAGGTCAGACTGAGCCAACTATAATTCCAAGAAACGAGTAAGTGGCATGGCTTAATATTGTTCCTCTAAACATAAACTAATTTAAATACCAGCGGACAGGAAGATATGAATGTTGAAGGTTTCTGGAAGAGAGCAGGAGTGGAGATCAATAGTCCACAGCAATATCATCTTTAACTGTTGAACAACTGCAGGCTTGCTACACCGGAATAGAATGGTGTTAAATCACCCTGCGATGTATTAATAAAATTGGTTAGGAACTGTGTGCTCCCGGCGAAGTGTTATAACGCTCCCCAAGACTCATATACGTCAGAGATAGAATTACCGCTCACATCATCCGATCATATCGCTGGAAGTTTACCAGATGACCTATGCCTGTGACTGTGGGGGAATTCATCCAACGGAAGAAGTGATGTTGTGGCAAACAGCAATCGACCATCTCTGAACCCTTGATAGGCCACTGGGACCAACTGCAAAGGCCCGAGTCTAGCCAAAACTCCCCCTATATATTTTGCTTTGTGGTGAGAAGAGATATGCAGAAACATCCATGAGACATCTGCTGAATCGCCACTGCACTTTCTCAATGCTTCGAGGTTCATCGAAGGACAAGTTTCCGAAGGGACTCGGTCGAGGATCCTCTAAACGGCATCTTGTTGACAGCATTGGGTCAGACGATCGAGCACAGACCATAGTTTCCAACTTGACTCCCCTTCTCACTAGTAGGTAACCCAAGACCAAAGATCCCCCCTCATCTATGAGTTCACAAGTGGTCTGTCCGCAAAGTTAAAAGCTACAATATCAGTTGAAGGCATCGAATCTGAGTTTCAGCCTCAGCTCGCATGCCAAGCCAATATCTTCAACTCAATATCGAGTTTCTGAGGGCAAAGAATTCAGCTGTACCAATGAATTTGCCCCTCACAGAAAGCTTCATGGCAGAGACCGCTTCTTGGGGTTTCCTTGACGGTATTTAAGAAGGTGGAGTCAACCATAGCCACTGATAGCTAGTCAGTTGAACAACACCACAACGATTCGCACTCATCTCCGTATCGTACACATCCTACTGCTGTTATTCATCATGAAAGCATCACTTGCATCAATATATGCCTTGATCGGGTTAGTGACCTCTACTGTTGCTGCTCAAGCCCTAAGAGATTGCTATGTTGGATCCGCCCCCTTTTGCAACAACTCACTTGCTTCGGACACAGCTTGTCGAGGTCTCGAGGTCACTACAGCTGATGGCTGGAAACGCATGGATTGTGATTATGTACTCTACAATATCCCAGCAACAGGTGTCAGCACCTCTAAATGGCTTGTGATTCACGCTGGAGGCTGTGATACATTCACTGCAGAGCTGGGTGACTTCTTCGCACCCGACTTGGGTCTCAACATATGGGGATTACGGCCATGCGGTGGGTTTGTAGACAGTCTATGTGCTTCTCATCACAATTACGACTCTTGTGATGCGCTACATATATCCTGGTTTATGCCGCCATTGCACCCTACCATTGCACCGTAAGAAAAGTCTCAATCCACCGCCAGAAAGATCGATATGCTAATTCCACACAGACATGGCCTTGGTCTCAACCCACCTGCACTGGTAGACATTTATCACACTCCAGGCACCACCATGCTATTCTTACACGAGTACGGTGACACCAACAAAAGCTACAATTGGTTCTCGGCAGATGGCTGCAATAGCACAAGCAAACCAATGTATATGTGCGTCGGTGCGCTCGATCCCAACTTTGACACCAAGTTCAATGCGATCAAATCAGTCCTACAAACCGGATTTAGCAACACGAAAAGTTTTCCATGTAAGCTGGAGGTCATAAGTGCAATGCCTTATGCGCAGGACGCAGATCCGACAATTCCATGTACGGGGATTCTTCGAGAATATAATAACCCGGCCATTGTCGGGGGTGACACTTCTGGCTCTCCAAACTGGGCATGGGAAATGCCGGTATTCATGACACAGGCCATTCTACTTGCGACACAGGTGGACCCAGATGGGCCAGTCGTAAATGCTTTCCGTGCAGCGATAGAGATAGCCCTATCATGACTCCCAACGTGAGGTGGACGGAGCTTCCTGACTGGCGTTGCTTGCTGATTTGGTCCGAAAATCTAATTATGCTCCAAGTCCATGATCTCTTTAACTATATCTATGATAGACTGGGCCCATATTTATATAACTGTATCCGCACTTTAACGAGCCTGAAAGATGCTCCACATGCAAGTCATTGCAGCTATTGACGCGGCTTGACAACAAAGTATCAAAGTACCAGCGTTTTGATTCAACCTCCGAGGAGGTGCCGTAAAAGTGAAAAAAAAACCACAGCCTTGCATGAAAGGCTGTTCCTGAGTATCAGGCACCTTATTTCATTCAAGATTTGTGAAAGCTCTTTTCAAGCTGGACAGTCCATAAGACCAGCGACTGACCCAACACCGGGTAAGCGCATCGGTAGTTGCAACTCGAGCCAGGCCTTCATATTACAAGCAATACTTGATTCAACTTTGAATTTTATTCCTTTCAACTTACAGAGCCTTCATGGAAGTTCAGACGCTAGTCTATGTACCTTCTGTTGGCCAATTTCAATTAATGCTGTATCTTCACGATGGAACGCTTGCAGAGCTGATGGGCGTGGGTAGATTCCAATCGGCCTGCATAATGACGGCTTGCTATCGGACACTCGCAACCGTTGAAAATTGTCATCTGCGACTGATCTTCGTCGTTTGATTATCTTGGCTCAAATTGTCATCAAGCGAGTACGAGACGCTCCCCTCTCATTGATGGGAGATCGAACCAAGTCAACACGAGGGGCGGACATGGAAAGCAAACGGGCCCTGTAATTCCGAATCCCCGGTTCAGGTCACATCTCACAAATGCTCGGCACGCGGGGCCGTAAGGCAGCACCTTCGTCATTGCTGACTGGGGAATATTCAAAGCTGACCTCTTCTAAGCTCGATAAGATACCAGAGAGAAAACTACTGGCTGTAGACTAAATGACGTTTATCCCTTTTCCGTTCCAAGAAGGACCCCATCCTATCATGCAAGATGGACGAAAGTCGTTCACAGCATATGCTCTTAAGTCAGGCCTCAGCACGCTGCACGACCGCGTGGCTGCCTGGCGCAAACAAGGCTGACCAAAGCGAAACATTTGGTGTGCTAAATGCTGTGCCAGGAAATTATGCTGATGGCTAAGGACGAAATTCGGCACGGAATAATGCTTCAGCAAGCGATGAAAGATATGTCAGCGTATCAGTTCTGTGTAGAGAAAGACTGCTCCACCACGAAATATCAGCACTTCGAGATACTGATCTGAAAATGAAGGAAACTGCCTTCCGTAGGTCCCCGCCCGGAGGGATGCAGGAAGTCTGATGACGGGACGACTGACATCCGCAGCCTTGCTCCAGATGCCGCCGACTTAGAACGGCAAGGCGTATGGAAAGGTAAAATCTTAGGCCGCCCCTATCCGAGTAAAGGATGACAAGAAACACCCCAGCGGATACGTGTGGACGCCTAAGCCTGGGGAAAATGGACTATTATTCCTCTTCAGTCGTGCCTTCCCGTCTTAAAAACCTTCAACTACGGCGAGCTAGAATAGCGACGCTGCATCCAGAGCAGAAAACAACAAAAAGGCCACAAACGGCACATCCAAGAGACGAAGGAGAAACTCAACATGGCCGGTGTTACCACTTACGATTGCGTATTGCGTCAGCTGATTACGCCAGAGCAACAACAGGCGTTCTTTGCCAACAAAAACAGCTTGCACGATCCATACCATTTCTCGGGAGTAGCAGACGTCCATGAAGTCTATGATGCCGTTGATCCTCTGAAAAACCCGAAGCTCTCGCAGGAAGGCAAAGTCGTTTTCCTCACTGGGGCTAACAGGGGTATTGGTCGAGTAAGTCACTATTCTCAGCTTTTGCTGTAGGGCTCCCCTATCCCTGGCAGGGTCGAGGGTCAAGGGTCAAGATCAAGAATCATTGTTTCTTCGCATCTTCTTCTGGCGTTGGTCTTCTCAGTTTCTCACGAATGAGAACACAGTGCTACCTCACAAGTACATAGCTGACTTGCAATCCTTCGACGCAAAGGGTATCGCAATAGCATTTGCCAAAGCCAAAGCCAAAGGATTGATACTCGCAGCCCGAGATCTCAGCAAACTCGAGCAAGTCGAGAAGGAAATCAACGATGCTTACCCCGACACGAAGGTTCTCGCCATCAAGACAGACGTCACGTCCGAGTCTGATGTGAAGGCGGCGTTCGCGAAGGCCATTGAAACTTTTGGCGCGGTTGACGTCGCAATTCACAACGCCGGTATCAACCATGATCACGCACCCATTACCAAGACGGAGTTGAGTGGTTGGTGGGAACACTATGTCAGTACAAAGTCACACTTTTTCCACGATAATTTGAGGAATGTCCGATCAAAGGTCTTGGATTACTGACTTCTCCGTGCAGGAAATCCACGTCAAAGGATTGTGGCTCGTGGCGAGAGAATTTCTGCTCGCACTAGGAGACAAGGTTGGGACATTGATCAATATCTCGTCCACAGCCGCTATCAGCGCATTCCCAACTCAGGTCGGTTACAGTCCGAGCAAGCTGGCCGGAAACCGTATGATTGAAATCCTGCAAGTCGGTACGTGTTTGCTTCCGAAACCACTATCGCCTCCCCTCATCATTCTCGCGCACCAAATACGGAAGCGAGGCAAGGCCTGACTTGAATTTAACAGACTATCCGAACGCGCGAGTCTTCAATCTGCACCCAGGTGTAGTCGACACAGAACTGACTACTCTGCACCACGTCGCACAAATGGGGTTTAACATGGATTCGCCCGAGTTGTCGGGCGGAGCGGCCCTGTTCTTGACCACGCCGGACGCCGAGTTCCTTCGGGGACGCTGGGTCTCGGCCAACTGGCAAGTTGATGACTTGGTGAAGCAGAGGGAGGTGGTCGTCAAGGAGCATTTGTTCGTCACTGGTCTCAGCGGCAAGCTCGGAGCAGAATGATTTCTCTCCTTTCGCATAGAAACCAGTGGGGATCCAGCGCAATTCTGCCTATGAGACAAGGTACGAGTGAATGGATCGCTCGGGAGCTCCCTACAGCTCAGGGGTTGGGTGCCCGCTTCATGCATCTAGCTATTTGGTCAGGTGCCCTTGAATCCTAAAACACCCACACGGCCACGGTATCATACTCCCATCAAGCCCTATGAGGAGATGCATTCTTTGCACATATTTGCCCTCCATAAATATCAGAAGCAGTGCAAGAATTCATGTCCACAATTATCGCACAACGTCCTGTCGGCAATGTTCTCCGTCCATGGCTCACCACCGAGTCTCCCGGATCTCAATCCCGGTTAAGTGCTCCGGATCTATGCAGCGTTAATGTGCCGACTCCGATGTACCTCCTTCATCATTTGATCATATCATGAACACTTACGTTGAATTCGACGTCATAAGCGTCATGCACTGGCAGGTAGGCAGTGCTATACGATCACTTCAGCTCTAGGTCTGCTGTGTTGCTTTGATCGTCTCGGAGCTCGAAATTCAAGTCATCGTATAATTTTCTGGCTTCCACATACGTGATTGACTTCCGACGTGCAAGAAATACCTGTCTCTCAGAGTTGAATCGAGAGTGAACTTGTAAAGAAAAGAGCAAATCGAAGTTGTAAAGAGAAAATGAGCGCAACGAGAATGATTTTCGCAGCGCGATATGCCATGCCATACACGTCAAGAGCAGGCGCGAGGCTAAGCCTGCGCCTGGCTCCGACAGCAACAAGCAACGGTACGTTCCAAGGCATAAGGACCCATCAACCCACTTGAAATTTTCGCTGCTCCTACCATAGCATATCTCCTTGAAGAAAAGCTAACATTCGCACTCCCACCTCCTAGATTCAGGCAATGCGCCACTACAACGCCGAAGCTACGCCAACAAGCAAAACATGCAATCGACAGCAGGGCAAGCCTCACCTGGCACGGCATCAAACGTGACAGAAACGGGACCGGGCTCCGCATCCTCAGAGCAGCAGAGCGTGAAGGCATCCCGGGGCAAGGATTCCTCGTCCGGTGTCCAGGAGTCTCCGGACTCGGCGAGTCTGGCGACGCCGGTCAGCGGCCCGAAGGGCAGTGGCACCGGACAGCAGGAGGACGATGCGGATGTGCAGGGTGCGTTCAAGCAGGATCCGGGGAAGAGTAGGGATGAAAAGAGAGAGAATGTTGAGAAGATGGGCGAGAGGAAGTTGGATCCTGCGGATGAGTGATAAGGAATGTGTTGGTACGGCCTGACAAGTAGTTGTGACAGATAGAAAAGGAGGAGAGGAGAAGAGACGGGAAATATTCAGAGGTTGATGTGACATCGTGTGTACATAAGCTTCCAATGGACACGATTAAGTTTTCGGGACATTGTTCAACTCCGAGTCGACGCTGGTACACCCCTCTTGGAAGGTACGTTGAGACATATTAGTCTTGTTTCAAAGCTTGATCTGCCCAGCGCACTGCCTGCTCACTGATACTTGACGGCTCTCCTGTCTTGAACTCTGTTGGGTCGTCATCCTTACCAAATTCATGTACCAACACTCTCTCATTCGCGAACCCACTGTCCCGACCATAAAAGCAAGCACGACGCATAAGCTCAGCGAACTCCATACCTTGCGCACGCAACAGTGCTCGTAGGCCTCGTTCGTGATCCACAGCAGGATTCGGATCGTCCTGAGATCCGGGCGGTCTGACAGACCGCAGGAAAAACTTGGTACCTGGCAGCAAGACATCCTCAGGTCTGCCGATCGAGGGCCATCGACGCAAGACTTTACGGCGACGAGGCTGTGGGGAGGCTCCGAAGGGCAGTGGATAGCTGTGTTGCTGCTCGACATCTGGGGTAATGACATCAGAGACGAACCCGGCTTCCGAATTGCTCGAGGGAGACTGTTCCGTATATGCACTGTTTGATTCGATGGCTGAGGGGTTATTCTGACCCCAGTCGTCGTCGTAAGGGCCAAAGGAGTCATCATCACCAGAAGAACTATATTCGATACCCAACTGTCGCATCAAGAGGTCGCCCGCTGTATCTAGCGGTGTATCCCGTCCGGGAGCACGTAAGAATAGCACCGGGTTGGCGAAAGGATCGAAGTAAGCAGAAGGCGTTTTGAACAGCGTAGACCGTAGGGTCAACAGCTCTTCCGCTGCCGCGAGTATATTTTTGTTTTCCACACTAGGAAAGTTCAACGCTCTGTTCCTCTTTCTCGCTGCTTTTTTCCATGTCGGGGTAGTTTCGTCCGTATGATCAGAAGTCGCATCGCGCAGATGTTTGACCACCTCGTCTAACCCAACCCAGTCGACCATCGGCTCAATCATGGTGAGCGCATAGATGTCATTCGGCTGTGTCAATGCCAGCATAGCAGCCAGCCCACCTCCGAGTCGACTCCCAAGTAAGGAGATCTTTGGTATGAACTCTTGGCCATCATTCAATGGTGAAGCGTCCGAGGTCAGGAAATGGAGGCCCTCTGCAACGTCCTGGATTGGCGTTGGAAAGCAGTGGTTGATCGTACTCTCCTCTGCATTCTCCGAGTCGACACTCAGACCGTGTCGGTAGTTTATAGTGACTATTGTCGTGTTTGGAGAAGCTAGGGCAAGGAGGCTCGACTGCTCATCGACTGCAGGCCATGTTTGGACGGTCTGGCCCAGCGACGGGCCTGGAGGTAGATGGAGGATGACGTTGCGTTGCTTTTGGCCATTGTCCGTCCCAGGGTGACGAGGCCAGAATACACTGGCGATGTATTCAGGATCTAGAAGTCTGAACGGGAAGGTGCAGAAGACTTACTCGAGCTTAATGCTACCGCTCAGTCCAATGGGGATCCTGACTATCTCGTGTCTTCGGTTCAAGCTCAGTGCCCGGGCAATGAAGCGTGGGTGATGCTTCAACAAATTAATTTGGAGGGGAGGGGATTTCCAACACGCCCTGGTACGTGTAAGATGGCCGACATGGCCAGCTGATAGGAGCATCACATGGTGAGATACTACTCATTATGAGCATCTCTTAAGACATCGCTGCAACGTGGACGTTGGTTTTCGTGCTGCTAACAGTCTTGGCGTTGTACTAGCAGGTACTTTACTCACTAGGTGCCTAAGAAAGGTACGAAGTCCACTACCTAAATAAGGTACTAAGCACACTACCTAGGTACCCGAGTAGGTACTTACCCAGAAACCCACCCTGTAGGTAGACGATGCCAACAACAGCAGTCTTTCGATAGAAAGGACCTCGAGGTTCTAATGCAGTTTCACTGTGCCTGCAAAAGAGGATTCCCAGGAATGTGGGTGACACTGTCGTATTCAACCACCGCTATGAGCCAAGTAACAGACTCGGCACCATGACACTTGATGAGAACTTGTATGTCGAACAAGTCGCAGACCGGTTTAAGAAGTGGGCAGGACTTCAGATGCGACACTTGGTTTCGTTTCATTATGCCAGGCATTGAGGATATCAAGACAGTCTTCGGGGTCACCGAAGCGGGACGAGCAGCCACTCGTCCACTACCCTTCCTGTTTCTTCGCCGCATCAGCCACCAAAGCTCACAGTCCCATGCTGTTGAATTGTTTGATTGCCCCCTGACGATCCATGCGTACCGCCAAATCATAAGGTGTTTCACCATCGTCAGTTATCACATGAGGGTCAGCCCCAGCCTCCAGCAATATGCCAACGACAGTCTGAGAGCCCATGACGGCGTAATGCAAAGGCGTCATCCCTCGTTCATCTTGCAAGTTCAGATTAGATTGAATGCCCACGAGACATCGTAAAATATCTGCTTTTCCATGTTCAGCAGCAACATGAACAGGCGTTTTCCCCTCTTTATCTCTGCTGTCGGTTTTCGAGCCTCGATCAATGAGGAGCCGAACTGCATTCAAGGAATATCGACCCGCCGCGGTATGTAATGGGCTCTCTCCAGCACGGTTTATTGCACCGAGATTCGCCCCCTTCTTGATCAGCATTTCAATAATTAGTTGGTTGCCGGTTGCTGCAGCTCTATGAAGTGGGCCACCTCCGGTTTTGTCAGTGGCCTCAATGTCTTTAATTTTCTCAAGTATCAGCTCCACACACGCGATATCATTACAAGCAATTGCTTGCAGTAGTATCGGGTTGCCTTTGGCATCTGGAACGTCTGTGTTTGCTCCATGTTCGAAAATGAGCTGCTTTAGGATTTGAACCCGCCCACTCGAGACGGCCAATTGTACTGGGGTCAATCCATCCCCATTCTTTGCATCAAAGTCGGCTCCGGATTTAATCAGTAGATCAAACACTTCTTGCTGCCCACACTTTGCAGCACAACACAGAGCCTGGATCAATTCAGACTTTTGCCATTGAGATACTTCGCAGTTGGGTGTCTGTGGCTGCCCAACCTTTGCGATGAATAGTTTTGCGATGTTGACATTGCCACACTCGATGGAGACAGACAGAGGACTATCACCCCAGAGATTTTTCAACCGCAGGAGGCTCTGGGGAAGGATATCGGCCTCACATAAGAGCTCTCTGAAATCAAAAGCACTAGTAAGGAGAAGCGAAGTCGGGGTAGAGCAATGGGATGCAGCATATTTGAACTCGTAAATACGGTCTTTTGAAGAAGTGCCGCTAAAATGTACTGGCAGTCGCGTAGTCCGGAGCCATTCTTCAAACCAGAATGGAGTTGAAGCTGTAACTTGGCACTCCTCCAAGATCTTGCTTAGCACCATATCTTGTGTCCTCAGCTCATTGCATCCATCGACATGGTATATCCAGAAGTTTTCAGCATAGGTGACACCACGCATGCCCGAAGTTGAATTGATCATGTTCTGTAAAATTCGAATGCATATCTTGGAAATTGCCGCATGGCCTTCATCTGGGTGATACTCGTTCTGAGCATATTCTTCAACAAGATACTCTTTCACAGAGGCATGAGCAAGTCGGAAAGAATCCCCGACAAGGTCAAGTTCAATCAGATGTCGACATGCGTCTAGAACATCAATGGATTTTGCCTCGATGTCAACGTCTGCGATTCCTGGACAGATAAATCTGATGAAATCTGATTGAAACAGACTGACTCGTTGATACAGCAACATGTTCAATGTCTTACGCACCAGTTCGAGGGTGTGTCGGCCAAAGGTGTTGATTTCGTCCAAGATTTCCGCATATATTGCATTCAGCCCAGGGGGTAGTCGACCAACGTGCTCCATGACGTCTTTGGGATCCTTATGCCTTCGAAGTGCAGCCAGGGAAAGCTGTACCCAACGAAACCTAGAAGATAGTGAGCAATCCTGTGCGTGTGACAATAACCAAAATTGGTGAGACAGACATTCCATCGGCCTTGCTTGTTAGAACCTCAATAATCCTGTCTTGTTGTGCAGCTGTAAGAGTTCGCGGAAGACCATGGCCAATACAACTTTTGACTTGCTCGCTGACAAACAAGACAATATCGCCCTGATTATCAGCAGCCTTGAGCCCCAGGCGATGATCTGCATCCACCAAAGCAAGGTCTATATCTCCTTCGAATCTGCTGGAAATGAACAACTTCAGTATGCCATGGGTCCCTGACATGATCGCTTGCAGAGCCTCTAACAAGGACCTTCGCACTTCAAGTTCGCACTCATCCAAGCCATCGAGGACCAAGGTCGTTTGAGGGAAGATATCACAAAGACTTATGATCAAGTCCTTGCATTCCAACTCGCTGATGTGCCTCTGTTCATGTATACTTTCATATTTCTCCACGATGAGTCTCATCAACGGATATTCTTGGATAGTTGACAACTGCCTCAAGATGCATCTCAGAATATTTAATGGATCTCCCAGTTCTTTCGCATTGTTGGCCTTGTCGCAATAATAGTACGCCAGGCGGTCCGGGTTGGGATTTCGACGAGTGAAGTGTCTTGTTTTCTCTGCTTCGCACCGCTTTTGTATGTCGTTGATGACTTTGGACGCGAGAATGGACTTACCGTAGCCAGCTAAATTCTGCATAAGTATTCAGGTCAAGACCCACTAGATGTTCATATAACCTACCCTTGCCATACATCCACAGGGTGCAAGATTGCGTGGATGACTTCCAGTCAATATATCGTGAGTTTTCGAGCAGCCAATCCCCGGTGCCTTGCCTACGCTGCCGCTGAATGGTCATGTGCCGATTTGCAGGGAGGATTGTCGATATCCAGTTCAAGATCTTTTCCTGCCTCTGATTGGCGATCTCATTCCTTATTAGCTTACATTCGTCGACCATGGCGAGCATTGGATCGCCTATTTTCTTGAGTTTGTCTCGAATTTCCTTCTGGTTTTCTGCAATCATATCTACAGCTCGTTTTGAGGCTTCTTTGTCAGCTAGCTTGGCCCATTTTTTGACTTCCAGGCCAGCTAGATCAATTGCCTTCATTGTTTCTGAGACAGGATCTCTAGATACCAATGCATCCAGCCCATGTTTCCAGCCGCCCTGTTGCATATACTTGATGGCAGCAAGCAAATACTTCAGGACATGGGCATACAAACGGATCTGGGCGCTTTGAAGTTCTTGTTCCACGTCACTTAACTGGCTTGAACTGGTCAAGTCGTAGAGTGATTCGAACATTGTGCATCTTTTGATCAACTTGGCGATGCTTTCAATATCGAACACCAAATTTCGTGTGGCAGTATTTCTTACAGCTGCAGCAACGACCAGTTGCAATCCTGCCCAGACTTGAGCAGCATGCTTTGTTGGATCCAGAGCTGTAAGTGAGTAGCCAATGTCTTTCAGAGTATCTGCCCAAGCAAGGACCTTGTCCATGACATTACGGAACACGATTTGTGCGCCATCTTCCTTCTCGTACCGCCACTGACTGCTCTGGTACTTGTTTATCGCATCTCCAAGCTCTTTCAACAAAGCCGAGTATTCAAGTGGTGTCGTTTTGCGAGGAAAGCTTTTGTCAAAAGTCTTGAGCTCATCGTCGGTCAGGGTTTGTCGAGCTGACGCCCATAAGTCAACCCGGGTTTGGGACGCACTGGCTAAACTGGGCGAGGCAAGAAACTGTCCGGCATCAAGGCTGGGTCGTCTGAATACGGTTGCCTTAGATTGCAATTAGGGAATCAGTTCCAGGAGCTCGATTGAGAAAGAGATACTGCGGACCGTTGGATCAGGTGAGATACTTCTCTGTGAGGCACCAGATGAAAGAGGTAATTCTGCTGACAGAAGAACCTGACTGTTGATCGGTGAAGGTGAAGCCCCCGAAGTAGCCTATGGCATGTTATTACCGAGTATCTGTATTAGATATGCTTCCTTTCAAGACAGTATGCTTACGGTGGAAAGGGCGCCTGTCGAGGGTGGAGCCAGAAATCGACGACGCCAGCTACTCGTAGATTTCCCGACTGAGTTCTCCTGTTTCGGTGGGTCAGCGGCACGGGTCGCTTTTGTCGCCCATGCCAGTGGTCGAAGTATTTTGCCCATGTTCCTCGGCGAAGAAACCACAAGCAGATTAGAGATCGCAGGGGTTTTGAACGGAGGACTCTTGGGGATTGTAGTACCAGCCGTTGCATATGACTACCAGCAGACACTGCCGCAGCCTCGCATGTGCAATCAGGAAATGAACCGGGTTTGCCAAGGTTTGGGAAATCTGCTGGCGACTCACCCCGTTTAGGGACCAAGGTGATGCCGCCCTGTGCTCACCCCAGGCACACGCGAGTCAGGGTGTGTCGGGTGAGTGATCACCAGCGTCTCACCAGTCGTGAGGGCTGCGTGTAGTAGTCCGGAGAATGAACCAAATCTCGACATGTCCTTGGTTTTTCTATTGGGAGGCGTGTCTAGATTCGCGATATAAACTGTCTTTCGACTCTCTTTTACTGGAAGATGTGATTGCACTCCGTACGCTGCCAGCCGATCTGTACACCACTGTTGCTTGGTGGGCATTTGTTCCCCACATTGGGTGAATACCCCTTTTTTGGGCAGGGAATAAAGAAGAGTCAAAGAACAGCCAAGAGGTGCTTATGGTATTTTCTGACTCATGGTCCTGCTCTGCAGTCTAGCTATTTAGTCTTGGTAAGCTGAGGCTGATATCAAGTCGCTCAAAGAGCGGGCTAGTGCGTTCACAACATTGGAATGGTCCCCACTTACAGGCAACATAAGCTTCTCCAAAGATAGTGACTTCACAACCAGCTAAGTAGCGTAGGTCATGGGTTGAAGACGAGGGCGAGACAATCTTCTGAGTTTTCGTGGCTTTTGGGGGTGAGCTGTGAGCAGTTTTCTACACGTCTTCGACATCGATGAGACCGACTGAGGTTGAGAACTTTGGCTAACAGGGTGACATCCTTCTAGGAATGTAGCTTGACGTCAATGGCATTGTCCAAGAGCAATAAAAGGATGATTATGAGACCAACCCATGAAGATGCCCATTGCTGATAAGGCAGAAGCCATCCCGGCCTACCTAGATAAAACGCCACATTGCTATGCGCAAACCCAAGTTTATGATATGGTACATTACATGTCAAGACTTGTCCTTCTCCTTCTCCTTGTCTTTATCTTTATCTTTGTCCTTATCCTTGTCCTTCTTTCCTAGCTTGCTTGGTTTTTTGCGAGCCTCTCCCGTACCTGTACCGAGACCCTTGAGTTTGAGCTTCAGACTTGGCTCAGAGCTCTGATCTCTCGCTACTTTGGTTGGTGTGACTTGGATAGTGTCGCCATTCGTCTCCTTCAGAGGACTTTCTTCACCTTTCTCATCATCAATTGTGTTACTTTCTCGAAGTTTGGAGGGCACTCCTATTGCCTTCTTGTCAATTTTCCGAGTATCGCTGGTTTTCTGCTTCTTCTTCAATGTGGGCGTACTGCCTTCCTCATCTGCTTTTCTTTTGACTCCATTGAGAGCAGCCTTGGGTGAATTTGCACGACTGTCTCTTGGAGTGCCACCAATCTTTGCGTTGGCCTCTCTTCCTGCCGCACGATCTTTCTTGAGATAACAACTTCCATTGAGATGTGTTGCGAAGACATTGACCGACTTCCAATGGTCTCCCAAGTGTGACTCTCGATTGGGACATTTGGCAGCAGGATAGTCGATCTCTTTGAATTCGAATTGCTCGCCAGGTACTGATGAAGATGGAGTGAGCTGATCAGAAGCTTCAGAAGGAGCTGGGGAGCCGGGGTCGTTCTTTTTCTTGTTCTTGCCCTTGGCCTGACCCTTGACCTTGACGCCTTTCTTTCGTTGCCCGTGAACATCATGTTTGTCTAGAATGATCATAGGTTCCGTCTTGCAATATTGCTCCGTGGCGTCTGGAACTGGCCGAGAATTCCATCCAACCCTGGGATACTGTAGACGTCGGAGACGACAATTGGGACATCTGATATGTTTGACGGTCTTCATTGGGTTGCCTTTGAGTTGCACCTGACCAGCTGTGAGAACGGCCGAGGTGGTCTCAACAGGTTCCGAATCGGCGTTCTCGTCCTCTGGTTGATCGGCGTTTCCTTTCTTGCCCAACTTCTCTGCTCGTTGCTCGACTTCGACAACCGCGGTCTGCATACGACCGATCTTCTCCTCTTGATGAATCTCCAAGAGAATATCATGTAAAATGCTTTCTATTGAATGCTCGAAGAGATAAGTGATCTTGAAAATGTCAGCTGTGGCCAGAGCGTCTCAAGAACCACGAGGCAACCTACAGTTTCTTGTTGCTCAGCAGCAGTCAAAATGACCGGCTTTGCTGATTTGGAGGTCGACATGCTGGTAAGAGGAACGTCTGGTGGTAGACAGTCAGCCGTGATCTGTGGATCTGCCATGAATCGTCGCCATAGCTCCATATCCAGCACGTAGTTTGGGAACAAAGAGGCGTGCGGCCGTTCCGGCGCCATGATGGGAAAGACAAGCGGAGGAGGGCAGATTAAGAAGGGGAAAACATGACAAACACTGGCCTGGCCAGCAGAACAGGTAACGACAAACGACAAGTTTCTTTGTCTGGATATGTACATCTGGAGTATGGAAGGAAGAAGTAGATTGGACAAGTTGGACTTGATGCGGCGGTAGCATGCAGGAGTTGTCCTTCAAGTGCATGATGGAAATGATGGTCTTGACACAATAGAAGAGGGGTGGGCTGTTGTCTTGAGTGAATTCACTTACTTTGAATCTATTCAGTCAAGCGTGAATAGGAACTGTGAATCCAGTCTGCGCTTCTGCTATTCAAACACCTTCACTACTTGCCACACCCAACCGGCAGAATCCACATTTAACCTTCCATGAGGTCACAAGTATATTTTGATTCAAATTTGTATTCTTGCTCAATCGGAAAGCTCTAAATGTGAGGCGTGTGTGCAGACTCTCGAGAGGCTCGTGATGTGGACACACGAGGGCCAAAGAGGGTGGAGGAATCGGGCGACTTGGGCTCTGCCGAGTGGTCTATGAGTCCCAGAGATAGAGTATCTCAACGTAAGGAGGCCGTCTTCTCTGTGAGCTTATATGGAGGCGGTGGTGGTGGGAGAAAGGACGGCAAGATGAACCAGCGTGCTCCCCAATTTCAAAAGTTTGGTGCAAGGCAACTGGAACTTCGAGATGCAACTTGAACATTTGAAGCCGCAGCCAAAATTTGTGCCCATCGGGTTTAGTGGCTTAGCAATTGGCAGTTCCCTTATAGGCTGCAGCAGCTTAGCCTGGGCTATAAATTGCCCCCGGAAGAAGGGGTGTGCACGCCTGGACAGCGTTTTCTTAGGCAGCGCAAACGCCGGAAGGGTTCCCCAACTAAGCACCACTATTATCTCCATTAGCGCCGGGAACAACCGCTTAAGCTTACTCGTAGTGCTCCTCCAAACTTGACGTTCCTGACTCAAGGTGTCGGTGAGTCTATCCGACCCGGAGTCAAAACTTCACTTCGCCAATTGAATATCCAGGGCTGCAACCATGCATCTCACGATCCACTGGCCAGACATTCGCACGTAATAACACTTTGTCATATTTCTTCGTGAGCGCGTCAAAAATTGCAAATAAGGCGTAACGCTTGCAAGATGCCTCAAGCTAGCCTTCTCAGCTATCTAACAAGGCCTTCTGCGGTCTCTTCCTCCAACACTTCGCCGGGCGAAGCATCGTCAAAGCAACCCTTGTTGAAAACCATTATCCCATCGCCAACTACCGAGAAGACTTCAACTTTGACCTCTGACCTGGGCATTCTGGAGAAAGTGCAGGATCAGCTTTCTACAAACGACAGACCCACCACCATCCAACACATTCCAGATGCTCAAATCGTTCACATAACTAAGTTACATCTGCCTTCCATTCAGCGACTGACCAGCACTACATTACCAGTCCGCTATGGTGATAATTTCTTTCAAAGTACCATCACTGATGAGACAGCGGCCCAACTGTCACGCGTTGTGCTTTACTCTTCTGAGCCCATAGGATGGATCCGATGCTGTCTGGAGCCTTGTGGTCCTGATTATGCATCTCAGCCACAACTGAAACAGATCTACATCCAGGCTTTGGCTCTCCTCGCACCATATCGAGGACTTGGGCTTGCAACCATTCTACTTGACACGATATTCGATGGCTCAATAGCACGGGCACCGGAGACCGTCTGCATCTATGCTCATGTGTGGGAGAAGAACGAAGACGCGTTGGAGTGGTATGAGAAACGAGGCTTCAAACGGGTCTTACTCCTTCAGAGGTACTACAGAAGGCTTAATCCTCCAGGGGCTTGGATCGTTCGAAAAGAAATGGAGAACAAGTGATTCGCCTACGTTTGCATTGGATCCTCATGACAGCATTTTCACTGTAAATGTGCTGCTGCTAGGTATTTTCTGACTATTGCCTGTGCGATCAGCAATCTGTTACGACCAATGTTCTACCCCAATAGACCGGTACAGATACCAAGACAGGACGACGCCTCACAAGACAATGCACTACAACGAAGTGTGACAGCCTTTGTGAAGAATCATAAAGACTAAATGCCCACACAACGAGAATAGAGTTTATCTCACTCGGCCTTTGTCTTGGCCATGGACCTCAGCTTGCGATGAACAAGCCCCAGCAACTCTAGTATATATAAGCCCTACAGTGGACCTCGCCGACCATCAGAGAGATGCACAAGCACAGTCCAGATTTTCAGATGCGGATCATGGCAATCCCCATTACATGTTGCGCTGGACTTGATCCAGCAGCAGAATACTTTTCTCGATTTCTGACGGTCGATGATACTCCCTCACGAGCGGAGCGAAAGTGCAATCATTGCAAGTTGGATCTGTCACCCAAGATGTGGCAATCAATGCGGCGGGAACGCCATCCCTATGTGTTTGAATGTGAGGCGTGCTGGATCCCAATTTTGAGTTCTGGCACATGTTCTGACGATTACAGTAAGACAATAGCGACCGAGGGATCGGAGAAAAGATACTGCACTTGTCACTGTACATGCGAAGATCTCGATCTGCTACCACCCAGGACTTGGTATAAAGCGGAGCCGGCCTTGCAGACGGTCATTTACAAGAAGTTCGAACCGAGATGCAAAGCATGCATTTTGAAGCCATGGGTTGAGGAATATGTTCAAAACGAAGGCTATTGTCAACGCGATCTTTACCATGAGTATCTCATGCTAGAGCGAGCACGATTAGGTAAATTGGTCATGCCACCCACTCGAAATGAAGTGGAAGCAGACAAGCCCCAATCCTCCTTGCAACCTGTGAACCGGTATAGCCCTGCCAACGAAATTATCAAAGAGGGCCATTATCCAAAGAGGTGCAAAAGCTCGACCGAAACAATCTCCGGGCTACCAGCTGATTTCCAGAGCATGCTTCTAAAGCGTGATCCCGACGCATTCGGGATGGCTGTCCCAATTAGCCCAAGTTTGATGTATGAGAACGGTCAATACCACACCAAAGACTTCCATGCCTGGGTCCGGCTCGCGGCCTCGCACGAATTAGCACGTACCGCAGCGTGTGACTCTCTCAATAAGAGCAGATCGGAGTCCAACGTCGACGACAGCATTGCAGAGCCGGGACCAAGCCCGTGTCCGTACACGAACGCAATAACCCAAATACCCGAGATCAAGGCCATGATCGACGCCGAGCGAGCTGCATTACTGGAATACTTCAGTCAGCCCGAGAGCTGCAAAGGCGTACATCGCCGTGCTAGTCTCTGCAGCATCGACGGCAACCTGGAGGAGTGCTTAGCACGCATTGAAACCTCAACGCTGCCCAACAGTTTCGAGCCTGCTATCCACGAGCACTTCGATCGGCATATGCACCGCCTTATTTTGCGACGATTGAAGGAGTGGGGTATGAAGCTCGTCTCTCCTGCAAATGTCTGGTCGACAGTCGCGGCATTGAAGGACCATCCCTTGAGGATTCAGGTTTGATCACTCGAAAGACTTACTGCTGGACAAGTATTGTCGTTCCTTCGGCATCGGAAGTATGTAAATCGAGCTCATCTCAGATCGCATCTGCGTATGGCTGGGGATTTGCACGCCTAGATATTGTATGAAAAATCCTCTAATTGAAGGAGTGATTCAGATCTGAACATTTATGCGCCAAAAGTTTTCCCCCTCCCTTAGTCACCTACCTTTAGAACCCCATACTATTCCATTCGTTCACAGCTCATTTGCAGACCAACATGCTTTCACCAGAAAATGGCATATCATATAAGTACCCAAGGCAGTGTTGCGAACTTATCCCGTTCAAATGGTTTGATTTTATGTATACAGACCTCGCTAAACCTCTGCCCGAGCTTCCGTTCCCGCAGCCGTATCATTGAAGCTCAATAGATGTAAATGTGTATGTTGTTTGGCTTTCATAGTACGGACGAGACATAGCTTTCTTCCAGCTTCCGTACCTCGCGCTTAAACAGCTCGACCTCCTTCCAACAGTCCAGCGGTTTCCGGTCGTTTAATCGAAGGCATGAGATGACGCCTTGTCTCCTGTTTGGGGCAAACCATCAAATTAGTTATGCGTTCTTGGAACTATCCGACGGCCGTCTCGCCCGCAAAAAAAGGGTGATAAACTCACGCAGTCTCGACCTCCTTAGGCAGCTCCTTGACGACCTTCCGCTGCCCTAGCGTCTGCCGCAATTTCTCAATCTCTTGCTGTACCTTCTGCGTCGTTTGTGATTTCCGCGCTTTCTCCTCGGAGCTTTCGAGAGATAATATTTCGCTGGGGGATACCGAGAGGAGGGAAGAACCAGTCTGAGATTTTGAGGATTCGTCGTCTTCGCCCGAGGCGATCTTCTTTCGAATACTTTCAAAGGCTTCCGATTCTTGAGATTTCAGCTTTTCGAGTTCTGCCGCAACTCGTTGCGCGATGTGTAGCTCAAGTGATTTGGCGCGTGTGGAGTTTGTCTGTTGGAGGTAGGGCGAGTGTCAGTAAGGGACTCTTTTGAAAGCGAGCTATATATTATCGGGAGAATGTACTTCTGAGGATGCTTGTAATGAGTCTATGAGTCTGTAGGTTGGGACAAGTCAGTCAAAGTTGGTCGGACTTGGGCGATAGAGCATTGTAAAAGTCGTTACTGGCCAATGCCCCAGAATAGACGTACTCTTGAGAAAATTGTATAGGTGTATCGCTGGCGAAGACGTGCTTCGTAGACTCGTCTGCCTTGGACTGGCCGGCGCCCATCTTGAGCGAGTTGTTCTCGGAGGGTTCAAGGTCGAGTTATGTATCGGTATAGGACTATGACCTGCCCCAGGGCCGCAAGGTCAGGACGTTGGAATTAGTTGAGTGGGTATAGCTGTATCTTGCTTGACCTGCGTTGGAACTTGAACTTGAACTTGAAGCTTTCCCGATGCTGGCCATGCGGAAGAATTGCTTGGCAGGTACATTTTTCCGGAGCTTCCAGTTCCGGGAAGGTTGAGCCGGGGAAGTCGCGTTCTTAGCGTGGACAGCCTTGCCTTGAGTGCACCACAACGTCTACTTAATGAGGGGTAGAGCAAGTAGAATAACGATATCACGGCACAGGTCTGTTAGTCCAGAGCACATGACTATGTCGGTGAGCTTGAAATGTACTTTCAAATCTACCTAGGTACTCAACAGTTACACAGGCCGATGCCTGGAGAAAGTTTGAAGTATCTCCTGTTAGCACAGTAAGATTGAGGTACACCACACCCGAAACCGGAGTGAACGTTCAGCTTGTGCTCGTGTATACACTAGAGCCTTCTCTAATCGCTTTCGTTGCTCCAAAGTCGAGAAGCTACTCATTAGCTCGCTCAAATTCACACCGCCTGAGGCTTCCAGTTCGTTTGGTATCATGGACAAGATCGCTAACAGAGTATCAAGACCAGGAGGAACGACCCCGTAGTCATGCGTCAAAACTTTGTTCCATTTCAACAGCGCTACCGACACCTTGGTCATACCAACCGATTGATATTTTTTGATTGTTGCACTCTCGAATGTCGGGATATAGTTCTTGGCGCCTTGTGTGTCAAGTGTGGTTGCAAGGACAAAGGCTGTCCACAGGATAATGCTGACTCGGGCAAATTCCGACTTTTGCGAAGGCATACTGTCAATGTCCCATGCCCCAAGAAGACAGATGAGAATTGATACGCACTTCTTGCGTACCCAGTATCCATTAATGATGCTACCCTTATTTGTCCATGCCTGTTGAAGAGTCTGGGTACAGAACAACAACTGTGCAACAGCGGTACCGAGAACCTCTTCCGGAAGCTTCACAACCCAGTCAGTACGCAGGAGCGAATCGCTATATTGACTAGCCATGTCCGATGCTGACACTGGTGGGGCATCATCAGAATTGGCGTGATGTCCCAGAATTGGATGCCCAAGAGTTGAAAGGGCAAGGTAATAGTCCGTGAAAACAATCATCTCGCTGATATGATTCAGTACCTTGGAAATACCTCCCACAAGAACGAGTAAGTGTTGCACTGCGCTCAAGTGTACCCTTGCCGCAGTAAAGTCACCTTTGAACACCTCCGTGAGACACAAGTAGGATAACACTTCTACAAACTGCATGGGAGAGTAAGTTCCTTTGACCAGTGCCTCTCTGAGAGCTAAGATTGTTTTCAGGTGCAACGCCTCGGTTACATCGGTACGACTGCCTGGGAGTTTCAAGACTTGCATCTGGATCGATGTAAATGTGATGGTTGTGAGCATATACAGAGGGCTCTTGAAGCACTTCTGGCTCATGACGGCATCGGCTGGCTGCTTCAGATCGACCTCATGCCATGTTCTCCAGTCCGGGGCAACCGATCTCCACCACGCGACGTGGAAGGTCAAAAGCTGTCCGGAATGCTCGTCGACATTCAGGGTTGTCACCCGAAATGGGTCCACTGGTGATTCAGATATACTTAGGCGCAGCTGTTTGTCGACCTTCTTGTTTTTCTGGGTAGGATTTTGAGTCTCATCGTCGGTGCCCGGCATAGCCCTGAAGGCCAGGCGACTGAATTTGGATGGTACGATTTTAGCACTGCGATATTTTCGGTTTTTGGCAGATACCCTTTGAGCATGGCCATTGACCAATGCTGACTCTCGACCTTTGCTCGTCGAAAGCGAGGTCGATTGCTGATTTTTATTAATCCATAGATAGGACTGTTCGCCTTGCATGCTGAGCTCTTGGACTTGGGGTGTCGTCTGGGGCGTGGAGTTTGCTATCTTCGGGTTGATGTTGTGGACTCGTCATTCTCAACCAAATATGCGCCAAACTAAGGATGGTAGCAGGTCATATTGAATTGGCGGTGGTAGAATTATACTAGTCACAATCCAGCGACGTAAAAAGCGTCGACATAGCGAAATCAAATATGTTGTGCCGTTTCGAGGATCCATTTTCCTAAAGGGCGTCCTAGTCGTCACTTTGTGAAGCCTCTCGCTTGAATTAGTGCCAGATGCCGAGTGTGAGCTTTATGCGTGCCTTGCACGGCATATGCAGCCGTCTCTTAGCGTCTTCTGACAAACGATCCTTCAAAATCCGCTCATCCAATCATTCAGCAGATGAGGCTTCGATACCTTTTCCTAATTCAGCCTCGCCCGTTTTATGAAGCTTTAGTCATTGGCATGCTCTTTTGGAGTGATTCTAAATCCAGATAAGCGCGGATAGTGGAGATTGAATCGCATGATAACTTCTGCTCAAAGTCTACGTAGAGCCGTGTAATCGTTTGAGGTCGAGACTTAGGCTATGCGACTCCCAGGAGGCTCGGGTGGCAAAAATCTTCAAGCCACCAGTCACCAGGGGCCTGAATCCTGGACTCGCAAGCAAGACGCCTTTCGGCAAGTTCTACAGGCGCATGGCATAATCTTATGGCAAAACTATCTCCACACTATCCTAATGTTCAAGTCACCATGTTGAAATACCGAATTCTTCTAGTGCAAGTCTTGTGACTTCGACATGGATCTTAAACCGCTTGTAAAGCGAGATCCACTGGCTTTGCCAGAGGCTTTTCAACTTGTCCTATATCCAGGCTTCGCAACTTCACACTCCTACTGTTATCGGACTGCTTGCGAGCAGTGTTCTCTGGGGCATAAGTCGAGGTCGTGCTGTGTTTCGTGTCAGCCTGCATGCCCACATCAGTGGGGACGGCAAGAACATACCCTGCCCTCCGGGAGAGGTAGCGTCGAATGACATGCGCGAAGATAATCAAGCAAATAGCATTACCCATAACGAAGGAGTACCCTTTCGTGAAGCGAGGGGCCTCGACCGTTTTGAAAACTAATAGTGGTGTCCATGCGACAGTTGATTGCGATATCATGTTGATAAATACGAGAGTGAAGGACCTTTCCACGGGTGAGTGACTCAGTACGCTGTTCACCCAGCTATACAAGACGCCGGACACCGAGTTCGCGGCATAAGTTGTCATGAAAGCAAACCAAAGCGCAGTCTCGGGCACTTTCCAAGTAATCAAGATTATCAACCCAATGATATTCAAGGTATGAGCCATTGTAATGGCCCAGGCCGGGCCTAGAACAAGATCAGAAGCCGTTGAAACCAGCAACGTGTAGAAGATGCCGATTGCCGGTGAAAGAGAGCCCAAAGAATTGATCTTCGCAGAACTATATCGGTTTAGACTCTTGAGCCACAGCAAGAAGCCTCCACTGATCACGTTGGTGCTGCCACCCCAGAAAAACAGGTCCAGTGAGAGTAGCGCCCACGTTAATCTGCAGGATAGTACTCTCTTCAGAGTACCCCATGATATCTCTTCAGAAGTGACATGTCCAGCATCATGGAGCCGTTTCGCTGCAAGATCAATGTCGTCCTGTGAAAGAAAAACCCGGCTGGGTCGATCAGGTGTACCAGGAAGGATGAAAAAGCCAATTATACCAACAGGAATGGTGATACAAGCGCAGATAATGTACATCCAGCGCCAACCAGCCAAGCCATTTACTCCATCAAGCTTCGATGATGCAGCCGCTTGAATAAGACCAGCTGTAAGAGTGCCGATATTCTGAGCGGTGTACCATATACCAGCGCGGCGCGCGATTTCGTGGCGTTTGTACCAGGACCCAAAGACGTAGTGGCTCGTGATAAAGTACGGTGCCTAAGTCATGTATCGTTCATTTACTTAGCAGTCATGATTGAAACTCCACATCGAGTCACTGACCTCGAACCATCCGACGAAAAACCGATAGACCATTACCTCAGTATATCCTGTAGACCGGTATTGTAGCAAGGTGAATATGCCCCATGCAATATCGAGTATAGGAATAACTTGATGGATGCGGATGCGAGTCAGTAGGAACAGGAATGGGATCTGTCCAAGAACCGCTCCTAATATGTAAATAGTTTGAAAATGTACCAGCTCATTACCGTGAAACCCTAGGTCCTCTTTCATGCCACCAACGTAAGCATTATCTAAAAAACACTCGTCAGCACATCAAGACCCTGGTGAATATATATTGCAAAAGCTATGTACTTACTGATATTGGCTTGGTCAATATATTTAATGATGTAGACCGCAAGAGAGTACGGGAGTATCAAAAGATCGAGTTTCCAGATAAGTCGCCGCTCCTCCTTTGTGTCATCCGTGGAGAACCAGGATAGTCGGTACCATATTTTGCGGTAGTCGAAGAATGCCATTGCGATTTGTTTGTGTTAGCAAGACAGAGTTCATGGGCCGGGCTCGTGAGGGCTCCGGCTCCTGCAAAAGGTGGACGTGCATGTTGTTGAATATATACGTCCCAAAGGGAGATATCCTCCTATCTGGATACATGGTCCAACTAGCATCCTGTCCGGTAGCTGCCTCTCTGTCGCGCAGCTGGAACGTTACTTGAGCGTTAGCTGAAGGACAAGACGTGCAAAGTGGCACCTTTAGGCTATGCTGCATATTGACTAATCATTAGACCTAACCTGTTACGGGATCAGGTTGATTGGTCCAGAACCGACTGACTGAGATAGAAGACGGTGAGCTGATATGAACCATGCTTTATTGGCTTGAGCAATTAGAAATGGTGGAATTCATAATCTATGGTTTTCATATGACGTTGAAGGACGTGTACCAGGGTTCCGGGGATCATATTCCGTGTGAGGAATTTGGTAATTTAGAGCGAGAAGGCAAGCAACCGCAAATTGTTTAAGGAAACGGAAGACAGGATGTAGTCCCTGCAATGCTGGAATAGTATACATAGGGTCAACCGCTCTGCTGAGGCGATCGACACCAGAGTGCGAGCCATCACATTTATGAAGTCAGACTCTTTTACAGTCTATCTGAAGAAGGATTTCCTCCTACCGGCATCAGTCGGTGTAGCCGCCGCCGTCCAGTTTCTAGCAACGGAGCTCTTCCTCCGACCGGGAAGCAGTTGGCTAAACGACTGTCTGCTGAAGACGCTTGATCCACCAAAAGAGAACAAACTAGAATCATCGGAAGCGCCTTGCGATAAACCTGCAAGAGGACCAACGTGTGACTTATAGTCGAGCCACGCCAACTCCATCAATGGTCTCGTCTCTTTGCCCACGAATTCCTTGGGCACCTTTGCGGCTACTTCGATCAATTCGGCTCGCTTGAGAGGTTCCACTTGGAGCATTTTGGAGATGATGTCTCTGGCCCAGGCAGGTACTGTGAAGCGATCAGGGTAATTCACGACTGGAACTTTCAATGCTTGTTGCGAAGCGGTAGACATTTTTCTCTTCGATTTTGTTGAAATTTCACTTTCAAATGCAGGATGGGCCAGGTTCGAAAGCCGATCTGTCTGGCCTGTGCATATGAGATAGACAATCACACCACAGCTCCACATTACAGCCTTGCGCGCATTATATCGAACATTTGAAAACACTTCTGGTGCAGTGAATATGTCATCGCCAATTTTTGCGTCGGCAGATGCGTTGATGTCATCGACAGCTTCCATCGTGTATTTGTAGGCGTGCTGAAAATCTCTAATGGTAAGCTCACCAGCGTCATCGACAAAAACCGTCTCATCGAAAATCCGTAGGTGAGCAAAGCCCGAGTTGAAGATGACGGCCACTCCAGAGAAGAGCTGTGTAATGAGTGACTTGATTTGGTCGCCGGATAGTGGCTGATGAGCTTGCATGTAATGTTGCAAAGATATCCCAGGCTTGCATTCAGTGACGGTCCAGATATATCCCAGAAGCTCTGTACTTTCAACCAGATCTGGAACATGCCTGTCCGAAACAGCACTCAGTACCGCGATCTCTCTCATCAGCGCTTCCGATGGACCAATATCGGATCTCGCAGCCCTTTTGACGAGGACCTGTAACAATCAGTAATCTGATAAGGCTGATATGGAGACCGCATCACCTTCCCACCATTCAAAGCCGATATCCCTAAGTGACCAGCCGACTCTAGCTGAGGTGGCAAGCAGGATTTGTCCAATCCATATCGCAACAAAAGCGCGTCTTCAGCGGTCGTGCTATCACCCACATGCGATCCTACATCTTGCAGGTCTGCTGGAACATCTGGAAATTGCGCAAGGTCTTGGCGCCATTCCGAATTCTGGAAGTCGTCGAAAGGACCATTCCTCCATTCAGACCTAAATTCGCGACTCGATTGTGTCGCTCTGCTCGCTTCGTCATCACTAGACCTGTTCTCCACAAGGTGGGAGCTTGAGGATTGCACGAATGGGTTTGAAAAGGGATCGGTCATTGCGTAAGCATTTGAGGCTGCGCCGTCCTCTTGGCCTATTGCTTCAAGATAGTCGACCTTGACACGCAATGTTTTGTCTTCAAACTCTTAACATCTGAAACGAATGATTCCCAGTGACACTTTCTCCCAGAGAGGTGATGGATGGAAAAGCATTTGGAGGGCACATAAAGCGAGCCGAGTATCTACCCCGCTCCATGAATCATGACAACTACTTCGGCCACCTTTCATAAACCTCCCGTCCTACGGAAAACCTTGGGACAGAAGACATGACTGTAAATACACTCCATGTCGGCGCCAGCCCGGAGTTGAGACCAGGAATATCTTTCAGTGCGCATTTTCATCATTGTTCGACAAGGCTTCCATGACATGTCAGATTTTCGAATACTCAGTGGTGAATCATGACCTCTCCAAAGTTTATCTCCATTTCTCCACACAGTCTTTGTCACCTCGCCTGAGTCACGACTAAGCAGATTTTGAGCCATGGATATATGTCCTGAGGTTCGTCTAGCATACCTCCAGGCTTAAGTGAAAGGATGAGTACAAGCGTGACCAAGTGTGCAGGAGCCTACTTAGGATCTATCTTTCATCGTTTTGTGTTCGGCATTATCATCTTCCACAACTTCCGGGCCCCTGTTTGACTATTAGTGCTAGTAGCACTTCCTATGGCCACTTCTCAGTGCGGCTACCTGGAATAGGTGATGAGTACGTAGGTACGTATTTCTATACGCGTCACACCAATTCAGTCTTCATCCCACCATTAAGTAAAGGCACCCTATACAGCGCGTACGGCTTGACTCTCCGATCAACACCACCCTGTTGACTCGGGCCCCTCCACAGCTGGTTCTCGGTGAAATATAGGTACTGCCCACTCGTCGAGAAGGTATCTGTCCACTCAATTCTAGCGTTGCGGACATAGGTCTGCACGGTACCGTTATTCGGATCGAACGCGAATATCGAATCTGTCTCAACGCTGCCTCCGTACACGATCCCATTGCTATCACTCTCCAAGCCATCGCTGACGCCTTTCTGGCCCAGATCCATGACGGACGCTTGAGCAAACAATTCGCTCGATGCACTGCGGTCGCGCAATCGCGTCGTCGGGACCGAATATAGGTGTCGGCCCGAGACAACGCTAAAGTACAGTGTCTCCCCGTCGTTAGAGAGAGTGATTCCGTCGGCCCCAAACGCGAGGCGAGACACCGGCTTGCCATTCCCCGGGTTGCTGTACACGGGTTCACCCCAAACAGTGACGAAGAAACCTGGTTCCGGCCGCACTTGCGGGATGTTTTCGAGGTGGCGCCACGACTCAAGTGTGCCGAGGTCGACGACGATGATGCCATTGCGACCTTCGGACGACGAGTCGGTGATGTACGCTATCCCTTGACCCGACGCAGTGACCGAGGCGCGCAGGTCGAGACGCACGTCGTTTGGGTACGAGTCTGGATACGCGACGTCAGGTGGGAACAAAATCGTCTGGAAGATGGTGTTGTTGGTTAGGTCGACACCGACCAGTTTGGGCCCGCCGTATTGTGAAGTCGTGAGGGTGCCATCTGGTAAGAGAGCGCGGCCGGTGTCAAGGATCCACAGACGATCTTTGGCGTCGACCACCACACTTTGGACGCCGATGAGGTATTCAGCTAAACCCTTGGATTGTGGTGGGGATTTGGTGTAGTCGATGGCGCCGCCAGGAGGGCTGTTGATCTGTGAATTGGGGTATGCTGTCTCTGTGCTGTTGCCGGTGAGTTCTGCGACTTGGTACTTGGTGTTTGTTGCGTCAAGGCCGAGAGGGTAGTTTGAGAACATCCGGCCTGACGAGGAAACAGCGATGCCTGAGTTCACGAGGTGACGCGTGAGAGATTGTTCTGAGTCTGACATTCAAAACCCACAAGAGTACAGACACCTACCTGTCGGCCACTCATCGTAGTACAGATGCATCAATTCCGGCGTCGGCCCAATGCCAATGGCATCTCTTGATAGTGTTTGTGCCAGGGAGCCTGAGATGGCATGTACCACGACCACTATTGTACGGGCTGAGAAGAACATCTTGTGGTTGCGCAGTGAAACGCGACACCTGATGGATCGTCAGGTCGAGCAAAAGTTGACAAGTAGAAAGAGGACATCGAGTGCTTTAAAGCATTGGCAAGTTCGGGTTAAAACATAATGATCCAGCGTCATGGAGATGCGAATGAGCTCATATGCGGAGTTTGTACATCGTGACCTCAGACTTGTAGGTGTCCGGAGTCTATCCTCCGACTGTACCAACCTTGAAGGATAATAGGACCCGGCATTGTTTTGACACGATGCCTGACTTCATTGGAGTGCCTTGAGCATGTTTGATGGCATACAGAGTGGTGTTGTAGATCCTCTCGAAGAAAGCAGACTTTCTCTTCTACTGTACTGGTACTTCTTCCCCGCAACAACAATCGGAATTAGCTTCGAGAGATGTCATGTAAAGGGTGTTTTAGGCTATTTTTGGTAATCTCAGCAACCTAATGAAGTTCCTTATAGCCTCTTTATTGAACACTGTCTTAGAAATCGCGAAATCCCTATAGATATTTTGGACCCGACGAAGCTAAGGTTTGGACAGGGTCCTGGGGTTCATCCTCCTGTTAGTGCCCAGCCTGCTGCCCGCTGAATGCCACATCAAACGCAGTGATATCCTTCGCATATGCACCGATGATGATGGGCAAAGGATGACTGAGCTGTGCTCATCACGACCGTCCGTACCATGCTGTGCATGGCTCCCATCGAGCAGCCCATTGGTATGAAGGGATTCCCAGGGCGTTTCTTCACAGCATTGCGTGGGGATCCATATCTGCTATCCCGCGTTGTATGTGCTCGCTTCATGCGTAAGATGCGTGACCAAGGTCATAACATTGAAAGTCGCAAGTCATCGTCTAGACAATCTCATGTGCACTCCCAATGCGTGATGAGGACATCAATATGCGTTTTTGTCCTTTATCAGGGGACCCCCATACTTTGTCCACGCAAGCCAAGGCTCAAGGGGGCCTTGCGGCCCGAGGGGCCCCAGAGATTGGGTGGCCCCTGAAAATACCCGGAACGGCAAATTTCCACCCGAAGAACAGCTAGCAACCTTCCGGCTGCTTTAGGCGAGTCTGAGCGCCCCTCAGCCAGCCTTACAGGTTTTTCACTTCGTTCCTGCATCAGGATGCCAGGTTGATACGGACACCTTGTACTGCTGTCGAATAGTGTAAGTTCATATCAGCACCTCGAGTCAGCCAGTCTCATTGAGAGCTCAATCACATCACAATGCAACAACCGCTTGCAGTCTTCTGATCAGCGTGCATTTCAGTGAAATGGTCCCAATAGATCTTTCGCTTGACGTCTTCCACAGGTGTAGTTCGTCTGCGTAACTCTTGTTGGATCTTGTTGCGTACTGTTGGGAGACGTTCAATCTGCCTTTCATTGTGGAAGAAGCAGATCCGGGTATCAAGTCGGCCATTGAGATTCTCAATATACCAGAGGAGGAATTCGTTTTCTTTCTCGTTCCAGTCTTGCTTCTTGCAGAAGATGCAGCTGGTGTCGCTTGAAGGCATTTCTGTTCGATTAAGGTGGATAAAATGTGTTGGGATTGTATTGCAGAGATTTGATAATTGGTCACAAAGTATGAAGGCGCCTTTGAAAATTTATCGTGATATGAGTGATCGATCAAAAGCGAATGTATCAATTGAGTACAGGTGAGTCTCGATGATAGTTACTGGGCTGCCCTGGGCATGTCATCTATTATACGTGCCTGATTGTGAGCTGAACATTGAGAAAGGGCACTTCCTGACAGGGACACTAACTTAATCACTCTGTACTTTCAGGGAACGTGAATGGCAAACACGGATATGCACATGAGCAGGGATGTCTCAAACAGTCAACAATTATTGCTGAACTGGGCATGTTCTCAATGGCCAGCTTCACACTGGCGGTTCGTGTTCCTGATGGGGGGTGGGGAAGGTGGCGTGCCATTCTTCTTCCCCTTTGACGATTTGGAGTCTTGGGAGGTGTGCGTCCACCCAAAATAGTCAGATCGACTCTGAACACGCGGCACCCAGTCGGTCAACATGAAGATCTCTAATTAGTTAGATACGACACTATCGAACTTGCAAACGATACTGTCACGAACATGGCGGTGTCGATTACTCCCATTTCACATCTTTACCGACGCAGCCTCGCCATCGCTAGCATATCGCTATCGGCTTGATCTCGTATCGCTCGCAAAAGTGGAGATTGCGACTCGGCCGTACAATTGAGAATCTTAGTACGAGGTACCGAGTATTCATGTCAGCTTTCCGCCAACCAACGATCAACACTCTTGGTGCCTTGGCTTAGCAACCATAAATCAAGCTTCGAATCTCAGCTGGCTCTTTTGCCATCTGGAATAATGTGGTCTGACTTCGCTACACCGGCTTTCCATCGGTAGGAAGCAGCGACATGTTCTGGCAGTGGTCCATGTTGGCCTTTTCGAACATACAGATTTTCGCGATAAGTGCCACTAGGTACTGCATAGTCATCCCAGAAGAGTCCCCGGGCTCTCAACTCTGGCAGAAGTAATTCAATGATGTCCTGGAATGAGGATGGAAATAGTGCGTATGCCTGTTATTACGTCAGCCTTTGGTTCTGCATGAGAGGCAGACCGATCCCTTACTAGATTGAACCCATCAATATCTGCCTCCTCGATCCAACGTTCCATAACATCGGCGACATGCTGGGGTGTACCGACTGGTGTCGCACCCAGGCCTCCAATGGTGATCAATTCAGCAACGGTCCATTTAGTCCATTTGGAAACTCCAGGAGCTAGGTGTGCAAAACCATCAACAGCTGATCTAGGCAAAAAGTTAGCACTCGAGTTCGCATGAAGGTTACCAGATATCCCATCTTACTTGACCGCATTGCTTTCGACCTGCCGCAATTCCTCATCATCTCCGTACTTTCCAAAATCGATTCCTGTCCAGCCACACAGTAAGGCAAGTGCCCCTTCCACAGACGCATAACTTCGGTACTCTCTGAACTTTGCATCTGCTTCTTCCTGTGTCTTTCCGAGAACCGGACAGAGCAGGGACAAGAATTTGATATCCTGTGAGTTACGTCCGAACCTGGTATTGGCTAATTGTCTTGTCTCCGAGATACTCTTTGCTACAACTGAAGGGCTATGTCCTGCAACGAAGACACCCTCTGCATGTTGAGCCGCAAATTCTTTTCCTGCTTTTGATGTCCCTGCCTGCAATAGCAGTGGAGTTCGTTGGGGACTAGGTTGGCAGATGTGTGGCCCTGGCACTTGAAAATACTTTCCAATATGATTGATTTCTCGAACCCTGTCCGGGACTGTGTACGTGCCCTTCTCACGATCAAGTACTACTGCGTCATCTCTCCAAGAGGATTCGAAGAGTTTGTACATGACCTCCAGGTATTCCTCCGCAACTTCGTAACGTTTATCATGCTAACAACAGTTAGTCATGAAATGGAGAACGTCCTTCTCTGATATTTGGTCATACCTGTGGTTGTTCTGTGTATCCAAGATTCCGAGCGGCAGAATCGAGATAACCTGTCACTATCTGCACCAGAAGGATGAGCCTGAAAGGCCTGCCGATCGTTGAGAATACTTACATTCCAGCCAATTCTGAAATGATCTTGTTAAATTTTGAGTGGTTTCTATATTGATGGAATTTCATACCTTCCTTTCGACAGATGATCAATCGTTGACAATCTCCGGGCGAGGTGATATGGTTGTTCATATGTCGTTGAGACCGTCACTCCAAATCCAATACTTTGCGTTGCGGCTGCCATTGCTGGGATCACCGCAAGGGGTTCATTGACCGGCCATTGAGCTCCGGAACGGATTGCGGCATCAAGATTTCCATTGAAGACATCATAACCACCTACAGTCGATCAGAAACTTCTATCCTTGAGGATAACATAACCTACCAAGCACATCAGCTATGAATATGCCATGAAACTTTGCAGATTCCAAAAGTTTGGCCAGTCCAACCCAGTGATCAACGTCATTGAATTTCCAAGATTCATCACGTGGATGCCTCCAAAGACCCGGAGACTGGTGACCGCTACCTATCCGGTGAGTTAGTTAAACCTGCATGAACTGGATCAAGGTCTCGAAATACACATCTCAACGAATGCATTGAGGATCAATTTCTTGACCTTCCGCTCCGCAGACGCTGGAATCGCGCTACTTGATAGGTCTGACATGGTGACTGATTTCTCAAGTCAATATCTATGATAGAATCACTGTGCTCCTGTCTTTTTTTTTCTTTTCCAACAACTTCTTTCTGCAGAATGTTTTTCTTGGGTACGGGCCGAACACGTGGTAGACGAGGCTGAGTCTTGGCATATCAAATGATGCCATCTTCCATCCCGCTCACGCAATTTGGAGACTCTCTTACACCACTGCATCCCATTTGATAAGGGGAGTAATCGACATCCTTCACTCGCTTGATCCGTTCTCAAGTAGAAATTTTTCTCTGTCGGACTTTACCACTGCTTGGAGGATCAATCTCTGGTGGGGGTTGGTGCTCCGCAACGAGCCTCGCATTATCTTTCTAATGGCGCCATCTACGGACGAAGACCTCAGCAGGCTCCTATGAGGTACCTAGATAGGTACAATCAAAAGCAGAGAAAGAAGATAGCGTGCTGAGTCATGTGCTCCCATGTACTATTGGCGATGCACAGCTCTGATCTTTCGAACTTTTCCAATATTCAGCAGGGAAAAGCAATTTTCGGCAATACGCTTCTGTCATAACAGAAGCAGCCTACCATAACGACATTAATTCCTTGAGCCCCGGGTAAAGCGTTTGCATGAAAAAACAAAACATGTTCCGCGGTTGATTACAATGTCTTGTCACATCTAAAATGGTCAATTACCTACGGATCAAATGCCGAACATCCACTCGTTCTGACCAGGCTAAGCCATCACGCAATGCTGAACTATTCTTTTCATTCGGATACGCTGCCGCTATCGGCCAAGCAAGTTGGAGATAAGGTGACAAATCCGAGGTTCGCCTACGAATTATTCAACGCATTATTCGTACCTTTGACTTTTCCAGATCTACGAGAAGTACTAAGTAGGCACAGGAAAAGGCACCTGATGCGAAGAAACGTCCTTGGAAAAGTACGGTGACATTCCTCGATCTAAAACAACCCTGTCAGCCCATACATCCTTCTGGTTTTTGGAGATACGAAAGTCCAGCCATGGGTGCCTGGCCACTTTGGGAAAGACTTTCGTCGTTGATATACAAAAGACACGCCAAGCTCATTGCGGCCTCTTCGACAAAGTCTGAGTCTACTCTGGCGGAGGAGAAGGAAATCAAATCGGAACTCCCGACAAAACAGAAGCTGCTTCTGTTACATGGACCTAAACAGGACTATGTACTTACCGACGACCAAGCTGTTCCTTTAGCAGATGCTCATCATGAAGTTGTCGTTCGTGTAACTACGATAGGTTTGAATCCTATTGACTGGAAAGCACCGTAAGTATATCAGCAACCCAAGCCTGTACCATTCATTTCAAACTTGTTGGCTGTCACCGTGATAGCATACCACGTTTAGCATCTTACATCTTACATGATGCAGGGCATTCAATTTCGGCATACCTCAGTTACCCTACATCTCTGGCCGGGAGTTTTCTGGAGAGATAGTTAACGTTCGTGGAAAATCAACACGATTAAAGCAAGGCGACAGGGTAATTTGACCCTGTTCCCAATGACACAACCGGTTCTCTGTGTTGATGTCTCCCACAACTTGCTCAATGTCGCTGACCATGATCCTCTCCCATAGGTACTTGTACCATCCACCGACTATCGCGATCCACGAAAAGCAGCATTCCAACAGTATGCCATTGCATCAGATTTCAATGTCATACGGCTTCCCACGCACGTATCAGCCGAGGAAGGAGCCACTCTCGGAGTCGCCTATGTGGCTGCCTCTCTTGCTCTAGGAGTTTGTCTCGGTGTCGATTTCTCCCGCGTGTTCAAAGGCCCAGACCTCCTCCGTGTGCTCAGACGGATACCAGAGGATGCACTCCCGACTGATGTGCGAGTTGAGTGCCACAGTGGTATACCCGAGGATGAACGTGCGAAACCTGGCGACTGGATTGCTATTTGGGGTGGTAAGTACTTGCAATATCTCTCAGTCTTAAACCAGGTAAAAGTGCTAAATATAAATATGAAAAACAGGTTCATCATCCACCGCTATCATCATAACCCAACTAGCCCAGCTCGCTGGCCTTCGCGTCATCAGCATCGTCGACCAAGCCAAACACGGCCATCGACTATCCCCCGGCACATTCCCAACAAGCGTCTGTGCCCCGGATATCGTGATTGACAGTCACGACCCCGCACGTGTGCAGCACTTACTCCAGAAAGTCACACACGGCAACCTTCGCTTTGGAATCGACAGTCGAGGTAAAGATACCGCGACACTGTTATTACAGTCCTTAGTCGCACCAACGAATCCCGACCTAAACGCTCCCACCTCAACCACCACCCCTTCCCCAAAGAAACGGGCCCATCTCGTCGGACTAACAGGACTCCCAAAACTCGACTCCATTGCCGAACTATCCGACTCTGACGCAACTAATGTTTCGCTACACTCCGTGCCGATCAAAATCTTCCATGACGTGCCAGAAGTCGGGCTGGTGTTATCTGTGTGGTTGGAGCAATTACTGCAGAATGGGAAGCTAAAGGCACCACAAGCGGTGGGGACGGAGGATGGCTTCGAGGGTGTCAATCGTGGATTGAAGACGATGCGGGAGGGTGGTGGCCGGGTTGTGGTGCGGATATAGGACTTGAGACAAACCGTGGGGTCGTCTTTGGATTGGGATGAAGAGAGGGTTAACCAAGCATTGGGCCGAGTGAACACATCTGAGATGGAGATGGAGTGCGTGGCATTGGGACAGCATCAATTGTGGTGGTGGTCATGGTGAGGTCCATTTATGGTTCAATGGAGAATTGCATCACACTGCATGGCATGGTGCGGCTTTGTGGAAGAGGTATAGAATTGTTTTTGGCGTTCAAATCTACGCAATCATCGATTGTTGCGTGCGAAAGGCAAAAGGAAAGGAATTCAAAGGCTGATGCCGTTTACTCAATCTGACTTGCAAAATACTCTTATGCTCAACTCCGTCATCGGTCGAGGTTTATTATGATCTAGATCCATGCATGCCATCAAATGTGTCAGCAAATTGTAGGATATCTATTCTGTTCCAACCAAGGCTGTATGTTGAATCCCGACTGAAGGCCATACAGCTCCGCTTCGTTCCCCGTAGTTGCGCATGTGCATCAGCTGTGCTCATCTGTAGGTGGCTGCTGCTCTACCACCGAAATGCGGGAGAGCACAGCACCAAGCACAAGCAGGTGACGTACGAATGACCCTATAGGCGTTGGGTTTTGGCCTCCAAATCTACCTCCTCTTCGTATGACGCAGAACCAGGCGCAGCAGGGGGAACAGGTGCGCCAAAGACGCCGGTTGAAGCACGTCTCTCGTTGTCTTGTGCATTGGTACCGAACTTGCCAATGACTAGCCACGCCGGCACGAGCGCCAGAGCCCACAGTGAGAAGTTCAGGTACACGCCGCCGACTTCGCCGAAGACGGCGATGGAATTCAGACCGTAGCTCAATGCCTGCCATGCGGACTCGGTGCCTCTGAGTAGGGCGGCCAGACGGATGGTCTCTTGCGGTGTGGTTGTGAGTTGTCCGATCACGAAGTAGAGGTACAGGTAGTTGGACTGGAAGCCGAGCACGAGGAACAGGAAGAGCGTGAAGGGCGATGCGAAGCCGTTGGTACCGTCGGCCCAGTCATAGGTAGGTCGTGTTTTGCGGAAACGTGTGACGAGGACGGTCGACCAGATCCACAGGGCGAGTTGGAGGGTGCTGAGTGCCCAGAAGGACCAGCGTGCGCGATTCCTCAGTGCGATACGCTTCCGATCGAGGAAGTACCCGAGGAGATTGCCTGCAATGACAGCGACGATTCCCGACACGAAAGACCCTAGGGAGCGGGCACGGACTGAAAACCACAAGGCAGAGAATGTGAACATGACTGCTTCGGTGTAGACTGCTTGACCGATGAACGGGACGATCAATAGGAATCGCTTGGAGAAGAAGAGCTTCGTCGTCGCTTTGATCTCAAACCATGGGTGTTCAATGATTTGGAGTTCGACTTTGCGACCATCAGTACGTTGGACTTGTTCCGGTTTGTTGATAAGGAGTGCCACAAATGGTCCGATGGCTTGCAGGGCGATGAAAACCAGATAGACGTTGTAAGATACCTTGCCTGCTTTCGAATTATTCGCATTGATGCCGACATTGATTGCACCACCGAGGATCTGACCAGCTAGACGGAAGCTCAGCCAGAAACCCAGGAATTTCCCTTGATTGTACGGTTCAGGATATGCCAGTGCGATGGCAGCCTCAGCCATCCAGAAGATTCCAGCTGAAATACCGCAAAGCGCAGCGCCTAGTAAGACGAGCCATTCATTTCCGAAGCGATTGTTGGTATACAATCCAGCTGCGTATGGTGCGTAACCGATCGTGCCGATGATCAATGCCCATTTGATTCCGATCAGGCGCACCAAAGCACTAGAAAAATAGCAAGAGACGACCATCAGGCAGAAAGTCAACGCATTTGCCGCGTTAACCAAGTGTGGACTTGCTTGTCCTCCAGCACCCAGTGAGTTCATTGCACCCCAAATTCCCGGAGCCGAAAAATTGGCCAATCCAAGAATGAAGGCATTGTAGAATGTGGATCGATACCACTTGACAGCTAGATTGGATAGAAGTAAGTACTGTCCGGTCTATCGCTCTGGACTGAGGAACTGTCGACTTACGATATCTTTTACCATCATACTTGCTAGAAGCGCTGTCTTCAACGATTACTTCTTGCTTGTCGGCCATTGTATGTTCGATTGGCTATCAGTCTCAATAATCTCTGAGGAAGTATAGGAGGAAGGCGTTTTGCGGGTTCGAAACGTGGAAACGTAGGATGGTCAAACCCTTCTTATTGTATGATACCCTTGCTGGGTCTGATTTTGGGATTTTCCCTGTCATATTGTGTCGATCCATACCACTTTAAACTTGTTGGACCACGTGGAAGTCGAATGAGGGTATCCGACGTCGGCAGAGTACCAACCTCGAAGAAAAATTGGATGATTTTCGTCTTCGAAGGTGCAATCGAATGGTAACTGAAAGCTTTTTTCGTAGGCAAAGTGGAGTGTCATAATTTTCTGGGATCCTTCCCTGTAGGATTATGACAATCGAGTGTATACGATAGGATGATCAACATCTGACCTATAGTGACTGCGTTGCTAGCTCGAAGACCGGGCAATATCGTACATTCAACGCATCTCCACCAAGAAGGCGACCTCAAGGCCTAAGTGCCACATTCCTCAACGATACCGTATTAAGAAGGACCCGTGGTTGTATTCCGCGGTTCTGGTCAACTTCGGACCCGTGAGAAGTCACATCCCGTGAGCAAGTCCATGAGGACTATATCGTTGAAATGGCGTGCTTGGAGATCATTCTGACGCCTTCATGGGCTTGCCTTCGACATTCTGAAACATCTATGGACACACACTCATAATATCATTCGTTGGATTCAGTCGTGGCTTCTCGGGAACTCTGAAACTCAACATTCAAGCAGGGGACTATGTTTCATCTCTGTTATTCCCATTGCGACATGGCAACGTGGGACGTAGACATTGTATATCAACAAGCCTATCAGACGTTAGCTTTCAACAAGTAGGGCATGCATTTCAGCATTTCAGCATTGATTGGCTGATTGTTCCAAGGTCTCTGCATCGTTCAGTGATTTGTTTTCTTTCTAGATTGGCTCATTCAGTATGTGCTTCAATGTATGAAGGCACGAATGTAAAGGATTGATGGGAGACTGGAATGGACTAGATAGGGGATCTTTCATTGAAATGACGAGGCCCATAGATTGCTCCACAGTGCGCTTGCTACTATTGACCTAGTTGGGTAGGTGGGGAGGTCATCATCATATCAGGCTGTAACGAGATGTCACTGTATACCTAGGTACATGGTGGCCCTCACCTTGGAGACGTGGAAAAGGACAAGAGGAATACCGAATTGGCGCCCCTTGAATTGAGATGGATTCAAGGCACCACTCTTGGGGTACTCATGTAATTTTTGTCGCCTTTCATGCAACATATGAACGACACTGGTAGTCATAGATCCTCTAGCTTGTATTGCAGCCAACTTAAGAGATGATAGCGAGGTTGTGCAAGTCTTCTGCAAAGATTCCTGCGGAGGAGGCGCAATCAATAGCCTTGGGTAGGTGCAGCGCCATTGACATTTGGGTTCTTGGCGGTCATTTGAAAACTACTTAGGTATCAACTCGTGCAACACGTGGGGCATCTTTCCATCCTCCATCCTCAATACAACTGAAGACGTGATCGACTAGACACCACGTTCTCAAACGGTAACGCAAACTTCAATAAGCGGTCATGCAAAGGCTCCTACTGCGGACACGATGTCCTTCGATAGCCTTGAGGGCAGACGGACTTCCCCTACTGCTGAGCATGATTGGGGAGGCGTCGCGAGTGTTGTCAACAGGTGGGTCTAAGACGTGATCGAGGTAAGATTCGTACCAAGGACATCAAGCCCCATGCCGCGGTAAATGTATTGATTGAAGGACTGGAGAGCCCGAACGATAATTCTTGGTTCCGTTCTCGTTAATAAGTGGTATTGTTCATTTGTCGGCTTGATATCAGCACAATATGGGCGACGCATCTGAAACACTGGCACCAGCAAGCCTTGCTGGTAATGATGGTCGACCCAGCCAAATCCTGACAGCATTCTCTCTAGATGAACCCACGATTGATGATGTTCGACGGCTGCGAGTGGCAGTTATAGGATCTGGCTTGTCAGGGGTGCTAGCTGGAGTATTACTGCCAGCGAAAGTCCCCAATATTCAATTGACAATATTCGAGAAAAACAATGAAGTGGTGAGTCCTATCAGAGGCCAATATACTGAGTATTGGCTGAAGACGTACGCCAGGGAGGTACATGGTTAGAAAATATCTATCCAGGGGTCCGATGTGATATCCCAGCCAACGTCTATCAATCCACTTTCTCACCCAATACTCAATGGTCACAACAATTCGCCGAAGGGGCCGAGATTCGAGACTACTGGCAGGCTATTGCTCGTAAGTACAATGTATATCGATACATCAGATTCGGTCATCAGGTCACTGGTCTAGAATGGAACGAATCCACCGGCAAATGGCAGGTAGGTCTCAAGACGACAGAACAAGACACCACGGAGGACTTTGACTTTGTGTTACCCGCAATTGGCCACTTCAACGACTGGAGACTCCCTGACTACCCGGGACTCGAAGAGTACAAAGGGCACCTGCGACACACCTCAAATTGGGATCCGACGTACGATCCAACCGGCAAGAGAGTCGCCGTCATCGGCAACGGCGCAAGCGGCATCCAAGTCGTACCGAATCTGCAACGCATAGCCAGCCATGTCGACCACTACGCGCGGAACAAGACCTGGGTGGCCGCCAGCTGGGCAGGCGACGAACGGACGTTCGAGCCCCAATACTTCTCGGCCGAACAGCTCAAATCATTCGAAGACCCGGAAGCATACCTCGCGTTCCGCAAGGACCTGGAGCAGAAATACTGGCGCGGGTTCCGGGGCGTGTTTCGAGGCACCGAACAGAACGAAAAAGTCCGCAACACATCCATCGACCTGGTGAAGAAACGCCTGGCCTCCCGCCCGGAACTCGTTGACGACATCATCCCCTCCTTCTCACCCAGCTGCCGCCGTCTCACGCCGGGGCCAGGCTACCTGGAAGCGCTCCTCGCACCAAACGTAACCTACATCCAAACCCCGATCAGCCACTTCACCGCGACGGGCATCGTGACCACCGACGGCGTCCACCGCCCCGTCGACGCCATTTTCGCCGCCACCGGCGCCAACACGGACTTCAAGCCGCCCTTCCCCATCATCGCCGACGGCATCGACCTGCGCAGCGCGTGGAAACCCGGCGGCAAATGGGGCTATCCACACACGTACCTGGGGTTCGCGACGCCAGGCTTCCCGAACCTCCTGTGGATCCTCGGGGCGCACGCGGCGGGCGCATCGGGCACGGTCCCGCACGCGGTCGAAACCCAACTGACATACTACGCCAAGCTGCTGCGCAAAGTGTCGTCGCAGGGAATCCGCAGCGTCGCGCCGTCAGCCGCCGCCACGGACGATTTCATCGCCTATGCGAACCGGTTTTTCCCCGCGACCGTCTTCTCGGAGGATTGCTCGTCGTGGGCGAATAGTGGGGTGGCGGGCTCGTTCATTCATGGCCATTGGCCTGGCAGTGCTGCACACTTGACGCTGGTGAGGAGGGAGCCACGGTGGGAGGACTGGGTATATGGATATGGTGGCGATGGCGAAGGTGAGGGTGGGCAGGGGAAGGTTAATCGGTTCGAGTATTTCGGCGCGGGCTGGACGAAGAGGGAGTTGGACCCCAATGTTGATATTACGAGTTATCTGAAGAGGCCTGGTGAGGACGTCGATCTCAGGAATCTGCATGAGAACTGGTGGGAGTGAGACTATGAGATAGGTAGGGTCGAAGCTATATTGTTTATTCGTCTGGTTGACATAGAGCTGTCCGTATGGTCCGCAGCCCTGTGTTCATGTATAATCATTCGTTATTGTAAATCGTCCCATATGTGCATTGTCCAAACTCGTGCCTGTCCGAGTGTCGGATGAAACCATCATCCAACTAACTTTTCCCAATCCGAAATGAGCCTCCCACACATACATACCCCATATCCTCCCATCTTAAATTAACTATTATCCACGGCCTGCACAATCGCGCCCTTCTCGCCCTCATCGAGGGCATCCAACGTCCTTATATCACCCTCCTCAATCTCGAAATCAAACACCTCGGCATTTCCCTTGATGTACTCCGGATTATCGCTCTTCGGCAACGGCACCCAGTTCTTCTGCAGCGAGTAGCGGATCAATATCTGGGCAGTGGATTTCTTGTATTTCTGCGCCAGCACCACCAGTGTCGGGTCGTTGGCCTTGTAGTTCCGCACCAGCGGCGAATACGCCGAGATGATGATGTTGTGCTCCTGGCTGTAGCGAACAATATCGCGTTGTTGGCACCAAGGGTGGAGCTGTGGACTGGTCAAAGACATGAACGGAACGGAATTGATTGGTACTTGTACTCACCTCGATCTGATTGGCATGCGGTGGCCACACGGTCGCGAAGCTCTTCAGTTCCTGAATATGCCCAATGCCGAAATTACTGACGCCGATGCTCTTCGCCCGGCCCTCGGCGTACAGTCTCTCAAGCGCTTGCCACAGTTCCTTGCGCACTTTCGCACCGGCGTTCGGGCTGTGGATGAGGAATTGGTCGACGTAGCCGTCATCGCCGCGCGGATCGAGTTTCCGCACGCTGTCCAGGCATTTCTGGTAGGATTTCTCGACGGACCCGGCTGCGGAGAGGATTTTGGTCGTGATGAAGACGGAGGAGCGTGGGAGGTTGGATTGCTGGAGGGCTGTTCCGACTTCTGCCTCGTTGCCGTAGAATTGGGCGGTGTCGATGTGTCGGTACCCCGTTGAGAGGGCTGTGAGGCAGGATTGTGTGCAAGTGTTGGGTGGTGAGAGATACACGCCGAAGCCGAGGCGGGGGATGGAGATCGAAGGGGATTGGAGGGGGAGGGTCGATGTGATGCTTAGTTGGTCGGTGGTGGTGGACATGGTAGGCGTAATTTGTGTATATGTACGTGTATATGGACTGGAGGAGTGAGGAACGCTATATAGAGGGAGAGAATGAGGTGTGTGATTACACCATGATGCAGGATGACAAGGATATATTTTATTTATCTATTTTGGAGAGACAGAGTCGATGATGCAATAATTGTTGCGCAATCGATTGACCACTCCGGAAGCGGGGAGCGGGGCGGATTACCCATGAATTCATTGTCGCTTGATGGATGTAACCGAGTCTTTATGCAGGTACCAAATACAATCAAGGAGTACAGTAATGGTGACACAAGTCATGTCAACAGTCAGATGTAGATGCTTCCACTCTAGTCAGGTCGTCGCATCAAGAATGAGTTGACCGCTTGTAGAGTAGCCCTCGAAGGATTTGCGTCGGGCTTTGAACTGGTGATCCAGGCGAGCCGTTGTTTGACCAGGCTTTTGTCTATTAATCTCGAGACGCTGTCCTGTGACAATTCCCCTCGATCATTGTATTCAACGCACAGCACTGCCACGATGACACCAACGCTCAAATCCCTCCCAGTTGCACAGGTCACCAATATTCGACTGCTGCTATCTTTGCGTAGTTGAGTCGAAATTGCCGTGGCCGCTATTGGTAGATTTTCACGGAGGTCCTTGCTGCCCAGTTTTCCCGATCGGCACTTCAGGTTAAGAACGTTGGGGCCGGTTGGTTGATCTTGGTCTTGATCACTGTTCTCAGAGTTGACTACTAAGTCATATTCGTGGGCCTTGCCGATATAGCCGGCTCCAATGAAGAGCTGAGTGGTTGGTGATATCCGTACTGCAGTCACTTCACCGCGTGTTTCATCTTCGTCTTGCTGGGATAGAGTCTCGATCAATGCTTCGAGTTGCTCTTCTGGGGTATGCATCAATAGACTCTGATGATTCCAAAATGTCTGAGCAGTCAGTCCGTGTGACCAGCCTTCACTATCATCACCGGCACCTTGGATGTAGCCACCTTCTGATGCTTCAGCACCTCGAACGCGTCGGGAGGCCGAGCATAAGACAAGATTATTGACATGTCTATCCTCTGAAGATGTGGAGCAAAGTTCTGTTTCCCAGGTATCCTCGTCGTCTTCATCATTCTCGATACCAAATCCGGAGCGACCGTTGAACTCCCAGATGATGTGAATCGGGAATTTGAGTTGAGTGCGTAGCATGGAGAGGTCCAAGCCGAGTTGCGTAAATGACTGAGCAAAATCATCGAGCTTTGCTTCGATTTGAGATATTTCTGATAGACCAAGACTTTCTGGTGCTGGTGGATGTTGAAGGGCATGGTAATACTTTAATCCGGGGAATAAGACGCGGTTGATCACAGCAACCCAGATCGGCACGGTCTTACTGAAAGAATCTGGAAGACTCTTTCCCCGGCGTGTAGAATCGACCACTACTGCGCCGCCGTGACTTCCCAATATAGGGAGAAGTTGGAGGTTGAGTCTTCGAAGAGAAAAGTTCCACTGGCCATGATGGCCATCTGTACTTTTAAAGTACGCACTGCCGATCTTGTCAGATGGCTTGATGTACCAACTCCCACAACGTTCGTTGGCCACAAGTGGCAAATCGTATTCTTGGGAAATGCTTTTGGCAAAACTGGCGTCTGACAGGATTGATTGGAGGCGGTTAGGGATGGATAGCGTTGCTTTTCGAATGGATTTGAGGGTTGCATAGATGGATGGGTTGTGATCGAAATCATGGAGATTTAGGTTGGCTAGGGTGGGAGGGTAATCTGACGACATGATGCATGAATGTGGATGAACAGTCTACTATTCAAAGTGAAGCAGGAACTAGAAAAGAGAGCGAGTCGAGCCGTAGGACATTAATTGTTATTGATTCCATCTGTTATGGAGCGTATCCTATCCTTAGTAGCTCATCGAGCATTTTCGAAGTTGCCAACCATGGATGAATGATTCATCGTAGTGTTCGTCTGGTGGTGGTCCTCCAGATTGTTGTCCATATTTTTACACGGGGTATGTTGGCCTTCTGGGTCGATGCACTGAACAAGTGCAAAACTTGAGGCTAAAATTCAACTGCCAAGAATGGCCTTGATTGGTCTCAATTGCACCTTATTCCGACTTTGACCATCACATTCAAAAGTGTATGGTAGTCACATTTTGGATGCTCATTCCTCCTTGATTGATGAAGGTGAATTAGGCAACTGGGATAGAGCCATCCACTGGCAAAGCTGCCATTCCATTAGTGCTGATCATGCTCATGGCATCATCGTTGATAGGATGAAGGCTGAAAGGTGAGGCTGCAAATTCTTCTCCATCGAACAACAACCAGTTTTGTAGAGGCTGCTCCTTCTGACCAAGTACATTGATGACATCTTGAGCAATAAAGCCACCAAGGAAAGCAGCCACTGGGCTCAGTTCTGAACCGAGATTCTGTAAGAAACTTCGCAGAAATTCGGCTCGTAGAGTCTCGATCGGTAATTGAAGTTCTAGATGCTTCTCGTTGACCAATTGGGTGAAGACTGCAAGATCCGCCTGATTGTGTCCGGGGAATCTTCCATTTGATCGAGTCTGAAATTCGAAGAGGGCGCGCAAGCATGATAGCAGTGGAGGAACCCGGACACGACTTCTGCGAGTATTTCTGATCTTGGCCGATAAGGGAGACAAATTGACCAGTTGCAACGGAGAGTAGGTTTCTTGATGGGTGATGATATCGATATCCGTCTCACCTTCCTTCTTGGACATGACACCAGTGACCAGATTTGTCGACGAATCCATATCTCCAACCTTGGCGGGCTTGTTGCTCCGTGGTTTCTCGACAATGTAATCATGGACAATTAGATCTGCGAAGACGAAACCGTACATTCCATAAGTGTTTGCTGCATAGAACTTTCGTTGGTGAACTCTGCACGACATGTTGACGCTGATCAGAATATCCATGAGGAGGTCTGTGGCAATTGTGATATCGAAGCTTGAGAAGTATTCAGGGTCTTTGGTGACAACCGGGGTTGGATCAGCATATAATTCAACACGAGGATTGAGTTTCTTTAATTCGGGCAAGGCGGCGTCTGCTCTGTTGAGTCCAATCTGCTTTTCAGAGACCAAGAATTGGCTGCCCAGATCCTCTTCCGTGACCAGTTCACCATCAAGAATTGTCAATGTTCCCACTCCCGCAAGCACTAAATTTTTGGCAATCTCAGTCCCCAGTGCTTTGAGTCCGATCAGAAGGACGTTTGCTCGGCGCAACTTCTCTTGAACCTGAAAACCTAATATTCTTATTTGCCGGTCGTAGAGGGCAATCTCGTCGTTGGACATGTCTTGCTGAGGTACGGGTGGCATGGCAAACATTGAAGGGTCGGCTCCATTGACAGGGAGTGGCATGTTGATAAATGAAGGATCAGGAACCTGAGCAAAGCCGTTGATGGGTAGAACTGGGTCAGGAGTTGGTACTAGAGATGCACCGTTGATGCCGTTTGAATTGAGGTTCAAGGCAGGAGTGTCGACGGCTTGGTTGGACATGGCAGGATGGGATCTATCTGGTAATTGACCACCTGACATTTTTGTGATGATGAGAGCGGATGACAGAAAAGGTGGCGGGAGGAGAGAAGGTGGAACAAGAGTGAAGTGAGAAGAAGGAAACAAAAGGGAAGCAGGAGTTGTTGTCAAGAAGATTTGGCTCTCAACTCATCGTGGTTAGAAGTTGAAGTTGTTTGATGAATTTGCCTGTGATGACTCTGTCACTTTTTGACTGAACTTACTCGTAGATGCGATACAGTTTTGTTTGCGCCTGCCAGGGTACACAGATGGTTTAGGTACCTAGGCAGGTACTTCAGGGCACACCTATTGCACCTAGACGAGGTCGGTACCTGCAGGGGTGCGGCTTGCATGAGCCCGAGGGGACCCGCTCGTTCAAGCTCACGTTTCCCTTCGCACTGGCACTGAGAGCCCCGCTGTTGGAGGGGGTTAGAGGCTAGCCACGCCCGGGCCCCGGGGATTAAGTTCATTCAAGTTCTTAACAGGCGGCGCCTATCAGGATGGGATTCCGCCCGGCTGATCCCGAGTCCCGAGGTGCCCTTTTAACCAAGAACCTGATGCCCAAGTTGAATCGTGGGGCAATCATTTGACCAACTGAAGGTCAACCTGTAACGCCGTTCCAACTGCATCTCATCCCAACTACATCCACATCCCATTACTACTGACTGCCATTGCTGTCCTTCATCACCACTACAGGCACCACCACCACCACCATCCATCTCCATCAATCATCAACCACGCAAAACCAATTTATTCTTCTATCCTTTCATCTATCTACCTCGTCTCGAATTTTGACATTTTGATGTAGCACACAGTCTCTACTACAACCCTTACATGCTCCATCACTTCCTAGCCACTGACATCTACCACCTCTTCCTCCGAGCACATCAGCCGTCGTTGGAATATGGTAGGCACCACCTGCCCTCACAGGGCAACTCATCAAACTGATACATGGCCTAGGCCGATGACTCGGATCGTCCTCCATGGTCAGATATTTCTCTACGACTCCAGAACCTACGCAGTCTTCTTAATTCAGAGCGCCATCTTCCCGAACAACACCGAGCCATAGAAGCATTGGATCGAGAGATGGACAATATGTCTGCCGACTATGCCGCCCGTGAACGGAGACGGCGGGACTTTGATTCCCACTCCCAGTCTCACGACTCGTCATTAATCTCTGCATCCCAGCTCCCCAATCCCTCACCGTCGACCGAATCTGGTCTTCCTCGTGCACGTGGGTATAGGAGGGCTTTCAGACCCAGCGAACGGCTCCAGAGATACCAAAGAGAGAGACTGGGTCAAAATGCAATAAATTCCATACCAGGCTCCCTCCCCATTGCCCGACTTTCCCCCGCTTCTCCGGCTCTCCCTAATGCGGACCGTGGTGAGAGGTTGAGATCTAAGCGCCGAAAACTCGACGACGGTACATACGATGAAGAGCCTCAGACATTTCAATATGGCTTTGATGGGCAGGTGGTTCCTGGTCAATTGCGAATGCAACTGGTCAGTTGTGATGGAGGCGAATATTCCGACCCAAATGTTGCAATCAACAATTATCCCCAAAATATCCTTCTCGACGACAACAGCGTCTATTGCACCAAAAGCAACAAATGTAACATCTTACTCAAGCATGTCGGTGGTATGCCTTTCACCTTGACCACAATCGTCATCAAGGCTCCTAGAGCTGGTTTTGATGCCCCAATTCAGGAAGGTTTGATCTTCATATCCATGGACGATGATGGCCTCATCGAAAAAACCTCCCAGTACGACGTTCGATGGTCACCTAGGAACCGTCGCTATTCACGGTATAGGACCGAAGGAACTCGACCTTCACAGGATTATCTGAATCCAGGTGCCACCCCACGTTCCATCGATCGAACATTATATCTGAATGATCCTCGAGGCAGAGAAGATAGTCCGGATTTCAATACTTCGCTTGTCCCCGGTTTCAATGTTTCGGTGACCGATATATCAGGTGATGAGGACTCTAATGAGTTTCCTACTTCACCTCGACCTTGGCACGACGATGATTATTCACTAAGATCCTACGTCGATCGTTACCGCCCTGTCTACTTGGGCCCTACAGGAAACGAACGAAATGACAACGAATCGGCCACATCAAGCGACTCAGATGGTGAGACAGGACCATCTGTCCATGAAAGACCCGAAAATACATTACAGCACCACAGGCGTCAATTGGAGCTGGAGATGGATCTGCAGAATCGTATGATCGACAGGATGCGAGCTCAGCAGATTCGAGACAGTGACGAGTACTTTGGACGTCGTAGTCGGCTGCCCACTCTCGAAGACCCAACCGATTCTTGGAACCAAACTGATTCTGATGAGAATCAACATTCACCACCGACTCGAAGCGATGGGAGGAATCCCATCCAGACGGTACTGGCAACCGATTCTAGATCTCCCTTGGAGCAGCGTTCGACCCAACCTGCTGACAACGAAGAGTGCACCAGAGGTAAAACGAATCGTGGCGAAGGTGCGGGATCATCTTCCAGCGGAAATAATGGTGTGAAACCCCATGCACGATTCTTCATTAGCAGGAGCAAATCTAGCACAGCTATCAATTTTGACCCTCCCATGTAAGTGCCCTTCCTTGTGTCAAAAAAAAAATGGAGACAAAAAACTGACATGTGCTAGATCCGGACGATATATCTTCGTCAAGCTTTGGGCACAAGCTCCCAAAGCGAACATTGATATGCAAGCCATCCTGGCGCATGGATATGGAGGGCCTAGATTCTTCCCTTGCTCGGAGCTGAGATGAGAGACGATAAAAAGCGGGCAGACAACTCTTGATACTCAGATGTTTGTTAGTACGCATGATGAGACATGGACATGACTTTTTGTTTTTCTTAGCATGACGACCTGATTGTGACTGATGACTCGGAAGAATACCCCTCTAAGACACATAGTAGATTATCTACCATATGTCTTAGTAATAATGGTCGTGTTGTACAAACAAAACTGCGATCTTACTATTTTATATTGGTTTGCATCGCCCGTATAGGGATGATCAGTAAATCATTTGCGCCTTAGTGACTGCATAACATTCAATTCCAGGAACCTTCGACACTCACTGCCTCAATGCACATATGCATCCTTCTACACTAGGGAATGCAGATCTAGGGGATGCAGGTGTCTGACTCGCGAAATCGAGACCAAAATCCAATCCCCAAAGAGCCAGGCCGCACATCAACTTCTTACCCTGGCTAGCTCAGATGCAGATACGTTCAACATTCTAAATAATGGGGCGCGCGCTGCCCGCTATGTCGTGAATTAGAAGTAAAAGGAAGAAAAGAGACCTGGAGAGGTTTAAGGTGCACTGGGATCGGCCACTTGGAGGTGGATCTTCGTTCCCTACGGCAAGATACTTTGTCTTCTAGTACCTATGTCTAATGATGGACGGAGCGTCAAGGCTGAGGTCCCTGTGGCGAGGCTGCAATATCATACTACTACTGACCACTATCGAAAATGACAAGAATGTACCGACGGTAGCTAGACCTGCAACAATTGAGTTATAACGAATCAAGATGCTGAGTATCTATAAAAACACCTTTAACGAATCATAGCTGTCGCATAGCCCTCCTTTCCATCCTACCGTGCCTATAATGGGTTTACGCCGCGGGAGCTCGGTGATATGCGCCGCCCAGGTTTTGTGATCAAGTTCTGCAGCCAGGGATTGTCGTACCGGAAGAATGCTGCGACTTGATAGTCTATCAGGGTCAGGTCCTTGACAACTCTAAGATGGTTAAGGAGGATCGCTTCTCCGACTTGAGAGCTTTCAACTCTCATCGTGGGGCGATTCACCGGTAATTCCTTCCCATCGTTCAGGGATACTGCCAGGTCTCTGTGGACACGAACCACACGACCAGGTCAGCGTATTGGAATGGTTTCAGTATACTAGCAATGTGAATCAACATTCATTTTAGATGAGCTTTCTTCTCCCCTTGAAGAGCAAGATTCCAGTATCATCGCTATTGTCGCTCTCCGTAAAGGATCCCACACGTTGTTTGGCAACTCGATACGGTCCGTGGTTCCCATTCTCCTCGTATGGTAGAATTTGAGAGTTTCCTGTATGTTTCTGGAATTTGGCAGCCCCTGAGTCAATACTCGTGGCTCCCACGCTGGCCTCAGGATCTGTCGCTTCTCCTGGATCGATTGATACCGATTTTGTGGGCATAGTCTCAATCGCTACACCATGCCCATGGTCAGGAGAATACTGATCAGAGCTCGGAGCAACAGGGTCTGGAAGCTTCTCAACACCAAGTACGACGCTCGACATGCCGGTAGTCGAATCCGACAGCCGTGCCCTTCTCGGTCTTCGCGATATTATTTGGTCCACCAAGTCTCGGCGAATGTAAATAAGCATCTCTTGTAGGATTTTGAAAGTTTGATTCGTCTGTGGTTTGGCCGCCGCGGTCCTGAAAATACGATTTTCAACAACTCCTAGTGGGTATGGCGGTGCCCAGTTGATCCAAAGATTTCCATGGCACGGTCGGGGAGCAAACCGGCCTGGATGACATTGCGTATAGATCTGACAGCAATAGCAAGAAGGCTTGCTACAGCCGATATATCTGTCATCCGTAACGAATTCGAGATGATTTCGATGGAATATTCGAGAAGAATCAATTCAACATGTGGACGGGGTTTGATGTTCACATAGGCCTGTCGGAAGTTGTCTTCAACTTGTGCTATTGTATTGACTTCATCCAGTGCTTGGCAGGATAGTGGGAGTAAAATCTGCCCCGAGCTCAGGAGCCGCTCACCATGGCCTCGCTGCTTTTAAAAAGGCACGCTCATCCGCTCACCCTCTAATCACCCTTGATCACCCTTCTGCTCACCCATCGGCTCACCCTCCACTCACCACAGCATTCAGCGACCAAGAATTTGCCCTTATGGCGCCGGACTATACTATTTAAGTTGTACGCAACCTAAACCTAAGTTTACGAGTTAAGTATACCGCCATCACAGACGAGTATAAAGCCCGTAATGTTAGGAGCCGTATCGTCTAACAGGAATAAGGCGCTATCTATAAGCTCTTCTGCCTTACTTATTCTCCATAGGGGAATAGCGGCGATTATATATTCGGCGACGTATAGAAAGTCTTTAATAATAGCGCTAATTATGGGATATTCGGTAGATTCTAGAGGTTTCCGGTGTTAATTAGGAAAACTATGTGAGATATCGGCCGGTGGTGAAACGGCTATTGAACGCGCAGCTTTGAGTCACTCACCTAGAGTAATTGCATTTATGGGAATGCCCTCGGGGGCTCAATACAACGACCAACATCTCGTGAAACCCACAACAGCATGTTTGGCGGTCGAGTACACAGCTATATTCTACCTCGTTTTCAGTAGCATGTGGCTGTCTACAGCATTTTGGCGGACTACCAGTGCAGGACATCCCGTCGTTCACCAAATCGGGAGTCAATAGAAAGGAAAGGACGGTAGAGTGTGATCCCACGCCTATGCAAAGAATACCTTTACTGAACAATTATGTCCAGTCGGTGCGACTATCAGCATTCTGAACGATTCATTGCATGGAAATGTCTCAATGAGAGATTTGCAAGCTGCACCTCGCAATATATTTGAACAGGTATATACATGCGACAACACTTAGTCACCTCGGCAGCTAAATACAAGCCTTCCATGGCCTTGAGGTGCTCATGACACTATAAAGTGCATACATCCATCCCATCACCACTTCAGGCCTGAGTATTAAGGACCTTAGAAAGAAGCTCGCGAAATGTATGTTTAGCGGACATCTTCGCGGCCGGAGTTACTGCCAGCGGTAGCAGCTTCAATCTCAAGGTTCTGTCCCTTCTCGGAGCTTGGGTTTGCGGGGCTTCCCTCAACATCGCCGAACTTCTCGTGGTGCTCAACACCTTCACCATTGGCATAGACTTGTCGAGGGACGTGAGTAGTAAGAAGCTTGTCGTAGTCCTTCATCAAAAGAACTGCACCCAACATGATAACGTTGACTGGGATGGTGGCATAGTACATGTAGGAGAAGGAAGCAGTCTTGGCATCGACAAGAGCATCGAGAGTGGCATTTAGGATGCCGCCGGTCATGCCAGGAACCGCGTTCAAAGCATCGGCGGTACCCACGCCGACAGCCGTCATTAGTTCATCAAGAGAAGAGGAGGGAAGTCCAGCAGCCTCGACTGCGCTGGGAACAAACTTGGCGATTTCCTTAGGGAGTGTGTTTTGGAAGATGGCTAGGTAGATGGCAGTGAAGATCGAGCCATTGACAGTTCTGAAGAGACAGATGATTCCTAAATTTTCATGGTAGCACAAAGTTCTTACTAGGCATGTTGGCGAACAAGTACTTACCGAAGACCGTGCCTAGATCGGCATCGTTGGCAGAAATTTGCACCAATGACAGTGGTGTGATCTCGAGCATACCATCGGCAAACATGGAGAGGAAGGCAAATGCCGCATTTCGACCTTTGTTGTCTCTGCTCGAGGCAATGAGACCTCCGGAGAAGGCGAGCACCATCAATGCCATCAAGATCATTTGTTTCTTGACATGCTTGATGATTGGCAGAATAGCTCCCCAGAACACGATACCTCCGACGATGGCGAATGTCACGGCTGAGGTCAACCATGCCTGTTCTTCCCAGCCGACAGGATTGGAACCAGCAGCGTATATATTAGCGACCTCTGTGAGATGAAGGTCAGCCTCGCGGTTGAAACAGTGAAGATGAACATATACGTACGCATAGGCCAGATGACGGAAGGCGCAACATATCCAGCTCCGGAAATCGCGTCGATAATTGCCAAGCAGGTAAATCCTTTGATATCTTTGAAGAAATACATAGGCATGAGAGGATTCGGCACGTTGGAGTAGATCTCTGTTGAGCGATATCGTCAGTCCAACGAAGTATATATCGGATCGGGGGAACGGGGGAAGACCTTACCCCAAAGAACAAACAGCACACAGAGCACAAAGCCGATGATAAGAAGGCAGAGAATCTGTGCTGACTTCCATGGAATGGGTTGACCACCCCACGAGATACCGAGGATGAAGAGCACGATTCCGGCGGTCAGAAGGAACAACCCGACGAAGTCAATACGCTTGACTTCTTGCATGATGGTTCGCTTTCCACCGTGAAGCTGCTTAAATGACGGCGGCTTGTAGAAGAAAAATTGCGAGATGGTCGCGATAGCCATGAAGATGATGTAGATATAATAGATGAATCTCCATCCTGGACCAAGCTTGATGAGCCTGAAGCCTGTTTCAAACGTTAGAGACGAAGACGATTTCGGTGTCACCAAGACAGAACCCACCAATGATTGGCGCAAAGGAGATACCGACGAAACACAGAACCACGACCGCGGAAAAGGCTGCTGTCTTGTAGCGGTTGGGGACGAGTTCACCCATGGTCAGACCATAACAGGTGTGGACACCACCAGAAAGACCGATCAAGACCTAGAAAGATTCAGTAAACCACTCTTTCGCTTACGGTAAGTGACTAATAGAGACTTACATTTGCGCCGACGAGTGTATCCATATTTTGAGCTCGAGAGGCAATGATACCTCCGATAACACCCATGAATGAAGCTCCAACGACAAACCATCTTCGGCCGAACTTATCAGACAATCGACCGAAAAGAATAATCGCAATGGCACAAGCAGCAGTCCAGATGATGGAGACCAAGCTAGCGTTGTTGCTGGGCCCTGTTGTTCAAGTCAGGAAGACTGAATCCCTTCACTGCCACTGGGCGGGGAGATGCTTACCAATATCCTCATTGATGTAGGTTAGCAGAGACGCCGGGCAGGTGAAGCCGAAGTATGAACCAGTAGTACCCATACTGATGGAGAAACATGCTGTTGCCATTCGGGAGTAATACCGTCCAGTGAACTCGGATTGATCGGTGACCAGGGCATCCGAGTTCTGGAGATCTTCAAGAGCGCCGGCATCTCGCTGAGCGTGCTCGAGTTCGAGGCGTTGAAGTTCAGTAAGCTCGGCAGGATTGTGGTCGTGGTGACCACGGTGTCGAAGACCCGAATCGGCCATGGTAGCGGTGCAACTTGGTCCAAGGAGAGTCGGTTCTGTTGTCCTCTTGCCTGGATTGCACTGTTGTCTGTCGAACTTACGGACCTTGATCAGGAAAGAAGCGCGTGCTTGAACGAGGCCGGGGTGGTGTTATATCAATGTTTTGGTTCGATATCTCCTGGTGCCTCGACTCAAAGCCGAAACTCGTATAGCTAGTCACCGAGGCAGCCCCATTCCGGGGGAGCTGGGGCTCAAGAAGCCGACTGGGAAACTGATGGTCTGGGGTTGCCGCGGCGAGGTATTGACTTTGCGAGATGGGTCTAAAGCCAATGAGAAGCCCATCTGGGTAGGAGCTGCTTAAGTACTAGTCGTCAAAGGCTGACTGGGTCTCGACGCTGGTAGCCACCAGTTGTATACGATGACTGCGGGATACCTGTAATCAATTCCTGACAACATGCTCTGAGCCGGAGAATACCGTATCGTTGTATGACCACTCCTGATTGGTGAGTTATCCCACCGACATCAGAGGTATCATTAGTCGGCGCAACGACGAAAGTTACGAGTACGAGCACTCTGCCTTGGACGCTTTTTCTGCTCGACCCCCCCTTCGCATCTTCCACCTGATAGACCGTGCCTCGCAGGAGATGGTGGCTTCCGTTGGCCAGCGTAACGCTGGAGGAGCAGGCGATCTCTTTGTCGTTACGCCAACCAGTAGCTTTGCAAAGGACGAAGATACCTCGAGCCGATGGAGTGTCGTCGTTTACCTCGGGATACCGAAAGCCTCGTACACTGGGCTATGTAAACCTTTCCTATCGGGTCCCAGGCGTCACTGTCAATATTCGCCTCCCATGCTTTGAAAGTCGCCGAGGTAGTCACACAACCCGATCCGCCAATTATCGCTCAGGCGGGACCGCGTCGTCCATCATTCGAAGCTGAGGATCGAAGAAGTCTTCCTGACCGAAGAGTTCTAGCACGGTGCAAATTTTTAGTGGCATCGGTGTCGAGCTAATGACAGTCCTAATGGAGCCGCATTATATCGTAAAGGAAACTATAAATATAAATCGTAATGTAGCCTATAACGTAGAGCTTCCCCGATTTAGACTAAAAGGATAGAGTACTACCCTCGTAATAAGTAGGCGAGCTAGAGGAGTAGCGACGTAGTGAGTTAGGTTAGGTCTTATTTCTCGATAAACTTCTAAAACTACCTAAAGGTACTTCTACCCTTTTCTCTTCTCTAAGCGTAAGATCCTACGATAGTTAACAACCTAGATTAAGATATATATAGTAACGGTAAAGATCTATAATTATATATTAAGGCCGAGAAAGTAATATTAGAGCTATGACCGCTACCGCTAAGGTTGACGGGCTTATAATACGGTGATAAATAACGCGAATCCGCTATAGCGTAGTACTGTATAGACGGTAGCCTACTTAAACTACTAGAATTCGAATAGAACTTACACTTTTAACCTATTAACTCTCGCTAGGATTACTACCTGAAAGGCTAAAGTAAAAGTTCTCTAAAGACTACGATCTCTTTCACTACGAATAAGATTTACAGCCTCTTAGCATATCGCGTTTATATCTATAGTATACGAGCCCGTTAGGAGAGATACTTATAGCCGCTCTAATCTGATTAGCTTACGGCTATAGAGATTACTTGTGATGGGTTGAACCCATGAAGGCCTTAGGTGTGCTGCACCTATAGCTGGCAGCTAACGCAGTACGTACGGCTTAAATCGTCGGTTACTCTGCTAACCTTATTAATATCGAAAAGGAGGACTATTTACTCCTTCCTATCACGGGACACAACAGGAATATTATTGTAATACTTTACTTAGCGCGCTAATCGCTAGTGCTTCCACCACTTGCGATTAGTTACGTATATATAAAGCAGCTATGCCACGAATTAGCTAGGAATAACAAGTTTCGCCGCCCCTCTTTCTCCCCTACAATCACAGGAAGACAGACGTTCACGGAGATAAACATACTAAGGAATTGCCAGCCGGCTATTCCTCCTCTCATAACCTGCGATAAGCATACATACACTCTTAGGACTTCTTTAAGTTCGAGGAGTCGATGTTATTAGGACTATATATTTTGATAGAGAAAACACTACTAGCGCTAAACACTCTCTAAGATTTCTATACTCTAACATGGTCTCTTATAGTAATCTAGTTAATAGTACACTAGTATAATTCTTCTTACGCTTATTAAGCTTAAGACTAGTATCTCAACGAAATATTAAGTAAGGCGATTTCTCAGGCTAAGTAAGTAATCTTTCCTAGGTTTAGGCTATTCTAGTGTAAGTGAGAGGGGAGGGGTAGGTTCGATAACTTTAGCCGGTTAGGTTTTATCTCAGCTAGTAGATAACACCGAGCGACTTATAAATATTCTTAAGATATCATAAACCCGCGGCGATATAATATAGCTGTAATGGGTTGAACCTATGGAGATCCCTGGTTACACCAAGGACTACCTCTACACGTGACCTGTACGACTGACTGTACGAGGGAAGCGAAGGGTTACTCTGGTGACCTAAGCGATATCGATAAGTAGGAGTATTTACTCCTACTCTAGAGCTCGTACGGAGCTCTCTTCTCTTTTTTCCTCTTTAGCTTAGAATCCTAGTTATATGGTAGCTATACGAATCGTATGATTTATAGCAAAACCCTTACAATAGCTTCCTAAAAGGGCGGGGTTGTACAGCGGCTCTCTAGAATTAGGGAGGGAGGCTAATTAAAAAACACCCTGAACTGATTGCACTACTGTCTAGACCAGAACCCCTAATGCTCCTTACGCTATATAGGTCCGTCGATCGAACGAAATACTTCTAGCCCACTTATATCTAAGCACCGGTGACTAGCGGTGCGTCCGGTATTAGCCTAGCGATTATACGAAACCTCCTAGCGATGGAAGTAAAGGTTGCCGTCGCCGACCTATCTCCCACACCGAAAGAATTATCCGATAATCTCAACGTTATCTACACGAAGGTGAATGTGACTTCGCGGGAAGAAGTCTACAACTAGATCGAGGAGATCATTGAGAAATTCGGGCGTCTAGACGGTATACGCTAACGCCGGTATCTGTCCGGTGGAGAATAGCGTTGCCAGCGACGATGTCTACCGCAGGATCATCGAAGTCTGCATTACGGGAGTATGGAACATGGGAACCGAGGAATATCGCCAATTCCAGTGACAGGAAGGTGGTAGTGTCCTGGTCAACACGGCCAGTGCTGCGGGCTTGAAAGGCTACCGAAGGATAGGGTCAAGAGGTCGAGGGGAAGCTTGTTCTCGGAGACTAATAGGGTCTCTCGCAGGTGAGCTTCTGCGCCCTGGACGGTGACTTGTTCTCGAGGTTTAACAGGGCCGTATACGTCACAGAGGACCGCCTAAGACAGAAGACGTTAGGATTAATAAGGCCATAAGTACATACGTTCCAGAGCCCCAGCCACCCTCGTACGCGTCGCACGCAGCGCGCAACTCAGAGCGCTTGTAAGCTGGGGTGTTCTGTCCCTCCAGTAGGCGATACCACATCCGCAAGCTCGATAGGGCTTGCACAAGCACGTTTTGTTCCGCGTTCCTCTTCCATATAAATTGGAGAGGATCACTTTCCTGGAAACGCCGATGAGAAAATCCGGTGTGAAGCGGCTACTCATATCTATATTCGACAACACTGTCCAGAAGTCCCCGTTCCTATGCTCCTAGGCTTTGGCCTCTCTACTGGCATCAGCGTAAGTCTTTTCCTCCCCACAAGGCTTCGAAAATCAATCTCAATGGAAGCAGTCCACACGTCTTGAAAATACTTCTTTCTTGTTCCTCATTCGGAAGGGCAAGGCGAAGCTACATGTCATGCCAAACTTCCCGGCGCAGCCGTTTCGCGACCACGAGGATGTGGTGAAGTGGTTACGCTTTGTCGACATGGGGTTTGATGACGACGGGCTCGATGGCCCGCTGGTGTGTTTGAGTGTCGTGCACTCCGGGGATGACAAGGGTCTCAGTCTCCGCATGGAGCACACGCACTGTTTCACCGAGGCGAGGGATGGGAGCGCGGAAACTACAAAAGGGCGGACATTATCGTTACGATGCGGATGAAACGCGGGAAGAGATTGAGTTGAGGGGCGGTTCAATGTCGCTGAGTCTGTGTATAGGGCTGATTATCCTTGACCTCGCCGATGGCCAAGGCCGACCGGTTGTAAGCACCCTATCCTAGAGAACTCCTGGCAGGTGTATACCTTGGTGAGGCAGTAGTCACGGCCAAGGTGCAATGCAGGTAGTTGTGGCGCGGTTGGCAGTTCAGACGTACATCGAGCTGTGTTAACTCCGTACGGACTTGGACTCCAGTCAGACTATACTTAGTAATGAGTCCAGTATTTTCCATGATGTCAATAACAACAAATGTCAGACCATAGCGCTCGTCTCAACAACGACGGCAACGGGGCTAGTATTCACGATGTGCAAGGGCAATGGATCAGCCATGCTAAATCATCCTTTCTAGTCACTTCAATGCGTAAGGTCCAGGGTCTCTCGGCTCCGATGAACGCAGAGCTACTAGGATGGATAGTTATCTAGCAACCCGAGTTCTAGCTACACGCTGTTGCTTGGTAGGACAGTGCGCATTCAAATCCGTGCAGTCGCCACTTGTGGCATGAATGGGTTCTTGGACGGATGGATTTGTCATGCCGCTTGTGAGACGGCCACAGATGGTCATTGAAAGGGCACCAGTCAAGAGTGTTTAACTGGCCGGAGGGCAAGCAGCCAATCCAAAAAAAGCCGACCACTGGTGCAGACATCGTATTCTGTACCTCAAGACGCCTTAGACAGGTAGAAGATAGGTAGAAAGGTAGCGGGGTATGTCCACCCGTCATCGCATCTGCCTACTGGTTCCCGACGTGGACCGGTACCGCGCATGTAACTTGATTAACAATACGTGTGTAACGGGGTATACAACAACGGATCTAGTGCAACGGAGATTAGAGGAGCTTCGGAGGCAGGAGTTAGACTACCTCCCTTTGCTCGCTGTATAAATTCACAAGCAATCCTCTCCTAGGTAGACTCTAGAACTAGCTTAGAAGACCCCTTTTTTTTCCTCGTGACATTGTAAATCAAGCACGAATTCGTTACCTCACTTCCTTCAATCCCGTTCTCAAAACGAGTGCGTCAACGATGAGTGTCGATTTTACAGTCTTCAAGGGCTCCAAGTCCGGAGAGATCGTCGAGGCCATAGGCCACCGAGATGTCGGACCGAGACAGGCCTTGGTCCAAATCACGCACAGCGGCGTTTGCGGCACAGACCAACATTTCCGACATCAGGGCCAAGGCTTGGGCCACGAAGGCGTCGGCATCATCAAGGTGATTGGTTCCATGGTCCCGGAAATCTCAGATCTGAAAGTCGGTGACCGCGTAGGTATGGGCTGGGTCCAGAAGGTTTGTCTACACTGTAAGCCATGTTTGACCGGTCAACACTCCAAATGTCTCAACTCGGAGCAATTTGGCACGGCGAACTTGGACCAGGGCTCCTTCAGCACCGGACTTGCCTGGGACGTCTCCGCTCTGTTCAAGATTCCCGACGCGATTGATTCGCCGTCAGCTGGACCACTGATGTGTGGAGGAGCGACGGTCTGGGGACCTTTGTATGAACATGGCGCCAAAGCGGGAGACCGTGTCGGCATCTTGGGTATCGGAGGACTGGGTCATCTGGCCATTCAATTCGTCAACAAGATGGGGATGGAAGCCATTGCGTTCTCAGGCACGGAGTCGAAGAAGGACGAGGCTTTCAAATTAGGAGCGTCGGAGTTCCATGCTACCAAGGGCGTGACTAAGTTCGAAGGCATCGAGCCTATTGATTTCTTCCTTATCACAACGAACGTCCTTCCAGATTTGTCCTTGTGGGTGGATAACCTCCCCTCCTCCAATTCTCAATCCACCTTCCGAGGATTCCTCTTGACTAATGTTATTGCATCAGATACGTTCCCGTGCTAGCACCGTTTGCAAAGGTGTTTCCCCTTACCACGAGCTTCGATGCCTGGCCTGTGCCTATCTTCCCCTTGTTGGTGTATGGGTACAGCATCATTGGGTCGGGCGGGGCGCATCCTCAATCAATGAGAGCGATGTTGACTTTCGCTGCCACACATAAGATCAGGCCAATCTTGGAGAAGTTCCCCATGACCAAAGAGGGCATTACGGCTGCCATGAAGAAGTTGGATGAGGGGAACATGAGGTATCGGGCTATCGTCGAGGTGTGATAGGACAATGTCCCAATCCATAAGATCACGCGAATGGGCATATGAAGTTGAATGAAACATACCTAGGTTTTTCCGATGCGGTATGAACAGTGATTGAATTTGCCCGTCTCATGAGTCCCGCGCTGGAGGCCTCCAGATATCTCAATGACGCTACCATAAACGTAGCTACTTTACTCAGAGAACAGAAATGTTGCTACGTTGGCCATCTCTTCTGCAGTCCCCGTCCTTCTGAGAGCCACACCCTGCTCTGTCTGTTGTATCACCCCCCTTCCTTGACGAACAGAATTGTTCGCTGGAGTATTTATCGATCCTGGAGCGACAACATTCACCCTGATGCCCCGGGCCCCCAGTTCCAGTGCCATGGACTGTGAGAAGCTGACCACGCCAAATTTTGCTGCGTTGTATATGGCATGGCCAGCACTTGTCTTGAGTCCTGCCACCGAAGACACATTGACAATAACGGATCCTTCAGTCAAATGCGGAATGCTGGATCTGGTCATGAGGTACGTTCCTTTTAGGCTTGTGTCCACGATCTTGTCCCAATACTCATCCGTTGTCGCCTCCAGTGGTAGATTTGTCGGGTTTATACCAGCACAATTGGAGAGGCAGTCTGTCTTGCCCAAGTCACTGACAATGTTGGAGATGGTGTCCTGACATTGCTGGCTTGATGTCACATCCGGGTGGAGGATTCTTTGATGAGGCGACTGTAGATCCTCGGCAAGCTGCCTCAGGCCAATAGTATTCACATCACACAGGGCGAGTTGGGCGTTGTCAGTGTGAAGGCGTGTTGCTACGGCGAGGCTGTAGTCAACATTCAGCAGAAGTTCGAACCAATCTGTCATCGATGGCTAACCCAATGCCACTGGCAGCTCCAGTGATTACAACCACCTTGCCCCTGAAGTCAAAGCCATGACTCCGTTTTTACTGTGGTTGCCAAAACCGGCGTGAAGGATTTAGTAGAGGCTTCGGACAGAAATAGTCGTAGCAGCTTTCATCTGCACCATGCGTTTATGGTAAGTGCGGTTTGCTCGAGCTCTGTGCTCTCGCGCCTACCTGGTGGAAATTTCCGGGTCAAAACATTTCACCAGGAGCTGTATCCGTATGTATGCGTCAATGGCCCTGCTGTCCTGCCACAGGCATGGCCTTCGAGACACCCTGTTCCTCTGCTCCATGCGATGGGATCTAGTCTGCGCTGAACCTGTTGAGTCTTGGGCAACGCGACGGAATTACCTGAGGATTGCGAATAACTCGAGCGAAAAGGCACCTAGAATGGCCAGATGCGAGCGCAGCGCAGCAAGAATCTTTTGTCCGACAGAGAGCCGAACTTGGCGACGAGGGCTCGCTCGGCCGACTCAAACTCTACGACACGTGGAACGTACAGCTCGGCCCCAGTCTTCCGTCTAAATACAAGGTAAGTTGGACCGAGAAGGTCCCCAGATTCGGGAATTGGCTGGTGGCATAAATAGATTGGAATCATTCCTACCGAGTTTCAACAATGATACAACCCTGGTAGCTCGGGAACGGGTCACGGTAATTGTCGTTTCGGTGAAAACCACATTTTGTGGGACTGGAGATAGATATTTACTAATTAAAGCATGCGGCTAAAGTTTAATATCCTTGTACAGATTCTAAATTGGTTCTCTCCGGCAAAGGCCTAATCTGTTTTGGATTTTCCAAACATTGCTCTCTATTTCAACGGCGATGAGCCATTCTTAGTAACCTCAAAGCTTGGGCCAACTCTTCCCGGGAGAAAAGTAATAATTTACGGTATTTACAGTGTAGTATGTAACAAGAATCCTTACAATCTCAAGATCACTCGAACCCTATTGGCAAAATAATTCTACGGCGACATAAAATAATGGAATGTGAGGGTTTTAATAGGAGTTTATTCAACTACTATATAGCCTATATTGTGATTTTCGAGTAGGCAAATATCCGTGGTTTAACCGATCCGTGACGAACTTTTTTGGCCTAGAAATGGCGGTGAGCTTGTTCCTCCTCGTTCTCGATGAGTATCGCTCCTTGTTATTCCGTAGTTGTTGTATCGTAATCCTCGTCGTCAGTTCTCTATAGAAATCCAATAAAATGCCGTTAGGAGGGTCTTATTTGCGGTATACGGATGAGGTTAGAGACCTCATCCGCCTACAGCTCGAAGCTGGTATTTCCGGTAAAAGAATCGCGCAATTCAATAGGGTTTCCGCCTCCTTTGTCTCCTAGGTAAATATACTGTATAAAACGCCTCAATTAATACTCGATTTAACGCGTAGGAGAAAGGGTCCGAGCCCTAAAATTCATGGAGAGGCAAGGGAGGCTTTGGTGGCATTGTTAGAGGAGAATGAGACCATTTTTTTAAGTGAAATCGCCGATTATTTGATGGAGCATTTTGCAATAAATGTCAGTGTTGCAATAGTAAGTAAAACCCTTAAGGAAATGGGCCTCACTCGCAAGAGATTAGGGCTCGTTATACATCGCGCCTAGGATGAGGAATTGCGAGCTCACTTTTGTACCCGTATAGCGCGCGATTACAGCGTGAATCAGCTTGTAACAGTGGATGAATTGGCTACAAATGAGAGGACAAGTGAGAGGAAATACGATTAGAGTCGTCGCGGCGTGCCCTGTCGAGCATCGAGAGTAGGGAGGAGGAGTGAGTGTTAGAGTGTTTTGCTAGCTCTTTGTTATAACGGTATCCTTTATTATAAGGTTTTCTATAGCTCATTCGATAGAGAGAGGTTTGAGGGGTTCATTGAGAAGCTCGTGAAGGAGATAAATCCTTTTCCTACGCCAAAATTAGTTATTCTACTCGATAATGCGAGTATTTATTATTACGATAGGATTGAGAGGATCTATAAGGACGCCGGCGTCATTCTTAAGTATCTCCCTTCGTACTCACCGAATCTAAACCCTATCGAGCTGTTATTTTATAAATTAAAGGATTAGTTGCGTCGCAATAGAGATCTAGCGAAGGACTTTAAGTATTGGTTTAAGGGGATTATTCATATAGCGATGAATTGTATTACTAGTGCGGCGACGACAAGAGGCTATTTCAAAAAATGCGGTTACGGCGTAAGTAAGGATTACGAGTAAATAATGATTCAATAAAATGAGTGCTAAATGCGCACTAGTTAGGGTGTAAGATTAGCGAGTATTTAGTCTCTTAATTTAGGGGGTATTTTAGCACTACGCATACGATTTTATGAATAACGAAGCTCTCTAGTTACTCTTTAAATACATTTCTATATAGATCACCACTAGAAAAGATCATTTAATAAGTGGTTTAGCTTTATTCTAGCTTCTCGTTGTGTAAATAGCTAGTAAAGGCTTAGGGGTATCTATTCTTAAGGTCCTTTAACGTTGCATTTCTAATAGTTATATGATCTCGCTAAATCTTAGTATTAGTTATAAATTGGTAATATTAATTATAATATAGCAATTAGTACTAGCGTAGACTATATTATAAAGTTACATATTTACTAGCGGTATATCTCGTAATTTAAAAAATTAACCTCTATTCTAGCGATAGCGAGATTAGGAGCTCACTACGCTACTACTACTACTCTCTACGGCCTATATGTAATGGGTTGAACCTATGGAGATCCCTGGTTACACCAAGGACTACCTCTACACGTGACCTGTACGACTGACTGTACGAGGGAAGCGAAGGGTTACTCTGGTGACCTAAGCGATATCGATAAGTAGGAGTATTTACTCCTACTCTAGAGCTCGTACGGAGCTCTCTTCTCTTTTTTCCTCTTTAGCTTAGAATCCTAGTTATATGGTAGCTATACGAATCGTATGATTTATAGCAAAACCCTTACATTATTCTAAGCTCTCCTTACTAGTACAGGGAATGAGAAGGTATTCTCCGTACGAAAATGGATAACGGACAAACGACGACGGGGAATAGCCCTCCCCAATAGGCAGCGCAACTATTTCAAATGTTACAAGTCCAAAATGAACGAATGGTTGCCCTAGAAGCACAATTTAGTCAACAGAACGAACGAGGTAACCGTACGCCGGACAGGTCGACCTCTCCGACGGTTAATACGACTCGGGACGTAGATCCCGTACGACGAAAGGCTAAACTCCCCGAATTGGCTGAGTTTAGTGGGAAGAGAATAGAGTTTCGCCCATGGTTGACACAGGCTAGAGCAAAGCTCGCCGTGGATAAGGAAGGAGAAACCGAAGTCGTACGATTTTGGTATATTCACAGTAGATTGAGAGGATACGCACTCTCACAAATAAGCCCGTGGGTCAACTCTATACAATCGACCCCGGAGATGACAACGGATGGCCTAATAAGCTAGTTAGTCGCGGCGTACGACGATGTTGACGCCTCGGAGAGAGCTTCACGAAAGCTCTCTCAGTTGAAATAAGAAGGAAGACCATTTAATTCCTTTATTGCCGAATTCGACCGTACACTACTAGAAGCAGGAGGTCTTAAATGGGCCGACCCCGTTAAGAAGACCTTCTTGGCGAATTGCTTATCGTACGAGCTCCGCAACGCTCTCGTCGCCGCCCCTCTCCCGTCGACCTATAAGGATTACTGTACGC